CCCAAGGTCCGTGGTCTGGTAGCCCTGCAAGATGTTTTGCCGTGAACGCCGGGTGCCCCTTGTAGTCGTCTGGGATCTGCCCCGTCTTTGCGTTCTTCGCTGTACCCTCGTAGTACGCGAACTTGTTGTTCCCAGGCTCGATGCTCGCTGCTTCGAGTTCCCTGACTTCTTCTGCTGCCAGCTCGATGCTTGCCGCTTCGAGCTGATTGACCCATTGTTCGTGTTTGAGCATTCCGTGCTCGTCGACTGAGACGACGGCGATGGTTCGTTCCTCCCGTGCCTGCTTCTTTCGTCGTGTGCCGCTTCTTCCGGACTCCAGAGTGCGTGGTTCTGCACTGGCTGCTTCCTGCGGTGGGCCCGTAGAGGGGGTTCGTTCTGACCCGCTGCTCTCCCGTGGCTCCTGTTCTGCGCGTTCTCCCATCGAGTTGGTCGGATGCTCCCGCTGTTCCCGCGGTCGCAGATGGCCATCTCCCTTCCAACTGATGTCTGGGTCGTATTCCTCATGCCATGGGCGCCCGAGAATCATGTCTTTCTTCGGCCCCATGTTTACGATGTCGAACACCACTTGGGTGGTTTTTCCTTCCACCTCAATGTCGAGTGGTTCTGTCTCTCGTCGTACCCATTGTGTGTCGAATGGTCCCTTGACGACGTGTGGTTGCTTCTTGATCCTCCATGGGATTCTGAGTTGATTCACAAATGCGGGCGAGATGAGATCCATCTGCGCTCCTCCATCCACTAACGCGAGGGCTTCGATCTTCCCCCATCGCGCTGTGATCCAGAGCCTGTTGTCTGGCTTGGTGCTTCGTACAGCAGCTACTTCGTGTTCGTCTGCTGGGAGGTCGTTGTAAGGCTTCTGCTTGCGCCAGTTCTTCCTGTACTGCGCAGCCTGTCTCCGTTGCTGTGGAGTTAGCGGTTTCCGGGCCCCTCGGAGGGCCCTGAGCCGTTTCCCAAGCTCTCGTGGTGTTTCAAGGCGTCCCTGTCCGCACCTTGGCTTGCGGCGTCAATCGTCTGGTGTTCTTGGAGCCATTGGGCCGCCCATGCCTCAACTGGGCGCCTCTCGTTCCTTCGGGACGCTCTCGTCCTCTGGTGTGGCTTCCTCTGGGATTGCTGTTCCATGTATCCCCAGATTTTCTCGTCGGCGTGTGGTAGGCAGTCTGCGCTTCGGCATTCGTTGACTCCTACGCCCGCCATACAGCGTCGGGGCCAGGCTGCCTTGGGTTTAACCCTCAGCCTGCCCTCGTGAGTGCGTTGGGTGTCCCACAACATGCCTGCGGGAGCGTCGCCGCTGTCGTATACCCATCTGATGGGCAGGGGTTGCATTCCCTTTTCTTCTCTTGTGGGCCAGAAACTGTTGCGAAATTTGTCCTGGAAGTGGTACCGACATTCGTGCGTGATGCACTGGAACCAGGGCAGGTAGATGTGACTTTCTTTTCGTGGGTCCACCCGCTCGTGGTCTTCTGATAACAACTGGAATCCCTCCGTGTTGTTCTCGCCCCGAAAACCCCACCATTCAAGGTCGGAGGTTTGTCGTCCGGCGCGCACGATGTGCTGATGTCGCGTCCAGTATTCTTCCCAGCTCTGCTGTTTTCTTCCTTTCGCCGCATTCTGTTCCTGTGCGTAGTCGAAAAGTTGCTCGGGGTATCGTACTCCGTTTTCGTATCCTTCCGCCTCTTCGGTGGGTCCATCCCACGGTGTGTGGTGCGGAAGTGCCTGGCGGATGTCGTCCTGCAAGGCCTGTGCCTCTCTTAATGTCTTTTCGACGTGATCCCCGGCCCTGTTGTTGGCCTTGGTGATCTCTTGGACTCGTTCTCTGGCGAAATCGAGTTCCGCGCAAAGTTGTCCGTACTGGTCGTTCCTTCTTTGGAGAAGTTGCTCGAGTTCTTCTTTCTCTCTTGACAACTCCTCGATCCTTTGCCGTTGGCTTAGGACCTTCTGTTGCAGAAAAATGAGGTTCGGGCTGACTCCTCCTTCACCCTCGTGGGTTCGCCATTGCCCGTCCTCTTGCTGAACCAGGGTGATGCCCCAGTCCTCAGCGACTTGTCGGATGTACCGCGGGGGAGCCAGTTCTCCCTCGTCATCCGTTTCGATGAAAGCATGGTGGGCGGTGTCGTTTCCCTCCTGGTGGTTGCTGCTCATCAAGTCTTCTTGATCCGAGTCGGTGAGTTCATCGTCCTGCTCGATGACTCGGTCAATGTCGATTTCGAGGTCGTCCTGCGTGTAGCTGGCGGCTGCGACCTCCAGAAATCGGGTTCTTCTTCCGACCGTGTCTTGGTCGATGGTGGCGGCTTCCTTCCCTGGAACCGGTCTCCACTCTTTCTTGCTGCGGCAGTCACGTTTGAAGTGACCCTTCCTCCCGCAGTTGTAACAGGTGATGCCTGATTTGTCCTTGGCACCATCTCTCTTTCCTGCCCACTGTGCCTGGGCAGCGCTGACGTCCATGGGTCCCGAGTGCGTGCCGTACGCCGTGCTCTGGTGCTGGCGTTTCTTTTTGTCGTTGGGCTTGTGGTAGCCTGCGGATCGCTGAGTCTCGCTGCCCTTCTTCTGTTGTTTGCGGGCGAACTGTCGGTCGTCAATCTTGACAGCCATGGCGATGTACTCGTCGAGCGTGTCAGGTCGGCTCTCCTTGTAGAGCTCGTCCTTGACCTCCTCCTTCAGTCCTCCGTAGAACAGGTGCATCAGCCCCTCGTCGTCTATCTCTGCCTTCATGGAGTCTTGTCGGAAAATCGTGGCGTAGGCGGTGGCTGACCTAGTCTGCTTCAGCCGTCCTAGCCGTTCCTGGGCGTGCAACTTCTCGTCCTTGTCACCGAACACCTTCTGAATCTCACTCTCGAACTCGGAGTAGTTCTCGAAGACCTTTTTGGTGAAGGGTTTGTGGATTGCTCCGCCGAGGAAATCACTCAGTGTTCCCGTGAACCACTTGAGTGCCTTGTCCTTGAGTCGGGTGGCGGCGTATCTGGTCTTGGATTCCTCGGTGGCGAATTGGTGCGAGTTGTGGTCGAGGTAGTTCCGCATCGCCGTGATCCAACCTGGCAAGGCTTCCTGATCGCCCCCGTACTTCTCGGGTTGCTCCAATTTGACCTTCGTCTTGGCCGGGTCCTTGGTGTGGACCTCGGTCGCCGCAAGTCGGGCTGCCAATGCCGCGTTGCTGGCCTTGGTCTTCGCAAGCTCTTCTTCAGTTTCATCGAGTCGTTCGGTGACTCTCTGAAGTGCGGCCGTGATCTGGCCCGGCGTCGGTTGAGTTGCCATGTCGTTTTACCTTCGAGCCTGAACTGTAACAGATCAAAGGGAGTTAGCAACGTGTGACGAACCTGTCTCTGGACCCGTCCTGTTAGGGTTCAGTATCGGTCGAAGGTATTCTCTCAAGGGTACTTAGGTTCGGTGCAGCCAAAAGGTGCACAACAAAGACTTGTCTCAACAGTAGGCTCCTGAGCTTGTAGCGAACTGTAGTTGTGATTGCTAACTGGAGAACTCCCAGAGCTCTCCAGAACGAGTGACTATATACTATCTAAGTCTTGAGGTATCTCCGTACCTTGCTCTGTATGCTCCGTGCCAGAGCACCCAGAGCGTCGTGCTCTCCCTGCTCTGTGCCAGAGCACCCAGAGCGTAGCGTGCTCTGTCGTGCCAAGAGCAGAGCACCCAGCTGGCCGCCGGTGATTGGCTCGGGGCGGCCCGCGCCCCGTGGTGGCATGTCTCCAGCACGCCCCTCGTTGGCTGTTCGTGACAGAGAGCCAATCTACCTGTAACTGGACCTCTAGCATCTCGCCACCTTTTCGCCGCATTGGCACTCTCTTCCAGCCAGGGTTGCCACTGTTCTACTGTGCCCTCATCTGCAGAACTCGTCTACGTCATTTGAGTCTTGGCGAGGTGAGCCACCACCATGCCATACGTCATTGTGAGCGCGTCGAAAGAGGAATAACCCAAAGAGTCCGTCACAGGTGACCAAGCCTGTGCTCGAACCTTGGACCTCCAGTACACCCATTGAGTGGTCACATAATTGTCAGAGGTGTGTGCAGTTCCACCTCGGGCAACAATCCAAAAGATCACCAATGTGACCACTCAATGGCCACACCCTGCACACCACCTGCACTATATAGCCAGAGACCTCTGTTCTCTGACATGTAAGGCTAGCCAGCAACTTTGTTCAACAACTAGCCTACCATTAAGTGCCTAGTTACGTAGAAAATGGGCCAGTAAGTTCGAAAAGGCTAGCCAAACCGCCCTACAAGTTATCTATATAATATAGCTGTTTTTAGTAGCGGGCTGGCCTGCAGTTTTTATATATATGGGCGTTTCCACGCCTCGAATTTGACTAAGTCAACCGCGCGGCCGTGCATACCCCCCCCCCCCCCCCCCCCCCCCAGCTCAGCCCAGCCCGCCTGTGGGGGGGGGGGCGGGCCAATAACCCAGCTATCGCGTCGCCAATGGTGGGAAGAAAAACGGCTATACTAGATGCGGACTGCGCGACCTGGAAATGGGCCCAATTTGCGGCGTGATGGTGGCCCAGTCTTGGTCACTCTGTCCTCACGTGCCTGGAAATTTACAAGTTTTTACGTGCCCCACCTTGTGAAAAGTGCTGATGGATAACGGCCCCCGTCAGGGGGGGTCCGACGCGGAACCGGGCTACGGAGACCTTGATCCACAGCCAGGAGATTCTGAAGAAATCGTCATTATATGGGCAGGGTGACGGCACATTGAAGATCGGATGGAGTGGGACAGAACTGAAGAAAATGAAGGAAATGGGAACGCGCGGAAAGCAGCAGTGCCGACATCAAGAGGGTCAAGGACTGTCAAATGCTTCAATGTCAATAACGCCATCAAGTGCAGACCGAATCATAGCTCGATAGGTACCTACCCAGGCAGGTACCTTAGTTTACTTCTACACATTCCAGCAAGGCTACCTATCCAGAGTAAACCATGAATAAGTGTATTTCATTCCACTAGCATGTAATTACCTACTACCTACCAAGACATGTCCCACAGCCCGATCTTCAACCCCCTCCCCAGCACTCGCACCATCCACGTCCCAACAACCCCCCCAAAACCCATCTAGCTGCACCCCTTCGCGCGGTTCGACAGGCACTGCGCCGCCCCGTTCGGCAAATAGCCCCTAATCACCCCGGACACATAATTATGCGTATCCCCCGGGTTGCCGCCCGTGCAGTCATGCAGGGTATCGTACGCGCCGCCCCAGAAACGGCTCTGCTCGCCCTCGAAGACCTTGGACCAGCTGATGTAGCAGGTCGCGTAGGCGATGTGGCGCGACGAGCTCGGCACGGGCGCCGTCGAGTACTGGATCGAGTCCGCCAGCGTGCGGCAGTCGTCCGAGTACGCCCGGTTGCTGTTGTGGCACTCGGCTGCGCGCTTGGTCAGGCCGCTGTCGCTGCCGCTGCGGGGCTCCCGCGCCGCCGGTGAGGTGTTGCCGTGACCGCCTAAGTTGCGCCGCTGCGCGACGTGCGCGGGGAGGTTCTCGTCTAGCAGGCGCCAGACGGCTTCGCCTGACTCGTCCTGGTCGAGGACCAGCTTGAGGTTGTGGGGCTGCGGTGAGGCGGTCGAGCTTGAGGCGGCGGAAGGTAGGGCTGCACCGAGGGCGGTGGAGGCCGCGAGGGCGAGGATGGCGGCGAATGACTTCATGGTTGTTGTTGGCTGCTGCGTGTTAGCGATGTGTAGAGAAACAGTAACAGGGGATGAATGGGGAGTATGTGTCTACCTGAGCTAGAAGTTTGTTTGCTTGAAGTGGGAATGTGAGGTTGTTGGTGAGGTTGGAGTCTAAGAGACGAGGAGGTGGGCGTGGAGGATACTTATACTATTCGAACCTAGCCAGCGTGGCTCATGCTTTTCACTTGTGATCCCTCCAATATATTTCACGTCCACGTGCCTTTGATTCCTCAGCCCGCTATAGCCAAGGCATGCGATGCTTGGGGAACACCTGGATCGTACGGCACCGGAAATTGCTAGTCGGTATCGTTGTCCAATAGAGATGAATCGTCATGTCCCAAGAGAAAAAGGCCTCATTCGGTGCCTAATCAATCGGTCGATATACAGCTAGACAGGTAAGCTCAACGTTGGACGGCGGAGACAGGTGAGACCCTGATGACTGAGTCGCTTGTTGTATTGACGAGTAGAACGTTTCTATGGGAGTGAAACATTGTGTCACTTGAGTAAGTAAGGCTTCAGGAACAGTCTCATTCGGGAATGTGATCGCTATGACTTCTAACTTGAGATGATCTTCACGATAAGTTTCCTCTTTTGTTCCAGCTCCAGTCAGCAACCATCATAATGCGTGTCTTACACGCCTCACCACACCGGCCTAGGCTGAAAATGCACATCAGGCAGCGAGATTGACGAAAGAAAAATAAATAATGGCGGACACAACGAGTCTAGATAAAGTCAGTCCTGTAGCTACCCAAAAGCCGGATACCCTCACCATCAATCGCAGGGTTCAAGTCGACAACCCACTGACCTTTCATATTCATAACCCACACATCTTCATACACCTTTTCAAGTGTCACCACCTTTCATCATGAAGTATCTTACTGCGATCACCACCCTTTTCGCCGCCGGTGCTATTGGCACTGCGATCCCAGCGGCACGCTCTGGCGGCTCAGCCGGCTACCACCTGAACCTCACCCTTGTCACAGAGGGTAAGGACCAGTACTGGCTCCTGACGGACGACAACCTGCCCGCCGGTCTCCCCGCCACGCCCGGCACTCTCACGAGCCGGTCTTCCCACCCGGGTCTCCAGGCACGGGATACCCCGGAATGCTCGGGCAACCACCAGGCGCCCACCGGCGACTGCTACAACCTGCTCGCGGCGCTCAGCAACGACCTCAACGAGATCCCGGAATCGCCGCGCAACATCCGCTACACCAACTGCTATGCGAGCTGGTCCAGGGCGGCCAGCGGGGTCCGCGCGGAGCTGTACAACGCCGGGGCCGACATCTACAACACGTGCAACTCCAACGGCAGGGTCTCGGGCCTGAAGAGAAATGTCAACATCCAGGGCACCACCCTGACGCAGTGCCTTTCCGATCGGCCTAACGGTTGTAGCTAGGCGTTGTCGGGAGGATTTGGGGCGGGGGTTGCTGGGTGGCTGTGGTGGTTGGATGGATGTCCCATGTGGTAAATAGGTGGTGGGAGAGAGTCTGACGTTGATCATAGGTAGCTGAGGTACCTGACGGGAGGTAGTGATGTTGAACTCTGAAGGGTTGATTTCATGATCTATTCAAATTTTGGTCGTGTTTGAAAGTTGCAATCAGGTCATAGTGTTTGTTTGTACAGATCTGGATGCAATCGAATGATATTACAATGCCACGATGAAGAAACAGATTTCAGCTTTGGACTTTTCACTCGGCGGTCCAGATCCCGCTCGCCACTTTCTAAGAAAAAGGATAGACTCGATGGACAGACAGGCCGAAAGGAGTTGTTTGCCTTTCCGAACCAACGAACCTTGTAAAAGTACCAGGGACCGGGTAACGTACCTTGTACAGAATACATACATACATACCTCGCAGCACAACGACCCAACTTCGCCCCGCAGTCGCTCTTTCCAACCTTCCATTTCCAACACCGCCAGACGGCCCAGACCTAACCCCACTCTTCCCAAGTTCCCAACCTTTTTCCTCCTCTTCATCGCTTCCTCCCATTTCCCCCAACAACAACACGCTATTTTTCTTTTGAGTCCATTCAAAAATTCATCATCCGCAGTCAACATGAGCCCGCTCATTTTCAGTTGCGTTATATGCGGGTGGCCTATCTTCGACGAACATGGCTCTGTCTCGTGGATGAATGAGTTTCGCGGTTGTAAGTGCCAATGACTCCCAGTGCTTTACTCTGACTCGGCACCTGAGCCTCAGGTAGGGGATTTTCAGCTGATGTAATCCGTCCCCTAGTGTGCTCAACATGGCAAAGGGGGGTTTATGTGTCTGGAGTCGGCCTTTACTCCGATCCGCAATCAGCAGCCTTCATCGCGCCTCCAGACCCCGAGGGTCGGTGGGACGACCCTGGCTACACAAGTCCGCGTAGAGACCGGCTCGGGGTATTGGCGTATGGCGAGCTCCACGGGAAGCGTGGCTTCGTTTTTCACGATGCCTGTTGGTCTCTCGTTAAACAGCTGTATCATCCGGCTCCCGTCCCGCTTCAGAGGCTGCTTCAAGTCATGGACTCCCTCCCCAAGATATGGACAGGACATAGCTTAGACTGGGGGCACGACTACGGAGGGCTTGCTATTCTTCAGGACCAAAAGGATTACTTCCCTTGGGAATATCTCCGGTTTACCGACAGGGATTTCGAAGGCGACCCGCACACAGCGTACCGCGTTAACCCCCTTGCTCATTCCGAAGTGGAGGGAATTCTGGCCGAGGCTCCTCAGGCGCCGCCTTCTCGGGACTCGTTGCTATCTATCGAATCGTCATCATCTGGACGAGATCCATTTGTCTTACTTCCCGGGGAACTATGCTCCGCTATTGCTGCCTACCTCCCAACCCCGGATGTCCTGAACGCACGCCGGGCATCGCGGTCGTTTTGGCTTATTTTTGACAGCCAACAATTCTGGGCATCACGTTTCAAGGGAAAGGCCTCAGAACGCTCATGGCTGTTCGAAGTGGCCCAGGACCTTGAAACTTCCGGCGGGGTTGGAGGCAGAGATTGGCGTTGGTTGTACCATCGTACGCTCGATGCCCACCTAGAACCGGGGGTCCGAAACAGGAAACGGATCTGGGGACTCGTACAGCACGTGGCAGATATTTCAACGCTGTCTTGGAACGAATTGCCTGTCGTGTTGCCAATCCCCTGGCAGACCTCATCCCTTCCCGAGAATATAAGCCCCAAGCGGCCATGGATCTCGGCTGCGGGGAGCATACGGGCGTGGGGACATAAGTTCAGCAAGTTGCAGCAAGCCTGCGCACGTTTCAAGCTCCAACGGGTGGCCATGCGAATGGATGTCATTACGCAAATCGCAGCCTCCACCGTCCGTTTTGGTGGCTGCGTATACATCGCCGGCTTGTCTCTGACTGCTGCCAACGGGGAAGTCTTACAATTGGGCTACAAAGCCGGTGGCAGAGAACCTTCCTTGCAACTCCAAGGGGCGGCATTGACAGGCTTTAATCTTGCCGTCGGCCTAGGCGGCATCCAGGCCCTGCAGTGCGTCAGCGGCAGTGATACCGAGAGACAATTATCTGCTTGGCTCGGGAGCCCTCATAATGTCCCCAGAACAGAACGGCTGCGCCGCGTTATTACGAGCGGGCAGACTATGGTGCTAGAAGTCGGTTTTGACGTAGGTCGCTCCCGCTTTCTCTTCGCTTTAGGTAACCATCATGTCATTATTGCCTGCTAATCCAGCCTCGGTGCGAAACACAGGGTTTCAGAATGGTTAGTTTCGCACTCTGTCGACAGCCAACAGGGCCCCAGCCGAAGGGGCCCCCGAAGGGGCCCCGAACCGATGGTGATGAGATTCTCAGGGATACAGCGATATGGTATCCTCACCTGCCACCCCCTGATCTTGATTTAAATGAGGATTTCCTAGTAGCACCCGATGTGTACAGATCAGGATTTCGGCCACTATTCTGGACTCGGTTTGGAGGTCCCGGCGGGATTTACCTTGCAAATCTGGTCAAAATCAACATCACTCACGTTGTCAGCCGTATGGACTTCATCTTCAACCGCCCGGGAGCCCCAACGGACTGCAGAACCTTCGGACGTATCCACATTGACAACTCGGCCGAGGAGAGCGAGGACGAAGACGACAAGCCCATCGAGTTTCCGATCGACGGGCCTGGAGGTGAGGTTATTCACAAAATCGAGATTTGTCAAGCGTTTTTCACTGCCGATTGGATCGACCGCGAAGGATATCTGGCTTTGCTGAAGGTACCTCCTCACCCCGCCCCCTCAGGGCAAGTTGTTCCGTAAATAAGTGCCTCGGCTGAAGCCGTGAACAGATACATACGAACCGCGGGCGGACCTGTGAAATTGGCAAGAAACCCAAGGCCGGCAAAAAGCCCAATGTCGAAAAGGAGTTTGTGGCCGCTCCAGGGACTGCAATCACTGGCTTCTATGGCGCTCGGGTATTTATTATCACCATTCTCCCGTTTTTCACTTTGCGCTCCAATCCAAAAGCTTACATGTGTGGCATACAGGAGATACATCTGAGATCTGGCATCACATCATTCGGCGTGATAACTGAGCCGCTTTTGAAAGCATGAGACGGGATAATGGGGTGGTGGGGAGGGGGGGAATCAATGGCATCCTAGCAGGATATCTAGATGGGTAAGTGTGTAGTTAGGTAATTTCAGACAACCTTTATCACGTCTGGCGTATAACAAAGTATGACGGGGTGGTAATAGTGTGTGGTTTTGCTTAGGTGTATTGCAAAGGCTTCGTGCTTCCAACGTGACCCAGGCTGTGAATCATCCAACTTCACTTGGCTTGAGGACCGAGCTGAAGTGCCTGGAGCGGAGTCGAGATGTAGCCCATTCGTCCCTCACACATCAAGCTCTCTAGATGCCCTCCTTCGGCTCTCTCTTGGTAATGACAACGTTCATGTCTTTGTTCACCGTAAATCCCTGGTGCTCCCATTTCAATGGCGAGACTGGATCCAGCATGACAAAGTCGAAGCGGAGAGAAAGCTTCAAATTTTGGTTAGCAGCAGTCCAAGTTTCAGACGACTTCCAAAGGCAGTGTGCCCTCACCTCGAAGATCACCTTCCCCATCTCCATGTTCGCCAGCCTCCTTCCCAGACACTCCCACCTTGACCCTGCCGCGAAAGCGAGTCCCTGGGTTGCCTCCATTTCCTTGAGTTGCTCGGGCCCAGCCTCCAACCACCGCATCGGATCATAGACCTCGGCATTGTCCCCAAACACACCCTTGTCCCTCATGATCTCAAAAAAGCCGAAGGCAATATTCGTGCCAGCGGGTACTTTGACGCCACAAATCACATCGTCGACATCTGATACCTTGGCTTGAAACCCTGACAGAGGCGGCCAGCAGCGGATCGATTCCTGGATGCAAGCCTGTAAGAACCTCAGCTGGGTGCACTCAGCGTCAGCAATAACGGGACGTGTCACTCTCCCCACGGCACCATCAATCTCATCCTGCAGCTTCCTGTACGCCTTCGGGCACGTCGAGAGGAAGAACACGGCATTCCTCAACGCCGTCGCCGTCGTGTCCGTCCCACCCAGCAAATGCACCAACGCCTCCGACTCAACCTCCTCCCTCGATAACCCGGATTCCACCAACACCTGCAGCACATCCATATTCCGCACCCTCTTCTCCCCATACCTCTCGCTCACCCTCTCCCCAATAACCCCCAACAACCTGCCCACCCCACCCTGATCCGTCTTCTTCGGCATCAACGGCTTGCACAGCGGCGACGTCACCACCGCCAACAAGCCCGGCAACAACCCCATCATCGAGCACGGCAGCAACATCCCCTCCAGCGCGGCAATCGCCCCAAACCAATCCTCCCCCTTCTCCAAATACCCAAAACTCCGCCCAAACGCCACCGCGGAAATCGCATCCTGCGTGAAATACGAAAACCCCCTCCCCATCTCAAACACCCCCCGCCCCTTCCCATCCATCCCCCCTTTATCCACCACCCTCTCCCCCAAAAAATCCACAAACCTCCCCACCTGCCCATCCAACACCTCTTCCTGATCTGTAATCCCCCGCGCCTGGTACGCCGGCACCAGCCGCGAGCGCAGCCGCAGGTGGGACTTGTTGCCGACCATGCTGATGATGGAGTCCCGGTTGGGGTCGATGCGGAAGCCCGCGTACCAGGACGAGCGCCGGTAGGCGGAGCGGATGGACCAGATGCGCCGCATTTCGGGGGGGGAGGAGACGAGTACCCAGTTGGGGGCGATGCGCGCTATGGGGCCTGGGGGTTCAATGGAGAGGGGGGGTTAGAGATTGGGTGCGATGTAGGGGGGGTGATGGGGGTGGTGAGGTTCCATGGGGATTGAAAGGGCGGGGGGTGGTGATGATGGGGATGGGTCGGGGCTTACCGTGTTTCTGGGCAACGTTACGGAGGTGTTGGGGGAGCTTGCCGCTGAATTGGTGGCGGACGAGGAAGAATTTGGTCCATCCTGCGCCGGGAGGGCCAGGAATGTGGCGGAGGCGGTACCAGTTGCGGATGCGGGTGGCTAGGGACCAGACGATGGAAGCCCCGATGGCTACGATGGCGATGGATGCGATGAGGAAGGCCATTGTTCGGGGGTGATTGCAGCAGTCGGCAATGCTAGGTGACTAGCAACCTGAAGGCAGAGTTTGGAGTAGCAACAAACTATATAGGCTTCTAGACTCTTGCTCCCCGCACTACTTGCCCTCATCTGGCCGTGTCTTCTCCAGTTCGTAACCAGTGATGATCATGCTCCAATTTGCAATAGACCCATGCATTATTGGTCGAGACCTCGGGACCGTCACCCTTCTCCCCGTTCACGGCCACATATACTTGTCCGCTAGAAAGGTGGGAGATGCGGGTTTGTGATACTCTGCAGACCGGCACTTGACAATCGCTGTGCGATGATTCGATGCATGTCTCACTCGTGAGAGCTAACCCCAAGATAGACGAGATGCATAAAGCAGAGCCGACAGCGGTCTAGGGCTCTCGGGGAGCTTCGGGTCCATTGGAAAGCATGATTGTCCTTCAAGTGATCAACCAACCAGCGAGCCCGAGGTGCGCCGGTCTCCTCGCTGACATCCCCCGCACACGGCAGAGTGAAATTGAGTTCTAATCGATAGTCTTGGCGCATAGCTAGCATCCTGCATGTAGACTGGTTAGGGTGGTGGTCTGACTGCATGTGCTACGAGATTGGCAGCCCGATGAGCAGGTAAGCCCATGTTACCCTCCCGGGAAGACTCCCGATCAGAGACAAGCCCGAGACCCCATACACAGGGAGTCACCGGTAGTGGCCTCCCATGCCAATATGGACCCCTGGACTCCACGCTCAGAAGCCACCTCCGCCTTCCGAGCCCTGCCCAGTCAGACAGGCCCCGTCTGCCAATTTCCTCGAGTTTGAGTTTGATGAGAATTACCAAGTGTGCCGGGTCTATACTCGAAGAGTCCGCTCGTACTGAAGGATCCAGGGAAAGGGACGTGGATGGCAACTCTGAAACCCAGACCACCCGATTGGCAGCTAAATGGTATTATCGACCGGTCCGGCGTAAGCCTCGACAGGCTAGAGAGTTCGGTATACAGTCAGCCTCCTAACAGGATTCTTTCCCTCGGCATTCGTAGCCTCTGGGAAGAGATAGTGACACCCACAATGATATCATACGGATCTTGTGGTCTGTGACAAGAGCGCCAGGGTGGTGCTCCCAGACTTGTACCCAAGAATCTGTGGTAATGTCGCCGGGGGACGAAGAGCGCCTAGATATATCTCGCGATGTAGGTAGCTAGTATAAATATATACACGATCGCTGGATAGGAGACGAGCTAGTCGATTAATTTTAGTACTAGCCCTGTGACACCAACCTTAGAATGTGGACGATCCCAACTACCTTCCCTATACTTCTCAGTAGGTACCTGGTCTCCCATCCATCCCCCCCCTTCGTTTCCAACCACCGCCTTCTCATTTCCAACCATCCGGAAAAGCAGTCCTCACGATGCCCGATCGATACAATGGTGGGATGCACAGGGCGTCCACGACTATTCAACTCCATGCTAGTTATTGTACCCGAACTAACACACCCGAGATTCCAGTGTTCCGCGATACCCGTCTGACTCCCACCCGGCCGTATTAACTGTCGTAGACGGATGGACCGCGGATTCGGCACAATGATGGCAGGCTGTCGTCGAGAAGCTCAAGAAATATATCGGCCTGTGATGAGATAATGCCCCTCCGCCGTGCTGTTCCTGTTTTCATTTCTTTTTATTTCTCATTTTGTTTTTTTCTTTTCTCGTTTTCTCATTTTCTTTTGTTTCTCCTTTTTCTTTCTCCCTTTTCTTCCTCATTTTCTTTTCTTTCTTACTCTCCTTTCTCCGTCGTTTTCTTTTCCTTCCCGCTTCCTTTTCTTTCTCACTTTTCTTTTTCCTCATTACCGTGTGCCTTCCATGCTATTAGCACCTTCCGACATTTGGAGGCCGGCTTTTTGTTGCCTATTGGGTGTTAATGTAGCCGGCCGCAAGTTCCAAGATCCGAATTCACTCGAACTGGGCAACCCCTCATTCGGCCGCCAGTTCCACCCACTCCTCAACCGAGTCAACCGCTGAGCCTCGAATACCCGGGCCGCCGGATACCTAACATGAAATACCAAATCAACAATCTCACCACGCCCAACTCCGAGTAAACAAAACCACGACCACAATGACAACCGCCAACACCGCCCGCTTCAACGAGGAGGCCCTGTCCTGGGACTCGAACCCCTCGGTCCAGCTGGCCACAACCCTCGCCCACAAAGCCTACCTCGCCCACCTTCCCCCACCGGCAATCCTATCGACCTACGACATTCTCGACCTCGGCTGCGGCACCGGCCTGCTATCCCTGGCCCTCGCCCCCTCGGTGCGCTCCGTCACGGCAGTCGACGCCGCCGAGGGCATGATCGTCGCGCTGCGGTCCAAGCTCGAGCACCCCCCCACACCCAAAAGTACCACCACCACCACCACCACCACCCCTTCCTCCAGCAACAACCCCCCACCCCAACCAGCACCAGCACCACCAACCAACATCCACCCCATCCACGCCCTCCTCACCTCCCCCTCCGACCCCCTCCTCGCCCTCGACCCGGTAACCCACACCACCCGCCCCAACCGGCGCTTCGACCTCGTCGTCTCCCACCTCGTGCTGCACCACATCCCCGACCTCGCCGCCTTCTTCACAACAATCCACGGCTGCCTGCGCGCGGGCGGCGGGCGGGTGATGGTGACAGACTTCGAGGACTTCGGCCCCGCCGCCAGGAAGTTCCACCCGGAGAGCAAGATGGACGGGGTGGAGAGGCATGGGATTGATCGGGGGATGATCAGGGCGGTGATGGAGGGGGTTGGGTTTGCGGGTGTGAGGGTGGAGAGGGCGTTCGAGATGGAGAAGGCGGTGGAGACGGAGCCGGGGAGCGGCGTGCTGGGGCCGGTGGTGGTGTTTCCGTTTTTGATTTGTGAGGGGACCAAGGTGTGATGTGATGGGTGGTTGGGGGGGATGTGAGGGAACCGAATGGTGGGAGGATGGGCAGACCGCGGGATGGCGGTGAAGTGGGGATTCCAAACTTCATGTATTAGGGATTATATGCATATCGTGACAGGCCCATGATATCTGACAAGTTGGGCTTTCCAAACATTCATCCAAGGTTGGGGGTATAAGAACACCATGGCCAAATCAAGAACACCGCTCCATCACAAAAGAACCGTAAATCTATCCCTGGCAGCTCACCGCTGCCCGATCGTGTTCCTCCTCGTCCTCTCATTTTCTCTCTTGTGGGCTCCCGTCACCCTGGACCACTCGTCCCATTCCGTACTGATCTCCATGAGCACGCCACCCATCACTTGCGCGCTCGCCATCAAACCGTGGCCTTCGCCCTCGAGCACGCGTACCTCGCACCGCCGCATCGTTTTGCCCAGCCACTTGACATTGTCCACCGGCACGCGCGTGTCCCGGCTTCCATGGTGAATCACCACGGGTCGAGTGATGTCGACGTAGCGGAACCCGATGGTGTGCCGGCGTTCGAGGCACACGAGCAGATCGACCGCGGGGTTGGCGCCTGTTGTCGCGAGTTGCCAGATCGCGTGCGTAAGCCGGCTGTCGTACAGCTCCTGTCGCTCGCGGTCGGCGGCCTGCGAAGTGGCTAGGGCCGCGGCCGAGAGGAGGATCGGGTCCTCGGACTCGCGCCGCATACTACCCTGATAGGAAGAATTGGAGCGGCGGTGTCGATGGCCGCCGATACCGTGGTTCTGGGTACTGCCATTGGCGTTTCTGTTTTCGGGCCGGACGCGGTCCATATCCTCGTCGGCCGCCGGTATGGTTGCATAGTTCTTCGAATTCTCTGGGCCGATATTCTCCTTGTTTTCCAGCGCTGTGTGGAACATGCCCTTCGGTTGATCTTTGTTTTCCTTATTATTCTTCTTGTCGCGCTTGGCGCGCTTCTGTTTCGGTAATGAGCTAGTTATGCTCGAGCTTGTCGCGGTCATGAAGCTGCTGTTCGCGGCCTTTAGAATCGGCGTCGGAAGCGCTCTTAATATCCTTTGGCTGGTGGGGATGGCGTTGGTTGGGGGTAATGGAGTCTTCTCGCTGGCTCCAAACACGCTCATCTGCGATGGCGGTATCCAGGGCGCGAGCAGGTGTATCCTGCCGCGGATGTGCTGGGGCATTCGGAGCGCGGTGGCAAGAGCATAGATAGCGCCGGCGGAATGCGCCAGGATCGAGAACTTGGTGATCTTGAGAGACTGACAGATGGCATAGACGTCATCTGCGGGGCGGGTGTTAGCAGTGTAACTCGAGTTGGAACGACGTATAGCTTGTGTAGGAAAAACATACCAGGCCAGCCCAAAGGCGTTGCCGTGCCGTCAGCATACGGCTCGCTGTCACCAACGCCCGGACGATCCGGCGTTATCAGGCGTAGTTTCAGGGTCAGAGCCAATTCGTCGTAAAATGCCGTAATGTACCTCGTTAAACCCATGCCCACACAGCAAAAGACGGCGCTCCCATTCGGGTCCCCAACCTCGCTAAAGCTGACAACCCGGCCTGTCTGAGGGTGCTTGATCTTCTGGCTGAGCCGGGGGCTGCATAAATAGCTCTCCACCGAATCATCTACACTGTCGGCGCTCTGTGGCCGCTCGTAGGCGACAGTCGGCTGATCACTGTGCCTTTTATTCACGGTCGCCCCCGCCTCGGCGCTCTCGGGCGTGAGACTCGGCGCTCCTGAGAGTCGCTTGAGCTTTGTGCTGCTGCGCTTCTTCTTGACCGTTGTCCCACCGCCCTCACTGGCGTATCCTCCGAACGGATCCGGTGTGAGCCGGCCGGAACGCCGACGGTACTCGGCACTGGCTTCCCGGTCCCGCCGGCGTCCTTGTGCCACGGCGGGAGAAGGGGCACCGTCCTCGGTAACATTAGTATCGGGAAACATGGCAAGCACCGGTGTGGAGGGGCTCATGGCAGGCGCGTCGGAGCGCTGTTTGCCCAATGAGGCGGATTTCTCCTGCGGGAAGCCTGCGGAGAGACTTGACTGGTCAATTCCTTGACCTTTGGCTTGGTACCGTTGCGTCGCGTCGGTACGTGAGCTTCGAGCACCGCCGGGCTGTTCTTCTAGCTCCAAGATCGTGCCGTACGCGCCCGTCTCGCTATCCCGTTTCGAGGTCCGAGATGCCCTCGCGGATGACCTCTTGCTCTTCCGCAGCGACGAATCTCTGGTAGGTATCAGCCGAGGGTTGGCGAGGGTGTCAATAGGTCCTTCCAGCGCGCTGTATTCTCCGACAGCGAAGTCCCCGTTTGACTCCTCGTCTATGATTGACTCGGCGGACAGCGGATCGAGGCGGGGAGTCGTCGGATTGCTCGCCGAGCTGTGCCTGTTCTGGTTTCCGCCGGTCGTGCCGATGCTCGCCCGTTTCTTCTCGGCCTCCTTTTCGCGCAACCTCTCCTTGCTGCTCATGTACATCAGGCCGCGTTGATTCCGCGGGACCTTCTTGCCCCAGCTGTCGTATGACTGTTGCTTTTTCAGGGCGTGACCTTCGCCTCCGGGGGACAGCGGCTCTTGGCTGCGCTCTATGCTGAGCTTGCCGATGCTCTCAGCGCCAGATGTTGCCGAGCCCCTACTCGATGGGCGAGAAAGCGCGCCGCTGCTTCGTCGCGAAAGGATACCTCGCAGGCCGGATGAATCCCGAGCACCAGGGCTCTTGGGGGATTTGGGTGTCCGAACCGACAAGCCGCTGGGGGGCTTGGACGTTCGGACAACCGGAGCGCTGGCTGCGACGTCTTCTAGGTGCGCATCCTCTTCTCGTAGTTCGTTCCGGGACGGTTTTGCGTACGCGCCGTAGTCGACACCGAACGATCCGCCGCGGGAGGGGGAAGCGGGGGTCGACAGTGAAATGGGGCTCGCTGGGCCGATTGGGCTCAGGTAAGAGGGGCCGTCGAAGTGATTGCTCACTGGCCTGGATATGGCCGACAGAGATGTGATGAGGGACGAGATGACTTCTGGTGACGCAGAGGGAAGCGGGCCAACCTGGTCAGGTTCTTGGTCTCGGAGGTAACGCTCGGCGTACCGCTCTCGATCTCGGGGGGACCAGTCGGCGAAGACGTCGTTGTGGTCTCGGTCGCGCCTCGTCTTGGCGGGCGGCGCGGGGTGGGAGGGATCCCGGAGGCGGCGGTCGGGAGATGGATCACCGTGCCGGCCACGTTCACGTTCTCGGGACCTGCGAGGAATAGGAGGCGGGGCGGCGGCGAGAGAGGAATGGTCCATCATGGCGGTAGCGCCGGCGCCGGCGGCGCGGGTCGGGTAATATGGTGCAGTCGCTAACCGGGTTTGTCGGCAGAGCCCGGAAAGCGGAAAGCGATGAAGGCTTTTCAGGGGTCGTTCTCACATGTGTGGCCCCAAGTCTCAAGTGGGAGCGACTCAAGATCGCCGGGTTGTCTCGGAGGCATACGGTGTAAGGTTGGTGGAATGCTTGAGACTGACTCCTGCAGGTGGGTGCAAACCTGCATGCAGGAGGGCCGGGCGTCAATAGAGCGGCGGCGTCCGAGACCAAAACGAGGATCGCGGGTTTAGCTCTCCCAGTTGAGATCGAACTAATCTGTTAAAGGAGAAGGGAGGAACAGTGGTTTGACAGGCCTAAGAAACGCCCAACGCGTCGGAACAAATTCGACCATTAAACGATACCGATCGTCTCATGCGGTAATCCCATCAGCTCGGTTCCCGGATGATAAGTCGAACCAAGAAATTAAAGAGTGCGGAAAAGCGGGCGCCATGCAGCAGCAACAACACAGGCACCCGGCAGTTTGCTGAGAAAACCCGCCAAGTTGTCACGAGGCGCGAACCAGCGGTCGGAGATGTGGAGCGCCCTCAAGGCCGGGGGGAGGAGGGTCAACGTTTTTGTGGGGCCAATTGGTTCGAGACGGGACTGGTCATGCTGGTTCCGGTTGTGAGAAGGAGCGACGGTGTCTCAGGCTGTTGGGAATCGCGAGAGCTGTTGTTGTTGATAACCCCTCCGACAGGTCAGGAAATGCCGGGGAAAATCAACTTGTATCGAATGAGCGGGAAGCTGTGACGGCACAAAAAGAAAAACGCGCACTGACCTTGGGGACGGTGGCCTGTGCTCTGAACCCCTGAAATTACATGCGGGCAATCCCCTAATCCCGGTCCACTTCAAACCCCAACAGAACCCTTCGTCCGACAGATTTCGCCGACAAAAGAGGGGCAGGGACGAAGGGAATGTTCAAGTTGTCGTCCCAAGCCCCGATCGGACGGATAGCACATGCTATATACAGTCACATCACGAATTTATTCCGCGGCATTCGATTCGGAGATGTATCCAGTCAACAGGAGCCGGCTGCATGCAATTTCCCCGGCCTGTCATCCGGAAGTTTGGATCAGTGGGTCAGGCACTCCCTCCCCTTGCTCCCTTGCCTTCCAAGGGTGGGGGTCCCACGAACCAGCGGGCAAAGGAGCCGGCTTCGTCTTCCATTCGACCCAAGGGAAAGGAAACGTCGGGCCACAACCACAACAAAAGGCGTTTGCTTGGTCCGGAACCGTTCTCAGCTCAGGCCAAGAAGCGCCAATCACAACGTCTTCCGCGCCTTTTACAGTGATGCCAATTTGATGTCCCGCCTGGTCGAATATTATTGCCGGCGCAGACCGCTTTCCAAGAAGCCAAGCTGCCGCAAAGTTTAAGTGACGTCATGTTCCGTGCCTTTCATAACTTGAATAATATCGGCGTTGCGAGGAACGGGTTGGAAACAATAGGAAGATCTGGGTAACATGTAGTTACTGCAGTAGGATGTTTATGTGGAAGGTCTCATTGAGTTGACAGACTACCCGTATAATTCTGGACTTCTTCACCCCAAGATCCCCCTCTCCAACATTTCCCCTCCATTCGCGCAACTGCGCCAAGAAACCAGTGATAGAAATTACCTACCGATCAACAACAACTAAACAACACAACAACACCATGGACATCCTCCTGTCTCTCCCAGTTGTATCCTACTTTTTCTCGACTTCGCTCACATCATGGTCCACCTCGCTCAACCTCCTCTTCTTCTACATGACCTGGTCGACACTGGTGCTCACACACTCTCCTCTTCACATCGAGATACTCGGCATCACAGCACTCCGCATAGTCTTGTGGCTGTTTCCGTCTCTCATCTTCCTCGCATTTGACGCTCTTGTACCATCGTTAGCACAGAGCATCAAATACAACGGGGCATCCGCCCTCCCACCGCGTGATGCAAAGTCACTCGCCAAACTGACGGGCCTCGCCCTGTTCAACCTCGCTCTCGAGACGGCTCTCGAGGCGGGCATCTCCCTGGGCCTCGCAGCCCTCCTCAAGACGCCCGTCTTCCGCACCTCCACAACCCTCCCCCTCCCCTGGCAAATGATGAAGCACATCGCGCTCCTGCTCACCGGCCGCGAGATCCTCACCTACTACACGCACCGCTACCTGCTCCACGGCCACCCCGCCCCCGCCATCACCCTCACCAAATCCCACAAACCCAAGCTCTCCCGCACCACCAAACCCGCCCCCCCAGCCCGCTCCCTCACCGCGCTGCACACCCGCCACGCGCACGCCCGCGCCGCGCCACCCTTCGCGCTCGCCCTCAAGACCGACCACCCGCTGCCCTACCTGCTGCACCGCTTCCTGCCGCTGTACCTCCCCGCGCTGGCGCTGCGCTCGCACCTGCACCTCCTGACTTTCCTGCTGTTCGCCGCGCTGGCCACGCTGGAGGAGACGGTCACGCTGTCCGGGTACACGGCGGTGCCGGGGATTCTGCTGGGCGGGATGGCGCGGCGGGCGGCGGTGCACTACCGCGGTGCTGGACGTGGCGGGCGGGGTGGTGGTGGGGGCGGTGGTGGGAAGGTGGGAAACTTTGGCGGGTGGGGGGTCCTGGACTGGGTGCATGGCACGAGCCTGGGCGGGGATGTCATGGCTGACTTGAGGGACGAGGCGGATAAGCATCGGGTGCAGGAGCGTGGGGCCAGGAAGGTGGGGGAGGTTGGGGATGCTGTGAGGGATGGGGTGGAGGGGTGGAGGAAGGGGAATGGGAAGAGGAAGGGGAAGAAGGGGGAGTGATAAAATGGGGGGTTTTTGGTGGGTGAGGAACGGGGTTGGATTGTGTGATTGTCGGCGTTAGGTTTGATGTGTTAACCAATGTACGATCTCCAAATATCATGTACAAATAGGTACCACAAAACAATATTTGCGTGATATCCACGCTACCGTCTAATTCCGCCCAAACCCGCCCTCCCAATGTATCCTACATGTACACCGTGTATTTAATATACCTGAAAGGGAGCCAAAAGACCACCTTGTCATGCCCACCCTTTCCTTGTCCTCAACCACTCAACCGTCTCCATACCGGCCTTGACTCTCATCCCGAACCGGGCATCCAGCACGAATCCCTCCGACTTGGACACTTTATCCAGGTACTGGCGGCATTCATCAACCTTCTGGCGTCTAAACGCCTGAACCTCGTCCGCCGCACCCGTAGGCCAGCTTTCCCGGTCCCACACCTCCATCCAGGCCACCGCGGCCATCTCGTAGTCGGCGGCAGCTCGACAATAATCGTCCCTGGTAGGGCCTTTGAAGACGGTTCTATCCCCACAGTAATTAGCATCAAGGCACAGCAAAGTGTACAACTTGAGGGGATCATACTTGTCCATCGCCAGCAGGGGCTCGACCAAAGCTCTCGCCTCAGCGCCCCTGCGCAATTGCCGCAACAGCGCCGACTCCGTCAACTGGGCAATGGCAAACTCGTCCTTCTCCTCCTTGATCTTGGCCAGCTTGTCTGCCGGCGCGGTGCACCGCTCCCACACCAACAGCGTCCTCGCCTTCTCTAGGTACTTGGTCCCCATCCGCTTGCTGCCGTTCCACAGGTAGATCATTTCGACCGCCGGGCTGACGGCCACGGCATCAGCGAGATCCAGCCCGACGGTCTTCGCGCGCTCCTCCCACTTCTGCAGCTTGCGGCTCACAAACACCTCGAACGGCAGCTGCCGCGCCATGAACCGCTTCTTACCCGCCACGGTGGGCGCCTTGCGCAGGTACTCCTCGGCGGCCTTCTTGTGCTTCTGCGCCTCGGTCAAGAGGACGCCCTTCTCCCTGTCGTCGTCGCCCAGCGCGGCCGCGGCGTGGAAAGCGTCGCGGTACAGCTCGATCTCGGCGCAGCCGGCGATGAAGTAGTAGAGCGCGTGGCTCCAGCTGTTGAGCTCGACGCAGCGCAGGAAGTTGTCGCGCATGGCGGGCCAGTCCAGCACGTACATGGAGCTCATGCTCAGCTCGAAGTTGTTGAGCGCCGTGATCTGCCGCATCTTGCTGTCCGTGTTGGCCTCCAGCCGCTCGATCGCCTCGTCCAGCCGCCGCGAGTTGGCCAGCACCCGCGCCTCCTCCAGCCGCCACAGCCGCGAGTCCGGGTACCGCTCGCGCATCGTCGCCAGCAGCGCCGTGCACTTCTCCTTGGGGTAGCTGACCGTTTCGACCTCGCTTTCGTTGCCGCCATGGGTGCTGCCGTCCGAACCGGAGACTGCGGGGTCGTCGACGCCTTCGTCCGGTGGGAGGATGTCGGCCATCCCGAGGAAGGTGTTGTAGTAGTTGAGGAGGACCAGCGCGGACATCGCCCCGTTAATGTTGGGGAACTTGGTGGCTTGCCAGAGCATTTTCAAGCCCCTGTCGCGGTCGCCCTTGAAGCCAATGACGTACAGAAGGCGGGAAAAAGCCGGAGGCACCATGGAAAGGATAAGGAGAAGAATGCCAAAGCACATGCTGGCGCCACTGTGAACGAAGACGTCGACGGGGGAACTGAAAAGGGCCTTGTCGGGACCGGATGTGTTGAGCTGCTCCAGCGCGTCACTACCGGGGGTTTGTGACCCGTTGCCCAGACGTTCCTTTGAGGCTGGCTGCGGTTTAACGTCCTCCGTCATGGCAACCCGACTTAACTTCTCCTCAAGCGCCGCCGTATCCTGCTGGGCCGCGGCTACATCGCCAGGAGCCTGCGCAGCGTCTTTCATTTTTTCCCCGGCCGATTGATCACCATTTTCCTTACTTACGGGTGTCTGTGTGTCGTCGTCGAGGTAGGAGAACTCGGACTCGTCAAACGTCCCCGGCATGGGGTCCTCTGAAAAGCTGCCTCTCTTTACCGGAGCCGTGTTCTTCACCTCTCCTTGCCCTATCGACGTCAAATAACGCCCCTCCGCCGCCATTATGCCGTCTAGCGTAACATATGCTTTCCGCAACTTGTAGAAACCTTTGATGGCCTCGGTCAAGCTCTCGTGCATCACTCCCACCACGGCGTTCATGAGCTGCGCCTCGGCATTGACGAGGGCAAATTCAGAACCTGGCGGGTATATCTTGCTCCGGCCTCCCTTCGCCGCGGCATCCGGGTCAACGACCGCGGGCTTCGAGTACCAGTACCCTGTGCCAGTAGCCGACCCATTGCCCGACTTTTCCGCCTCTTTCTGTGCTTTCTTGATGTCATTCCACGCTCTATTTTCCGTCTCGTTCAGCCTGTTCGCCGCCTCCGTCATGATTTCTTTCTCGAAACCGAGGATACTCCTCATGAAGCTCGTGACGCCCAGCCCCAATTGGTGGAATGTGGAAGCGTCCTCGCGCAAACGCAGCAGCGCTTCCGCGCCCTCGATGTCGTCGTTCATGATCAGCCCGGCGGCGGCGATCGCATCGTCCATGTCGCGAGCTTCTTGCTCCGCGGGGGAGATTGCGGGTTTTGCTTTGCCACCGAGGCTCGACGTGCTCTCGATTGGGCTCTGGCCGGGAGTCGCGCCCTTCGAGGAGGATTTGGAGCTCGCCGGAGCGGACGGGCCGCGGAACCACGAGCGGAGCGCCGACATGTTGCCTTCGAGTTTGTGTTCTTTGGTTCAGGCACGATGTCGGGTCAAGGAGGGTGGCGAGAAAGGGCAAGCGCGGCGTGGATGACGGTTTTAGGAGGCATGAAGGGGATGAATGGGGAAAAAGAAGGTTCGGATGACCCGACGGCGCCGGGCGCAATAAATATCGCTAAATACAGGCCGGCATCACCGGGTTAGGCGAGTCGTTCCAGGCTCCGTCAACCCCGTTGTTGGAGGCTGGTGTCGGTCTTCGTAACAACCTACCCTTGTCCTTGACGACGCCTCAATCCTGCGAGTAAAAGCTGACGACAAGACCAACCCCACCATGGATGTGAAGCTGGAGATTCGGCCGGGGCCAGTGCCCCGCTTACCGGTTACGATGGATGGAGATGACGGAGAGACGCCGGAGATGCATTTATCGGCTTGTCTTTCCTTTCTAGCTAGGGTGACCATTGGCTCCTCCTGCGAGGCAGGAATGCATGCGGAGGAAAGTGACATCAACCAAGCTTTTAATTGTTTCTTGGCGGGGACGCGTGGAGGGAATCAGTCCGAAGCGTTGTTGTGTGCTTGTCCTTGCAGGTTGCCACTCTGCAAAACCCCGACATAATTGCGGCAGGCGCGAAAAGTCACTGGACGAGGTAGGTTTATGGCATTCGTAAACACGTTCCGGGTTCCAGCAAGTAAAATAGGGCATGCGTTGGCTTCGTTTTTTACAGCAACGAAATATCTCCTTATCTTCGTAACTCAAAACAGGTCGAGTTCGAGAGATCGGCCATAAAAAGTTGTGCCTGGCATCGGACATGCGGCGGGTCGAACAGCCCGTCAGCCGCAAAGCCGGCCCCGAAGGGCAAGGGCCGTGCACCCAACAGTGATCGCTGCCCCACTAGCCTGGTCCGTGCGAGAGCTGCGGGTGTTGCCGCTCTCGAGCTGTGTCCCGCCTCGTGACGCCTTCTCACACTGGCAAGCTACACAGAATCGGACCCCATCAACCATCAACTTGGACCATCAACACAATCTCGCGCTCCATACCGACTAGCCCCTACGTCGATAATATCAAATCTTCGCTTCCTGCAATCACCGATATCTCGCAAAGTCGACCAGTCCGCCCGCAACTTCTGGCCAATCCGACGCGGCACTCGACTGCCTTCCACAAGATTCCCTGAGCTTGGCTAGGTACATACCGAGCCTGCGCATCCGACATCCCCAACCATCAAACAACCCAGACCCCCGTTCACAATGGCGGCTACGCAAAACACCACCCAGAAAGACGACAAGGCCGCGGCGGCGAACCCGGCCGAGCAGCAACAGGCCACCGAGTCGAAGCCGGCCGCGCTGGAGGAGGATGACGAGTTTGAGGATTTCCCTGTTGACGGTACGCCAAATCGACAACCTACTAGACGAGGACCCCAAACTCGTGATAGAGAGATGCTGACTGATGGTGCAAACAGACTGGGAGCAAGAGGACACAGAGGCCGCGAGCGGTAGCGGCGCGGCACAGCACCTCTGGGAGGAGTCGTGGGACGACGACGACACGAGCGATGACTTCTCAGCGCAACTCAAGTACGTTATTTCATACCCTTTGTTGGATTATCCCATCCTATCATGCACTCAACTAGGGGAGATGGTGCTGACAGATTCCGCAGGGAGGAGCTGAAGAAGGTGGAGGCGTCGAAGAAGCGGTGATTCCGGCAGCCTGGGAGGAAGCTGGATACGGCGACACGGTAGCACTTCAAATTGTATACCATAGACCGGCCCGTCGTTACACAAGAGCTGGCGGGCAGGGTGACGCCTGTGTGATCAAGGGAGCTGCGGCTGAATCCAACAGTAGACACCCGCACAGGGAAGCTTGGGTCACGCGCCCCGGACCAGACATATAGCGGGCATAACAATAGAAGCTATACCGTTGAAACAAGTTGCTTGGATTATAGATGCAGAGATCACGAGAATTGCGTCCAGATGTTTGCCACTAACGACTAATCACACAGATAAGGCTAATATTCATAGCATCGCCCTCCTAGTTCTGTTACTATGGCCGCGCAACCTCTCGCCCAAAACGTGACAACCTACTTCCGCTCGCTCAGCGCAACAACACCCGGCAATTCCTTGCCCTCAAGCAACTCCAAGCTGGCGCCACCGCCAGTCGACACATGGCTGAGCTTCTTCTCAACACCATACTTGGCCGCAACAGTAGCGGTATCACCACCGCCAATGATGACGATCTTGCCGCTCTCGGCAGCAGAAACCGCCGCGTCGAGCGTGGCCTTGGTGCCCGAGGCGAACTTGTCAAACTCGAACACGCCGGCCGGGCCGTTCCAGAGGATGGTTTGGGCCTCGTCGATGGCCTCCTTGTACAGCTTGATGGACTCGTCGCCGCAGTCCAGGCCCATCCAGCCGTCGGGAATGCCCGAGGCGTCGGTGGCCTTGCCCGTGTTGGCGTCCTTGTCGAACTTGTCGGCGGTGATGTAGTCGACGGGCAGGACGACCTTGACGCCGTTCTTCTTGGCCTTGTCCATCAGCTTGTCGACCGTCTTGGCGCCGGCCTCGTCGAAGAGGGAGGTGCCGATCGACATGTTGTCGATCGTCTTCTTGAAGGTGAAGGTCATGCCGCCGCAGATGATGAGCGTGTTGACCTTGTCCAGCAGGTTGTCGATCAGCTGGATCTTGTCCGACACCTTGGCGCCGCCCAGGATGGCCAGGAACGGCCGCTTCGGCGACTCCAGCGCCTTGGCGAAGTAGTCGAGCTCCTTCTTCATGAGGAAGCCGGCTGCCTTTTGCGGGAGGTCGACGCCCACCATGGAGGAGTGGGCGCGGTGGGCGGTGCCGAACGCGTCGTCTGTGAAGTTTCAGTAATGGAGGCAAGCTTGCCGCGCGGAACAGTGACAACGTACTGATGTAGATATCGCCGAGCTTGGTCAGCCCCTTGCGGAACTCCTCCACCTTGGCCTTGTCCGCCTTGATCTTGTTGCCGTCGGCATCGGTGCCCTTGCCCTCCTCCTCGATGTGGAAGCGCAGGTTCTCGAGCAGCACCACCTCGCCGTTGTCGGCCTTGTTGACAATCTCCTCGACCTCGGCGCCGACGCAGTCAGGGGCGACGGTTACGCTCTTGCCCAACAGCTTCTCGAGCTCGGGCACGACAGGCTTGAGGGAGTACTTGGTGTTGACCTTGCCGTCGGGGCGGCCGAGGTGGGACATGAGCACGACGGCCTTGGCGCCATTGTCGACGGCGTACTTGATGGTGGGGATGGCACCGGCGATGCGCTGGGGGTTGGTGACCTTCTTGTCGGCGTCGAGGGGAACATTGAAGTCGACCTGTGGTGGAGCTGCTATTAGCTTGGGGTATGGCCTTGCAAAACATAAATATCTTGGGGCCTCTCGGAACGTACGCGGATCAGGACCCGCTTGCCCTTGAGGTCGACATCCTCGATCGAAAGCTTGTTGGCCAGAGACATCTCGGCGGCTTTGCAGAGCAATTGGCGAGAATAAGAAGGTCTTGAGTGGAAATTGGGGATTGGAGACAAGCTTATCGTATTTTTCCGGTCTGATGGCAGGTAAAAAGACGCAGCAGCCAGCAATGTGAGCTGAACCTGTCGGGATGGAGGGGTAGAGGGGTAATAAAAGGTGGTGGGGTCACCGCGAAGCTGTGACGTCGGACGATGGTTGGCTGATCCCGCAGCTTGCTCTTGCTCGATGATGACACGAACGGTTCGGTAATTCGGGACCAGAGGATTGGGAATGTGTTGCTATCTTCTTCGCCGATAGGCAGGAGGATACAAGCGCGAATTACTGGACATCACCAATAAAATCCGAAATTTGACTATGATTTTTGCTCCCCAAAGCTCGCGCCATGGGGGTGGGCTTGGCCGACCGGGCGTTCAAGCTGTGGGACGCTGCTCAGCTCCGATTCTCGGCTAGTTGTCTGGTTTCGCCCGAAGAAAACGGAGAAACGAGCTTGAATAGATCGTACGACACGCTAATTTGGGGAGGCGACCGCAATTAATTGAACCCCCGTGAACTTTTTTGAAGTATTGTCCATAACCTGGGATGCAGGATCTAGAGAAAACCCTTCACGACTGGCACCAGGCGACGTGGGAACGGAAAGCAATCTGTAATAAGCAAGCGAGAGTCGGCAAAGCACAACGGCGTTTACTTCATGTATTGTTACAAAATGCCCTCGGAAACAGGGGAGCAGGCAGCCAAACGCCTTCCCAACTCCGTTCGCCGTCGTGACTGGCACGCAACCCGAGTCCCTAATCCGAGTTGCAATTTCTAGAACCGAGAACCGGAGTACCAAAAAGGAAAGAAAAACAGATGAAACGAACCATGCCATCCGTAGAGCTGGAAGGCGCAATTCGAATACCCAACGTTTTCCCGTCATAGCATTAACCTAGTAGCGCTGGCCGTAGCATTGTATGGGGCGGGGACACGCGCTTCAACCTCCCCGAGCCAACGATTTATGGAAGTCTGATGTCGGATCTCTCGGGGACGCGGTTCTCCTGTGCGTTCTCAGCCGCGTTGGAAAGCGATAGATACGCGGTCCAGGCAATTCCAACAGTCGATACGAAGGGCTAGAACAGGGCTCGTTGTCAGCGGAGTTCACGAAAGCAAAACCGGTTTTATTCTGGGATTAACTCACCAGCTGGAACTGCACCGGCATGAGCCGGAAGTTGATGACCTGCACAGCAGGCCAGAGCGCGTAGTTCGCCTTGAGCGTCGGCACATACATGTCACGCATTTTCTGGTACACAGCCCTCTTTCCGCCCCCCTCGGCGACCGTCATGGCCGTGAAGAAGCACGCAACGCCAAACGGCGCAAAGATGAGTTGGTCAAACGCCACTCGCTTCATGGCCGGCATGAAAGCGGCCGTCTTCGTAATGGGGAAGGCGCGCTCGAGGAACTTGAACCAGCGGAACTGGATCGGGGCCATGCAGAAGCCGTAGGCCATGAAGCGGGTCAGGCGTTCGAAGTCGAAGGGTGGCGGGAGTATCTTGGACTCCGGAATCAGCTCGCGGTCGCTGAAAGGGTTCTTGCGGTCGAGCTCGTGGATCTCGATGGCAAGGGCGTCGTCACGCGGGTTGAGGCGGCCGTTGGGGTGTTTGCGCACGGCGCGTTCCCGAATCGACGTGATGGTCTGCGCGACCGTGTCGGCGACGCCGCCGAGAATCGCGTTGGTCACCATCATGGTGAGCACTGCATTTTATGTATCGTCAGTATGTCACCGGGTTGTGGAAGGTCGGCGTTCGGGCGGTCGGCTGGGTCGGAAATTGGGGACGTACGAGGTCGCTCATCGTAGTATGAGTTGAACCGGCTGGTGAGCCGGGCGAAGAGGGCCATCTCGATAAAAAAGATGATCGCATGCAAGAGCGGCTGGAAGTTGACGCATTTCAGTTAGCGGTTGCCCACTGGAGTAAGTGACGGCGCGAGGATGGATGGGCGAAAAAGATGGAATTCGAGATGCAAACTTGAAGCTAGGAGGGGAACCCGGAAGAGCGCCAAGCGGCCCATGCGACGAGAGGGAAACGAACAGGGGAACACTCACGATTCGACCATAGATGAATCTGCTATTGAGCGTTCGAAACCAGCGACGGCGGGTTAACTCCCAAGACATGTTGAAGGTCCTGAGCAAAAAAAAATCGATCTGGGGCCACTGGTATCTGGCCGGCCAGAATCCCAGAGAAGTGGTCAAAATGTTGGCACAGGTCGATGACGAAAGATGGCACAGGGGGTCCTGCGATAGCGGCTGGGGCAAATGGCGTCCACTGATAGACAGGGCCCACAAGGTCGCGTGTCCCTGCGCTCACGGTTGGCTTTCGCTCCAAAGTCTGTAACTAATAAATTGCAATAGTTAATGGATGCTTTGGGGCAAAAAAAAGATAACGACAGACGTGGCAGGACAAGTCACAACAACAACCAAGCGCTCAAGGTGAGCTGCTGACGCTGAGTGAAAAGGTGAAGTTGGACAGTTCACCCTGATTGAGGCTGTGTTGCCGAGATGCCGGCAGCGCAAAAGGATGAATCGGATTCGCAACAATTCCATCCCCGACGAATCCGGGTGTTCGAAACCCGCTGCAACCCGCTCGTTTCGACCCAGAATCGCTGATCTCAAGCTGGGTTCCAGCTCATGGACATGTTTCCAACCTGCTATGTTAGGCACCTATTTACTTGCATCAGCAAAGCCGAGACCAAGCGTATTGCACGCAAGCCGTCAATCTCGATCAGGAGTCCCGAGCCATGGAAATTCGCTCCAATTCCCGTCGGGGTTGAAGTTGATGGAGGTGCGGATACCGGGTTAGGGTTACTCGAACATGTGGGCATCAGCATGAGGCCCATGCCATGAGACCATCCCTAAAGAGGCAGCATGTGTTTCGGTATGGGAAATCATTGTACGTCTATCGGTTGGTATGTTCGTAAGTATGTGTGAGAAAGCAGAGCTCAAACGAACTGAGTATGTACTAAAAATGCCAGAATGTAAACTCCGAGGGAAGCCCCTTTACACATTACTCCTCTACCCGCAACACATCACACCCCCCGACTCCAAGCTATGCTAGGTATGTACTAAAAACGCGCCGACAAAAGCCTCCCCACCAGTTTCAAAAAAGCCCTCACTAATCATACCTCCTCACCGGCATCTCAACGGCCGGCTGCCCCTGAAAGTACCCCGGCGGAGGCGGCACATTCCCCGGACCAGGCATCGGAGGCTGCTGCTGCGGCTGCTGCTGAACCCGCGCGTTCTCCGCAAACATCTCGACCCGAGTGTGCCCCTCGGTGGGGGCCTCGGCCGGCGAGGCCTCTCCCGCCGGCGCCTCCACCCACTCGCGGCCCGGTCCCATCTCTACCCACTCGCGGCCCTGTCCCATCTCCACCCGCTGTGGACCCTGCCCTATTTCCACGACGCCGCCCGTGTAGTAGTGTTTCGAATACTCCTCCGCGCCCGGCGACCCCGTCCGCAGTGCCGCGTACGGTAGCGCGTGCGCGTCAGACGGACTTCCGCCTCCTGCTTGGCGCCGCCGCCGCCGGCAGACAAAGATCGCGGCCGTGAGGATGAGCACGAGGAGCGCTGCCGCGCCGACGGCGATGCCTACTATCGCGGCTGTCGAGAGGGCGGGCTCGTCGGTGGCGGGTGGGTTGGTGTCGTTTGTGGCTGTTGAGCTGGGGGCGGAGGTTGTCGGGCCGGAGGTGGTGCCGGTGCTGGTGGTGGATGTTTCCGGCCGGTCGGACGCCTTCCACGCGAGCTGGATCATGGGCGCGTACAGGTTCATGGCGGGGACCCTTGCGTTGGGGATAGTGGTGAAGCCGAAGTTGTTGCTGGCCCCGTCCTCGCAGGAGACGGTCGGTAGGGTGGCGGAAGTGGCCCGCATGAGGCACGTCTGGCCATTCAGGTTGTCACACCTGAAGCCCTCCGGGCAGCAGCCCACAAACGTCTCTTCGGGTTCCATCTGGAACTGCACCTTCCACTGAGATGTCACGCCCTCGACCGCCGAGCATGCCGACGTATAACCTGCCGGGCATTCCAACCCTGGGGAGTAGAAACCCCTCCCGAACAACGGCAGCTTGGTCGGCTCGGGCGCCCCTTCCGTGGTTGTTGGCCAACACTCCGTGTTGTCCTCTACCGTCGTCTCCGCGCATGTTTGGCCCCACCAGGCGACATCACATGTTTCGCACAATCCAATGGCGATGGTACATGGCGCTGGCGGCGTGAAGACGGTCGTGAGAGGACCAAGGATAGTCCGCTCTCTGTTGGTATAGGCCATGGTCGTCTGCTCGCTTGCTCCTGGGTCTTTCGAGTCGTCTCTCTTGTCGCGATCGGTCGGTGTCGAACAGCGCTCTGCACTACCACTTAAACGCTAAAAGAAGGGCAGGTATGCGGAACACAAAAGATCCTCGAACTGGGCATCCACTGGGACAATCCTCACCTTTTCTTGGGGCGCCGAGACCCTTGTCGGTCAACAACGTTTTTCTTTCAGCTGGGGCCCCTCGTCCAGTCTGGACCACCTGGCTCCCGCCCGCCTTCAGACCATGTCGATTTCGGACTGGACGCCGGAGCTAAAATGCAGCTGGGTGTCTTGGCACATGGGTTCAGGGTCCCCATGCAACCATGCCGCTCCCATTCGCATTGTCTCTGGGTCGTGATTCGCCACTTAACCGCCCTCAGTCTTCCTTCAACTGCGAGCGCGGCTGTGCGACTCGAGCCTGGTCGAGTTTGCTGCAGGAAAAAACATCAGGATCAGGAACGAGGCATCTCAAGTTGAGCATGGCAAAAATCCCAGACGCCACGCGGCAAAGCCCTGACAGCAGTCGCCGAATTAAGCCTCGGTCCCCCCTTACCCTCGACCCACTCCCGCTTCGCTGGCTCTTCTTCCCCAGCTCGTTCGGTCACGTCTACATGGCGGGAGTGGATCCAGGCGTTGGGCAGGAAGTTAGCTGCCAAGTCGCTTGCCCTCGGCGAGCGAGTGGTGATTCCCAGCGCCATGGTGGCTATCGCGGCTATCATGGGCCGGGGAACGAAGGGTGTCATTGCGTTGAGAAGACCGCCCCTGAATCATGTGCGGAAGCCATCTCCGGCGCAGCTGACGTGAGAAGTTCGGTTTCGGGGATCAGCCTTCACTGGCCCTGCCAAGAGACTAACAAAAACAAGTCGGCGTCCATCTCTTGGTTGACATTCAGCATTTTCCCAAATGGGAAGCCATGCCCACACAAAGCAGCTTCACAAAAGTCGGACGGGATGGGCAAGGCGGGTTCAGCTCAACCTAAAGTGATCGTGGTACTCGGCGGCCCACCCGAGTCTGGTCTTCTTGTTGGCGGCTGCAGACTCTTCCATGATAACCGAGGCAGTTGGAAGACCAAAGTCTATTTTCTTCACACTATTTAGTTGTAACACCTACTATCACACACCCCTTTCCCAAGTCTCCCCCTACTTCTTGGGAGTGCATTCCTTTTTATGGCGCTTCCAGTCCGCTCGCTGGCACGCCCGGCCACAGTACTTGACCTTCAAGCACTTGGCGCAGCTCTTCAAGTCTTCACCATTCTTTGACTTTTCCTCCCCACAGTTCCGGCATCCACTAACACCGTTGTTACGCCCCTCCTCCTCCTCCTCCAGGTGCTCATCTCCTGGTGCAGAAGCGATATCCTGAATCCTCGGGATCACATCCTCGGCCAGCGCGCTGGGGAACAAGGGCGAAATGGCCGCCCGGACACAGTGCTTCTCGAACATCCCCCACATGGGCAGATCCGCGCCCCAACCCTCCGGAAACACCCCCTTCCCACACCCACACACCACCTCCTCCCCCATCTCAACCGACACCGGCGCCCTCCACACCCCATCCTCGGCGCGGTAATACTCACACCCCTCCTTATGCGCCCACAACCCACCACGACAGCGCTCCACCCACGCGGGGAGCACCTCCCTCCACAACCGCATCTCCTCCCCATCCACCATCACCACCACCCCGCCCGTATCCATCCTCATCAACCGTCCCACAAACCCCCCAAGGCTTCCCGCCACCCGCTCCGTCATGGCTAGAACCCCACAATCCAACACCACCGCCCTTCTGGCCAGATCCAGCCTCATGTCCCCCACAAACACCAACACATCCCCCGCCGTCGCCGTCGCCGCCGCCGTCTTGTCCCGCAGCACAAATACCCGCTCCCCACGCCTCCCACCACCACCACCACCACCACCACCACCCCGACCCCTCGTCTGACCGGCGTCGCCGCGAAGAGATTCCAGCCCGGAGGACTGCAACAGCAGGGCGTGCAGCGACTCCTTGAGTGCGACGCGAGCAAGCTCGGCAGGGGGGGCGGCCGAGGGGTTGCGGCGCAGGCGGAACTCGCGCGCCGACAACATCTGGATGCTGTGCATGTGGAGGAAGGATAGGGTGGTGGAGGGGTTGGTGGTGGAGATGCGCGGGTGGCTGGATGGGGAGAGGGTGGTGTAGGGGGTGGTCCAGCAGATGGGGTTGTTTGTTGGGGTGGTGGTGGTTGGGTTGGTGGTGTTGGGGTTGGTGTTGGTGTTGGTGGTCGTGGGGGGTGGGAAGAGGGGGGCGGTGAAGGTTGCCGAGGGCGCGGCGGCGGCGTTGGGGATGATGGTCGCGGCTAGCTCGATGTAGCCGGTCTTGCGGGCGATGCGGGTTTGGATGGTGTTGGCGAGGACGGGGAGCGGGAAGGTGAATGTTAGGGGGGCTTTGCCGATGGTGACTTTGAAGACGTACGGGGAGAGCGGGGTGGTTTGGACCGTGGCGCCGTTGGTGAGGGATGTGCGCAAGTCGCGGGCGATGAGATTGGTGCGGACGGTGAGAGACGTGATTCTCGCAGTCTGGGGGTTGGTGTGCGCCGTCGTGGATGTCGTCATGCCCGAGTTGATCTGACCCTGAGGAGTGAAGGTGTCGGTCGTGAAACCTGGAATCACAATGGTGTCCGTCAGATTTGGGAGTTCCCTCGTGATGTACACGTTGTTAAGGTCCCCAATTGTCGTGTTGAACAAGCACGAATCCATCTCGAGGACCGTAGGGGGGTGCTGAATTGCAAAAGACACGCGCGTAGTTTGTGGCTCGTGGAGGAGGGTCCAGGACGGGACCCTGAACGAAACATGCAAGGGGGAATCCCCATGCCAACCCTGCAAGTCCTCCTTGATGGTGACCGCGAAGGAGTTGGTGAAGCGCGACCCGTTCGTAGAGAGCTTGCCGAAGCCGAGTTGTACCGCGGCATAGTAGTTTTCCCATGGCAGAGGGTGTCTGGGAGAGCTCCGCATGACGGCTTGCACAAAGGGGGTTCCTATATGATGAAACGGGGGTTTTGTCATTGGCTCAAGCGCGGACCGTGGCACCTTCAACGTGATGCAGATGGAGGATGGCATGTCCTGCCAACCTGCCAGGCCGGAGCCGGAGGTTGGCCCGGAACCCGTCATTGCACGGAAGCCGGGGAAGTTCTTGAAAGTGTCAACCGAGTGAAGGCCCAGAAGGTGCATGTATAGATACAGCTCCTGGAGGTAGTGGTGTCCCAGCACCAAGTCGCTCTTAGACTCGATATGTGAGAGCAGCCGGTCCATAGCGCTGTCCCAGCCCGTCACAACGCGCCTCTTGACGAGCGAGACCAAAGCCAAAAAGCCTAGGCGGCTGTATGAAGGGAGCGGAATGTCCTGGTGTGACCCAAGAGTAAGGTTTGCCACGAATGTCTCCAGTCGCTCAAGCGGGAACATGTCAACATAAACCTGGTAGAGAAGCGCTGCCAGCTCTCCCTCGTCCATGTGCAGAGGATCCAAGCGCGCGCCTGGGCCCAACGGCGGGCGCTTCCATGTGATCCTGGAGTGAATATTTGTCTTCTCCGGTTCCGTTGTTGAGTGCCCGTCCCCGATTGCGTCGGCCAGCTGTTCGTCGCCGACGGATGAAGAGGCGGTATTTGTCCAATACTCAATAGGAAACAAGCCTAAGAGCAGCGACGTGGTCGCGAGGTGGCCGCCAACCAGATTGTCGAGGTGCTCTTGGTCCGACTTGGCCTCACGCCGAACAATGGTCTCGGTATATAGACTGGACGAGGCATCACCGTCAAGAAGCGGCGAGGTGGCGACGAGCAGGTTGAGGCCGCGGGAGTGGTCGAGGAGGTTCGACGTGTCGATGACGTTGAAAGAAACGGGGGCAGTGCCGTCGATCTTGTAGTCATCTTCGACAAGGACGAGCGGCTCCATGGTGTCATGTCGGCTGCGATAGTAAAAGGCGGTCGTGGCTGAACCGGTAACGCGCCGATGCTGAAGTGTGTGACAGAAAAGCACAGCGTCTCCGCAAAAGAAACGGAGGGTCAAGTCATGTTGCGCCCGTCTTCTGAACGTGTTGCTCCAATCGGAGAATTCCGCCTGGGCAGTTGTCACGATGTCTTGGAGCTTCGGTTCGCCAGAGACAGCCCGATGCAAGGAGGAGTCGGATGCAGGGGGGATGTATGCGGCAGACAGGTGGTATCCAAGCAATGGGTCCGAACCGTAGTGAAGTTTGACGGCGGGATCCGGAGACGCAAACAAGGGGTTCGCGAACGTGGCTTGGGAGCGAATCTTGACATCCAGATGGAGGCTGCCGTGTTTCCAGAAGTGTTGGTGGAGGTTGTTCAAGTCCAAGCCAGCGAGCATGCCGGTAGGGGTGGCGGATCGGAGGCCAGTGTATGTGAACTGGGCCTCACCTACCTGACGCTTGCGTGCATTGACGGCGTTCTGGAACGTCTGCTTCATCCAAAGCTGTTTGTCGGCAGCCGCAGAGATGTAGAAGGCCCAGGCCCTCGCGACGCGGGCGAGGGTTTCCTTGTCGCAGAACCGGATCAGCTTGCCGTATTCCCCCGCGCGCCATGTCTTGAGGCTGGTAGCCAAGGCGTGCAGTTTCTTGACTTGGTCCAGCAGCCGGTCATTGCAGGCTTGGTCGAGGAACAAGTGGTAGAAGATGTTCCAGTTGTCTCCGCTCTTCTGACCATCGGCGTCGTCGAGAATGAGTGCGAAGAGCGTGATGTTTCGAGCTATCGGTGTGTTAGTATTCGGTCGGGGAAAGGGGGGGAATTGCTAACCTATGATTGTGCTTTCAACGTCACAACAAGTGATGTCCATCGGGCGAGGTCCTAATCCTGGTTAGCAGTGGAAACATCGACTGTTGCCCCAGGCTGCTTACCATCGCAGTGGGCGGTGAAGAGGATGTTGCGGGGATCACCGCACGCAAGCAGCAGGATGTCGGCCTTCTTCTCCGGTGGAAGTCCCTGTGTCAGGGACACAGCGGGCGTGTTGCCGATGGGGTAGAAGTGAAACCACAAATTGGCATAGGTCGGGGCTAACATGGTGATGGTAGGGTTGGAGTTGTGTTGAGTTGTTTCTGAATGGAGGCGGGGTTGAGTGAGCGGACGATGGGGGATGGTTGAGAGGATGGAATGAATCCGGCAAGGAGGTTTGAGCCCTTAAGCAGTCAGTATTTCCTTCAGGCATGGAAAATTCAAGAGCGGGAATCAAGGGCAACAAACCGTTGCACACTGTGTACAAACAAACAGACAAGGAAATTTGGCCAGTCAGGCTCCTCGAAGCCGTTTGCTGTTTCGCCTGGGATTGAGGCCTGCTGCCAAACAACGAAAAGCTGCAAGTTCCCTACGGCTAGACCCTCTCGACCACTTTCCAAACGGCACCGCCCACTCTAACTTCATCATCGAGAGTGGTCTCATGGGCGAGATGAGTCGCAATCTCGGTCGGCAGCTCCTGGTCCCCAATCCGGAACTGTGTCACCCACCACTGCTGCCCGGCATCCCACCTGAGTCTTTCAACAGTGATGCTGTCGCCGTCCCGGGCAAATGCCTGACAGTACTGGCCCAATCGGACCACCAACCCCCGTTTGACCCTTTTCTCCGGCCCCTCGTCGGTCCCCGTCACGCTTTCCATCCGTAATGCGAGGCAAGTAACCTTTCCGTCGCTCCCGTCAGGTGCGGGCACCGTCTGTATTGGGTCAGACCGCCATACCTCCTCATAATCCGTCTCCACGCCGGTGGCCGGGTTCAGCATCCGGCCCGTTTCCAAGGTCAGGCTGGGGTCTGAGGGGTCGTCAAACATGTCGCCCTCATCCACGACGCCGTCGCAATCCACCACCCGTGAATCAATCCAGTGGGCCCATTGAGAGTGTTTAATTTCTTGCCCCTGGTCTCCCTTTGATGGAATCATGGATGATGACGACGTGCCAGCGATGGCCCAATCTAAACGGGAGAGCGGGAGTGTGACATGGTCTGTCAAGACGGCTATGAGCATATTGCACGCCTGCCCCCTCATCGGACCGGAGAGGGGAGGGGAGTGATGAGGCATGGGAAGCCGCAGACTCACCCTTGCCGACATTGACCGAGGAGCCAGATTCCAGAATACGAAGATCGACAAATCGACGGTTGGGCGTTGTCAACACGATGGTCGATGTGGGCTCGCTAGCTTCTTCCGGCAGCCAGCGGATGTATTCACGGATGGAGATATCACACATTGTGATCGTGGGTTAAAATTTACTGTGAGAAGTCAAAGTTTTGAGCTTGAATGGTGCGGGGAAGAAGGGGATTCAAGAGAATGCATCAATCAATGGGTTGTGGATTGCGCTATCATAGCCCTAACCCTCGCCCGCCCAGCCATCAATTTACCCCCTGAGCCCCTGAACTTCATCCAGTCTTACAGTTGTGAGTTGTCGAGAACATGACAAAACTGGGAGTTCTGGTCCAACTGCCTTGGTGAAACCGAGATAAGACTAAAATATTCTGAAACAGATAGAATTTCCGAATCTGATTTCACACCCCCTTTCTTTTAGACTCGCGTCAAGCTCACTGATTCACTGTTAACCCCCCCTAAGCAACGGGCAGGTTGCAAAGGCATTCACTGGCTGGTAGATAAGAATGCCACAAGCCGTGGTGTTGCGCATTAGAGAGTACCACGACTTGTGGCCCTCAGAATCAGTCATCCTGCACGGGAAAAAAATATAATCAGCCGGTCACCGCGGCGCCGGACTGCCCGGAACGCCTGACAAGCGGCTACTCGCCCAGTTGTCCTGGCCCCAGTCAACGTCTTGGCGGATAATGTTTCCTGTTTCGGTTAAGACTCGAGTCTGGGCTCGACGTCATGTCGCAACGAGGACGACACTGCGGCGGGCGATGACGAAGGCATGAATGAATCGGGGGCGATACGGTATACCGCGGAGATGAAAAGCAGGGGGCTTTTGAACATCTCACCGAGATGCGTTGAAGAACTAAGAGATGGGTGCACAACCGGTTGTTTGGTCTTGCCATGGCATCTAAATTGATGATCTAACGCTCTATTTCCCAAGCTTGCTACTTTTAATGCTTTATGCGCCCTCAACTGTGATAAATTAACTGTACATGTGTACTTTCCATTTTCCCTTGCCTCCAACCTGACAAGCCCGTAGTTATCGTCGTAAACCCCCACCGCCTAGTTAATCTCAACCGCTTTGCCAGGCTTCAACCAGCGGACGCTGTCCAACACGCCCTCCGCCTCAAACTCCTTGAACAGCCCCTCCCCATTCTGTGTAAAGTGATCCCAGGACTCATAGTGCATCGGCACAAGGACATCAGCCTTCAGATCCCGGAACAGCCGCGCCGCCTGCCGGCCATCCATCGTGATCTCCAACCCATCAAAAGTCGCCTTCCCCAGGTTCACCAGCGCCACAGCAACATGATACTTATCCGCCACCCTAACCAAATCATCCCGATACACGGTATCCCCCGAAAAGTAAACCGCATTCAGCCTACCATCCGGCGCAACCCCAAAGTCCTCAGCGCGCACCACAAACCCCACGCACTCATGACCAGGCCAGTGGGTGCACGGCGTGGCCGTGACGGTGAACACTTTCCCCGCGATGCGCACCTCGCGCTCCTGCCAGTCGGCGAAGCCGAGCACGCCCGGGCGCGGCGCCAGGTTGCGCGCGCCGTCCCGCGTGGTGACGACGCGGCGCCCGTCCAGCAGCCGGCGGCCCGGCTCGTCCAGGTTGTCCGGGTGGTTCTCGTGGCTGAGCAGCACGGCGTCGATGGGCGGGAGCTGGTCCGGCCGCAGGGCCGGGTCCTCGTAGGTGTGCAGGGTGTGGCCCGCCTCGGCGGGGAAGGTGGTGCCGGCGGGGGAGAAGAAGGGGTCCGTGAGGAAGGTCACGCCGTCGATGTCGAGGATGGCCGTGGCGGTCCCGATGTGGGTGATGGTGACTTTGTTGGTGAAGGTTGAGGCGGACATGGTGGGCGGTGTTTATTGAAAGGCTTGCTTTGATACCAGACGCAGTAAAGAGTAGAGTAGTGCTGGTACCTGCCAGTGATGTTGGGAGGGAAGGGTCTCTTATAGCTTAGGACTTGCCACCTAAAAAGTGGTTGTCACAACTTGGCGCTGGTATTATTAATGCGCCATTTGGCGTGACTCGTTGCTCTGTGGGGGGCGGGGATTCAAGGCATATCGCCTGGCAGGAAAGGAGGGAGAACAGTAACATGTCCCTGCTCAGCCCGGAACCCGAGGTAAATTTGACGATTGGTAATTAAGGGTAAAATGAGTCCACAACACAGCGCTGGCGTCCATATTTCTTTTTTCTTTTTCTATTTTGTTGTTTTCCCTTGAGGTATCAGTCTTGCTCGTACCTGTTTCAAAAAAGGGGCCACAGGAACCGACGGCGTGTTAGTCTCCTCGCATAGCTACTTCTTGCTTCAGAGAAGCCACAGCAAATTTAGGTAGAATACCTAAGGTACCTAGGCAACCCGGCAGTTCCAAATGGACCTTACACAGAACATTAGTAATAAAGACAGGTAGGGAGGTAGGGAGGGATGGTGCAGCTCATCGAGAGCCCGGCGCTATACCCCATAGAGTCACATATCCCGCCAAGACAACAGCCCCTGGTCCCACAGCCGTGAAGTTCCCCGAATTGGGCGAGTTTCAGGAGAAATCAACAGACTTCACGGACAGGTTGCCACTTGTGCAAATTTGTAAGGACCATAAAATACCCATGGCTCTACGCATCTAGATTTTAACTTGAATGGTATTTGTCAGCTCCAAACAAATAAACCCACCCTCGCTTTACGGGATAAGCCCGAGTTAAAGTAGTTCATCCTTGTCTAACACTGTTTTCAACTTCTTCGGCATTCGGTATAAAACCACCCTCAGCAATATATACTACGACTTCGGCCATCCATGTTATTACCATATTAAACAATTTAAAGAGTCTCCCCGGGAAGGCCTTGAATATGACACGTCGTCTACTGATTTAATCAACCCGATTGTGCTATGGACGACTGTCACCTTCGCGGTGGGCGACTTGATCGTCCCGTGAACGGGACGGGAGAGAGACCGGACGATCAGGCGATAGCTGAGGCAGGTTTACCAGCAGCTCCACTGGAATTAGTGGTCTCAGGTGTACCGAGTATGGCCACACTCGCGGAACATCCTTCAACACTTGCGTCTGGCGCACCGCCAGACGGCGGCTGGGCGGCTTGGATGTCTGGTAAGTCTTGCTCTGAAGACACTCCTCCACGAATCTAACAGCCCGCCTTCGACAGTTCTCGCTGGATTCCTCGCAATCATGAACACATGGTTCGACCTACCCGCATTCTTGCCCTCCCCAAACCCAAACCCACTAACACGAACTCAGGGGCTTGGTCATCTCATTCGGTGTCTTCCAGACCTACCACGTCACCAACCTCCACCGCCCCCCCTCGGACATCTCCTGGATCGGCTCCATCGCCGTCTTCCTCCTCTTCTTCGGCGGCGTCGTGAGCGGCCGCCTCACAGACGCCGGCTACTTCCGCAGCACCATCTCCACCGGCGCCTTCCTCATCGTGTTGGGGACGTTCATGACCTCCCTATCCGAGACGTATTGGCAGCTTGTCCTCGCGCAGGGGGTCTGCATAGGGGTCGGCAACGGGCTCCTGCTCACGCCCGTGAGCGCGGTGATTTCCACCTACTTCAGCACCAAGCTGCCGCTTGTTATGGGCATAGCCGCGTGCGGCAGTGTGACGGGCGGGCTTATCTACCCGAGCATGGCCAGGACGCTGCTGGGGAGTGTTGGGTTTGGGTGGACGATGCGGGCGATTGGCTTCATACAGCTGGATACGCTGGCCGTGGCGGTTGCCGTGATTACGCCGAGGCTGGCGCCAAAATGGACGGGTGCGCTCCTGGACTTGAGTGCTTTCAAGGAGCCCGAGTTTGTCTTGAATGCCATCGGTTCTTTCTTGGTGAGTCACCCATCACTGCCGTCCCGTTTGATCACCAGAGAAAGTACTGAGACCAGAGCAGGCTTTCCTAGGCGTTTTTGTCCCATTCTTCTACCTATCCTCTTACGCGAGGAGCGTCCAGGGGATGGAATACACTGAGTCTCTGGACCTCCTGCTGGTTCTGAACGGAGTGGGCTTCGTCGGCCGGCTGCTGCCCGGTTTCGTCGCGCGCTACGTCGGCACGTTAAACGTCTTCCTTACCTCACTACTTCTGTCCGCCTTAGCAATGTACGCGTGGATCGCCGTGCACTCGACTCCGGGACTTTATGCTTGGACCTCGTTTTACAGCATATTCGTCGGGGGCGTCCAGTCGCTGCTCCCGGCGGCGATATCGGTATTAAATCCGGACCTTCAAAAGCTGGGGTCGCGGATGGGGATGATCTTCGCAGCTGTCGGAATCGGGGCCCTTATTGGGTCGCCAATAGCTGGTATTCTGATATCAGAGCGCGGCGGCTCGTACGTGGGCGCGCAGGCTTTCTCGGGGAGCAGTTTGGTAGTCGGCGCTCTGCTGATCTTCGCAGCGCAAGAAGTTGGGAGGCGGAGGAAGAAGGCCGTGTAGCCGATATGCTACATGCGTGAGGTTTGTGATAGGAGTGGTTAGATGGAGCTTGGAAGACAAGGAAAGGAAGGAATAGAAGAAAATTGTTACATTAATTACCTAGGTAGAAAGCGGCTTCTATGTACTAGTATTCTCCCACGTATTTGAAGTCTTGGGATCGATAAACACGAAAGAACCACCCTCGACTTTCTACCGCTGAGCTCCTGATCTTCGGTATTCACCGGTGAGTTGATTGTGGCTGGGAAAGAACAAAAGGATTGCAAAACAGATGGATTTGCCGAATATGAAACGATAAGTTCCGGGCCCCCTTATGGCCCAGCCTGGAGTCGAATTCACTGCTCAACGCTCAAGTAATACTTGACTTCACATCAGATAGATTAGGCTTCGCAACAAGAAGCCCGCCATTATGCGTCCGCCTGGAGTGATGCCTGTCGGTGTGGCTAGTTGGATCTCGCCCGCGGTGCCGTGCAGCGTCCAGGTTAGGGAGGGGGTGCCGGGAAAGGGCTGGCCGCGGCGGAAGTGAACTGCGAGGGTTGCCGGTCGGGTCCCCCCGCGGCGTTGGGGGTGGGGGTGGTGACGGAGCCTGTGAGGTGGTGTGTTACCGTCTTGAGCTGGAATGGTTGTATGATATGTTCTGGCTCAACTACCGTGGAGGGAGACGAGATCGGGGACTTCGAACTGGATCGTCTCGACGATTTGGTCGTTGCGTTCCGGGTCCCGGATCCTCATGTCGGGCCGCTGCAGTTGGGTGCGTGTGCGCAGTTTCCGGGGTGAGCTCGCCTACCGCGGACTGGATGAAGTCGATGACTGAATACCTAGGTAGGTAGCAATGCACCGGTCAGTTGGAGAGGGACAAGTATCAATGACCGATGGAAACGCACCGTGGCCCAATCCGATGGTGATCGGGTTGCCTCCAACGGCAAGCTCAGCAAAGTACTTCAAACCAACCGGCAGTATCTCCCTGTCCTTGGAACCCCCATAGACCTGGAACTCACTGCTCAGCAATGTCCCCACCACACCGCTTTGCAGAAGCTCCTTGATCTTCAGCACAGGTGGCGCCCATCGGCCCTGCAGTCCGACGAGAGGCCATTTAGGCCGACGCGGAGTGGTGGGGCGGGCGCTATTCGGAGATGACGGATTTGAAAATGTGAGTTTCAGTCAGTAATTAATGGTGAAGGGGGAGGGAACGGATTCCGGGTTGAGCTGGAGTGAGACAAAGCATTGTACCACAAGGAATCTAGCCCCTTTTACTCTCGTAGACCCTTCAGCCCGCAGCCAGCCATGTCCGAGAGTTTACTCCACCAGGGGGGGACGGACATCAATCATCCGGAGTTCGAACCGCTTTGCGGGTATTAACCAATAGTGGCTGGAATTGTTTCAAATTACGCCTGCGGACTTCTACGTAGCAACCTAGGTACCTAGGTACCTACCTAATTATAACCAACCTGGTGGATAACAGATTCGGGCATGGCTCGGAGTCCGATGCGATGCCAGTGGCAGTACATAGAATTCGAAGCCAGTTGGATTATGCTAGCTGCTCGTAATTGATATTCTGTTACATGGTCTCCAAGGCAAATCGACTGCTCTCACCCTTTGCTTCTGCCTTGGAAGCACACCACCACTCTTACACCCCCCGATCCATTATGTTCATTGGCCGTTATTGCCCTGACTCTTTCGCTCACAGGTCATCGCCCTCATCCCCCAGCAAGTGCTCAGGCCAGCCATTGACTCTCCCTCCCGGAAGGTTGATGTGGACCTTCTGGGCAAACAATCTTGGCCGCATCAGGGCCGCACGTTTGTGCCAACGGTGGTCGTGTTGGGAGTGACACCTGCGCCGGTGGTGTCCCCGCGTCGGACCGGCCAACGTCAACATTGTCCCCCGACTGGTAGCTAGCCATCACCGTGATGAGGATCTCTTGGGGCGGAACAGGAATGATGGGGACTTGGTATAAAATCAATGAGGTCAGGTACTAATGATGTCCGTCGCGGTGGCCGTAGACTGAAATACTGGCTGGCAGCAGTAGTTAATTTAGACCGGTTGGAAGCTTCAACTCGCCGCTGGAAGACGCGTTTTCGGCCTTGGGATCGTCAAACGCGGATCACGCCATTATCCAGGTCTTCTCCGGTATCAGGTGCGAATTTGGCGTGCATGCCGCCGATTGTCACCCTGCCATACATCACCGGGAGGCATGGCTAGGATACGGCCGGTATGGGAGGCTGTCTTACTCCGATCATGCTCTCGGACTTGTATGTAAGGCCTTCTTTCTGCTCGTGTGATATCGGAGGAGCATGCGCGAGGTATGACAAATACAGTGTTGTGTCACCAATGACTGGGCAAGCCACTTCGGAGGAAACTGGTCATGTCCAACTGCCCCTGCATGATCTGTACATGCACTACCGCCGAATGCCCTCCATGTGCAGAGGTCACACAAGATCTGTGTTACCCCACATCGCTACTTGATTCATGGATTGTGTATGTACATGTACAATATGGTGTGTACCTAGAGATATGCCCATGTTGAATGCTTGTAACCAACCCAAAGAACATCCGCAACTCTATTCAGGCTTCTGCGCGACCACAAAGTTCATCCTGGGCGCATATCCGAGTTCGAGAGTCTCAGCGTGCAAGTTGACCATCAACTCGTCGAACTCGGCCTTGTTTCGAAGAACACCCGGAATGCCGCCCTCGGGTAGCAGTGCCCCCAAACCTCGGAAGGTGTGAATCCACATGTCGACCGACCGTTTCTTCCACTCGGGGCTCTTGGCTAGGGCGCCGTATCCTAGCGTGAACTGCTTTTTTTGGACGTTTTTAAAGCCAGCTTCTTTTAGTAATTCCTCCAGCCGGTACGCCACGAACATGTCCTTGCCGAAGTTTTCGGTGCACCACCACTGCATGCGGTACATCTTGTCCAGGTTGGGGTGGGTTACCGGATCAAAGGGATGGTCACGTTCCACCCACTGGCCTTCGACAAGTTGGATCCAGCCCCCGGGCTTCACGAGCGAGAAGTGGTTCTTGACCACTGTGGCCCACTCCGATTTCTGCAGTCCCCACATCAAGAGCCTCTGGTGGACGAGGTCGAACCCCTGCTCCCAGGAGGGTTCCGGCGCAGTAGGAGATCGAATGTCGAACTCGCGGAGATCCAGGGAAGCTTGAGGGCCAGCGTTGGGCGGGAAGAGAGAGGATCCGATGTCGACCCCGTGGAGGGACCATTCGTGCTGCGGATATAGCCGGGGGAGATCCAAGAGCCATGTGCCTGAAGCAGGGAGTGCGGGTTAGAGCTATGCAGAAAGCTACAGGCCGACTTCGGTTTCTTCTTACCATCGGACGCGCCGCAATCAAGGACCTTGATTTTGGACTGCTTCAGGGGCGCGGTCACCAAGACGTCACCGGTAGAGAAGAGAATAAGGGCGTGTTGCTCCTTCAGGCGCTCTATTTCTTTGGCATGGTGAGGGAGAAGATAGGTCCCTTCTGTGCCTGTGAACAGGTTGGTGACGTCCTTGATCTCACCGGCGGTTGCGGTTTGTGCTACAGCCATGTTTCTGCTGGATAGGTAGGATATTAATATGAAGGAATATTCTTTTGGGCAAGCAGACTATTTGGACGTTTTCAAAACCTAGGCGCCGAGGCGAGAAGCAGTATTAAAGAGTTCGGCGGTTCGAAACTGGCAATATGATGACCGACAGATAACTTCCAAGCAGCTGTTCCTATTATTCACGGATAGTAGCCCATCGTGGGGAGTGGTACGTACTGAGGTCTCGGGGACCGGCCTCTGAAGTCGCTAACGTTAGGTCCCAACAAGGAAACTTGTTGGGACCTCCGCATTAGCTGAACTTTGTCTCGTTGAACTTCTTGGCCTATCAGTCCGACACGGTGAGCGGTTAGCCAGCAGCCAATTTCGAAGGTATACACCCTTGTCGTTAGCGGAAAAAGAAAGACATTGACTCAGAATCTCAGACAAACAACGATGTCTCTGAGTCAAGCCAATCCGTCAAGCTTTGGCGGGCTCCTGGAGAGTCGGAGTATCATCAACTCCGTCGACGCCGAGGTACATACAACAAAAGCAACAACAACAACCACTTCCACCAACTACACGTGGCAACGAATCGCTTTCGTCTTGGCGCATCCACCCCACGAGACTTGGTGCGCGAGATTGCCATCCTACTCATCACCCAACTGGGACCTGATGGACCCCAAGATGCAAACTCACGGGCCATTCTCATGGACGGCCTGCGCTCCAGCCTCTCCCACGAAGGCCGCGAAACGACACTCCCGCTTGCCGACTGGAATAGCGGTGAGCCTTCAGACCTGACGCGGCACATTCTCCGCATTGGAAAGGCGCTGTTTCAGTACGCCAGCGAGGCAAACCATATCGTCCCTGTCGACCCGTCCCTCACCGTCTACAGCCCCTGCGAGGGCCACAAATGGGTTCCGCCTGCGGGCCGGCTTCTGCGCAGCCAGCTTTCCCGCGGCGCATTCTTGGAAGTGGCCAAAACGCTCACAGCGCCGGGCCTAACCGCGGGCGGCTATGGATTCCAGTCTGACAGGGGTGTTGTGCTTCCAGCGGCCGTGTTCTCAGGGACCGCTTCCCGCCTTCTCCTCCGCTACAGCCCTGCTCGGCTCATACCTGAACACAGTCAACAGCCGGTGCTTTTCGTATCTGGGTCTGCATTGGAAGCAGCTGCGACTGTGGAAATAAGTGATTTGGGATTGTCTTCCGCGCCGACGGAGTTCCCGCGGAATACTTCCATCACATTCGAGAAGACACAGGACAGTGACGGGGAGCAAGTTCAGTATTCTCTCAAGCTTACAGCAACCCCTGACCAAGACAAGCCTGATTTGTCGGTCGATATTGGTCATGTCGTTCACGGTGTGGATGATGTCACGGGTGCATCCGAAGAAGAGGAGGAAGCCGTAACGGCCAACAACATGAGCAGGATCTACGAAGCATCTAGCGTGCTGCTGGCTGGGCCACATGTTATGCAAAACTCGTCCGCGAACCCGGCCATCATCCGTGATACCGAGGAAGTCGATCTCCTAGCTCTGCTTGGCAAGCTGGATGCTCGAGCGGTTCGTTTGAGCGGACGGTGGAAAAGGGGGGACAGAAAGCCTCTCAGCCTCCATGGAAGTAGGGCCGAATCGCCTCAGTTCTTAATTATGTCGTGATAGAACTGAGATCAGGGGGATCAAGGGCTACATCCCGAATGAAACTGGACAGCGTACGTACTTAGGACTCCTATCTCCTTTCAGCCATCAATTCATTGGGTACATGGTCTAGTGGTATGATTTTCGCCCCGCACTAACGTGCTTCAGTGAAAGGTCCCCGGTTCGATCCCGGGTGTATCCATCATCTCAACCTCAGGGTTAATTAAAACTTTTCTTTTGGTGTATTCCCAAACTCATGTTATTTTTATTAACTCCCTAATATATGGTTAAAACGTCCCGTGTTTTCACACGGATCAAGTCGGAGTTGTTTGGTCGTCCACAGTCCATGCCCGAGGCTGGTCGGTTTGCGCGCGCCAACAATGTGGCCCGCCTCCCCCCTTCCGCCCCTGAGCAACTCGACACACGGCAGCACCGTGACGGGACTTGTTTCTGTGGTCACTGTTCAGCACCACACATATGCCCACCGTTACGTGAGCCAAAACACGTGAAGTTCTCACCTCGCAGTTGACACCGTCGTTGCTTGTGTTTGTCAGTTGCTACCCAGTTCACCTCTCACGGGGTCATCACCTCAGGACTGGCGCGCGGTATGTCTTCTCAGACCTTGGCTCTGGGTATTAGAGAAAATACGCTGAGTAATGCATTGTCAATGCGCATCCCAAGTTCAAGTGATACGTTCTGTGTATGTAATGTCTCCCGAACCTGTCTTGCCAACTCAGACCGGGGAGATGGGCAAGGCGAAAGATACCGTATCTTGGGGGAGTTCGGTGTCACTCGAATGCCAAGCCGACCTCGGGGAATTGGGTAGAAGACTACGCTACAATAGTTCTAAACAGGAAATAGCTCCTCCTTGGTCTGTCAGCCCGTCTGTGGCGGCGCGGTCTCCTCCACGACGCCAACCAAATCCGCAGCTTGGCTCACGCTCAACTTCTGTGATGACTTGGCTGGTGATGGGGGCCGCGACGCCCTGCAATACAACGGCAAATTGGCGCCGAATGTGGCACAACATGGGGAGAGCAAGCGCGCTGTGTGGCGGAGCTACAGGAATTGTGATGGGGGAAGACGGGATCAGTTCTGCATGTGTTGGAGGTGGTGGTAGTGAGGTATATCAGTATACAGATCCGGCAGGTCCCCTAACGGGAACCGGTCTCCGTTTTGGGACCTCCGATAGGTTATGAGCCCGATAGCATGTCAGGGGCACATGCAGCACAGTACTTCAGTACTCCGTACCACGCAGCCGACTTGTCAACATCCGGCACCGACGGGCAGACACTCGTCCTGAAATGTACCAAATGTATACACGTATTTACCCAATACAGCCTCCCGTTGTACATACTGTGTATTGTGTAATGATCTGCCGCATCGTGGCTCAGCAGACGCACTGTACGCTCTGCGGCGGTTGTTGGGGGTTGGTGTGACATGTCAGGTTTCCAACTTTCACACGCAGTGGTCTGGTCAACAGTGCAAAGATGGTAAGGCACCTTAGATTGCGAGGAATGTAGCAGCACATATAATTATTCATGTCGCCCCGCAGCCGTCCACTGTACAACCTGGGACACACCCACGAACGCTGACATTGTTTCCTCTCCAGTCAGAGGCCAGAGAGACCTTCAAGATGCTGCCCGCAGTGGTCTACGCGGCCTACGCCAGCATCGTCCAAGGTGCAAACACCACCTCGGGCTTCAGCCCAGCGGCTGACAACGCCGTCTCTCGCTTTGTGGCTCAACACTACGCGTTGACAAGCACTGCTGCCGGTCTTGCCGCATCCTACGCCTTCCTCTGGGCGCTTCTACACTTCACCCAGGATGCCAAGGAACCGCCTGTCGTGTTCACTGGACTCCCGTTCCTGAGCCCCATCATTGGAGCAGTGAGATGGAGCATGGGCTTCTATAACTACATGAGGTATACTTCCTTGGCTCGTTGAGCATGAACACAACTCATGTGACGAACAGAGACACGTATCCTACCCTGCCCGTATTTACCCTGCGCCTCCCCGGCCTACGGGTCTACGTGGTTAACTCCACAGACCTCATCCCCGTCGTCCAGCGGCAATGGCGCACCCTCATCTTCCCGCCCGTCTCGGCCCGAGCGTCGGAGGTTGCCATGGGAGCCAGCAAGGAAGGCATGGCCATCATCCGTGACGACATGATCACCGAGAGCGGCTTCATGCACGCCTTTGGGAAGGCCATCCATCCGGCTCTGTCCACCGGGGCCGCGCTCGATGAGCTGAACGGCAGCGCGCTGGACGTTCTCTCCAAATCCCTGGACTTGATCCAGGGCCCCAAAAGGGTGAACCTGTTCGAGTGGATCCGCCACGAGCTGCTGATGGCCACGACGGACGGCGTCTATGGCCCGTCCAACCCTCTCCGCGACCCAGCCAGGGAGGCAGACTGGATGTAAGTCCCCATTTATACGTTCCATCCAGCACCCTCCCAGCATTCCTAACCTAAACCTACATAGCAAATTCCACCCCACAATCATGTTCCTCATGCTCAACGTCGTGCCCCTCTGGTTCTTCCACAGCGCGCTCGCAGCGCGCGACAGGCTGGCCCTCGACTTCCAGCGCTACCACGTGGCGGGCCACTACCGCCAGGGTTCGTCCTACATCCAGCGCTGGACCGAGCACTTTGTCAGCCGGGGCATCGACCCGGTCGACCTGGGCCGCTTCCAGAACGCGGGACTGTTCGCCCTCGTCGCCAATACCATCCCCACGGCCTTCTGGACCATCTTCTGCGTCTTCTCCGACCCGGAGATCGTCAGTGAGTGCCGCGAGGAGGTCGAGCGGACCGTCACGGTGGAGGAGGGTGTTGCAGGTGGTAAGGCGTGCACCATCAACGCCGCGCGGATCAAGAGTAGCTGTCCGACGCTGGTGTCGACGTTCCAGGAGGTGTTTCGTTTCTACGGCATGGCGAACTCGGTGCGGGTCGTCAACGAGGACCATGTGCTGGACGGCAGGTACCTGCTCAAGAAGGGCGGGCTGGTCATGATCCCGGCGCGGGTGCAGCACCGGCTCAAAGAGGTGTGGGGGGAGAACGCGGACGAGTTCGATCACCGGCGGTTCATCAGGAAGCCGGGCGAGCCGCGGCCGAATCCGATCGCGTTCAGGGGGTTTGGCGGCGGCACGACGCTGTGCCCCGGCCGGCACTTTGCGACGACCGAGATCCTGGTCTTCACGGCCATGTTGCTGCTGCGGTTTGATCTCGTGCCGGTCGCTGATGGCGGGGAGTGGGTGACGCCCACGACGGCAAACTCGTCGCAGGCCGAGGCCATGGCGCAGCCGGATCAGGAAATCCAGATTGAGCTCCGGCCGCGGCCGGGTGCAGTGCGGGAATGGCGCGTGTCCTGTGAGGGGAATGGGGAGGCTGCACTGGTCGCTGAAGACCTGTGCAGATAGGGAGCCTAAACCGAGGGTGTCAGCACTCAGTCACCAGGGGGCACTTGAGAGCAGCCCTGGGCAGGGATGGGGAACCGAGATATGACACACTTGTAAGGTGACTAGTCTTTGTAGTCAATATGTCCTTCTTCCCCCTCTTCCATGACGGTACCTGAGGTACTCTTACGTACCCCGCAAGGTTGTTTGTCGATGTGCCCCCTGATTCCTGAACATCAAGGAATGTTGTTTTCCCAAAACACACAAAATGGCTTTTCTCTTCTTGCGGTACCTTAACATTCTCAGTTGTTACCCTCTTGGATTTTTAATAGGGCGTGGCATTACTCCCAATAATTTCCCGGGCCTTTGCTACCTCACCGCGGTATCGGAAAAGGAGCTATGAGCCTATGACAGCTTTCCCTCCTTGTTGATGGTGTAAGCCCATCCCTGACATGACACTCCACCTCCGCAATTATTGGACAAGGATGGTTGGTGGTTGGAGATTGTGAAAAAGGATAGCAACCATGCGACCGAGTTCTCAAATGCCGCTTGCAGCCGTTGAGCAATGCCCAGTGACCGGCAATGCCATGGGAAAAGACGAATACCACTGACCTCACGGCGCACAAAGGGGACCGAAGGCCGGCCTCGAGCGGGCATATGCATCTCACCATCCGAACAGTTCATCACGACATTTGCCGCTATGCCGAACCGGACCAGAAAACCCCACATGAAACCACAAAGTTCAGAGATAACACACCCGGTAGTGGATCTCTAGCCGAGGCCGTGGACAATACTGTCCGGGAACCGGGCGGCTTGGTTTTGTGGTTGCAGAACCCAAGATGATCCTGGCGAACATAAAGAAAACAAACGCAGGAGGGGGCCTCGTGGTCTAATTGCGATAGTATCCTTCTCCGTCCACCCGGTTACACACCACGTGGTCGGCACGACACAAGTCACACGATGTCTTCCACGGAGGAAAACTTAGAGAAGAAGATCGACGATGCCAACGCCCTCGAGGTCGCCGGGGCGGCTGAGGAACGGACAAAGCCCGTATCTCGGTTCACGAGGTGGTACCGCAGCCCGCTGTTCAACGTCATCCTCGTGGGGTTGATCTCCTTCACGCAGCCAGGCATTTGGAATGCGTTGAACAGCACGGGTGCAGGCGGCCAGCAGGAGCCGTACTTGGTGAACGGGTCTAACGCGCTAACGTTTGGGTGAGATATTAACCTCTAGCCAAGGCCATATGGGGATGAGACTGACTGAAGACGCAGCTTAATGGTCTTTGGCTGCACCATCTTCGGCATCATTGCCAACAGGATAGGCGTCAAGAAGGTGCTGATCATCGGCACACTGGGATACGCCCCCTATTCGGCTTCACTGTACGTCAACAACCGGTACGGGACTGAGTGGTTTGTCCTTTTTGGAGGGGCAACGTGCGGTATTGCGGCCTCGGCTCTTTGGGCATCTGAGGGCGCCATTGCGCTGGGATACGGCGATGTCAAGGACCGCGGCAAGTTTGGTAAGCTTTATCGCGAGCCCCTGAATTAGGGGGTATGAGCATTTTCCTAACATGTTCCCAGCCGGCATCTGGCTCGGCCTCCGTGAACTCGGTCAGCTCATCGGGGCTTCCATCCAGCTTCCCTGAACGCCGGGTCAAGCGCCCGTGGCAAGGTTGGGTACAGCACATACCTCGTCTTGATCTCGCTGCAGTGTCTCGGTCTCCCTCTCGCCTTCCTGATCTCGCCGCCGGAGAAGGTCATACGGAGCGACGGCACGCGCGGTCGGGTTGCGGCCAAGAACACAACCCTGAAAGAGGAACTGCGCAAGACGTGGAAGCTGATGAAACGAAAGGAGATGTTCCTGCTGGTGCCCATCCTAATCGGATTCCAGTGGAACTCGACGTACCTGGGAATCTACATGACCAAATAGTATGTGTTCTCGAACGATACCCGTGTTGAAGCCCAAAGGTCCTGACAATTACAGCTTCTCCGTCCGCGCTCGAACCCTCGGGGCCCTAGTCTCCGGCATTGTGGCGACGTTGGCCAACATCTTCTGGGGCTGGTTCTACGATCTCAAGTACTTTAGCCGGCCAACACTCGCGAAAGCCTGCTGGCTGTTCTTTGTCGTCTGCATGCTGGGAATGTTTGGTTGGCAGGTGGCCAACGAGAAGCTCTACGGAGACTCCAACCCCAGGGTCACGCTAGACTGGGAGAGCCCGGGCTTTGGCCGTGGCTTTGGGTCCATGGTCATCTTGAGGTACGCCCCATTGTACGAACCCTCGAGTACGTGAGATTGACTGTGACAGGTTTCTGAACGAGTCCCACTACATGTATGTGTACTGGATTGTGGGCGCCTTCTTCGATGACATGGAGACTTTGACCCTGGCGGTCAGTCTCGTCCGAACGTTCGAGTCCATCGGCTCCAGCATATCGTTCGGAATTGGAGCGGCTGCAGTGTCGCCCATGGTGAACCTCGTTATTTCGTTTGCCATGTTTGGTCTGACAATCCCAGCCACGTCGTCGGTAGTGTTCATGGTACCAGAGCGTCCGGTGGACCTGCGAAAAGACGATGATGGGTTGGCATCAGGGGAAGAATCGGAACGCGTCGAGCGCACTGGGACGGTGACGGTGACCACGTCCGATGAATCCTCGGTGTTGTAGGGTCATAGGTTCGACTGGATATGGCTGTTTAGGGCTGTGTAATAATGCGAATAATCAATAACACACTATTAGTAGTGTGTTCGGCCGATGGAGGCGGCAAGAAACGGAATGAATGAGTCAAGACCAACCACAACGAGATGTCATACTCGAGTGTGGAGCGTAGCGGGCTTTCCAAACCAGCTCTAGCTTCGGAACTTACTCCTCGTAGCATGCCTGCACTGGGCTGGTGAGGGCTGTAATCGCGAAGACTATCAAAATGGTGGTACGTTAAAAGCAATTCCCCTTTTCCGGTCATCAAATCAGTTGGATGAAGCCCGGCTGGCTCAATGGCAGAGCGCTAGACTTCTATGTTCTCATCGGAACAAGCAATCTTGAGGTTGTGGGTTCGACTCCCACGTCGGGTGCTTTTTTTGTTCATTTCTCTTTCGGAGCAAAAGAACGAGTTGTTTGACTGCAAGTTGGAACCCAGAGCCCAAAGAATCGCGAAACGGTTATCCCTGTGGTGGTGGTGCATACCTCTTCCGCAGTTGTACGAATCCGATTGTACCATTTTTAGTTCCGGATAATAGGGTTTGCATTAAGATGGAACCATCTGTGCCGGTCAACAATTCAGGCAGGCGGCTTTGCTGACACCGATAATTGTGCCAGCTGTTTGCTGTGTCTGCATTGGGCACAAGTTGTGGTTTGGTGTAAGTTGTACCTGGTAGTTGGAAACCTTGAGCCGAGCTCGGCACATGAACCATGTTTTGAAATGTCCCATTTTTACCTGGATTGGGCTCTCTTCGCTCTTGCCAAGAATCCCCACCGGAGGGTTGAAGGCTGATCGAGTCAGGCACATTTTGGAGCGCGCCTGACCACGCCGCAAGAAAGCAAGTTGGCGATCAAAGAAACACACTTGTGTTGGCAGCCCCTGTGAGGCCGGGTGCATGTGCCGAATGCGGCGAGGATAAGCGTTCTCAAATTGCCGGCGTATTCCGCTCGTTGGCTCCGCCCTGAAACAGTCAGCTGGTATTATTGCCGAGTCATCGCCATCTCCAACTTTCCGACAACGAAAAACCATGCGGCCCCCTGAGCGTTGGTGCGCAGCCTCCTTGCCGACTTGACGACTGGGAAGATACCGAGTAATAACGAAATGGCCGCCTGCTCGACATGCCGAACCGTGCTCCGGCGCCACATCGACGTCCTGAAGAAGTTGCGCCAGCGACGCGCGCATTCGACCCAGGATACCTCGATAAAGGCGACCAAGGCGCCCACGGCTGGCCAACAGCAGGGGCAGATCCCGACGCCCAATAATGTGCCAACGCTCAACTTCTGGCAGAGGCTGGGGCCGCTGACCAGGGCAGCCCAGGCGTATGCCCGCGCTCAACGGAAGAGGCCATACGTGACGCAGGTGTGCACGTCGTTGGCCATCTACTTGTGCTCCGACAGTGCGTCTATCCCCGATATGTCTCGCCGTAGCGCCGTCGCTGCACACCTTGACGTCTGTATGTTGTGGAGTGCTGACCGGCTGTAGTCTCGGCGCAAAGCATGGGCGGGAGGGACTACGATCCGACACGAACTGCGCGGTCACTCATGATCGGCTCCATATCGGCGATCCCCAGCTACAACTGGTGAGTGTTCGTTCGGATGCGCCGTAGTTACGATTGGCGCGATTGACAGTGGGCGTGTGTTGCAGGTTCGTTTGGCTCTCCGAGAGCTTCAACTATCGATCGCGTCTGTTGTCGTTAGCCACCAAAGTGGTCGTCAACCAAATCTGCTTCACCCCCGTCTTCAATACATATTTCTTCGGGATGCAGGCGCTGCTGTCGGGCGCGACATTGCCAGAAACCTGGGAGCGCATCACCAAAACCGTCCCCGTCAGTTGCCTCAACTCGTGCAAGCTGTGGCCTGCCGTTACAGCATTCACTTTCGCATTTCTCCCGCTCGAGTATCGACCCGTGTTCGGGGGGGTTATCGCGGTCGGATGGCAGACATATTTGAGCTATCTCAATCGGATGGCTGAACGGAGCATGGCAGGGCGAGTGGAAGAGCTGGAGGGCGGCCAGACCTTAGCGAAGGCTGTCGCATAGAGATGACTTGCGTCTTCGTTTGGGTGAGGTTTCGGAAGGGTTTTTTTCTTTCTTTTTTTTCGATAGAATTCGGGCCATCACCGATGTAGATTTGCATGGGCTGGCGTTTGCATAGATGGATGGAGCCAAGGGCAACAACGAGCTTCGAGGTTGGGTTTTTGGGCGGATCGAGTCCCCTGGCCACGATGCGGACCAGGCTTGGGCAACTCAGATCGGATGATGGATGAATGGGCGGGGTCCGGTACTTCAGGGGCCAGACCCACAGTATCAGTTCTTCGCTTTAGGGAGAAATTAACACTGTCGCACTGCAACTCCAGCGAAAGCTGAAGCTTGCGCTCTTTACAAAAATTCCCAAACCTCGTTCACACCACTCGCCGATCCCGGCTGCCCCTCGTTCTCGAGCCATTGAGCGCTGGCCTCGCCCGGCTCTCGTCACTAACATGGCGGGTACATATCTCCGCGCCCGACGGTCACTCGCAACCACTCTTCAGCCATTTGCCCGACCTCAATCTCGACTTAACAATCATGTTCCTCGACGGCTTGCCTCGACAACATCTTCCACTAAGCGCACTCCCTCCACAGCCCGCAATGTCTTCGTCACCACCGTCCTCGCCACCCTCGGCACAATAACCTACTACTACGCCACCGACACCCGCGCCTCCCTCCACCAATGGCTCGTGCCCCGCCTCATCCGCGTCTTCTTCCCCGACGCCGAAGACGCCCACCACGCCGGCACCGCCGCGCTCAAGACCCTCTACTCGCTCGGCCTGCACCCGCGCGAGCGGCCCCCCTTCCCAGAAGACGCCGATAGCACGGGCGCCAACCCGCTCGCGGTAACCGTCTTCGGCACGACGCTGCGCAACCCGATCGGCATCTCGGCGGGGCTGGACAAGGACGGCGAGATCGCGGACCCGCTGTTCGCGCTGGGGGCCGGGGTCGTCGAGGTCGGCGGCTGCACGCCGCTGCCGCAGGCCGGCAACCCGCGCCCGCGCGTGTTCCGCGTCCCCGCCGTCGACGGCCTCGTCAACCGCTACGGCCTCAACTCGCGCGGCGCCGACGCCATGGCCGCCCGCCTGCGCGAGCGCCTGCGCAGGTTTGCGCGCCGGTTGGGGCTGTCCGAGCAGGAGATGCTGGCGGCGGATGATGTGGGTGTGCCGACGGGGAGTTTGTTGCCCGGTCGTTTGTTGTGCGTGCAGATCGCCAAGAATAAGAAGACGGATGAGAAGGATATGGAGGCCGTTATTCGCGACCATGTCTTCTGTGTTCAGCGCCTGGCGCCGTATGCGGATGTGCTGGTCGTCAATGTGAGCAGTCCGAATACCCCCGGGCTGAGGGACCTGCAGGCGGCGGAGCCGTTGGCGAGGTTGTTGGGGGCCGTGGTGGACGAGGCGAAGAGGACCGAGCGGAGGACCAAGCCGAGGGTGATGGTCAAGGTGTCGCCGGACGAGGATGATGATACCCAGATGGACGGCGTGGTGCAGGCAGTGTGGATGAGCGGGGTGGATGGCGTGATCGTGGGCAACACCACGAAGCGGCGGACGGGGCTGGTCAAGGAAGGCGTGAAGCTTACGGGCAAGGAGCAGAAGGCGTTGGTGGAGGAGGGGGGGTTCTCGGGGCCCGCCATGTTCGACCGCACCCTGAGCCTGGTTGGGAGGTACCGCAAGATGCTGGACAGCTACTCGCTCAAGACCTCTGGGGTCGACGATGTCTTCCCCACTCCAAAGGTCATCTTTGCGACTGGCGGGATTACGAACGGAGACCAGGCGCTGAAGGTGTTGAATGCCGGCGCTAGCGTAGCTATGGTTTACACCGGGATGGTCTACGGTGGCTCTGGCACGATTACGAGGATCAAGAAGGAGATGAGGGAGAAGCTCGCCATCAAGGAAGCTTGAGGCCTCCATTCCATGCCGGTTGGGCACAGCTCGACACCCAAAGTGCACTGCATGTTGAAGAACTTGGCGGCTGCTTGGGTGCGAGGGTTGCTCGAAGGACGCAATGTCGGTGATAGTTGAGCGTATAGCATGCTTCCAAGGCTGCCATCGACCTACTACACTAGTATGTGCCTCCGCCTGGAAATGCCGCCGTTTTAGGCAGGCGAATGCCGCTCCAGCCACGATCAAAGAACGGATCAAGGCGCTGGCTGGCGTTGATCTTCAAAAAAAAACACGATTTGGTAGATTTCAATTTTGTTGCGTGTTTGAGCGTTTCAGCGGATTGCAAGATCGTCAATTTGAATGCGTCACGGTTTTGATTAACTAATCTGATGGCTGGAAGTTGGGAAAACCGAGGTAATGAGGTTTGTGGGGGAGGGCTGTATAGTTATTGGACTGGGAGTTTATTTGACTCCTGGCAAACAATTCAAATCTAGCTCAAGCCAACCAAATATTGCGTCAAACAATCAAATATGCCCTCATATTTAATGAGGCCGCCTTTTTGGGCCGTAGGCGCTGGTCCCCGCCAACCGTACCACGTAACTGCCACCATACATAACCCCAACCCTACAACGCACCCATTCCATTATCAATTCAATCCGCGTATGTCGGCGCATTTGCATTTGAGCTTTCTCAACTTATTCAGCCTGTTCAGCCTATTCAATTTACTCGATATGGCTATCGTCAAATTCGCTCCTAGAGGAACGGTTATAAGTCCGAACGTCCGAGAGCAACCCTAACCCTATTCTATTTGCCCTCCCACCTCACAGGCAAAAAAAAGCCGAACTCCAAGTGCAGATGTCGGCAATGGAAACTTCGACTCCTCCGCTGGAATATAACGAAAGTCATCCTAAAGTCCAAAGAAACTCTATGTACTCTATTTCCTTTTCTTTTACTCTATTTCCTTTTCTTTTACTCCATTTCTTTTACTCAATTTCTTTTACTCCATTTCTTTTACTCCTTTTCTTTTACTCCATTTCCTTTTCTTTTACTCCTTTTCTTCTACTTTATTTCCTTTTCTTTTATCGTCTTCTTTTTATTTGACTTAGTCTTTTCGATATCTTTTCATTTGTTCTTTTTGCTTGGTTTCTTGCTTTCCTTTCGAGTTCGGCTTTTTTTGGCCAGAGGGTGCCTCCGTCGGTATCGACGAGGGTACGTGCTCACGCCAATATTGTCTGGTTCCTCGCCCCTACCCTTTGTTCCGAGCCTTGAAATGTGTGCATGCTTCATTTTCCAGATGCATCGGGCAGATAGACGGGGCTGCCGCGGTGGACTGTAGCGAATTACGAAGAGGCTAGTCACCAAGACAGTGGCCAACGCCGTCTTCATATTCCATGCGTGTAGTTATCCAAACCGTCTATTGCAACTTGCCCTACCCCCCGGCACACTGAGGTGGTTCACCCGCTCCCATCAGTGCACCAGTCAGTACGGTCCGTCACTACAAAAGCGCCCCTGGCCCCATAGTCTTCACCCCTTTCCTCAAAAACATCCTCGCCAATCCCGCAATAATCTCCAGCTGGTTCAACCTCACCCCTTCATTCTCCCTCAGCCTCTGCGCAACGCCGCTAAAGGTATCCCACACCTCAATGTACTTGTTATCCGTCTGCCTGTTCACACCGATCGACGAAAGCGCATACTCCATGACCAACCGATCCCTCATGGCCAGTAAATCGTCCTTGCGAATGGCGACACTCGGTTCCCACAACTTCATCTCGTCCGTGTAGAACACGCCCAGCCTAACACATTCCATCACCAACGCGGCCAGACCCGCTGCTAGCGCCGTCGCGACCGAGGAGCCCGTGTGTGATTCAAACGTCTGGAAGTCCTTGTCTGTGACATCCGCGTAGGCGCTATCCTTGACCACGACGTTGTGTCCCGGCAATATGAAGTTCAGCTCGTGGGCGTCGCCCACAAAATCAGCCATGCTGCCCGTTGTCTTGGCGGCGCCGATGCGGAAGCTGCCGTTCGGGTTGGAAGTGTGCGGGTAAGTGAAGTCCTGAAACTTCCCCTGGTCGCTGGCGGAGCAGAAGAGGATGATTCCCTTTGCGCGGTGGATGGCGGTGTCGAAGGCATTGCGCAAGGGGGTGTTTTCGGGGGGTTTCATGGTCCAGGACATGGAGATGATTTGAACGCCTTGTTCGATGGCGTGTTCGATAGCGCCAACGGTACTTTCGGGGTTGATTTGGAGCTTGTTGGACTCTGCGGCCTTGTACGTCTGGAGCTTGATGACGTAGATGATGGCGCTGGGGCAGATGCGATGGATCAGTCTGGCCATGAGCGTACCGTGCCCGCTTGCTGAGTGCCAGTAGGGCGAGACGCGCCAACTGGAACCGTCCGTATAGTCGTGGAAGCTTTTACCGGGGAACCTTTTCCCGTTCAGCTCGGGGTGGGTGATGTCAGCGCCGTCATCGATGAGGGCTACGGTGATAGGGTTGAGGGTTGGGTCGCTCCGTTGGTCGTTGAGACCCTTGATCTGGCGGAAGGCAGAGGAGAATTCCTCCATGCATTGCATCCACCTATGGGGGTCGATGCTTGGCTCTTGTCGCAGTGGCTGTTGAGGGACACCAGGCTGTCCAGTTGTGCGTGGGCGACTGGTGTTGGCTGTTTCGGGCAGGTGAACTTGGGGTTTCGGCCATCCCTCGGGCCATGATTCGTGCAATCGGAGTTTGAAGTCTGCGAGATTTTTCGTTGTTCGCTTGTGCGAGCTTAGGCCCTGATGGCAGTTGCGTCAGTTGGTGTGGGACTCAAGTTTTGAAGGGGCACAAGAGACATTCCCGTAGGCGATGAAGAAACAGATTCACCTTGGCTTGAATGATCCGTATTGTCTCAAGAGTCGGCGTCTTGGCGAGGCCTTCGGGTTCACTCCACGACCTGAGTACGGTGTTCCTGCCGCTCCATCGGAGATTTACCTCGCGTAGGTTTTTCCCGATGGCCTCCAGCGTGGTTGGATCAAGGTCAAGTCTCCTCCAATCCAAAATCTCCACCCCGAAGGGTTGGAGCGCGTTCTCAATGGCCTCATCGCTATGCGGCGGGTGTCCAAGATCGTCCACAATTACCTTGATGATACGCCGGACACCTTTGCCCCAAAGCCAGTCAAAGAAGAACTCCATGTCTTGGCGACCTTGACACCGCTCACTCACAGTGGAGGCATCACCCTGTCGCTTCAACTCGACACGGGGAAAGGCAACGTATTGTAGGATCCTGTCGAACTGGAGGTGGCCAAAGTGCTTGCGAAATTCTGCTTGAGTGATGTTGCCAGTCCTAGGTGGGCCAAAGTCAAACCATAGTTCCATTTCTGTTTTATAGGAATCAGCGTTGCAACTCCGGGTGTCGTTGAGCCTTTGGGGGCACATACCTTTCTCGTCTTGAATGTGAAGATACTGCGCGGCCTCGTGGGGCCTTTTCCGGCGCAAGTATATCAACTTCAGCATTTCCTTGACGGCGTCTGCACTTTCTACTCGCTCCTTGTCTCGGTCTTCAGCAGATTCCAGCCCTTTCGCAACTGAAGGCGAATTCAGCCCTTTACCCCCGGGGTCAGTTGAAGATAGCCTTTCCAGATGTCCCGTGGCGACCCTCACGAGCGGGCGCGGGGCCCTGCCGGGATCTCCGGGAATGGGCGACGCGGAACGAGATTCGACCTTATTTAAACCCGCCCCGTGGCTTCCCGGGTCGCCCCTGCCCCTCGGCGCCGCTGATGATATTGACCGCGGCTCGCCATGACCATGCAGAGCCCTCGTCGGCATTGTCGGATTGGACTTTTTTGCTTCGACAACCTCCTTCGCTTTCCGTTCTGTTTCTCCCTCTGATGGTTTCGCTTCCTCCTGTCGCTTCATCGAAGTTTGGGCCTGCGATATCCTGTTCTCGGCGACGCGGCGGGTGTTCTCGTGGTGCTGGAAAACCGAGTGCGAGCGTTTCCACATATCCCGGTGGGTTAGAACGTCCAGGGCGGCGGGCCCACGACGCAGCAGTTCGGCTACGACGCCGACCTGGGTTGCGCAACACTTCTCAAACTCGACTGCGAGGTGGAGCGGCGTGCGACCCTTGAAGTCAACCACGGAAAACATCTTCTCTGGGACAAAGCTGATGATGATGGACGTGAGCTCCGGGTTGAAGTTATTCCCAATGGCGGTATGAAGACAGGTCATCTCGCGATCGTTATCATGCTCGACACATTCGGCCTCCAGGTACTCTCCGATGAGCTTCCGGGTGTCGTCCTTGACGTTCTTACATGCGGCATGGACGAACATCTCGTTTCCAACGGAGATAGCGACGGTTAATGGCGTCCGCTTTGTGCTGTCGAGGACGCCCATGAGTTCGGGGAGTTTCAGGATGGCCCTTGCCATGAGCCACTGCAACGCAGGCTTTCGCGTGTAGTCGTAGTAGGCGAGGACGTGCAAAAAGTTGCGCTTCTCCTTCTCCGTCTGTCGCTTCCAGCCCTCTTGGCGCCTCTTCACAAATTCCATCTGCGCCTTCTTCTTTTCGGCGCCGGAGCTGTAGGGCTGCTGTGAGAAATCGCGGGCATCTTGGAGATCGCGCTCGAACGCCTTCTTGACCTCATCTTCCGTCACACCGGGCGTTGCGGTTGTTTCTGGAAAGTCGTCGTCATTTTCTAGTTCCAGGTCCGACTCCTCCTCATCTGTCTCCGTTGTTGGTGGGTGCTTCTGTCTCGTGCTCATTTTGTTCTTTCCGAACTTGCAGATTTTGTCTGAAGACGGCCATGGCGGGGAAGGCGCGTTCAACGAGGCTCGACACAGTCCAGGGCTGGTCCCATGTCCAATAGGACGTACCAGACGCTGCCTGGCTGCACACCCACCTCGGACAAAAAAAGCCGAACTCCAAGCCCAGATGTCGATAATGGAAATCCCGAGTCCCCAACCGTAGGAACAAAACGAAAGCCGCCCTGAGGCCCAAAGAAACTTACTTTACTCCATTTATCTTTTTCTTTTACCCTCTTCTGTTATTCTATTTATTCTTCTCGCTTACTTTTATTTTATTCTTTTTGCTTGATTTCTTGCTTTCCTTCTAACTTCGGCTTTTACCCTCTTTCTGTTATTCTATTTACCCTTCTCGCTTGCTTTTATTTTGTTCTTTTTACTTGATTTCCTACTTTCCTTCTAAGTTCGGCTTTTACCCTCTTTCTGTTATTCTGTTTATTTTTCTCGCTTACTTTGATTTTGTGCTTTTTGCTTGATTTCTTGCTTTCCTTTTATCAAGTTCGGCTTTTTTTGGCCAGAGGGTGACACCCAAGAAAGACGGAGGTTGCATTGTCCCCTCTCCTTTGCATTTGGCCCCCACGGCGGCCTTCCATTGCTTGGTTTGATTGGGCCGGACGTGGTGAGGTGCGTGGTGAGAGAATCCTGACAAGGAGCTGAGGATGGTGTCTGGTGCTGACCGTAATGCCGCGGCGGCTTGGACGGAACGATTGGATACAAAGTCTGAAATAAATTACCGCACTCCCGGCGACTCCGAGCCTCATGAGAGGTTCGAAGAGGGCTGGTGTTGGGCAGCGACCCAGTCTTGTGAACAATCTTCCAGGTCAAGGTACGCAAACTGGAAAGATGGCGGAAACAGATGAGCCCATATCGTCACTCGACATATCGCTATCCCCCGCTGCAATCGACTCGGAACTCAGGACGCAAAATGCCTCTCCGGACGACTTTGAGCGGCGCAACATCATCGAGCGAACCCAAACCGCCGTTGAGATTCGATGCGATCTCATGGAAGTGACCCACGGTTGGATGGGACAATCTGGGGATGACTACGCAACGCTGATGGTCCTCCGTTTTCGCTTTGACCCTCAAAAGACTTCCCGGCGACTGCGCCGTGTCCGGGTCAGCGTTGAGCTTCTCTCGTCGTCGCCCGGCGGCGACGCCCCCGAGGTTGCTGCCATCGCCCCCGAGGAACGCTGGAGTGTGGCGCCGACGGTGGACCAGGAAACAGTTGTCCGGGGAGCCGAAATCCAGGTCGGCGCATCGGGCATTCCATTTGTGGATGCTGGGGTGAACACGACGCTGGAGAAGACGGTGGCTCGCGATGTGAGTGACGCGACAACAGTCACCGGGTCCATCAATCTGGGAGAGGGGAGGAACTCGGGCTCCTCGACATGCGCAGTCTGGACTCTCCTCGAGAACAAGCGGCGTGAAACTGGGGTGCCGGACACGCTGAAGGTCGCGATTCTCCTTAGACGGATGGATGAGGAGCCATACGAAGCCACATTCGCATTGGAGGCGGAGGCAGATTTCGCGACAAAGTTCGAGTCACTGCTCAAATTTAGCGCCAAGCAGCCGCTGGATGACCCTGTTCTCTTCAATCCGCGATGGGAGCCTAAGAAACCAAGAAAGGGCCGAAGCAGGGGCGTCGAGAACCTTGGGACGATTGACTTATATTCTCTCTGCGAGGTGAGGATGGCACCCGAAGCTTTCTTCCACCGTAAGTAGGAGAAAGAGACCTCAGACATCAATGCTGAATGAACAGTTGCGCGTATTGGTAACATTACCCGTAAATACGTCAAAATCCATGCCCTGCATCGCTGCCCAGAAATGTTGGATGCCTGCGCGCTTCGCTCCCTACCGAATCACCTAATTTGCCCAGACTGGGCTGCGGGCTGACTGGCGTCCAAGAGCAGAGAGGGGGGCGCGGGAGCCTCCCCCAACAATGTAACCCAACTGTTCTCGCCTATCGCAGCTCTCATCGGGTCAAGAGCTCCGCGCGCTTGCCAGGCACCCAGGCCTCAGATGTCCTACAGGGCTTCCCTCAATCGGCTCGAGGTTCTCGAGGTAGTCCATCACCTCAGTCGTATGGTCAACTAGACTCGCTGCGCCAATTTTGACGATGGACGACGATCCCAACTTGGGCGATGGGCTGCCGACGAGTCCGACTGGCGCCTCCGCCGCAGCGGACACAGAAGAGGCGCCAGAGCCAAGGTCTGAGCCAAGTTCATCAGGACCACCACTCGGACTACAAATACACGCAGACAGCAGCTCCCCTGATTACGAGTAAGTTGCTGGGACGGTACCTGTCTTACCGATGGTACCGGGACCGTCAGACTGATCAACTGACTTGGCAAAAGCGTGATTGCAGTGCATGGAATTCATGGTGATATGGCGACATGGGGCATTGACGAGTCCAATCTCGAGGTGACCGACGACTGTTGGCTGCCGCTTCGTTTCGAGAATGCTAGGATTATGACGTTCAATTACGACACAGACCCAGAAAAGACGCGATACTACACACGTCTTGGGGTCGAGGAAGAAGCGAAGAAGCTGTTGGCGAGCATCGAGCAGCATCGTCAGGGTGCCGAAGACAGGCCGATCGTGTTCGTCACACACGACTTGGGCGGGTTGATCGTTAAGGCCGTGAGTAGAACACCCGCGAAGGGGTCATGACAAGCAACCTCCTGACAATTTTGGTCTGCCCAGGCATTAGCATCAATAAGACGACCCCAAGCTGACTTCCATACGGGCGTTCACATGGCAGTTGAGGCTCTGGTACGGCGTGTCATTCTGATCCTAGCGTCCTCCCCTGGCAGGATGCTCATTTTTCTTTTTTCCCCCTAACTTTGCTCATAGATCACCTTCGGCTATCCTCATGTGACCGCCCACTCGGCCGAACTCGAGGAGGAACTCGTCTTGCTGCTGAATCTGCGCCCCGAGTGTTTCCTCCCCAGCTGCAGCCGCATCATAGCTGCAAGTCTTGCCGAGACATGTGCCGAGGTTAATGGCGACTTCATCCATACCCACGCCGCCGCGCTTGTGCGGCTGCGAGTTGTGTCGATTGCCTCAGAACACACAAGTAAACCCGAGCAAGTTTTCGGGATTAACATTGCCTGGTTTGGCAAGGAACCCGCGTTCAACATAACCAGCGACAGTACTCATATGGACCTCGTCAAAATAGGAACCTCCGGTCCTGAGGCATTGGAAAATGTGATACACAAAGGCTGGAAAGGCGGCAGAGGTGAGTACCTAGAAAGACCGCCATTACTGATACCTCGGCCCTCAAACTCAAACTAACAACCCTGCCTCGTAGCTCACGACCACGACGAATCAAACCTAGACACCCTGTTCAGGTTCGCTTCCGGGGTCTCTCCAATATATCCCCGTGCACACCCCGACTCCACACTACCGCCAGCGCTCCAAAGCGCCGTTGATGAAATACTCACGTCCATGTCCAGAAAGCTTCTACACGTGGAATGCGATGAGGAAGACGTCATATACGTCTCTGAAGCCTTGAATAACAACATGCGGCACAGCAAGAAAACGAACGTCCAGGTCGTTTCGTACTTCCGATTCGAGTCCAACGATATTCGATTTAACAATATAGCGGCCTGTCTCCGAACGATGTATTCCTCGATGCTTCAGGCCAACATCCACCACAACTACTATTCGGCCACGATACTGGCTAATCATCTCAGCCAACTACATGCTTTGAGCGGGGATGATATGTACTCATACTTCGAAGACTAGCTTATCTATCAGCGCAGAGCCGCAGAATACATCTTCCTTCTTGCCGACTTTGGCGAGTGCGACGATTCGTCGTTGGCCTTCCTCGACCAACTTCGATTCCGCCTCAGCAAGACAGAGGCTCGATACCGATTTGTTGTGACAACCAGCAAGGGTCCCAATACCAACAAGCGTCTTCTTGAGATGTTACCGGAAACAGCGCCCAGCTTCTATCACCGTGTCGACCTTGATTCGTCTGCGAAGGGCCCAGGGTCGAAGCACGGGATAAACGCCGAATTCGAGCTATCAATGTTGTTTCAGCGGTATCCTGACTACACTCACGAGAGCCTAATGGACCAGATCAGAGACATTGTCACTGTACGGTATAACGATCATCCGGACTTGTGCTCAAACATCACCGACTGGCTCAACGCCCACGGGGGGGACCACCAAAGTTCAGGGGTGCAAGAAGGCCTTGGGGCCCTGGCAACGGAGGAGCCAACCGCGGACGCCGTCTATCACGTAATCTTTGGCAGCCTGCCCCAGATGCAACATTCCTGGGCACGGATTGTGCTAACATGGCTCCTGACAGCCGTCCGGCCGTTGAGGTTCAGGGAGTTTTTGTTGCTCTCAGACACGGCTCAAGCAGAGGACGGCCGGGGTGTTCGCGACCTTGACTCAATCTCTCAGAGGAAACACGGGATAAATGACGTGAAACGGACGTTGCGGGTCTTTGGAGGCCTTGTCGAAGAATGCAACGGAGAGGTCCGCCTGGCGAATCGGTCTATAAGGCGGTGGCTGTTATCACAACAAGCAAACGAAGAAGCATCTGCCGACGAGAAGAACCACGGCCGGGAAGGCCAGTGGTACACGTGTCTTGGCGCCGAAGTCCAACGCCACCTTTCCATTGTGAAGTCTTGCCTCGAACTGTTAACGGCTATCAAGACCGAGGGGCCGCTGGGGACACTTGGATATGCCGCTCAACATTGGGTTACTCACTACAAACTTGCACGGGATCTCGACAAAGTTGCTACGGCATCTTCTGTCCACGCTGACATCTCGGCTTTCTTCAAACATACAACTGCATGGGGCGCCTGGTGGCAGAGCTACGAGGAGCTTTCCGACAGCCTGGACAAGCGAGTTGGAGTCGAAACGCCGCTTCAAATCGCAGCACACCTGGGTCTAGAAGACTTTATTGAATGTTTGCGAGACGGGTTAACGCCCGACGACTCCTCTTATCAGTATGCACTAGACCAGGCGGCCGAAATGGGCCATATCAACACCCTCCGCCTCCTTCTTCCACCCAACGGTGCCAGATTTGATGAGGGTCTGCACGATCCCCACGTCCAGAGACATGCCAAGGCAGCGGCTCGCGGAGGTGCCGAAGTTCTCAGGGAAATTATCGGCCGGATTCCCAAGGAGGACCTCACCGACATGGAAAATCGAGAGTTCTTGGTCAATATCATGAGCAGAGCGGCCTGGGATGGCCTTGATGATGTAATACGGCTTGTTGGAGACCCAGGGCCGTATGTAAGCCCTGGGTCATCGTGCTCGGTTCTGCCAGGACGCACACCTCTCAGTCTAGCCGTCCGGCGACATCACATGAATGCGTTTCACGCATTGCTGGACATAGGAGTTGAGGTGGACGCGTACTGCTGTGAGCCCAAGCCGCATGACGAAAGTTCGAGGGCAATGCAGATGGCGAGCGACTACGGGATCGACGATGCTGTCGCCGTCCTGCTGGAGAAGGGGGATGTTGTCAAGATTGACGACACCCAATGGTCATATATCCAGTGTGCCGCTGACTGGGGCCAGCATGCCGCTGCGAAGGTGCTGGCCGCCCATAGCCCATACCGGGATTACATCGAATCCGGTGCCTCAAACGACCCGCTCATCCGTGCTGCCGAGCTAGGGTTCCTCGAGACTTTCAAGGCTGTCTTGACGCCAGACGTTGAAATCGACCTCTCATCGACATATGGGACCACCCTTTACTACGCCGTCTTTGGAGAAAACATCGAAATCTGCCGTATTCTGTTGACGAGGGGCGCCAGCGTCGACCTGTCAGTCGCAAACCAGATGACCCCTCTTGCTCGGGCTTCCCTCGACAATTTGCTGGAGATTGCTGAGCTCCTCCTGGATCATGGGGCTGAGGTGGACAAGACAAGTGTTTTGGACGACATCGCAGGAACCACACCTCTCCACATCGCTGCGACTCGACAACACGAAGATATGGCAGCTCTCCTTTTGCGGCGAAAGGTCGACCCCAACGCTCGAAACGGGGAGGGATGGAGCGTCCTCTGTGCGGCCGCCAAGCTGGGTAATGTCGACATGATCAACCAGCTTGTCGCTGCTGGGGCCGATGTCAACATGCCTTGCACGCCAGAAAGAATGACGGCCCTGCACGTGGCTGTCGAGTACCCAGAGGCGGTGCGTGCCCTTCTGAAGCATGGTGCGGATCCACGGCAGAAAAGCACCGCTGTAGTGGGTTCAACACCGCTCGATCGGGCCATGCTGGAAAATACCGATGCCACCACCGTGCAGATTATGCTAGAGGAATCTACCGAGAACATGAAGCCCGACTTCACGCTTGCCAGCTTTAGATCAGCACTTGCGGATGCGGTGCGGTCAGGAAAGTACGAGATTGCGAGGATGCTGCTAGAAGCCGGAGCCGATGTCGACCAAGATTGTGATCAGACGTCGGGCATGACGCTGCTCTCACTTGCCGTCACTTCCGAGAATGTCAATACCGTGCGCACCATTCTGGAGTTCCGTCCCGAGCTACACACCGGGGATGCCGATGGCAACACGGCCCTGCATTACGTGGGCGAGGACGCCTTGGTTGAAATTGCTCCGCTACTCGTCAATGCCGGCTGTGCTCTCGACGCCGTGAACAAGGAGGGTACTTCCCCTCTGACCAAGGCCGTCAGTAACGGCCACCTAGCCGTCGTGGAATACATGCTCACCAAGCCCTCGGCCCTCCGCACGCTCAACCTCGTTCAGGACAACAACAACATCCCGCTCCACAAGGCCTGTCTGAACGCCAACGCAGAAATGGTCGCTCTCCTCCTTGCCAAGGGCGCTGACCCCAACCTCCGCAGCAGGGGCACTATCGGCGGCACCCCCTTAGCGTGTGCCTGCCTCCACGAATACCAAGACGCATCCAACTACATGCCCGAGAGCGACGCCATCATCCGTCAGCTCATCTCCAGCGGCGCCATCGTTACCCTCCCGGCCGGCGTATACGGGTTCGCCTTGCACGCGGCCGCTTCCGCCTCGGCGCCCGACATCATCCAGTTATTCCTCGAAAAGGGGGCCGACATCGAGGGCGTCGACGCCCTCGGACGGCGACCCATCCACAAGGCGTGCTACAACTCCCTACCAGCCCTTCAGGCCCTCAACATCCCCGACGCCCACTTCGCTCTACGAGACAAACTCGGCTGTCTGCCGCTCCATTACGCCGTGCTCAGCGGGCAGCAAGATCTCCTCGCCGAAGTGCTCTCGCGATCGGCCAAAGTGGGCCTGTCCGTCGACGAGAAGGACAACGACGGATGGACGCCCCTGCTCTGGGCGGCGCGCGCGACCAAGGTGTCTTGTCGCAGGGACCGGACCCCCGCGGGTGTCGAGATGGTGACGAAGCTGCTAGCGCAGGGGGCCGACGTGAGGGTGCGGGGCGAGGGCCTGTATGAGAGCCAGACGTGGTCCGCGAGGGAGATCGCGCTGTATCACGGGGCGGATGACGTGGCTGAGTTGCTGGCGGCGAGCGGAGATGTCCCGCCGCGGGACGGGCGGCGGACTAAGAATATCAGAAAACGGGGGGATGAAACGACGGGGTATTGTAATGTTTGCGGGCTCGTGGGTTTCTTTCTTTTCTTCTTTCTATCTGAATTCGGGTCTGAGGCTAATACCGGCGCAGAACTTACGCGGCGTGTACTTCCAGTGCACCACTTGCGACGAATACATGCTATGCTTCAAGTGCTACAAGGCGAAAGACACGGTGCACGCCAACCACGATTTCAACGACAAGGGGTTCGATCATGACTCGGATGAGGAGGACTCGGACGAGGAGGCTGAGCCTCCAGTCGCGGGAAGCTCAACATCGGAGCAACTACCTAAGGGTGGTGATGGGGACGACGAGCATGATGGGGGCTTCGATGACGAGGTTGTCAGTGATGACGAGAGTGATGCTAGTGTGGTGCCGGGGAGCGACGGAGAGGGAAAGAAAGATGAGTGAGGGTTAATGCCCCCTCATCATGTACTGCAAGCCACATCACTTGGCACTATATCCATAGCCCTGCTTAAAACCAGTAAGATACCTCTTATAAGGCGCCTTCTCATGGAGAGAAGACCTTTTCCAATGCAGAAAAGCTATAACGAGTATCTCCTAGACTAGGCTACCTAATAGAAGTTTAGAGTTTGAAGCCTTCAGGTGTGGATCTTAAAGCCTGAGCTATAAACTCCGCCATGCCTAGAGGAGAAACCGCAAGATGTGGTGGTACATACATACTTCTTGGAAGAAATTTACGACGGGCATTGTGCCACTGGCTGTCCATGACTTCTGCTTACTCACGAAAAGGGAGGGGGAATGGTTCTAGACCTCGACCTTTGCAGGATGCCGTCTTGGCGGGTTCCCGAAAAGATCCTATCGGGGTTTGGACCACGGCGCCGTCGACAAGAGGGGTTATCCGGCTGGCATGCTTCCCGTTGGGAGTTGAGACACTCAGGCGTGGACGGGGGCGTGGACGGGGGCGTGGGAGACGCAAACGGCACATTATGGAGGACTTGCGGAACGCTATAAATCATTCTTCCCCCGCTCAAAGAGTAAAGAACGAAGCTAGCATCTGCTCAGGCAGTCAACCATTTATCGACACTTCTCAAGTTCCGCTTGCACACTATCAACTTTCCCCTATTTTTAATACCCATTGACCCTTGAGAGCAATGGCACTCCGAGTCTGGCATATCAGTGGCGCCAACACCGGATTCGGTTTGGAGCTGGCTTTCAAGGCTCTCAAAGAAGGCGACCAAGTCATCGCCGCGGTCCGTTCACCGTCCAAGATCCCGGACAACCTCAGGGTAGATGGCGTCAAAGTCCTACAATACGACCTCTCCTTCTCCCAGGAAGAGATGAACACCTACGCCAAAAAGGCATTTGCCGCCTTTGGCCGAGTGGACGTCCTCGTCAACAACGCCGGTTACGCTTACATGGGCGCCATCGAGGAAACCGAGTACACCCCCCTACCCTCCCTTCCACAACCCATCCACCACTAACCCACCCCTCCAGAGACGCCATGGTCAAAACCCAATTCGACATCAACGTCTTCGGCATCCTGCGCACCATCCGGGCCTTCCTCCCGCACCTGCGCGCGCAACCAACCCCCACCACAACCCATCCCCAACCAACCCAACCCCAAGCCAACCCCTCCGCCTACATCCTCAACGTCTCCTCCATCGGCGGCCTGCGCGGCTACCCGTCCAACGGCGTCTACTGCGCGACCAAGTTCGCGCTCGAAGGGCTCACGCAGGCGCTCGCGCTCGAGATCGCCCCCTTCGGCCTGCACGCCGCCGTCGTCGAGCCGGGCTACTTCCGCACCGCCTTCCTGTCGGGCGTGGCCTCGAGCGGCGGCGGCGGCGGTGGTGGTGGTGGTGGTGGTGGTGGTGCTGCTGGTGCTGCTAATCTCGCGCCGGCGCTGGCGGTGTACGAGGACACGGTGGCGCACGAGGCGCGCGCGAGCTTTACGGCGTATGATGGAAGGCAGCCGGGGGATCCGGTGCGGGGGGCGGCGAGGATCTGGGAGTATGTCGCTGGGGAGGGGCTGTTTGTGGGGAAGGGGAGGAGGTTGAGATTGCCGTTGGGGAGTGATACGGGGAGGGTGATGCGGGAGGTGAGTGGGGAGTTGGCGGAGACGGTGAGGGAGTATGAGGAGGTTTGGAGCAGCACGGATTTTAAGGAGTGAAGGCTTCTGGATATGTGTTCAGATACACCGGCGGTGACTTCACAGAGGATTGCTGCCATTGCTACTGACAAAGTTCGGTCTTTCTCTAAATCCGCCATTCCGAACTTACGAGCATGTTGCCGCCGTGGAACTCCCCTTGGGAAATTCATGAGCCCATAGCGCTGGGAACAACTGGGTCCACGCGCTTCAATTCCATCACCCGTGCTCTGGACGATGGTGACGACCGCGCAGCCATCTTCTCCGCCATCTCGATGAGAAGGTCCCAATCGATGATGCGCTCCTCCCGCTCCGAGTAAAAGGCGGTGCGAACAACGGCATCGACTAAAGATCGGATCGCGTCCCATGACAGCTCAAACCTCGCAAGTTTGTCGATGTACTTCTCGTCTTCAGGACTTAGGTCCTTCAGTCTGAAATTGTGATCGGTCCACTTCTTGATGTATTGTCTCCAGAGCACTCGGCGGCAAGCTGGGCGCACGAAATTAAAGCTGGCGCATACCCGCTGTTCGATTCTCAGATCCAGCCGCACATCCTCATCTGGCAAGGAAAGGATGACGATGCCGTCGAAGGCGTCCAAGAACCGCAGTAGGGTTGCTACAGCGGCATCCACACTTTCTCGGGGCCGGTTTCGCAAATAGTACGCTCCGAGAACGTCTTCGATGACCACGATGCATCCCCATTCGCTCGCGAGCATTCCGGCTTGTTGCAGGGTACGCTCGGCCTGTCCGGCTTCACTCTCTGTCACAATCTGAACGCGATACAGTGATCTTCTGGCCATGATCGACACTGCCTCTATGGCCTCTCTGCCGGCTCGGCCACGAACGGTCATGACGACCCTTGGTGACGTTCGCAGATGTTGAGGACGTGTCGGGTATGGCCCGGGCTCCCCGGGTGCCAGCAGGCGTTCGAGGAATGCCTTTTCAGACTCGCCAACAACCATGTCTTGAGAAGGTCCCCATTCCTGATCTGGCACCCGCCTGACGTGGCGCACCAGCAACTTCTTCGACGTATGATGACGGAGGTGGAAGCCATATATCACATGTGGCTGGCATGCGAAGAAACGAGCCCTTTCTGTCGACATGGAGCCAAACTCTTCACCGAGTTCCATGGCGCGTTCCTCCTCTTGTTCCTCATACTCTGCTCGCATCATTTCTTCCCTGTCCGTGTATATTATCAACTGCCAATCTTGGAGCTGCTCTTCCTCCTCGCTAAAAAGATCAAGATGCGGAACCCGTTCTGTCAAGTCCGTAAATCGGGGCCGTTGAAGATGTTCGTATTCTGCCGCGTCGACGATATATTGATCGAGCCCCTAGATATTCCCGACATGGTTAATAAGGCGGCTGCCACGACTGTGTGAGGGACACTTGCATCTGCAAAACCTGAAACACTTTCAGACTCGTCTGTCACCAAATGCGTACCCCGACCCAACTTCCAATACTTTTGTCCCCTGTCAACGAGATACCCCCTGACATCATCACCGGCCCACCCGGCTGGGCAGATAGGTAGCTTATACATGCGTGCCTCTTGACCGGATTTGTGAAAATGGGACCGGGGAATGTGAAGCTTCCGAACCTCGTGCAGATGGGGCTCGGAAAGGAGGGGTTGTGAAGTCAACGAGTGTAGTCTGCCTGTCACATTGATTTCGAGAACTTCGGCCTTTTCCTCGTCCGTGGTGCGCGTGAATTGAACGGGGCCAACTTGTACAAAGGCCCGATCGTCGTCATCACCCTCGGAATTTCGCTCGATCACCATGCCCCCTGGAGGCTTCAACAGCGCGTTAGCAACTCCCCAGAAAGCCTAGGACGAAATCTTGGAGGGCTTACGAAAACCAGGGGCAGACTTTCCCATCTCACTACGCCAGAGTGCTCAATCGGGTCGTAGATGTGCGCCATGCAGCTCTGGATGCAATCCAGGAGGGTCTCTGTTCCTCTCACCGCATGCGCGTCCTTACCTGGGGAGGGCTTGAGAGGCCGTGTTTTGTCGAGTAAAGCCTTGTTATGGAAATACCATTCGTAGGGAGAGCGGAGCTCCATGGTCGGACAAAACGTCGGGGGATCTGCCTTGAGGTCTAACGATTTCAGGGTTGAACACAAGGCATCAGACATAAGGTAGATGCCGGACTCCGTCGACGCTGCCGTTCGGGTGGTGATATTGTCATGGCAACATGTGTACTCCTTAAACAACACGAAAGCCAAGTGACTGTTCTGCTCAAGGTATGGCCCGAGGCTGGGCAAAGCCCGTTTGCCAGAAAGATGCAACGTCGTTGGGTTGTGGAGAGGGTTGCATTCGTCGATGACAAGCCACTGGTGATTTGGACCGCTTGTGGTTTGATAGTTGGGCTCGTCGAAGAAGATTGTCACCGGTTGCGAGTCACACACGACTCTGTGCAGGACTTGGTAGGGCACACTTTCTCGCGAGTCCATGTTGGCAAGGGGAACAGGCTGGTCCAATACCTCCCACGCTGCATCAGCCGGGCTAACAGAAGGTGTCCCGACTGGCACTTCCGTGGAAATGCTCTCATCCCTTCCCGGGGTGTTGGCAGGGCGCTGTCCCCCCTCTTGGATCTGGCACAACCGCAGACTGGCAGCGTCAGCGACCGGATCACTAATGCCCATGCGCGCGGTTTCGATCGTTTCAAGTTCCTCGACGTCGATGATACTGCCGACCTCCTCTCGGATCAGGTCCCGTTGGCGGTGTCGGACATTCAGCTCACTCGTCAGGGCTTCAAGATCGTCGTTGAAGTCTTTCAAGTGCTGTACCAAGTCGGCAAACTTGCGTTTGTCATCGACCGCCCAACGAATCGCCGTTGGCAGCGCAGGGCGCCTCGGAGAGGATGACCAAGGCAATGCAGCGTCGGTGTGCGCCTTGACCAAGCTCGATGCTCGCGCCTGAAGCTTGGAGGCAAAAGCCCCAAGTATCGCCGAGGCGGATGTTTTGCCAGACTCTGATTCTGCCAGAGAGAGACCGTAGCGGGTATATAGGGTTCTATGGTCCTGAAAGAGGCCGGCCATGCGCTGCAAAGTCGCCTCAACCGCGAGTCGGACATCATCATTCCATGGCAGGTTCGTGCGGTTGTTCGCATCCGTGAATCCACAAGCTCTTCCCCAGGTCTGCAGTCGAAGGCGCTGATTTGCATATTTTGCCTCGAGAATCCAGTAATCGCGCCCAAAGTAACGCCCCTGCTGGACGATGTTGAAACACTCGATGCAAGTCGTGAAGAGGCCGGCCAAGCCAGCGATGCCGACAGCAAGACCAACGGGTTCCATCTCGCAATGGGTGGTGGCCCGTGGGGAATGGCGTTGCAGTTACGGAGAAGGTGAGGAGGCCGGCCAAGTGGCTGCTGTGGATAAATATGAGCCTTGCAAAGCCCCCCTCGTCCCGCTTGTCAAGAGGCAGTGCATGCATGATGCAGTCCGCGACGCCAGACCAGAAAGGTTATTCTGGGTCAATCGTTGGGCAGCCTCGAACCACAACAAGGGCAAAAAGACCGCCAACTCTCGTGCTTACCGCCAGTGTTAGCAATTGGGTTGTTGTCCCAACCCCTTTTCACCACATTTGAAGGTGCGAACCCGGTATCCCAAAAGGACTGCTCCGATACAAGGCTGACGCCTACCCATTCGTTATCAAGATTTAGACTGTAGGGCTTGGAGCTAGCAATGGGACTCCGAGGCCTGTCCCCATCAACGCCGCGCCAGTGTTGACATGCGCAGTCGTCCCGATAATGGACCCCCCCTCCAGTATATGGATGCACCCATACAAGAAGCCATGCGCGGCATATAGCAGTTTGCTTTGACTCATTGCAAGGTGAGCATATGATTCACTACCAGTTAAACCGACTAACCGGGTCAGTAAGTTCGCAGACCCTGAGAAACTGCTCCCGTATCCAGACGACTTGGTCCCCACGCAGCCCACGACAGATGAGCTCTCCGCCCTCCTTTGACAGCACTTTGATCAGGCTATTCAGGTGAAGCAGTGCGTGCGAAGGGCCTTGAACCAGTATATGTCGCTTGTAATCGAGGAGACTCATCGCCTGATCCCCTCGGAGATACTGCGTACGCACGGCTTCGTCCAAGTCTTGGTCGTGGTAGCTGGGGATTCTGATCGCCGGGCCGCCAAGTCGTGCATGCCTCCGTGATTTTGGCGGTTGCCCAGGTAAAACGGCATGGACCGGCAGATGGAGTCCACCAACTCCCTGCCGCGATTGGGATCTGGGAAACTGCATTCCTTGGTAGCAATCGAGATGGTTTGCTGCAGCGCCTCGGGGGGCGCTTTCGCAAGCAGACAGAGCTCCATCCGCAGGACCATGAGCCGGCAAACGCGCCATACATTCCAGATGGTGGCAATCTGGACGGTCGGGTATATATCGCAGAACCCTAAGTAAGCAAAGGTGTCTTCTTCGGGTTTTGCATAAGGCTGCCATGAGGCCGGCACCAGCTGAACCCAATCCAAGAGTTGTGCGTCAACGGACGAAGCGTCCTGCCACCAAGTCGCGAGGGCCAGACCGTCCAGGTTATTCTTGGCCAGCCCGCACATCAAGGTGGATAGTCTCGTTTGCAAATCGGCAATCGAGAGCCCGATCAGGTCCAAGACTGCACTCGGGGTAGCTGGCATAGAATCGTCCCACCCCGCGTTGAACCAAACATGCAGGTCCCAGGTGTCGTCCGGTTGCACTTCCATAAATGTCGACACGTCACAGTGCCGCAGGTAGCCCCTCAAGTATGCGCGGCAATCCGAGTCCGGGACGGTCCCGGCGCCATGCTCGAGCAATGCACGAGCCCCGTCCTGGTGGGCGCGCACGGTACGCCGGTGCGTCGACCGAGCAGCGAGGCTCTCGTAGAAATGCATCAAGATGGCGCCGAGGACGGTACTGTCCTTTGACCGCTCGAGGGGATCGTTGAGAGCTGCTCGCAGGCGACTCAACGCCCTGGTAAACGGAGGATGAGGCGTCCGATAGCTGTTTGTTGGGGTTTTCCACATACTCCAGAGCTTCGTTGCCACGGCGGTCAGGACGGTCGAGAGGACAGAATCGGGATGCTCCTTGGCTACGACGGGGAAAAGAGGCTCCAGGAAGCCCTGGGTCGAGTGTAAGCTGCGTCCTAAGCTCGCGATCGAGGTGAGGAAGAAGCAGACAGCGGATGATTCGTCGCTGGGGGTAATCGTTGCTGGTATGACAGCCTGCCTTGTCCATTCTGGCGTTGTCGACATGCGAGGGCTCCTGGACCGTGATGTCGGCGAAAGGACCTGCCTTGCACCAGTGCCCTGGTGCTTGAACCGAATCCGAATCCCGCCTGTCTTTTTCTCTAATTCGTAACCTCCACACACGCGTCGCAGCCGGAGGCATTCACGACAGCTTGGCCTGTCCCCGTCGCATTTGACGCGTCGTTTGCGACATGTCGAGCAGCCCTTTGAGGGGCCATGGTTGACCATGTCTGCTGCACAATGATCACGAGGACCGATGTCGCTTCTGGTTCAAGTTGAGAGTTGCCACGCGGCCGGTTCTGTTTGCGATTCGCCGCATCCAGGGACTGGGTGAAAGATACCGAGGTAGTTACCATCGGGCGGAAATTAGGTTGATAGCGTTGCGAACGAATCATGGATTGTTGAGTTGAGGAAAGGTGGAGCATTGGACAGTTACTGAAGAAGCAAGCCCCTGACAGGGACTGAGCGCGGTTGATGAGGAACGCGCACACACGCATTTCCCTGTGTACATACACAATACACAGTAAGGCAGATTTACAGATTACCACATCACTCTCTGACCACAATAGCTACGCGTGACAAAGATCTCGTCAACGTTTGGTAGCCTTCGGACAGGTGGTGACGTATAATAGCGACTCTTTGCGGAATTCAGTGATGAGTTGATGGTCCAGGCCTTCTCATCTGCCGGACTTGCGTTGCTAGGTTGTAAGACTTCGGTCTTATGGGCTGGGCTGTGCGACTCCTTGTAACTGTGGCAGTGTTTGCGATGGGAGTTGCGAAAGCCGTGGGGCAGAGCATTACAAGGCGACCAATCGCAAAGAAGTTGCCTTGTCCGTCCTAGCGGGATTCCTTTGGGAGTGCGCAACCAGGAACACACCAATCGGAAACAGGCTCGATGCACGGCTGGTGCGTTGTGTAAGTGGAGGCTGGTTGTTGGTTGCTCCCGCTGGAACAGATTGCGAGAACAAGCAAATGAAGATAAAAGGCAGTGCATCGCCGAGAAAGCAACTCTACCCAATCTTCTCTACTATACACTTACTTCTGAGTGCCTTTCAAAATGAAGTCAACTTCCCTGTTCAGCGCTGTTCTGCTGGGGGCAACGGTAGCCTCAAGCTCCATTCTCTCCCGCGACTCTGGGCCATCATCTTCGTCAAAGGAGCCGGAGGATCCCATCATCCTCTTGAGCAAGGATGAAACCTTCCATTTCGAGCTGCTCTTCACCCTCGGAAACACCATATTCGGGGCTGGCGACGTCAACGACGCCTTGGCCGCAGCGAAAGACATCGAGGCCGGGAACTTCACCAGCTGGCTTGAGACCTTCCACGCCTTGGCCGAATACACCAAGAAGCAAGCCGAGGATGCGGACAATGCGTACGATCCATTGAACGTCCGGGAAGCCTGGTTCGCCGCATCGAGCTACTACCGTCAGGCCGACTTCTACAACCGTGCGAACTGGACGGACCCTCGTATCAATAGCTTCTGGCTCGAGCAACGCGCTGCGTTCGACAAGGCGCTTGCCGCACTGCCCGTCCCTGGCGAACGTATCCAGGTTCCGACCGACAACTTCACCATTGAAGCAATCTGGTACACAGCCGCAGCCGACGGGGCCAAACGGCCGACCTTGGTTATCGGCAACGGATACGATGCCGGCCAGGAAGATTCCTACCACTCGTTCGTCGTACCAGCCTTGGCCCGTGGCTGGAATGTCATGACCTACGAAGGGCCAGGGCAGCCCACTGTTCGCCGCAATGATGACATTGGTTTCATCCCCGACTGGGAGAAGGTTCTCACGCCAGTGATCGACGAGTTGATGAATCGCAAAGGCTGCTTCGTCGATCAAGACCGGCTGGTCCTTGTCGGCATTTCAATGGGTGGGTATCTAGCCGCTCGTGCCGCCGCGTTTGAGCCTCGGATCAAGGCTCTTATTGTCAATGGCGGCGTGTGGGATGTCTACGAGGCATACGCCGGTCAGCTGACCCCGGACCTGAAGGAACTTCTCGCTGCGGGCAAGCAAGAGGAATTTGACGAGGCTGTCTTGCCGCTCTCGGATAGCCCACAGGTGCCTACAAACTGGCGCTGGGGTCTAGGACACGGACTGTGGTGCTTCAAGCAGCATTCCCCGTACCTATGGCTCGAATCGCTCAAGCAGTACACTCTCAAGGACGTTGTTGACAAGATCAACGTACCCGTCCTCGTCGTCGATTCCGAGTTCGAGGGCTTCTTCGCTGGCCAGCCCGAGGTTGCCAAGGACGCACTCGGCGATAAGGCAACTTACAGGTTCTTCAATGGAACAGCTGGATATCACGTCCAAGTTGGAGCTGGGCAAGAGTGGAGCAGGTACCAGTTTGCCTGGCTGAACAAAACATTAGGGTGAGCAGGATTAGCTTCAAGATGTCGCGACATGACCCGGCCTGGAGGTTAGCCGAAAAGGTCATGTGTATTAGATTTAGACCGCAATAGATGTATATTGGGCGTGCTCGAACCGTACCCCTGGCTGACAGCATTTGCCATGGAACCTCATCTTCCATGCAGGAGCCTAGCACAGGACTTGACCGACCTCGTGTTTCCTGACCCCCACTTACCAACACCCCATCGTTGAAGTCTCCATCTTTAACCATGCTTCCTTGCCCCTTCTTCAGCCTTTCGGCGGATGCCTTTCAGTGTTTTACAGTTGCGTTGTGTGGTCGGGCCTATTGCTTGCCCCTAGCCATCCAGCTCATCCGCTCCAGCCCCTGTCTACCACTCCAAGTTAAGATCACAAGGCCAACTCGAGGAAAGTGCGTAGATAACGGTGAGCCAATGTCATTTTGCGGACCAAGCAGCAGTCCGACAGTTCTGCAAGTCCCAGACTCAAAATATGTGCAAAGAAGCAAACTATCCAAACACAGAAAGGAATCGAACTCGAAGCAACTCCTGAGCCACTCCAGCGCATCCGTGTCTCTCGAAATTAACCCCTCTCCCCAACTTCCCCTTCCTCTTCCCTTCATCAAAATGCCTAGCAAGAGAACACAGCCGGTCCCGGAATAGGGTACTCCTGGGCTGCAACCCTGTCAGCATCTCCCCACACAAACATTCATTCTTTTAGAAGAAGGAAAAGACTCACCCTTGTAAGCATCAAAGGTAATACCGGCGTCGCTGCCCTCGTAGGCGCCGGGGAAGGCGACCAGGGACGAGGGCACGGTGGAGCCGCCGCCGGTGACCTCGAGCTGGTGGCAGCCCGGGTAGAACTGGGCGCCGGGGTACTCCCAGGCCGCGTGCAGCGCGATGATCTCGTGGCGCACCAGGTAGTAGCCGTCCTGGAGGCACGACGGGACCGTGTAGGTGTAGGCGGCGGGGGCGACCATCAGGGGGGTCTGTTGGTTTGGAGGAAAAGGGGGGGGCAAGTCAGTTTGGCTGTGTCATGAACCCCTTTGGTTGGGTAGGTGGGGAGAGAGGGGAGGACGTACGGCAGCCCAGGTGTTGGAGGTGCCCTCGCGGCCGCCTTCCTTGACCTTGAACCAGACGGCCCTGAAGGTGGGGGGTGGTTAGCGTTGGTTATTAAATGCTCAAGGCGTTGGGTGGGCTTACTCAGTGCCCGGGGACCAGTCCTGGCAGCCGGAGTCGGGGCAGCGAGCCATGTAGGTGATGACCGGGCCGACGTGGGAGTCGGGCCAGAGAGTCCAGTTCAGGGTCACGTCGGAGCCGGCGGCGGCAGGGGCGTGGAGCTTGGCCGGCTCGGAGCCGGCGTTGCACTGGACGTCGATGGAAGTGGCGTCCTCTACGGGGCCATTGCCCGGGATGGAACGGGAGATCCTGTCGGGCTAAAGCGGGGTGAGCTGGCTGTGGTGTTTCGTGGTTGAGGTGGGCCAGGGTTACCTTGTTGTCGCCCATGTACGGGTCCATGTAGGGCTAAACATGTGTGAGTGATTTGCGAGGAACCGGGGGATTGGTAGCGAGCGTACCTGGTAAAACTATAACACCACGGTTTATTAATATCAGACATGCAATGCACGGGAACTGCCGTTGAGCGTACCTGGTAGACCTCTCCGCCGATGGTGGCGCTGTCAACGTATCCATGGGCGGCGACGAGGCCAACGGAGGCCAGGAGGGTGGCGACAGTCTTCATCTTGAGGATGTGTGTTGTGGAAGGCGGGAGTATCACAAAGTCAGAGTACCGGGCACTGGTCTGCTTCACGTTGCGTCTGTCCGGCTTTGGACCTGAGGTGAGGCCTTCTCCAGCCTTTACTTATACTCGCCTCCTCCCATCAACGGTATCCCCTCCACCGCCCCCCTCGCTCCGGACGTCCCGAAAGACCGACCCTCTCCCCCTTCAAATAGCAAAGTTCCCCCCTTTCCCCAGTTGACAGGTGCGAACTAGTGGCTGGAACTTATTCAGGAGCATGACCCGACGTTCCCCCAACGGTGGGTTTACTGCAACGGGAAGCATGGCAGGGTTCGGAGCCACGAGGGTGCGCCTTGGGACGATCAGCGTCTTGGCAACGTCGCAGACTCGCGTTAGCAGGGCCAGACAGCCAGATGGTGGAGCCGACGAAACCCGGTTTCGTTGCGTTGGTCTCCGGGGTGGGAGCCGCACTAGACGCATGGGGTAGCAAGGTCCGAGTCGGCCCTCGCCGCCTCGATGTGGACAAAGACGGCCCACCAATCGACGCACCGCTTGGGTGACCGTTGAGCGAGGCCTGCTCGACATCTGGGCTCTTCGGGCGATTCACGTACAAGTGGTTCAAGAGTGGAAAACGTCCAGGACGAATAAAATAATTGTGAATCGCTGATTAACAAGTATTAATCGGTAGCTACCAAGTTACTACGACCTCCCTTCTTCGAACAAAAATGGGCTGCTCCATCATGTAATAGACCAGGACTCTCAGCCGATCAAAAGCAACTTTTCCTGCTCATCTAACTCCAACGACAACGCTCCTCCGGTTGCTTGAAACCCGACTTGCTCGAATCCAGGCACCGTCCGCGCCATTTCCTCGCGAACGCAAGCCCAGTATGACGTGACTAAGGTTCGCAAGACGTCACCTGGCGGCAACCTCGATATGGGGACTAGAATGCTCTCTAACATCGCAGCGTTCGTGCCCGGGTGCGGTTGGAGCTGCATAAATGTATACCAGACCTTGAACAGCACCAATCGTTGGAGCTCGATGAGATTCTGCTTTACTGCGAAATAATAAAGCTGGAACTGAAGGTCCAACCGCCTTGCATGGCACAATGGCTCCAGGATCTCAAGGGGCACTGGCTCTGTTGGGAGGGCTGGTTGCGGTGGAAGTTCCTCGAAGATGGGCAGACCGCCTCTCTCGACATGAAACTTCTCAACCTTTTTGGCTTGAGGCGGGAGGGTTCTGGCTCTGCGATTGTGTGTTTTGCACCCGTGGCAAGATCCTGGTAGATCGATTTTGAAGCACGCGAGGCACCTCCAGAATTGGGGGCTGTGAAGGTCGCAGTGTGTGCATAACTAGGGCCCTTCGAGCATCTCGAGCATGCCAAAGCAATGGAGACATAAACTCCCGGTCGGTCTTCTGAGGTCTGCGGCTATAGTATGGAGGGATGGAGGTGCTCGCGTTATCGGCAACATTGCAACCCCAGCAAGTGTCGCTCGATCTAAGTTCGACATCAGCCTCGGATCCAGACGGCTTGAATAAAAGAGTGCGGTTCTTGCCTGGTTCCGGGATGGCATAGTCCCCAGTATAAACCCAGCTGAGAAACATCCGCCATACGTGCCCGTGTAGCTCCGGACATTCGACAGGGCCATTGTGGTCTGGAAACAGAAACCTAGGTGTCCAGTATAGAAGCCGGAACTTGGACGCGGGTATGGTGTACGACATCGAGAACGGCCCAACCGCAAAGTGGACAAGTGTGTCGTGATCCTGCCCCGCCATTACAAAGACTGTTGTGGCGTGCGGCGGTAAGGTTATATCGACAGGGCTAGAGAGACCGTATTCGTAATTGTGAATGCTGGGAGCAATGAAGATCGTGAAACTGGGACAAGAATTACCTAAAATCCGATAGTGTCTGAGCCCGCATGCGGAAAGTGATCTGTATTATGTCTTTGGGGTGACGATATGAAGTAGGGGCAGGGTCAAGGGCACCGGGCAAGGAGAGAGGAAGGAGCAGGTTAATATCAAGCCGTGAGATATGCTTGCCAAGTTAGGTATTCGGAAGGAACATCTCGTGAAAACCATGAAACCAGTCTCTAGCCCTCCTTGCAACATTGGTAGGTACCTAGGCTCAGCTGCGGTTTCTCCCTGTTCACAATATAGGGAAAGGATAACTACCTAGGTAGGTAGGAAAGGAGAGGTGACGACAAGAAACAATCTCTATCAACATACAACATATACCTCTAGAGTAGAGTCCTTTCTATGAATTCTAATCACCGCCAAACATCGTACCAAACAGCACTCCAACAACACCCGCCAAGCTACACCCGCCTCCCCCCCCCCTCCTCTCCATGAATTCACCACTCTCACACTGAGCAAAAGGACATTCTTGCCTTGCAAAGCCCAGGGGCACCCTATACACTGCGACAACCACCCTCTCGCCCCCTAAAACGCACCGCCATGCAGCCTCCCCACACTCTCGGGCGTCAAGGCATCCTTGTGCCTCCTGGTAGCCAGAATATGCTCCCGAAACAGCCAACCCATCCCGATGGTCGCGCCGGGCCCCACAACCAACACGCTCACCAACCCCATCCCAACAACCCTCAACCAGCCCTCCCTCAGCATGCCCGCGGCCCGCAAGTCCCAGAACAGATACGCCAACCACACCAACAACGACCCCAGCCCAAACATCTCATCCCACCTCAACAACTGACCCGCAAACCCATAAAAGTCCCCCATACTCCTCGGCAGCCCAACCGGCACAAACACCTCCGCCAACCCAACCCCCCACCAACTCCACCACCACACCCCCGCCGCCAGCACCCCCAGGACCCCCAGATACCACCGCATCACCCCCAGATCCCTCTGCGTGCGATACACCTTGTCCGTCTCCATCTCATCCTTGAACAACAACCTCCCAATCCCCCACACCGCCAGCGACAGCCACGCCGGGTACAGCTGCCAGGCGTAGAGCAGGGCCTGGCGCGTGGGGAGGTCGGGCCAGGTGAGGGTGAGGACGAAGGGGAGGAGGTAGGTGAGCAGCACGGCGGGCAGCGCGGCATAGGTGGTGCGGGTGCGGGTGAGGCGCTGGTCGAGCGCGGAGAAGTTCTCGATGGGGGAGAGGACGTAGTGGATGAAGGTGTAGAGCGGGGCGGCGAGGCCGATGCCGACGAGTTGGCCGAGGGCGATGTAGATTGTGGGGCTGTGGTGGTGTTAGTGATCGAAATACTAAAGAGGGGAAGGGGGGAGGGCAGGAAAGGGGGGGGTGGGGGGATGGAATTACGAATAGGGGTTGGGGTGGGACTGGGACTGGGACGTACAATTGTAAGGGGGTCATGATGTTTGCTCGGCGGGCGGACTCAAAGATCCAGATTGTCAAGAGGATGGTGCCGTCGGTGAGGAAAGAGATGAGTTGTCGGCGAGCGACGGGGTCAGCGTCGTAGACGGTGGGGAAGAAGAAGGTGTTGTACACGGCGACAAAGTCGTCGAAGGCGGGGAACTGGTAGAAGGACCGGAGGATGGGCACGTCGCCGGACGCTAATCTGATAACGCCGCTGTCGAGCAGACCCGTGGCCCAGTCCAGCGCAGGTGTCGCGTTCATGACCCAGCCCGCGACGAAGAACAAGGCGAGGAGTGGCAGAGCGTACACCATGCGTTTGAACTTGCTTTCCCGGTGGCCATCGCCCTGAGACGGGTTGAACGGCTTAGCCCCGGTCAGCGAGACCATGGGCAGCGGGAGGTAGTCGATCTTGGTGGCGCCGATGATGGCGTTGCCCATCAGCTCCGGGACGAACTCGGACAGATGAGGCAGCAAGAACTTGACGAAATAGCTGGTCAGGCCGTCCATGTTTTGAGTGCGGGCGAGGAATCCAGAGGCATCGACGACGGCGCCGGCACGGAGCTCGCGGCCCTTCTGGTACGTCGTCAACATGGCCTCGATATCCTGCCGGGTCGGACGACGGTCCGTGGCATTCCACTTGTCAGCTAGCAACTTGATGCCGTTTGCGAGGGCGGCGGCACTCTCGATGGCCGAGTTCCCGCCGACGCCAAGGTTAGGCGTCGCCTTGTGGATGCTATCGCCGACACAGGTAATACGGCCCCAGTGCCAGAGCTTAAACTTGGCCTCCTCGACGGCGACCAGACGGGCGGTCACGGTCTTCTCCCAGAGGTCTTGAAGCGTGAATCCGCCATTACCTGGGAGGAGGATGAAGTCACGATGCCGTTCAACAAAATCCTTCGCATCGGCGTCTGTGTACCGTGGGATATCGCCCAGACGATGAGTCCTGGGGAGGCGCTCTTGGGCGAAGTAGTACGCCTTGCCCCCTTCAACGGAAATGGACAGGGCGCAACGGCGTTCGTTGTAGGTTGTATGAACGTCCCCCTCGGGGAATCGAGGGCAGTCTAGGTTGTTGACAATGCCAAAGAGGCAGTTGTACTCGGAGATCATGCCTGAGAAGAGTCAGTCGACCGGAACAACCGCGGGAAGCAGCAAACTTACAGTCCTTATCCTCCTTGACGAGCTTGGGATGGTCGGCCTCGGCAAACTGCCACAGCTTGGTGCGGGTCTTGCTGAACACCCCGTCGGCTCCCGCGATAAGATCACCCGAAAAGGAGGTTCCATCCTCGCAAATGGCGGTGACGCCGTTGTCATGGTGCTTAATGTCGGCGAGACCTTTGTTGACGAGAACTTTGCTGGGATCCTTGAGGTTCTCGTACAGGACGCGTAGCAGGTTCTGCCGCTCACCCCAAGCCACGCGGTATCCCGTCCTGGAGAAAAGGGGGTGTGAGACTCCGGTCCCGAGGTAGGATTCGGCAACACTTACCTTGCATGGATCAGGAGAGGACTACGATTTGGCTTGCCGATGAGTTTGCCTTTGATGCCTCGGTTGTGGAAAAGTTTAAGGGGCTCCTAAAGCACTGTGTGTAAGAAGCATGGCCAGCTGAGAGATATTGGGGCCCGGATCCTACCGCGCCTTTCTCAACCGCCCCCCACACTCCTAGTTGATCTAGAATCTGAAGAACGACATCGTTTTAGCAACATTGGTTTGCAGGGGCTCGCAGTACGGTGCGTCTTACGCGTGCACCGTTGGGGAACATGCCAATCGACGCGCCAATCTGAGGCGCCACCTCACTGCGGCGCTCCAGGAGAACATAATCGACATTGGCTTGCTACGGGCGGTCAACATGCTGACCGAGTAAGGGGTACGGTTTGGCACACCTCAAGAGCGTTAGCAAGTGTCAGACCCGCCACCCCTGCGCCAACAATAACCACACGGAACCGGCCGCTTCCTTCGCTGTTGGCCATGACAGAAGAATGAGCCCGGGGGCACAATTAATACAATTGTAAGGATGTTGTTTCTGGTTGCAGGTACCACGGTATGCGTGTTGTATGAGAGCGAATACTCGTCAGAACAGGCAGAGAAAGCGGTGCTTCAGCTGAATATTTATCCAGATCCTGCGAGATGAGATCACAAGGCTCGTCCTGTCAGCAGAGATAACTAATCCAGCTATGCGAACACCCAAAGGCAGAGCCGGGCGAACCACGGATGCCGTCTTTTGTTGGCCCGACCAACGGCAGTCCCATCCTGTCGTTGACCAGGCGCAAGCTCGGTCAACGGTGTACCATGCTCGCCGAGTTGTGGAGAGCCCGATCCCATATTACCCTGGGACTGATCTGTTGCCTGTTTAATGGGCACCCGAGGATTGACAACGGAATTCGGACATCAATCCCGTTGGCAGCCTGAATCCACCCCGGCAACACCCTTACACACGCGGTACCGGAGTTGAATGGTCAGCAGCAGGGGGTCTTACTCAGCTTAGTGGGTGGTGAATGGCACCCATATGAGGGAGATTATGACGGAAGGTCGGAGATGGGGAACAAATAAGCCGTTGGAACACTGCTGGGTCGGAGACGATCCGGATTTCGGGATAGCTCCGACTTGAAGACCTCGTCAAAAGAGGCCGGCCCCCGGTCTCCTCGGGGTGCCGAAAGCAACGCAGCGTTTCGACGTCCGTGAATTATTCTCGGCACCGGTCAAACCGTTACTCAGCAGCTCGCTTTCTTTTCTCGGCCGGCGTCCCGGTGGACTCGATACCGACTCCTCTTCCCCGTCGCCGGGGGCACTTGTTCTCGGCTGCCTTCCTCTCGACAGAATCACAGACTTTTGGCCGTTCCAACAAGTACAGGGTTTGATTCAGGGGTAACTAATGAACAGTGTCAGAGTCTTACCGGATATACATCGCCATTGCCTTATCATAGGGGTTATCCGACTCATCCGGGGTAAGGTCCAAGGAAATTAACCTTGCTGCGAATAACTACCTATGTACATAGCAGGTAGTAGATACCCCCCAAACCCACCCCGACACCATCCCTCCTTTCCGACACCCCGACCACGATCACGGCTCCAAACTGCCATACGCCGCCCCCAGCCCCTCACAAAGCTCCTGATGCCCCTCCCCCAACGGCACCTCCTTCGCCCCCCACTGCAGCATCCTCATGACCGGCCTGTCCGCATCCACCTTCTCCCACCTGCCCACCCTCTCCACCTCCCTCAGCGTGCCCACATGGCCCCTCGCCTCCAACCACCCCTTACGGGGGTTAGGATCCCCCCAGCGGGCAAAGGCGGCCCAGTGGTCCATGACGAGCTGCATGAAGGGCAGGTCGCGCGCGTCGCGCAGCGGCATGCCCGTGCGCAGCACCGTGCCGAAGACAAACGCCTGCTCGGCCGCGTGGCACTTGAAGTACTCGCCGTCCGGGTCGCCGTGCGGGTGGGAGGGGGTGAGGGGGGGATCGCACCAGGGCTGGGTCCAGCCGCGCGGGGAGTAGGTGCGGTTGAACTCGAACATGTAGGTGGATTGGAAGGCGGCGTGCTTGGCGGCGGAGAAGGCTTTGGCGTAGGTGTTGCAGGTGAAGAGCCAGTTGGTGGTGAGCTTGACGGCGGCGTGGAACTTCTCCGAGGTGGTGGCGGTGTTGTTGGCGAGGGAGGGGGGCAGGCCCGGGATCGGCTCGCCTTCGGTCAGGCCGAGGATGGCGGAGGCTTTGGCGCCCTCGGGCCCGTGGAAGGCCTCGACGCCCAGGACGTCGATGTACTCGAGGAAGGTTTGGTTGTCGGTGGGGAGGAGGGCTTCGGTGACGTAGACGCCCGTCTCGTCGCGGTTGACGCCGAGCATGACGGGGACCTCGGTAGCCAGGCTGTCGGCGGTTGAGTTGACGACCAGCCCGTGGTTGGTGAGGTAGTTGCCGTCCATGACCGCGAAGCTGGGTTCGGCCATGTTAGTCTTGTCATTCTCCGCAATCTCGTAAGGGGTTTCTAACAAGGGACGTACCTGGGGTTAAGGGGGAGGCTGACCAGCTCGACAGCGCTCAGCTGGTTGAGGCAAGCCACTTTGTCGGTGGCGTTGAGGCAACCGGTTAGGGCCAAAACCGGCGTGGTCATCAGTTGATAGTTCTTTTCCAGGCTGTCATAATACGGCCATGCCACAGGTCTGGCCGCGCCGGGCGTTGTGGGCCATCCGTCGGGTGATGACTCCATAACCGCTCCGTGGAAAAGACCCTTCGCCTTTTCCATGCCGAGGAGCATGTGTATGCTCAGAGCTCCCGCCGACTCCCCAAAGACGGTTACCTGGTCAGGGTCCCCGCCAAAGTACTTGATGTACTTGCTGATCCATTCCAGCGCGGTGACCTGGTCCGAGACGCCGTAATTGCCGTTGTGAACGCCGTCGTTTAGGTTCAGGAACCCGATCGACCCAAGGCGGTAGTTGAACGCAATTACCACCACATCACCGCGTGCTGCCAAGTTGGTACCGTCCTTGTACATGTTCTTGCTAGATCCCGAATTGAAGCTGCCGCCATAAATGTACACCATAACGGGCTTCAGCTTCTCCTTTTTGTCTACACCCCCCGTGGGTGGGAGATAAGGGGTCCACACGTTCGCAAAGAGACAGTCCTCGCTGCTAGTTCCGCCCTCGGCGTCCTCGACTCTCTGCGGGCAGTCCTCTCCCGCCACCGTGGCATCGACTTCTCCCTCGTCCTCGTAGCTGGCCGCCTTGGAGTACGTGAACCGCGCAGGGGTGTCGGCAAACCGGACACCCCTGAACTTCCAAACGTGGTAATCGCGGTAACCGGTCAGTACCTTCTTTCCCACCGTCTGCTGCACTTGCCAGGTCGCCGAGTTGTTGTCGGCAGTACTGCTCGAAAGCGGAGCGCTGTGAGTACAGAGAATCGGCAGCTCCTCCCCACACTCCACGCTGTGAGTCTTCCCCTGGGCGTCGATCGCGCGGCAGGTGGTCTCACACGACTTGGCCTTGGAAATCCAGTATAGCTGGTCCTTGGACGCGATCTCTTGGTATTCCTGGTAGCCGAGCGCCTTTCTCAGTGTGGCCTCGAAGTCGGCCTGCTCCGGGCTCCAGGGGGCTTCTGTTAGCAGCTTGCAAGAGGCCCGGCCGGTCTCAAAGTCGCTCGGCTGGCCCACGAGCATGGCACCGGAACCGTCATTCTGCGATCCTGTTGATATCTTAGTTGGGGGACGACCCCATGATCACCCTCTCGGTCACTTACCGTCGACATCACTCGGAGCCAAAATGGTCAGGCCCCCTCCAGCATAGGATGCCTCTGCGGTGCCGATAGTAAACGCTGCAGCCGCAGCTGCGAGAGCCGGAAGACGGCCCAGGAGTCCCATAGTCGTGAATGTCAAAGAGAGTGGCCGGTTGGGCTAGACATCGAGCTGAACCGCGACATGTGGTCGGGTCCTCCCTCTTAAGGGTTGGTTCACCAAGGGCCCTTCGGAGTGACAAAAACCCCATGCAAGGGCCTTGCAGCCCTGCAGGATTCAAGGAACCCCGGAAGGATTTGGCCAAGCGCCCTTTTTCCGGGGGAAGATGCAGGTCCGTGCCGTCGATGTTGAACTCTCCTTGTGAGCTCAACCCCCAAACCAGGCCCGTGGACGAGATCAGGTCTGCTCCAGCGGCCCCGATTCGCTGAGAACTCCGAGGGTCACCTTGTGGTGACATCCGGACCCTTGCACTCTACAAGTCTCCGCACGGTCTGCGGGCCTTGCTCCCGGGAGGATCACTCAGCTGGGTAACGAATGAGATGGAATCCAGACTCTTCACCAAGCTCCCATAAACTGGCGGCTTGTGTGAAGCTGTGTCTGTCTCGTCATATCGTGGGCAACCCGTCATTCGACCGTGGAGATCGAAATTCTGACCGTCGCGGCTCTTCTTCTCACGGACTAAGTCCATCGCTTGAGGGGTAACTTTTCTGTTTTTGTCCGCAAGTTTGGGCAGAAGGGCCCGAAGCTGACGTCGCATAACTAATCAATCTACCGGTTGGAAAGTCTTCACAACAGCGGGAAGTGGGCCGTGATCCTAGCCCAGGTCCTTCGCCTTCCACGCTTTCCTCCCATCCTTGTCAACATCTTCCAGGAATCAGCCTCGGCGGCCGGAACGGATTATTGTACATAACCTTGTTCCCTCCCATGGCTAGCCTCCCAGCTGCCAGAGAAAAAATTAGCCTCCAAGAGGCAATAAGTCTGAATGAGGATGATAGGTTCTGGCCTAGGTGCGGTACCCCGACCACCAGAAGAAATGTTGCCTCGCTAGCAGCCCGCAAAGCGATATCGAAGTCTTGGTCGATCATCACTCGGCTGTCGACTGGTTCTTTGTCTGCGTTACGGATATTAGTAAGGCCGGCGGCTTCAACATAGTCCTCCCTGTCCTTGTTAGGCCCAAACGAGTTTTTGTTGTCCACTTCTCACTACCATATCACGGGGTTGGTGAGGCAGCTGAGTCTGAGCATTGCGGACGGAGAAATCAGCGTACACATGCCTTCAGCGTTGCCCCCTCCTTTTGCAGCCGAGGACTCAATACAGGGAACTACACCATGGGCTAGATGCGATTCATAATGAGAGCCGACGACATGTAACCTGCCGCTCTGGCCGCCCCGTGAGCGAGCATGTATCATTTCATGACAAACAACACAAACCGAAGCCGGCTCCCGTTTGTGAACCTGTCAGAACGGTCGGTTATGTCATTACCGTCTCCCACAACAGTTCATTCACAGTAAGTATCAAACAAGTCTTACTACACGTTCACCGACCTCCAACACAACAATATATATCTTCGCCGAAGTAGTGGAACGTTCAAAGCGTCGTCGATCTTGGATGGCGCAGTCCAGTGATAGGAGGTCAACGATGTCATTCTCAACATCAACTATGCGGGTTAGTAGCGGGAGATGGTCGATTTATACCTTGATAACAAGCAGATCCGATCCCCCGGCGACTTTCTTCCACAGTGAAGAAGAGTTCTCCATATTCTCTCGGCGGCTCTACTACATCCTATGAAAAGCGCCATGGTAGAACGGCAAAGATTGTGATTTATCTCGTCATCGGCTCGAGAAGCTCGGTATTAGAGTAGTGGTGGGTACCTTAGACAGCTAAGCGGTCGCCATCTGGCAAACAGCACAACGAAAGATGGGTTTGAAAAAGAAGGCAAAATCACGAAGCATTCTCTCAGCTTCGTTATTGCTATTATGGACGAGGGGTTTAAACGGCGCTAGTTATGAGCGGACTTAAGGACGTGCCATATGTATTTCAAGACCATCTCAGGGGGGCTTGGATAATCAGGTGTCACCTACCCAAGCAGCACAGCGTTTGGGGTCTGGGCCCAGGGGGCAGCTTCTTTTCTTTAGTTTTGATCCATTCTTGTGTTTATTTAGTTTTTGACAGTGGCCAAGATGAAGCCACAACCAAGCCTTTTCTGGGCGGCCGTCGGCCCACTGCCATTTATAGCATGTTCCAGGGCATTCATTCCCTTGCCCCGAGAAGTCCGGGGCGGCCCGTCGATCTCTGTGGGGCCTCAAGAGACATCAGCGAGTGGCGAGCGACCTGGATGCTTGCACAAAACGCTGGGCATCCCGAATCACGAGCAGGCCGAAATTCACACTGGATCCGCCTCGGAGGGTTCTCGGCCACACCACAAAGTCCATGCTTTCCGCCTCCCCTGAGCCATGTTGCAACACTTGCATTTCCTCAGACAGCACGAGGGCACAGACAACAGACGATGGAAGGGGGTAAGCTGAGTGGACGTGCCCCCGGGGGCGACCGGAGTATTAGCCTAAAACATCATGCGGTTGGCGATCCTGCTAACCCGTTTCTCGCCCTTCTTAGCAATTCAACTGGTCCAAAACAGCCCATTTCCGCGGCTAACAGGGTGGCCCGGCACTGTCCGGCAATCTGCTGCAGTTGAAGCCACAACAGTTCGGCCCCTTTGCCTTGTCTGATCTCATCCTTTTCTCCGGTTCGAGACCCGGCCAACAGAAAACAAGGGCGCTAAGACTGACACGAGTCAAGCCATCTCATGCCCCTTTGCGGCACGTGGCAAGGGGGTGCCCTTCTGGGTATCCCGAGACTCATGTAAACCGTCCGGAACCCCCCCAAGTTTCCCATGAACGCCACCCTTTCCCCGCTAGACTCTCAAGGGGTCCAGACCAGCTCAGTCGACGTCACACATTCCAAGCCCAGTCCTCTAGCCTAAATCATCGGCGACATCATGTGGAAATAGCAGAATCCCAGAATTCCCAACACTCAAACGAAGCGATTGGGACACCGCAACGAAGCGCAGCAATGGGGCAAAAACAGTCGGTGGTGCAGGTAATTAAGCCTCCTCCCTCTACACAGCAAACCCGGCATCAAACCACCCCAACCAGACAGACAGACACTAACCCCCCCCCCCTTACAACAGCCGGCCTTCTTCTGCCCCTCGACCGGCCTCGAGATGGCCGACGGCGACCCGCTCGGCCTGTGCGCGCACTGCGGCGCCTGCCACGACCTGATCTGGCAGTCCGTCTTCGTGTGCCCCAACACGGGCTACCGCATCGAGCAGCCGCTGTCGGGCCGGCCCGACAAGGAGTGCCCGTCCTGCTTCCAGCTGCACCAGCCCTACAGCAAGCGCGTCTTCGTCTGCCCCGTCACGGGCGCCTCCATCCCCCACCCGCGCGACACCCAGGGCAGGTGTCTGAAGTGCAGTCGCACGCATGAGGACAACTCGACGCCGGTGGGGAGTCGGGAGGCGGTTAGTACGAGGGGCGGGAGGTGATTTGAGGTCGGGAATGTTGGTTTTGGTGTGGTTATCGCATCTCGGGGGCGCATAACGGCTGATGGGGTTGGACGAGAGGCGTCTGGTGATCGGGATGGACCGGGATACGATACGGTTAGAGGATAGTGCAAGATACCCCAGGGAAGCGTGAAACGGAAGGAAGCCGATTCTGGTATGGATGCGTTCGGCTTTAGAGCGATGAAGCGGAGACGGCGGGCCAACTGGACCTCTTTTCGGGCAACTGTTTGATACCACTCGGCATTGGTTAGCAAGGGAGCACGGCCTGGTAATGCGGAATCTGATTTACGATCTCAGGGGTTGAGTGTCGACGACTACCCGGCGCGTGTCTACTCAATGACTTGAAGCGATACTAATATATCATCACGACATTGATCGGGCCACCGTCTCCGCCGCGGAGAACTCTTATGTAAGTTCGTTGACTACTTTTTGACTCCGAATCCTAACCCCGGGGCCCCTAAGGTCGTCTTCGCCAACCATATCACTTAGAAGGCTTATCCGTGGCCCCGATCGTTGTCCGAGCACCGAATGACGGTACCGACAGGTCCCAGTTACCACCATCTACATCCGAGGCGTCCGAGGCAGAGCCAACGTTCTGATGTCACGTTCCACTGTGACGACGGTGGCCACTGAACACCAAGGACCACCTGATATCTCACTGCAACGTCCCGTGAGAACACGACATGAAGGTGAAATCCAGCTCTCGTTTACATGCAGCTGCAGAGGCCCAGGCCCTCCAACTGCAATATTTCTCGGAGACTGGCCAAAGTCAGCGGTGATGTAGCTTTCGACATTAGCCTGTTGGTACGTTTCCCGTGCCACAACGCACCAGACACGACCGGCCTTGCAGCTCGCAAATTGCTTCTCGCGGGGTCTTCTTTACCCACAAATTGCCGCCTCAGCCCAACGCCCGCTTGAATGTTTGGTACCGCTAAGGATTCAATATTTCTGCTATTAATATCCCCATCCTGTACACCGTCACCCTTTCCACCAAACTTCATCCAACCCAACACCCCCGTTGCGTGTTAGTGTGGAGCTGGAGAGTAGGGGGCCTGTTCAATACAGAAACTGGAACTGAAAGGCAAGTGAGGGTTGTAATATCAGGGACGAAAAGAAAACGGAAACAGCAACAGGACAAAGGTTGATATCGAGTGGCTGAAAAAGCTACATCCTCTTCTAGAGGTACGCTATTTGCTGCAAGGGTACGTTAGACAGCACTCAAGCACCGCCGAGGTCTCGCTAACAAACAAACAAGGGGGGCTGCTGTATGCGGTCCTATCCGAGAAACGGGTAGGCGATGCGGATCGAGAACCAGAGAAGCTGACATTCTGTAAATTATCTTCACTGCTACAACGGGAACAACGTAGCCCCTTCCCGGAATCCCACGACCCCTTCGTGATTGAGGTTCCATCGTGCAGGCGATGTTCGGCAGTAAGCCAACGGCTCGTGGCTCGGCGGCGTCCTGGCACGTCGTAAGCACCACAGAACGGACCCTATCCTCTTAGATATAATGAATCCGGCCTCGCCTAGAAATCATAAGACACCAGGTGTTTCCGGTCGCTGAGACGCTGGACTATCTCCAACTGCCCCTTACGTGCTCCACCAAGCAGCCCAAGTTGTCACTATGGTCGCCGCCTCGTTGACCAGGAGCCTGTTGCTCTTGGCTCTAGGTTTCTCCCAACAGGTTATCGCGGCTTGCACCCTGACCATCACAGCCAAGCAAGGGGATACGTGCGCTACTCTCGCATCCCAGGCCGGGATCTCGGTTACACAGTTCCTCAGGTCCAACCCCTCCGTTACCAGCTGCTCGCAGCTTGTTGTTGGGCAAAACTACTGCATCGAGGGAGTAGACGACGGCGGCTCAGGAACACCCCCCCAATCCTCGACCCCCGCGGATCTCGTGGTCAGCCCCGATGGGAGCTGCGGACAGGGTGTGACTTGCACAGGGTCAAGGTACGGAGACTGTTGCTCGGCTCACGGCTTCTGCGGCAGCACCACCGACTACTGCGGCGATGGCTGCCAGGCCGGGTTCGGGAACTGCGGCTCCGGCACGGGCGAGCCATCGGGCTCCCCTGGCGGGTCGGTCACAGTCACCGTCACCAGCATCACATCGGTCACCAAGACCTCCGTGGTCACGCAGACATCCACCGTCACCCAGCCCCGCGCCACGGCCACCGTCACGCAAACCGTCGGGACGACCGTCAGCGTGCCCGCCACCATCACGTCCATCATCCGCCTGACGACCATCGTCACCAGCCTCAGGACCTCGGTCACCACCCGCACAGTCAACGTCACGTCTGTGACCATCGACACCATCACCAGCATCACCACCTCGACCCGTCTGGTCACGTCCGGCGTGTGCAGCACCGCGCCTACTAGGACGACCGGCAGACCGACCACCACCACCCCGCCCGAGGGACGCCCGACTCTCCCGGGTACCCCTAGCAATTGTAAGTTTGTGGATGTGCGGGACTCTGACCTTGCTCGGTAGTGCATTGGCATATGGTTGGATAATTACGAGGAGACAACGTCTTGATGCTGGCCCCGGTGGCTAGCAGGTCAGGGGTGGTTAGCAGATAGGGGGAGGTCACTGGCACCGCACTCTGTCGCGGACAACACTTGCCCTTGCTCCCGGAGAAAGCCGACGTGCTCAGCACTGAGGTTTGAACCTTTCATGACACACAGACTGACACCCCGACCCCGCCCTCTGTAGGTAAAAACTACGACGAGATCCGAAGCAACGACAGCTGCCGCGACATCGCAGACCGGAACAAGCTCTCACTTCGAGATTTGTATGTTTCTTTGCCCCCCACCTACATTCATGACTGTGCTAACTCAGGAGTAGTTATAACCTCAACCCGTCGGTGAGCGGAACCGTCCTCAACTTGGGCTTTGATTGCACGCCCGAATTCATCGACCTCGTGCTAAGCGGCCTGTGCCAGATCAACTGTGACGCCTTGTGGGAGGGGTATTTTGTTTGTGTGGGCAGATGAGGGGGGGCTTGTTTGGGATAGTGGTGTGTGGATGTTTGCTGTCGGTTCGAAACCTCCAAGATATCTCGGCAATTTGAAAGGAATCAAGCAGTACTTTGTGCAAGCTCATATTAGTGCCCAGATTTGACGGTCCGGACTGAAGTGATAGCGAAGTCTCACTGGCGAAGGTGACAACAAACGAAAAGGATGGGGAATCTTAGCAGATAAATTCATGTATCGGATTTGACCTGCCCCATGAGTTTTATTCTAGATTTAAGTCTACTGGGGCTGTGACTCAATCTTGGTCCTTGTATGATTGATATTCGGTACTTAGGACTATGGCTTGCTAATATGAAAGCAGCCTAACGTGACTGGGTTCAATGACTTTGATACATGCACAGCCTACCGCCATTATGACGACCTGAACATCCCAGGAACAAGGCCGCCGCGCTGACAGAGACATCTACAGCGGATAAACACCACTCGCGCTGCGTGGAGTAAACGATGTCTCTTTCGAGCCCAACCAAGTAGATTGTGTCCTTATATCGAGCCCAGTCCAAGCAGTTTAAGCTCTCCTCATATGCACCTCCAGCCCAGACTGGACCACAAAAAAGGACGCGTTCGCCTTAAGCGGCCGCCCCGGATGTGCGAGCTCAAAGCGATAGTCGCGCAGCAATCGCGGTACGAGCTTGTTGATCTCGAGGAGAGCCAGATTCCGGCCAATGCACAGATGGCTTCCACCACCAAACTGCAGACCTCATGTTAGACACACCCACACTCAAACAAAGGAGAACGCAGAATACTCACCTGGAACATATACCGCTCCATCCGCTTCGCCCTCTCCTCATCCTCCAGCCACCGCTCCGGCCTAAAGTCGTCCGCATCCCGCCCAAAGACCTCCTTATCCCGGTGCAACACCCACCCATTGCAGGCGATGGTGGTACCACCAGGGAAGAAGTGGCCGTCGAGCTCGGCACCCTCGGGCGGCGCGACGCGGGTGATGTTGAGCCCGACGGCCGGCCGCACGCGCATGGCCTCCTTAAGACAGGCCTGCAGGTAGGGTAGGTTCTGCGCCTGGGCCCAGTTCACGTTGCCTTCGGTGGGCAAGATGCCCGTTTCGACGGCGTGCTCGATCTCGCGCAGCACGGCGTGGTAGATGGGTTTGGCGTCGAGGATGTGCCAGAAGAAGGACTGCATCGTGGAGGCGGTCGAGTCGGAGCCGGCGAAGCTGGGTTATGTTAGTTATGATTCATGCCAACCAAACACGCCGCGCTCGGGGGGGACTGACATGGCGCCATGCGCAACAGCAAAGACATCCCCCTCCCTAAACCGCTCCGGGTCCTTGAGATGCCCCTGGATCAGACTGGCCATCAAGTCCTGCCTACCATCGCCACTCCTCAACAACCCCCCATGGTCCTTATCAAACGGCTGGCGGCGCGCCATCTCCTCCAGCGCCATCCGCGTAATCAGCGCATTCTTGGTGCTCAACCACGGCACGAACCGCCACAGCGGGTTCCTCCGCAGCAGGTAATCCAGCTCCGGCACCTGCCCAACAATGCCGTTATACACCTGCGAGTTATCGATCGTCTTGATCGCCCCATCCACATCCCGCCCCTCGGCCAGGAACCCAAACCCCCTGCTAAACGCCACCTCCCCGAGCACATCAAACGCAAAGTAATGCAAATAATCCCCCAAATCAAACACCCCCTTCGCCGCATCAACATGCTCCCCAATCCTCCTCACCAACAACTCGACCGTATCATCAATAAACGGCCCCAGCTGCTGCATCGCCGCCATGCCATACGGCACATTGGCCACCCTCTTCTTGGCCGCATGCACATCCTCGCGCGTCTCTGTAAAGATATCCGGGTTCTCCGGCGGCGGAAACACACCATAAAACGGCGTCTTGAAGAAGCGGCGGCCCGCGCTCAGCAGCGTGCGCGCCGCCTCGGGCGACGAGACGGAGACCTCGCCGGGGGCGATGCGCACCACGCTACCGTGCCGCCGGTGCAGCGCGATGTGGTCCAGGTGGGTGTGGCCGGACGCGGTCGACCACACCTTCCAGAGGCGGGTGAACGAGGCGAGGACGGGGCCCGGGTATTTGCGCAGGGGTGAGACGTAGCGTTTGGTGAGGGCGCGCAGGAGGAGGGTGAGGAGGAGGATGGTGGGCCAGTGGCTGGTGAGGAGGGCGAGGGTGGTGCTGAGGAGGGATTGGGGGCGGGGAGGGTCCCCCCCGGACTTGAGGGCGGCCATGATGATGATGATGGTGGTGGTGGTGGTGGTAGTGGTTGGAGTGGGTGTGGTTGGTTGGCTGCGGATGGTTGGCTGTGGTTGCCAGGCCTTCCAGCGAGGGTTGAACCTTGTTTGAGGGAGTTGATAGGTCCAACGAGCAGCTGTTGAAGTTGCTCGTCCTTGGGAGGTTTTAAACGACGTTGTTTTTGGGACAGGTCAGACGTGGGTGAGGCGACTCTGGGAGTTATTAGCCAGCGGTAGTCATATGGCTGAGCCGGCCGGGGTCCCTCTCGGATTCCAGGAGTGGCCCGCCGAGCAAGGGCAAGTCGGGGGACATCTGCCGATCCAGTGGAATTCCGTGTCAGCCATGTTGGAGGGCTGCCAAGACCCGGTTGAACATCATGAATGAGAGGATGAGCAGTGGCCGATAGCAGCCGTCTCCAGCCCAGACGGACACCTGGCCGATGAATGACCAGTCGCGGGTGATGGACTGCAGCCGGTTGGACGAACCGTGGGTCCAATCAGGGGTGTGGGAACTCGGATGTCAGAAGTGGACGGCGAGGCATTGAGTGGCGTGGAGGGAGAACTGGGGATTGAAGCCAATAATCGCCGTATGGGGAGGTGAACAACGATCAATTATCAAGTCAACTTGCGAGAGTTGTGCAAGGAGAAAACTCGGATTCCGTATTTGTGTTCGTTATTAACTATTGCAAGGAACAAACGTGGCATTTCCGTTAGAAACAATGCAACTTCATGCTCGCCTCTTGCTTGCATGTCCAAATGGCTGGATGGCGCAGGTCAGCGAACCAAGCTTCAGCTGTTGTTCTTGTGCAGGAAAGACTTCCGTATTGAGTCGAGTGGCTTGAGGGCAGTTGGTCTGTTTGGGGAATTGGAGCACGTTCCGGGTGCGGGGCTGGACGACGGTGTTTGTGGTGTGAGAGACCTCGTCGCTTGTTCTCGGCAGTTGTTTTGGCCCCTCTTGTTCGTTTTCTGCATTAGGCAAGTACGTAACGAAAATGGCCGGATCGGATCGTGAGCCGTCAACTCGGTGGTCGTGCCTTCCCATTGAGTTCGGGAATCAGAAAATCGAGAAGCGGGGCTGCTTCCTCGAGTCTTGTCTCGACTCGGTTTAGTCAAGCGACACACACACAATAACAGAGGTACCCTCGTATCCTTCATGGATCGGGTTTGTTAGTGGCATTATCAACTAAAACCGTGATGGATGGGGTGAAGGTACCCGATCGGCCGGCACGTCACACGCGACCCGCCTCCACAAAATGCGTGGATCTCTGCTCCACACCGACGATTTAGGTACGGTGTTGCGTCAAGATGATGGGACATTAGGTACCATAGGAGTAAACGGATCAGGATGCATCAGTGTTGCACGGCAGGATGGGATGGAAGGAAACGTCGAGGCATACAGTGCAGTAGTTTCGAGTTGGCACAGCCTAAAGAGGCCGAGAATGTGAACCAGAGTATCAAACGTAAACTCGACAACTAATCTAGCAGCCTCTAGGCCCAGGTATGTTTCTCACAGCTAAATGTCCGCCTTTTCCACTTCCCAGACTCCAAAACTCCAAGCACGATGCAAAGCCGAGCGAAGCTGCCAAACACAACAGCCGCAATCCTGCCTCCATAGTCCATCCTGATCTCCTTAGATCTCGGCCTTCTTCGCAGCCGCCTTCTTTTGTTTCCTCAGATTGGCCTTACGCTCGGAAATCTCCTTGTCAAGCTTGTCGTCGTTGCTCTCGGGCACCGCCTTCTTGACCTTCTTCTTCGGCCGGTCCTCCTTGACAGGCTCTTCCGCCGCCGGCTCGGGCTCCGCATCCAGCGACTTGCGCTTCTTGCCAACGTTAGGCTTCTCGCCAATCGCCTTCTGACCCTTGCCCGGAAGCGCGCTGGGGGGTTGTTGCCCCTCAGGGACCACCTTGGAGTCGTCGAGCCAGAGCTCGTCCGTCTGGTAGATAGGCAGGGCGGCCGTCTCGGGGCCCTTCACGTAGAAGTTGCGCACGTTCTGCCACTTCTGCGGAACGAACCGTTCGACCAGCTCACGCGCTGCTGTGTCGACATTGGCCGCAATCTTCTCGGGCTCCCAGTTGGCGTACCCGACCTTGATTGCCGTGTTGGTGGACGGGCTGAGATGGACGTGCGCGGCGCCAATGGCCTTTTGGACCTCGTTAACAATCTCGGGGATTGGGCGGGCGTTGATGTTCTCGGTCGGGTCGCGCTTCGGCTTCTTCCCCTTGGGCGCCGCGACGCGCTTGCCGTCAACCTTCTCCCTCGGCGCCATCAGAACGACCGGAATGGGCCGCTTCGTTGTCGTCTTGTAGAAAGTCTTGCCGAGCGCCTTGGGGAGGCGGTTGATGATTCGATCGTCGGCAAGGAAGACATCGTGTTCGCTGAAGAGTTTGCGCTGCGCCTCATACGCCTTGAACTTGGCCCGCAAGTGGCTGATGTCGATCACCCGGCCGATCTTGGCCCGCAGGTCCTCGGGGAACTCGTCGGCAACCGCATTCTTGTACCACCGCTGGGGGTCGGCTGTTATTAAGCAGACGCTGAGCTCTTCGTTGGTGTTGAGAGGGTTGGGGAGGACGATTTTGCCGGGCTGAAGGCCTGGGAAACTGTTAGCAGCTGATCCAGGTGCTGCGCAAAGGCGCCGGGGGGAGGATAGTGGGGGACATTGGGAGTGACAATGCAGGCGCAAACGAAGCGCCGCCGTGGCTTTCAACGTGGACAATTGCTTGGGGAGACGTACGGTGAGAATCGTGAATGTGCTTCTTCGTCGTGAGCGTCAGCCAAACCGGCGTTTCGGCGACCGCCGTCTCCTCGTCACCGAGCAGGTTTTGCTTGCCGTCGTCGCGTGGTTCGGCGGCTGACTTCTTAATGTGGGCGACAAGCGCCTTGCAGGCCTTTAGGGTCTGCTCGGGGTCCACAGGGACCGAGGCATCGGCGGCCTTCGCAACAGTGGTGGATTTCGACATGTTGGCGAGGATTGATGTCGGCGATGTGGTCGGTCGTCCCAATTCCCGATCGCGAATCCGTTGTTTTCCTTCACCTTGGCTCCCAAGAAATTTTGGGCTTATCCGGAGAACTCGTTTTTCCGCTTATCAGAGATAAGATTCATCCCTGGCAACTACTAAAAACGGAAGGTGGGGAATGCGGGTCAGAAGCAGGCAAGATGTGGGGCCGCCCTCGGCCGAGTCCTGGAGCGATCCGAAAGGTGCGGGAGGCCGCCTCGAAGCCTCAACGACAAACCTGTTGACTGCTATGTCATCGCCATGGTACATCCGTCTCACTGTCCTTCTCCACAACAAAACCTATCACTCAGCAACATGATCGGAACTTTATCAATAACAGCGCAGGCTCGCCAGTCATCCATTGTCCATAACCATCACTACATAGACATCACAAACCGTACCGCCGCCCACCCCCAGCCCTCCAAAACCGCCTTCCTAAGCACAGCTTTTCTTTTGGTGACCTTCCATACCCCAACAGACCTGACAGGAGGTATCCTCCGGTCGAACCTCACGCAAGACATCCCTCGCCAGTAAAAAATATGAAAAACAATTATACACCAACAAAATACGCCTTGCGCTATGCAGCTCCTCCTAAAGCAAAAAGAAGAGCATTACAGATGGGGGGATAGGGAACCCAGCAAATATCTGACAGAAATGGGGTATGTGAGACCTTCCCAAGCACAGGCGCAAGCAAATAAAAAGCCATCCCCTCCAGCCGTCGTCATGTTCCTCCACAGGGGCGGTGCGGTGTGGTGATGACAAAAAAATAAGGATACAGACCCGTGAAACTCCCATCGAAAGTTCGGTGGGGTGACGATCAAGGGGTCTTGGGGCGCTTCCAATAATATTGCTGCAAGGGAACAAAGTCAGCAAACTAACTCCTGACGGACACTCAAATGGATGAAACTCACCTTGTGCTGCTTCCGACAATTCCTCAGGCTCGGCTTCCGCAGCCCGTCCGTCACGGCCAGCCTCCGGTGCTCGTCGGTATCCAGCTCGGGCGTGTAATAATACTCGCTCTCGAGCGGCTTGCCTGCCGCGTCCTTGCCCTGCCGCCGGATGATGCCCAGGCAGGGCGTCGACTCGATGATGACGCGCAGCTGGTCCTTGTTCACCATCTTCCGCTCCTCGGTCGGCAGGTTGTTCATGATGGTCGAAAGCGGCGTTGACGACAGGCGGGAGAAGGCCAGCTGGTTGACCATGTGGTTGGTGATGGTGGACCGTGCCTCGGGGCTCAGGTTGGCGAGGGAGGCCGTGCTCGGGTCGGGCTGCGCGTTTGTCGCCGAGTTCCCGTCTGCGGGCCCCAGCGGGGAGGGCGCAGGGAGAGGCGAAGACTCGAGGACACCGGCCAGCGGGTTGCGGGAGAGGGACTGCTTCCTGGGCGTAATGGTCGAGAAGGACGCAAGACGGCTGGAGATATTGGGGCCGAACGGACCGAACGAGTGGAGGATCGGGTCGTTCTCGTTGAGGTCGTTTTCCCCGTCGGATTGCGGGTCGCTTAGGTCGCTGGAGAAGCTATCGGCCACATTGGTCATGAAGCTCGCGGCAGCAGCGGCCTGGGCCTTGGGCAACTCGGGCGACTTCTCGTCCGCGCTCGCATCCTCATAAATCTCCACCGGTGCGTCATCCTCTTCGCTGCCACGCGCCATCAAGCTTTCCAGGCTTGAATTGGAGGTCGAAACATTGGCCGGTGTGGGCGACTCCGGGCTGGTGAGACGCGTCGTCCGCCTTAATGGGCTCCCGTGGAGCTCCGACCCTGCCCTCGCAGCCCTCGGACGCGGGGACTCGTCCCAGGTTGAATCGCTCAGATGGCCCAACGCGTCCTGGTCCTTATCCCGACGCGGCCACCGCACGAACACCCTCGCATCCTGGACGTTGACCATGAGCTCGGCACCTTCCGTCTCCGACGTGAACGAGTCGCCCTTGGCCAATTCCCACATCTGCCCCTGGGAGTGGAGCTTCAACCCGTTCCAGCCGTTGCAGATGATCTCAATCTTGTTGGGCTCGAGCGGGTTGGTCGCCGCGACATATCGCGCCTTGACGTGTACCCTGCTGATCAGGCGGTTCGCCGAGAGCTGATAGTGCGACGAGCTGCTGGACCGGCCCATCAAAATTGTCTCGCCGTTTTCATTGAGCTGCACCGACGGGACGCTAGAAAGGGGGGCGCGTTCGGATAGTGTCGACAGCGTTCGGTTAGGGGCCGGGCGTGATCCGAGTCGTGGGGGACTCGACGAGAGAATCCCCGTGCTGGAGGTTGCAACCGGCGTCGGGTACTTGAGGAAGGCATGCGAGTTTGCGTGCCTCTTCGCGGGCCGAGGCAGACCTGGTGAAGAAGATAAGGGCTCGAATGCCGGGAGAAGCGAAGGAGCAGGGCGCTTGACGCCGGCTATGGTAGGGAGCGTAGGCTCGAGAGCCTTGCGGCCTGTTGACGGGGAGGAGTCCATATTGTAATTTGTCAAGCTGTGGTCATGACAATAGTTGCGAATAGGAATCTCCAACAGAGTCGAAAACACTTCTGAAAGTGTGGGCCGGAGGTCGAAGTGGTGGTGGTCACGTCAAAACGCGTCGGATGCGGCCCTTTCCCCCGTGCCGGACTTTAACCAAACTGGTACCGCGTTTATGAGTGTTAGTCGAGGTCGTGCACAGGAGAGTGGAAAGGAAGCGAAGGCCTGAAGAAAACGCAAAGTAGGACCAGAAGCAAGAACAAAAAACTTGTTCAACTGGCGGTTTGGAATTGGTAGAGGTGGCCTGGTCGGAGGAGGCCTTCAGTGTGCCGGGGTGGTGGGGATTTTGGTATTTAAGAGAGATGCAGGTCGTGGTCGTGTCTGCGGGACCGTGCCGTGGTCTGACCTGTTGCAGACGCGATTTCCCAGGAAGAGCCTGTTTCCAGGCGCGTTTTGGCGTGTGCAGGCCCACCCAGGCGGCGCGTCTTACTGCGGAAGGGCGGGTTTTCAGCGTAAAATACCACTTTTACAGGTTCAACGTGACCCCAGCCGCCAGATTTTGGGTTTTCATGTTCCTTGAGTGTTTCACTCCAACCCTAACCCATTCAATCACGACAACACGAGCACGCAACCATCCCTTCCAGCCATCATCTCGCTCGGCATCTGGGCGCTGGGCGAGTCCCATGGCTCGCACAGGGGTACCACCGTCTATCATTGGCACCTGTGCTTTACAAAAAGCATGCTGAGGGTTTGAAGTCGAGTGCCTCCTTACCGCCCTCCGTATCTAGCACGTGTCGGTAAAGATTGTCTCCGGTGAATGTATCCATTGTACGGTACATACCTGGCCGTCAGTACGAAGGGCTCGTTGAATTTCAATACATCCATCGCGCGGGCTGCAACATTCCCCATCAGGGTCCTGGGGGAGGGGAAATTGAGAAAACCGCCTGCCCTCGGCCCCAGCCAAACAACCGAGCTGCTAGTCTGCCAATGCCCGCCCTGGTAAATGAGTGCTCGCATCAAGTGACAGGTCACGCGTGTCTCGTGGAAAGCACAATAGCATAACCGCACATCACCAGTGGTAAGCCAATTCCGCGCTATCTGCAATATGCCATCTCCCACAAACGCCTTATCCCGCTCCCAAGCTGCCGTGATCGCTGAGTAGCATATCCACCCATGTGACAAAGATCCCTAAACCCGTTGCCCCGCTCTCCTGTTGCGAACAAATACCCAGGCGCTAAGCCTGAACCCGAGCCCAGAACCAGAACCACCCATACGCCTAGTCCAGTCCAGTATGACAAGAAGATGTGTGCCGTAGAAAGAAGAAACAGAGGGATGTTGTGTACATGCACACCCGTCCCCCTCAAAGATCATCGCCATGCACGTTCACCGGCTTCGGCTCAGACCGCCCGGGATGCAGGTTCAACGGGCCGTAGAAGTCGCCAAACGCCTCCTTCAACAAGTCCTCAGACAGCTTCATGTGGTCGCCTGGCGCGGTGCGGAACTTGAGCCCGCCCTTGCGGTCCAGCTGGCGCAGGCCAAGCCAGTCCTCCGAGTACAACTTGCGCGCGCGCAGCGGGGTGTTCTCGGTGCCGTTAACCTCCTCGAACCAAGCCGTCTCCTTGGGGATGACGGTCTTGTCATCCTCAAACATGTACATGACGAAGTTGTCCAACTTGGCAATGTTCTTCTTGTACTCCTCGTTCTTGACCTCGCGCTCGTTGTTGATGTCGGCAAGGAAGTTGGAGTTCTCCAGGTACTGGTCGTATTCTTCAGGGTTGCGGTAGTATTGAGCCGGGATGAGCTTGCTCTGCACCGTCCTGCTCCAGGCGTCGCCCTTGAGGACGGCCATGGCGAACCTGCACACCCAGTCGGTCGGCTCGCACTCGCGGAAGGTAGTGATGCCGTTGTGCTGCGAACCGAAGGTGATCAGGCTGCGCACGGGCGGTTTGTTGCAGCGCTCGACATAGGCGCGCAGGAACTGGCCGCCTTGGGAAAAGCCGAGCGCGTCAATCGCCGGGGCGGTCGAGAGGATCGGGTGGGCGGCAATGTCGTCGCAAACTTTGGCGACTTGGTCGGTGAGGTTACCCACGAAGGAGGCATACCGATCGCGAGAATCATTCTCATCCATACGGATTGGGTAGACGAGCGTCCCGGGGTTAACTTCGTCGGCGAGCTCGGCTACGCGGCGCATCCCATCGGCTTGGTAGCTGTCGCCGAGACCTAGAAAGAGGTATAGTTAGCAACATTAGACTTTACAAGTCATCGGAGGACGTTTTTGCTTACCATGCCAAACGACCAGGGGCAGCGGCGTATCGTCGTCGTCGCCATTCTCGAATCGCGGGTTAACGGGCTTTGCGACTGACGTTACGATGAGCGACCCAACAGCAAGCAGCCTCAGCGCTCGAACAAGGGCCATTATGGGAATATGCCGAGGATGCAATACAGTGAAGAAATTTAAGTCCGTGGTTGGGCAGAGAAGGGAGAGGTCTTGACAGATGCAACCACTCAGCTGTTGTGGGAGAATGGTGCAGTGGTTTATGGTGGTTGTACCTGAGTTAACTGCCTGGTCCCGCCGCATGGCGAGGCAGGCTTATCGGCGGGCCGCAGCCCCCCGATTCTGTGAGCTCTCCTATTGGCCGTCACGGCTTGGCACATCGGGCAGCTCGCCAATTTAAGTTCAAGATTTCCCATCAATTCTTCACTTTCCACCAACAATGCGAGAGTGCTTCAATGCCCTGCCCTTTGTTCTTCCCGTAAGTCAATGCTTCCCCTACACTTCCAAATCCCGAGCACCGTGATGATATCAGGTTCAAAAACTATGTTTCAAGACGGGGATGAGATCTTTCTGTGATTATAATTGCACCTACTGAAGCTCCGAACACTGCACTTCCCCTGCCGCATTGATGACAACTGAGCAAAGCCAGCTAACTTGGTTCCCAACCCTCATAGGTTTCTTTTTCCTTTAAGAAAGTTCAATAACCGTTACGACATACCAAAGGCATTATTCTTCGACGAACCTACGAGCCAAGTAAAAGGGTCTGTCCCGAAACCTCCCTTTCCAGATCCACCTCCCCCCCAAGCGGATTGCTGTTGGAGTTCTCAGCTCCTCCCATCGGGCCAACTCAAAAGAACCAAAAAAGGCCACACCGTGATGAATTATCAAGTACATACATGCAATATCTATATTAAGCAGGACACCATTGCCTCTTTCCTTCCCATGCTGAATACTGGTTACCTGTACAAATATTACTTACAATCTGGGCCCTGGATCGATGTCTGCTTTCTCTTCTGCTTTGTCTTCCATCTCCGGCTGAGCTCGGTCACCAATCACAAACCTGTGCATTCATTGTTGTACCCATTTTCATTCATTGGATGGCCCAAACACAAGGATACATCTCCATCAACTCTGGGCGAGCGGTTCAATACCACGATCTAGGCCGACTCCCAAACTCGGTTGCAATACCGTCAGAAGTGTCTCCTTACCGCACAGCATAACATGCTCTATAGTTGGCTATTTGCCCCCAAGGTACAAACAGCTAGACCTCGTGCGAGATTGAACAAGGAATCAATATCAGGGACTTCAGACAGGTGAGACGATGGATGAAAATCATCATCAGCGCTAACCAGGAAGTTATCGAGGGCTTCAAGTCGTTAGAAGTCTAAATGGGGAATCTCAAAAACCTTCGCTTCGTCACAAGTCTATGTATAGACTCCCGGCCACCAGGCGCAGGGACTGGAGTTGTGTCAACAATGTGCTTGGGGGTCTTGTTCCGCTCCCCTTACCTACACTTTTATCCGCGGCCCAACTCCCCATTACGACCTGCGTGGTGATTACCTATCATATTCGGCAACGGAGCTTACGTGTCTGCTAGGTAATCGTCAAGTAGTTCGACCCCCACAAGGCTTACCTACCTACCTAGCCATGTAGGTAGTTTCAGAACCACGGAGGAAGGGATCTAATAGAGCAGAGTATTTAGCATTAATCACTCATAGTTGCTAACTGCCTCGAACCAGTTGTCAATGGCATTAGCAACCCCCACTACCATCATGCTTAAAAACCGGTTTGAAACGAAGCAGCCCAGCAAATGTTCGATGACAACTAACATGCACCCGCCCAAGTTGACCCGTCCAACACTGACGAGGAACTAGAGTTTGAGTTTGTAGGGAGATGATCAGTACGGTTGTCCGCCGGTTACAGCCCTACTATGGTCGTCAGTACTTCATGTTCCAACAATGGTTTGGTTGTTCAGGCACTGTGATGTGTCTTCCCCTTTTATCCTACCTAGGGTAACGCCGCAACGAACATTTGTGCTTGGGTTATTATTCATTGTACTGCCCTGAGAGCATTGCCCACAGATAAAAAAAGTAGTCATACCCTTCTCAAGTATCCTAGTCCTCCTTCCCTTACCTACCGCACCGAGAATCCAAAACGGGTTTCCTATCCCCCGACCACAACACACACACAACCAACAGGCCACGGATCACGGCCAAGAAACATTATCCGCTGGCACATTGTCTTTTAGGTGATTGATCATCGATCTCACCGGCTCGTACGTTGAATGTTCTTCAAGGTTGTGGGAAATCTCGGTTGATAATAATACTGACATCGTTTGTCAGTTGGGGTTTCGACCACAGCTTGACCACAGCTTGGTCACAGCATCGCCTTTTTAGGACAGATTTAGCGTCATTACCACAGCGATGGCAGTGAATACTCCCAAGCTCATCTCTATCAGGGCTGATGGCAGCATCACGGGCAGGGCTCCATCTCTCCAACGACCGGAGGAAAAGCATTGCGCCAACTGCCTCGCCCCCCATGGCCCAGAGACCCTCCTCGTGGCTTGCCATAAATGCCGTGGCATCCTCTACTGTTCCGAAGAGTGCGCCGTAGAATATCTCCCCCGCCACCGGAAGGTATGCTACAAATTTAAGATGACGAAGGGACCCGATGACGACGCAAATCAAGTTCGGGGTTTCATCTTCGTAGCGGGGAAACAAAAGCCAGACATCATCTTCGTCGACCCAAACCAGTGGGAGGCCCATGTGGAGCGGTTGGTCTGCGATGTCTCTGTGGAACCCCCAGATTCGCCCGTGGTGACGTTCACAGTCACCACCAACCCCATCACCGGCCGCCGTCTCCCTTTTGACCTCAAGATCATGTTCCGGTCCTGCACCTCACCCTTCAACATGGCGCTGGTTACCTGCTTCAATGACAATTGGGAAAGGCCCTCTCCTCGTTTTCCTTGGACCGGCACCCTTGCCGCTGTTCGTGTAAACTCAGCTACTGGCGTTGCCGAAAGTGTCACCACGGCGGACTTCAAGGACGTCTTGGACTTCTTCGTCTGGTACGCCAATCAGTTTACCGCAGAGATTTACTGCTACACGGACAAATACGACATGCCTGCTTTGGCCGCGCCTCTCCGTGGTGTATTAATCCGCTGCGCTGCAATGGAACGCTTGCACCCGGACGATGGCGCCTTTGTTTCTGTCATGGTCGACCACCTCCACCCAATCCGTGGCCTTCATATCCCCGGTGAAATCAAGTTGGGAAACATCACCCCGCTATCTGAAAGAGTCAAGCATCCTCTGAGGGCTTACCCCATCCCAAGCCCTCCGCTAGAGACAAACAAAAGCCGGTGGGATTATCTGCCGGGGGATACGAGCAACGGCCGCGCTTCCGAGTTGATGCTCGAGGTTCCCGACGACCAGGACCACCTGTCCCACGACGAAATCAGTAAGGCCATCCCTAAAGTGGAGGGCGACGTCCTCGTGGTCCGCGAGGACGGCCAGGACCTCGATATCGCCGATGTCGTGGCCATGTGCCTCGAGGCTCGCAACTGGGCAGCCACCACGAGCCAGGGGCAGAGCGGCATCATCAGTGCTTTCAGCTACCAAAAGACCTTAAATGAGCAACATACCGCCCCTGTCAGCCTGACCAACCTATCGGTCACCGGCTTTGCAGCATTCGGCGATGATGAGCTAGATGCACTCTGCGACCCTTCCCTAGTAGCTACGGTCAATGATGTTGCCGACGCTGCACCAGCCGATGAGGGCAAGCTGAAGGGTCCCGTTCAGATCATGGCTCCGGATCAAACCATCCCATCATTGTGGACGAAAGTCAAGGCCGACGGCGTTGTCACTTTCGAGGGCTTCTCTTTCCCGCCTGCTGCTGCTCCCGCATCTGGCGAGCTACCAACTTTCCAAGAGAGCAAAATGGACATTGATGAGCCAGAGCCTGCGTGTTCTGAGCAGCCCGAGTACCCTGAACCGCCTCCGCAAACGTATAACTTCTCGACGGGGCCCATTGCGGAAGGGGACGTGCCCTTCTCTAAAATGAAGATCTAGGTAACTAGTGCTTTCAAAAGAGTGCTGACGGCATGCTGGAGCGATGTTTGTCTTCTAGACGAATAGTTATATCCCCACGGACTCGATGGAATTCAACAATTTAGCCGTAGGGATTCATAATACATACCTTATTTCAAACACCACACTTCTATCCGTTGTGCGTTGTGTTTTCTTTTTTCTTTTTCTCTTGGAGACTGACCTCTGCCAGGCCATGATGGCTAGGGACCAGGCCCTCCCATCGGTCGCCTTGTGCTTATACTTCTCTTCTTCCCTTCCCAATATCATAAGCGATTTTCGGCGAAACAAGCCGCCGCCATCGAATGACTGCACCCAAGGTAGCCTTGCCGGCGTGTTACCGCTTTCGGACGGAGTCTTGACACGCACTACGCGGACAGGGGTTGAATCAGAGGCGAAGTGAGTGTCCACAGGGGCTTGCCATGATCACGAGCTAGAAACCAACTATAATAGAAGGACATAACATAGCAACCCGTCCAAAACATCTCATAGTACCAAGTAACGATAGCACAAACAATCAATGTACCGACAACCGCACACCACGCAACCACCACCCCCTCACACCAACTTCTTCCTCCTCTCCTCCTCCCTCAACACCCCCTCCAACTGCTTCATCCCAATCATCCGATACATGACAATATCCAACAACCACTCCCCAAACCACGTCGAGAACCACACCCCACTCGCCCAGCCCCCAGCCCAGAACCAATCCGCCCGCCCAAACCACGACCGCAACATCAGCGGCCACTCCGGCTTGAGCGCATTCCCCACCAACTTCCTCGCGTACTCGGCCGTATCCACCGTCGCATTATTCTGCGAGAACGTCAACCGCTTCTCAAACAGTCCCCTAACCCTCTCGTAGATACTCCCCTCGGGCAGCGTCCGATGCGTCCGGCTCGCAATCTGGCTCCGCACCGTCCCCGTCATGGCCACCATGACCCGGACCCCGAACGGCTTGAGCTCCAGCCGCAGCGTGCGCGAGTAGGCGGTCACGGCGCCCTTGGTCGCGCAGTAGGCGGAGCCGAAGACGTAAGGGGTGATGGCGGCCAGCGAGGCGATGTTGATGATCAGCCCGTGGGCGGTGATGAGCAGGTCCGAGAAGGCGGCGCACATGGCCATCACGCCGAAGACGTTGGTCTCGAAGGTCTCGCGCACGTCGGGGATGGAGAGGTCCGTGGCGGGGTGCGTGTGCGTGCGGCCGCTGGGGGGTGGTGTTAGTTGGGGGTTGGATACTATGTGTGGGGGGTGATAGAGTGTGATAGAGGGCGGTTGCTGGAGGAGGAGGGGGACAAACGCATTGTTGACGAGAATGTCGAGCTTGCCGCCCGTCAGCTTGGAGACGTCGTCGTGGCAGGCCTTGATGCTGTCCTCTTTGGTGACGTCCAGGGCGAGGGTGGTCATGCCGATGGCTGCCATCTCGGAGAGCACGGCCGGGTTGCGGGCCGTCGCGATGACGTGCACGCCTGGTGAATGTCAGCGAGGCGGTGTTAAAGAGCTTGTGGGTTTGTGGGTGGCATACCCTTGGCGTGGAACTCCATGCATAGCGCATGGCCAATGCCGCCCGGAGTGCACCTGAAGGATGAAGTCAGTTAGGTACCTAAGTTTCATGCAAATTACGAAATGCAATATAAGGGATGAAAAACATACCCGGTGATGAGCACGGTTTTCTGACCTGGGTTGGGACCCATTTTGATTCAATTCAGGATGATGAGTAGGGACGTCTGGTTGAGGCGGGGAGAGAGACGAGATCAAGCTTGGCTCAAGAGCCGCGATAAGGTTGCGATTGAGTTTGAGTTGCAGATCACAGGCCCACTTCCGCCCACGTCGTGCCTCGGCATTGTGATTGGTACCAAGGTTAGGGTTAGGGTTAGCTTCCGGGCTGAGTTGGACTCTTCGGCTGTCAACTCCCAAGTCGTGGACGGTTGTTAATGGAAGGACCAACATTTCACAAAGACGACCTGAAAACTGGAACAGAAACCAAATGAGCCGGATTACGCCGTGGATTATGGGGGTCCAGGTTTAATCTTGGATGGACGGCAACCCTTTTCAAGAACCATGATAAAGTCTTCATTTATTTCCACGTTGACATTCGCCGGCTCGATTTCTGTGTAGCCATTCGAGATCACTTCCGGCGTAAGCCGTGGCCAATATTGTCCGTGCCGACCGCGTCACCAGCTCTTGGAATTCACTATTCGGCTTATTCCGTTAGGTACACGGACGGGACGCAGGTGCTCAAAGTCTTGCACGCCGAAATAGTTTCAGTCCGTTGACAAACCGGTATCCAGGCGGTGCAGGATGCATCATTATATCACATTCCAAAGTCGTCTGGCAACGTCAGACGTGTGCCGCCGGATGAGTTGGAGCCGAGGGCCTTTTGTATTTTGCACTCAGATTCCAACTGGGACGCCGCTCGCGGGAATTTGGGTATGTGTGTCGGGTGCGTGTGTGTGGGCGAGTGGTGTGTGGGTGGTGGTGGTGGTGACCTTCCGAACCTGGAAGTATGGAGCGGCACGCGCCAAGACCAGAGGGTGCTCAGCCCAGGTCCCAATCCGAGTGCCTGGCATCACAGCGGACACAGCCGCACGCTTACAGCTGCCAAGCCCGCGTCTGTCCTGCGTCTCTTTTGGCAGCCGTGGTTGGTTGTTGGGACGACCTGAAACTTGGACAGTTTTTCCACGCTTCGCGGACGTGTGGCAGCGGGGCCCGGGGGCCGAGCGGAGGACGTGTCATGCATGGCGAGAGAAAGAAGGGTTCAGCTAGGGATGGGGGACTGTCATCAAGTCCGTACCTGAGCATGCTGCTGGGCTCGGGGTCAGCTTGGCCTTATTAAGTTCTGGAAAATTTCACACGCGGTGGACCGAAGGAGGCGGCGTTACTGCCGTGTAGGTTGGAGGGCATTGGACGGCCAAGCTTTGAGCATCGTCTCCCTGCCGTTGTTGGCAAGGATGGCCCCGGAGCACTGGGAACGTGATGGCGGCGAGCACAGGCATTTGCGCGTCACTGAATAAATGCCTCATGAACTTGTTGGAACTGTTGGTGTTGGTCGTGATGGTGATGAAGGAGGGCTTCGGCGTCGAGGTGCGGGGGTGGGGGCCGTTGGATGAATTTCATGGTGGGGTTGGTGCTGTTTTTGGCATGTGGATGTCGTGATACACTGTGCCGCAGATGCTTCCTTCGCGAGGCTCTTCGGGTCTGCAGGCACCAACAGATGGGCCGCTCATGCAAGGGCCAGGTTCTCTGCTGGTTTCAGCGGCCCGGGTGATCCTGGGCACCACAGCAAGTTCTCGACCGAGATTCCGCCTCGCACCCGCCGTCCGGGATGGCGCCCGTCCCGGATGTCATCGTTGCGCATAGTGCTTTGCCTCTCCCCAGAAAGAAGGATGAAAATGGATGGACTGCGGCAGAACAGAGAGGATTAGCACTCTCAGATCTCCATGGCTGTGTTACCGTCGAATGCAAGATGGTTAAAGGTAGACGTCTGGCCATCCATCGCGGTCCGGGGACGATGCGATTTCCGATCGCGTCTTTCTTTGTCGGCCCCAACTGGCTGACGGGGGTGTTCGTCGACGCCACATGGGCTCGATGTCAGCTCCAACTGCAGCGCACGGCGGCACAACACCGCTAGCTGCACTAACATCCGTATTTACGCCTCCCTGTCCCACTTCCTGGCTCCTGACGACCACCAGGTCGTTCTCCCAGTACCCGCCTTTTCCGACAACGGGCCCAGCGTCCTGCGACCCACCCTCGTGGAGGACCAACATCGCCAGAGCCGGCTTTCATTACTACTCCCCTGCCATCTGCCCGCGAGGATTCGTTGTCGGCCCAAACTGCAGCATCACCAAAACCCGGACAGACGAGGGCTTCCCCGCTATCGCGCCTGGAGAGACGGCCGTGTATTGCGTGCCCAGCGGATTGACCTGCACAACCGACCTGACTGACTTTCGCGGCGGTGTATGGGGCTTCGCGAGTGGTGGAACAACGCCTGGCGCTCTTTCAACGGTCGGACCAGCAATTCAGATTCGATGGGTGGAGGCAGACCTGACCAAGTTTGAAACCCATCCCCTCACACCAGGCCTCGAACTCCCTAGGACAAGTTCCAAAAAGACACGGACCCCCGGTATGGGGTCGACTACCACCACTGGTCCCGCCACAGGAACAACCGGGGAACAGGAGAACCGGCCGGCGCCGGACGGCGGGGAAACCCAAACGTCGACGGAGTTAACCACAATTACCAGGGACTCGGCCGGGTCTGGCCTCACGCATATTTTTGACGCGCCAGAGCCGACACGGAGCCTTGCTCCAGCGAATACCGGCGGGAACGATTCAAGCGGAGGACTCGGGTCACTGGACCGGACCACCAGCATTGTCGTCATCGTCGTGGTAACAGTTGTCGCCGGTATTAGCCTCTGGGTGGCCGCGTTCCTTCTAGTTCGGCGGTATAAAAAAAGAGCCGCAAATCGGAAAGGGTCGTCGCCTTCGACAACATATGGGGACGACACTAGCCTGGAACAGGGGCGGAGTCGGCACACGCGAGGCGACTCGGGCGTGTCGCGGTCAATAATCAGTCCGGCGTCGGAGCTGTATGCCGGGCCTCCGGCGATTGGCAGCACTCCGAACCCCGCCGAGCTCGAAGGCGACGTTATGGTCCCGCTGCCCGCCAAAACATGGGTGCACCAAAGGTTGTGGCACAAAGGCTCATCGTTGCAGCCGCCAATGACCTCGCCGCGATCGATGATGTCGAGGTCAACGCGTCGGACTGTGCGGGAGTCGTTTGGCGAGAAGGTCAACGATCCAGCGGCAGCATTGGGAAGGCTAAAAATACCAAACTCGCGATCGATGGGACGGCCCTCGCCGGGCTCATCCAGCCCGGGAGGACGCAGCTTCTGGAGGATGCAGAGGAGTCCGAGGAGTCCATTGCCGCCGGCGAGACTGAGCGCGCAATTGCCCAAGCCGTCGCCAAGGTCTAGGCTGAGTGGTAACGTGAACGTGTCGAGGGCGAGTACGCCGGGGCGATGGAAGCCCGGGTGGCAAGGCGATGGTGTCGTCGGAACCCAGCGTGATGCTGCGCAATCACACGGCGAGCATCGTCGAGCTGATGATGGGTTGGAAGAGGCGATGACGATCACGATACCAGTCTTGGCTCCAACCCGATAAGCCGGATAAGCGTGCCCCACCCCTGCCGACGACATCACCGAACCAGCAGAAGAGGGAGAGATCATGCACGATGAGATCGAGAATCGTTAGGCGGATGGATTCTGGTTTTATTATTTTAACTTCTCTACCGCGCTCTTTGCCCCTCCCCCAAAATCATTTTATTCCACACCTTCCTTCATCCTCTATCGCGAGGGGATACAAACACCACAACCACCACCAGCGGGGCCTCTCTTACAAGGCGCCAAACCCACTAAAACACCATCCAACCATCACCAACCCCTGGTTTGTTCCACCAAAAAGGACACCAACCAACAAAATGTCCAACTCCACCAACGAACCCACTAACCGCGCCACCAAACCCCGAACCGCGCCAGGCGATGCCATCGCAGACCTCGCCGCCTCCCTCCTTTCGTCCCCCAAACAACCCCACCACCATCATCATACCCAGCCCACCACCGCCACCAACAACACCGACCAAGCCATCACCGCCGACAGCGCCTCCACCCACGCCATGTCCCACACCGGCGCCTGGAAGCCCGCCCTCGACCGCCGCCAGAGCTGGAGCGCACAGGAGTACAAGCATGACTTGTTCAAGCGGCAGTATATGGGTGGTGGCGCGGGGAAGGAGGGGGGCGGGTTTAGTGAGGTGTAGGGTATGAGGGTCGGGTGGATGTGGTTGGGGGTTTCTCGGTTTTCTGTTCGTTTCTATCTTTGTACTCTTTTTTTGACGTTTCTTTTTGTTCCCTTCGTTTCTTTTTTATTTCCCTGTATTACTTTCTAGAGCTTTTTGTCCTTTTTTACTGTATCACTGTTTTACGGGGTGGCATATCTGATGGGTTTCACTCGGGGCGTTGCTGTTTCTCTCGGTCTCTCATTTTTACGTTCTTTTATGACACACTCGGTTGATGAGTGCCATCGGCATACGCAATGAGACGATGATGTTTCTTTTGTTAGGGAGTTGGCCTTTACGTTTACCGGGGGTAGGATGGACGGACGGATACGGGGGAGCATGGCGGGCTCCAGGCCAGGGAGCGCGGGGAGCGCGGCTACGATCATTAGATACCACAAAATGAGAGACACGAGATGCCCGAGTATTGCCATAACCTGGAGTGGTGCGCGCAGAAGCTGTTTGCATCACACGTGTGGGACATCAAGGAGCCACCCACCACAGCATCATCATCATAGCAGTAGGCGGGATAATTGGAGAGCAAAGCCAGCTGGTTGATACACTCTCTACGGAAGCATCACGAACTAAACGATCCAAATCCCAAATCCCAAACCCTCCCAAAACCCATAGTTCCCGTGGTATGTGCAGTCTGATCCATCCCGTCATGAAGTAAGCGAACGTGTGACGCCAGAATGCCCTTCCGAACCAATCAAGGAAAAGAACCGCCGTTAAGCTCCGGGTCATGTCCATGTCAAGTCCCAAGCCGAATGCTCCATGGTGCCGTGCCGTGTGTGCGCCAGCCGAAGAACTCCAAAGCAAAACCAACAAAACAAAACTCAAACAAAACCAAAAAGTACTAGCGCTGTTGGGGTGTAATAACCGCCCCAGGAGCCAGAAGCCGCCTCAGAAGCCCTTGGGCCCCTTGCCATCAGCACCGCCCTTCTTAAAATACTCGCTCACCACCCCGACCGAGTAGACGCTGCCGGCCAAGCACGCCGCGCCGACAGCAACCTTCTTGGGCAGGCTCCGCTTGCCCTTGTTGCGCACATCGCCCGTGTTAGCACGCTCCTTATCAGCAGCAGCAGCAGCAGCAGCATCCACCGACGATGACGACGCCTGTTCGCGGGCCGCAGCCCGCAGCCGCTCCGCCGTCGGGGGCAGGTCGTAGTTGACAAAGCCCGTGGGGCTGGCGAAGCGGCCGGCGGCGACGCTCGAGTCGTAGTTGCGCCGCCCGCCCGTCATGTCGATGGGGTTGACGGCGGCCGTTGCGGCCGGTGTGGTGCCGGCGGTTCCGTCGCGCACCTTGCGGAAGATGAGCACGTCGCCGCTGCCCGAGACGATCTCGAAGCCCTGGGCCTGGAGGGGCGCGAAGTGGGGGAAGAACTTGGCTGGGTTGGAGATGCGGAGGAGGATCTCGGCCGGGGAGAGCGGTGCAGCGCTGTCCGGGACGACCGAGGTTGTCTCGGCCGTCTCGATGCACTGCATGGTGGGGTCGTAGACGAGGATCTTGTAGAGCGCTGGGGAGGGGGGACTGGCAGGTTTGGGGGAGGAATCGCTTGTCTTCTGTGAACTCGGGTCGGGTACGCCCGAGACATTCGGCTCGGTGGCGGCCTGAGCCATTAGTTCCTCGACCTTCTTGCGATATGGAGTTTTTTCCTGCTCCTCATTTGGTAGCGGCCGAGTTTCCGCATCCTCGTGGGTGAAAGCCTCGTGGTTAGCAAGATCTTGGGCTTCCTCGGCGGCTTGCGCTTCTGCGGCGTATTTTCCATCAGGCTCGTGACTGCGAAATGCCTGGTAGGTTTGAACGTCAGCCGGCTTCGGGGGATTTGTGTTGTTGGCGGCGTATTTACCGTCGGGCTCGTGGCTTCGATATGCCCCGTAGGTGGCCAGCTCGCTCGAGTCAGGCGCCTCCTTCACGTGGTTGGCAGCGTACTTGCCATCGGGCTCGTGGCTCCGGAAAGCGCCATAGGTGGCCAGCTCACTTGAGTCGGGCTTCTCCTTGACATAGCTGGCAGCGTACTTGCCATCGGGTTCATGGCTTCGATACGCGCCGTAAGTAGCTAGCTCGCTCGAGTCGGGCTGCTCCTTGACGTAGCTGGCAGCGTACTTGCCGTCAGGTTCATGGCTCCGGAAAGCCCCGTAGGTGGCCAGCTCGCTCGGGTTGGGCTCCTCCTTGGCATAGCTCGCGGCGTACTTGCCATCAGGCTCATGGCTGCGGAAGGCCTTGTACTGAGAGAGTTCCGCCTTGTCTTGCTGCGGCTTCACGTAGGACGCAGCATATTTGCCATCGGGCTCGTGGGAGAAGAAAGGTTTGCGGTACTTAGCCAGCTCTGCTGCGTCGTACTCTTCCTGGACGTAATTCGCAGCGTACTTGCCATCCGGCTCATGAGCAAGGATGGGTTTGCTGTATGCCGCCAGCTCTGCCGCGTCAGGAGCGTCGGTGTACTCGGCCGCATACTTGACGTCCGGTTCGTAGCTGCGAACCGCCTCGTATCGCTTTGACTGCCGAGTGGCCGTTGGGACCTCAGATTCGCGCTTGTACTTGCCATCTGGCTCATGGCTACGAAACGCGCCATACTTGCCCCGCTCCTCTTGGGCGATCGGAGGCTCGGGCGCAAGCTTGTACTTGCCATCAGGCTCGTGGGCTCGGACAGCACCGTATTTGCCCAGCTCCTCCGGCTTCACAGAAGACGCCGCCTCGTCAGCCTCAGCCTTGTACCTGCCGTCCGGCTCATGACTGCGGACAGCCCCGTACTTGTCCAGCTCCTGTTGACTGGTTGGAGCCTCGGGTGCGAGCTTGTACTTGCCGTCAGGCTCGTGGGCTCGGACGGCACCGTACTTGTCGAGCTCTTCTGACTCCACGAGGGGCTCAGACACGTCCTTGTACTTTCCATCTGGTTCATGGGCCCTGACAGCGCCATACTTGTTTAGCTCTTCTGGCGTGGCCGGAGCCGCTGACTCGATCTTGTACTTTCCGTCTGGTTCGTGGGCTCGGACAGGGCCGTACTTGCCCAGATCCTCATGCTTAGGGGCTGGCTGCTCATCCAACGGCTTGCCGTCGGGCTCTCGGTATCTCACAGCGGTATAGCGGTGCAGATCTGAATACTTGGGCGCGTTCGGTGTGGATGCGATAGTATCGTTTCGGTGCCAACGCACTTCCTTGTTGTTCCCGCTGAGCGTGTCTAGCAGGGAAGGAGGTGTGCCGTAGTGGTTGACGAAGGGAGAATTTGCAGCTGCTCCATCGACCTCAGGTGCCTTGAACGAATCGAACTGAGACTGGTACGGCTTTTTGGGTACCCTACGGTTCGTGATGGGGTCGATGAAGTCCTCCCCACCGGCCTTGTCCTGGCCCGAGCGGCTGTTTTTCTTCGCCGGCTGGCTTTGCTTGTCACCGAACAACAGATGTTCCAAAGGAGCCCTCTCGACATCTTCGATGTTTTGGCCCGGTCGGACGCCGTTTGGATTATCTGGGGTCTTCCTTGGGGCAGCGTCCGTGTTAAGGCACCGCCCTGCACCGTGACGGCCCCTCCGGTCTGGAGACCAGTAGTTGTGAACAGCCCGTTTTAGTGCCGATTTGGCATCCTCTTCAAGGGCATGCTTGGCCAACGCTCGCCGGCGATAGAGGTTTTCGCAGTATTTTTGTGCGTGAGAATAATGGCGGGTGTAGACGTCAGGGCGAATGTAGGATTCTAGGTATGACGACAGGCGACCGAACTTGTAGCCCCTGGTCTGCTGTCGGTGGTGGAGAGGGGTAGCACTGCTCATGAGCGAGCCGAGAGCCGCCGGATGGATGGGGTTGGTGTGTCGGCCGCGGCGGGCGAAGGTAGAAGCAACTGACAACGACATGATGGGCGGATCACGGTACCAGTGACATGCTACTGGCGTGAGTGGTGACTACCTGGTGTTCTTTATTATCGTCAGTCGATGTGAGGGGCGAGGGGTGCGAGTTGTGGATGGAATGCGGGTAGGCAATGCAACCATGAATTGCCAGAATGAATGACATCGACAGTTTTAGGGACACGTGGGAAACCCGAGGGCGACGGGCAACTTACATGAAGAGAGCCACTATTGGCCAAGGCTGATGTCATGGAGGAGCGGGCGCTGCACGAGGGGAATCGGATACCGAACGGTGGTGATCCAAACGGATCACAAAAATGACGATGGTGTTGAAGAAGAGGTTGCAAAAAGAAGGGAGAAAGGCGGGCGGGAAGGGCCGTGGTAATAACTGCGCGTTTCGAAGGCTGACTTGGTGCGCCTCCAGGTGAGCGATCGTGGGACTTCCAAGTTGGGACCCTTTGCCTGGCGATGATCGACCCTCCGTGCAGCCAGTGGGGTCCCCTTTTTCAGCCAACCGGCAGGCCGCTTTTCCCGGGCGCTGTTTTGTGATTCGACGGTTGCGGCTAAGTCGGCCTGGGACACCCGGAAGATGTGGACCCCTTTGAACACTCAGCCACTGACGTTGCAGGCGGTTGCCAGGAAGTCTGCGGGGAAGTCAGGGAAGCGCTACAACCCTTGAACATCCGGCGGGGGTTGAACATGGCACATTCACGATGACCTCGTTTCGGGAGTCAGTCGCAACGTGTCCAAGCGATGGGGGAGAGAGGAAAAATGAGGGATTATGCTAATGATTTGTAGAATAGCCTCGGAATAGGCCGCCGAGAGTGAAACCTTCTAACCTGCCTGACACCGACCTATCGGGGTACCACCGACCCTTGAATGCCCGCAGGCCGAAAGACCGACCTGAAGCACGCGGGACATCGCTCAGCTCTGACGGGCGGAGTTAGCCGAGTACAGTACCCAGGCCTGAAGGCTCGGAACCTCGAAACAAGCAGAGCCACGCTTTCCCATCAATAACGTTTGCAATTATCTTCCCGTCGGGAAGAGCCTCTTCCCCCGCATTTTATTAATCATGGGATTGGCAATCACAACGAGGGGGATTTGAGTCTCTGTGTGCGAGCGTGCTCAAGCCAGGGTCTTGGTGGTGCTTACCAGGGACCAGGGGTTGAAGGCAGGGACCCACGTATGATGTCATTCTTGAGGCCGCTCGACCGCCCAAAACAAACCCCTGGAACGCCCAGGACAAGCACTCCCCAATTGGAGATCCCTTCAAGGGGTCGCGCAGCCATCGTGCCATCGTCGCTGGCTCGTGGCGGGGTAAATCACGTTTCAACATCTCGTGAGGGGGACTCCGTCGGGTGATCATTTACTGTAAGACTGTGTAACTCCCATTCAAAGTTACCTAACACAGTAATCTGGAGTTCCAGGTTGCAAGGTTGAAAACAGATTGCACGCCGTGTAATCAAGGTCAGAGATTTCATGGGAAACGGTAATTTACGCCCCTCCGCCGCACTTTGTCGGTCCCAGTGCCCCGCATCACGTGCCTCGTACTTGAGCGCTTTGGCAGAGCTTGGGAGCTTGGCCATTTTTGGGACCCCGCCAAAATAAGTGGCCGCAACAGTCACGCCGGACCCGTTGGAGAATGCTGTCTGAGCTCGCCTCATCCGCGATATTCGACTTGCAGCAGGCTGCGGTCTCGGCCCCTACATCTCCTGACAACGTGCATTGGCTACCCGCTTAAGTAGCAAACGTCTTTCCGAACCATCAAGAGCCCACGTATGCGATTCACATAAGCACGTCAACACCCCGAACCGAGCTCCGCGGACAGATACCTAGCTCTTTACTTGCGAGGGATGATGCGCATATGCGTCAAGCTGGCATCAGGTCAATCGTGCAGTTATTGTTAAGGGACTAGCCGAGTAATATAAACAGACGTTCCTCGTTCTGTTCCCCTGTTTCCCTTGTAAGCTTGGATCCTCCGCTACTCAATTTCGGCGTCTCAGAAGATATTGACCAACGCTCTCCGCCAACAGAAATCTCACTCGGGGCCAGCCCTCATTGCTACTCCCGGCCACTACCTCCTCGGCCTTTCCCATACGCATACACACGACCTCAATTCACGAGAATGTACTTCCCCGGCAAAAACCCATCCGGAGGGGGTCGCTTCGGCGGCTTTTCGACCTCCTCAACCACACTCTCGTACTTGGCCCCGCCTCCCGACTTTTCCGGCATTCCACAAGAGGTCGTGGTGCCTTTCAAGAACCTGTTGAAGAAAGCTAGCACTACAAAAGAGAAGGCATTGCAGGATATCCTTTCCTACGTCCAGGGTCTTGGGCCAGACGGCGGGCAAGCCTTAGAAGGAGGACTGATAGATGCATATGTTCGTTGGAAAATCCAACCCTTTCTTATTATTACGTTGCTAACGCTTGTCTAGGTTGAACTCTACCCCCGACTATCCATCGACGACTCTGCTAGAGTACGGGAGCTTTCCCATCAGGTACTTTTTCACCTCCTCAACGCGGCGAAGAAACGCATGGCCAAGAAGCTGCCGGCATTCGTGGGTCCATGGCTGGCTGGGACCTTCGACAGAGATAAGCGCGCGCTACGTGCTGCCACCGACGCCTTGAGTTCCTTCCTCCAGACAAAGGAAAAGGAGGAAGCGTTTTGGAAAGCCGTGCAAGCCCGAGCCCTTGACTTCGCGACAGAGGCCATCAAAGAAACCCCAGAGACACTCAGCGACGAAAGGTCTACTACGAAACAAGATTCCGACGCGAAATACCACCGGGCCGTCGGCGCCAGCCTGTGCTTGGCCTTGCATTTAATAAGGAAGGGAGACATTGGCTTGCTCCAGGACGGCTTGGCCGATTATTTGGCCGTGGACGCACTTTGGACCCTGTCAAAAGCAGATGATGGGTTTGTCCGGAGGGCTTTCTATCAATTCCTCCGCGCTCTCCTTGAGATTAAGCCCGAAATCCTACAACCCCGACTACAGCAGGTTGGGAAAGCGCTCGTCGCGGACAGCATGAAGATCGGCCAGCTCGGATCGGCAACCGAGCTTTTGAACGTCTTCACGTCCTTGACACAGCGCTTTCCCCAGGTTTGGGGCACCCAAAAGCATCCTCTACAGAGGTTGCAGCAATTCGTCGCTCAAGGCTCCCAAGGCGGCGCGGAAGAATACTGGAAGTCACTGGGTCGTCTCCTTCGGGCCTTTCCGGAGCGCACGGCTTCCCTTGAAGTCGTGACAGCCTTCCTCGGCTCCATGCGCAGAGGCATCGCTGACAGGCTCGAGACTCGTTTGGGTCGGTACCAAGCCTTCCAATCCTATGCCCAGGTCTTCGATATCTTTCTCAGCCAAACACCATTGCCATCAAGCTTTCTTGAGGAGAACCTATCCAACCTCACGCGACAATATCTTCATCCCACTCCCGAGTCTTCCGTACCTTCGCCACAGCGGCCCGAATTTCTTGTCGAGGCTTGGGCGATCGTGTCCCAACATTCCGACGATAGCAACCGTGACGTACTGACCGAGGAATGGCAAAAGCTGGGCAACGCCGTCCTTTCTCGCATGTCCAACGCTCTCCCCGAGGTGTCCGAGGGGTACCGGAAGTCGCAAACCGCCATTGCTTCGGAAGGAGAGCGCTGGTTTACGCTAGCGGCCAACGTCCTGTCTCGTGAAGGGGGTAACAGCCTGTCGCTATCCGCCGCAGTCGCTGCAGCTTCGACGGAAATCTTGCATGGTGCGCTTGACCTGCTGGCTAGGAGGAACTTCAAACCTTATGGAGCCGCTGCTGTCGTTCAGTCAGCGTTCAGACACTGTCCTCGTCTCTGCGCTGACAACAACCTGTTGTCGTTGCTGTACCCGCCTGGTGAAACGGTAACATACGATGTGATTGCTGCCTCCCCTTCGCTACCATATCTCGCTTCGGATTTGCACATCGTCCTGGGGGAGACCAATAACCGATTTGGGAGCATTTGGACTTCGCTTGTTGAGGCAGCCCTTGAGCTCTCTGATCGCGCATCGGCGGTTTCGGCAGTGAGAGTGCTCATCGGGGTACCTTCTGTCGCTACATACGCTCAAGATCATCCCGCTCTTCAGAGCTTCCTTGTCTCTCTCTGGAACGACTATACCAAAGGCGGAAGTTTGCCTTCCCTGAAGGACATCTGCGAGGCCACTCTATCCTACGACACTCTAGCAAAGGAATCTTGGACGGCGATTGCGGCTGACATTATTTCCTCTTTGGAAGTGCCAGAAACAACCCGGCCAGCTGTCGTTACCCTCGAGCTGACGCTTAGCAAAAGACCCGACCTCTTCCAGGCAAACGAGGACATGCACCTGCGGCTGGTTACTAGCCTTCTCGCACTGACTGAGCTCTCCGATGCTGGACTATCTGACAAAGCAGGAAGGTTAAGGCTGCTGCTCAATGAGCAACCAACCGGGCAGAACCCCGTCGCTAGAATACTGGAGAATCACCTTAGCGAAGCTGGTCCCTCTTCACTCGAGGTCCACACTTTGGTCCAACAAGCCCTGGCAGCTCTCAAGTCCGGGACAGTGCCAGCAGAGGACATCTTCCCTAGTTCAACAGTGTGGATGAACGAGCTTACGTGCTTTCTCACGCAGTCTCCAAATCCATCCTTGTCCTTGACGAGCAGCATGGGAGGCGCATACTTCTTGGTACAAGGGAATCCGAACGCAGCACCCCCCGTAACCGGTCGGGACAGCAACGGACGCTCGATCCCCGCCAGGATGGCTCTGTTCACCGCCAAGCTTCTCGCGTCTGGCGTTCAATTATCCTCTGTACCACCAGAGTTCCAACTAGAGCTTGTCTACCTCCTCTGTCTTACCGAAGCTATCGTTGGAGACCAGGTTTCATCCGGGCAGACAGGCGGCCTGTGGAGTGATGGACCAGAAACCGAAGCCGACGTGCAAGAATTCTGCGACCTTAGCTCGGCGGCAGTCCGCGCCGTCATTGCGGACTGTGGGGACTGGACAGACTGGAGCATGGCTGGCAATTCGTTGGTGGAACGCTTGATCAACTTCATGCTTCACGCGAGCACAGGCCTGAGCCCTCCTGCGTTCTACGCCGCCAAATGTCTGAGTTCCCTTCTTCAACTTCTCGTCCAAACCCATGGTGGCGCACCCACGGCACTCGAGGAATGGCTGGTCAAGCTAGGGATAATGAGGGCCGCGCCGAACACCACTCTGCTCACGGCTGCCTTCCTTACCGGGTTCGGTGAATTGCTGGCTTCTTCCAAAGCAACCGCAACGCTATGTGTCCGTCTCATCAGTGAGATGCCGGGCTTCCCTGGGTTCTCTGACCGGTCTCCTCGCGCTCTCCCGTCCCTTGTGTTGCTCAACCTTTGCCTCGATGTGTATGAGGGCGAAGTACCGGTCGAGACACGAAAGCAAGTTCTTGCTCTCCAGCAATTCACAAAATGGACAACTGTTCCGGCGGAACTAGGGTATCAACCGGCTGCTGAAATCTGCAAGGCCATCGCTCGTATTCTTCCAGGCACGAAAGACACATATGGGTCATACTGGGATCAAGCGATCAAGTACTGTATCTGGCTATGGAACAGGGCTACTGAGGATCCTGCGGTGGAACGGCTACCATATCTTTACGCTTCGCTGAAGTTGATGCAGGCGCTTCGCACCGTCGAGGAGCCCAACGACGATCTTGAAGAGGCGTTGGCTAGCCACAAGGAGGCGGCAACGGCCTCACTCATTGAGCTTCTCGGTCTTCCCCACGAGTCAACCGCCAACCAGCCAAACCAGCTTGTCGATTCGCTCCTTGCACGGACCGTGAGCAAGATTCCCGATGTACGACTCGAGGACCTCGATGATATTTACGAATCTGTGGCTTCTGAATCTCGGGAAATACAGCGGGCGGCGTTTGGCTTGCTCCACAAGGCTCTCCCCGCAGCACAGGAGGACATCAACCTCGCTGTTGTGATAGACAAGAAAGGTAACCACTATTCGCCGATGTGGAAGAGGAACATGCTAACCTACCCAGCGGCCAATTTACCCGACGAGCTGATGTCTCTACTCCTCAACGCCCCGAACCCTGACGACTATACCGATGAGGACCTTTCTCAGTTCCCAGTTGCCATCCGTTCATACTTGCTAGCTTGGCATCTCGTGTTCGATGCCTACAGCAAGGCTTCCTTCCGAGTCCGCAGCGACTACACGGACAACCTCAAGGGCGGCCAACACCTCGATCCCCTACTCCATTTTCTTGTCGACGTCCTTGGACATGCCCTCGCGCGAGCGCTTGACCTTGACAGGGAAGGCTTCACGGCAGAGCACATCGTCTCGTACAGCATCGACCTTGCGGAGTCAGAACCCGCAGAGCGTGACATGAACTGGCTGCTGATCCACCTCTTCTACCTTATACTCAAGTACATCCCCGGTTTGTTCAAGATGTGGTACCTCGAGTGCCCCTCCAAACAGACCAAGAACACTGTCCAATCGTGGATGCAGCGGTTCTTCTCGCCGCTCGTCATTGCGGATGCCCTCGATGAGGTGGTCGACTGGTCCTCGAAGCAGGAGAACGTAGACGAGACAGAAGAGGTCGTTGTAAAGGTCAACAAGACCGCGCGGGAAATCAGCGCCGGGTACCCAGTCGATGATGACGCTGCCACTATCTCGCTACGCGTTCCGATGTCATACCCGCTAGAGCCAGTTGATGTGGTCAGCGTGAAGCGGGTCGCGGTTAAGGAGGACAAATGGCAGTCATGGCTGAAGGCGACCAAGGCCGTGATCATGTTCGGGGTGAGCACACTTCCCTACCCAATACCAAACTCTGCTCCGTGCTAACTGTATTCTACAGAACTTCAGCCTCGTCGACGGCCTGATGGCCTTCCGCCGCAACATCTCGCTAGCCCTCAAGGACCAGGAAGAATGCGCCATCTGCTATTCTATCATCGCGCAGGACAAGACGCTACCAGACAAGAAGTGCGGGACGTGCAATCACTTCTTCCACAAGGTATGCTTGTATAAGTGGTTCGAGAACAGCGGTCGGAATACGTGCCCGCTGTGCCGGAATTCGATTGACTACCTGGGGTCGGATACCAAGAGGAGGAGGCCGGAGCATGAATAGAGTTGTGGTTGTTGAATTTGTTATGGAAGTATCTCGGGAAGGAAAACTTAGACGTTGCTGCGAAGAGTTTACTTTTTCTTTTTCGTGTACATATTGTAGATAGAGATGAATCCGGTACTGGAAATGTACCGGTAAGCCCCAAGTTATTTGGCAACCCTGCTTAACTAGTGATAGGGATGGATTTTTGAGTATGGTTAGTATGACCATTAGCGAGCTAAGCCGAGGTTACCTTATTCCCAGAGCAGTTCCCTAACTCATGACCACGAGGGTCTCCATATAAGCATCCCGTCCACCCGGCCAACCGATACTCCCACCTCGTTGGTCACCTTAGGTTGCCCTCGCAGCATCTTCGTACCGAGCATGCAAACCCCGCGGCGGGAAAATTGCACAAATATTCCGTCGAGTTGTATTAGCCGTTGACCGCTTCACTTCAGGTTGAGATGCGGGGATCCTGTACGAGTATTATCCATCTGGGCATTCTGTCGTGCAAATCTCTGGATGTTTGGGGTTTGCAGCCCTTCCCCCATCAACCACAAGGTACATAGTACATGAATTAGTGATCCAAACTCGTCGTTACCTCTAGTCTCATACGCTCCGAGCCCTCGGCCGTTAACATGAAATTCATACTTCTCTCAGCAAACTGCGTACTGGCAGCAGCCGCGGCGGCAGGGCGGCCAAAGTGCGCGTCAGTTCATGCGCTTAGCAGGACACCGGCTTCAGCCATCTCCCAGCCCCATGTGCCTCAGTTTGTGAGCTACTCGTTTGAGCCGGCCTTCTGGACCGAGTTTTTCGGCGAGCCCGACTCCCCCAGGGAGCTGACCTTCAGTCTCCTCAACCATTTGCATGAACGCGGGGTCAGGCCGATCATCCGTGCAGGAGGCATTACCATGGATAGCATGGTGTTCGACCCCAGCCAGAAGCTGTCCGTTGTGCGCACAGAGAACGAAGAAGGGGGTATATACAGGACGACGATTGGCCCGGCCTTTTACCAGCACTGGGACAACTTCCCCGAGGGCACGAGCTTCGTGTCGACGCTCAACTTTGGCAACAACTCGGTCAGCATTGCCCGGGACCTCGCGGTGGCGTCCTATCAACTTCAACGAGACAAGATCACATACTACGAGCTGGGAAACGAGCCGACCAACTACCCGACCAGCCGATGGAACGCGAGCACCGAAGCGTACATTTCCCAGTGGCAGGAATTCACGGAAGAGATCGACGCGGCCATCGACGACGACAGCCACGGACGGTGGTGGGCATCCAGCGCCACCACCGACGTAACACCCCTCAAGGTCCGACCCAGCGACCTCATCCCCGCGGGCGTCAACTCCACCGGCCAAGTCGGCCTCTACTCGATCCATTCCTACGCCTTCGCAACCTGCGAACCGCCCCGCGCAGCACGCGCCACGATCCCCAACATCCTCAACCACACGGACCTCGTCCGGTACGCCGACGACGAGATCTACCCCTCGGCGCAGGCCGCGCTGGCCTCGGGCGCGCAGTGGGTCGTCGGCGAGTTCAACTCGATCGCGTGCAGCGGCAAGCCCAACGTGTCGGACACCTTCGCGCAGGCGCTGTGGACGGCCGACGTCGAGCTGCTGTACGCGGTGCGCAACGCGAGTAGTGTGCACCTGCACCAGGGCGCCACGCTCGCGTTCCAGAGCGACCAGCAGCTCAATACCCCCGGGGATGATGGCTCGCCGGGGTTTAGCAGCTACTCGCTGCTGTATCCTGTTGACTCCACGAAGAGGGGTGAGGCTCGTGTGCTGCCGGTGTTCGTGTCACAGCTGCTGGTGGCGGAGGCGTTGGCGGATGGGGGGCGGATTGCGGCGCTGGAGACGCCGCGCGGTGTGCGTGAGCAGGAGTTTTCGGCGTATGCGGTCTTTTATCCTGGGGAGGGAGGCGGCGAGTTGAGGCTGGCGAAGCTGGTCATTCTGAACATGAAGCCGTATTACGCGGGCCAGGAAGCGGCGCCGTCTAAGCTGTCACTCGATATTGGGAAGCATGGAGGGGCTACTGTCAAGCGCATGACGGCTCCGTTTGTGGACGAGAAGGACGCTGCGAAGGTCACTTGGGCAGGTCAGTCGTTCAGGACTGGGGAGGCTGTCGGGGAGTTGGCCCTAGAGCGCCTCGGGCGGGATAAGAGGGTGTCCGTAAGAGACAGTGAGGCGGTTCTTCTTACGTTTGAGGATGATGGTTTGAAATTCTGATCATGCAATTGGAATGGATGAGGCCTTCATCCCACCGATGACTCTTCGCGGATAGGCGTGACTCACGCGCTGAGCCTATCGCTAGCCAGAACAAACATTTTCTTCCTGGAGATCCCACAACATGTTGCTGGTGACGGACCAGATTGCAGCTTGTACTTTGAGGGCATCCAGGCCTGAATGTCCCGCCCGGGAGACTGCAGGAAATGGCACGGGTACTGGGTACAGGCGGGCCGCGATCTTGATTGTATTGGCAGTTGGCCATGAGGCCCACGACTGTTTGCTTTGGCCATTTAATTATCAGAATTTGAAAGCCACATCCATGGATCAAATGTGGAATGCTGTAAAGTCGATGGGAGGCACCCTTGGTAACTGCCGCCGGGCTCCAAACGTGTCTGGATACGGGATGGGAGACCCAGATGAAAAATGACATCCTCTCCTTGAGCACTCAAAGGGCAGAGGAGAGGTGGAATCATTGGAACTTGAAGCTTCCCAATCACTGGCGTTTGACCCTCGTGGTCTAAAATTACGGCAAGTGCTATGGGTACGGAGGTGCGTGCCACTCCAGGCAGCCGGGCATCAACCTCAAAGCCCCCAGGGCCGGGAAGGTACAGCCGGCATCCTTGCCTCGCCCATTTAGTATACCACGGGATTTCCGGTTTGAACGTCTGGGTCCAGTCTCACCTGCCCAATGAACCTGGGTTGTGCCGCCAGATTGTTTGCTACCTACAAACAGGAACATCCAATCGGGAGATTCTCAATTACTGTGGTTGGCTGCAGATTACAGGAGCTGAGCTCTGATATCTGATACCTAAGGTACCTAGGTATCTCTTACTGTGTAACGACAGTCGGCCACTCTCCCGCAAATTCTAAGAAAGCGGCCTCTCATATTGCATCTCACTCATTTTATTACCATGTCACAGTAAAAGCCGATAGTCGACTCCCAGAACCGCGTCCGCTGCAGTCAGCAAATTGCCTGCCCCTTTTTCCTTTTCTTCTCATTATTGTCACCACTCCCCACAAACCGGAACTGCAGTCTGCACCAACCCGGTCCACGGGCGGCTTACCACAGCTGCGTGAAAGACTTTTTTGGAATATCGCAAACGGAGCCCAGGGCACCGAATGCCATGGGTAACGAGTCACAAAAGTCTCGGGCATCTCCCAAGGAAAAGCACAATGCCAGACGAAACCATCGACCAGTGCCCGGCCGCTCTGTTTCCGTTGAGAGACGTTCCGTTCCAATAAGCTCGTCCTCGGCCGCAAAGTCTACGACCTCAATACCCTCCTTGTTTCACTTTGCCGCTGGACGTTAAGCGCCTGTTCGCATCGCCACGTCCCGCTGTTCAGGTGTGCACCCTGTCCCTAGTGTCCTCGATTGCTCTTTTCTTTTTCATCTTTTGCTGACCATGTCCATCTTCTCCAGGAGTATCATCAACCTTGATTCACTTCCCAATCGCCCCAAACCTCGCCACTTCATGGCTGTCGGCGAGCTGATTCGCCCGGCATTGGGCCAGACTGCCGAACTCGGAGCCCTCTACGATGCTCGTAACGACACCTTTCTCTCCCATCCGCACTCGCATACGCTGTTCAGACACGCTCCTCCTTCGGATGCCGTGGCTATTCGTCCTTGCCGCTTGACAGACGTCCGGATCCTCGAGGTCCGCAACTTCAAGGAGAAGTGCGCCCAGCTCGGGGTCGATGTCGAGCTTGGAGCCAGCATTCTTGCCGGGCTCGTTCGCGTTGACGGATGTGCTCAGTATCTCGCTTCGCACAACGCTACCCACGGTGCTCATGCCTCGTTGAGGTACAATGTCACCACCATTGATGAGGTGCTCAACCTCGCCACCCCCGGAATCAAAGACCAGTTCGCCTTCTCTACCCTCGACACCGACATCGCTACCCATGCCGTGATCGGCGTTCGCTGGGGTGCCAACTACATTGTTAGCCCCAATGGCCTGGCAGACCCAGCGTGTAACAGGACAACAGGGGCCTTGGCTATTCAAGAACTCGGCCAGCTACTGAGTCATGCAACCCCTGGCTGTTTGGATGAACCAGTCGGTACCCCTGAGGAACAACACGGCTTTGACTGGTCGGAGTTGTCGGTTTTTGGCGATATCCTACCAGAAGATATGCCAACTCTTGCCAACGCACCCGCTCAGACTGCTCGGGGCTTTATCAACCGCCTTCGCCGACTGATCTCTAGCACCAACGACGCAAAGGGGACACCGATTCAGTACACCCTCATGCCCCTGGCGCTTTTGGGCTACTTTCAACTTTTAGATATCAGAACCAACCTCACTGTCCACCCGTCGAACCCGGACAGTCTGGAGCGCTTCATGCAACATTTTGATGACGCCCAAACCGCAAGCGCAACGCTTCACCGTTATGTGTCTCGGTGTCGACGGTACCCAAACGTCGTACCTCTTGGTCACATTCACAATGTGGAAGGGCAACTCCGCACATTCACTGCTGCCAACGCGGCGTTGCGGGTGAACCTTGCGAGAACCTTACGAGAAGTACGGTCCACGGGCGTTGACTCTGACCGTCTTCGGCAACTTCTCAGTGACTTCCACGCCCAGGAGGTCCCTCCATTCCAAATCCGCTCCCTGGCCGCGTTGACAACAAAGATGGACTTTGCGAAAGCGATCATGGAAGAGGGATCGCAATACGTCGGGTTTCGGGACCGGAGCTTCGATCAGATGCTCGCGCGGAGCCCTCATGACGATGTCTACATTTTGTATTTCACCGATGCTGTGCGGAGAACATCGGAGGTTTGGGCGGACACTCGCAACCTGTTCTCCGAATTGCTGAGGGATGACAGGCCGAAAGCCGTCATGGCGGTCGATTGCGATGCACTTGGCCACTCTCTGGAAAGGCCTTACATTTGCCATCTTCGTCATCGCCGAGTGCTCATCGAAGATCTCCTTGAGCATAGGAAGGTCTTATCAGCCAACTGCATCATGCAACAAAACGCGGGATCGCTCGACGCCACACTCACCAGCAAGCCTCCGCAACGCCGCGCCGTTCGAATCCCATGCCCCCACCCCCCCTGCGAGAGAACACTACGCTGCAATTGGATCTGCGCTGTTTGTCACTCGCTGGTTGAGTACGGCTACGTTGACGAACGGCTGTACTGCGACTGCGGTGCGACCCCGTTCGACCGCTGGACCTTCAAGTGTAATGATCCTACTCATGGATCGGCATGGGCCAGTTATGACGAGCAGGTACTCCACGGACACCTGAAGGACCTCGAGCCCTTTGAAGATCTTAACATCTTGATTCTCGGAGAGACTGGTGTTGGGAAATCGACCTGGATCAACGCCTTTGTCAATTACCTCACCTACGACTCTCTCGGTGACGCGATTCAGGCTGGAGGATTGGAGTGCCTGATCCCCTGCTCGTTCAGCACGCAGCTGAAAGACCCAAACGATCCGCAGGGCCGATTCATTCAGAAGGACATCAAGATCGGGAAGAGTCGGTTCGAAAATGATGGAGCGCGCGGTCAGTCCGCCACTCAGTGCACGGCGGTGTACGGTGTGACGATCGGGAGAACCAGGGTCCGCCTCATCGACACCCCCGGGATTGGAGACACGAGAGGTCTCGAGCAAGATAACCGGAACATGGCCGACATCCTGAAGGTTCTCCGCAGCTACGACAAACTCCACGGCATCCTGGTCTTGCTGAAGCCGAACGCCGCCCGCCTGACCGTCATGTTCAGATTCTGTATCAAACAACTTCTCACGCAACTGCACCGCAACGCGGCCAACAACATTGTCTTTGGTTTCACCAACACGCGGGGTTCCAACTACACGCCAGGGGACACTTTCAAACCTCTAGAGGCACTTTTGAAGGAATACACCCAAGTCCAGATGGGACTGTTCGAACACAACGTGTATTGCTTCGACTCAGAGAGCTTTCGGTATCTTGCTGCACGCCAAAAAGGCGTTGACATGGGCCTTCTGGAAGATAATATGCGGAGTTGGGGCCGTTCGGTGTCAGAGTCGAAGCGGCTGTTGAAGCACTTCCGAGGTCTCACTCCACACCAGGTCCGAAGCACTATCAATCTCAACGAGACCCGTGACATGATCGTGAAGTTGACGGAGCCGATGGCCCTGATTGCTCAAAAGATCCAGACCAGCATTGCAGTCAACAACGACCAGGTCAGGACGCTGCACAATGCAGAATTGTCCCGCAGTGAGCTCGAGAAGAGCCTCTACATTCAGCGGGAGACGGTTGAGTCGTACGAGGTGGGCGAGCCCCGCACGGTCTGCACGCATGGAGACTGTGTTGAGGTCCGGAACGATTTCGCTGGCCGCGACGAGACGGTGATTGTTTACAAAACGATGTGCCACAAGCCATGCTATCTCGGCAACAAAGTGAAGCGCAACCAGAAGGGGGACCCACAGCTCAAGCAATGCGCCGCCATAGATGCCAACGGGTTCTGTTCTGGGTGCAGCCACAACTACATGGATCACATGCACATCTACTACGATTATCGGTCTCTGACTTACCGGCACGAAAACAAGGATGTGAGCCGGGAGCTGATCAAGCACGCCTCGGACATCGAGCTCCAGCAGGAGGCGATCCGGCTCAGGGAGACGGCCATCGCGGAGTTCAGGCTTGAGCATACGCAGGTTCAAGAAGCTGCCATTCAGTTTGGTTTCTTTCTGAAGCGCCATGCGATTGAGCCCTACAACGATGCCACGGTAGAATACGTCGACCACCTCATTCAACAAGAGAAACTCAAAATCAAGAGTGGCGGGAAGAAAAAGGCGCTTAGCATGCTTGAGAAATACAAGGCCGAGCACCTACAGAAAGTGGCAGCTCTAACCCAAGCTATGGCGCGCGGTGACACCGACCTGGTTCTCGACGACCAAGGGGCGCGTCAGCTCGTCGACAGTCTCTACGGTCTCCCGCACTTTGGCAAGGACCTGCAAAAGATTGTCCAAGTCAATGAGATGGCAGCGGACGCAGTTTTTAGAGAGAAGTCCTGCAATGTCTCAGCTGGTCGGCACTGGGACCGAAAACAACCGGCGCGTAGGAGGCAAGGGAGCGTCCAGGGCCAACCCGGCAAGCCGCCTTCACCGACGACACGGCAGAGCCCGATGGCAACAAGCCAGTTTACAGCTCCCCAGGGCAATGCGCGCCATCCCATAAACCAACCTGGGGGTGATTTGGATGGATTTCTTCAAGGCGCGAAGACGAAGGTAATGGGGTATCTCGCAGCCTGGCGGTTCTGAATCGATGATCTTGTTAACCCCCCCCCCCCGCCTTCTCTCACAAACTCTGCCTTTCCACGTTTCTTCTCGTCCGAATTCCTTCTGTTTTTAAGATCTCTTAATATCGAAAAGATTTGGGGTTTTGTATTGTAGCTAAGGGACTTTCCCCCTCTGCTTTGGAGGATGTTGAGATCTTTAATAGTGTGCGGCCCTGTATGCTGTTTGTGGGATCATGTGGAAAGAATCGGCTCCCGCAGTATTTTTGCCACCTTCACGGTATCGCTTGTGTTGTGAATTCGAGTCGTTCCCTGGCATTGTTGGGTTTTAGTAGCGTACAGGTATGGCACGCAATTGATTGTCTTCTTCCCATCTTCGAATTTTGGGCACATAGGGAATACGTGGCTGACGACAGAGCTCGAAAACTAACCCCGAGTTCATTCTTTGGCCCCGTCCCCGAGTCTCTCCCTCCGAACACCGCCCGGTATATACAGAGCCGGGCCCCTGAAGGGTTTCGGGGTTCAACCTGCTCGAATCTCGGCCACTCAAGCGAGTCAAGCCCAGCCTCGACACTTGAAAAAGCAACGCCAAGAAGCCGGCTTCACGAAAGTCTCCATCGAGTCATGATGGGGGTGGCAAGAAGATATACGCCGAGGGAACCGCGATTCCGGTTTCCAAACACCCGATGCATAACTGTCAAACATCATCGCCTAAGGCTTTCTGGCCATCACACCCGACCATCCCGAGACTTTGCGGATCCCAGGGGTCGGTTACACCGTGCTTGGCGCCCCCAGTTGCCCCTTTAGGCGCGATCCTCCCGCACAGGCGCCCTACCCCTGACGGGTTACCCCTGCTTTGTTGACACTGTGAAACTGACAACGTCCCGGAAAGCTGGATCCCTTCCCAGTCCAGGTTCGCAACGGTCTGTCAACGGCTTTTTGCCTGGCTGCCCGGGCACTGCCCATCATGCCTCGTCGATCAGACAGTAAAAGCCATTCACGTCCTTGAGCCCTCCCCCAGGTTCGGAGCCTTTCTCTCTCTTCTCTTCCTTCAACCAGGCCAAAATGTCTTTAACCTGACAGCCTTTTACACCTTGGCGACGGCCTCTATTTTTACTAATTACCTACTTTCTATTCTCTTTGCTTCGTATAAGTCCGTGAAGATGCTGGTCATCCGCGTTCTTTGGCTGCAGGCTGCCCTGGCGGCGGCCCAGCTTGTGGATCTGGATGGGCTTTTGGGGGGTGGAGGAGACGGACCGGAGACATCAGCCGTCGAGGAGCAGGGTGCGGTTGAGACAGGCGCGCCGGGTGGTGTGGTAGATGGAGTGGTGGACAACGCGGCCGGGGCAGCAAACGGACTTCTGGATCCCATCCTCGACCCTATCGTCGGACCGACCGGTTTGCTCGGCAACGATGATGCCGCAGTGGTTACCACCGCCCCTGAGGATGAGGATACACCGGCTGCCACGGACGAGCCAGCTCCCGACCCGGAGCCGACTCAAGTTGAGCCCACGCAAGGGGAGCCTGAGGAGACCACGGCGCCAGAGCCAACCTCGGAGCCCGCCCCCGAACCGGAGGTTACGACGCAGGAGCCCGCGCAAGAAACCGAGCAGGCCCCTCCCGCCCCGACTTCGGATCAATCACCACCGGCAGAAGAGCAGCAGCCACCAGCGGATGAACAACAACCACCAGCGGACGAGCAGCAACCACCGGAAGATGAGCAGCAGCAACAGCCTGCCCCTGTTCTAGTCCCGGGGGGTTCAACAGAGACTTCTGCGGCCGCAGCCCCAGCAGCTTCATCCGCAAACCCAGGCGTGATTCCGATCCCCAACCCAGAGGCCTCTTCTCCCGCGGGTGAATCCGAAGTCGCGGCACCCGGGCCGGCACCAACCGCCAACAACCCTTCCCGACCTGCCCAGTCCTCCACCCCAGACCGACAGCAAAACCCGCAGTCTGACTCGCCCGAGCCCATCTCTACCCTAGTAACAGCCCCCGGCACAACCTTCATGTCCGTCTTCATCCCGCCGTCCCCAACCGGCCGCCTAGCCGTCATCGACGGCGCGGATAACAACAACAACAATAACGGCGCGCCCAACACCGACCCGTCCTCGGGCAACGACAACAACCAAAACACCGACACGAACACGGGCGCGGACCCCAACATCCCCCTCACCGACACCGAAACCGACACCACCACCACCAGCGACCCCACCGCCCCCAACAACCCCAACGGCATCCAATCCCCCGCCTCCTCGGAAGACGAGGGCATGCCCATGGCCACCAAGATCGGCATCGGCGTCGGCGCCGGCGCCGGCACCATCCTCCTGGGCGTGATCGTGGCCTTTGCGCTCTGGAAGCGGCGCATGGGCCGCGGCCCGCCGTCGTCGGCCGAGGCGGACACGGAACGCGGCGGCGGTTCCGGTTCTGGTAGCGGTGGTGGTGGTGGGAGGGCGAGTCCGACGGCGCTGGAGAAGGCGAAGCTGGATTTCGAGAGCGAGCATGACGTGGCGGTGGACTTTGGGGGGTTCTTTCGGGAGCGGGGGAAGGGGGGTGCCGGGGAGGTAGGGGGGGTGGTGGAGAGGGCGCCGACGCTGCCGCCGGTGGTGCAACGCCCGCAGCAGGCCGTGGTCGCGGAGTTGGATGGAGGGGAGGTGCCGGCTTATAGGGGGGTTGTGGGGGTTGGGCGGTGAGTTCAGCTGGGGGGGGGGGGGGGGGGGGGGGGGGGAGGGGGGGTGACGTACGCAAAGGATTGTAATTACCTACCTAGGTAGCTCGCAGGTAAGTGGGGAGCATAGAAAGAGGCTGTGTTGTGGTTGAGGTGGTGATGGGTTCCCTTTGTTAGCCATTCTTGATATATAATTATAGTCGTCTTATCCCACCTGCTTTCGCCGGGAGATACTTTCAGTACATGTAGGCTATGGAGGCACGACTCGGCCGTGAGTGAGGGTTTGGAACTCCAAATCTATTGCTCTCTCTCCACCCGTCACTACCCTAGGACATACCACAACACTAGCTTAGGTACTTGGGATGTAGTTTATGTGCAATCCCTAATGTCGCCTTATTGCTCTTGCCGCCCTGGCGCAGCCGCCGGAAAGCCAGACAAATCATTACCACCATGAAGGTCCAGGGGTCAAGCTCCCCCGCCGCGCGAGGCCGGCCCCATGCAACTCTAGCGTGAAGTATTTGTGAAAGTAGATCAGGTGGTGTCGGCCTACTGGTTGTGCTCTCTTATTTAGCCGGGGAGGCGGTCTTGCTCAGCCGAGAACCAACTGCATATGACCAAAGAGGATAGCCATTTTGGCGTCCCCAGCTGACCCCTCGTTCTAGTCATGACGTGGGACATGGGAATAAACTTCTAAGAGACGGGGAACAATATTAAGGACTTGAACACAACCAGGAAGTCCACGGGTTGATGGGATAAAGTCGATCGTGTATCCATAAAAGGGGTCTCGGGGGAAAAGGGAGAAAGCCGTCGGTGCACTTTGGCTGTCCAATTAGAGTTCAATACCGGGCCCGACAGAATGGATTGTTGGTTGATTGGATGTGAGGTCTGTCACCGCCTGATTCTTGATCGGTTGTTCCTATGCGTTGGCGCCTGCTGGAAGTTGGGGGGGAATCAAAACAACGTTACAACGTACCCTACTCACCTACTCAACAACAAGAGGCCAACATGTACCTAGAAAGGGCCGACCGACATGTTTCATTATCCGGATTGTCTTTCGTTTGTGACATCTGCGGTCAGGAACTCAGCGAAAGGGAACCGATGATTGCATGTTAGTTTGCGCCCGGTGTCCTTTGTGGCTCTGCCCCCTCCGTATCCTACATGTACAGTCCTACTGCGCCCGAGACTCGAGCCAGGCTAATCCAGTCCTCCCAGTGGCGGGAAACGCGAGCTCATCCGCCTTCAAGGCAGGCTTCATAAACCCCTTCACGACAAATCTCGAGCACTACGGTTCTGTCACTGCTGTGCCCCATAAGGTCGAGAACGGCCCCTGGGAGCTCTGTCGATGGGGCAGCATGCTTTGCAACAGGTGGCATGGCCGGTCCCGACCCGGGTGTGCCGTTCATCCGGGTTGTCTTCAACTTTTCAAGCGAAACTGCACGGCTCATGACCCGCTAGACAGGCTCTGGCAGACGTGCACCTGGCGCCGTGTGCCCTGGACCGGCGCCGCCGTCCCGGAGATTCAACTACTTCCCAAACCCGCTTGGTATTTCGAAGAGGCGTTCCTTTCATGTGCTGAGATGTGCGGGCTGAAAGGGCTAGATTCTCTGCCACACGTTGTTATTGGAAATATCCTAGGATGGCTGCCGCGAGATGACTGCTTCTGGCGCTGCGTTACTGCCATGCACGTGGCAAAAGCCCTGTCCGTCGCCACTGTGCAACCTCTCCGCATTGTCCCGCTGAGCTGGCTCGTCTCGTGGGAACGCGGCAGCCCGCCCAAGGTGGCTTCGGGAGACGCGGTGGAAAACGTCCCGAGCCTTGTTCGGTTCACTATCGACCGCGATGGGCTGAGCAAAGTCGAGAAGCTGGTAGAGCCACCGCAGTTCAATCGACAACGGTTCGATGACAAGGCGTTTGTGATTGAGCGCGAAGACGTATTTGGGCCCAGCCTGGCCGTGTTCAAGGTCGGTACCCAGCTTCTTCAGAAGACCCTGCTTCGGCGTGTAGCCTATCGCTGATAATAGCAACAGAATGGTCTCCTCCAGCTGTCGTTGCTCGAAGATTTCGAAGACTACAAGTTTGCGGTCTGGGATACGCCGACACCCCCCGACCTCGCCCATTGTCCTATCACGCTAGAGAGGCCTCTCTCTATACGCCGCTACCACAGCGTCGATCTTACCGCCGTTACCGGCATCACCTTCTTCATTCTTGGCGGTAGCATATTCGGAGCACACGGTCACACTCGAGCCCGCCCCAGTGCCATGGCCACCTACCAACATCTCGGTAGGAGGGTTCGGGACCTGGAAAAATATGGAGATTGGGTGTATGTTCCTCTGCCCCCGGGAGACACTGTTGTGAGCTGCGGTCCTCTGGTGAACACAGACACGCCTTCAAGGCCACGAGCCCCCCGCCGTCACCGCTTTTTGGTACACTCCTATCCTCCACTGTCTCTCGTTTCGAGGCCAACCAGCCTACAAGCTAACCGGGAGAAGATCAGGATGCGTCTGTCAGGGGAAACAATCGTCGGCCGGCACATGGACCAAGACAACCGCCTAGACTCTGATTTTGTCGAATCGGGGCGTTACGCCTTCTTTCTCAACCGACCAGAACACCCGCCAACGACGCTGCTATACAGCACGGGGCCCGACTGGCCGAAGGAACACATCTCCATCATCACCACGTACGGCAGCCAGGGCCAGGACGGAACGCTCGAGCCCTGGCCAGCCCCGCCGCCGGGCGAGCCTTCGTCTGTGGCCATGCATTCCCACGCGCCGCTGGAAAATATCTGCCAGGTCCGCATGTTTTACTATTCGAACAGCCATCGTTGCAAGGGTATGCTTCTCGATTACGACGACGGCGGGCAGCGGGCCGTTGGCGATTGCCGGCTGCACGTAGACCCGTCTACTACGTTTGAGAGGCCCTCTCGCCTTGCCTTTCTAGACCACAAGGAGTACGGTGAAGGAGTGGAGGTCCTGTTCGATGCGCTGCCCTCTGCGGATGACCCGGGTTTGGACAACTGGTTGTATTATGAGATGAAAGGGACATTGGACTTTTGGCTTCACCCGCGTAACGAGAGCATATCGGTACGAGGGGGCGCGCAAATCCCCCAAATGGATTTATGGGAGGAGGTACCGGAGGGGGAGTAGGCAGCTATGAGAGGATTCCTTGTTCTCTGAGGGCAACTCTAATCAGTTATTGTTATTCCTGAAAAACAAGTCGAGCGATGGATATTAAGTGCTGAGCGTTGAGGTGAGGAAGTTTTGTAATTGAGTATGGGGAAAGTGGGCTGTTTATAAGCAAATCACAATGACTAATTGCGCATGATGATAATACACAATAATCACAGCAGAATAGCTTGTGGAAGGTCAAGATTTGGTAACAATGTCGCTCTGTCACTGCAAAGAGTTGGTTGCGACTTGGCGTGTAAAACTTGGCAGCCCTTTTGTGCCCCGCCGAGGTCACGGGACGAGACTCAGCGCCTGACAGTGGCGGAGAAGCCGCCAGCTGATAGCAACTGGTCAAGCGGATGTGCTGAGTGCCGATAGCCAAATGCCACAGGCACAGGGCGCAAATTCCTTCGTTCAAATATCCAACCTCGACAGTCAACACGCAAGCAGAGCAGCACCCGACACCGACATCCCCTTGCAATTACACCGTCGATCCATCAACAACACCGGCAACGGGTATTGCAGGAGACACAAGATGGCGCAACAGGGACAGCCGCATCTTCAAATGCAACAGATGCAATACACGTACCAAATAACACCTCCACAGCACCAGGTGCAAAATGTTCAAAATGTTCAACACGCGCCACAGCAGCAGCAGCAGCCAGTGCAGCAATCAGTGCAGCCCCAATTGCATCAACAACCACAGCAACAACCCCAGATGCAGCCCCAGATGCAGCCCCAAATGCAAGCTCGCCCGCAACAACAAATACAGCAGCCGCAGCAACAGCCGCAACAGGGCCAGCCTGGTCAATCCGGCCAGCCACAGCAACGCCCCAATTTCCAGATGGCCCTCCTGCCCCCGCCCCAGGACCGCCTGTACAACACCTGGGATGACCTCAGGGAAGACGTCAAGGCCTTTGCCAAATCCCAGGGCTATGCCATAGTCATCGTCTCTTCTCTCAACCGCGACGCCGAGGGGCAGTACCGCCGCTACAACCTCTGCTGCGGCAAGGGCGGCAAGAACTACACCTCGCACAGCAAAGGCCTTCGCAACACCCGCTCCGCCAAGACGGGCTGCCCGATGCGCATGAAGGCGATCCAGGAGAAGGCGTTCCCCTACAACGACAAGTGGCACGTCATCGTGCAGTGCGCCGAGCACAACCACGAGCCCTTCACGGGCGGGCCCGGCGCCAACGCGCCCTCGCAGTTCCGCAAGATCGAGGCCGACGGCATGCGCTGGCTCATGATCATGCACCGCGAGGCCCAGTGCAACCTGCGCCAGCTGACCATCGGCATCCGCCTCTCCTTCGGCGACAAGTACCAGTACGTCAAGAAGAGCGACGTGCGCAACATGCTGGCCAAGATCAAGCGCGACGAGGAGAGGAAGGCCGCCGCCGCCGCCGCCGCCCAGGGCCTGCCCAGCAACGCCCCCTACACCCTGATCCCCCAGTCGCACCTGCCGCCGCCCCCGGCCCCGCCCACCCAGCCCGTCGAGCGGATGCCCCAGCTGCCCGCCGACATGCAGGTGCCCGATCCGGACATGGAGACGGATGACGACGGCGATGAGCTGTGAGGGCAGTGCTGGCCTAGGGGGTGTGACTCGTTTCTAGACCTCTAATTTGAAGCTGGTGGGGGTTGAGGTCGATCGAGGTGTCTAATAGCTACCGAGGTTGAGCTTGACGGTGCTAAATGTATTAATTAGTAATTAACGGGGACGGATATCTTCCCTTCAATCCGAGAGAAGGACAAACAGATATTTACCCTTGAACGCGCTCAGCCTTGACTGGGAAGTCGAATGTAGCATCGATTGAACCCGCAGTTAATGAATCGAGTCTGACCCCGGAAACATGATGTCGGTGGCGGTGAAGTAAACTCAGCTGAGTGGTACTAACCGAACAGTGTGACAAGTTTGGAAAATGTGCTGTCAAATCAACAAGCGGGGGGGGGGGGAAGCACTATCAAGGCCCAGGACAAAGCATGACAACCGGCGTAAATTGATGAGCTCCCACGACCATTTCAAGAAACCTACTTGAGTCCAAGTTAATGAGTGCGCCCAAAACAAATCCAGAGTACAAACAAGAGAAACCCCCCACCGAAACCAACACACAGAGACAGCCCGACCTCCCAGGATATCAACCTCCCTTCCCCTTCCCCGCCTCACGTATGTAAAGTGTAAAGATATGCTCGATTCGAAACGTCAACAGCCAACAACCCCCCTCCCCTCCCCCTTTTTCTTACCAACAACCCAACCCAACCCAACCCCCTTCACCTCCCCCCACTCCCACTCCCACTCCCACTCCCACCCCCACCACTCACACCCCCAGCACCACCCCCAGTCCCAGAACAAGTCTTGAGGTGCCTCTTGAGGTTATCCGCGCGCATCTCGCGGCCGCAGCGCGCACAGGGGGCGACCTCCTTCCAGAGGGCGCGGTCGCCCCGCACCTGCGGGATGTCGGAATGACAGGTGCGCAAGTGGCGGGCGAGGTCCTTGCGCTCGGCGCCGCCGCGGAAGTCGCAGTAGTCGCACTTTTTGGGGCGGGTGTGGTTGTTGGCGTGTTTGCTGTGGTTGGGGGAGGGAGGTGGTTAGCTTGGGCTGGGTTGGAAAGGGGGGTTGGGAGGGAGAGGGAGAGGGAGAAGAGAGAAAAAGGGGGGAGAAAAATATGGGAGAGGGAGATGAAAGGGGAAGAGGGAGATGAAAGGGGAAGAGGGAGATGAAAGGGGAAAGATGGGAGAGGAAAAGGGGGACACTGAAAAGGAAGTAAAATTGAAAACAGAAAACCAAAAACAGGCAGCAGACAGAAAAAGGAGCCTCTCACCGGAGTTGGCACTTGAGCTTGAAAACCTTCTTCTTGCTCGTGCACTTCGGGTCGGTGCACCGGAACGGCCCGCGGCTGCCGGTCGAGGAGGAGTCGCTCTCCTGGTCGGAATGTGCTATCTCTGGTGTTGATCGTGCGTTCTCGACAGAAATCGTGGGGCTCAAAGGAGTGACGAAGGAAACGGAACAATCCGAAGCCGCCGGTGTCATGATCTCGGGGCTGGAAGCGAAGGACGAAGAGGCCGCAGTGCCATAGGAGCCGGTGGTGCCAACGCCACCGGGAGGGGCCTGCTGGAACTGGACATGTAAAAAGTCGTACGGAAGCGAGGGACTGATGGGAATCTGGTTGTCGCCGCTCTCCGTGGGGCTTCCATCCATGGTGCTGCTCGTGTTTAAATGAACCTAGTTGTCCAAGACGTGGCTGACTGGGGAGAAAGCCGCTGAAAACACGGGTGCACCAGGGATGGAATCACCGGCGGGAGAGTAAGGGTCGAATTCCGGATAAGTAGGCGCAGGGTTGGGGGCATCGGCAGGCCCTGTGCCGTAATATACAGCCTCTCCCAGGTGGTCGGACTCTAGAGACGCCCCCGGGAAAGGGGGGTCAAAGTCAGCACCTGGGACCTGTCCGGAGAAGTCCAGTCCAAATGTGCTGGGCTGGATCATCAAATTCTGCGGGTCCACGGTGGCATCGCCAGCTTCGGTCCCATATGTGGCAAGACAGTGGGCGTGCTGACCCCCCGACAAGTCCGATGGCACGCCGACTTGTGCACTCATTTCGAGCCACGCCGAGACGCTCGTCTCCCGCCCGGAGGTGAGGTACGGGCCAATCTCGTTGCCCTCAGTGTCGGCATCCCCCGTCCACCACTGTGCCTCCAGCGGGTGCCTTTGTGGCTCCCGCGTTAGCTCCCACGTCGTCAAAGCGTTCCTTGGACTCGGTAGACTTACATGGGGAGTCGGGCCATCCTCGACACCTTGCGTCAGCTCCACAGGTAACAGAGCCGCGAGACAACTGAGCGCAACGAGCGGTAGGGCAGGGTTCTTGCGGGCCGAGTAGGCTATCGTCTCCACCAAGAGGAAGTCAGGGAAGGGAGGTTTGATGGATTTGGATCACCGTCGGTGTGACAGTGGTGTCGTGGTACTAGATGGGGACACAGAGAGCTGGATCAATGCCGCGCAGCTCGTGTGGAGTGGGAGGACCGCACGCACTGGCACTGGCTGGACACAGCGGCAATTGTCCTTCTCAAATATCCTAAACCCGTTTGAGACTCGTCAGCTTGCGTGTTGGTCGCAAACGGGAGGCGGACGGAGGCATACACCCTCGGAAGCTGCCTCGTTGGGGCCGCGGTCGAGCTCCAAACGCCGCGGGCGAAGGAGAAGCCAGACTGAGACCGGAGAGCCTCGCCAAGAGCACGACGCAGTGAGGCCCGCCATGAGGCCCGCCATTTGAGGCCCACTGCAGGTTGGGAGCGCCATGGAGGACAAGGGTTCCATTGGTTGGGGGGACCCTCACCCCCTTTTCCTTGACCAACCAGGGGCTTGGTGGTGGGAGGCAGTCTGGCTGACTCGCCGAGAGCCCAAAAGTGTTGGAACATGTTGGAAATGCTTAAGAACCCAAAAGGTCTCGAAGGGGGCCTCCGTTGGGCTTTCTGATTGCCTCGGCGGTTAACCGGGACGTTCTCACAGGCACTTACCCAGAGAAAGCCTTGTACGCCTCCGGGCCCCCGGCCGGGTCGCTGTCCGTGTCACCCACCATGCGCTCTTCTGTGCAATGACGAGGCTGCTCCATGGCGAAGGATCCAAGATGGAAAGAACCAACTGTCGAGGAAAGACATCATTGTTCTTGAAATGATTCCCTATAAGGGTTTGATCTGATGTTGGTGCTTTGCTTTGCTGTCGGCGATCGACACTCGCACAACGACAGACGTTGAATCTTGATTCTACCCACACCTAGTGTGCTCCAAATCTCCATTTTCCCCGCTTCCTTGGCTCTCTTGAATTTCCTATCTATCTGCTCGGCTCGTCAGCCACAGCGAACAGCCTCAACATGTCCGACTTCGAGTCGGTACCCCTTCCCCCCAGCCTCAGGAAGCGCTTCTACGAGCCCGTCATCTTGCTGGATGCCCTCAGAGGGGTTTACCGGCAAGACGAGAGTATTTCTGAGCCCGACCTGGAAAGTGGCACGGGCAAGTCTCAGAAGGAAACCTACTTCTGCTTCCTCAACAAGCTCAGCCAGATTTGCGACAGCCAAAAAAAGAAGGACTTCGGCAAGACTGTCAGCGCCATCGTAGTCCTGGAACCGGGCAGCATCGAATACCGCTTGGCATCGAATAAGCGGGATAGCCGTGAGTTGGACACGGCTACCGAGTACTTGACCGACATCTTGAACGTCCTCGGCCATGTCACAGACCAGCAAGTCAATGACAAGGCTTTTATGGCCACCGTCTCCTCCGGGATTTTGCACAAGATCCTCGCCTTCAACCGCACTCGAGTCGAGCTTTATTTAAACGACTTGGTTGAAAATGACCGGCTGGATTTCTGCGTTAACTCTTCCGCTACGGGCCAGACGGCGGACGGTGAGCAGCCTTGATCACGTATGATAATCATACCCCATGCCAGTTCTGATTGTTGAATCCAGCCAAGTCCGTTGCCGAAGCACTGCGCAGTCTCCAGCCACACATCCAAGCAGCCAGGGGCGCTTCACAACTGAGCAATGATGATTGTAAGCCCAAATTCCCATAACCAACGACATCTCGATGACAACACAACAACTCACACGGTTGAAAGTCGTCCGCCACTCAGAAGCCCTCCTCCAAACCATCCACAAGCACTACGAACCCACGCTAGAAGACTACATGAAGCAGAAGACACGCGGCGAGAACAACATGGTCGACAGCCCCTGGAACGACGTCCGACACGCGCTCGGCCGTCTCCTTTCCTACTTCATCGCCATCAAGGTGCTCATCTCGGCGCGCAAGTACTGGCCGCGCCTCTTCGTCGACTTCGAAGTCACCTCGATCCCCTCCAGCCAACCCCAATCCGACCCGCCCGCGATCCGGCGCAACGCGAGCGGCATCATCAGCCGCATGTCGCGCAGCAAGGCCGTGGCCGACGCCTACCAGGAGCGCGCCCGGCACCTGCAAGCGCACAAGCTCGACGAGCGGATCCGCGACCGGGTCAAGCCGAACCGCTTCCAGCCCATCGTGCACGCCGAAGTCAACCTCCTGACCTCGGTGCTCGCCTCCCAGGCGGCCGCGGAGCGCGACGGCGAGGACCCGCTGCGCTTCTTCCACGAGGCCGAGTTCGGCGCCTACATCGGCAGCAGCAAGCCGACCTGCCTGCTGTGCGCGCAGTACTTCAAGGCCCACCCCTCGGGCGTCGCCTGCCGCGCCTCCCACGGCAACCTGTATTTCAACTGGCGCGCGCCGGATGTGTCGGTCGACGACGGGCCCGCCGCCGACCAGCAGCGCCGCGACATCCTCGAGGCCATGGTGAAGGAGGTCCGCAACGAGACCACGCGCGCGATCCTCGAGCGCTCGTATACCCGCCGCAAGCACGACTCGTGGGATACGCCGTCGAATCCGCTGAGGAGTAGTACCGTTGGGGCGACGCTGGGTTGGGGAGCGGAGGAGGATGAGTTGGCGAGTCGGATGGGCCAGGTGAATCTGGATACTAGGGGGTCGATGAGGAGTGGCGGGGTGATGGGGACGGATAGGAGGTCGGCGAGGAGCGGAGGGGGGATGGGTGTGGATAGGGGTTCGGTAAGGAGCGGAGGAGGGTTGGATATGCTGGCAAGGGCGAGGGGGATTGATCAAGCGTCTACGATGGGCCAGATCAACGATACGTCTTCGATGAGGGCTTGGAGTGACGGGTCGCGGGAGACGACCCCTGAGGCTCCGACGCATGTTGAGGATAACGAGGAAGATGATGACGAGGATGGCGGAGGCGCGAAGCTCTGAAAGGTGGACGAGTTCTGTGCCGTGTTTCGGGCGACGGTTTCGGCCCGCAGTCTCTTTTTTCATATATATTGTGTGTACGTCGGTTATGATCTTAACGCCAGGGATTTCGCATCAAATCATTACTTCGTCTCGCTGTGGGAGCTGCCGTACCCATCCCCACATGAAGCCAAATCAAGCCCCCGGCAAGCAGCGTCTATGATTCTAATCTATCCGTTCCCAACTCCAAGCACCTACTGGCCCCTCAAACTCCGTCAACGGCCAGTCTCCCATGCCTGAGCGCATCCGCCACCTGCCCCAGCCACCACACATGTATCCTCACATCATCCGTCAGCTCCGGGTGGAAGCTCGTCCCAAACACATTCCCCTGCCTCACCGCCACGATATCCCCCTTCCCTTCCCCCTCAGTCTGCTGTCCCGGCACCTGACAAACACCCAACACCTCAACCTTGCCGGCCTGTTTCTGGGAACCAGACCCCCCATCAGAGATAACCTCCTCCACAACTGGCGCCCGAATGAACACGGCCCTGAACGGCTCCTCTCCCTCCCCCAAAAAGGCCAAATCCAGGTTGGCCACAAAACTCTGCATCTGCGTGCCATACCTGTTCCTCAACACCCTGACATCCAACCCCCCAATCTGTTCCTGCCCGCCCTGCTTGGTAGCGACCGCTTCCTCGGCGAGCATGACCAGCCCGGCGCAGGTCCCCCAGACCGCCTTGTGTTGCACTCTGTTCATCGAACCAAATTAGTACGGGTACGGTTTCCAAAATCAAAGCAGGTAGGTAAAAAACAAAGGATTACGGACTTGACAAACTCCCGCAGCGGGTCGAGCAGGCCCAGCCGGCGGGCGACGATGGCCATGGTGGTTGACTCGCCGCCGGGTATGATGAGGGCGTCGCATTGGGCGAGCTGGGGTGCTGTGCGGACTTCGGCAAAGGTGAAGCGGAGGCTGTCGGGGGATTGGACGTGGGCGGTGGCTCTGCGGAGGAGGTTGAGGTGCTCTACCACGCCGCCTTGGAGGGCGAGCACGCCGACCGTGATGGTTCTGGTCTTGGTCATGGTGGTTGGGTTTCAAACCTTCCGCGGGTTTGAGATGGTAGGTTGGAAGTGGTGGCGTGAGAATGAATTCGTAGCTCTTGTCACTCTCCAACTCCTGTTGGTTGGTCGTGTGGGGGGTATCTCAGCGTTCGCTGTCAGTCAGCTTATCGACGGGAGTCACACGGCTTCTCAACTACTAATCAACACGGTTATCAAGGTGTCAAGGTCACAGAGTGAGAAGGGCGTGCGGAATGTGGCGGTTAAGGCCGGCACAATGACCAATTGAATTAAAATGCCTCGCCACTGAATTGACTTCCCGACGACATCGGCACGCCCAGAGGGGCAGGCGAGTGGGAGAGAAGAAAAAAACACGCGTTCCCCCCCGCCGGTAAACGGCACTGTGCGCTGCCCTTCATGTTGCACCGGCGGTGGAAATAAAGTTGACACTGTCCAGGGTTTTCGAGATCGCCCCACGGTGAGACATCCCCACATGGTTCTGACTGTTGCCGTTTCTCGAAGGGCGTCAAATCACACAGTCACCGTTGAAACAAACCGAGGGCAATGGTTTTCTGAAATTGCGTCTGATATTTCAATTCTTGTAGCGGGAAGGTGGAAAGAAATGAACCCCACCGGAACTCGAGAATTGTTCAACGGTTTGGAAGGTCCACCCCAATCGCGCAATCTGGAGCCCCGCCATCGGCTCGCGGGGGTTTTCTGTCAACCGCTGCAACGTGTGCCAAGTGCCGCCGTTCCTGGTCAAGCTCCGATTCGGAGGCGGGGCACGTGCAAGGGGAATCGAAAAATGGCCGGGATTCCAGATCCTGACAGTGCACCCGCACTGTACCTTTTTTGTCTCCTCTTATCCCACCAAGGTGGTCATCGAGGGGTCACAGCTTGACTGACTCACGCAACTTGCTCTTTAAAAAGTGGATTCTCGATTCTCAAACCTTCAAAACTTTTGAGAGGATTGTCACTCCAGTAGAACTCATTACCTCTATTTTGGAGATTACCTTGTCCCTGTTTCCAACCGAGCGATCCCCCATCTCACGCCCCAAAATCTTACATCTCGAACAAAACCCCCACTCGAGTTTTATTCAACCTCGGCAACAGCTCCCAAAAAGAAGCAAAAAAATAAATTTTAAGAAAAGATGGCCACCAACCTTCACCCCGGCACCAACGGCGCCGCCAACGATGACTTTACCGTCAAGGCCGGGCTCGCCCAGATGCTCAAGGGCGGCGTGATCATGGACGTGACAACCGCTGCCGAAGCCCGCATCGCCGAGGAAGCTGGTGCCGTCGCCGTCATGGCCCTCGAGCGCATCCCCTCCGACATCCGCAAGATGGGCGGCGTGGCCCGCATGTCGAACCCGGAGATGATCCAGGACATCCAAAAAGCCGTCACCATCCCCGTCATGGCCAAGGCCCGCATCGGCCACGTCGTCGAGTGCCAGATCCTCGAGGCCCTCGACGTCGACTACATCGACGAGAGCGAGGTGCTCACCCCGGCCGACGACAAGTTCCACGTCGCCAAGTCCGACTTCAAGATCCCCTTCGTCTGCGGCTGCCGCAACCTGGGGGAGGCCCTCCGCCGCATCAAGGAGGGCGCCGCCATGATCCGCACCAAGGGCGAGGCCGGCACGGGCGACATCGTCGAGGCCGTCAAGCACATCCGCACCGTCAACGCCGAGATCGCCCAGGCCAAGGCCGCGCTGGCCGGCGGCGGCGACCTCGCCATCTCGGCCCTCGCCCGCGAGATCGGCTGCGACGTCGCCCTGCTCCGGCAGACCGCCGAGCTCGGCCGCCTGCCCGTCGTCAACTTCGCCGCCGGCGGCGTCGCCACCCCGGCCGACGCCGCCCTCATGATGCACCTCGGCTGCGACGGCGTCTTCGTCGGCAGCGGCATCTTCAAGGACGCCGAGACCCCCGAGCACGCCGCCAAGCGCGCCCGCGCGATTGTCAAGGCGACTACGCAGTTCACCGACAAGAAGGCGCTGATCGAGGCGAGCATCGAGCACGGTGAGGCGATGAGGGGTATCAGCAACGCGGGCCTGAAGCCGGAGGAGAAGATGTCTGGCCGGGGTTGGTAGGGATGGAAGTTGGGTGATCGAGGAGGGGGGCCGCAGAGGAGGCCGGGGATGTGTATTTGAGTTTCAACACTGCAGGCCGTGGAGTAACGGAGTCTGATGCAGGTCGCAGTTGGCTTGAGAGCATCGTTCATCATGGATGGGAGGCATTTCTCAGCAATACATGGGGATATGGGTCAAAAAGGCACTAAAGGTACTTGGGGTCGGCCCATTGCCATAGTTTATTGCTATTTGCATTGCGATTTCGTTTTTTCCGCTCCATATCTAACCCAAGGCTTCGGGATATATTAAGAGGCTACAACAATGAATCCGTGCTGAGATAATATTGCAGATTCGGACCCATAGCTTTGCCGCCTCCGTCTGTGAAATTCAACCTACGACATCCTGTCGGACATAGCACACGAGTATAAGCGACAGTCCATATAGGTAGGTAGCCAGCAAGAATTGAGCCCCATAATGCACAGCGTGGCCTGTGTGTATCTGGGAACTACCCGTGTCACCAGCGGGTCGAATCACCCCAGAGGGTTGCAATTACGTCGTCGGAGTTGGCCGCATATGTCGATGTTCAACTATCGATGTTCAACTGATGACAGGGTTCTATGGTTAAATTATCACCGAAGGCAACCTGAAACCTCACCAGCTCGAATTGTCGCCTAGAACCGGTATCCTGACATCTAGTACGAGTCTACCAAGCCTGAGTTCTACTTCTTCTTCAACGGCGTGGACGAATCATTACGAAGAAACGCTTCAAGACGACTTGAAAGCCATGCTGCAAATATCACATGTCTGGTCTAAGTTATACGGCAAAACTGAACGGTATTCTTCTTGCGGCTTCATCTTAGTCAGTCAATGACGGTTCGGAGAAGATGAATGAATGCGCAGTACCCTTGACCAAGGAAGAATCAACCCAGTACCGAATGAACCTGGGGTCGTTTCCAGCACCTACTAATCTATCAGCAAGTGAGCACCATCCGTAATGAATAACGGCAAGCTTGCTGGCCTTACGTAACTAGTCGTCAATGTAGGATCATCGCGTTGGCCTGCCCTGGCGGCACAAAACCGCTGATCCTACTTAGGCATTAACCAACATGAAGTCGGCATGGTCACTGATCGTGTCGGGCAGCACACCGAGATGAAACATAGGCTCTGCTTGTGTCATTCTGCTAACCCGGATGCCAGTATCCTACATACGGGTGCCCTAGAAAGAGCGCATATCTCCTTTTCTACTAAGCTGGAGGAAAACCTCGAACGGAATCAAACCCCCAGCGACCGAAGGCGTGGTAGTCGGCTCAACAGTCGCCCGCAGCAACAATAACATTCCAGTTCGCCCCATCAAATGATTGACCAAGAGTCCGGCCATTGGCGCCCTGGTCACCGCACCTAGAGATGATAGCTGCCGCTTCGTCTCCAAGTCGCCTACAAGGCACAAAAATTTCATTTCGATTATCTGTTGGGTGTCGAGTTAGAATCGAGTTCTTCACTTTTGGGTAATACACTTGCCATTGCAAAAATAGATAGCAGAATCCCAGGAGCAGCTGACGCGGTCGCAGGTGCCAGGGCCGGGACGGCCACGGCAATCACCCTTGATCCCTCGGAGATATTCGACACCTGCGGCAAGGGCAAGGAAATTCCGCGTAGGGCTCCATGACGGGGGCCATCCGCAATGAATGGTAGCCCGCGTGTTCAAACCATCACGGGCCTCGAGCGCCACAGAAGAGTTGTCAAAGATTGTATAAGTTGGGTTGAGAGCTTTCGCTTTCGCCTCGATATCCTAACATTCAGACGTTGGTTAGTCCTACTCCTGGTTTCAAAGGGAAGAGAATATAGAATTCCCCGCACCTCGAAGGTATCGCCGCTCAGGTATACCGGTTCCTTCCCTTCCTCCAAGGTACCTCGCCATTGGACTGGACCCTCGACAAAGGTATAGGATCCCGCTGATCCCACGTCCCGTTCCGTAGGCACAAGGGGCGAGCCAGAGGCAAACATGCTCGAGGGGCTGAGCAAACAGCCCACGGCTGCAAGCAAAATAATAGGAACCTGGACCATGATGGCAAGAAGCTGCTAGTGAATGGAGAAGCGTGTGAGAAATCGTTGGTGGTGAGGAGAGAGGAATTCTGAGAGGAAGCTGGTGGTGGTCTTTTATACCCAATGTACCTCCTTTGCGGCTTGGTGTTTCCAGCGCGGTGGTATAAACCCGTATAAGCCGGGGCCGGAGTACAAGCTCGAGCATAAAGTGGAGCATAAGACGGAGCCGGAGCCGGAGTACAAGTCGGAGCCAGAGTACAAGCCGGAGCCGGGACACAAGCTAGGTCTGAGGTCTAAGCCGGAGGTAAGCATCTTAAGCCAAAGGGTTTACGATTGAAGAGGCGCGCACGTGTAATCTGCTGATTGCGTACATAGGTACCTACGTAGCAGCAGCGGCACGCCAGCAAAGATCCTCCATCCTGCGCTGAGCCCGCGCGTCCCAAAACGGGGGCCGTTGTCCCGTGTTCTGCCTTGCGACTTGCGGCAATGGTAAATATTTCCCCGTAGCCAATCCTCCATGCTGCATGGACGCTCGCCCGGATGCCACGGGGGATGTGATTCGTTCCGGGTACGACGTCGTGCGGATGATCCGACGGGAACAGCCTGTGCCTCCGGCCCTCCGCAATCATGGATGCCCGCCCCCTCAACCACCCGCCGTAACCCCATACACCCCGTCCTCTTCGTCTCGTGTCCACGCCGGCCATTCCCGACCTGGCACTTCCCGGCCGTGCTCCCGCCGCCGCCCCGCGAAATCATGGCCGACCCTGGGAGAGTACCTACGCTGCCAGATTGTGCCAGGTTCGAACAAACAGTTCACTGTCGGCAATCCCTGCATCCAGGGGCGCCAGGGACTGTTCCATGTTAGTCCGTGTCCGAAGACACAAGATGAGGGAGGGTAAAGTAGAGTAAAGAAGGAAAGAGCGGAGAAAGACGTGATACGATCACAATCCGGGTCACTGACAACCAAGAAAGGATGTGAATGCTGGGCATATCATAATAAGCTGCAGAGGTAAGATGTTGGCACAAAAGTTCTTTTCAGTTGGACCGGCCACAACTGTAGCGTCCATGCTTGCTGTATTTGATTAGTAGGTACTCACTTTGTATATTCCGTAGCCTCAAATGCCCCATCCAACGCCCAATACCCATCCTCCATATGTATCCCAGAATTACCTACCCACCAAGCCCATAGCCCCTCGTTTTAACATTATATCTTCCATCATATCCGGCACCAGCGCCGGGGGGGGGGTATAACCAAAGGCAAACGCACACAAAATAACCCAACCACAACATCCACCCATCACCCAATCGACCTCGCCGTGGCCTCCCTCCCCAAATCCTCCATCCTCTCCGACGCCCCATCCCCCTTCACCCACGGACTCGGCCCATACGCCAAGCCCGCCCTTGCATTCTTGCTCCCCCCATCACCAATCCCACTCCCACTCCCCTCCCCGCGCTCCACATCCCCCATCGCCACCCCCCCTCCATCCCCATCAACCTCCGCAATCCCAATCCCAATCCCCACCCCCTCCACCCCATGCTTCCCCCCCTGCATCCGCGAAGGTTTCGACCCGATCGTCAACGGCGGACCATGCCCCCCGCCAGACACACCACCACTACTCCCACCCCCACCGCCACCGCCACCGGCGCCATCACCACCACTACTACCGCGGGAATCGAACAGGCGCGGCCAGAAGCGGGTGACGAGCGGCCGGAGCGTCATGGCGCAGGCGACGACGATGGCGGTGTTGACCTCGACGCAGGTCCAGTAGACTAGGTCGGTGTTGGTGTAGGTGGAGTCGGGGTCCGCGGCGTTTTTGACTTGGATCAGGATGGCGAGGCGGATGAGGGAGACGAGGCAGACGCTGGTTTTTGGGGGGGGTCGGTTAGTTGGGGTGTTTTTTGGTGGTTTGGGGGTAGGTTGTGGGGGAGAGAGGGAAAGGGGGAAGGGGGCTTACAAGAAGCCGATGGCGAAGATGCCGACTACGACGAGCTTTTGGCGGCGGGGGAGTTTGAGTGGCGCGATGATCGGGATGGGGAGGATGAAAATCATTAGGTCGGTTACGACGATGATTCTGTTGGTGACAAGACGGAACGTTAGTTTGGCTGGCTGGGTTCGTGCGTGTGGAAGGTGGGAGCTGACCCTGTGTTTGCCCACCAGGCGTCTTGGCCCTGACAAAAGGAAGCTTCGATGCTCGAGTCCCAAGCTGCCTCCAGGGGGATGCAGTAGGTGAGAGTCGTCGCTATCGCCCATAGATTTGTGATGATGACGATGGCCAGCACACCGTAGCAGGCTCGCCGGGCCCACTCTAAGGTGAAGATGGTGAGATAGAGGAGGCAGATGGAGACCTTGGTTAGGAACAGTGTGAGGATGTAACACAGGAGCGAGAACCACCATGCCTATGTGAGTTGTTAGAGGCCCGTCTATGGCTCAGGGGTACGGACGTCCGAATACCTTCCTCTGTGGGATCCAGTCGGTGTCCATATCGATGTCCCAAATGTGTTTACCCTTGCCGTATTTGACTTCTAGATTTGCGTGTGAGCGCCGACACCTCGGTTTGGGTCATGTTTTGTTCAGTAAGGGGCAACCAACGTTCCGCTTGACTAATACACATGCATCCCGCCGCTATCTGATCACGCATGGTTAGAAAGAAAGAAAACGCCAAGGTCGGGAGCATGGGATGCGTACTACTGAGGCGGCGATGAACCAATCCGCCGGGCCGAGAGAACGTACAATCCTCACGCGAGTCCAAAACCTTAGCAAAACGAAGATGACGGCAATTGCCCAAGTCGTGTAATTCGCCGCGAGGATGTTAGGGCCGAGGTCGTCATGGTCTAATTCGGCCATGGGAGTGCCGGAGGCGCCTCCGGGTCCGGCTGGCGATCCTGAGCTCATGAGGTCGGGTGAAGCATCGGTGTTGAACTCCGTCTGAAAACCCACCCTTCCTCGACCCCTGGACTATCGTGGTTGGCCCGACGCTATGACGGTGGGGAATGTTCGAAGGGTAACCGGCTATGGCTCGTCGTCACAAAGTTTAAAAGTTGCTTGCCGGTGATTGTAGGTAGGTAGTTGGGCCGTGGCGTGGAGTCTTCTACGCAGTACTGTGTAGATCCACGTTCGGGGAAAGGTGAGAGACTTGGCCGGCTTGCCACGGCCACGGCGGTCTTTCGCAGACACAGCGGGTTGCTCCTGTTTGTACCTTGCCTCGGGTCCAGCACGGCCCCGTCGGTTCCGGTGCGATCAGTGGTTATTCTCTTGGGTGGCGGCCGGGACTGGCATCCGGCCACCAAACAGACTGCCGCTCCACGCCGGGATGCGACATGGGGGTAGCTCCTCAAACCGAGTCTCGGTTGTGAGGAATTCCAAATCGAGTCAACCCATGCCACTACATGCATATTTTCATAGTCTCATAGTTTGACCATTGAGGGCGAAAGTTTGGTGATGAGCGCGATCGGGACTGCAAGCTCTCACTCTGCCCTCAAACCGGGGTTATGCCCATTGATATTCTGGTCTGGCCGGGGCGAATCGTGCTGTGGCGAACTCGACGGAGTTGTGCCCGGCCGAATTGTGAGACATTGTTGCGCCCCCGCGCCCACACCACTCATTGCCCCGGTCAGTCGACATGGGTTTGAGAGCTGACATGCATCTTGTCGTCACAGCTGGGAACTTTCCCCAAGCAACGTGACACGCCTCAGGCTTGAGCATCCTCGAGCATTCGACTCCTCCGGACACACCCTCCCACCTTGTGATAGGGGCTGCCGATGTCCCATTCTCGCCCATTCTTCCCAGGTCCGAGCCAGCGGGATGCGATGCGATGATTGACAGGAGATCCTGGACGATCTTGGTTCGTGGAACTCCGTGGAATTTGGTAACTCACCAACAAAAGGCGGCTCAGCGGCTCGGCGGGTGCCCCTGCGTTGGCGAGGTTGTGCCGACATTGCCATCTGCCATCCCCTGTGTTTATTAGTTATGCATAATTTGGTGCGTCTGCTGCCACCCCTGCTGTTTCGGTTGAGGTCGCCAAGGTGAACAACAGCACGCGGAGTCTCAGACAAATTCCTGCTTTTGGGAAAACCCACGACGAGTCAAACTCACCGCACCAATTTGAGGTTGGCACCCGCCAGTTAGCTTGAGATGTCAAAAATGCTGTTGGTTCCAGGTTTCATTTGCTTTCAGCTTCAAAACACTGCCGAGTGGCTTTGTTGCTGGTTCCTAGTTATTGCGGGACCTAAGCTCGAGTGCTTGACCTCAAATTTGTCTTTGTCGAATGTTAAACCCGCGAAATTCTTCAGATTCGATCCCTTCGGTCTAACCAAGAGTGAGTTACTTGGGGGTTATCGAATGCCACGGTGCCGTCGACTGAGCAAGCGTGTCTTGGGACACCGACAGAATAATTGACAAAACAACAACCAAGGTCCGATGGTGTAGTTGGTTATCACGTCAGTCTAACACACTGAAGGTCTCCAGTTCGAGCCTGGATCGGATCATCGTGGGGTGCGCCTAAGCTCGACGAGGATTAAAATCGTGGAGATGAGCATTTTTTTAGCGCATCGCGAGTCTCCCGGGTGGAGTTTCGATCGAGCCGCAACCCCACTGAGCGAGCCTGTGCGCGCTGAGCTTGCCCCGCTAAAATTTCCAGCATCGCGGGGCACTGCGAACTGCTTGTGACAGAGAAATCGTGCAAGTCTACAGATTACAGAAGTCGGGCATACACACAATATAACCCTTTTTACCTCCAAGTTGCCACTCCCACCAATCGGTCTTTAATTACTACTACAAATTCTACGCGTGTACCTTTTGGATTGGCACCTCATTCCATGTCGTCCACTCACCAGCCTCAAGGCGCACCAGCCGCTGACGATGACGACCCCGTCGTTGCGAACTATTCCGTCTTCATCAAGCCGACCCTCCCCGAGCACCGGAACCTCGTCGTTCTACAATATGTAACCAAAACCGCCCAAGATCCGGCCCAAATCCGGGTACCGCGAATCAGCGAGCTGCGAACAAAGCCCGGCACCGGCATGTACGAGGTCGACGTGCCCATCGACACGACCGAGGCCTACGACCGGAACAAGGGCATGGCGTGGGGTACGTCGTTGCAAAAGTCCATGGATGCCAAGAAGGGCGGCAGTCTGGGTCTAGCCGGCGGGTTCAACATCGTCGCGACGTCCACGGGCGCCAGGGGCCGCCGGGGCGGTGCCGGCGCCGACGACGAACCACCCCCGCTCAACTGGGCTGAGGCAGCGCGGCAAGACAAGGTCCTGCGCAACCAAACCTACGGCGGCGTCCGCAGCGCTGAGGAAGAAAACACCCGCCACATGATCGGCGTCTTTCAAGGGAGTAAGCCATCCATCCACCACCCCCTCCCCTTTTCCCCCCCTTCCTCACAAACCCACCACCACTAACCACCCACCCCCCACCCCCAGAAAACCTACACCTCACCCCCGTATCCTCGGTCGTCCACCTCCGCCCCGTCCCGCACCACCTCGACGCGGCCACCGAACAAGAGCGCCTCGCGCGGGGCCCAGCCAGCGGCGGCGGCGGCGGCGGACCCAACCACTCCACCACTCCCGGCGGCGCGGGCGGGGGCGCGGACAAGGCCGCTGGTGGCGGCGCGGGCGGGCGGGCGATCCACATGACGATCAAGTCGGCGATGGACGCGGACGGCGGGGTGTCGACGGAGACGATGGCGGACCGGCTGCGCAGCGTGCAGACGGAGGCCTGGCAGCGCATGGAGTGGGTGCATGACGAGGCCGAGTTGGCGTGGGAGGCGTATAATGAGTGTTTGTTGTTGCGGTCGGGTGGTGGTGGTGGTGGTGGTGCTGCTGCTGCTGCTACTGCGGCGGAGGGCGGTGATGGGGATGGGGATGGGGAGGCTGGGGCGGGGAAGGGGAAGGGGAAGGGGAAGGGGAAGGGGAAGGGGAAGGAGGTTGCTGGCGCTGCTGCTGCCGAGGCGGGGGGGGATGTTGATGAGAGTGGCGCGGCGGATTTGGTGGAGAAGGTGTCGTGGTTGAAGACGGATTGGGGGGAGGAGGAACTGCTGCGGGCGGTTAGTGGGATGGGGGACCCCGTCACGGAAAGGGAGAAGGCAGATGTGAAGGGGGTGGCTAAGGGAAAGCAGGCAGTGGTCAAGACGGAAGAGCAACCAACCGATGGGCTGAAGCAGCCTGTTCGGGCTGGTAGGGGCGCAGCGGCTGCTGCCTCTGGTGCGAGGAGAAGTACTAGAAAGGGAGCGACTAAGGGCAGTGCGATGGAGATAGACTAATTGCGAGGTTTGGAGCGTGTGTAAGAAGACTAAACAAGGAGTGATCCTTAGAAACCTGCATTGCTAGGAGTTTCGGCCGCATGATTCATTCACAATGGATTGGGATGTAAACAATAATAACTACTGCGTGCATGAGATGTAGATAGAGGAAAGAAAACGCTCCAATTCAATGCCCCTCCCCTCTTACTGTGCACATATACCATACAAGATCAATATGCTGCTTTTCCCCTCAACTCACTCATTTTGTGAGCTCGACAGAACGCCATACATCAAACATCCCGAATGCCAACTCGGCCTTGATGACATCCTAAATCAATTGTCGCATCCGTTCGACAGCCATTTCCTGCCTTGCGAGCCTGATACCTAGCAAGCCGTAACTTCAAATAAATAGGGCGCAGGTGCCCATCCCGTCCATGACCTTGCCGTCATGTTTGCATGATTCGTGCGGAACTACTACTGAAGCAGCTCAACGTCCAAGCCAATAGAGCGCATGAAGAGGTTGACGTTCTGGAGACGCTGGGCAGCCAAGTCCTGGGGAAGCGTGTTGGAAAGCGCGACGGTGTCCATCACACGATCCTTGACGGCCAAGACTAGTCTCTGCTGCTGATCGGGGCTGGCACCGATTCCGAGCGCGGCTAAGAGTTGCCAGACGTAGATATCGTCACCCGCGGTGACGGGGCCCGGGAAGGTGTGGGGGAGCGAGGGTTCGATTAGATCGAAGAACTGCGTGTGGGTGGCATCCCTGGAAATGGTTAGCAGACTGAGCATAGCAGGAAAGAAGGGGACACGTACCATGAGCGCCAGGCCTGCTCATTGCCGCCTCCGCCGTGCTTAATAATCTCGGCGCGGCTCAGGATCATGGTGAGCATGGAAGCACCGATTCTGCTCTTAGAGATGACATCGACGTTGCGAGTGCAGACAAGGCCGAGCATGCCGGCAACAAGGTCCACGTCGAGCTCGTTCAAGATGGTGAACAGAGTCGACATGACGGAAACGGAAAATAGCTCCACGTTCTCACGCATGGCAGCGTTTAACTGCATTACCTCAGGCGTCACCTGAGCGTTGCGTACAACCTCGAGATTGTCGAGGTTCACGAGGATAAGTGTGAGGATCGTCGTGCGCTGCTCATGGGTAAGATGGCGGGAAATACGTTGCATCGCCTTCATGCCCTTGGTGTACGAGAAAAGGGCAATGAAGGGATGGACACGACCGTTGTCAGGATGGTCGTGAATCCGGAGGCTGTCCCAGAGCTGGTTGTTGAGAATCTGCGCTTCGCTATTCCAGGTAACGAACTTCTGGATGGCCTCCGTGTCGGCGTCATTTGCGGGAGGCGGCGGCATGTTTCGGTCGTGATCCTCCATTTGCATAAGCGTTGTGTAGATGCGTTCGATTGAGCGCAGGTCAGTCTTCCTGTCACCATCGTGGGCGATGTGCCTATGCGCGCTCGCAGGGCGGTTGGCCTCGGTGGTGCTCTCAGCGCGCTTGATGTTGAGAAGCGGCTTGGGGGTTTTGGCATTGCTGAACGAGATCTTCCCGAGGCTGCCCTCAATCACGAGCTGCTTGTTCTTGGGTTTATTTTTGGCTGCCTCGACAGCGCGCTGGACCTGCTGTTCCATGCGCTGCATGTGGTTCTCGGGTCCGCGGTGGTGACGACGCATGCCGCCCTGGCGACTCCCAGTCTGGAAGAGATAAGTCTGCGCAAAGTTGTTGAGCGGCTGGTTGGGATGCTGGCGCTGGCTGCCCTGGATCTGGCTGTGGACCTGGTAGTAAAAGTCCTCAGCTAGAGACTCGTCGGTGCCGTGTTCATTCGGGTTGCCGGTGGCGGCCACAAGTTGTTGAAGCTGAATCCGAGTCACAAAACTCTTGTCCTGGGGTGTCATGATGCCATTGTCGCGGGACATGAGGAATATTTTGTGGTTGCGCTTGGCTCTCTTCGCCTCCTGCTCGAGGTACGCCGCCTTTTCCTCTTCACTCAGCTGAGCCAACTGGGACGGATGAGTGATGATTTGCGGTTGGCGTGAAAACGACCCCTGCTGTCTATGGACAGGATGGGCTGGGTAACTCGCCGGCATTGTCGGGGTAGGATGCTGACGCACCCCGACTTTAGGGGTATCTCCAGAGACGCGGTTGGGGTTCTGCAAAATCTGCGTTGGCTGCATAGAAGATGACTGCTGCTGGCGCAGATGCGCTGCAGGCTGAGTTGGTGGTTGCGGAGAAGGAGCTTGCTTGGAAGCGGGCCTCTGCAGGATAGTGACGGAATGTCCGTGTCCATGAGCAGCAGCTTGGTCTTGGCCCGGATGCTCAGTTTGCGGTGGGGCTTGGTGCTGCGGGAACTGATACGCTTGGTCATAGTGCATCGGTGGGACTTGCGCCTGGGAACTAGCCGGAATGGCAGCTGCCGGAGGCGCCGGGGACGGCGTAGCCTGCTGCGCGGACTTCTTGGCCTGAGCTCGCATCTGAGCTTCGACCTCTTCTAGACTTAGCACCTTTCGACTCGGCGCCGCTGCGGGCACGGGCGCCGGGGAGGCAGCGGGAGCTGGCTGAGGCTGTTTCTTCGGCGCGACTCCCCAAAGAGCGGCATCAACCTGTAGTTCAGCTACCGGCTCGGCGCTGTACTTTTCATAGCCAGTCCGAGCCGGTTTGTAGGCAGCGGGCTGGGGATAATAACCATAGGATGATTGACCGGCAGCATGTTGCTGAGGGGCAGCGTGTGCTGGAGCTTGATACGCCGGCTGCGGAGCCCTAGTAGCGGGTTGCTGTCGCGTGAAGCGAACATGCTCCTCTTCGATGGCATCGGCGACCTTGGCGGTAGTATTAAAGAAGTCGAAATCCTTGCCTACTGGCCTGGTATCGAGACCGGCAGTGTCACCGAATGTATCGTCATTGAAGGCATCGCCTGTCTCATCCAGGTGGTCACCAAGCCCATCGTAGGTTTCCTCGAACTCTAGCGCATCGCCCTCGTCTTCGCGGTTCGACAGTCCGGCAAAGGGATTATGGGCTTGCGAGAACCCGGTCGCCGCGGGGTTGTGGCGGTTAGAATCGAAGCCGAAGAACGACATGGTTACGGCGTTTAGCTATTGATTGAGAACGCGTAAAGGGTTACTATTGAAAATATTAGTCCACAATCTTCGAGCAGTCCGAGCCGGGAAATGGTAATATTCGCGGGGTCACGGATCAGGGCGGGGAATCGCGACGATCGGCGAGGAGCGGGCAGTGTACCGGCACAGCGCGCAAAATCCTGATACGTCCGACGCAGCTAATTACTCACAGCGAGGGATGTAAGAATATCGGCTTGGTTGAATCGGTCAAGTGACATTGTGGTTTAATCAACGCGACTTGACTCCAGAAGCGGACGACGGTTCCAAGCGCAGGAATGCCGCAGAATGATGGCGATGCGCGGGACGCTCCGAATGGCTTGCAAAGGTCAGATACGGCGCTTTGTGTGCCGGAGGTGAAGGAAGAAAGTGTCACACAAGATGCGTCGCAACCTAAATGAGGCCAACTTTGGAGATGGAGTTCGCTTGTGGGTCGAGCTCGCTGGCGAGAAGCAACAGCTCGTGGAAGTGGGCGAAGTGGGATGCAGACAGAATTATCCGATAAACCAATCGGCGTGAGTCGGTCGGTCTGGCTGGGTGGGGTTCGAACCACGATATGCCAAGCAAGCCCATCACCTACCTCCCCCAGGGGCTTTATTTGGACATTTCCATCCGGGGCACTCATGCCCAGCCTTTTGAAGACGGCAGAGATTCTCGAGCCCCCCATCACCGACAGGCGAACGAAGTTAGTCGGAACGCCCACCAAAGCCTTAGTTACATGGTAGCCCGCTCCTCCACGGACTTGTCGAACATTTCGTTACCATTCTTCTGTGCTTGGTCGCTGAGTTGTAAACGAAAAGCCGCTTGGTCGTACACAGTAGTTACGCAGAGTCGCAAATATTTCAATTAAATATGGTCACCAAACCGGCATTTGCCAACATTCCCGACTTGAATGTTTCCCGGCCCTTTTGCGTTCCTCCCTTTGGACGAATACCCACGACAACGACCCTTTTTTTTTCTTTCCCTCTTCGTCTCACACATCTCCTCCAGTTAATGAGCAAAGATGCTCGGGGTAACTTGGCTGGCCGTCGTATCCCCGTTCTGGGAGACCCCGATGGGAGCCACTCTCATTAAGTGCCCTGAGCATGCAACCCGACCCGGGAATGCGGTCTCGTGCCTTGGCCCCCTGCAGCAGCGTGCCGGGCCAGCGTTTAAATTTGGACATTGTGAGAACCGGTAGCCGCAGCCTGTTGTGTCGGACGACCGCCGTTGACCTAATTCTCGTCCGTGTGACACCGAAAATGGGTCAAGTACCTGTTCCCACGACGGCGCTCAGCGGCGAGCCAGGGGCACCGGTAGGTTGTCGGGCATTTCGTGCCTCACAAGCTCGTGCGTCAGGATTCGAGGAACGCAGGGGTCTCCGCAATACGAGATTACGACATGGCTGATAACTGTCTGGAAGTCTTCCACTAAATCTCCGCGGATGCCACTCAGCTTTGTCCTGTTAGTCGGTTACACAATCCGCCAAGCCGAGACTGGTGCTCAAGATTTAGCGTGGTGTTCTCCCGACCAGGGGATTCTGAGTTCAATCAGTGACATTGCGGCTGGGTTTTCGAATCCGAGAGCCGTTTTCTTACCAACACCAAGTTACTTTCTTACCGGCACCTTTCGTCTCCCTGTCTCCCTCCCAGTTTTGAGGGTCAATCAAGGGCGGCTTGATTGAGGAGCAGACAATAATGACCGAGTAGTTCAAGCGACACTTTATTTGTGGACGCGACGTCCCCCCCACCAATACCCGGCGATCTTTGGCCGTGCCAGCTCGCCACCAATAACCGATTCACGCTTGGGACACCGAAACGCCCTGGAAAGGTCAAAAGGCCGACTTTTTCCCATTCTTCCCAGACTATCTGGGTATTAGCAACCTCCGGGTTGATTGATATTCTTCACCATGGCCGCCGGAAGCGCGCGCTACGTGCGCTACATCCTTGTGGCTTTCTTCGTGAGTGCCCCCCTCCGTTGGTGTGTCGTGGCGTGGCTGCCGGACGGCACTGACAAGGCGCCAGATCCTCTCAGTATTTTACTTTGTGTCGAACTCAGCAGACGTCACCACGCTGAGGGCACACATTCCCACCGCAAAGTCACCGGGCGATGGCACCAGCGATTCGACTGCGACGGAGCCTTCCCCGAACGAAGCCAAGGTCAAGACGACTTATGACGCCTCTAAGTTTCCCATGGCGATGACCCCGAACGATCCAGGCTGGGACGAGTTGGCGGGTATCAGAGAGGGCCCGCGGATGAATGCCACGTTCGTGACGCTGGCACGCAACTCGGATGTGTGGGAGATTGCCAAGTCGATCCGCCAGGTCGAGGACCGTTTCAACCGGCGGTACAACTACGACTGGGTCTTCCTGAACGACAAGCCATTCGACGACACGTTCAAGACAGTTACGAGCTCGCTCGTATCCGGCAAAACCCACTACGGACTGATTCCCCAGGAGCACTGGTCCTTCCCGGAGTGGATCGACCAGGACAAGGCGGCGAAGGTGCGCGAGGACATGAAGGAACGCAAGATCATCTACGGCGACAGCATCAGCTACCGTCACATGTGCCGCTTCGAGTCGGGATTTTTCTTCCGACAGGAGCTCATGATGAACTACGAGTACTATTGGCGTGTTGAGCCGAGCGTTGAGCTTTTCTGCGACGTTCACTACGACCCCTTCCGTTACATGCACGAGAACAAAAAGAAGTACAGCTTCGTACTTAGTTTGTACGAGTACCACGAGACCATCCCGACGCTCTGGGACAGCACAAAGAAGTTCATCAAGAACCACCCGGAGCATATCGTCTCGGGGAATTCGATGGGATTCCTGAGCGATGACGGCGGCGAAACCTACAACAAGTGTCACTTTGTAAGCTGTCCCTGGCCATTCATTCAACCCATCCCCCTTCCTTCTAACATTTTCCCCAGTGGTCCAACTTCGAGATCGGCAATCTGAACTGGCTGCGCTCCAAGGCGTACATCGACTTTTTCGAAAGCCTGGACCAAGACGGCGGCTTCTTCTACGAACGCTGGGGCGACGCGCCGGTGCACTCTATCGCGGCCGGCCTGATGCTGTCCAAGGAGGAGATCCACTTCTTCAACGATATTGCCTATTTCCACGTGCCCTTCACCCACTGCCCGACGGGTCAGAAGACGCGGACGGATCTGAAGTGCCACTGTAACCCTGACGAGAACTTTGACTGGAAGGGCTATTCCTGTAAGAGATTAACCAAGTTTTCGCGTCTGATGGGCGCACTGCTAACACGTGTTCCAACAGGCACATCCAAGTTCTTTGAGATTAACAACATGGAAAAGCCCGAGGGTTGGGATCAGGAGGGAAAAGACTGATCGGATGATGCATCAACTCAGTCCCCGCATCATGTTTGCCAATTTGCTTGGCCATGTCATCCTTATCAAAAGAGGATTTTCTTGCTTCATGAAATCTGAGTCCTAGACCGGAACAGGTACGATGACTTGGAGGGTTAGGAGGGCGTCATGGGGCCATGCAATTTGGGCATTGTCAGATCTACAAAGGGGTAAGGGGCGGTGCGAGTCGCCGCTCAAGTGTGCTGACCAGCGGCAAATGCTGGCAGTGCTGCTTCCGTCGTACATATTTTTGTATTCTTATCTGGGTTCCATGATGATGAAATTTAGACGTTCTTTATAGCAATTCTGCATCGTGTACCGCTGACCGTATGGTCGCGGTAACTTCCTAAGAGACCCCCAAGTCAAGGTGTGTGTTCGTGCTTCACGTGTCATCCAGCAAAACGAGATTGTTGAACCCGCCGTGAACTCTGGGCTACTTATGGATTATACAGGATATGGTACAGTGTGTCTGCTCCCAGGGTACACCACTAAGGTGCTCGCCCGCTGTCTATTATCCCACCCAACGCCGTTCTGGTAGACCTTTTAACCAACCGACGCCTTCTTCGGCTTCTTCGTCCCGTATTTACTCCTGCTGCTCATCCGACTGCCAACACCACCCTAGAAAGTCCCAGTCAGCCATCTTGCGTCCCGGCAACCCCCCATCTTCGAGAGAGGGGAGAAAAAGAAAAGGAATCAAAAATCCAAACTCACCAAATCCAACGCCCCCCTCACCAAATGGTACCGCACACCGGGGCAGTCCTGGCTGCGGCCGCCGCGCACGAGCACGACGCTGTGCTGCTGGATGTTGTGGCCCTCGCCGGGGATGTACGCCGTGATGACCTTGCCCGTCGACAGGCGCACACGCGCCGTCTTGCGCTCGCCCGAGTTGGGCTTCTTGGGCTTGGTGATGCCCACCTTGACGCACACGCCCTTGAGCTCGGGCGCCTTGATCGCCGACAACGCGGGGGAGACGGCGTGGCGCGCGCGCTGCTGCTTGCGGCAGCCCTGTTTTCCGGGGGAGGATAGGAATTAGAATTTGGGCGGTGGGTTGGGGTGGGATTGGGGTTTGGCGGGTGGGGGTAGGGTGCGTACTCGGAGGACTTGGTTGAGGGTCGCGCTTTGGCACGGCGTCGTCGAGAATGCGCGGGCGATCGGGGTCGGGGTGGCAGGCTTGGCTAGTGTTGGCCGGAGTGCTGGCCGGAGCACTAGGCTGCGGAGGAAGGCCGTCGCCATGATTGTGGTCGTCGTGGTGTTACTGGCACGACGGAGGGCCCGATCCAGCACGTCGTCGTCGTCGTCGATCCAACTTCGGATCGGAGCAGTGAATGCAGAATTGAGTGGAGCTTCTGGAACTTTTGAGGTCACGGGGATCTGCACGTGCTCGAGCGGCAATTGTCGGTTTAGTGGGGAAGCTCGATCGGCCAACGCGAGTCACATGGCGATTTCGCATCCCTGCTTGCGGGCGGCAATGCGTTGTGTGGGGAAGCCGTTGCGCTTCTCGGGGAGGTAACCTCGGCTTCGTTGCCGCTGAGACGGCGCACTGAGGAACTCTCCCCTTCGGCCGTCTAAAACCGCTGACTGCCGTCAAGATATCCTTTCTGGGACACCGTAACCGAAACCCATCTCGGATCACCGTAAAGCGTCTAGATTCCGTACCTGATAACAGGCGTTATTTCCTTCTTTCTTCACTTACAGGCCCTGCCCGTTCTTACCCCGTTGTGCCCCACCATCCCATTGAACTCGCAAGATGAGATCGTTCGCTAGAGCATTGCGCCCTGCGGTGCGGAGGAGTGTGGCCGTGTCCGCTCCCAGGATACGGCAGCCGTTTGTTGCCCAATGGTGAGTTTTGAACTTCCCCATGACCAAGCCCCGACAACACCGGTCGAGGATGTTGGCGGCGGGAGGTGCTTGATACACTGATGGCTAATGTATTATGTTCTCCCTGGCAGCACCCGCCCCCTTTCCACAACCGCCTCCCGCCGGGACCCCAACCTTGCTGATGTTGCCCCAACACCTATTACACATTTCTCCGAGGTCGAGACGGCCATGGCCGAGACGGTACAGAAGTTCGCCAACGACGTGATCCTGCCCAAGGTACGCGACATGGATGAGGCGGAACAGATGGACCCAACAGTCGTGGAGCAGCTGTTCGAGCAGGGCCTTATGGGTATCGAAATCCCCGAGGAGTACGGGGGTGCGGGCATGAACTTTACCGCCGCCATCGTCGGGATTGAGGAGCTCGCCCGTGTCGACCCCTCTGTGTCGGTCATGGTGGATGTACACAACACACTGGTCAACACGGCCGTGATCAAGTGGGGTAGCGAGTCGCTCAAGAAGAAGTATCTTCCCCGCCTTGCGACCAACACCGTGGGGTCCTTCTGCTTGTCGGAGCCCGTCAGCGGCTCTGATGCGTTTGCTCTCGCAACGAAAGCCACCGAGACGGAGAGCGGGTTCAAGATCAACGGCAGCAAAATGTGGATCACCAACAGCATGGAGGCTGAGTTCTTCATCGTGTTTGCCAACCTCGATCCCAGCAAAGGCTACCGGGGGATCACCGCCTTCATTGTCGACAAGGACACGAAGGGCTTCAGCATTGCCAAGAAGGAGAAGAAGCTTGGCATCAAGGCAAGCAGCACTTGCGTGCTCAACTTTGACGATGTCGAGGTGCCCAAGGAGAACCTTCTCGGCGAGAGGGGCCAGGGGTACAAGTACGCCATCTCGCTGCTGAACGAGGGCCGCATCGGCATTGGCGCACAGATGACGGGTCTCGCTCTCGGATCTTGGGAGAATGCTGTCAAGTACGTGTGGAACGACCGCAAGCAGTTCGGCCAGCTGGTAGGCGAGTTCCAGGGCATGCAGCACCAAATCGCGCAGTCCTACACCGAGATCACTGCGGCCCGCGCGCTCGTGTACAATGCCGCCCGCAAGAAGGAGGCGGGCGAGAACTTTGTTATGGACGCGGCCATGGCCAAGCTCTATGCCTCGCAGGTAGCTGGGCGTGTGAGTGGCCTGGCTGTTGAGTGGATGGGCGGTATGGGCTTCGTGCGTGAGGGCCTCGCTGAGAAGTTCTGGCGCGATAGCAAGATCGGCGCCATTTACGAGGGCACGAGCAACATCCAGTAAGACCTCATTTCCTCCTTGATCCCGAACGAACGAACGCATGCTAACAGTTGAAAGACTCAACACCATTGCGAAGACGCTCCAAAAGGAGTACACCGTTTAACGGCGCGCAACGTGCGCAAAACCTCGGTATCATTGAAACGGAGTTCGGCAAGGGCGATCAGGGTAACGGGGCCTCGGTTGAATAGGTACTTTCATATAGACCAACAATGCTAGCATTTCGACGGGACTGTGACGCATGTGTTCTTCTTCTGCACTTGCTTGCAAACTGTGGTATATTGAGCTTCTGTTGCATTGGTTTATTTGTTTGTGTTGGACGTAACCTCGCGAGGTCCCAACCAGCCGGGCAATTCTTCATCCAATTGAGTCGATCGTAGGATAAGATACGACCGCTCAACTGCGCTGTCCCTCTCACCTCAGCTTCGGGTGTGTGATTGGCATCTCGTGTTGATCCGAGAGCAAATGGCCGCCCTGATAGGTCGGGTCACCGAGCTGCTCCGAAGTCCTACAGGTCAGTCCTACCAAGGAATGGGAGCGATTCGTCCCAGCTCGACAAAGACCCTGGAGTTCCTGGCCTGCGCGGGCACTGGGTGAGACCGGTGCGGAAAGCTCAGAGAGAACAAGACGAGGATAAGCAGGTACCGGGAGGAATGAAGTAATGAACCGGTTTGATACCAGCGTCCGCAGTAGGGCTTACTTGAGTCTGGGCAACCGGCAATCGAAACCGATCTTGTGGCAGCCCCGCTTGAATATCAACTATCCCGTGTCGGCGGAATGGAATTATGAGTTGGGTGGTTTTGAAGTCTTCAGCCTTTCCCCTCCTTGCGAGAAATTACCGACATTAAGTCGAAAGAATTCCCAAGGTTCTTTTTCCCTCCGTGGAGCTATCCGTTTAAGCTGCGAGTTGCCCACCTTCCCGCATCGGGCTACCCCGCAGAACCCCCCCATCTCGCAAATTCCATGATTGAGCAACTGCTCGCCGAAACCAGTCCGTCTTGGGAATCTTGCTTTCTCAACAAAACGGTGGAGGGGGCGACAGAAAGGTCACGGTGCTCAAAAACCGCTTCGGGGAGAGAAAAACCTAGGTCATCCCCAACCCACACCCCCCCAAACAACCGTCGCCGTCCCGAGGTTCCCTTTCGGGGGTTTGCAAGGTTGTTTGTTGTTGCCCTTTCTTCCTTCAGGCCCGGTTTCCGGTCCCGTTCCTCCAAGGCAACATCCCCACCCACTCGCAGGAGCCATACGATATCTTGGGTCCAAATCCAAACGAGGCGGCACTCAATAGCTTCCCGTGCCTCCCTGTCGAACCACCCCGGTTGTTGTGAAGCACGGCACGACGACCCCAGTCCTGCATCAACAAGGGCTAGCATTTGCGAAACACAAAAACCCCGCCATAATTCGTCGCTGACGACATCCTGCAACTGCTTGCCACACCCAACACCCATCGCTGCCCGCTCTCGCGCGACTGGTATTCGCTTGGGTCTGGCACACGAGCAACTCACTCCCTGCTTGTGCTGGGAGGAAAGGAGAGGAAAAAACAAAGTCGTGTTCTTCCTACCCCGGTCTTCTCCAGCATCACCAACAACCCCGCCCTCCCCTGCGCGCCCCGCCGCGCAACACCACCGCCATCATGAACGACGACGAGAAGATCTTGGGTATTACCAAGAAGATCGAGCGCGAAAAGGCCCTTATCAATGCCGCCAATCTTATGCGCCAGCAGACCAACAATGAAGCCGTCCGCTCCAAACTCGACACCCAAATGCGTGAGGGGCGTCGCAACCTTGAGTTTTTCGAGGAGCGCCTCCGCGAGCTGCAGATGCGCCGCCTCGGGCAGTCGACCGAAAATATGTCGCTCGGAGGGTCGACCCTTGGGTCCTTCAGGGATACGGCGCAGGAGGGTGAGGAGGGCGGACCCCCAGCGCCCCCTCCGAAGGACGCCTCCGGTTATCCGCAGTACGGCCAGGGCGATCTAATGCCTCCCCGGGCGCCATTTCCTGGCCAGCCTCCGAACTCAGGCGTGCCCAAGGCGCGGCCGAATTTTACCAAGCTTGGTAGGACACCACGAAGCAGCCAGCTCCAAAATCGGTTCTCTGATGGTTGCTGACATGTGCTTCTGGCAGACCTCATCAAATTCGATACGCCATACCTAGGTCCCCGAATCCAGCTCATGCTTTCCCAGATTCAGTTCAAACTCAACGTCGAGGAACAATACCTCAAAGGCATTGAGAAGATGGTTCAGCTCTACCAGATGGAAGGGGATAAGAAGAGCAAGGCCGATGCTGCCGCCCGGCGAATCGAGAGCGGCCAAAAGATTGTGCTGTTGAAGCAGGCATTGAAGCGATACGAAGAGTTACACATCGACATGGACGCAGATTCGCCCGATGGTACGTTTGTCTGCTGCACTCCCGAGGGCCGGAGCTAACCCGAAATTCGTAGATGATAGTATCAACATGCCGAATCTGAGAAAGCCCCTCACCGGTCAGCTTTCGGTGCGCATCGTCGCCGTCAAGGACGTCGACCACGCTCCCCTGAGCCGATTTTCGCGCGCCCCTGAAACATTCGTGACGATCAAGGTGGAGGATAACGTTATGGCAAGGACGAGAGCATCCAGGAACGACAGATGGGAAGCAGAGTTCCACAACATCTTCGTTGATAAGGCAAACGAGGTCGAGTTGACCGTGTACGATAAGCCCGGCGAGCATGCGCTGCCCATCGGCTTTCTCTGGGTGAGGATATCCGACATCGTCGAGGAGCTTCGTCGGAAGAGGATCGAGGCCGAAACGAACAGCACAGGGTGGGTTTCGGCAGATCGCCTGGGATCGGCTCCCCGAGGTGCACCCCCTCAGTTCCCGATGGGCGCCCAGAGCCCCCAGTTCGCCGGCCCCCCGACGTCTCCGGGACAACAAGGACCATCGTTTGCGCCGCAGCCGCCCGGAAACGCTCCCGTTGTGTCGCAGCCGATCGATGCGTGGTTTAACCTAGAGCCGACGGGACAGATTCAGCTGAGCCTCAACTTCGTCAAGGAGAACAAGGAGCCCCGTCCGATGGATGCTGGTCTCAACCGCAAGGGCGCCGTCCGTCAGCGCAAGGAGGAGGTGCACGAGATGTACGGCCACAAGTTCGTCCAGCGCCAGTTCTACAACATCATGCGCTGCGCTCTCTGCGGGGACTTCCTCAAGTACTCAGCCGGCATGCAGTGCGAGGACTGCAAGTACACATGCCACACCAAGTGCTACACAAACGTCGTTACCAAGTGTATCAGCAAGAGCAACGCCGAGACTGACCCTGACGAGGAGAAACTCAACCACCGCATCCCCCATCGTTTCCAGCCGTTCTCAAACCTCACTGCCAGCTGGTGCTGCCACTGCGGTTACATGCTCCCGATTGGCAAGAAGAATTCAAGAAAATGCGTGGGTACGTACAACTGCCTTGGGTTATTCTTTTGGTTTTTTTACTTGGTTTTAGAAACTGACAGACGTCACCAGAATGCGCTCTCACGGCCCATGCTCAATGTGTACACCTGGTTCCCGACTTCTGTGGCATGTCCATGGTCGTAGCAAACCAGATTCTAGAGGGAATCAGGTCAACCAAGAAAACCCGGCAAGAGAAGGCATCGTCTCTGAGCGAACGGACTCTCCGAGGAACGCCAAGTAGCGGCCCGTCAATTGCCTCTTATACGCCATCCTCCCACGGGTCCCAGGTCGTCTCCCCCGAGGCGACGGAAGCTGCGAAGCTCATGTACACCCAGACGTCGCCACAACGCCCCGGCTCAGATCGCCCTTCGACTTCCTCGACCACCGCATCTGCTGCAGCCGCCGCAGCCATGTCGCCTAAACCCACCACTCCGACCCAATCGCAGGCAGGCCAGATTCCGGACTTTGGCCCCGGGCATTATGGTGCTCCCGGTGGTTACGGACGCCCTACGCAGCAAGAGGAGAACCAATACGGTGCGTCACCACAGCAGCAGCAGCAGCAGCCATACGGGCAGCAGCCACAGCAGCGCAAATACAACCCGGCCGATTACGCCAACATCGGCGTGCATCCCGGCCAGCCGCCTGCCCAAGCCCGCCCAACGCCACAGCAGGTTGCCCAACAGCAGTATGCGCAGCAGCAGATGTACCAGCAACAGCAGCAGGCACCTGTCGCGACGCCCAAGCCGCAACCCGCCCCAGTCCATGCGGAACCGCAGGTAGCTGCTGTAGCGGGGATCCCAGGGCCAACCAAGAAGCCCCTCCCGTCCGCCACAGATCCCGGCACGGGTCAGCGGATTGGCCTTGACCACTTCAACTTCCTCGCCGTCCTCGGTAAGGGTAACTTCGGTAAGGTCATGCTTGCCGAGACGAAACGCTCGCGCAAGTTGTACGCGATCAAGGTGCTTAAAAAGGAATTCATCATCGAGAATGACGAGGTGGAGAGCATCAAGTCGGAGAAGCGCGTCTTCCTGGTTGCCAACCGCGAGCGGCATCCCTTCCTGGCCAACCTCCATGCGTGCTTCCAAACCGAAACGAGAGTGTACTTTGTCATGGAGTACATTAGTGGTGGCGACTTGATGTTGCACATTCAGCGGGGCCAGTTCGGGACCAAGAGGGCTCAGTTCTACGCCGCCGAGGTGTGCCTGGCACTCAAGTACTTCCACGAGAACGGAGTCATCTACCGTGATCTGAAGCTCGACAACATCCTTCTCGCACTCGACGGCCACGTCAAGGTTGCGGATTACGGGTTGTGCAAGGAGGACATGTGGTACGGCTCTACAACTAGCACTTTCTGCGGTACCCCCGAGTTTATGGCACCCGAGGTATGTACCCAAAGATGGTATGCGTTACCCAAAGGTTTCTGTTCTAACAAGGACAACTAGATTCTGCTTGACAAGAAATACGGTCGCGCGGTCGACTGGTGGGCGTTTGGCGTGCTGATCTACCAGATGCTACTACAGCAGTCGCCGTTCCGCGGCGAGGACGAGGACGAGATCTACGACGCCATCCTGGCGGACGAGCCGCTCTACCCGATCCACATGCCGCGCGACAGCGTGTCGATCCTGCAGAAGCTGCTCACGCGCGAGCCGGACCAGCGCCTGGGCAGCGGGCCGACCGACGCGCAGGAGGTCATGTCGCAGCCCTTCTTCCGCAACATCAACTGGGACGACATCTTCCACAAGCGCATCGCGCCCCCGTTCCTGCCGCAGATCAAGAGCGCGACCGACACGAGCAACTTCGACAGCGAGTTCACGAGCGTGACGCCCGTGCTAACGCCGGTGCAGTCTGGTACGTTTTTTGTTTCCTTTTTAGTATTAGATGGAATGAACTGGCTACTAACTTGCTGTGTGTGTAGTGCTTTCGCAAGCCATGCAGGAAGAGTTCCGCGGTTTCTCGTACACGGCGGACTTTGAGTAGAATGACCTGCGGACGAAATACCGATACCCGGGGCGAGCTGTGGTCAAGGAAGAGCACATTGTTATTACCGTTCGCTTTACCCAACCTCGCATGGCCGAGATGGCGGAGACCCAGCACCTCCCGTCCTGCGCCCGAGATGCTGGGATACCCTTTCCCTTGCATTCTTTTGTAGTGGGAGGTTCTCGGTCATGATGGGATCTGGCTACGCTTGGGGTGAGAGAGATTTGGTGAAAGGTAGGGTCAATGGGTGCAAGGATTCGGACAGGATCCGGGGTAGACTTTCGGAAGGGAGGGTGTGGTCAGGGGTAGGAGGCTCCAAAACAAAGCCGGCTCCGGCGCTGGTTGAATGCGTCGGGGCCGGTGCGGGTAGATGGGTTGAGATGGAACTTCATCCAGTCGTTTTTCTTGTATTGCGAGACCCCGCCGGGAAGCGGGACAATACCAACCAGGATTCGTTTTATCTGCGACTGCCGTTCTCTTTACTGAGAGCGTCCTACTTAATACACCCCCGATGGGGAAGGTTTCGTTTGCGTTCCTCACATGTGTGAAATGCGGGTGTGGAGGTCTAAGCAAGTCTATATATATAGGCTTAAATATTGTACATAAGTCAGGAGTCTATATGTAGTCAGTTTTATTACAACACGCTTAGTGGTGGATAAGGGGATGCATCATGGGTTGCGCAACAACGAGAACGCGAGCACCACGGCCACGGTTGCTCCGGCCGCCGCCCCTTGGAGGGCGATGAGTGACGCATCGCGCATCCGCAAGTCTATCCTCCTGTCGCTGGACAAATCCAAGACGGCCTCCCGGAGCAACTCCGGATCCTCCCAAAAGTCCACGAGCAACTCCTTCCACGGTTTCGCTGGCGCTTTCCACTCCTCGGCCTCCACGGGTGCCGCCATCGCAGGAGCAGCAGCAGCTGCAGTGGTGGTGGTGGTATTCCCAACGTCACCAGCCACACCATGGGGCTGGGATTCAGCCTCCTCAGGCCACGAAGCAGCATCAGCAGCATCAGCAGTACCAGCACCATCAGCACCATCAGCAGCAGCCGCCGCCGCCGCCGCCACCCGAGCCTCCTCCCGCTCCCTCAACCCACTCGCCTCCAGCGCGACACGCACCTCCGCCAGCTCCCTGCGAACCTCGTCCATAACCCCCCTCTCACTCTCCGCAATCCCGTTAACCAACCTCCGCCGTCTCCACGGCTCGGCCACAAACTGCAGCACCAAGAACAGCACCACGTTCACGCCCATCAGGCCCCACGTGCCCCAGGTCGACTGGCGCCGGATGCGGTCGCTCCAGATCTGCTCCTCGTGGTAGCGCTTCAGGATGCCCGCGTTCAGCTCCCCGCCCAGGCGCGCCTCGTCCGTCTCGGCCTCGGTCAGCTCCTCGGCCGCGGCGCTGACCTGCGTCTCGAGCTCGTGGTCCAGCCGGTACAGCGTCGTGAAGCGCTCCAGGTCGGCCGGGTTCCACGTGTCCTTGCGCGCGAGCAGGGTGGTCACCTCGCGCTGGGTGGCGGCGCGGTGGGAGGTGAGGCTCTTGTAGTTGTGCCGCGCGGCGTGTAGGCGCTGTTGGGCGGTGGCGTGCTCGGTTTCGAGTTGGGTGTTGCGCGCTTTGATGGCTTCGATGGAGGTGTAGCCGGTCAGGTCGTTGATGGCCTGGGTGGCGTTGACGCTGCGCGATTGGAGGTTGTCCATGAAGGTGCTGAAGCGGGCGGAGAGCGGGTGCCGGTGGGTTTCGGTGAAGGAGGGGAGGGAGGGGTCCTGTGAGGGGGGTTGTTGCTCGTTGGCTTGCGGGCGAGGACCGGTGGGGGAGTCGGGTTCGGGGGGTTGTTCTTGGGACGGTTTCTCTGGGGACGGTTTCTCTGGGGACGGCCTCTCAGAAGACGACTCCTCTGGTGAGGGTGATTCGGAGGGGGTCGTGGTGGTGGTGGGAGAGGGGCTCGGCTCGGGGTCGGGTGGGGGTAGTTGTATGGCTTGTTCGGGGGGTGGCGGCGATGCTTGTGATGGGGAGTCTCCCGGGGTGGCTAGTTCCGGCTCCGGTTTGGTGGTGGTGTCTTCAGGAGTTGGCTCCGGCGGCGGCGGCTGTCGTGGTGGCGGCGGGGCGGTCGAGAAGAGATGGGCTCGACCGGGGCCGGACCGGGGGTGGGCGGGAATGCTGCAACGCAGGCATATTGACGGGCGATTCGATAGAGGTTTTTGAACCGAGGTGGCCACCAATTGATGAAGAAGGGTCGGTCGTTGCAGGGGGCGCGCAGCGAGGCGCAACGCTGTGTGGGCCGACATTGGACTTGCAACGCGCCCGACAGGCTTAAAACCTCAACCTCAACGTGCGGATTCGGTTGTCGTGAGGCCTCGGCGGACGGGATCAATCAATGCAGGCCCAAAGCCGGATTCTGCCGCCGGCATGCCTCACCGCCTACCTTCGGTCTTTGGCCGAATGGTCACAACCCTAACCCCGGGATATTGACAGGAGGTGAGGAGGTCCGAAGTGCCGAGAAAAGTGCGCACATCAGGGTTGGGGTTATATATGGTGGGAGCTCCGTTGTCTCGTCCTCGGGGACCGGTACAACCAGCAGTTTTCCCAAGACCTACTGGTACTAGTACCACTTCCCTAAATGGCAAGACCGAATTTGATGCTCTCTGCCCGGCTCTTTTTACACCCCATGAGTTGAGATAACAATCAACACCTAGTCAGCGTATCCGAAACCACCACAAGGTGAATTGGGATGTCGAATAACTACCTAGTAGTGACGGAACCCGTGACGGTCGCGATGGCGTCGTGGAGTGCAGGCATGGGAAAGAAGGGCTGCGTTTTGCTGTTTCCAAGACAGAGGCGTGGTGTTGTCGACGCTTTTTGAAACTTCAAGTTGAAGGAAGTTGCGGCGGAGAGCCGGGGGCTGGAGAGAACTTGAAGCCTCCCAGGGATCCCAAAGCAACACATCACATAGGTTTCAATAGAAGGGACGTGTGGAGGTAATTCTTGGTTCACTGGGCCGGAACTCGAAACACAATTAGAGAAATTCGGTCTTGTCATTTGGGAGGATTACTGGTGATTTTGATAGCATCCAGGGCCTCGTCTTTCCAACACTCACACTCTTTCCGGAAAGCGTGCGACTAAGTAAGTACCAAGGAAGCAGTAGGGAATCCAGAATAGAACTTCCGCTGCTAATCCATAATTGCCAGGCTGGATTGGATCCATCTGGAGCCCAACTGATCCCGGTCCACTCTGTTCACTCACGGAGTTGCCTCTTTCGGCAACTGCGCCTTGATACGATACTCCGTCAGCTGAACCTCGATTCCAACAAGGCCATTCTTGCTGGGCTTTGATAAGTAACGCTCCTGCGTGGTGATGTCCCAAAGGCATCCCCAGATACCATCACACGATGCAGAAACTTTGAGAAACTTACACGGTCATCTCTGACAGCGGCATTATTGCTCGTCTCCGAGCCCTGCCCCATCTAGATACAGCCAACTACAGCTCAGGAGTCGTGTCCGAACCTGCGATGGCGTCCGAGACGAGCCTCTTTCCCCTTAAGCCGACACTCCAGCTGCCGAGCAAACGGAACAGCCATGAGACTAACAGTCGGCGACGGCCGACCAACCTGCTCTGTCTCGCCTCACTCTGCCTGGTCAGTCTCATAACCAGCCTCGGTGACATCACGCATCTCACCTCTACCGCACTAACATCCATCGAAGAGAGGTATGCACCCAAGCATTACCCCCGCGTCCCTCCCAAATACTTACCTACCTCCCCAAACTAACCACCTCCGCCCAACCTAGCTCGCCCATCCCTCCCATAATCTACACCACCCTCCCAACCACCATCGGCACCATCCTCGCCGCGGCCTTCCTCCCCCCACTCACACAACTCACTCAACCCCCAACCCAACTCACCCAATCTACCAAACAGCATTCCCCCTTCCCCGAGCTCAGACTTGCCCTCCCCGCCCTCCTCGCCCTCACAACCCTAGCCAGCACCATCCTCCGCATCCTAGCCACCGCCCCGCTACACACCCTCACCTTACAAAACCCGCCGCAAAACATCACCTTCATCACCACTGTCATGGCCCACCTGCTGCAGGGATTCGCTGGTGGCTGCAGCCTGGCGCTGGCCATGGTCCTGTCAGGTGGCGGAGCGCAGTTGCGTGCGGTGTGCGCTTGCGGGGCGTTGGGGGCGGTGTTTAGGGCCGTTGCTGGTGGGATGGATGGTGTTTGTGAGGTAGATGGCGGAGGAAAGTTAGCCGGGTGGGCGGGGTGGTGGTTGTTGGTGGGGGAGGTGGTGCTGGCATTTACGGCGGCGGGGGGGTTGGTTCTTCCTGGCTGTGTGAGATGGGGCGGAGAGGAGGAGGGAGGGGACGAGGGAGGGGGAGTTAGGCCTGAGATAGGACTGCCGGTGGCTGGTGGCGGTGGTGGTTACCCGCCGCCGGCGAGCCGCGCGACCATCTTCGGTGCCCTGTTCGCTTTTGCCTACTACGCCGCAGCCGCGGCCATCCCAGGCGGGCTCGATTTGTTGGTTAGCTACGGACGGAGCTACACCATCGAGCAGTCCCTGACTGTCTTCACAACCGCGTCCTTGTGGGCGGGGATCGCCGTCGGTCGGTTTGTAGCTCTTCCGTGGGATGGGCTCATCCGGCCGAAGCAGGGGGTCCGTCGAGCGGTGCTAGCCGCTGGCGGTTTCCTAATTGTTTTCTGGCTTTCGCCGAATCCGTCAAGGAACACCGCAGTAGCTGCTGGTCTGGTTGGTGCCGTGCTGGGCCCAGTCTATCCGTGTGTGGTTGGTACGGTGATGCGTGAACTGGGACAGGACGAGATGCTGAGCGCCATAGGTATAATTGTGGCATTCGGACACTCGGGGATGGTGACTGCTCTGTTGACAACCCAGTTAGCTGCGTACGTGGACGCCCCTGTAGTCCTGTACCTAGTTATTGTCACGCTCTTTGGGTGCATGTTGGTATGCTGGGAGGCCTTAACGGAGAAGGGTGATGGAGGAGTTGTTTCTGATTTCCGGGATGATGTTTGGTGATTGTGGGAGATTTCTTTCTGAGTTGGACTGGAGTTGCGTAAATGAGGTGTTGCGTTTCATGTATGTGTCTATCGTCTATCATTCTATTTGGCTTCATCACCCTTATATCCCATGAACCTGCACGAGATACTTCAAGCTGACTTCCTGCCCGTGGCAGCATCCTTGACGCTGAGCTTGCCGGCGACGATGTTCTTGATGGTGTTGTGGATATCGGAGAAGTCGTCGAACGTGGTGAAGGGCACATTCTCATTCTCGCAGAAGGTGACAAGGTCTGGTTGACAGTCAGCATGACACCACTAGAAGAAAAAGGAAGGGAACGTACCACGGCCGGACTTGGCGAAAAGCAGATCGGTTTCTTTGGCGGCCGAGAGATCGGACACGCCGTCGCCGGCGTAGAAGAGGACCGGCCTCTCCTCGAGCCTGGCGTAAGGCCGGATCTCGAGGGACTTGTCGTGCCCGAATCCGCTATCGAGACTCCATTAGCACCCTTGGTCATCGTCACCCTCCCTTTTTACTAACGGAACTTACCTGTCGTCATGGAAGACAATCTTCCACCCGCCCTTCTCGTTGATGCTCTTCCCCTCCCTCGGCGCAACATCGTTGCTCACAATCTGCAGGGTGTCCGCAGCCTCCTCTCCCAGGAGGTGCCCTAGCAGAGCGCGGATGATAGGGGTCATGCCGCCGCTCAGGACCACGATGGGCACATTGTTCTCGCGGGCCCACTCGAAGAAGGCCTTGAAGCCCGGGTCGAGGGTGATGTTCTTCAACAGGATGTCGACGCACTCGTTGAAGGGCGTGCTGATACTCTCCAGCATCTCCTCGAACGAGTCGCGGAAGGTGCGGCGGCCATGGAGCACATCCTGGTTGCCCTTCTTGCGAAGGGCGGTGCCGTAGCCGATGTTGTCCGTCAGGTAGTCATTGCTGTCCTGGTTGGTGATGGTGCCGTCGAAGTCGGTGAAGAAGATGAACTTGGGGTTCGTCTTGAGCGCGGGAAGCGCGATTGGCAGTGTCGATCCCATTTTGTCGGTTTGTGAGGAGGTAGAGCTCAAGCGGCAGGCTAGGTCCGAGTATGAGGGTGAGAGACGAAGGTGAGAGACAAGTGAGCGGAGCGAGCGGGCGAGAGATGGTGGGGTGTGGAAAAGAGAGAGTTTTGTTGACGCCCCGTGTAACACAGTACGTACTTCAGGGTCTTGAAGGGGGGTGGGGAAATCGACACCACCTTTAGCAGTGGGTTGGGTACTTGTACAGATCCCTTCAGGGTCCTGCTTTTCACGCCCTGCTTGGCGTATAGAAAAGAAGCGCGTGGGATGAAGGAGGGGTGAGGAATGCCATGTCCGGCCCCGCTATCGAATCTTGGGCCGCTGTCGATCGCCCCTGGCCGCACGTTTCGGCACCCACCGTGCCGATTCTAGTGGGCCCTTGCAGCGGGGACCGGGGCGCGAAGCCGGTGTCGGCCCCGAGGACGGGCGGGTATGGGATTATGGACATGACTCGGGAGGTCTTGAAAATACCCTCGGGCTTCCCGTGGGCAGTTTCTCAGGGTGTCAAGACGAGAAAAGGAGTGTCGTAGAGGGAGAGGATTGGACGCTGATTGTTCGACAAAACCATGATTTACCTAGCGCGGCTATGCGTGTCGAGGGGCTCGGGCGCACCCCACCAAGGCTGAAATTCTATGGGGGGTGATTGCAGGCTTGCAGCTTTGCAGCCGAGCGCTCTCTTCCAAGCCCACACACGGCCACGATAAACTACGGCAGCCATGGGCAAACCGAAGCGTGCCGCCGTTCTCGCCGCAGCGCAGGAATCGACCAGTCCTCCAGACGAATTAACCAACACGCAATTCGTCTCGCGTGTCATCCAAGCCGAGGGCAACAGCCTCTACACATGCGAGTTGCCTAGTGGGAAAACCGCCATCGTCGAGCTCGAGCCCAAGTTCCGCAACACCATTTTCATCAGGCGAGGCGGTTATGTGCTGGTAGACTTAGAGTCGGCGAAAGAACGGCTGAAGACCAGCAAAGTGAGCGGCGAGATTATCAACATCGTGCGCGACGAGAAGGCGTGGCGGAAGCAGCCGTACTGGTAGGTTCCCTGCTCCGTCTGCTAATCGGTCCAGGACTAACTGCGACCCGCAGGCCGAGCAAGTTCGCTAAAAACACGTACGGCCAAGACGATGACGAGGACTCGACCGTCGGCAAGATGCCGCCTAGCGACTCGGAAGAGGAGTGATCTTGAGCATGCTAGCTGATCTCAGTTCCATGTCCGATTACCGCTTTGTCGCCTCATCCTTCGACGCAACCTTTTTCGGCTCCCAGTCCTCGCGAGCGCCCCGCCAAACGAGGGCCACCGTCGCAGCAAGGATGCCGACGACGACGCCGGAGCTGATAGGCGTGCTAGGATAAACATTCCACGCCCATTCCTGGGCGGCCCAGAGGCCATACTGAAGAACCGGGTGGGCACCGCCGCGCCAGAGAAGGAATGGGGTCGACCAGGCAAGATAGGCGTAAAACTGGTAGTGGAGAGAGCGCGCAAATAGGAGGCCGATGGCGTTGGCAGACAGAATAGCCGTCAGAATAAACCTAGGCGTGACGTCACGAGAGACCGCGCTCTGTTCCTGCGCCGTGAATGGTGACTTGGCGAATAGGATCGGGATGACAAGCTGAGGCAGCGGTTTGCGCGCCGGCTTCAACCAGCGAGTCGTGATAAACACAGCCAGGACCGCGACATGCAGACCTAGCAAAGCCATCGAGAACCCCTTGCTGAGGAACACCTCCTCCCCTACAAATCGCCAATTGACGGTCCACTTGAAGAAGAATTGCCTCGACAGTTCGAACGCGCGGCCGAGATACCCCCAGGGATTGGCCGCCAGAAACGGCACGGCGATGAGCACCTGCACTAGGCCCATCACCGCCGCAAGCTGCAGGCTTGTCGCGAACCCGGCCCCAAGCAGCAAGACAATCCCCACGGCGGGCAAAACCAGCAGCAGCGACATCTTGACGCCCAATCCCAGCGTATACATCAGCGCGCCCGCCATCCACGAACGGCGCTGCAGGAAGAAGATGGCGAGCCACAAGAACAGGGCAGCGAAGCAGTCGTTGAAGCACCGCAGCACAAACACGCTGTGCAACCGTTTCGACAGAATCAACAGCGGGAAGACGTACGGCGGAACCTAGGTCGTCCTCAAAGTCAGCCCTCTCCCCCCTACCCATCTCCCTCGCAAGCAAGCACCTCGAGCTTTATCTATGACATACCTTAGCCTGCCAGTAACACGCCATGACCACAGCCAGCGTGGCCATGTACACGCCCGCGAACAGCTGCTGCGCCAGCAGGATGTCGGTCCCTTCGTCGGTGAGGCGGTACAGCCCCGTGTAGATGTAGACGTGCGCGGCCGGGTAGACCAGCGGGCCGGTGCCGCCGCGGATGCGCGTGTAGTCGCGCTCGCCCGACACGATCTGCGCGACTTGCTGCATGTAGGCTGTCCAGTCGATCTCGGTGTCTTTAATTGGGAGGGCGGGTGAGGTTAGCTTGGGTTGGGGTGGGCAGGGGAGGCAAGGTGGGAGCTCTCACAGGGGATCTTCCAGATGATTAGGGCGCAGAGCAGCGCATCGGCGAGGAAGAGGAGTGGGGGGATGAGTTTGGAGAGGACATGGCGGCCATTGAGGATGTCGAGGACGAAGCGGGTTGCGCGGATGTGGATTGGCGGGTGGTCGTGTTCCGCCATGATTGCCGTCGATGTCTTGGCGACGATATTGGTGATGGTGTTGAGGACGCGTTGCTGGAGTTTGGAGTTGAGCATGTGCTAAAGGACAGGGGGGTGTTGACAGCTCTTGGCGGGTGGCAGCAAGTGCCACGTTTCGGTCGCTCCTTTACCAAGCCCAGATTGACTGACCATAAACGCTTCCTCCTTCCTTCCTTCAAATGACAATTCCCAAACAACAATTGGAGGCAAAATGCGGGATGTGAACTGTCAAACCCAATACCTCGCATGTGGTCGCAATCCTATATCTAGAGTTTTGACTCCCGCTTCGTCCTCCCCACAACTTCGTCCACCAGCTCAACCACCCTCTCGGCACACCCATAGCTCCCCTGGTATCCCCAACCAGCGTGCCCATAATTATGCACAACCCACGTTCCATCAATCAGCTCCTTCTCAATCCTAACCCCGCCCTCCCTCAACGGCCGTAACCCGACTCCATGCCTGATAATATCCAGCGCCTCGACCCCCTTCCCGCCCGTCAACTCCGGATGTATCTCCACCGCCCTCTTCATGATCCTCACCGCAACATTCGGATCCGGGTTAGCCTCCCAATTCCCCTTCATGTACGTGCCCCCAATCACCGTACCCCCACCAAGCGCCCGTTGCATGACATACACCACCTCATCATCCCCATCATCACACCCGCTCGTCGTGGGCATCACCCCGCCGGCCCCATTCCTCACCACCACGACCTGCCCGCGCGCGGGCACCACCTTGGCATCCATGACCCCGCCCAGCCGACACGCCAACAAACCCGACGCATTCACCACCACATCCGCCCTCGCGGTGGCGGCAGCCCCATGCGCACCCATCACCGCCGCCTCAGACACATGGCTCAGCGAGGCGCGGCGGAAGCGCACGCCGAGCCGCGCGCACTGGCCGACCAGCCAGGGCAGGTACACGGCCGTGTTGATGCACACCGACGTGAACTCGCACCCGGAGTGCATCCCCGCGGGGAGCTGCGCCGCGGGGATCTCGCGGAAGTCGTCCATCACTTCGCGGTACCACGGCGAGAACTGGAAGAGCGGGTCCGCGATGGCGCTCTTGAGATTGCCTGTGGTTGTGACGTCGGCGCGGCGGCGGAGGACGCGGGCGGCTTTGGGTGGGGAGGAGGGGGGGTTAGTGCCTCTTTTCTGCGTGCGTGTGTGGAGGTGCTGGGGTTGCGAGTTGATGTGGTAAGTGAGGGGCTTACTTTGTACGTGGAGCCCTGCTTCGGGGACCTCGGTGGCCAGGCGACGCAGTTCGGGCCAGCTGCGCCGTTCCCAGCGACTGTCTTTGTCGGAGTTCATTCTGGTGGGCGTTGGTGTCAGCTGGATGCCATCTCCGGTGCGACCGACACCGGGTAGGGTGACTCACGGCAGCACGTTGGCACCGGCCCACGGCGAGGTGTACTCGATGTCATAGTCGCCGGGCATGTGCTTTGCCACCACCGTCACGGCATTGCCCTTCTGCTTTGCCAGTAAGAGCGCGCAGGTGAGGCCGCTCACGCCGGCACTACGGTTGGTTAACCGGTGATCTTCTGTTCATCGCTCCGGTGCCGGCCTTCTTACCCGAGGACGACAATGTTTGGCATGTCGGCCTGCTGATGATGTTCCGCTCAGGTGCAAGAATGAGAAACTTGAAAACCGCGGATTCGGGGGTTTGCTGGTGTTGCAGGTCTTGCGAGTTCTCTCGGTGTCTCGAGTGTCGCAGAGATTGATGAATTGGCCGGGCGAGGCCGAAGGGAGACGGACACCTCCAAGATCGGACGTCCCCTGGCCGCCTTTGACCACCAAATACCGGGGGTAACCGCTTGCTCCCACCCCGCACCGTGCCCAGGAGTCTAGACCGAACCCCGAGAAAACAGGGAGCTTGTGGGGTGCAACGGAGGGATGTTACAAGCTCTTATCAAAACCTCCAAAGATAGCAGTCCGGAAACCCAAGTCCTGTCTAGTCCGCCGCTCAAAGGGGGAATCCGAATCCCCCTGCTTACACTAGTCTAGTTCAACCCTAACCCTGGTATCCCGTGATTCAGGGGCTCCCCCTTTCCATGCAAGGAGACAAAACAGCTCCTTGTCTTGACATCGTCACGTAACTTGCTAATTCCAATTTCACAACCGGAAAACCACATGACGGATAGCCCACGGTTCCTGACTTTGGGTTGGACTGCACATTGGAGATGAAGTCATGGGTTAATTACATATCTTACACGTTCAGGAATGAGCACTGTATCCTCACGGTTGTCACAACAACAACAATGGACTCCTTCTCTTAGGTTTTGTGAAGTAATTCTCAAACTCCCATCATTTAGCTTGTCAGCCAGAGACGTCCAAGTTAATCAAGAGCAGATGTCATTGTTGAGACTGACAGCTGCTGAGACGAGGATGATGGATCACGACAGGAACTAACTACCTAATTAAGGGAACCCCCAAGTGGTAAGGTCTCTATTGATCATCTATAATGAAACAAGGAAGCTAGCTTCCCGTATGCCATTCATCTAACGAGCCCTCATCTGACCAGCAGACGGCCTCCGGCCTCCACCTATCCAACGAAACAACATGAAACCCAAAGTCTAAACCATAAATCCAAGATGATTAAACCAATAAAAGAAACCACATTCCACGAGCCAAAGCCATCACATATTCAATCTGCCCATCCTTGACCCCAAACACCGCCCCTGAACCGACCTCGACCAGGCAGCTTTAGACGTCCATGTCCTCAAAACCCCCCTCCAAGCCCGTCGGCTGCGTCCGGTCCCTCCCCCGGAACTCCGCCTTGGAAAACGGGTGGTTCGTACTGCCCGGCGGGATAGGCTTGGTCGGGTCATGGTAGACCGGCTCCGGGGTGCTGCGGTCCAGCTCATTGGTGATGATGCGAGCCGGACCCGGCGGCGAGCCCGCGACGTACGGCCCATCGGGCGTCAGCGGCTGCTCGATGAGCGGGTGCGCGTTGACCAGGGGCAGCTCTTCATAATTGTTGAAGCGGTGCGGGTACCCCTGCCGTCTCGCGACGACCACCGCTGGGATGGCGACCGCCTGGGCGCGCACCTCCGCGGCTGGGATGATGCGGAGCGCGTCATCGTCAGGCAGGTTCGTCAACGAGTACTGTGGAGGAGTTGGGGTTAGTATATGGGTAAGTGCTATGAGGGGCTTGGGGGGATGGGCCTACCGTGGATATCTGGGACGCAGAAGGGTCATAGACAGGCGTCATAGAGCCTGGGGGACCCCTTGGCGTTATGGTGCCGGAATCCGAGTCGGATTCGGCCTCCATGTCGCCATCATCCTCCCAGTTCCAATGGAACTCCGCCCCTGTCGCAGAAGCCTCGCTATGCGGGGTTGTGCCACCGCTAATAGCATCATTGCCGTGGACCTCGTCATCGGAGCCCAAGTTCAAGGGGCTCCGGATGGCCCACGGCGAGCGAGGGGGCGAAAAAGGGGGCGATGTTGAGAGGTGCAGATGAATTGCAGCACCGCTCATGAAACCATTGTTGCAAGTTTCATCGATGGACCCGAAGGTCAAGGGAGCCCCGACGCCCAAGGGAGTCCGGACAACCCAGGGGGAGCGAGGAGGCGAGAAAGGGGGCGACATGGAAGCGGAATCCAAAGTGGGCGACTGGCTACCAGAGGCCCCTGAGGGCCTGCTGGGAGGCTCAGTCGCCGAGGGTTCTTTGGATCCAGGTAGCTCCATGGTGGCAATGATATAGAGCTTAAGATAACGCTCCAGAGACAAGATAAAAGTCTCAGTTCAGCAATACTTGGTGTGCTGAAGTATATCAGAAGGCGAGATATCGAACAGATGCATTCACAGCGACAGTAGGGACGAGGACACATTTTATACTTTGCGGAAATGGCCCCTAAGGGCACCATCTTTGTCTTTGACCTATTCATCATGGCATCAGCAGTGTTTACCAGCTGATGTCTTCGAATCTCTGAGGACGGTGAGGCCAGTCTCTCGTGGTTACCATTGCATGAGGCTGTTTAAAACGAACAAAGAAAACTGCCATTACACGAAATAGGCCGTCCAATTATCGTAAGCTAGATCTGCAGGTCGTCAACCAACGGCACACGCTGAGCCACCCCCGAAGCCTCGTGCATAAGGGGACCACATCGGACCACTTGGGATCCTGTGTCACCCTCGGCGGCTAATCACAGGAGGCTGCCTCATTCGAAGTCGCGCCGCACTCAGCTGCACCTGTTCATTGTGGTCGAGGTCAAACCTGGCGGGGTTCTCTGTTTCCTCAATGATAACTACCAGCGCCTGACACTCTCAGAACTGCACACCATTCTGTCCTCAATCACAGCTACGCCTGGGGCGGTAAACACCGTCGGTTCCGGCCCATCCCAGCTGACAATTGTCCGTGCCAACTCCCTGCCCGTGCCTCAATCCCTTGGGGAAGACAGACACCCTCTGAGCGAGATCACTCTCTCCATCCGTATCAAACTATCACATGAACCGAATTGATTTTCGACCCCGACTCGGGCACCGTCATTGTCGCTTCAATTGTGATCACGTTTGCCTTTGGTGACCCAGGTGAGGCGTTAATATCGGACACACCGCTAGATGCTTCGTCCCAGACAAAACAGTCCAGCTATAGATTGGTTGGTATTTGTCCGATTTGTATTTCAGATTATCCAACATCAACACTCTCAGCCAACAACTGGTGACGACGAATATTAAGGGGGGTAGACATCAAGAAATCCAGCACGAGACATGTGTGAAAATAACCCAAAGACAAGAATCCCTTTCCCCAGACCATCCAAAAGACCATTACTCCTTTAATCCCTACCAGTCCTGTCCCGTGACATGTTTCGCCGGGAATCACCCCCCTCTCACGAATAACCCTCCGTCCCACAAAGCATCGAAAACCTTTGGTCTAGTTGATGAATGATTCGATCCTTCAGGTGGTTAACACCCCTGTTTCCACCTGTATGTCCAAATACACCTGTGATCAAGTCAGCAAGGGCACCCAAGACCAGTCTTTCCATCACGGAGCACGCTCACACGCAGGCCCCCTCCCCCCTCCCATTGTCCATCACCCTAACTCCCCTCGCTTTCGATACGACGCCTTGGCAAACGGTTTCCCCTTCCTACCACCCTCCACCGGGCTGGCCGGATCATGGTACACCACCTCCGGGGCGGACGACCGGTCAGCTTGGTTGACGATGATGCGCGCCGGGCCGGGCCCCCGCCGCTGGCCGGGGTGCCAGGGCCCTTGGCCGTCCGCCATCAGCGGGTACTCGATCAGGTCGCGGCGGTTATTATGCTCGAGCGGCAGGCGTTCGGCGTTGGCGAAGTGGTGCGGGTAGCCTGGGCCGGCGTGGGTCCTGCGCGGTATGGCGTTTGCCTGCTCGCGGACTTCGGAGGCGCGGACACGGCGGTGGGGGTTGGTGGGTGAGAGGGTGGAGAGTGAGTACTGTTTGCTTAGGTGGGTAGGTAGTTAGCAGGACGCGGCTTGGGCGCGAACCAAGGCGGTAAAAATGAAGGCGGGGACCGACGTGAGACTCTTCGGAATGTTCGGACCGCGTTGGGCTTATATGGTTTGCGTCTGCTTCGGCTTCGGCTTCTGATGGGCTGCTGATGGCGGTGGAGGACCCGTCACTGCTCCGGGGATCACTGCGCCACACATAGCCGCGAGTCGGGAAGTGGTTGCTAGAGCCATGCTCGGTCGGATCCCAGTATGCTGGCACGTTGGAACCTGGGTCCCGAGTGTCTCGAACGTCAATATCACCGATTGTGGATGGGTAGTGCGGGTTTGCGTGGTAGTCATAGGATGATAACAATGATTCGTTAAGAGCCTGGTTGTAACTGTCGCTAGGGTCGGAATAGGGGACGGTGCCGAGAGGGTGTTGATCCCACTGATCTGTAGTGGGATCATATATATAACCATCCATGATTGTTCACGGAATGCGGACTGGTATTGGCGGTTGCGAGGCGGATGAAGGATCTTCGAAGAAACGGCAGGAAGAAACGATTGTCCAAAGAAAATGAGAGGAGGACGATAAGATGACTAGGCCAGGAGTGGAAGACAGACAACGTATATACTTGCCATGGGCGTGGCTTAGACACCTTCATCCGTCCTTATACGACACACTTTCCATCCACAGATACGCTTCGCTGAGCACTCGGTGGCCGTTACCGCGCCTTGCGACCCTTGAGACGAAGAGTCCCGCGTTAGGCTCCCTCAACGAAAGGAAACTGCCGCTACACAAACACATCATCCACTTTGTGCTACCTCTGCTCATGGGGGCTTGGGCAGCACCACACCGGGGTTGAACACACATGACTACCTAGGGATAGGCGACACAAATCTCGGTGAGGTTAAGTACAGCTGGGACGCCGCTCGACATAGTTCCGCGTTGCGTGTGACAGGAGGTGGAGTTGATGCGAGGCAATTGCGACGTCTATGTTTTGTTTGTTGTCATACCTCAACCTCACATTCTATCCGACTTGGTGATTTATGTATTTATCATGACTCCCAGGGTGCCCGCGGACTTACAAAGGGCGGATACCTATACAAGGATGAGACTGAAGCAGCAGACTCTTAAGCATGTTGAAGAAAATAGGAAGAAGTGGCTCAACTCAATACGGCTCTTAAGGCAAGCTTGTGATTTAATGTGTCATAACGTTCAAGGGCCGCTGGTCTAGTGGTATGATTCTCGCTTAGGGACAACCCTACAGCTACTGTTTGCGAGAGGTCCCGGGTTCAATCCCCGGGTGGCCCCCACACTTTTTCTTCCCCTCATGGCTGTGCCCGCGTATGTGAGTGATATCATCCATTTTTGCAGTTGAGATGTGACTTTGTTCATCAATGGTTATGGTGAAGGCATGAACATCCAAATTTTCGGCGCTAACACAGAATGCTCATCACCCTCTACTCATCCACACCACCCCACGAGTCTTCTCCAATGGTATCTACTCAAACACAATGCTGCCTCCCCCTTTCCTGCAACCTTTCCATCTCTTCATCACGTGGCCAATCCTACTCAGGCTTCGGTGCCCGGTGGCTGCAGTTCCTTATTACAAGGTACGGACGCGTTGGCTAATTCATCAGAGCTCGTAGCGTGCAACTTCTCAAGCTCTTGGCTGTTTTTGGACGGGAAATAGGTAGGAAAGACGACACGCGGAGCTCGTCGGTGACATCCTCGCATCAAAAGTGTGGCTCTGGGCCAGCTGCTCTGAGACAGGACGGGGACAGCTATCGTTTGTTGCCCTATCACAAGCCCTATTACAGTCACATGGGCTTCTCATATACACCGCGATAGGGAAGGCCGCCAAGGTAATCCCCACCGCTGCAGCCGTTGTAACCGTATCTATTTGCCCAGAGGGGGACACACATGTTGTTGGCACAGCGGCTGATGGGTCGTCGAACCGAGTGTTACAGCACCAAGGTCCTGTTTCGAATCCGCCTACCCTCCCTTTTTGACGGACGCCGTACGGATACGCGGCCTACCGTGTGGTGTGCGTGTGTGGTGTTGTTTGAGGGGGGGGGGGGGGGGGTTCATACCACTTCACTACAATGATGTGAACATTGAATGCAATCTCTCTCTACTCTATACTTGTACGACCCTTCCCCCAAGTGCTATCTACCCGGATACAAGCCGCCTTCCAGCCACGTAGCCCACCCTTGCGTAGTTTTGAAGGTTACGATGGGCGCAGTCCCTTATTCGATTAGTGTTTTAAGTCCTTTCTCTAATCTCCCCGGGTCCGCGCCGACTAAATCCAAATCGGACACCTTCGCGCCATCCTTGAAGAAGAAAAAAGAGGGCATGGCTCGGACGCCGAGCTCCTGGGAGAGATCTGGAACTTCGTCGGCGTCGACCTTGGCGAAGACGATCTTATCCTTGAACTCGTCGCTCTCGGAGTGCCTGCAAGTGGGAAGCCAATGTTAGATTGCGGCGACTCGAGTGTTGGGGGATACGGGGGGCCATCGTTTACTTTTCGAACACGGGCGAGATGAACCTGCAGGGACCGCACCATTGAGCCCACACGTCGATGGCGACGAGAGGCTTGCTGGCAATGAGGGTGTTGAATTGTTCCACCCTAGATAAAAGCACCATGTTAGTTAGTGTTTACAGGCGCAAGGTAAGGAAGGCTATAGGGAGGCTACGGAGCCAGAGGGACGTGTCGTGACTTACGATTTGAGCTCCTGGACGGCCATTTTGGGTGAGCTGGTCCTGAATTGCCTCGTGGGGATTGGTATGGTGGTTGGTGGGATTCCTCGAAGGGCTCGGAAGGTGGGGCGGAGTAGTCTGGAGCTCATTATGAAGAAGCGGGGGTTTTGGCGACAGCGGAAGGTGAGGTTTTATACACGGGCAGTATTCGATCAAGGCCTTTCAGCGGTCGCGGCAATCGCGCGAGCGGCGGATGATGTAACGAATTTAGGGCCTCTTGGCATTTGTCAGTCCACCTTGATGACCAAATTCCGCCCCACCTTCGCCGGGGTTCTTTTTGGAAAGAACGAGTCGGGAGTTCGGGCATCGGATGGAACTGCAGATCTGAGCAGTGAAATCAAGAAAAAAATGTTGAGTAATCCCGTCCATTGCCCTTCTTGGCACCTGTCACATCTTCATCGATTCCTCACTGGTTAGTCGAAGCAAGAAGCAAAGCTTTCGTCGGAATCAGGCGATTTGTTACTGGCTTAGCGGGAGCTGAAAGCTCCCGCCATCGGGATCGAGCTGCCCAAAGTTGGCGGGGAAGGCCGCGAAGGGAATCTCTGTCGCTGATCCCAAGCCCCCCATCCTACACAGTAGACTACGATTCGTGCGTGTGCATCCACAATGGACAAGTCATCAGTGGAGAGACGGAGAGAGCAAGAGTCGAGAGTTAGTGGACGAGTGAGAAGAAGCCCAAGCTTCGTTTCCCCAATGTTTCTTTTATTAGCATTGGCTCGGCCATTTGCAACCAACCAACCCCCTGCGCTACCATCGATCAGATCCCAAGATCTCCCCGCCTTTCCGCCTGCCGCCCGTGGCGCCCCCTCGCGCTCAAGGAACCCACCCACAACCAGCCGATCGATCCGCTCACGTGAAAGCCACATTCTCGCAGGCCTCCCCCTCGGCACACTTCTGGTACAGGCTCAGCCAGGCGTCGCCGCCGCAGAACTGGGTCGGGTCGCCGGTGCAGACGTGGTCGCAGGCGGCGAGGCTGGCGAGCGTGGTGGCGGGCACGCGCGTGTCGGCGACCTCGTTGCCGCACCAGCACTCCTGCCGCCACTCGGTGCCGGCGTAGGCGAACCCCTGGGACTCGCAAAAGGCCAGGCACCGCTCGTTGGTCATGGCGTCGGCCGACGCCTCGCTCGCCCCCGACAGCGTGCGGAAGGGCCCGTCGTTCGCCCACCGCTCCTCGGGCGCGCAGCCGAGGAAGCGGTAGCCCGATGCGGTCAGGTCGGTGAAGGCCTCGGTCGGCGTGCCCGTGGGTGTCGGCGCGGCGCTGGTCGAGGTGGCGGGGATGGTCACGGTGGAGAGGGTTGTGCTGCTGCTCGGTGGGGGCAGGTCCGTCGTGGGGATCACGACGAGCGTCACCTTGATGCATTCACGGTTGACGTCGATTACTGTTGGTTGATCTGTTAGTGGGCTTCGGGTATTGGGTCAAACAGAGGGGGCGGTGGGGGAGCCGTACGGGTGTTGCCCGGTGGTGAGTACCGGAACTCGTGGCTTCCATCGAAGGCGTGGCGGACGCAAATGTGGCCGCCCGTGGGATGGTTCTGCCAGGTCACAAACTGCAGTTCAATCTGGAGCTCGTCCGTGTCTGGGTTGCAGCCGTATGTGGGCTCGAAGATGGCGCGGTCGTCGCCGCGGCCGGTCGAGAACAGCTTGGTGGTGTGGTCGATCTCGGAGAACTGGGGGCTAAGTCAGTTGCGGGCCGGTGGCGCATAAGCGTTCGAACAGAAGCATACCTCGCCGCCGATCACAAGACGGACGCCGTTCGGGACATGGTTGACAACACCGTCAACGAGGGTCAAGTCGTACGTAGGCACGCCAACGGGGCCAATGAAGAGATGGTGGTCACCGCCGCCGGCCACGAGCAGGTTCAGATACTGGTTGTGCACCTCGAGCCGGGTGGCATTTTGGACCTGGGCACGGAAAGGATAGGCGATGTTGTTGTCGAGGGGTTCGGTGGGGATCGTGCATGCCGAGCTCACGGCGGCCCCGGCGAGCAGGGCCGAGATTGTTCTCCGGTTGATCATTGCTGTTGTTGATAGGGCTGACTGCAACGCAAAGAGTGAGATCGTGGGGAACAAACTGAATCAACAACCAGGACGTCGTCACACGATATTTAAGCGTTCCTTTATTAACCCCTTGGACCCAACAAACCTTGCGGAGCCGCACTGCAGAGAACCCCCGAAACACAGACGCAGCCCTCCCAATATTTATTCCCACCTGCAGCTCGCCCAGGCAATAGCAAAGCCAGGCTGAGTGGCAAAGCCGACGGCACCGCATTCCTGAGTGGCCGACACTGCAACCCAAGGCCCTTGGCTCCCACCTGCCTAACGGGTTCAGGAGATGCAGTCAGCCCCCGGCGCGTCGGAATCGCGTCGTGGCGCCGCAGGGACCTTCTGTGCCACGGCGAAGCTTCGCCAAGATATCAGGCACAGGGCCTCGGCCCCTGCCGCTTTTCGATAGTGACGCCGGGGGTTGCGAACTTTGCAGCTTTTCCTCCATCAGCCGCACCTCTTGGCCTCGTATCCGTGAGGCGTGGCCGTGATTCGGTGCAGACGATGCAGCGGGCACTCGTCAAGCTGTGTGTGAAGAATCCAACAGCGTCGCACTGCTGCCCCGACAACCAGATACTGCAGGGAGACTGCCCGGCTGCAGACGGCATCTGATGCCGGTGTGGCGCCCACAGACTGCTACGTTACCAAAACCGCCTTGACATTGAATTCAACGTGCTGTCATGGTGCCAAACCACCACGCCGCTAATTGTTGAACTGTATCCATACTTGGACCCTGGTCGCAGTCACCGTGAGATCAGTCCAATACCATCAGAAGCGGAAAATCACCGGCCAAAACGGGCCCTGCAAGGCATCCCTTTAACTGGGTACCGATCAATCTCCCGGAATTGTCTGCAACCGTGGAATTGGCGGTGGTTTTCTTGTATCTCACAGACGAAGACGATGTCAACAACCTGGGACATAGTGGCTATCGTTTAGCCGAGTTTCTTTTTTGTCAGACCTGTGAGTTGCTTGAAAATATTCCTGTTCACAGCACACAAAGTCGCCAACTCCGTGTCTGTGCGATGCCGAGCCGCAAAATCGGCCGCCATGAGCGCCCCAGTACCACCCCAACCGATGATGGCAACCGTGAAAAGAGGGTTCAGCAAAGCGAAAAGGTGGTCGCCTCAGCAACGTGATGACCGGCCCCCTTACTCCTTTTTCCACGCCTCAAACTCCTCCTCCAAATGCCTCTTCAACTCAGCAAAGCGATTCCCAAACTCCTTCCCACACCTCCAGCACACCAACTCCCTCTTCAGATTCGCATTCTGAAACCCCGTCTCCCGCCTTACATCATCCTCCCCCAGCGGATAGTCCGCCAGCGGCACAAAAAACGGAGTGGTGAAGCTGTTGTAGTGCTTCCTATGGCGGGCGCGCTCCGAGCGCATGTCGCGTGAGATGATGTGCACGTGCAGGTGGGCCATGGACGGGTGCGCGTGGGTGCCGACGCGGATCTCGGCCGCGTAGTCGCGCCCCGCCGGCAGCGGCAGCTCCGACTCCGAGCCGTCACGGTCCGAGGCCGCGCCGCCGCCCTTGCCCTTGCCCATCGCCTCGTCGCGCGCCCGGTTGCTGGCCGAGAAGGAGCCGAGCCTGCGGGCGAGCTCGGCCGCGGCGAGTCGGGCGCCCACCGCGGCTTCCTCGCGCATCATGGCCAGGAAGGCCGGGTCGGCGAAGGCGGTGTGCGGGTGCAGGAGGTAGTGGGCGGGCGAGCGCGGGAGGAGGAGCAGGTGGATGGTGGCTTTGGGGAAGGCGTCTTTGATTAGGACGGTGTTGGCTGTTACGCGCAGGACCTTGTCTGGAAACCGTTCTGGGTGTTCGATGTATTCGATCAGGGCGCCGCGCCAGACCCCGCGGACGATCTGGGATGCTTTGGAGGCCATGGATTGGGGGGCTTGGGAGATTGGAGCCTTCGGTTTTGGTGCCATCAGTTCTGTAAACGCGTTGCGCTTGGCTGGCGTGTTTGATGGAGATGCCACTGCCTCAGTTGTCGGTTTTGCATCGCTCGTAGTCGGATGACTTGTCGATTCGGGTTGAGGAACCTCGCCCTTGTCGCCAACTGGCTCGGCCATGGCGCAAATTGTTGAAAGGGTTCGAATTTCCCGATCCGATTGAATCGGACAAATGGGTCAGCCCATTGGCGGTTATAAAATCACAGGGTGTTGGTGATGGAATTGGGAAATCAATAGAACAAGTCGACCATTTGATGCCATCGATAATGGATGAGTCGAACGGCGAGGATACACCTGTCAGCAACTGGCAGGCACTTGGTGGGACTGGCTGTCGCACCTCGATCATCCGAAGGGGGTGAAAACCTCTGCCGGCTACAATGGCCTGCTGGGGGTTAGAGCCGAGTCAACCTAAGGTACGTATATTTGTGCACTACATATCATAATCGTAGTGCCGGATTCATGTACATATGAATCCCAAACACTCCGCCGCCACCGTCGCGGTGCTCATACCATGATACACTAATACTCGCACAGGACTGGATACGAAGACGTATACTACATGTCGCGGAAATGGCGCCGTTTTGAACCTAGTGCATCCAGTCTTCAACCTGCCCGGTGATATATCGGGTTGCATTGACGGAACCGAGCAATGATTTTCTCAAGACGGTTACACGATATGGGTTGACGACAAACGGCTGAAGAAAAGAACAAAGAGAACGAAGTCCAGAGGAAGGCGAGGAGGAGCCAGTAGGAACGCCACCTCGCACCCGAGTAAGGTACCAAGCACCCAAGCACCATGCTCGGACGGATGGCCGCGTCACCCAACTTCCATGGATCCACCCGACCCAAGACTCGGGCACACCAGGATATACACCACACTACACAGCAGAGACAAGTAATTGTCCATCTATACATGTTGGGTGTTTAACAACGTCGACCTGAGAGTGCCTAGGTATATATTCGTTCATTCGCAGTTTACATTCACCCCCAAAACTGCACTTAATGCTACGGCTAGAATAGGGGTAAGACAAATGGGGAAAAGAGGGGACCACAACACATTTCGTGAAACCATGGAAACGATCGCGAGGCGTTCTCGTCGGCGCAACGTTACAGATTGGCTCATTGTCTGGAACGGCCCGATAAATAATCCGTAGCACTTCAGGGCTTAGCGCCGCATTTTGAAACCGCTCAAGCTCCATTGTTCTCTCATTCAAACCCGAGCAGCGAGCAGCGAGCAGCGAGTAGCGCAACAACGGCCATGGCCAGTAACCCAGGTCGAGCGGACAATTCGGACACTGGAGCGGCATCTACGGGGGCGGCCCCGGCTGCGAAGGAGCGAGAGCCTGGTGAGATTACACCACGACGATCACCATTAGTTTCTCTCCTCACTCTACTAACAGCCCAACCTAACAAAAAAAAAGTTGATGCCGCCTGCGAAAGCACTAAAGCACGGCCGAAACGCGATGTTTCGGATTCGGACGATAAACCAGCCAAGAGGCCTAAACCGAATTCGGCGGTTCAGATCGTGGAACACGCTGAGCAGTGGGTCGAACGGGATGGCGACTTTGTATTCGACAGGACAAAGATCATCATCCGACAGGGAGATTCTGTCTTCATGGCTACAACGGACAAGATGGAGTCAGGGTTGAAAGGATTGGACGTAGAGAACCTCGAGCGCAATCGGATCCCTCCGGAGCACTTCTGCCCACAATTCAAGGAAGGCCTCACGCGCGCATCGGTGCCCCTCCCTGAAGAAATATATGTCAAGAGGCCCAGGCTTCTGGCTTGGGATTCTGAACACCATGGCAACATCGCCGCTCTCGTCCTGCAGGAAGCTGAAGTGTGCGAGATTCTCAAGAAGCACCCGCATCCAAATCTTGCGCAGTATCATGGATGCCTCGTCGACAATGGCAGGATCACCGGGCTTTGCTTTACGAAATACAAGTCGGACCTCGAGAAAACGTTGTCAGAGAGGAAGGATATTACCGAGAAAGAAAAGCTTGGCTACATCAAGGCTATTGGAGACGGCATTCACCACCTCCACCAGCTGGGACTCGCGCACAACGACATTAACCCGTCTAACATCATGATGGACGGCGAGAAGCCCGTCATCATAGACTTTGATTCTACTAGGCCGATTGGGGAGAAGCTCGGGGACAAGGCTGGGACATTCGAATGGGAGTTGGAGGGAGCAGAGTTGTCCGAGCCTGGGAACGACTTGTACGGTCTGAACAAGATCCAGGAAGTGGCACTTCAGCTCACATCACAGGGGGCCAACGCAAAGAAATGAACTCTGTATTCGATCGTGCTGCAACTCGACTCAATAAACCTCTTCTCGTGACGCGAATCTTAGAGTCATGCACTTAAAACAGGTATTTGTCACCACCATTGAAGCTTGCGAGATAATGACACATTCGACGTACCCCTGATATCACGGGCCGCAGGACCAACGGCGCGCAGCATGCCTTCGCGCCGACTGCGACCACACGACGTGTGTCAAACAATGTTTGAATCGACGGAGAGGAGGTTGAAAGAACCCGGTGAGAGTGTCGAGATGTTCCCTTCTTCCTCTTGTAGTCCATCCAGTCCTCTTTGTACTTACACAAATAACCTAGGCAATCTGTTAAATCAAACCATGGCCCCTTGGCTGTGGACTCTGACGCCCGAGGCCGCGTACCCCCCGGCCGGCAGCGTGAGGGATGTAGTGTCTGTCGTCTCCCCAAAGCCGCTTACATCGCACATTACGTTGCTACGCACCTAAAAGCGGAGGTACTATCTTCGCTACCCCCGACCTCAGGACATTTCGAGTAAACAAATGAAACGGGATTACGCCACATCGAATTCCAACCAATAACCAATATTACAATCACCGCAAGCCAACTCAGACAAGCAACACGCCGGTCGCGTCGACGTTTTGGGACCGATGTAAGACCCCCCTTTCCCAAGCCCTGTCCAGACACCGAACCTAATCAACTGACTGAATAGCAGGGATAGATTACGGCTCTATATTTTGGGAACACTCGATTCTCTACACCCAGATGTGTGAAAGGCGACACAGCGCTGGAGTGTTGACATGGAGTGTACGTACAAAGGTGCGCTTGACCAGGTACATGTACCGGAGAGATTGTTTATCAACGGTCAAGAAGAGAGAGGAAAATGCTAGATCTGTAGGATTCTGGAAATGAACCACGTCTCGAGGGGTGCGGACATGGAGTGCCAACTCATCCGCGTGAATGGGCTTGTGGTGCGGGTAACGGCCACAGACTATCACTAAAGTTAGGGGTGGGCTTTCTATCCGAGCCCAAGCGTGGCGCGTGCCTTTTCATTACCTACCTATAAAAGGGTTCTGCCTCTCCAATGGAAGGCGTTGTAGTCAGTGGAGCCGGCCGTTATCTGAATCAGATATGGTCCTGGAAGGCCTCGCTCCTCGAACCACAGACGGAAGGATCGCGTTGTCCGTAGGGATCGAATGGGCTCAGTACTAGATGGGAAAGGGAGGATCTGTACTGAACTGCTATGTCGCTACCCTTGGCGACTATGTTGGGCCCTGAGAGAGAGGACCGGATTTCTGACATATGGTACTGTACACCACCAGATTGACAGACGCAATCCGGTTGGCATGCCTCTCTTATTATTCGGAAGTTACGCCAGCAAATGGCATAATTACCGCACCACACTCGTTTGCAAGGACGGAGATTTACAGACGAATTTGGCCGAACACATATGTTGTATCACCCGACTTGCATCTGTAAGAACGCCGATGGAGGTCTGCTGGCAAGGCTCTGGTTGCGACCAGGTGATTCGAGCAGAGCCCAATCTAACATTATTTAACAAGCCTAACTCCTTTCCTGACCCCATAAGTTACTTTCCTCTTGTCCCGTGGCTCTATCACCTATTACCGGCATTTCCAACTTTCGATCCACTTACTTGCTGTTACGATATCAAGCGTACATAATGGCTGTAGTCTACGAGGTCATCGTCCTAGCTGATCATTGCAACTGGGCGACAGGAACGCGAAAGAACGGCTCTAAGTACAGGTACAAAACTCGAGAGTGCCATAACGTGGGATGCAAATATTCCACGGATTACGGCAAAGAAGCCTGCGACTGCTTCAACAACAACAATAACTAGTTTTGGGACGGTAACCTATGGCCATATCCGCTTAGAGTAGGCGCATGTCTAATGTCGGGTACAGGAGTATTGCCAGGCCACCACCTGGACCGTGTATGCCGCCCTCTGGAGATACACCTTCATTCGCCCCCAGCGCTGCAACGGACGTCGGCTGCATCATTCTCGTTGGCGGTTGCTTGCTTAGGGCCATCAAGGCTTTGGCAAAGGGCCTGGCTGCTTCGGTATCTAGGCACCTACTCAGGACGATTCGACGGCGAAGGGATGGTGCTCACTTGACGACAAGCGCGTTTGTGTTTCCTAGGGTTCTTGAAGTAGTATTGATTCGGGGCAGAAGGTACTTCCTCACAGGGTTCTGCATCTATCCATTTCTACTTACGGCATCCTCAAAGTAGATTGAATAATGTATTGAACTGGGGCGCTGACTGCCGGGCGCTCTGGCCAGGGAGGGGGGGGGGGGGGGGGGGGGCTCAGGCCTTCAGGGGCAAGCAGCAATTCTATTCTTTTTCAGGACTTGTAGAAGTGACTGTTTCTTTGTGGCAGTTGTGACCGCAGCCCTTTGCAGACGGGCATGTACCTTTGCGTAACGATCCAGATGTCGTGGGGCCTCTCCTACAACGAGAGTTGCATTCTGAGCCATCTTCTCCCTCATACGGCATTGACATCAACAGAGTCGACACGTGACCCGCTATGGTGGTGAGTGTGAGTTGGAGAGGTTAAGCACCGCTTTAGTATTAGTTAGCTAGACTGATAAAGAATTGATAAAAGAGACAGATATTATATTTACGTAGATATTCACAAATAAACGACGTTCCGATAAGAGGACAGTTATAATTTCTAAATACTTCTACCTAAGTAGGTATAGGCTCTCCCGAGCCGCGCGGGATGCCTCAGATCACCAATGCCCCAAAAGCAGCGTTTCCCATGGTGGTCTGCCAGGGACACAAACCATCCCAATCTGTAAACACGGCAGGGAGGCTTGTAGGTATGATGGGGTGAGAGTGAACGTAGGACAACCTGAATGGTGGCTGTCGGAAAAAGGAAGCGCACGCATGACACCACCACCGGGAGTAAAAGTACCTACTGGGGTTGACAATTTAGACCGAAATATTCAGGTATACGTATGTGCCAAGGTACATGTACCGAGGCGCGCATTTTTGAGCGTCGGTGAATTCCACGCTGGCTACGACGCTGTTGCCTTGGATAGGTATTGCAGTGTTAGGTACCTAGGCAGAGTTCGCATGAGGCCACTTGATGTTGAATGTTGCCACGATGCGGGGAGGGGGACTGGACTCTCGAGCAAATTACTTTCTTATATATATCCATCCTCTCCTAGGATCAATTAGATCTGAGAGCCTCAGCTAGGAGGAACATGTCCCTCTCCTTGATGTAAAGCCCCAGCTCAGAAGTTGGCTCCACGCTCAACATTATCTGTAGGGCGTTTTCTACAGGGACCCACTCGTGGCTGAGCCCATCAGCCAGCTCCTCCTCGGTCAAATTTGGCTTCCCGGCCTCGTCGAGCAAGCGGGCTCGGTAGCAGTACGAGATCTGGTGAAGATCGTTCCGAAATTCCTCCGTCGTAGCGAAGTACTCGCCCTCCACCGAGACGTGAAAACCGGTCTCCTCGAGTACTTCCCGTTCGGCAGCTTTCTGGTAATCTTCCCCTTCATCGACACCGCCACCAGGCAGCTTGTAGTAGTTCTCCTTGCGCGCCTTAACGAGAACCACACGGCTATCGCCACCGTCGGACGACGTGACGATGACACGGACAGCGGAACGCTCGGTATACGCCGTGCCTCCTTGTCTGGAGCCAATGACCTTAGCCGGCACGGCCGAGGGCATCAATTCTGGGAGGCAACGTTAGAGAGCAAGCCCAGGAGAGATGGGTTTGGGGAGCAGGCAGCCAACCTTGAAATCCTTCCATGGCACGTCTCCGTACAATCGTATTGCGGGGGTAAGTGTCGAAATCCTTCCAACGGTCTCGAAGGGCAAACCGTTCGCCAAACACAATATGCAGGGCAGTAAGGTTAAATGCTGAAAGACTTGAAGTTGGAGGGGGGTTGTTGCAGAAGTTTGGATTTTGGGGGTGGAGAGCTGGTAAATCGCCCGAAGAGAGTTGACCCCCGTGCTTCCCTGAGCAGTTGGTTCACTCGGTTGGTTGGTTGATGCCAATCGACCAATCATAGGGTCGGAACATACCCAACGCCTGATCACGCGCTCTTGCTGCCTTGAATCCTCGCCTGTCGAGATTGCCCTCCCGGGGTGAGAAGGTGAGCACGGGTTGCACAGGCTGCCGCGCGGTTGTGTCGGCGGCTTCCTAGCACGACCAACTGGACGAGGCTGTGCGCTTAGTGGTGAGGAAACGGGCGCCTACACCGTCATGTAGCAAGCTTTAGGCACTTAGGAGGTCCTTCTCGTGACACATCCGAGATACCCTTCACACTAGAGCCCACTTGCAAAAGGCTCTCTATGTTCTTCCCTGCGTAGGGGGGTATAACCTGGCTGAAGATCAACGACCAGATTATCCCGCAGTTGTTGCACCTGGTCGAGGGTCATGACTCCGGATTCTATCACTCTGCGCTCCAGTCCGCCGTTGTGCCGAGTCCATTCCAAGAAGCATTGCATGGCCTCAACCCTGACCTTGTTGTTAGCCCAGAGAACGGCATGATATCTTCCACGATGCTCACGATGGACTAACTAACCTCGAGCTGAAGAAGCGCTCTTCCTCTTCGGATATCCCGGGCCCATTTGGCCGTGTCTCGGCGATGATGCTCACTATCTTGTCCTTGATACCGAGGGCTGTCAAGGCGTACTCATGCGCAACAGTGCTGTCGTCTACGCCGCAGATGCTCAGGACTAGTGCGCAAATGACCCCGGTCCGGTCTTTTCCCAAAGAGCAATGTATAAGTATCGGTTCAAGCTCCGATGGGCGAACTGCGGCGAGGTGGTTCAGGATGTTCTTGAGTGGCTGGAAAGGATTGCTGAGCGAGGTGGCAGATTCGAGAACATCCCGGTAGTACTGCACGAAGCCCTGGCTGGGAGTCAGTTGGTGACCAACCGTAGGCAAGTGGAAACTCAAACATTGCTCATTTTACCTCGATGCCCTCCTTTCTCAAATTTTGATCCCGCATGGCACGCTGCCCATTCGCAATGTCGCTGTCGGTGAAGACGGAGGCCTGGACTCTCACCGCTCGATCCCAAACCCTAATCTGCCCCCAGCCTTTCTTGGTGCTCTCTTCAATCTCGAAGTCGGAGCGAAGGTCAAATACCCGAGCAATTTTCAGCGCCTGCAGCTGGGAGATGCCCGTGTTGGTGATCTTGGACGGGTCTGCCGATCGGTAGAGCATCCCACGTCGGACGATCTTGCCGGGGCGGTCTGCGACCGGGTAACCTCCACAGTCGCGAAAGTTGTGAAGGCCATCTATGCTGATGAAGGGCGGGCATGGGAGATTAAGAACTTGTACCGGATCTTGCGGTTGCGAATCGGGAGGTGTGAGTGGTAAGGTCCCGACTGTCGCAACGTCGTGGCTAGCATCGAAATTCTGACCCATTATGACACCGCGTCTGGTGGTAGATGCCAACGACACCCGATCTTAGGTTGGATACCTTCTCTAGTTTGTGGGAGTCGAGGCTTTTTGAACTTCGAAGGATACCCCAGGGCAAAATGTAACGGGCCACGTGTCGGTCGTTGCAAAAGGCGTGGGAGAATTGACTTGATTTGTTGGAAAGCCAAAAGCCACAAGTCAAGTTGAGCTCGGAAATAGGTGTGTTGCAGCGGGACAGTCGTTGTAACAACGGAAGGGGTACAATGAATAACTACAACAATTGAGGCCGTTGAATGAGGGCAGCAACAATGGTGATTGAATGGTCTGGTCGGCGAACCGACTGAATATGTGAATGTCCCAGGTCCCAGGCATCCATGCGTGCCAGGTACGAATACTCACGTGGGACTGTGACATCCGTCTGCCGAAGGATCCAAGATTACGAAGTACCCTGCACCGGATCCACCACGCCAGCCAATCCCAACCAGCCTAAGGTACCTACTTCGTCCATACCCGATTTGTACACAGGTGTCGATAACTTGAAACCGCTGCATCGAACGCATTTCTTTACCAAACTTGAAGTGCGTAGGACCGGTGCCGTTGGATAGAGAATAAAATCTCTATCCATCCAACGGTCTATTCTTCTATAGCGGTTATAGTGGGTGGCCATTTGGTGGTTATATGCCGTTCAACCTTTGTCTATGGGAAAAGGCCAGCGAGCCCATCTTGCTTCTGCGTACTTCCTTGCTGTGTAACTCGTCCGCAAACTTGGCGGTGGGTCCAGCATCCCGACTTGGCGTTCTGGATCGCCGTTTTTGGTATGGATCGATGATATAATGGCTGGCGGGAGTCTGGGCCAAAGCAGCCGGGTCAGTCGGCATGGCTGTGCGACCAAGTGATCCCACGGAGAGAAGGAAGAAGGAAGGCCTGCTTGCGTGTCGTCAAGCAGATCCTTCGGGGTTCTGACACTTCGCGCAAAGCATGCCTACCGTAGGTAGTATATACCATGGAAGACTTACCAAGAGCCTGCAAGCAACCATCCGCCGGCGAATGACCCCCCCCCCCCCCCGATCCCACCCCCCTCCTTCTTTTGTGGTGGTTTTGTTTTCAGATGCCCAATCTTCCCGATTCTTTCCTCCTTTTTTGGTATCAGAGGATAGCCCCAAGAGCCTGACATTGGACAGTGCCGTTCGCGCCATTTCAAACCGGCAGACGCCGAAACGACGCAACCATGGCCCTCCCTCGGCAACCAAAGATCTTGCTGGCCGCAGTCGGGCTGGTGTGCATTATTGGCCTGTTCACATTCCGCCTGCACAGTCGCGATGCTTTCTTTGCCACACGACCCGGCTACCTATCGCCCAACAGGATACCGACGCTTTCGCAGAAAACAGGGCAACTGGACCCAGAAGCCCACAAGCTACCATCGGCCGACTCGTTCCGCGCCCACTTCAACGCTCTGACGCGTGTCAAGAATATCACCGTGGCTGAGGCGAAGGCGGGGTGTCACTGGCCGCAGGATGAAGATGTCAATTTCCAATTTAGCGCAGATGCCGAATGGGTTGTCACAGACCGTCCCGACGACGAAATCAATTCGCGCCGCAAGGCATGGCAAGAATATATACAGGGCAAGATGATTCCCTGGGAGAAGGTCAAGGACAAGTTTGAGGGAAGAGGTGTGGTTATCCTCGCTGGCAATCGCGACACTGCGATGCACCTCAAGGTCGTCCTCAGGCGCCTTACAATGCTACGGTCCAAGATCCCAATGGAGATTCACTATTGGGGCGACGAGATGAACAAAGCCACTCGGGAAGACCTCGCCAGCCTATACCAGCCAACGTCGTTCAACGACCTCTCCCAGCCTCACAACATTATCCAGGTCAAAAAGGACGGACCCTTCATCAATTTCCAGCTGAAGACGGCCGCACTCATCAACTCGAAGTTCGCCGAGCCCTTGCTGCTCGACTCGGACAACGTCCCCGTGCTCGACCCGGCGACCCTCTACGACTCGCACGTCTACCAAGAATACGGTACCGTCTTCTGGCCCGACATCGCCCGCTCGTGGCCGCAGAACCCGGCCTGGGCTATCACCAACACGCCGTGCCGCATGGACGAATACGAACAAGAGAGCGGGCAGCTGATGGTGGGCAAGCAGCGGTACTGGTACCACCTGCAGCTGGCCGCGTGGCTGAACAACGAGGAGGGCAAGTACTACAACGAGTTCCTGCTGGGGGACAAGGACATGTTCCGGTTCGCGTGGCACGCGCTCAAGACGAGTTACGGCCGGCCCAAGAAGTGGCTGACCAGCGTCGGCGTGCTCAACGACGACTACTACTGCGGCCACTCGTTCGCCCAGTACCACCCGGACGACGGCCGCGTCGCCTTCCTGCACGGCGGCCTCGCCAAGTCGACCGCGCTCGAGGTCATGCGGTGGAACAAGGAGGAGAAGGGCGGGTATTTCCGCCACTACAAGCGCGCGCCCACCGACGAGGATCCGGCCCAGATTGTGCATGTCGGAATCAAGTTTGATGGGGCCACCTACAAGCCGAACCACACCGAGGATTTCAAGGTGGCCATGTGTACTGATATGAGGGACCTGGAGGTTGGGAACCTGGACGACATTCTCCCCGGGTGGGAGAAGGAATACGAGGAATTAGGCGGGTACTGGATGTTGGAGCAGGAAACGACGGCAAAACAGACGCTCGCGCGCAATAATTAATACAGGGTTTCGGGGATCACTGCCTGGGGCTAGGCATCGTGGAAAAGAATGTACGACTGGCTTGAGTTTGGAAAGCTTTCTCGGTGCCGTCACCATCACGGCACCTCTCTTTCACTCCCACAGTCCCCAGCGCAAACCATCTTGTCGACGCCGAGCAACACATATCCGGTATCTTGCCCGCACATACCAACTAGCCCGCAAGTTGCCGCTAAACGCTGAGCCACCCCCCCCCCCCCCCCTCTCTTAAACGCTGAGCAGCCCCCCCCTCCCCGGTACACTTGCGGCTGATTCACGCGGGAATGGGGGAAAATGATGCGGACTGTGTAGGCAAGTACGGTTTAGCGCCTGTTCCTGAGGACGGTCAAGGATGTTGAACAAGATGGTTATAAACGGGATTCCCGTTATATAACGGAGCCCACAAGGACGAGTTTTGAAACCCATTACTGTGTAAGCAGAGGAGAAATAGGGCATTCATGATGGTGGAAACATAGACACTGTACTATACTACCGCACTAATTACGTGAACTGAATTTCATATGACGTCTCCATCCAGTTGCCAGGGGTGGTAACGGACTTTTGGGATTCGCACTGGGTGCCATGCGTCTGTTAGTGGAACCAACAGCCTCCGGTTTGGATCTAGCCTATCTCACTTGTACCACTGTGTCCGGCAAACGCCAGTACGTCTTGGCACGCGCGCGCGGGTTGCGCAACATTTTCTAATTTTTATCGATTTTTAGGGAAAAATAGGAGGATAGAAAACTATATACAGCTATATCAACCAAACCACGACATGCGCGCGCCGCGCGAATACCTCGAGTAATATATCTAGATGCGTAGAATCCGAATTCTGTACCTGATTGATGATGCGGATAATGCGCGTTGAGGTATCGATAGATTTCTGTTTTTCTTGATTTTGTTCGAACTTTTCGAAGATATCTTGGCAAAGCTTGGCAGATCTTGGCGATTTTTAGCAAAAATTTACCAGTTTTTAAAACCATCAAGATCTCAGCGCGTATTATCCGCGTCATTAATCGGATACAATATTCTGATTCTACGTATTTAGATATATAGCTTAAGGTATTTGCGCGGTGCGCGTATGTGGTGGGTTGGTTGATATAGCTGTAGATAGTTCGACTGATTTCTGGTCTTCTGGCCGTTTTTTCAAAAAATTAGGGCGTGTTCGGCGCGCGCGCACGCCAAGACGAACTGGCGTTTGCCGGACACAGCATCATCTTCGATAAGGTATCATGCGTTGGGGGTCGTTTTGCATAGTATGGGGCAGACCTACCGAGTTTTTCGCCAGCAAATTTGAATCTCATACCACTTACCAGGACAAGCAAATAGGTAACGTTTGTCACAAAGTTAGGTAGGATTAAGTTCAGCCGCTGCTTGTGCCACGCGACCCAATTTCGATTAATGACATTGTCTTCAATTCTGTTGCTCAACTCCATCCATCGCGCCAAGTATCGCGAAGCAGAAGAGATAGAGTGCTTATCCACGCGCCGGCAACGTAGTAAGAGGACAGGGCGACGTTTTGCGTCATCATCAGTGCACATTATATTCAGGGCTCATCATCTAACATGCCCCTCGAGAAAAAAACAGTATTCCGCACCTCCCGCCGGGTATGTACCATGCATCCTTGACCTGATTTCCTGATCCGGCCGTTTTCCACTTCGAAGCCAGAGGCCCATTGGTATCAGCCTGCCGCAAGAGACAAAAGAAATGAAAAATAACTACCACTCGTGTCCTGAGCATTGCCCGTCCCGGTACGGTGGGCCTGGGCGTACTGAGGGCGGTGTCCTAGCAAATATAGAATAAATTCTCCGTGAGAACAGAAGCGAGACTCGTGCTTGTCGCATCGGACGCAGGCTGGCTGGCGGGGCGAACGAGCTTTCCGCTGGCGATATGGGGAGAAAATATGAGACGAAAATTGGGTTGGTTGGGTGGCTGATCCGAGACTGATGTGGTTTTCTGGATTTTGACATTTTTGAATGATTTCAGGGCTGTGGTAGATGATAGGAAATATGTGGTAAGGAGCGAAATGAGGGTCGGTCGAAAGGACGCCTGGCGGCAAGTAAAACAGAAATAAGGAAATGTTAAATGAGTGTGATGTGTCTCGGGATCAGCCAGTCCACCCCTCCAAAGTTTCACCGTTCTCCCCAGCCATCGGAAGTTCGTCAGACATCCTTGGCCAGGTGCAAGCCTGTGTGCTTCGCATCGACCGACGACCGAGGTGTTATCGAGAGCAAGCGGGCGCTCCCGGCACTGATATGTCGAGCGTGCGCTTTTCCGTAATCGACACTCCTCGCTCGTTGAAGTCCGACGTCGTTGCTGCCGTCGCTATTGTCTTCTGGATTGACCTGTTCAAGAGTGCCTTCACCCTCGTCGCCGAACGACTTGAGTAAACCCTCACGGCTCTTCACCCGCCCAACAGCCTGGGAGCGCACGACCGTGGGTTGCTGGCCCCTGACGCTGCCCCAGTGAGCCTCCTCCTCCTCCCAATCGCTCGACGGCCGCGCTTCTCCGGTAGATTTGCGATTCCATCCGGACCGGTCGCCATGGGGGGGCGCAAGGCGTGAAAGGTAATCGTCATCGGCTATGTACATATCGTCGTTGGTGGTTTCATTTTCCGGCCGGCGTTCGCCATCCGACTCGGGGGCTTGCCGGGGAAACCGCAAGCCTGATGCGTGCTCCAGAATGCCTGACGACTTCCGTTTTCTGCCCAGTCCTCCTCCAAACCATGACCCTTCCGAGTCGATTGAGGCCAGGGACGTAGCTTGTGGCTCTGGAGAGATTCCCGGTTCGTCAGGGTGACTGAAGGTCGATGGCGTGTCCTGCATTCGCTCGATAGATGGTGGTTGTGATATTGGCGTGTCGTGCCTCGGCCGGAGTGTAGAGGGTGAGGGCGCTGTCCCCATGACAGCAGGATGAGCGCCGACCGATGAGTTGATTATGGTATCAATAGCTTCAAGATCTGGCGATTGCATTCGTGATGCTGGAGGCGAAATCGGCAGCTCAGGGAGATCTTCACGGAACCGGGACATGGTCCGCTTCGGCACTCCGGAGCTAAGGTGCCGCGGCACTGCGTTGACGGGAGGCGTCGGTGTCGGCGTAGTGTGCATCGAATCCCGAGACGTATTGGAAAAGGAAGATGGCCCCCCTGAGTTCCGCTTAGCTTTGTTGGCCCATCGGAAGAACGAAGTCCAAGACCGCGGGCCTTTGGTGGTACTGTTCGACGGTTTCTCAGACTGCTCTGTCCTTGTTTCGGAATCTTGCGGGGACTTTGATCGTGATAGTTTCCTGCGGAACGAGCCCTTGGAGATAGGGCTTGCGCGGACTGGCACATATTCTCGGATTTCGGAGAGCGCCTCTGGTGGTTGTAGGGGGATGATGCTGTCTACTCGGTGGAAGGCGGCCACTGGGTCGGACTGGTTATTTTCCTGGGTGACTTCTGAGTGGCCGGCTTCCCTAACTTCTTCTCGACGCGCCGGCGGGCTACCCGAGTGCCGTATTTTTGATGACGTGACGACGGCGGAGCTTGGGCCAACCCCCAATCCCACATCCTCGCGGCCAAAAACGCCTCGCTCTAGATTTGGCGGTGATTCCCGTCCGTGTCTCTCAGCCTCGGCCTCTGCAGCCTTCTGCTTTTCAGCGCGCCTTGCAATTCTCCGTTCCAGTTTCTCTTGCTCCAGCTGCGTTTTTCTCGCCCGTCGCCGCTGGTCCCGTTCCATCAGCTCGCGCAGGTCGCCGGCGCTGAGGTCATCAGCGAGACTGTCGACACGTTTGTGTGCCCTTAGTGTTGCCTCGGGGATCGGCTCGTTCAATTTTGTACGTTGTGGAGATGGTCGGCGTACGATCCCCGCGCCATCCTGGGCACAAGCTCCGAATCGTGGATGTGTGCTGTAGCGCAAAGTCGGCCGAGGCGCAAGAGCTTCGAAAGCGGAAACTTTGTAAGAGATGTAATCCGAGTCCGAGGAAAGAGCGGAGTCGATGGATTCGGGAAGCGGTAGTGAGATGTCTGACGACCGGTTGAACTTGTCGTAGTCGGAACCTCTCATACTGACGCCGAAAGCTGCTTTGAATCTCTTGCTGTCTTTCTTTATTGGACGACCAGCCATCCAATCCTCCGCAACGGGCCGCAAAGGAACAAAGTTACTCAACGCCTTGATTTCGGCCTCGCGTTGCCGGTCATCCCTTCGCCGCTTCTTGCTGGAGATTTTCCGGGGCAGGTGATCACCATCTTTCCTGTTGTGAAGCGTCGGCACGCGCCACAGCGCGTCGTCTCCCGCAGCGTCGGGCATCGGCGTATCCACCTCTCGCTGAGCCCTCCTGCTCGTTTTCCTACCGAGCTGCACAGAGTCCTCGCGTCCCGGTGAGAAACTGTACGTCCTAGCCCTGCGCTGGAGCTTGTTTGATCCCGTCCGTTGTCGCTTACTCGCTTGGCGATCCGGCATGGGGATGTCTATGGGCATGGCGGCCTCTGGCACCGTTTGACTCCGTGGTGGAAGCCCAGCCATTGCCACTCGTCCTTCGTATTCTTCATGATCCACCGTGCTGGCTCGCCCGCGCTTGCGGCGGCTTTTCCGTCGAAACGGCCACAAAGGCATCGTGATTGGAAATGAGACAAGTTCAGCGTCGGTCGAGCGATAGTGTCGGTGTTGGTAGGATTCTGCGGTAAGGCGTATCGTCTTGTTGACTAGGGCAATCGGTGCTGGGCGGGAAAAGGTGTAAAGTCATTCTGAAAGTATCAAAAGGGAGTGACACGTCGGCGGAGGTGGTTGCGCGACTGGAAAATTCGTCGAAGAGGACGAGACGCCGCTAAAGCATGCTTGAGCAATGTCGAGATCCTTGGTGCGACAACCAAAGCGAGAGCTGCAGCGAGGAGGGTGGAATGCAGCAGGCGGAGGATCGTATTGGTGAGAGCCTTCTGTTTGGTACAAATTGTGGTGCCGGGCTTCCAATGTAAGCACGAGTGGTCGGAATGTAGGGAAATTTGAGTCTGGGTCCAGCCGAGAGGTATGTGAGGGCGCTGGATAGATAGCATGTAAAAGCTATGATCACCAGGTAGAGCGCTCGGTATGTGCGGGGGGGAAATGTCTGAGATCGGTGTCTCAGAGAACCTGGAAGGGCCCACGCAATATTTGAGGGTTTGTGCAGGGAGCAGACCCGAGGGGAAAAAATGGGAATCGATTGGCAAGGGAGAAAGCAAGGTACCCGGGCTTCCTGGTCATCCCCCCTGCTCGCACGGAAAACGGAATGCGCCGGTTTGTTGGCCACCACCCAATTATGAGCCCAATGAGCGTCAGGAGCAGGGCCACGAGCCATCTCAAAGCACATATTCGCCAAATCAATCGTCACTTCTCAAGAAGATGCATGTTTGCAGCACCCGACAGATTGCCATCTCGAGTAGCCACTCTCGTCTCTCTTCTCTCTCCGTTTCAACCCGCCGTTTCCTCTTTGCTGGCCACTGCTGTCACAGTGGATCCCGCGAAGCAGCCCTGTTCCTTGGCGCCTGCCCCACCCAACGGCTTTGGATCTGCCGCTCAGCCCAGTTGTCCCTCCGAGCCGGGCCAGAGAACGGGCATTTGACAATGACACTGTCAGGTTCCTGATGAAACCCCGTATGTAAATCGGGCATGGGTGAAAAGTTTTCTTATCCTGGCACCAATTTGGGCGGATGGATGTCCTTTGCTTTCCGTCGCGCTTTGGCTTACGCAATTCAATACGGACGGACAGTGGACGATGCTCGTATCCGTCCGATTCTCCGCTTTGGCGGCCAATTCTCGTGGGGGACGGAGTACCCGGGTGCGCAAAGAACTGGACGAGCGCGACGAGGTTGCAGGCGGGCCCAACCGCGAGATTGCTGCAGCTGAATTATGTCATAAGGGCACGGCACCTCCCTCGCCACCATCGAGTCGAACCGGAACACACGCCTCGATCGTCCAAACTGGCGCCGATCTATTGACAAAAAATCACTCACGGACCGCAGTAGTGTAGAGAAGAACAGTGCGGAGATGCTGCAAAGCTCCGCAGCTCGAACCTACCAGAGCTTGATTTCACCCGCCTCGAATGCTGCAGGGCCTTGCACCGTCACGACCGCCTGAGCGACGGGTTGGCTGCAAGTGTCCAGGAATGCAACGCAGGGGATATCGACCACATTACGGCTGCTTGCCAGCCTGACACGTGTTTCCGCAGCGTGCTGCGACAGTACATGGACGCAGACAGTCCAGAGACATACATAACGAGGTATCACTGGATGTGCATAGTTACCATCTGGCGACGAGCGCAACCTTGAATATTTGGTGGGCGCGGCGGCCTCGCGGCTTCATGCGTCGTGCCTCGTGGGAGCGGACGCCAACAAGCAGCGTTCGGGTCCGGCCGCGACCCGGCCGTTAGTGCTATTATTGCCACACGAAAGCAAACAGGTCAAAGTTTGGGCTTCAGGATTGCCTGGCAACCCTGGGAGACCAAGTAACTTTGCAGCGTCCGACCCGGGAACCGGAAAGCTCTCTTTTGAAGCGACGAATGTGGGGGGAACCCAATCGCGAAGCCGAAAGCTGCGGGGAGTGACGGAGCCCTGCACACGATGGAGGGCAGAGTATCACTGGCTGGAAAGAGAAGCCTCTCCGTCGTTTCAACTGGATTCAGCCCTCTCTCCCGAGGCGACGAATGGGCTGCTATCCGGCTCGAATCCTTTTTTCTTTGCTTGGCCAAGAAACCAGAAGACTGGGGGGGTTCGAGCCCCCCGGCATCTTAGCATGACCGCTATTCCCGACGCCCAATATCACTCGTCTGGAGACAGACAACACGGCCCGGCTTGCGTGACACGGTGACACTGCGGCCGGTGACGCGAAAGCCACTGGGGAAAAAAATTACCCGGCGCTGGGAGAACTATCACAAAGCAAGCATCGACGAAGGAATGCGGCAGTCGCCAAGTTTTGGAGGGGAGTTTTGCCTGCTTCTCATCTGATGCATGCAGTGACTCTTAACTAATGCACCAGCCAACCTCTTATGTCGTGGATCGTTTGGCAGGCCCTTTCGAGATCCTTTGCTCTGCATGCTGCTGTGCCTGAGATGGGATCCACGGCGATGGAACACTGGGCAACATGATGCAGTGGTCTGGCCTTCAGGGTCCAAACCCTTTGGGAGCCCGCCGGCAATTTAAATGCGGCACAACCGTTCGGGTCTGACGACTGAACCGTTTCCGCAGTGCGATTTCGGTTGGAAACGGTGTGACCGTCTTGCATGAACCTGCCTGGCAGACTGTGAGCCAAAGAATGCTGGCATCACTTATCCTGCCACCAGTGTCAAAAAGAGTTACTGGTAGAACTAACAAGACGAATAGTTTGGCCTTCACCATTTAGGCGTCCTCGGTCAGTTCATGGAAAAAATCAACACAAATGTAATGGGTCAGTCGAGAGCACCTGGTAGTTCCGTAGTCAGCTTGTCTTTACCACCGTCAACGCAGTTTTTTGGCTCCCCACCTAGGTAGTAGGTAGTTATTGTTTACACAGTTCAGATCTCGCTCTCCGCGAGTTATGAGGAATGGGCCATGTTTCAATTTCAAATTTGACCGAATTCAGTTAACCAGAGCTGGGGTGGCTCTAATCCGCCCCTTGTTGCTTTGTATTTGAGATCTCTTATATTTCTGTACGTTTTATCCTAAATCTACCATTCACGATCGATTCACGCGCTGCTTATTTTTGTTCCTTAATTTGTTAACCAGCTGGAACTTGTTCGGTTGACTCCTCGCCTCGGAGAAATGGTTAAAGATACGATGCCGCTTGGTTTGGCCAAGATCCGCGTTTTGATACATGCATACCCTGATAAGATGGTTATGTAATTACTCAGAATTACACTCCACATCTGTTTCTCGAGCAACCCGTCCAGCCGCGCCCCGCGATTGTCAACACTGGCCCAAAAGTCTTATCGCACGCCGAAACCTCACCACGCAACGCGACCAGCACCAACAACCGGCAACATGGCTTACAATCAGCGAATGTCGATAATGCCGACCGCGCAACAACAGTCGCGGTCGCGCAAGAAGGAAGAGGAGGCTGCATATGCCAACATGCGCTTGCCAGACCGCGAAATCGTCGGTTGCATCAACGAGCTTGGTATCACTTTCACAATCGCCGACCTTCAAAAGCCGAATCCGATACAAGTCCAGATGATATTTGAATGGTTTGGGGAACTGCTTATGAACAAGTCACGGCAGACGGTGGACCCGGCAATGCGCGCAGCAGCCGAGGACCTCTGCGGCGATTTTGGCGACTCGCTGATGCCACCCGACACGCGGAACTTGATGGGCTTCTTCGCTTCGCTGCGCCGGCTGATGCTCGATTGCGGCGTCAACGACTTTAATTTCATGGATTTGTACAAGCCGACACACGACCGCCTCGTCAAGATCTTCAGCTACATCATCAACTTCGTGCGCTTCCGCGAGAGCCAGACGAGTGTCATCGACGAGCACTGCAACCGGGCCGAGAACGCCAAGTCGCGCATCGAGCAACTATACGCCGAGAACCAGAACATGGAGGCCCAGCTGGACGAGATGCGCGCCAACAGGAGGCAGATGGAGGCACTGGTGACAGAGAAGACGCGGCGGAATGAGGACTTGAAGAAGCGGTTGCTGGAGCTGCGGCGGAATCAAGAGAGGGTAGCGTCACGATTGGAAGAAGCCAAGACCAAAAAGGGAGAACTCGCCGTGGAGTTAGAAGAGAAGACAGCCACCAAGTTGGCGCTGAAGCAGGACAGTGCCAAGCTCCGGCCGTACACCCTCCAGAGCCCTTCAGCGCTGCAGTCGAGCCTCACGGAGCTGAGCAACACGCTTAATAACGACAAATCGCACATCGACTCGCTCGACCGCCGCGCACGGGCTCTGCAGACGTCAACTGACTCATTTGCAGTGGTATGCGGCGACGTGGCGTCCTGTATCAAACTGCTAGAAGAAATCGCGGTGGAACTCGCCAAAGAGGAGGAAGACAACGCCAAGAACACGAAGCAGCGGGATGCGCTTACGGAGCGTGGCGCGAACGTGCGCGAGGTGGAACGGACCGAGGGCCTCCTGCAGCGACAATTGTCCAAGTGGATGGAGCGGACCGAGACGCTACGGGCGCAGAGCCAGGAGAAGGCACAACGGGCCAAGGAGAAGATGGAGGAGCTGCGTGCGGTGCACAAGAAGTTGACCGAGGAGCGGTCCGAGAAGGGCAAGGATATTGAGCGGAGGAGGGTTAGGATCGAGCAGATCGAGAAGAAGGTACGTTACCCCCCCGCGAATGATGGCGTTGGAGTCTGTTAACAGGTTGTCAGATGCTGGATCTTAAAGAGAACATTGAGAACGAGGTGCATGCTGCACACGACGAATACCTCAAGATGGAGGCCCACATCAAGCTGTACATGACGGAGATGGAGCAGGCCCTTTGAGCCCTCCGGTTCCCGATCATGTTTGTATAATGTCGTAATGAGGTTGGGTAGGTGGGCGGCTCTTGGGGTTCTCGGAACAGGATACCACGGGATAGGACGGCGCTGGCGTTTGGTTGGGATTGGAAACGTTTGTCACATACAAACAAATACACTGCACGAGATACTGACACGCTTGTCACCACAAGAGCAGGTCTCACATCTTCATCAATCAACCCTCCCGCGCATTTCTGTCTTGCACCACATCCACCCCTTCGCTCGCCGCCCACTCCCCCTCCCGAAACCGAAACCACCTCCCCAACACCCTCCCCACATCCACCCTCTTCCCAACCCACCCGCTCCCCTCCAACTCCGCACCAGCCCTCCTCCCGCCCCCGCTCAAAACGGGCACCCCCTCCGCCAACACCTCCCCCATCGTCATCCTCCTCCCCATCCCCATCCCCAGCCCCAACCCTTCCTCCCCCTCAGCCGACCCCACCGGCCGTGGACCCGACGACAACACCCCCTCGACAACCACAACCCCCACCCCGGCCCTCTTCCCCGCCTCCACAAGCCCCGCGCTGCTCGCCCCGAGCCCCTGCACGCTCCACTCGCTGCTGCCGCGGTGCAGCGCCAGGAAGCCGTACACCACCAGCTGCGGTGGAAACTGGTCGTTGCCTGCTTTTCCGTTGGGGTGTGGTGGTTGTGGTGGTGGTGGTGCTGGTGGTGGGTGCGGGGGTTTGTTGTGTTTGTTTCTTGTGGATGGGGAGGGCAAGGAAGCGGTGGTGGACGGGTGAGAGGAGAAAACGGACAGGAAGGCGCGCAGGTGTGTTACCGTCGGCACGAACACCGTGCGTATGCCCCGCGTGGTGGCGAGTTGTGCGAGGGAGGGGGTAAGGAGGGGGTGTGGTTTGTTTTGTTGCTGATGGTGGTGGTGGTGCTGCTGCTGGCCTGGCTTTGGGTCGGGTTGTGGGTGATCGGTTGGCGGTGGTTGTGGTGGTGGTGGTGGTGGTGGGTTGGAGTGAGACGGATCTGTTGTGGCTTGCTGAGTGGTGGTGGGGGCATCCAATGGTCTATCTGCGGGGAGTGGTTGGGGTTGTTGCTGTTGGTGGAAGAGGTCCTGTGTGAGGGAAGACAGGAACTCGGCTCGGTCAGTGCAAATGATTAGGGTCGTTGGGTAGGTGCAGCGGTTGATGATGAACTGCAGGAGGTCGGACGGCAGAGCTGGAGAAAGGAAGAGGGGTTCCATGTGGTGCGTGTTGTGTAAGTTGAGAAGTATTGGGACAGGTCGTACTCTTTTCAACAGTGCTGTGTCCCTCATGCAGTTGTATCACTTGGTACACAATTGACACAACGACCCCCTGCTTAATTGTTTGCATCCGAGCTCCAGACCGGCCCCGATCGATTGCGGAGGGTGCCTCTTGCGGACCGACCCGCGCTGCTCCCGATCTTGGCCCACATACCCCGATTTATCGTTAAAGGGGTTTAGCTGCATACCCCACCATGGAACTCCTGGGCCGCTCACGTCACTGCCCCAAGCCACTGTCAATCAATCCCCAAAACCAACACTAACAGTGACCTGAGCTCAAAGCTCCCGACGGAGCAACACCACCACCCCGACATGGAGTCAATAGCGAGGATCTCGACGTTGCTCGAGAATGGTGTGTTTCGAAGCTATGTTAGAATATGCCGCCAGCACTGACTCGTCCCTACAGCCCGAGAACTCACCCTCGACGCTGCCTCGGCCGCCCGAAGCTCGCGGAGCGCATCCCGACCCCTCGACCGCACCCAGGTTAAGAAGCTGTTAGATAGTCGCAATGAGCGCGAGGTTCTTGACGGACTACGGCGTGTCACTTCGGTGCGCTGCCACCCTGCCGACCTCACCACAACAGCTTGTCAGCTAACTGATGCCTGGTCAGATGATGTACCGCGGCCAGAAAACACTCCCTCTATTCTCGTCCGTCGTCAAGAATGTCGCGTCCCCGAATCTCGAGATTAAAAAGCTGGTTTACATCTACCTCATCCACCATGCCGAACAGGAGCCCGATCTCGCCCTCCTATCCATCAACACCATCCAGAAATCGCTGTCAGATACGAACCCCCAGGTGCGGGCGCTGGCCCTGCGCACCATGTCGGGCATCCGGGTGCCGGTTATCAGCCAGATCGTGTCACTGGCTATCCGGAAGGGAGCCGGGGACATGAGCCCATATGTTAGACGCGCCGCAGCGTTGGCCATTCCGAAGTGCTACCGACTCGACCCCTCACAACTACCCCAGCTTCTGGAATACCTCTCGACCCTGCTCGGCGACAAACAATACTATGTGGCTGGTGCGGCAGTGACGGCATTCATGACCATCTGTCCTGAGCGGATAGACTTGATACACAAACATTACCGGAGCTTGGTCAAGATGGTGGTGGATATGGACGAGTGGAGCCAGCTGTCGACACTGCGGTTAATGACCGTTTATGCGCGGAAGTGCTTTCCGAGGAGGACGAAGCCCGTCAAGCGTAAGGAGAGGGCAGCCGACCTTCAGGACTTTTACGGCGAAAGGTCGGAGGACAGCTCGGAGGCTGAACAGGTGGCGGTCCTCGACTCCGACCTCGAGCTCCTCCTGAATAGCATCAAGCCCCTCTTGCAGTCTCGCAACTCTGGTGTTGTGGTGGCCGTCGCAAGGTGCTACTCTGCCATCGGCACACCAGAGTACACCAAGTCGGCCATAGGGCCCTTGGTAGCGCTACTCCGTGGCGCCCAGGACATCCAACAAGTCGCCCTATTCAACATCGTCTCAATTTGCCTCAGTTGCCCAGCGGACTTTGTCAAGTACGCCACTCATTTTCTGGTCCGCGCAACGGACACACAGCAAGTGTGGGAACTCAAGCTGGAAATGCTCACGCTTATCTTCCCCCACGCACCGACACACGTCAAGAGCCTCATCCTCAACGAGTTGGAGCACTTCAGCCGTGGCTCCGACAAGCTGCTCGTCAGGGAGGCCGTAAGAGCGATTGGGCGGTGCGCTCAAAGGGATACCGCCACCGCACCTCGCTGTCTACGCCTGCTCCTGGGGCAGATCACCAGTCTAGACGGCACCTTAGCAGCGGAAAGCTTAACCGTCATCCGCCACCTCATCCAACAAGACCCAACGGCGCACGTCGCAACCGTGGTCCGCCTCGCCAAGAACCTCGACTCCGCCACCGACCCTCAAGCCCGCGCAAGCATCATCTGGCTCGTCGGCGAATTTTCGGGGCTCAATGGGGAGGACAACATCGCGGCCGACGTGCTGCGCATCCTCGTCAAAGACTTCGCCTCCGAATCCGAACTCGCCAAGCGCCAAATCGTCCTGCTCGGCGCAAAAGTCTACCTACACTACCTCAACCGCAAGGTGGAAGAATCCCAAACCCAATCCAGCTCCGAGTCACAACCCCAGCCCGAATTCGACGACAACCCCTTCCAACCCCCACCCCCGACCGGCGGCGGCCCAAAGCTCCTCGAGGACGACGACCACCCGGTCGCCAAGCTCTGGCGCTACCTCCTCCTGCTCGTGCGCTACGACACCTCGTACGACCTGCGCGACCGCACCCGCCTGTACAAGTCCCTGCTGTCGGTACCGCAGCTCGCCACCCTCATGCTGCTCGCCCCCAAGCCCGCACCGCAGGCGCCCAGCCCGTCCGAGACGCGCCGCGGGTACACCCTCGGCTCGGCCGCGCTGGTTTTGGCCGGTGGTGGCGGCGTGCACGGCCTGCGCGGGTACGAGGACTTGCCGGGTTGGGTGGAGGAGGGCAGCGAGCCGGATGCGCGGTTGCGGGAGGTGGAGGGTGGGGCGGAGCGGTATGGCGAGAAGAGGGTTGTTCCAGCGGCTGAGGGGCTCGATGCGGCTGCGGGAGTCTCGTCCATGTCCTCTGCTGGCGCGCGGGCGTCGCCTTCTGCCGGTGGTGGTGGTGGTGGTGGGGGCGTGAGGGGCCCGAAGGCGGCGAATGGGGTGGGTGAGAAGACGTTGGATGATTGGTTGGCTGAGGAGGGGAGTGAAGAAGAAGAGGAGGAGGAGGAAGAGGAGGACGAGGAGGAGTCTGGTGAGGAGGAAGAATCTGAGGAGGAGGAGGAGGGTGAAGATAGTGAGGAGGAGGAAGAGGAAGAGGAAGAGGAGGAGAGTGAAGAGGAGTCGGATGAGGATGCGAGGCTCATGCGACCTTCTTGAGGCGCTATTCTGCGGGCTTGAATAAAGACAAGTTCCGGCTTTCTGTCTCTGCTGCTGTATTTCTGGCCCTATTCTCCACCCATAGAGCAATGGGGCTCTGTGTGTCCTCAACTGCCACAGCGCAGATTCAATACCATTCGAGCACCCGTGATGGTTGCGAGGTGTTGGAGCCGACCATGACAGCCCACCTCAACAAGTTGCGCAGCATCAAGGCCCTTTGCACGAAGCTGGCCCATTGCACTGATGCCAGAACGGCTGGCGTTCCTTCAATGTTGTGGGCGAGAACCCTGGGACGATCGTCGAGGTCTTGGGGGATTGAGTCGATCGTCTGTCTGATCACATTCCCAATCTCCTGGCTCCCAATGGCAATATCCGTTCTCCGCAGTCGCGCAACCGCAAGACAAGCCCAACTGAAACAACCGTTGGAGGACGCCGCTATGAGATCCGAAATGGAGAGCGCCGTTTTAGATTCAAGATGAGCCAGTTGAGTTTGGGTGTATCTGACGATGTCGTGTTTGTTGTGGTCCTCGGCGTTGATCTCGAAACCATCATCCAAGTTCTGGAGTGGGTAGTGTCGACAACTGACGCATATGAACAACCCACGACGGCGGAGTTGGTTGAAACGTTGCAGGATCTCTTCTGCGCCTTCTCGCCCACATTCGTCCAGGGCATCAACGAACAACCAGATGGTGCGGCGTGTTAGGATGTCATCGATGGCCCAGTCCAAGAAGTTACCGAGATGATCAGAATCCCATCTCCATGTAGCCTCTGAACCATGTTTTTCATTCTGCTTGTACATGAAGGTCTCAACAAGCTGCGAGAGGGATGTCGGTTCCTGTTTGAGGATCTGGCAGAGAAGTGAGCGGTACATGCCAAGGGGACTTCGCTGGAGCTCCTCGCCACGGCTGTGGAAGAAGAATGACAGGATAAGACCATCCCCTGTCTTCTTCCGCTCGCGCTCGGCATACCGCAGTAGGGTTGATTTGCCGGATCCTGGCTTCCCCTTGATCCACATCAAATCACCCTGATCGGATAGCCATCGTTTCCACTTCCGGTGTTGAAATAGCCATTCACATGTTCCAGCTGTCGGCTTTTTTATCTCCACCGAACGATCGTTCATGGCCCCAAAGGCCAGAAAAGCAAGACATTGCTCTTCCATCGTGACGAGGGGTACGAGGGGTGGACTGTCACAATGTGTTGAGACTTGTTAGTTGTATTCTAATTTTGGTTTGGCGTTGGAGCATTCAACCTTACCCCTGAAAATATTGGGATCCGTATATAATCTGAGTACCATTCACCTGGTTCGAGATCGACCGGGGTGTTCCGATGGAGTCTGCTGTTGGTTCCATATTTCCTGAGCACGATATCTAATGAAAGTACAGATCACATTAATGCAGATGGGAAACGGGGGATGTTGGGTTGATAATGACAAGGACCAAAGAAGCTGGCGCTTAATGTCGGTTTGGGACCCAGGGATGCGAAACTCCCAGCGCTTAACTTTCAAGATATTCTGGTCCAGGCGCGACCCTTGTCGGCCGCAGTGTAACGTCTTGCCACATTAGCCTGGCGATCCTCCCACGCGCGTTGCACGGTGGTGGGGTGTCATCGGCGCCTCGCCCCTCTGTATAAGTCTTGACTGGCCATCTAAGCGCCTGGCCGAGAGAATCACGCAACGCGCCCAGGGAAGCATCAACCTGACCAAGTGGCAGTTGGATGCACTGAAGAGTCTCTGAAATAATTAAATATGGAGGGTATTCATCAACTCCCTCAGGTCTTTTCTTGTCAACAAACTCTCATCAGGCTGTGCGCTTTAACCGTCCGCCCCTTAAAGCTTCCACGATACATTCGAAACCAGACCGACCCGAGTTACCCAACTCCTGAACTCTGTCACTAGTCGCATTCCATCGATCTCATCCATTTATCACATTTATCGCCCGGCGAGAAATATGTCTGAGCTTGGGTTTCACGAATTGGCTTCCCCGCGGGACGCAAAACTCGAGTTCGTTCCCACTTCCTTCCACTAATGTCATGTTTCACGCACAACACGTTTCGTCCATGTTTTGATTTCCTTCCTGTCCCCATCATCCCAACAGCGGACTTCACTGTCGTCTTCATCATCTATTGTCATCCATGGTGTCTAACTGTTTCGTCTAGCATTGTCTTTGTCCATGGCCTGTGCGAGAACAGAATCAGCACCTGGTGTTCGGATAACGGCCTTCTCTGGCCACAGAAGCTCCTCAGCCACGACATATCGGATGCTCGGATCCTCACCTTTGGTTATGATGCCGATGTCACCAAGTTCAACCTCGACGATGAACTCGCCGATGGTAGGATCAAGACTCAAGCAGCCGATCTCTGTGAACGTCTTTCTGGGTTCCGAGCCAGGACACAATCCGCAGATCGGCCCCTAATATTTGTGGCCCACAGCCTCGGTGGCTTGGTCTGCGCGCAGGTCAGTACCTAGTCCCTCCCTCCCTTCCCCCTCTGGAACAGGAGAGCTGAACCAAATCACCCCATCCAGTTGGCCGTCAAGGGCACACTCGGGGCCGGGTCCGACAACGCCACCGTTATTGCTAGCAATACTCGCGGCATGGTCTTTCTCGGAACACCATTCCATGGCTCAGCCATAGCCCCGTTGGCCGGTGTCTTCGGTGGGGTGTATCACAGATCTCAGACCCAAAGGGTAAAAGACCTCGAACAGAAATCCGAGAAACTGCGAAGATTGGCCGAACCGTTCGCATCAGTTCTCCAGCAGCGCATGAGGAATAGGAGTGAGCTCCAGGTAGCCTTTTTTCATGAGACGAAGAAAGTGCACGGCGCGATGGTGAGTTCAGAGCGATGTTCCCCGATAACTCCCTCCGCCACCCATAAACCTTTTGCTCGCCCAACTTTGCACACCTCGGCCGCCCTTCCTACGCGCTGTTGAAGTGGATTTTATCTCTTTTTCTTCGTGGTGCTAACACTCATTCTCAAGGTTGTACCCGAGCTGGACTCCCGGATTACCGGGTTCGGTGACTTCGCCCCCATCAACGCGGACCACTTCACCATGTGCAAGTTCAACCACCCGGCCGACCCTGGATACCAGAGTGTGGTATCTGTAATCAAGAAAATGGTAGCGGATATAGACAACGGGACGAAGGACACTGTGAGCCAACCTTTCTGGAAGCCTGAAACCCCTCGTGTTCTATCTCATCTAACTATTTCTAGGGTATGAGCCACCAGTACGTCAATACTTTCCTCGGAACCATCAAGAACCAAGTGCTTGGTAAGCAAATCATCCACGGCGGTATGAACTTCGCTTGATGGCGGTGCTGGAGTGGAGTTTGTCCCATTAGGTTGTTTGTGTATGATGTTAGAAGGTTGTTTTGTACGAGAATACCCGCCCTGAATTCGAGGATTATCCATAGCTCGGATAGGCAAAGGAACGAACAACGGAGGGACTGCAATATATTACTAGGCTGAGCCTGGTCATCATGTATGGGCAGGGAAGGTATTTGAACGCTAATTTGACCCCCGAGCCTTTTACCATCGACCAAACTTCGGCCACAATCCGTCCCGTGATAGTTGAATGTCCTTCCTAGCTGCACATTTTCAACATAATAGCCCTAGAAGTGAAACCCCGGCGGTAGCTTGCGTCAGTGACGATGATGGCTATCAGCCACTAACTCGCCCATGCCCTCTTAGGATAACCCCGATCTTCCGGAAGTCGCGCCAACTTCACCCGCCGTTCCCGCCGCCCCTAATACCTCTAATTAGGCTTCTCTTCCTGTTATCTCATCCGACCCGCAACCTCCTCATGACCTCTAAGACTCGCAATTTGACTTGGAATCCACCCCCTATTTCACGCCGTGTGCAACACGTTAGCCCCCCTATCAGGCAATACCTCCATCACCCCAGCATGACGCTGCTCCACGGCCGCATAGAACGCCGTACACCCCCCGTAGTAAGTCATCGCCGCATTCACCTCCGCCCCCGCGGCCAGCCACCCGCACACGCACTCTCCTGCAGCGGACTCAAGCCACTATACTTCCCCAGCCTCCCATTCACCCTTGCCCCACACCCCAATAACACCCCCACCACACCCACACCCCCCCCCTCACACGCCGCCTGCAGCGCCGTCCGACCTATATACCACTCCACCGGCGCATGCACATCCATGATCCGCCTTCCCCTGCACCAGCAACACGTCCACCACAAAGGCATGACCCCCCGCGGCCCGCCGTTGTTGCCGCCGGGGACGTTGGCGTCGGCGCCCGCGGCGAGGAGGGCGCGTACGATGGGGAGGGCGCCGGTGGCGCTGGCGGTTTGGAGAGGGGTGCGGTCGTAGAAGCTGAGTGGTGTGGAATCGGGGTTGTGGTGGTGGTTGGAGAGGATGTACTAGGTGAGCGGGAGGTTGGATTGTTGGACTGCGTGGAGGAGGGGGGTGGGGGAGTCGGAGGGGTCGGAGGGTTGGTCTTGTTCTTCTTGTTGGTTCTCCTCGTCCATTGCTGCCGCCGCTGCGGATGGCGTGGGGCGGTTTGATGGAGGCATTTGTGTGTTTTGGGAAGGGGCGGGTGGTGGTTGGAAACAGGGGGAGGGGGAGGATGTCGGAGGATTGCCATCGGGTTGGTGCTCGACTTCTTGAAGTAACGCTGGCTCAATCTTACATGTGTTGAATAGGTAGGTGAAAGCGGATTTCTAACCACAAACTATCTAATTCTAAGGTACTGTATTGCCCGTCGACACAGGGTGCAGGTCGAGGTGTATCTCAGCGAAGGGGAAGGACGTTGACCTCTAACAGGTTGTGATTTGTGTTATATATACAAGTTAACGTGTCCCACGCTTGAAATAATGCCACACATGAGTTAAATGACCGCGGTCTCACAATTAATGAGAGCCCCCGCCGCTTGTGCCATCACCCATGCGGGATAAGCCTGCACCACTCCATCCATCATCATTTCTCCTAACGCATTCGACCATGTACTGCCCTACTTCCTTGCCTCCCTCTCAGGTGCTCTCGGGGGTTGATCCTCAGTGACATCCTCGATGCGCGGGACGCTGTCGTCTAGGCCGGCCGCCCTATGATAATGGCCGCCCTCGAGATAAAGCGGCCGGCCTTGGGCGTCGTAGATCCTGGTCTGTGTCTGCGGCGCCTCGCCCAGCTTCTGCTTGGTCGTGCGCACGCCAGACCCGTTGTTGTTAGAGTAGGACTCGCGCTTGTAGGCCCATCCTCTGGCCCCGTTCTGTCCGTTGGTGGAGCCGGACCCGACACTGACTGCCGAGACGGAGCTGGAGAAAGAAAAGTTGAACGGCATGGTTTGCGTGTTAATTTGGCTCGAGGCTTTTCAATTTACTTTGCGTCTTGGAAACTGGTTTTGATGCTCAACCCAGCTGGGTTGGAACGAGGGGCATTCTTATGTCAGTTTTCGCCACCGGTTGTCGCCACCCACGTGCCACCTCGAGGTGCTGTCAGCTTGTGTGCTTGTCCATGATAACTTGGTAATTACATCTACGAGAACCCCGAGGAATACTACGCGGTAGGAGCTATGGAGAGAACGGTGACGAACGATAGAAACTAGCCCGCCAGGACACGCCCCAATCTAAACGAAGTATTAGGCAGAGAAAATGATATTGATTCTTGGCCAGCAAAAGGAAAGTTTGGCAAGTGCCCAGTAAAGACTGTTTCTGAAAAAAGGGATTATGACCAAAGTATTCCTACTTTTCTCAAAGATGACACCAAGGTGAGCTCTCCTCCGGTGGCCCATAACAACACCCCTGGGGCCACAGAGCGCGTGATAGATTCGAGGTGGTTCTTGACGTTAATACATGCTTTGGAATGTTCGCACTTCTGCGTTCACTTTGAGCCAAATAAATGATTATTAGTGCAGGTTAAAATTACCGAAGCAAGAATGCCCGGACAACTAACTGGCAGAGAGTGAGCAGCACAACGTCATTCATTGCATTACTAGGTAGATACTCAGTCCCGTTATCGTGTCTACTGGCAGCCATTTCTCAAGCTCACAATGGGATAAGTTACCCTACTCACACCCGGAAAGGTAGTTGACAAGCAGAGGGTGCTCCTTGCAGGCAGAGTTCTCATTCCGGCCCCGGCTGATGCTCGCCAATCCACTGCTCGTCCCCCATTCTGTAGATAGTGTATTCATAGAACAATCTCCAGTACGAGCCTTTGTATTCTCCGCTGTATCTGCAAGGGGATTAGGATTAGTACATTGGACTCTAGCGATTCTCCATCTCTTGCGAGGCTGGAACAACGAACTCACTGAAAGAACGCGCTGCCGCGCGCGGTCTTGTCGACGAGGTGCGCGTCCTGCCCTACGGGTTCCCCGTTTCTGTCCATGCTCCAGAGGAGCCGCTTGTATGGAAGAACAACGACCTTGGGCTTGTTGGCGACGAACTTGCCGAGGATGGCGTCGATGATCTGGTCGATACGGTTCCGGTACAGCCAAGTCTCGGGGCCAATGCCGTCTACCGTCGGACCGCGCCAGTCCCACACCGACGGTGACGTGATGATAACGCGCGTTTGGTCCGTGGCTCGATTATATAGCCATGGGTTGAACGGGTCACCCGCGGTTTCGGGGTCCCTTTCACCACCCACGATGGCGTTGAGGACACGCTTCTGGAAGTTGATTCCTCGGGGGTCGGTGGGGAGAAAAGTAACGGGATCAAAATCGTCGACCTTGCCGCCCATCGCGGACACTTCCCAGTAGTGCCCTATATGAACCGCACGGTTGCTGACGATGGTGACAATGGTGCAGCCGTGCAAACCACCTGTACCGACCGTGAACTCCTCCTCCCCCCTGAATACGAATTCCCCTGAAACTGTATTCTCTTTTTTGTCTTCGATAAGGTCAAAGTAACGGCCTTTAAAATCGGAATCTTCGCCCTCGACGAGCTTGGGTAAGTACTCGTCTAGCTCACGGGCACCCCATCCCTTGTCGTCCGTCTTAAACACCCTCTTCGTCAAAGAGCCGCCGCGGAGGAGCTTATCCAGCTCGGCCCTTGAAACCCCTGCATAACTGAACGATGTGTCGTTCCATACCTGATGGCGAAGTGGCTGATCGCTCGAACCATCATGGCAGCCGCTTCTTCTCAAGGGCCCAATGTCACAGGAGCTAGAGCCGCACGTCGTTATGGTACAGAGGTAGTCGAGGCAGCCGTCACCTTCAGATTCACGGGTGGCAAAACGTAGCGAAGCAAACGGATAATCACTGCGACTGTATCAGAAGACAAAAGGGACACAGTATGAATAATGGCAAGAAACCAAAAAGAGGGGAGGGGAAGAGGGGAGGGGGAAGAGGGGGGGGGGAGAAGGGGGGGGGGGGGGGGGGGGGGGGGGTTAGGAAGTAACAAAAGTAGAACGAAAAGGTAAAGTCATAGTACATACAGAGAATTTGAGAGAGGAGGGACCAGTGCGAAACCGACATTGCTAAGTATCAGCAGTAGGAACACTTTCTGCCCCCACCGCTGGAGGAGATTGAGCGCCATTCGATGACTAGGGTAGGGTGATGATGGTCTCTCGAAAAGAGCTCGGCATATCAGCGCAAACTGGCATTGATTCTACGGGAGAGACAGGTGAGCAACATGATGGATCTCCTTTCTCTTTGAGTACCTACGTACTCGCTATCACACGTGATTAAGGCGGACTCTTGACGCCGTCGGCTCCAGCGGGACAGTATCCGCCTTTACGGAGTGAGGTGTTATCCGTATTCTGACTATTCAGGGACACGTACTACACCAGGCGTGGACAGGGGTCGCACTATAGGTTCCCTGCGTTACCCTACAAGGTTCTGGGCCTGAGATGCATTGTGTACGTGGACTTTACCCTTGGCTTGTTATGTTACTAGCTCCAGACTTCAGACAGGAATAGTCGAGTGAAAAAGCCACAAGTGACTGGGCCGTCCCCGGTACCTTTTGTATGTGATACATGGGTCCGTTTACATTTGGCGCTGGCAAGGCTCAGTCTCCGTTGCTGGGCTGCCAGATAGCCGCACTCCGGTTCCGCGGTCGGGTACTTCAGGGGCGTGGTTTTGCTATACCACGAACCGCTTTATAGATAGAGCTGCTCATCAGTTCCAATCCTTCCCCCGTTGCCAACATCACCACGGCTAGATAGTCTGCTTTCTCTGGTCACGATGCTGATCTTCTCGCTGTTACCCTTGGCACTGATGGCGCTGGAGCCTTTGCAACGAGCCCATGCAAAAGCCGTTTTTGCCCACTTTATGGTACTTATCTGGCAACCCTTCTTCCTCGTCCTAAACATTCTACTGCGTCCTAACAAGGCAACAGGTTTCAAACGCGGAAAACTACACGCTTCAGCAATGGGAAGATGACATCCTCATGGCCAAAGCGGCACATATCGACGCCTTCGCGCTGAATATGGCGTTCGATGAGCTCACGAATAGCGTTGCTATTGCTCACGCCTACGCGGCCGCCGACAACGTCGGCGGTTTCAAGCTTTTTTTCTCTTTCGACTACGCCGGCAACGGCCCTTGGTCTAAATCCCTCGTTATGTCCACCATTCTCAATTACAAGGACCGTGGAGCCCAGTATCGGCACAACGGACAGCCGCTCGTCTCGACCTTCGAGGGGCCCGAGCGGGCGGAGGACTGGTACGACATCAAAGAGGTCACCGGTTGCTTCTTCGTCCCTGACTGGTCTTCTCTAGGAGCTAAGGCAGCCATAGAGGCCGGGGGTGGCGTAGCGGACGGCTTGTTCTCCTGGGCGGCGTGGCCCTGGGGCCCTCAGAACATGGACACATACGTGGATGCCTCGTATTTGCAGTACTTGGATGGCAGGCCGTACATGATGCCGGTCTCTCCATGGTTCTATACGAACCTCCCCGAGTGGAAAAAGAATTGGTTGTGGAGGGGCGACAACCTCTGGTACGATCGGTGGCAGGAGGTTTTGACCATTCAGCCAGAGTGGGTGCAGATCATTAGCTGGAATGATTATGGTATGTATCTGCCTTCTCTAATGTCCCTAGTGTTGAACGAGTCGGTGATATCTCTAACATTGCTACAGGAGAGTCTCATTATATCGGTCCTATTAGACACGAGGCACTGGGTGCTATGCGAAGTGCGCCTTTCAACTTTGTCGAGGACATGCCACACGATGCATGGCGCACTTTCCTCCCGACCGCCATTGACTTGTACACTAAGAATTCCACCATCCTTTCAAAGGAGGGCGTCATATTCTGGTATCGACCGAATCTTGGATCGACATGTAGTAAGTCTCTTTGGAGAATCCTACCCCTGATTACCCCTGATTACCCCCTGAATACCCATAACCACCCCGTGCGGTCGCCCGCTCACCTCCCTCTCTGCACAGATGACGGATCTACCACCGGAAACACTGCTTCGCAGCTGCAACTCGAATTCTACCCTACTCAGGTCATGGGGGATGCCGTGTTTTACACGGCCCAACTCGCTTCGACCGCCGACGTTACCGTGAGCATCGGTGGAGTGTCCATCACAGGGACTTGGAGCGACGTACCCGCTGGAGGCGCTGGTCTCTACCACGGAAATGCCACCTTCGAGAGGCACATGGGTGACGTCGTGGTTACGCTCTCGCGTCACGGCAACCGGATCGCTTCCGCGAGCGGAACCCCCATTACATCGAGCTGTAACTGGAACGCTTGGGTCGGTCAGGCGCTTTCAGGCAGCCCCGTCAGCAAGGCGCTTTCCACGAAGAATACCGTTTGCATTCGAGGTACGGGAGCCAACGACTTTGCTCCTCTATGCGAGTTCTCTTGCAAGTACGGCTACTGTCCCATCGGAGCTTGTACCTGCCTTGCCAGCGGCCCTCAGCAGGAAAAGCCCGAACTGACAGGCGTTATTGCCTACCCCGTGGCTGGTAAAAGCGCCGATTATTCAGGGCTCTGTGCCTTCAACTGCAACCTCGGGAAGATTGGGGATCCTGGGTGCCCTTCCGACGTCTGCGGAACGGTGGAAGTGCCCCTGGTCATCCCAGACGTCTCCCCCTTTGCACCCCCAGCATGCAGAAGCGGGGTGGGGAGTCCGGGTTGGGAGGGCTTGTGTTCGTTTGCATGCAACTTTGGTTATTGTCCCTCCCAAATCTGCACTTGTACAGCCACTGGCTCCCTGAACGCTGCGCCCCCCGTCACCCGAGATACCGAGGGGTTTGCGCTCCAACCCGACGTCAACGATTATGGCATCTGCGACTTTTCCTGCAAGAGGGGGGTATTGCCCGGCCGGGTCTTGCAACCGGAAACCCAAGTCCGGGAGCGGTGAGCTAGCATACATAGACGGCGATATCTGGAAGAACGCTGACCCTGTTCCGGTCATCGGCTGCTCGCCGCCTTGCGTCCTCGTATTACCGCCATACGAGGTCCCAACAACCACCATAACATGTGCGCCAACGACTATGACGATAATTCTGAACTGGGAGACCCGTTCCACTGTGACCACAGTCACAACCATCAGCTTCCCGCCGATTGTGACGGACCGGATTCCCGTTTTCAACATCAACATTACGCAAGCCGCTGTCGAAAGCGCGACCTACCGTGTCACCCCCTCCCTCTTCTTCGTAGCCACCGTCACCGTCAACCCCCCGACAAGCGTAACAATTCCGCCATACAGCTCCAGTGAGCTGACGTACTATGTCACCTCGACGCCGCCGGCGACCGAGACTTGGCCACCAAACATCACGGGCAAGACCAAGGTCAGCTTCACGAGCACGGATGCAACCATGCCTACTTGCGCAGCCGGCTGCGGTGAAGAATGCCGAGGCGAACACTGCAACGACTGCAACCAAAACAGATGCTCCTGCGCGGGGTGTTGCAAAAGCTGCATCAATGACGACGACGATGACGACGACGATGACGACGACGATGACGACGACGATGACGACGACGATGACGATGACGACGATGATGGCAGTGGTCCAGGACTGATTTGGCCGCTCCCCAAGCTCCCCATTCCCTGCTTAGGTTGGACTTGCCCCCCCGGATCGTCACCCCCGAAGGGTGGAGGTGGAGGCAACGGGGACCCCAACGACCCCGGGTGCTCAACCCGATCACAGGCCACACACACGACCGTGTATTGCAAATTTACATCCAGTTCCCCCTTGTGGACCAGAACATCGACATGCACGTCCACCAGACACTCCACCATCAGCGGTTGCGGTCTCCGGCCCACCACCACGACGCGGTACACCTCTTCCCATTGCCGGACATACCCCGCCTACACACCCGTCTGGAACGACTACACGGCAGCGCTCCCAGGGCCGGGGAATCCGTTATGGGGAGGGTACGTGGTAACACACGGGACGTACGAGACCTTCTCGACACCACGAACCAGCACGTCGGTGCCACCGAAGCCAACACCAGAGGGCCCGATCCCCGTCGGCACGGAGGGCATGGCCGCCTCGTACGGCATTTGGTACTGGAAACAAGGCGACAGCCAGCACCTGTACGGGTATGACAACTCTCTCCCCATCAGACCAGCGAACTGCGACCCAAGAGGCGGGGGATGGTCGTACCAGTGGGAGACCAGCGTGTCGAACAACCGAATACCAGATTCCTTGACCGGAGTCAAGGTATACGGAGACTCGAGCTGCAGGTTCACCAAGAGCGACATGAAGCTCCGCTGCGAGCACTGGGCCACTGCGACCTGCGTGGACTGGAAGGCACCCGAGGGACCTGCGGGTGAGTGCTGTGGAAATGACTGTTCGGATTATTACAAGGCGTTTCTTGGATGTAAATGGAATTATTGATTATTGGGAAGATTTATTAGGTAGGTAGTCGAAGGGGGGGGTCCTCCCAGCCTTGCAGCACAAGAAGTCGTTGAACTGTGCCTCGGTACAAATCGTAGGCTCGCTCACCCGTTGTTGCCTCCTCGTGTCCTTGCGGATAGCGGATACGAAGCCACAAAACTTGGAGCCGCCGTGATGTTCCTTGCGCAATGCACAAAATATGTTGTTGAGCTGCGTCTTGATCGAAGTCTTATGTTCGGCGGAGAGGTCTGACCACACAGATTCGAGTCCAGTAATACCAGCCGCTCGTGACATAAAGTGATAGGTTCTCCGCCCGGCTTTCAAACAGCCCAAGAACGACGGCGCTGGGACCTCCGGAACGTGTGCGTGGATGTAGCGCAAGTTTGCCACCTCGTCGAGATCGAGCGATGTCCCAATCTTGACAACCACGGATACGCTAAGTCCTAACACTATAGTCCCGTGCAGCCTCCATAGCACTTCCGCGTTCCCAATCGCCTGATTGATCTGCGCGGCCAGCTCGGGTGTATTTCGAGAGTCCGTAAGACCGAGTAGGGCAATGAGCTTTTGGTCAAGAGCATGGCTGATCTCAACGGCGCCCTCGATGAGGAAGGGGTACGGGCAGCTCTGCATTCGGGGGGCTGGCTTTCCTAGCGCCATGTTCCGGCCCGCTGTTGCGGCCACCGTCGCCATCGCTGTCGCTATTGCTGTCTTGTGCTGTTGCTTTCTCCAGCGCGGCTTGCTCAAGGCGGCGGCGAAGCTGCGGATACGCGTCCGCCTGTTGCTTCAAGACCTGGGCCAGATCGGCCGCCGGATTGGCCTTAAGTCTTGACGCCAACCTATTGAGGGTGCTCGTATTGGCCAACCTACGGGCAGTACGCCTATGAAGTAATTAAGGGGGTTGATCTTTCGCTCCCCAGCTTTCTCTTGTCCTGTTTTCCAGTAAAAAAATAAAAAAATACTGTGCACCACGAACTCCTGCCAAGGCCCCACGGAGTTTGTTTGCACCACATCGCACCCGTTAAGTATCCGCTGCCCAAACATTGATTCTCCGTCCTCGAAAATTACTCGTCCCTCGAAACCACCCACCCCAGATCCCCACAGAAGAAACAACTTAACAAGCATGGCGGCTCAAACGCTCACCACTCTCCCGACCGAGATCCTCGTCCGCATCTGCAGCCTTCTTTACGAATCGCACATTCTCAGTCTCGAGGCGTTCTCCTTAGGGAATAAGCGCTGCTTCACAATCGCTGCGACCGTTCTTGCCCACACCATCACGTTTAGAATCAACACGCCTACCCAACTTTCTGAAGATGTCGACAAATGCAAGCAGTTACTTGGGCGGCACCAGCCGGGTTTGTTTCAACACGTCCGGCGCCTCGTCATTTTCGGCCGTATGGACAGCCCGTATTGCGCCACGGGCTACGGCGGCGCAAACCCCAATTGGGAGGACCAAAGATATCATGACGACTCGGAAGACGAGTATGACGAAGGCGAGCTTCACCCCGACGACGAGGACGAGCCCATTGCGCGGAAGGAAAAGCGCAAACAGATAACCTTTCATTTTTCATTGCCGACAACGGATGACTGGGATGTCATGCATACCCAACTCCACGATTTTCACTTCGAGTCGGCGCACGGCCGTGGTGCGATACCCTTGAGGCAGCGCCAGAATAATGGCTACGATGGCGACCCTGACGAAGCACCTGCCAGCGCGGCCTACGACACCGATCACCACTGGCTACCTCTCGCAGACCTCATCCCCCGGCTTCCCGGGTTGGTTGACGTGGTCTACCGCTGCCCCTCGCAGTTTCCGCCTTGCCTCCTCAAGGCGATGCACGCCAGTGAGAAACCGGCACGGCTGCATTTGCAGATGTTCAAGTTACGAAGTGCCTACGACGACTCGCCTACCATCGACCCATACGAGCTGGAAATTATCACCTCCTCCTGTCTCTACAGCATCTGGCCCCAGTACAGGATAGACGTGGCCGAGAATGGGGAGCAGGCTCCCTCCCGGCAGCTCGACGCTGTCATGTGGATGCTCCAGCAAGCATCGGCCTCACTCCACCTCAGAGAAGCCAACGTGGCTGGTAGCTACCTTGCTGAGAAGGGCACTATGCGGTCACTTCCGGGTGGTCTAATATCAGGCTTTTCCAACGATTTTCGGGGTCCTGTCGGGCCCTGGAACCGGGCCACGTTTTTCCACCAGGAGCAAAAAGAAGCCGTACGTGCATCTGCCCTTGGCAAAGGCCATCTGACACACCTCAGATTCGACTCGGGCGTATGCAGCACTCCTCATGAATCCATATTTGGGTGTGGTGATTGCAGCTGGATTGAGAAGTGGGATAACCTAACCGATTTCTCGATGCTGCGCACTCTAGCTCTGGTACAACCCCTGTCCCAAGTGCAAGTTCTTCTACTGCGAGCAACATGTCTTCCGGGGCTTACAGCACTTTCGCTGACCTGCGAGCTGCCCTCGTCTACAGAGGGAGAGACGACCACGACCCGCTCACAGCCTGACTATTTCCAGACCATCGCCGCCTTCCTGTCCGGGCTCCCTTCTTTGACCGTACTCCAGGTCACCGCGTGGGACCATGCCCGACATACGTTTTCGTTTCACAACTCGAGACTCGAGAAATTGTCGCTGGTACCAGTAGAGGGCCGGCCGTATCGGTTCGCCTGCGATCTACAAAACTTCTTGACTCTTGAAGGGCTGGCAGCGCTCGTCTCGTCTTTCCCGTGTCTCACCGACCTGTCCATCCCGGTCAAGAGATCGAGGGGCAGCAGTGCCGAGGTCGCGTTGTACCGGTACATCGGCGAGCATATGCCCAGCCTCCGCCGGCTGTCGTTGAGGCTCGACTGCAGCCCTCCTCGTTCCATCGTCACCGATCAAAGCGACCACGACACGCCCTTTCTCGAGCCTTACCCTTCCGACCCACGCTGGCCAGCAGTGGGCGCCGCTTTGAATAGGGACAAAGACGAGTACGCCCACAGCGATTGCAGGGTGAACCGCTACCGCAACGGGCATATTTACGACATATTTATCAACGCCGCCCTGGACGCGTCCCTTGCTCGGAAAATCTTCACTGCCGTGGGAGGGAACCTCGAGACATTGCTGGTGCAAACATACGGCGGCCTTAACTTCTCGCAACTCGGGCCGCCACCACGATTTGGTATGCCCAGAGGTGTTAAACCGGCCGGAGATTTATTCATCCCTTTTCTGTACGGGATTGGAAAGCAGTGGATGGTGGAACAGATGAACAACAAGCTGGCTGTCAAGGAAATGGACCACAAAATACACCCGAAATCCATGTATGGTTCCTCGCGAGTCAGATCCAAACATAGCAAATATGCGGCTCTGTTGCGGTGCTTTAGGCGCGTGTGGCCTGACGAAAAGGAAGGAAGCAAAGGGTGGCATGAGGATTGGGAGAGCTGGGGGCTTGAGACGGAGTGAACCATGAGGGGCGGAGTGAAGCACGAGGGACGTCGTGTCAATGTCAAATGTCATGTATGTTTTTGGCCTTTTCATCTTCATCTTGTCTTCCGTCTTCCTCCAACACAACTGTAGTTAAAACCCTACAGTGCTCTAAAAAGTCAACCAAACCTCCCCACATCACGCCGCAATTTGAGCCAACATGGCTGCCAGCCGCCTCTCATACTCCAAGACATCCCCTGGGATGGGGGCCGTCGACAGACACATCCTCGTAACCTCTGCATAAACCGACCCAGTAATACTGTTCCCAGTTAGCCATCCGCTGATCTCTTGTCATACAACCAGGAGGGGAGAGCAAGAGCAAAATATCAAACCAAAGCCAAAAAAAAAAAAAAAAAGTAAAAAAGAACACTCACACATCCAACCCCCTCGCCGCCCTCCTCACCGTCTCCACATCCATCCACACCCCCTCCTCCCCAACCCCCCCACCCCCAATAACACCACCGGCACCAACAACCGGCGCCCTCCCCGCCACCTCCCCGCCACCAACCCGATCCAGCGTCTCCCACAACCCCAACTCCAGCAGAACACACCCCACCCCATACAGATCATACACTCGCGAAAATCCCCCCCTTCCCAAACTCCCGCGCCGCCCCGCCATGGTGTTTAGCCGATACTCCGGATGCGCGTAGCAATCGAGCAGCACCTCGCGCGGTTCGGGCTGGGGGGGAGGGCGGTGCGGTTTCTTGAGGATGGGTTTGAGGCCTTCGGGTTGGGTCCAGGTTGGGGTGGGCGGGGGTGGGGGGGTGTGGGCGGTGCAGAGGGGCGCGTTGTGGAAGCCGGTTAGGAGGGGGGTGCTGTAGTCGAGGGTGGTGGGGTCTGGGTCGGGGTCGGTGTTGGGGTCATTGCTGGTTGGGGGGAGGGTGGAGGGGAAGAGGAGGATTGTGTCGGGGCGGATTGTTCTGTTTGGAGAGGGGGGGGGTTAGTGTTTGTTTGGAGGGGGGGGGTTGGAGGGTGGAGGGGGGAGAGGAAAAACGGGGTGGAGAGAAAAAGGGGAAAAGGGGTGGAGGGGAAAAGGGGAAAAGGGGCGGAGGGGACCACGTACCCGTGGGTGAACCTGGCGGTGTGCATCAGGTAGACGGCGTCGAGGAGCCGCTTGGCGAGTTGGAAGCGGATTCCCAGGTCGATGCCCTTGGGCTCGCGCTCGAGGATGAGCTGCCGCAGGTTGGTGGGCATCCGCTGCGCGGCGATGGTCTTGGGCGAGCGCACAACTCGCCCGCCGGGGTGGCCGGGTCTGCCGAGGACGGGCTTCGTGGGCAGGTTTCCGCGGATATGTGGCGGCAGCTGGAAGACGATCCCGATGGTTCCCGGATTCGACTCGTCGAAGATGATCCCGATGGTGGCTGGTAGGAAAAGCTTCTCGGGCTTCACGGCGTGCAAGATGTACCAGGTCACCTTGGTCTCGTCCAGCGCTTCCAGGATGGCGTCGGTGGTGCTGGGGGCTCCCCTTCCGACACTCACCCATTCGACAAGCACCAGCCGGGACTGATACTTGGTAGGGTAGTCGAAAAGGCGAGCCAGGGTGGCGTGCTTGTTGAGGTAGTAGGGGGCGTCGAAAGAGAAGTCGTCGAGGCGGAAGATCTTCTTGCCCGACATGTTGGCATCTGCGACCTGGATGGCCATGCCGAAGTTTACAAACTTTGCGATATCATCATAGCTTTCTCTTTCTCCAAGGTCGATCGACTGCTTTGCCTCGTAACTTGCCGCCTCTTCCAACCGCTTCGTACGGTCCGTATCTCTCCCGACGTCCTTGACGGCCAGCTGGAAAACCAGTCGCTGGACGACATCTCTCGTGTCCGGTGCGGTGAACAGCTGCAGGTTCCGATTAAACTCCTTCATTCGCTCTATCAGCTCCTCCATCTCGGAGCTCCCGCCCCAGAGGGTGAAGCGAATGCTCTGGAGAAGTCCCAGGAGCCGGAGTCGGTACTCTTCGAATTTCCCCAGGTCTTTTGAAGAGAAACGGCTGTCGATGGTATAGAGATAATCCGAGATATTGTTCATCTCGATAGCGATATCGTCGGCTCTTTGCAGAGAGCCGAGCTTTTCAACCACAATACCGTATCTTGACTTGAGCTTTTCTGGGTTTGTGAGCGTCTGGAGTAGGAGCACCAGCTGCTGGAGTATTCCCCAAGCCAAAAGTGGTCTTGCTCCAGCAAATCCCTGAAGCTCTTGCTCGGGTAGTCCATGAGGATCTACCCACGTCTCTTCCCAAGCTTGCGTGATCTAAAATGCAGATGTGAGCACTGGTGGGGAGCGAGAGAGGCGAGGCTGTGAACAATAAACGTACCGTCCTTTGGAGTTCGATCCTCCCAAGATAGAAGCGCGACTTTCTGTCAGCAAGGAATACGTCTCTAAGAAGCACAAAACCCTCTGCCGGTAGGATAATGCATTAGTCTCAGGGGGCAATATCATATGTGTCGATTCTTACCGTTCACCACGGGAAGAAGGCCCGCAATAGCTGCCGCGATTGATCCGCGGTCACTCAAAACAGCAACAGGGTTAATAGGGGCGATAGGAACTAAAGCCAGTTCAGTGTTGCTACGCCGGTTATGCATTTTGATCTGCTGAAGAAGGGTAGAACGCGTATTTTCTGCGTGGAATCGATACAAATGGGACGATGAGAATCAAGGGCAATAGTTGAGGAGGCTCGGAGCCTTTTATAATTCTTAAGCGCCATCATGCAGTTATGTGGCCCAGGGGCCCGGCAGCTTGTGTTGGGTCTTTTACTGTCTCATTCGAGCGGGGGTGGTGCATTTCATTCCGGACCAGACCGTAACCCAACTCACTCTTCCGCCCCCGCCCATCCAGGCACACAACGGGGTTCCAAAGCACCTGGCTGGAATGGACTGTGTAAAGCAAGCAGGTACTATACCTGGAGTTATGAGGGTTGGAAACTCGGAACCTCTTGTCTCACCTATATTATTCATAATAGAAACTGACCGAGGGACGGGCTGTTACCGAAGGAAATCACTGCAGGGTGAAGATGCATGCACGTCTCTTGCACACACGGGAGCCAACAAGAAGAGCTAGTCTCTTCGCTGCCTAGTCGGGCACCACCTTGACCAGTCGAATTTGCTGATGCCGGGTGGAACACATGCAAGTCAGCCCATCAAGCCAACAAGTTGTGGAACCAGTGGGAATGTGACCTTAATCAAGAAGCACGCGATCGAATAGGGGAAAGTTAGAATTCTCTAAATTTACATATCAGGCTAAGAATACGTGGAAAATGACTTGTCTTTTTAGTTATTGATACAATGATATAGGGAGATGATAACATGTCTAGCGTTAATTATATGATTTATATCAGAGCAGCTACATTGGCAGCACCACGTTCCCGACGTGTATGTTGCTGTTTTCCTTGGTAACTTTTGAAACTTCCCTTCCAAACTCACAATTAGATAGAAACAGACCTTCCCTCCAGCTTCTTCCTCTTCTCCTCAGCCTCAGCGAGGTGCATCGCCCGATAATTCGGATAAACCGTATGATCCGACTCCCTCCTTGTAAACTTATTCTTCTTCGGCGTCCAGCCAGCGTACGGCGGGCCAGAGTTGTATACAACCCCTATATTACGACCTCGCCCGGCCAGCTTCTTCACCGACTCGGGCCACGACGCCGGGGAGGTGGCGCCTTCAAGGCGGTCCTCCACCACCACACCGCCGCCCTCAAACATCTTCATCTCCCCGCCGCTCTTCACAACCCCGACAACTCGAATCTCCGACCCCGACTCCGAGTTCGACCCCGAACCGAAGCTCCCGCAAGACGAGACGGACGAGAGCGAGTCCGAGCGCCGGAGGGACGGCAGCGACTCGGGCGACGAGCAGATGGACCGCTTGGCCCACCGGCCGTGCAGCTGGCGGGGCAGGGACTGCTGCTCGGGGCCACTCACCGCCGAGAAGGTCGAGGAGGACGACGAGGTGCTCCAGGACGAGCCGCCGCCCGAAGACTGGTGGCTCATGGTGGTGATCTCGCGGCGGAGGACCGTCCCGTCGCCCTCGACCGTCTCCAGTCGGCGCTCGATCACGGGGGTAGTGCGGGTAGGTCTTCTGCGGGTGGAGCGCGCCCTCGCCCGGCCCGTTGCGGATCTGCACTGTCTCGACTTCTACTGTCATGGCCAGCTTGGCTACCTTGTTGTAGGGCGGCGGCGGCTGGCGTCTGGGGACGAACATGTTGTAGAGGTCGCTTGCTAGTGACATGGTGGTTTGTGGTTTCTGCTGTCAGTAGCAGTGCAGGCTTGAGGCTGAGGTTGATGGAGAATGGGATCAGAGACGGCGATAACGGTGCATAACAAGGGGTCGGGGATTAAATACACCGCTAGGAGTGCCGTCGCTGCAAACACCCAATCTACATGTTCCGAAGAAAAGGGGACCGAGGTGAGGAGGTCCGCGGTAGCTGTTGATCACTTTAAATGTACCATGAACATTGGGGATGCTTGATATTGATGTTTTGTCGGGCCAAGACCGAACAAGGTATTGTTCATACCTTTTACGATTCTGCCCAAGCAGACCGAATAACTTTAAACAAAGGCCTTTTGGGGCGGGTCAATATCGCAACTCTCCACGCCTTCTCCCTCCTTTGTTCCGGTCCAAAATCTATGCAGTCCAACACAGCGCCAACCCACCGAAAAGCGTAGCCCCGTGCTGTCAACCGGAGAGGGCGCAAATGTAACAACCATGAACTCCAGAACCTGCCCGGAACGCCTGTATAGTGCTGGATCTCGATATGCTGTAGACACCATATCCGGACATGCAGATTAAAGCAATGGAACCATAATAACTCGTGATCTCAAGCCAAAAGGCCACTGGGCCCGCGAGACTGGGAAGCCGTTGGTTACCAGCGCCGACTGTAGACGGTTAGAAAATGCCATTCAAAGCCAATGTCAGCAGGGAGGGGGTAGGGGGGTTACTTACCCAAAAGCCGCCGCCACCTTGACTCTCTTGATCGGCTTCTTGGGCACAGGTTTGGATTCCGGTTCACTCGAGTCCCGAACGAGACCTAGAAGACCGGCCTCGAGGTCATCAAGAGGGGACTCGCTGCGGCTGCGGGCGCTTCTGCTCGGGGTTGTGGCTCGGCTACGGCTCCGGTACCGGCCACGACTGCGGCTTCGGCTTCGAGACGGCGACCTGCGCTTCCGATACGACCGGTCCGAGCTCCGACGCCGCTCCCGGTCATCATCGCGGTACCGTGGTGCGCTCTTATGGAGAGACTGCCCGCTGTGGTAACCGCTATCATGCCGCTTATCGGCGTAACTCATCCTCTCCTCCCGTCGAGGGGAGTGCTTAGCGTCAATGGAGGCACCGGCGTGACGACGATCATCGGAAGCCTTGCAGTTAGTCTCTCCTGCCTGCGGGGACCACGGGTCGACCTCGAGATTGAACTTTGGCGGGGATATGCTACGTGGACGTGGAGAAATGGCCCGGTTGTGGTTCTCCAGTGACCTGTTCCTTTGATGTTGAGACCACCGTCGACTCCGTTTCAGGCCCCGGTCGTCTCGGCCATTTTCCGAACCGGCATCGAATGACCGCTTTCGGCGGGAGGGTTCGTCCCTGTCGTCTCCGTGGAATCGATCGCGGCCTACGTCATCGTGCTGGCGGTTTCGAGGCGATTGGGTTTGGGCATGGTTACTGCGACCATCCCTCCAACTTTCGTCGACTCCGACCCTGTTCGTCGTCTTTGCTGGCCGGTCGATTCTAAACGGGGGCGGCAGCTTGATGGCTGATGACGAAGGCGGTCGTTCCGAAGGATCATAAGTGGGGAACTCATGCTCACAATCGGGAAAGCGCCGCGTCGCCATTCCCGGGTAGTGCTTGAAGACCGGGTCATCCCGAAGCGTGGGCCAAGAGGGATGCTCCCTAATGGACCGCACAAAGTCTTTCTGGTTGTCCTCATGGAAGAACTCGGATTTCACACAGGTGGCATTGTATGCTGGCGGAATTGTCGGATCGTCGCTGTACTCAACAGGGATGGGAATGCCAACAGGGTCAGCAGGGTTGGTTTTGATCTCCGGGAAAACCAGCCTTAGCTCTTCCTCTATTTGGGGATCCCACCCGGGAGCACCATTCCCTTCCTTCCCACCCGATACCTCTTCGGGGGCTGGGTTTGGCTTCTCGACGCCGTCCGTTGTTTCGTGTGGGTCGTCAACCCTTGTGTGTTGTTCGGACCGGCTGGACCGCCGTCCTCGGCGTTCATGACGAGAGCCGCCCTTTCCGTGTTTCTCGCTTGCCTGGCGGTCTTTGCCACGGTGGTGCTGCGGACGTTTGGGCCCTTGGTGCTTTTGGTGCCTGCCACGCGGAGCGCCGAGTGGGGTTTGGTTCGCTGAGAGTGGTGGCCCAGCCTGGGATGGAGCCCAGCCAGGAGGGGGGGTGTATTGGGGCTGGGGTGGGGCGTACGGCGGTGGTTGGCTTGGAGAGTAATGGAACGCACCGGGAGGGGGCGGCGGCGGTGGCGGGGGAGGAGGTTGAGGCGGATAATGAGATGAATAAGCTGCCGAAGAGGGGGCCGGCGGCGGCGGCGGCGGCGGTAATCCATATTGTTGAGGCGGATATGTGCCTGGGGGATAGGATGATGGAGGTGGGGCCGGTGGTGGAACGGCGCTAGGAGCATAGTAACCGGCCGGAGGAGGAGGATACTGTGCCGGGTAAGAAGGCTGCCCGTATGGGGATTGCTGGGCATACTGGGGCGGCGGAGGTGGGGGTGTTGGATATTGTCCGTAATGAGGCAATGGAGGGGGTGGTTGGTAGCCTCCAGGATAGGGGTTGGGGGGGTAGCCAGCCGGCGAGTACCCTTGTGGTGTAGGGGGAGGCGGTGGTCGTGTAACACCAGGAGGGAAGGGAGGTGGCGGCGACGGGCCATATGGGACGGTTGGTGGTGCTTGGTGTGGAGGCGGGGGATAGTGTGTGACAATTGGGCCTTTTCTGTCTCTGGACGGGCCACCCCGCTCATGGTTGCCATGTTCCTTATATCTTTGTAAACCTCTACCGGCTGTTAATACGTGATGAAACAAGCTAACCGTTGGCCAATCCACCCCGGCGATCGAGGAGAGGCTTGATCAAACTTACACAGGCACGTCTCGAGTAGGCTCTGGGCAAGCAAATGCCCAGTGTCCCTTGACGCCACAATTATAACAACTTGGCTCTTGCTCAGGGGCGGTCTGCCCAGGTGCCTTGGAGGTCATGGCGAGAGTGATCCGGACTGGGCCAGCACGTGCAGGACTTATCAAGTGCCGAGAAACGACGTGCGAGGGTATATATAGCGAGCGGATAGGATACGACGGGGCGCAAGAATGATTGTGAAGAGAATACCTAGCCTGGAAAGCCTGAAGGAGGCCAGTGGAGCATCAACAACCCGATGGTGGTGGGCTGAGTCCGAAGGTTGAGGTGATCGGCTTGGCTCATGGACTGACCAGGGTCGGGCTCGTAGCGAGTGATGGGCGGTCGGTCGGTTAGGATCAGCTGTCCGGCTACAGAATGTCTGTGTAATCGCAAATCTGAGGATATATTTAAGCAAAATATCCTCGATATACCAGGTCCCTGCGAACCCTGGTTCAAGCGGGCTTACCGCGGGCGTGCCGCGATTAAGGATTGGTAGACGAGGCGCGGCCCGTTCCCGGCGGCTCAGCAAAGAAAGGTCTCGAGGTCGAGGGAGCGAATGCCGACGACGGTCCAGTCGTACTTGGAATCCTCCGCTTCTGAGCCAATAGGAAAATTCTGTTCTCGCTACATGGGATTAGGGAGAATAGAGAGCAATCATCGGTCTCGCGCGTGGAATCGCTTCGCCGTGGGTTTGGCGGAAATGGAAGTGGTGATGTGGATCGGTCGGATCTCAACTGAGCCCAAAATTTGGAGGTTCAGCATGCGCTTGGGCGACCAGCCGCCACTAAAACTTGCGGGGCTGGCTGCTGCGGTCACGTGAACACAGGAGCCGCGAGCTGCCGTCATTCTCAACCCCGAGCGTCGAGGAAGTCATGTATGTATGTAGGCAGGTCTCATCAATATCATGTTTCGATGAAGCTCTGTTAGACCAGGAAGACAAGCGCCAGACACAGCAGTTACGATATGATATCAGCGACAGGACAGCAGTGAAGACTAGTCGAGCTACCAACAGCGACAAAATGCTGCGAGGGCTCTAGAGTTCAACCGTTGACATGGCTCTTCAATGCCTTTGCTTCAAGGCAACGTCCCCGGTTGGAATCCCAGGGCAGATTCATACAAGCCATGTCTAAACGGGATGTGAGAGGGGCCGGAACAGTCCCGCACGGGAGCCGGAAACTTAGGAGCAAGGTACGAGTAAGGAGACGCCGACCACGGCAACATAATGCTCCCCGACCTCCGGCCTGTCCGTTCTTCCAGGACCAAGCTGGATCAGAGTCTCCCAACCGGGTAAAGCTTGCCAGCTGCAGACTCGTGCCTCTTCGACAGAGCTGGGTCGCGAGTTGAGGGGGCTTAGGATAAGGTCCCGAGAAAGTAGGACGAGACGAAGAAACTATACGACAGGAAAACCACCGCAGCCAGACCGCAACGCCGCGATCAATGACCATGCAAAAGGGGTGAGTGAATAAGAAAGCCACCTCGGGAGGAGTAAAAAGCTGGGAAAACCTTTCGACTGCGGTATTTGGAATCGACGCGACTCTCAGGGTGCAAAAAGGTGGCGAGCGACGATTCAGTGAGGGCAACCAACAGCAGAGTAAAAAGAGCGACGGAGGGGGAGGAATGTTGAGGGAGAAAGTGGCAGGACGAGGCGGGTGGGAAACGCTCTGGTTTTGAGTCCCAGACCCTCCAGGTTGCGAGGAACCCATGTGGGGAACTCATCAAAGCACGTGCGGCATTGAAGCAAGAGCTTGGCGAACCCAATGGTGGGGGGGAGTTCATGAGTTCGCGTTAACACCGAGGTTATTCCGACCCAACCACAAATGACGCCACAACGCCCTGTCACAGCTGCAGGGCTGGCGGCAGTTTTGCGTTTTGCTGCTGACTGATGAGAAGGAGCCCCTGACGATGCTTCAGACAGCCCCCAGATCCTCACCATTTCAATTCCACACGATCGTCTGTTTCGCCGAGGCGTCGTCGAATCCATATCTCGCACCACCGGGGCGCCAAATGCTCTAATGCCCGGAACGACAATACTTCCAAGCTTTTGCTCGATGTGACGCCCAATTTCGGCGAATATGTTGGTTCGCATACTTCCACTTTCTACCATTGACATCGCTCGAACCGGGACTCGCAGCCCTCCCCTCTGCGGATCCTGATAGTGCAACCCACTTGTTCTATCTTCCCGCAACTTCTATTCTTTTTTTGACGATGCCGGGGCTCCCTGGTGAGTATTTCGGTTTTACTGAAGAGCAACAACAGCTTGCCCCCCTCTCCTCCCACCCGCCTACCCACCCTCAACAACCGCCCCTGGCAGACGGGTAGAATGCCCCGCCTAGATCGGCGTCGAGGCCACCTCCACTGACACCTCTCCCGTCGCAGCTTCCGTAGACCTCGACGAGTGCATCTCGCGCCTCTACAAGAAAGAACTCCTCGCCGAGTCGGTCATCGAAGCGATATGCGCCAAGACCAAGGAGCTGTTGATGCGCGAGAGCAATGTAGTCCACGTTCGCGCCCCTGTCACCGTCGTTGGCGATATCCACGGCCAGTTCTACGATCTGATTGAGATATTCAAGATTGGAGGCTGGTGCCCAGACACAAATTATCTCTTCCTCGGTCGGTCATGCCCGTTCAGCCTGATCGGAGCCAAACGCCTTGCTGACTCGCCCTCCCAACAGGCGACTACGTCGACCGAGGCATGTTTAGCGTCGAGACGATTTCTCTTCTTGTGTGTTTAAAACTGAGATACCCCAATCGCGTCCATTTGATACGAGGGAACCACGAGTCACGGGGCGTGACCCAGTCGTACGGCTTCTACACGGAATGCTCGCGCAAATACGGCAACGCCAGCGTGTGGCACTACTTCACCGACATGTTCGACTTCTTGACACTCAGCGTGGTCATCAACGACCAGATATTCTGCGTCCACGGCGGTATGTCCCTCCGGTCCCCCAGAAACCATTGCACATAACTGGTAGGGCTTATCCTAACCCGGTGAACCGAACAGGACTCTCCCCTTCCATCCACTCGATCGACCAGATCAAAATCATCGACCGCTTCCGCGAGATTCCGCACGAGGGCCCCATGGCTGACCTCGTCTGGTCGGACCCAGACCCGGACCGCGACGAGTTCTCGCTGTCCCCGCGGGGGGCCGGCTACACGTTCGGCGCGCAGGTCGTGAAGAAGTTCCTGGCGGTCAACAACATGGACCACATCCTGCGCGCACACCAGCTCTGCCAGGAGGGATTCCAGGTGCTGTATGACGACCGGCTGAGCACGGTGTGGAGCGCCCCCAACTACTGCTACCGGTGCGGCAACATGGCGAGCGTGCTCGAGGTGAGCGACACCGGGGAGAGGTTCTTCAACGTGTTCGCCGCGGCGCCGGAGAACGATCAGGTCAAGGATGCTCAGATGGGCGGTGGGGGCGGGGATAAGGGGGCGGACGGCGGGGCGTTACCGGATTACTTTTTGTAGAGGACAGGAGGATGGCCGGCTTCGCCCTTGGCTGTTGACCCCTCAATGTAGTAGCGACGATAGACGATGATACCAAACGAATCTTTTCGATCTGCCGTCAAGACCTCAAAAACTGGCTTGAGATGTCATTCTGCTTTCTCGGGGGGGCTATCTAAGTGATGGGCGTAAAAAAGGGCAAAAAGAAGCAAACGAGATATCCTCTAGGCCGCGGTGTCCCACGCAGGAGCGGGCGAGTTGCTGCCAGAAGGAGCAGGGCCAAGGCGAGAAAGAAAACCGAAATCCACCTCCCCGTCCGACCTGAGCCTCTCCCAGCAAAGCCAAAGCAACCTACACAAGCCAGCCAGCCAGCCTGCGGTGTTCTGTCGTTGAATGAAATCTGCCCTGCCTGTCCCGGAGACCATAGTCATCCGGAAGGCAAACAAAAAAAGAAGCAGAGCCAGATCCCATCCATTCAGAAACCCCGATTCACGCGCCGAGACCAGCTGCCACTGCTTGCATGCCTGCCTGCCTGCTGTCAAGCCCGACCGCCCGTTCCACCCTTCCGGAAACCCCGCTTCACCTCCTCCTCTCCCTTCCTTTCCCGGAGTCGTGACCCGCTCACAACAAACTTGCCCTCAGACCGAACCATGAATCCATCCCGTGAAAAGCTGGCCGTTCCTTTCTGTCGTATCGGACCGAGCGAGTTACACCAATGGGAGGCTCGGATCACCAGTCCTTGTCGATTTGGAAGGCCCAGTCGAACTGCAGGTGGGTCTTCTTGTCGTCGTCGACAAAGCTGGAGCTGACGTTGTACATACCACGGGCCATGAAGTTCGATGGCGCCTCCTCCTCTTGGACTGTGGTTGGGTGTTAGTTACGCGCTAAAGGGGTCGGTTGGAAGTATGTTAGCGGGACATTACATTTCTTGCTGTAAAGAGGCTGCTTTGCGGTGTTGGGGGCGTAGCTACCCTATAACAACTGTCAGTCTCTGCAGCCTGTCACATGAGAATCAGGGGGGGAGGCCTCTTTCTTACAATCATCTCGGACGACTTGTCGCCTAGAAGCCCCATACTGCCCTTCTTCTTGATGACCTGGACATAATGCAGACCGCTGAGAATCTCGTGCTGGACCTTGAACTGGACGGTCATGGTAAACTTGGCTCCCGACTTGATCTTGAAGGGTTTGTCCTTGAGGCTATTGGCGCTGCCAGGGGCCGAGAGGTCAATGACGACGGATTCGCGACCAGGCGAGTCCATCGTGAGCGACTGGATGATGCACACACGGGGGTCGTTGGGGTCCGAGATATCGTCGGCGGCCAGGCCAAGAGACTGCTTGTAGCGTTGGAGAGACTCATCGTTCTCGTCTGAAGAGTCATCGCTGTCAGCTTCATTTTCAGGATCATCATCCACATCCTCGTCGTTGTCTTCCTGAGAGCTGTTGTGAGGATAAGGAGAACGGCATCGCACCGGGCGACCCGCTGGGGTATCATCCCGTGCGCCCCGAGCACCAACACCCTCCGGGTCGGGGTCGCGAAAGCTGACTCTGCGAACAAAAGACATCTTGCCCTTGAACTTGGTCTAAAAAGGATTTGTGAATGGGTTGTGTTCCCCAAGAGAGAAAAGGCAATAAAAGCCAAAGAGAGAAAAGAACGCGGAATGGGAAGTGAATGAGTGTACTCGCGTTGCGGGATTGGAAGTTAAAAATGAGTGTACTCGCGTTGTGATTCCGCGGGGTTAACTTGAAGGGGAAGTGAAAAGAACAACGAGGATGGGTGAATAGTGGTGGTTTGTTTTGAGAGTCGGGTGGGAGTGGGAGTGGGAGAGGCAGGCTGGGCCCACGTGCGAACGTGCTGGGAGAGAATCGCCAGGTGATCAGAAAACAGTGTGTTCAAACGAAAACACTGGCGCCTGTCACCCGGGTTGTTGCCTTATAGCCATTCGGAATAAGTTGTGGTGAATTTTGTTCAAAGGAGGGAGGAGTTCGGTGGGCATCTGGTGGGCATCCGGCCGTCTCTTGGTCAGGATAACCGATGGCTACACCGCACTCTCGGTCTGCGAACCCATTCGCACTCATAAAGCTGCATTGTTTACAAAGATGGCTCAAAAAGGGAAGAGATCTAGTAATTCCAGAATCTCTCGTCAACTTACCCATTTTATTGTACTCGGCCAAGGATTGCTTGGGCTGAGAGAGCTTGTAGCCCGAGGTGTTCTCGGGCAACAGTTCATCTTCCTGGGGCGCCATGGCGAGCAATTTGTGAAATAAAGATGGACGCTGATGTCAAGGAGCTCGTAACGGCGAAGGAGCGGATAAGCTATGCTGGTCGTCGGTCGTGTTGCCGTCGACGGAAGGTTGGAGTGTGATAATGACGACTTGTCGGTGACGATTGGGACCAAGCTTCTCTCTTTATTTGGGCGGTGATGAGGGGTGGTCAATAGAGGGGTCCTCAGGCCATACTTTCTTGGCCAACCAACCCGGCACCTTTGGCGGGGTTCTGGCCGGGTCGGCCCACCTTGATTCAGCATCGGTTGTGTGCCATTGGACTGTCACAGATCTGGAACGTCAACAGCAGAAAGGGGAGCTTTGCCATGCCCAACCGAATCTCAGGAGTGGCACAGGGACGGGGCGAGCTAAGTCGAGACCAAGGAGCTATCTGTTGGAGCACTTGGCCATGAAACCAGCAACCAGGATCCCGCGCCGCCTCCGCGTTGCCGGTGCTTTCAGGCCAGGTCCACCATGGAGGCTCAAGTTTATTTACAGCTACCCGTACTTCATCCTGCGTTGTGGACCAACTGCCGACACCAACTATGTACGTAAAAAGGGATGAATAATTCGATTGACTCAACACACACAAAGTTGGAGAGCCGCTTAGGCGTCGGTCCAACGTTGTGCCGGGCGAACTCTATTTAGGTTCCTCTCGGGAAACTGACAAGACGGTTACGAACTCATGTCCGGAAGCTTCATAACTCCTTACCTCCTGGCGACCGAGGGGCGGGTTTTCTAGGAGAAGGAAGGTCTCCCATGGCGGGCTGGATGGTGTCTCACAAACCGGACGGCCAAATGGGCCAAAACCTGTTGCCCAATCGGCTCACCGCTCATTCCCGGGGTGCCCAAAAGGTCCAGCTCAGACCCGAACTGGAACGGAGCGGATAATTTTCCGAAGTGGTGAGGGGATGGATGGAACCTTCATGGAACTCCATCAAGCTTGACATTCCCAGTTGTCCCAGCCCACCTGCAGCTTGCCTGCCCTTCTCGGCGATCTCGCGCCAGACCCCGGGGTTTGCACTTGTCTCCGCGGTCTTGTTCCTGAGGCAAGGGACTGACTTTCCCCAGCTTTCCAGAAAGTGCAGCCTGTCAGCAGCCTCCGAAAGAATCGGACGTGGCGATCAGGTCACTGTCAGGCTGGCCGACGACGGATGGGTGCCCAACCGATAAGGCGACGATGTCGGAAAAGGCGTCAAACAACTAACAGACAAACGCTGAGCGCGGTTAGCAGGGACATACCGCCTATCTATGTAAGGAAGGTCGGTAAATACGTCGTAAGAGGTACGAGTTCTTTGAGAATGTGCATGTCATCATCCCGCATCCCGCGCGACAGCCCTAGAAAAAAGAGGGCAGAGCCTCCTTGTCAATGACTTGGAGAAGGCCAATTCGCTCACGATAGGTTCGAGCTTCCTCCGGAAAGACGGCGTGTGGCCTCATGCACCCGCACTCTGCGCACCCCTGCCGTTCCCCTGATGGGCTGTTGGAACTCAAAAACCCCCAACCCTTTTTGGGTGTGTGGAGAAAGGAACAAGCCAGCTGTCCAATCGGCGGCCAACGGCCCTGCACGCCACTGACAGTTGTGATCCGTGCCCTTCCACTCAACACGCTAGACGTTCCCCACAGCTCGAGTCGCGCTGATGAACTCGCTCATTGGGGACAGGATGGTCGTTACCCCAGGACCCCCCAGGCTCCTTCTCCCAATCTGTCACCCCGCTCCCCCCAGAACAGATTGCAGATTGCGCCCGGTCCAAAACTTCGTCAATCGCATCGCGAGCATCATCAGCGCTGCGCTGTCGTTTTGCCTCCAGCATCACCTTTCTTTCATCAGATGTAGATCGGTCCCTGCATCGTTTTTCCGTAATTATCTTATTTCTGCTGGTCCCCCGCGACAAGAGCGGCACGGCACGGAGACCCCTGCGGCGACGCGCAAAGAATTTCTCTCGTCGCGCTTCTTTCCCACTCCGGGACCCCCCGACCACGCGTTCAGAATAGATCTGCTCGCGCAACTCTTCCCTTCCGCGACAGCCTCGTTCGGTAGAAGCACATTCGGTAAACAATGGCGCCAGACCGGCGTCTTCCAGAACGACACAATCCTCTTCTGACAGAGGATGTGCCAGCTCGTATGTCCATCGTTCTGCCCCCGACTTGACCGGTTGCTAATTTGTTGGCGCCATAGACAGCGATCTGGTCAGCCGTCGCCGGCTCGGGCAGACCCAGTTGACCGCGCGCATGATCGCAACAGCTCCTGCAGGGGAAGTCGACACGTCGGCGCTTGGCGCGTTCGATTACGCGCACCTGCGCGCCCCGCTGCCCAAGGGCATCGTGTCTGGCATCTTCAAGTCGTCCCCGCCCAGCTACTTCCTCATGCGGCGCAGTCACGACGGCTTTGTTTCCGCCACCGGCATGTTCAAGGCTACGTTCCCGTACGCGGCGCAGGAGGACGAAGAGGCGGAGCGCAAATACATGAAGTCGCTCCCGTCAACGAGCCATGAAGAGACAGCCGGGAACGTGTGGATCCCACCCGACGAGGCCTTGGTGCTGGCCGAGGAGTACAAGATCCTACCATGGATCCGCGCACTACTCGATCCTACCGATATCGTGGCCACCGCCGGCGCCGACAGCGGCCCGCCCAAGAAGATCAGCGCGCCGCCCAAGTTCTTCTCCGGGCAGCCGACGCTTGCTCCGCCCACTCCCTCCACGCGCGCCTCCCGTAGCCGTCGTTCCGCCAGCCCAGCCAAGTCTGCCGTCCCGAAACGGGCGGTTGCGAGCCCTCGGAAGCGCCGCGTTGCCTCATCCCAATCGTCGATCGTCACCGATAGCCTACCAGCCAGCGCCGGAGAGTCGGTTTCGCCTACTCTCGTCAATGAGTCACAGTTCTCGGCTTCCTCGATGTTAAAGGTGGCAAAGGTTGATGATGCCACAGAGGCCGATCTCAAGATCGAGTCGATCGAGAAGGAGCCCGCCGTTGTACTCGAGCCTGTGCAGGAGGAGCCCAAGGTCAAGGTCCATCTCGACCAGGACGTCTCGGTAGATGCGGAGGGTGAGGAAGTCAAGCACACAAAGGTCGAGGTGGAGGTCCCTCTCCTCGGTGAACTCCCGTCGCCTGAGGACGCGGCCAAGATGGTTGCCGACGCCAAGGCCATGGTCGAAGCTGCAGTGAAGGCCGACAATGAGGCCGCCGGCGCGGCCTCGGGAAGCGGGGGCAAACGGAAGGCTGATGACATTGCTCAAGACGAAGAGGGCAAGGACGCGGAAGAGGGCGCTGTTGAGCCGCCCAGGGCCAAGAAAGTCAAGACGGAGGCAGAGGTGCGCAAGGAGAAGATCCGGAAGCGGGCCTTCTTTGGCCTCACTGCCACGGTTGCCGTGGGGGCACTTGGGTAAGTTGCTTTTCCGGTTGTTCACATGCATGAGTATCACTAACTGGGCTTTACAGTGCACTTGTTCCGATAATTACACCATACGTGATGAATGCCCTATGATGGCCGCTTGATCTCATTCATCTATTGCTCGGTGACGCCATGAGTGGCGCGAGATTTTAGCCTTGGAAACTCGGCTTTACCAGGTCCCGCATTATCAATTCACGTTGATTTGGAGTTGTGGGAGGAGGATATCGGGTTGGGCGGGGCGGATTTCTCCTGCTATTTCGGACATGCCTGTTCACATTTTCACCCCTTTTCGTGCACATACCCCCTGCGGCAATGCCGCCTTTCATCAAAACATACACGGGACAGCAATGGTGGTCGAAGGGGACGAGGAGAAACCTTGGTTAAATGAAGCCTCGAGTCGGTAGGCCCAGGGCAAAGACGGCCTTGGAACGCCCTCGCGCCTTAGGATGGGCAAGGGGTGTGCTTTGGGTAAGGGGAGGGTGTTGTGGTGACCAGATAATCCCAGTATCCCCTTGTAATGAACGGACCTAGAACCTACTAGGCTCCTACTGCGAGTTGTAGGCGCACGGCGTTTGTATTGAGTCTCAGATACATAGGTACATGAAGATACTCTCCCCGTTTCCCAACTTTCGTGTTCGGTATCGTGAGAAAGCTCGAGGGTTAGGGCCTGTACAACTTTCCGTGCCTCATCTCGGAACAGAAGGGGGCTGGCAGCCGTGGACGGGACCAGGCCCAATCCGGCTGAATTCCGTCGCACAAAAGCTTTTTCTCGTCGAAGTCTGCTGCAGGTTTCCCTCTCCCCTCGACTCTCTCAGAAAGCAGGGAAATTGCGGAAAATCCTCTTCCTCCCTCTCTAAATGGCAACCTCCTTATCATGAGGCTCTCCAGAGACTCCTAGGGAGGAGGAGCGGGAGCACCCGCCCTCCACAACGTTTATTCTTTTATGCTCTCCGCCTCGGCCCAGCTGGTCTGGTGACCCGTGGATCCAGCCATGCTCAAATGAGCTGCGGCCTTTGCCCGGCAATGGGCGGCTTTGGGGGGGGCTCGGCTTCCCCGCCGATCACCCACTCGACCGGATCAACAACACCGAAGAAGGTGCCTGCCATTCCGTCGAGGTACTGCCAACTTCTCTTACCAACTTGATAAACCGCTTTGTGACGACAAGCAGACAAAAATGAGGAACACAGGAAGGTTATGGAAGCCCACGCTCCGCGCCCAGCACCGGGGCTTCTCGTCTTCCTCCCGCCGGCTGGATAACTACGCCTTCATCGGTCTGGGTCAGATGGTATGTTTACGTTCAACTAGATGGCTTCGTTATTGAGCACCATGCTAACTGTGCCTTCACCAAGTAGGGGTTTCAGATGGCAAGGAATCTCCAGGCCAAGCTACCACCAAGCGACACTGTCCGCGTCTTTGACATCAACAAGGCCGCCGCCGAGAAGCTGGTGCATGTGATGAAGACACAGCAAGCCGGCGGCGCGGTGGCGGAGGCGGCTGGCAGCGCCGAAGCCGCGGCTAGGGATGCGGTACGTGCCTATCTCTTTCTTTCTCTCGTTCCTCTTTTGTGGTTCTTACCCTTGGGCTTTTATGATGAGTTTGTTTTATCCATGACTGTTCTAAGTTGGGCCGGCTCGCCGGCCTTTACCATGATTCTTGTTATACAACAAAAGCCAATCCTCTGAGAAGCCCAAGGACCACTCTTGCTTTACACGCGAGATACAATGATGAGCGGAGAGCATCAGCTGACCGAGACTCACTCAGAATACGGTTATCACCTGCCTTCCGGAGCCAAAACATGTCAAGTCGGCGTACGAGTCTATCCTCTCGGCGTATAACGCCGCCCAAAAGGACGAGGCTCCTGCGCATTCCAAACCGCGGCTCTTTATCGACTGCTCTACCATCGACCCTTCGTCGTCACGCGAGGTCGCTAATGCCGTCTCCACTGCTTTCCCCAATGGCCGAGGAAGCTTTGTGGACGCACCCATGTCGGGTGGAGTCGTCGGGGCGACGGCCGGGACCTTGACCTTCATGCTCGGGGCACCACAACCCCTGCTCAGCCGCATCGAGCCGATTCTTCTCCGGATGGGCAAGCGGGTGTTACACTGCGGCCCGCAGGGAGCCGGCCTGTCGGCCAAGCTCGCCAACAACTACCTACTCGCGATTGAGAACATCGCGACGGCAGAGGCCATGAACCTCGGTGTCAAGTGGGGCCTGGACCCCAAGGTCCTCGCCAGCGTCATCAACGTCAGCACTGGAAAGTGCTGGCCGAGTGAGGTCAACAACCCCGTGCCGGGCGTCGTGGAAACGGCGCCGGCGAGTCGGGATTATGCAGGCGGGTTCGGTATCGGTCTGATGCGAAAGGACCTGAGGCTCGCGATGCTTGCGGCCACGGAGGCGGGTGCAGACCTTCCTCTAGCGGACAAGGCATCAGAGGTGTATGAGACTGCCGAGTCGGAGGAGAGGTGTAAGGGGCGCGACTTTTCGGTCGTCTATCGGTGGCTCGGTGGGAAAGAGTGATGGTCATGGCCTTTTATTGAGTACGAATAGCCTTACATCAATGAAGTTCTCACGGACATTATTGCCGATATCCTTCTCCCGCTCCTGTGCTAGCAATATTATCCGATGATTGCGGCCACAGAAATATGCAACCCCCTCGGCGGCACGAGCTTGGTGGGTGGGACACAATTCGTGGCTTTTGTGGGGGAAGAGCGAGAGAACCTGGAACCACCCCGCGTGGCATTTCTCCGAGCTCCCAAAAGTTCCACCCACAGCAGCCCTGCGTGCCCTGCCACGCCTGCCGCTGCCTTCCCGCCGCCACTAACCTGGAAACTCTGGAATCGGGCAGTCCAGGGACAAAGCCGTTCACATGCGACGAACAATTTCCTATCCGATTCTCACAGTATTTTCCCAAAACGGAACGCCCAACACACCAACTCGTTGATTCCCGTCTCAACTCGCTCACTTTGTGTGAAGGATCGGATCGGCTGCCAATCAAGAGAACCTAACCCCCGGGGTGCCTCTATTCGGGATCGGGATTCTGGATTACCACCCTTTCAACTCTGTCATTCTGATCATCCAGCCCGAATCGAATCATTGCGCTCGCCCAGACCAGCAAAGGTCGGCGGCATACCACCCTCCCTAGTCTCCATCAGGGATCTTGGCCCGCACTCGGGGGTCGACCGACCCCGGGTTTTGAGAATTGGGTCGGATCGCTTAACGGTTTGCTCCCTCGCTATCGCTCCGGGAGGAGGAATGGGTGGGACTGTTGCATTCCTTGAATGTTCCCGGTAGAGTAGTGGTGGTGTGCGAAAGGGGAGGTACCTATATATGCCGGGCCTGGACCCCGCTTGGGGTTTGGGGACTTGTTTGGTTCTTGTTTGTTGGGGCTCCATGGTTTTGATACCCGGAGAGGTTCTTTTGACCTTAGACATTTAATACCTATCAAGAACCATAGCCCTGTTGCATGTTCACACGCCAAATCAGTCTGTCTGTCCGCACCCCTGGCTTATCGTTTTCGAAGAGTACAACGCAGCCTGCCCATCCCACCGGGTGACGAGGAGGAAACCGCCACAATGGCCGAGATCGACCCGTCCATGTTCCCGCCGGATTGGGACCAGGACGACATCAACGACGCCATCGCCAACTACTACTATTCGTGCACCCATGTCACGGCCACCTGCCCCGTCGAGGCCACCACGCTCGGGTACCACCCAAACAGGGGGATCAACATATTTATGGCCATTGGGTTTGCCGTAGCGACGGTGACCGCCCTGGTGCTGGGGATCCGGAAGAAGACGTGGAGTTACACGGCTTTTATCGCAGCCGGGTGCGCATTGGAACTCGCAGGTAGGTGAATTCACAGGAGAAAAGGGGGAGAGGGGGCTTAAGGACAAACAACCTAAGCAAGAGACAACAACAACAACAAAAAACCACGCCAGCTAACACCAGCCACCCACCAACGCAGGCTACGGCGCGCGCATCCCGCTGACGGACAACCCGTGGAACAAGCACGCGTTCGAGACGCAGATCGTCGCCATCATCCTGGCCCCGACCCTCATCTGCATCTCCATCTACCTGACCCTCAAGCACGTCTGCCTGGCCCTCAACCCGGCCCTCTCGCGCGTCCGCCCCCACCTGTACCCTTTCATCTTCGTGCCCCTCGACGTCTCCTGCCTCCTCGTCCAGGCCATCGGCGGCGCCCTCGCCGCGAGCGCGGCCACGACGAATTTCAAGATGGTGCAGCATGGGAATCGCTGCATCATTGCCGGGATCGTGCTGCAGGTGGTGGTGCTGAGCTTTTTTGGGACGTCGGCGGGGGATTATTATTTGAGGGTTAAGAAGTGGTGAGTGGGTTGATGGTGTACCCATCCATCGGTGTTGTTTTGGAGTGATCTGAAACTGACTAACCGGTTGCGGTGGACAGGATCAACTCTCCGGAGGCAGACCCGGAGGCTGTTGCGTTGTGGCGTGATAAGAAGTTCAGGATGTTTGTGTACGCTGTGACAGGGGCGTATAGCGGTATCTTGATCCGCTGTATCTATCGGTGCGTTCCGTTGCTTGGTACTTCGAGTGGAAGATGAGAGCTGACAGCTGCACAGTATCGCGGAAATGGCTGGCGGTTGGGGCAACCATATCATGCAGGACGAGCCGTCGTTTATTGTGCTGGAAGGATTGTGAGTGGAATTCCTCTCGTCAGGCCCCAGCGAGTTCACTGACTTGAAACAGCATGGTCCTCATTCCTTGCCTTCTCCTGGCTATCTTTGCACCTGGCTACCTGTTCCCGCAAATGGCGGCCCGCATGTCTGCCACCGGCCGGGTAGGGCTAAAGCGCAAAGATGGCGAACAGACGGACGCCGAGAAACAGTCGCAGCCCGGTGCCCTTGGGGGTCAGCAGCCCACCACCAGCGGAGACGAATCGGCCGTCGGTGAACAACGGGCGAAGGAAGACCCAGTACCGTCGATGCCAGCGGAAGAGTCCAAGGGCAGGGAGGCGAGCTGAAAAGGGGATGTGTTTATTTTGGTGGTTCTTATTTTGGCTCCTCCAGGGGCATCAAGTTCTATGTTATAATAAACAACGATCTTGAGAAATGTCGGTGATAAGTTCGGCCCTTGGCGTTTAATAAGTACCAGCATTAAAGATTAATCTCCGTCCTAAGAGTGTTGAGCAGAAGGTGAAAGCACAGCTTTTATCGGCGCAAGGGTGTGATCATTCGTCACCACAAACCAAGATGTGACATGACCAGAATCCGTACCTGACGAAACCCTTACCCAAAACCCATCCACCCCAAACTACCTAGGTACTTGCACCATGAGCTTGGGCTTAATCCTATGAAATATTCAACACATAATCTAACACATAATCTCCGAATAAAACATATAAAGAGCGAATGGAGGGATGGGATTTGGCCCCTATGTGAAAAGGGGCACCAAAGGGATCTTTGGGCGAACATTTCCGCTTATGATAGATATGAAATTTCTAGTTAAGAAGTAGGTGAGAAGAGGTAGCATCATAATATTAACTCGGGTAATAAACTGTATTTTCTATTATTGCTATTAATCTTTCTCTCCCCAGAGCCCGAGAAGAGAACCAGCTAACCTACTCCTTGCTAGACATGCCTCACTTTTCAAAGGAAACCCCCCCTTGCTTGTCCATGTCCACTACCTCAATGTAGACCTCCTTCGTTATTTAGAACTAGTACTAGAAAAGCTGGGCCTACCTCGGGATACCCTCTTCGACAAATTAGCAGGCGCTGTCCAGGAGTTAGACAAGAAGTAGACACGTAGTAAACATGAAGCCAATTTTGCGCAGCTTGTGAAGGAAACTTTAAGGTTTACTTTAATACCTACCTAGTTATCTGGAAGGTACGCGTGTAGTTGTTTGTGGTTAGCACACGTTTTCGTAGTTTGACTTTGACAAACGCACCGCATCGCCCAATTCACCCCAAGTTTAGGATTCCTAAGTGGTTTTATTTAAACTCGATTCTTTTCTTAGGTATCTTCCCAACTTTCCCAACTTCCAACTCCCACGAACCACCAACCCCTCGGCAACATCACCACCCCTGCCGTCACCATGGAGGAACGACGGCGTCTTGCGACGCCGGAGATAACCCGATGGGTCAAAAAGATTAAAAAAGAGATGACCAGGTCCCCCCCGTTGGGGGGCTTTCAAGAGCCGCCAGCGGACTTCCGCCACGGCTACGTCCTGCGCCTCCGGCTTTCTCGCCATGAGCGAGAGATGCTGGAGGTGGCAGCAGCCGACGAGGACCACCGTTGCTCTCCCCTCCCCGCCCTCGGCCAGCCCGGTCTGGCCAAGCAGGTCGCTGTCCTGCTTTTCCTTCGGTGGTACGTGTCAACCCCCCCCCCCCCCCCCCCCCCCCCAAGTCTATCCCCTGTCTATACTACCTGTTTCACTTGCCTGTTTGGGTCGCATATGGCGAGGGATGTTCCTCAGTGCTCAGCACCGCGCCGAAGATTCTCACGAGAGGTCAAGCGAGGGGCCATACGAGCGTGTCTTTCTCGTCTTGTTACTTGAAGCGGAGCCCTAATGGTCTAAGCGGCCACACAACGCTCTTCGGAAATTCACTTCCAGGTGAAGCTTTCAAGTTCTCAATGAGGCGGTCCCAATTTGACCTCAAGAGTCACAATTCACAAAAAGGACCAGATCACACCCCGTTGACTCGGCTCTACCAGCACTAAGCCATGGGGAATGATCCTTTCTTTTTGTTCGATAACATTTGATCGTTCAATCCACTACAAAGCCTATTTCATCAAACTTTTGGGGAGGAATCTGCTGACAATCTCAACCCACACCCTAGGTCCTTCGCCCACCACACCCTCCGCGAGATGCTCCACCAGTTGGGGGAGGCGGAGACCGACTCGGACAGCGAGTCAACCGAGTTTGGCGAAACCTCGTGGGGGTGGTACGCCGTCGACAGGAAGAGCGAGAAGGAGAAGCGGTATCAGTCCGCCCTGCTCATGTCGTTTGCCGTTGGGCTGGCAACACGACTCGACAACGCCCTCCCCTTCGACGCTCGCAGAGAGCGGGTGAAGGAACTGCTCTCCGATCCAGAGAACGAAGAGTTCTGGGACAACTACCAGAACTGCCACGCGTCCATGGCCAGCGAGTTGGACAATGACTATCCGGAGAAGTTCGCCGTCGCTCCCGTCCCGGAGGACGAAAACATTTGGTATGTTGTCCTTGAACTTGGTTTGGAATGGATTGCACGTGATATCTGAAGAATGCCTGAGTGACTTTCTTGGTACAGGCTCAAGCTCGCCAACAAGGTCATCAAGATGCATCATGTCATGCGCAAGTGGTATGGACAACCAACCCAATTCTGACCTTTCCACCACACGGAAACAATGAACTAACACTGCTGTTTAGGCCTGGAGTTCACGAAGCCGCGGGTTTCGCTGCCCAATCTCTCGGAATCCACAATATAGGCCCCGGGTACCCCTTCGACGGCATCTGGTTCAGAGGTTTCCTTGCCGCCACCTCTCAGGCAACGGCACACCGCGGTAGACCCAACGCCCACTCCCACTGGGTCCGTCTCCAGAACGGCACAACTCGCCCCGACATTCGGGCTTTCCTGGACTTCGACAGGTTTCGTTATTCGGTCACGTACCCTCAGTACGAAGAGGAGTGGGTCGAGACCATTTACGCCTGGGTCGATGGTGCCGACGTTTGGGACGTATGGACGTTTTTAAGAATGATCCACTGCGCGTCAACTTCCCGAGACATTACGCCCCGGGAGCATAGCCTCCTGCGCGTGGCGCTCTACCAAGCAGTACGTAGAGAGACAGATGCACGTCACATTTGGATGAGGTGGTGACTAACATTGATTTACTATAGGGACCCCCCAACCTTCTGAAGGAGTGCTCTCCTTCCATCCTCCATCCTAAGGACTTTGTGGACGTTGCCCGCTACAACTCGCCCGACTACCAACTCCGCCCCATCACTTCCCAGAACACCATCGCGGAGCTCCTCGAGAAGGCTGGCCTCGAGGCGACCGGTAACTGGGATCTCGTGTCCCTGAAAGCGATGAAGGAGACCACGTCGTTGCCCGACCAGCTATGGAGCCTGGGAGGCCATTACCGACATGTATTTTACCTCACTGAAGACGTAACATCACGCTACCTTGGTAATAACCGTGACTTGCTTTGTCTGAACATCCCCAGCAAATGCGACCCATGGGAATGTCCCGGACACTGCAACACTCACGATGGAGTCGATGGTCGGGTCGTGTTTGCCCGTCGCAGGTTGGATCCCGCCTTGTTGTCCAAGATCCTGGAGCGTTACTGGATTGACTGGGTGAGTGTCCAACCCCCCTTCTCCTATCCATGTCATGGCTTGGGAGCTTTGCTAATCACACTCAAGAACGACTGCATGCTCATATTTGGACGCGGTAACGACGGTCGTGGCAACCTCATTGACGGTAGCTCCATCTATCTACTCGAGACCCTCCCCGGCATCAAGCTTCGCGACTTGAAGCGAAAGACGAGTGCCGAGGCCCGCGGTCTCGCCTCAGCTTGCCTTTACCTCAACCTGAAGCTTGAGCACCAATACGAAGGTAACTTGGGCCGCGATACGCTAAAGAGCATCATGCGAGAAAGGTACCAGCCTCGTTTCAGCGACTTCACCTGCCTGCTCCAACGCCGGGAGGCTGGTATCGACTGGACCGATGCTGTCACTTTTGGCCACGGTCGCTACGGCACAACACATGAGGTGCCCTGGAAAGTCGGGAGACGGTACGACCAGCTGGGCAATGTCTCTTGCAACAGATACGAGACCGGGATGGTCTTGATCAGGATCATTGCCCAATCGGAAAATGAATCTCGGGCCGCCAGGTATGACATGTTTTGCAGTCGTGTAAGCACACCCTCGTCCCCCACAAGTTGGAGTCCCAAACCCTGTGTTTCTGAACCTTCTAGCTCGAGTCCTTCTACGAATACGTCGCCGGCAACCGCTTCAAGAACGTTGTTCACTTCTACGGCTTTATGTCGATCCCCGTCAAGTCCTATAAAGATGATAACGGCAACGATCAACGGCCGATACATTATCGTCCTAATTCCAGTGTTCACCGAGACCGGGCATGGGCGTTTGTGTTTGAGCACACGGAGGGTTCCCTCCTTCAGCTCGTCGGGGACATGGTCGACGACAGCTATGAGAGGGAAACTTGGCTCGCCATCTTCACTTTCCTGCATGACATTGGCTCAACCCTGCGCGATATGCACGCCACGATCGGGCCGTACCGGTATGTTTTCCTTCCCACCTCTTACTCTTCACCGCCCCCTACTTTACGACCAACCCCCGAAACCCACCCACCACTAACCACACCATCCCGCCACCAGTTCCCTCAACCCCGACAAGGTCCTCGTCCGCCTCAAGCGCCCCACCGTCCGCGCCGCCGACTTCAACATCCCGCACCTGCACGACCGGTACGCCGCACCCATGGGCACCCCACCAGCCAATCGCTTCGAAGCCGTCCTGGGCGAGCCGAGCCTAGTCCCGCGGTAGCCCCCCTCGTGAATGGCACCCGAGCTGCGACTGGGCAACACCACCCTTCACACGCCAGCAACCGACGCGTACTCCTTCGCGCACTTCGCTCTGCACCTCATCGACGTGGCCAGCAACGGCCTCTACACGGGCCTGTGCGAGCGGGTGAACGATCAGCGGGTGGTTTACGTGGAGCTGCTGAAGGGGCTGGAGGATATTCTCGCGGCCGAGTTTGACTTGTTGGAGAAGGCCGGTGGCGGTTCTGGGGGTGATGAGGGTGACGAGCCGCGCACTCGGGTCATGGACCGCTTCCTGCGGCTGGCGAAGCAGGTGGTGGACGGCAGCGTCGTGCTGGACGGCCATTACCCCGTCCAGGAGGCGTCGGCCTGGTACCGGTTCTCGACGGCTTTTCCGCGCGTGTGGAATGTGATTGGGACGAGAAGGCATCGTGAGGTGGACTGGTTCCGCCGGGAGAAGGTGCTGCTGTATTATATTTACCGGCCGAAGGATTGGGGCTGGAATACGGACGAGCCGAGCAGTGGGAGTGAGAATGATGATGATGAGGAGGATATCTGGGATGGCTCGGATGAGGACGACTCGGTGAAGTCGGATTTCACTGACATCTAGTGAGCAGTGGGAGATGTTGCTTGAAGTTTGCGGGCAGCCATCTTTGGTCGGTTGAGACCACGCTTTCCTATGTTTGGTTCGGAAAGGGGCTTATCCCGATTGCAAAACGTCCGGGATGGGTCGATATTGAGCTTTTTATGCTATTTGATCCCTTACACTCGCTGTGACAATGCATGTTGCTGTGTTTACTCAAAGGATCTGCTTGCCTGTCTCTTTCCCGGCCCCTTTGTGGTGCGGGAAGCAACCTCTGCTGTGCGGCTGGTCACCACTGAGGATGGATGTTCCGGAACCTCACGGAAGTTATTACTTTGGCGCATACATTGTCGCGATTAATGAGGTGCAGAACGTGATCAAACTTATTTTCTTTTGCCCCTTCACAAACATGACCATCGCGCGCAAACTCAAACACACAAAACCGCACCCAGCACAACACCAGTTGTCTTCTCAACCACCACACACACCACACAACTTCAAGCAAGTCAGAAGCAATTCACAGCCACCATGAAGATGTACGCGTCGCCATGCCCACCCCTCTCTGCCGTCTACTCACCCACCACCGCCTCCCAGGACTTCTTGCTGGCCCTTCTCCCTCCACAGCTGGTGGAAGAAGAAGGACGACGAAAAGACGAAGCAGGACGAGCCCAAGCCCAAGCCCACCCCGACCCCCTCGCAGCCCGCGCGCCGCATCCCGGCGATGACCACGACCAACCAACCCGACAACCGCCCTCCCCAGCACCAGCGCGAGCACCACCCCCAGAACAACCACCCCCCGCACACCCCCCAGCGCAGGCGCACCCCCAACACCCGCCCGCTCAGCGATCCCGGCCCCGGCCTCGCCCACACCCATTACCATCACCGCCACCGCCATCAGCGCCCGCGCTCCGCGCCGCCGGCCTCCCCGTCACTCGACGACGCCCACCGCCGCCACCGCCACCGCCACCCGCAGCCGACCTTCTCACACTCGACCGAAGCCGACACCCGCCGTCGCCACTACCAGCACCATCGCCGGCACTACAGTCATTACCAGCAGACTCGCCAGATATACTATGATGCCCGTCGTGAGAGCGGGGGAGTGGGTGGTGGTGCCGCCGAGACGGGGGGGAATCCGGATGAGGAGCGTTTTCTGGTTGAGGGGGTTGCTGCGCGCGATTTTGCGGTGCGCGGGTTCGCTGTTGTTTGGGGTGGGGGCGAGGAGGAGGAGGGGAGGGAGGAGGAGGAGGTGAGAGGTGAGTATGGGGATGGCTGTGGGGATGGGGAGAAGGGTGAGGGTGGGGGTGTGAGTGTTGGTGGGGATGGGGATGCCAGTGTCGACGAGGGTGCTAGTGGTGGTCCTAGCAGCGGGGAGGGAGGTGATGTCCCGACATTCGAGGAGAGGGCCAAGGAAGGTGTGGAGGGAGAGGAGGAGACGGGCGGGGATCCGGGTCAAGAGCGCTTCCTGGCCGAGGGGGTTGTTATGCGTGACTTTGCGGTGCGGGGTGGGGAGGGAAAGGTGAGAAGGGCGGATGGAGATGGATATGGCGATGGGGGTGGGAGCGTGAGTGCTGGTGTTGAATGCCAGGAGGGAGATGACCGGGATGAGATCCTGAGCTTTGAGCAGTGAGTGAGGGAAGGTTGCTTGCGAGGAAGCAAGGTCAGGACGGGATAATGCATGAGAACGAAGGGGTTGTCTGCGGGAGGGTACTGCGGACCTGGGATAGGACTCCCATGGGAACACCCAAGAGGTTGCTGTGGTGTAATGATCTAAACGCGAATAGTTATGCGGCCTAGAAATCCAATGCCACGCCAGGACCACACTTTACCTGACGATACCAAAAGGGGAAAGTGACCACGCATAATGGGTAGCATTGTTGAACACGTCGAACACTCGGTGTAAACCCCTGACTAGCCTGAGTGGCCCTAGAATTGTTGAGTTAGGTTGGTACTTGTACATACCTGGCACTGCCAAGATGATGCGTGTGGAGAGGTTTGTCTGGACAAGTCAACACGACGCAAAAGCAGCCGACGGGGGTGGTCGGGGGCACTTTGATTCGGCATCCGAGACCTGTCAGTTGGAGTAAAAATGAACTAGACAAGTGCCCACAGCTCGGTGCTGCAGATGAGAAAATTGGGCGACTGAGCGACAGGGGTTATCAGCAAGTAACTCTGACCGCCAATATTACCCCTGATTCGGATTGTTTTGGTTTTGCCGTTTCGGGACCTAACTTTTGTGGGCAGAAGAGTGACCTTTCGGCGGGCTTTCACTCATCTGTATAGTTGTGAAATCTACAATATGAGCTTTGGATATGAGCTATCGAGGTCTTGTGTGCATAGGAGGTTCAGACGCTCGGGTTTCGTGTCTCTGGCCAGCGACCTAGCCGGTTCCATAGGTGCAGAGATGCCCGTCGTTTTCGGTTACCCATCTCGATCCTCATTAACGATCTTTGTTAAGTGGCGTGTGTGATGCCGAGTGTAGAGGCGGATCGTCAACCGCTTCCAGGCTCTCATGATCTCCGGGGCGTGATAGTCCACGGTTCCACCAAGACATCCCCCCCATCGGGTATGAATTTGCGGCGTTGTAGGATGAGGTCGGCGTTGTTGCATCGGCGTTATCACCGCAACAGGCTCCAAGTACTCGCCGCTCTTCTGATGGGAACGCCCTCATCACGGCTAGTACCCCGGCGAAATCCTGCTGCCATCCCACGGCCGGTTTCAACTTTCAAATTACCATCCGACCAAGAGGCTCTCCTGATCATAGCCGTCGGCGTTGGGTTGAAGATAACGCTCCATCATGATACTCCCTTTCGAGGGCGACGAGCTGTGCTACAAAGGGAGGAAGCTGGTAAAGACCGAAATCGTAATGATAGTATAGGGGATGATGTAAAAGAAAACTGCTGAATAACGACCTACCGAAGGCATGTTGGTATGGAATTTTGGTCCAAGACCACCCTTCACAGCCCCGATTTCTTAACCCGGTCGCACATGTTTGGAAGGAAATGAAGGAGATGCTGCGTCAGGATTTCCCAGATCTATATTTCCCAACAGACAACGAGCTGGATAGGGCAAAGGTGCAGTGGCTGGCGCCCCGAAACGTTGCGCGGGAGAGATACTGCAGGGCTTATCGACCGGTTGAGTGCGCAAGATAAACCGTTGATCTACCAAATCTTGAAGCCCTGTTGAATAGCTTCAATTTCGTTCCTTTTCAGGCCAGTTTGGCCAGTAGCAAGCTAAGCAATGGATGCCGAAGTGTTGTTTGTGGGTGGTTGGGTTGGATGCCAAGATGGCCCGGAGCGTGAAGTTACAGATCAGTTTTTGACCACCGCTTCCATGAACAGGGACCTGGCTGGCTGCTCCGGCTGAAGCCGAGATGGCAATTCGCTGGCGCTGCTTACTCCACCCAGGCGGTCTGGCCCAAGCTTTCGCTGGGCATCGCGCCATCCACGCCTTAGGCTTGATTCACCGCCGAGCCTCTCGGCTCGATCGCTGCCCGACCCCGGCCCGCCTCCATTCCCACCCACCTTTTCCACCAGTCTCCATTCCCACTCCCCGGTTTGTTGGCAGCTTTCCCACTTTCGACAGACCCCACGGTTGCGCTCCGGGATCGACCACGATCGGAGCTTGCGCTCGTTGCCAACCCCGTACATTTGTGCCCTTTTTCTTCTTGTACAATTCTTTATTTCGCCCTTTCCGGCTGTGTTTACACTCTGCGTGACATACTAGACACCTCGTGCTTGGTACACAATATTTCCCATCCCCGTGGTGCTGCTTTGCTGCTGTGCTGCTGTCCTCCACCGTCGCGCAAGGTTCGAGATCCAAGCCAAGCTCCGTTTGTTTATGCCCAGCGCACCAAACGGGGAAATCGCCGTCGCAACTGTCGTGCGCCTCGAGCTGCAGCCACGACCATCGATCGTTTTCTTGCATACGGCCTGTCGCAAACCCAGCCACCAACCCTGCAGTGTTCCCGAGAGAACGCGCAACAGCCGCTTCCGCCTGTTTACACTGGTCAGGGGAGTTCTCCCGTTTATACCTGCCTCGACGCCGATCTGCGCCGCTCGCTTTGCCCCCCTACCCCGCCACTTCCACTCTCGCGCGACAGACCATAGACCACACGACAAGACCACACGACGGACCACACGACGCACACCACGACGGGCCCGCGACACCAGAATCGCGAATCGCATCGCTGCCGCCCTCGGTCGCAATGAACACGGCCAATTGAAGCGACCATGGTTCGTGTCACGGAGGAGCTGGTGCTCTCGCCAGAGCATGTCACCCTCTACTCCGCTAGCGACCCGCTGCTTGGCCATCTCCCCGTCCTCATCTTCTACGGCCCCTCCACCACCGCCAACTATACCCACAACAGCTCTCGAATTCAGATTCACATCTACAGCCCGGCTGGCTACGTCTCCTTCCCGCGCATCACCGTTTCTCCGAGCTCGCCTTTCTACAGCGTCGTCGCCCATCTTCCGCGCGAGTTTCAGGGCGATGAAATTTGCAGGGGGCTTGCCTTTGGCCTGCGCAGATACTTCGCCGAGCTGCCCGAGGTTGTCAAGAACCATTTGAAGAACCAGTACCCGGTCACCCGTGCCCGCCGCCCAGGGTCCGCACCGGCCCTCTTCGGCGAGCAGCATGCGGCCGACCTGGCCAAGGCTGCCGTCCAGGCAGGGAACACCGCCGAGGTCATCGAGATCCTAGAATATGCCCTACGGACGCAGCATTTGAGCGGTATCGACGTGGACCTGGTCCTGCCGCCGGGCTCGATCGTGCCTCTAGAACATGCCGACTTTGACGAGGTGCCCGACGACGAGGACGAGGACGATATACTAGACCCGACTCTGCGGCAGTACGGGGGTTACGCTCCCTTGGTCAAACTCTTCGGCGAGCCGGTCTTTCTGCCAACCTCCAAGCTACGGCGAGCGCCCTCGAGGCCGACGTCGTTGAACCGTAGCAAGTCCTTCAACAAGAACCAAAAGGTGGAGCTGCGTATGAAGATGGGCGAGCTGGTTGACACTGAGGAGCGCTACGTGCTCAAGCTTAATGAGCTTGTCAATAATATTGCCAACGACTTCCGAGTAAAAGCCAAGGAGCGCCCTTCCGAGAGCATCAGTCCTTGCGAAGAAGACTTGGAGAAGCTGTTCCCCAAGTCGGCCGACAGCATCCTGGAGAACAACTCGGCATTTATGCAGGAACTCCGGCGGATCATGGACGAGACCGAAGAGGAAGCCGTCAAGGACATGGAAATCCCGTTTCCTGCCACTAAGTTGGGTGGTTCCAACAAGGCGAGGGATCCGAGCGGTGCCGTCGCTATGGCAAAGGTATTCCTCGAGTGGTTCCCGAAATTTACCGACTGCTATCAGGACTATATTCGCGCCAGCCAGAACTTCCCCCAACTCCTCAATACCTTCCTCGACAACCAGTCAAGCTTCCGTCAGCGGGTTGTCCAAACAGGCGAGCAGACCATTCGCTCGCTCCTGATTGAGCCGGTACAACGACTGCCCCGATACAGCCTCTTTATTGACCAAATAGTCGCCTGCCTTCCCATCACCCACCCAGCATTACAACTCCTCCTCCGGGCAAGGGATATCATCACTAATATTTGCTCCATGGACGACCCGCTCCCGGAGAAGCCGCACGTCACAAACCGCCTCCGCGCTATGGTAGAACACTGGCCGGCGGACCTTGAGCCCCAGGGCCGGCTGATCGTGGCTGTCGACTTCCTCGAGCTTGCGCCACCTTACGACTTTGTCTCGCAGAGCCAGGAGCTCTCGGACCGGCCGGGGGTTTTGCTCCTCTTTTCCGACTGCATCGCCATCCTCCAAAAACGGACAAATTCCAACCTCACAGGCCGCGACTTCTTGCGCGAAATTGACAAACCGTCTCCCGCAGGCTTGCTGGCATCCATGACCAATGCCGCCGGTGGACCAGGAATGTGGGAGTTTGCGTTTACCGGTTGGCACAACCTGGCTGATGTCCGCTTCACCGAGTCCTCTGATGGCCGGCTTGTCTGGATGACGTCGACGCAGGAGATGAAAGGCGCCCATCCCAACGAGCATTTTACCAGCAAGGCCATCACTTCGCGGTGCTTCCTCCTCCAGGACCATTATGAGGGCAGAGCGAGCAAATGGAGCGACGACATTGTCAGAGCCCGTATCGAAGGCCGGTTTGCTGAGAGGGAGAGGGAAGACCCTACCTGGACGCTCCGCACCGTGAGGATGCAGGACAACAATTTCGGGCTGCACGCCGCCGTCTTTCAGGAGGGCGCTCAACAGCTTATAGAGGGGCGCAGGGAACCGGCCCCCATCCGCATCGTCATGGACAACGACAAAGGCACCAAGGGGGCGCCTGTCGGCCATTACGGCGTCGAGGTTGTGCTCGAGGCGAGAACCGGCGACATGCGGCGGATCTCGATGAACACACTGGGCCTGAACGGAAAGAAGTTCACTGACGACGTGGCCCTGGAAGATTTCCTACCGACCCTCTCGCGCCGGATCGTCCAGCTGCTCAGCGCGCAGTTCAGCGTCGCCAACTTGAGGCTTGTCCCTGCCTTAGTGTCGTACTACACCAAGATGTTGCGTGCGATCAACATCACAACCAAGGTGGAGAGGAATAGTCGATCCTTCCTTTCCTCTTCCCCGGTGAAGATGCTCTCAAACCTATTGGTTGGGGGCACCGCTTCGTCGAGCACGACCTCTCTCGAGAACGTGGGCAGTAGCGGGTCGAGGCACAAACGGAATCGTTCCAACAGCACGAGGGATTTGCCGGTGGTGATATCCGGGTCGATCAAGGACAGAGACATACCGCGCCTCACCGTGGAAGAAGAAGAGCCGCCAGAGAACCCGCTGGTTCGCCTCGAGCAAACATTTACCGGATACGTGGCCAACATGCAAGCGCGCAAGGGCTACTTCATTGGCCGCACCCTCCTCAACAGATCAATGGCCGACGAGCTCCAAGTGAACGACCTCTACAACCGTCTCATCGAATTTCCTTTCGACTTGGATGCGTCTTCGGAGCTAGGGACCGAGGTCATCTTTGCGGCGTTCGAGAAGTTCATCCGCATCGCTTGGCGCGAGCAGATCGGGCCGGTCATGACCATGCACCATCTTGAGGCTCTTCAAGTGCGAGCGGCCAAAAAGGTGGTGGGGGACTTTGCCGATTTTGTTCGCTTCCTGTTTAGCGACATGGCCCCTCAGAACCGCCGGGCGTTCACCGCTCTCATGAAGTTGCTCGCGGATCTTCTCGAGGGGTGCAGCAATGACGGCGACAGAGGGGCCTTGACGCTTGCATTCGCAGAGATGCTGGTGGACGACGCAAATCCGTCGGATTACATCAACCTTCTCGACCGCCTCGTCGAGGATTGCGACCGCATCTTCGAGAAGGCGGACGCCCCGGATCCCACCGGTTTGCTCAGCGGCTTTCCCTATGAAGTTTTGATCGCCAGCAACCGAAGCCAAAAGTCAATTACGGGATCAATGACTTCGAACACTTCGTCACTCCGGAGGAAGTTCGGGTTTGATACGCTCTTGCGGCAGAATAGCAAGACGGAGACCGACCGACCTTCCATGTGGCGCACGCTCAGCAAGCACAGCAAGTCGTCGAGCTCGGAGAACGTGACCTTGACGATAGCCGGCAGGTCAAAATCAGTAGACATGGGCGCCAATTACACAATATCAAACCGGCTCCGTCGCCCAGGATCCCGGGACCGGCCCCCGGTTGCCGGCGCCTTTGATGATATCGGACACCGCCCTCTGAGCTCTCACCGGCTCGAAACCATTGGCGAGCCGGAAGTGCCCGAATCGTCAGAGACCAAGTCCCTCAAAAAGAAACGCCGAAGCTCACTCTCGGACCTCAAGTCTCTAATGTCGGCGACAAGCCTGGAAGAGGACCCGGAGCTCATGCCTCTGAGCGTCAACAACCAGCAAACATCCGAGAAGTTCAATTCAGTCCCTCGGTCGCCATCGCCCTCCAAAATCCCGGCCAGCCCCGAATCTCACACACAATCTTTCCGCTCGTCGAAGCAGAAGGAGAACGATGTGGACTCGTTCCAGTCACCTACCGAATCCCAAGACGAAGGCGAGAAGCCGGCCACGCGGAGACCGCGTGCTAGAACCATAACGATCTCGCAGATCCCGACCCTCAAGGCGCCACCGTCGCGCATCCCCGGACCTCCCCCACTAGAATCGCCCACCCGCCCGTCCAGCAGCCCCGGCAAGGCGTCCGGAACCGGCCAGAAGCTCCGCCTCCAGTCCCCACAAAAGCTCCGCGAGCGCCTGCAGACGGAGAAAAAGGCGGTCGACGACGTCGACGCCTCCCTGCGGACGGAGCTGTCGCGCATCTCGGAGGACATGGCGCGCGTCAACTCGGCGCTGCCGCGCTCCGCCACGGCCGACCTCCGCAAGCTGTCCACCGCGGTCAAGGCGCTCGAGGACCACGTCCCGCAGGTCATGCAGGACCTCGAGGACCGCCACGCCCTCATGCAGCGCGACCTCGAGGCCACGCTGCGCGCCACCGAGGCCAAGGTCAAGGCCATCGACCAGCTGTACAAGGAGGCCACGGCCGAGAACGAGCTGCTGTACGAGAAGTTCAACTCGGAGCTGGGCAAGATCGTCAAGGCGCTCAAGGGCAAGGGCCGCGAGGATAAGGAGGAGCTTGTCGCGCGGCTGAAGGAGTCCAGCGACGAGGCGGCGAGGGCCAAGAAGGAGAATGCAAGGCTCAGGAGGGAGATGGTTAGTCTGAGGGTGCTGCTGAAAGGGGCGACGAGCACGACCAGTGCTGCTGGAGGTGGGAGTGGTGGCGCGGGCAGCGGTGGGGAGGGGAATTAGGTGATCGTTGGGGTGCTTGGGTGGGGATTGTTTGGCTGGATCGGTTGGCTGCGCGCCCTGTGCGAGCTTGGTTTTGAGGCGTTGATGGGTTGGATTTGGCTGGTTCGGTTCGTGTGGTCATTGTGTTGTTGGGGCACCGGCTGGTTTTGTGTCTGGATTATGGCCGCGACTCAGGGTTGGCGCGGCCGGTGTATGGTATCGTTGATGTTCAGCCTTTGATGTTCATTCGATGTTTGAGCATGCATAGCCGCAGCAGAATGCTGACATGATTCAACTACTTTTGTGATTGTTCCATCGTGGGTATCATTCGTGACTAACTCCGTGAAAGCCAAACCAGCACAATACTTCAGAAAGGCTGCGTCGACCCCTGACTCTGACCAGGCCCCTCCGCCATCTTCATCAACGTCTCCTTCGCTTTGCTCTCCTCGACCCAACACTCGAAAAACAACGGCCCCGCCTCCACCGCCCTGATCGGCCGTGTCCGGACGCCACCGATATCCTCCCCGTCCACCTCCCGCCCTCTCCCCTTGGGCTGCAAGTTCGGCTCCGACGGTATCCACGCCTGCGGATGCTATTATTCTCGTCAGCAAAGTACCACCCCCCGACACAAACCGAGCCGGCAACACAACAACGACCCGGAACAAAAAGAATTACATACCCCAATCGGCGCCCTCCCCTCCTCCCCCAACTCCACGGCCACCGTAAACGTACACCCCGACGAACCCCCTCCCACATCACCACCAGAAAAAGGAAGCGGCCCCATCCCCTCCGCCACCGAGGCCATCCGCCGCAGCGCCCCGCGCAGCTGCTCGTCCAGGTCGGGCCACCCCAGCCCCGGGTTGCCTGCGTCGGCGCCCAGGTGCCGCTCGCGCGCCTCTTCGGAGCGTGCGTCCCGCGCCAGGACGCGCGCGAAGTCGCGCATGTTTTTGCTAGAGCTGCTGCTGTTGCTGGGGGTGTTGGTGGGGTTGGTGGTGCCTGGGGTGTTTGTGGTGGTGGTGCCGGTGGTGGACGGCCAGGTGGGGAAGCGGGAGGTGTCGATTAGCCAGCGTTCGAGGACTGCGCCGGGGGGGATTGCTGGTTGGGGGGATTGGGACGGGGTGGTGGTTGGGGAGGATTGGGACTGGGAGGGGGAAGGGTGATGGTGGGTTGGGAGGGATGGTTCGAGCGGGGCGTGGATGACGATGGCGACGCAGGAGACGTGCCCCGTCGCGAGCTGGGCTGCTACTGCATCGACGGCGTCGCGGATCCAGGCGCACACTTTGGGGTGGCGGTTCTGGTGCACGGGGAGGTTGTAGGCTTTGGTGGAGAGGAAGGTCGCGGGTGGGTAGATGTTGCGGTAGTAGAGGATGTTGTGGATGGCGACGGTGAGGAAGGAGTTGAATGAGGTGAGGAGGATGTGGGAGTGGTCCAGGGGGAGGGAGTCCTCTTCGGGGTTGGGCTCGGGTTGTGGTGGTGGCATTGTTGTTAGATTGATTACCAGTTCAGGGTGTGGTGCAAACAGACACGGAAGCCAAGGCACTTATGGAGTCTTGCCTCAAGATGGTCCTTGTTAGTGAAATCGCGGGGTTGCGAGTCGCGACTTGGCGGCCTGCTTGAACGCCAAAGCAGCTGACTTGGAGTTTAACAAACTTGGTTCTGCCCCGCCGTAGTCTGGGCACTTGATGTTCGGACCCCTGCTGCCCCCCTGCCTCCCCAAATCAACCCCGCAGCCGCAGCTCACGCCCGCTCATGACGCTGGTACGCGTCTCAAACATAGGACGATCCCAGCGCTCCGCCTTCTGACCGTGTCTCTGAACCCCACATTACACTGGCACCGCTGTTTGCTGTTTTGAAGTGGGCGGTCTCCCGAGATTCAAGCCCCCACAACGCACTTGTCCGACCCCCCCTCACCACCGTCATTTACTTTGTTGTCTTACAGGAAAGAAGCAAACAGTAACGAGGAAAAATAAGCATTCAAATCCTCAACCCCCAAGATGGACGAGCACCTGGCGCAACTGCTCGCCGGCACCCAGGACAAAAACGAAGCCCCCCGCAAACAGGCCGAGATCGAGCTCCTGCATGCTCGGCAGAATCCCGAGTTCCCCTTGTCGCTATCCCGCATCGGCATACACACGGGCGCCCCCGTACAGATCCGCCAGTCGGCCCTCACATACCTGCGCAACTTCATTGAGAAGAACTGGGCCCCCGATGATGCCGGCAGTGGCCCCCAGGTTCTCGTCGAAGACTCGACCAAGGACTACCTGCGCAATGTCATGCTGGAGCTAGTCCTGAGCCCCGAGGATGAGCGCAAGGTCAAGGTCGCGGCTAGGTGAGCTGGGACCTGGGGAGAGGGCTGAAGATACCCCGGGAGCTAACTCTGTCGCCAGCTATGTGGTCTGCAAGATTGCCGTGGCCGACTTCCCACACCGCTGGCCTGCCCTCCTTCCCTCCGTTCTCGCTGTCATGCCGGCCGGGACCGACGCCCAGCTCCACGGCGCCCTGCGGATTCTACAAGACCTAGTCGAAGAGAGCTTGACCGACGAACAATTCTTTAGCGTGGCCCGGGACATCATCAAGGCCTGCTACGATGTTGCGCTGAACGAGAACCGCAAGGAGACGCACCGGAGCCTGGCCGTGCTGGTCTTCCGGAGCTGTTTTGATCTAATGGATATTGTGAAGGAGGATCACAAGAAGGAAGTCAAGACGTTCGCTGAGCAGGTCCTCAGCGGCTGGTTGCCATTCTTGGAGCAGGCCATCAAGACACCGCTCCCACCTCTCGTGGACGACACTGGGTCCCAGCCAGACAACTGGTACGGCCCGATCGCGCTCAAGGACCAGGCCATCAAGACCCTGATTAAGATCCGGACCGTCTTCCCCTCTCTCCTTCTGCCGCAGATCCTCGCCTTGTTTACTGCCACCTGGGAAGAACTCACAAGGCTGATGCCCCCCCACCAATCCCTCTTTATCAACTCTGATGCCCAGAGCCGGTTGGAAGATATCGACGGCCTCCCGTTCACACTCGATTTCCTAGTCCTAGACGACCTGGATTTCCTCAACCAGTGCATTCGCGCCCCACCCGTGCAAAAACAGCTCGAAGCCGACATCAAGGCGCGCGGTGCTGTCCACGATACTCCCTGGGTGCTAGATCTCATGAACCTCTTGACCGCCTTCTCCCAAATCACACAAGAAGAGGAAGGGCTTTGGAACATTGACGTATCTCTCTACCTTGCCGACGAGACATCCGTGTCATCCAATTACACCGCCAGAACCGCCTGCGGTGATCTAATGATCAAGCTCGGAGAGTGGCTCGACAAGGCTGCGCTCGAGGGTTTGTTCGCATACACAAAGACCATCTTTTCGGCCGAGCCTGCAAGCTGGCAGAAACAAGAAGCAGCGTTATTCTTGTTCAACGCTATATTGAACGACTTCCAAGACTGCGAGAAGTCGATACCGTCTGAGATCGCTAATGCCTACCTCGAGCTCGTGACTTACGCCGTGAATAGGCAGGACGAGCCGATGTTGCGTGCTCGCGGGTACCTCGTCGCCGGCGCTTTGGCACAGACTTACCAGCCTGCGCTTAGCCTTCTCGACAACGTGGTAGATGCCATCACCAGGGACGACTCGGAACTTGTGCAGGTTGCCGCCGTCAAGGCAGTTGAGGGCTTCATCAGGGGCGGAATCCCGGTAGGTCGTCAAGTCCCCATCATCATGGCCATCCAGCGTTTCTTGGAAGCCAAGGACCTCAGCGAGCTGGAAGACGCCGATGATCTCCTGGTGACGCTCCTGGACACCCTACGTACCACCATCAGCATGGATACCAGAATTGCTATCCAGCCCGACAGCAAGGCAGTGGATCTGCTTTTCCTCATTGCCAAACACGGTGCAGCGAACTTCCACGTTACCCTAATCGTTTGCGAGACGTTCGAGGATATTGCGAGAACTTTCAAGGACAACGAGGGACCACTTAAGGACATGGAACACCCTCGTCTCTATGCCGCGCTCTGCAGCAAGGTCTTGCCCTCCATCACAGGGACATTCGACGTTGCCAACCTCACCCAGGACGACCCTCTCGTCACCGTATGTGTTCAAAAGGCGGGCCCAATATGCACCCTACTCTTTGCTAACCCGTTTTAGTTGGCCGCCGACCTTCTATCCCTCCTTGTCCAGTTCGGTTCCGAGCCGCTCCCCGAGGGCTTCGTTGCCGCCACCCTCCCAAAGCTTCTACATCTCTTGATGACCTCTTCTGAGGGCGTCATTCTTCGTCCGGGCGCGGAAGCAGTCAAATTCATTCTCATGCACGACCACAAACAGGTCTTTAGCTGGCAGGATGAGAGCGGCCGATCTGGTCTCGAGGTCTGCCTCCGCATCATCGACCGTCTCCTCGGCCCGGACATCAAGGATACTGCAGCCTCGGAAGTGGGCGGCTTGGCTGCCGAGTTGGTTGAGAAGGCTGGTCACGAAAGGCTCGGCCCCTTCCTGCCCCAGCTTCTGCAAGCAGTTGCTACGCGCCTAGATACCGCCCAAGCAGCACCCTTTATCCAGTCCCTCATCCTAGTCTTTGCCCGGCTCTCGCTTGTTGGCGCGCAGGATGTTGTCAACTTCCTCAGCGACATCCAGATTAATGGACAGGTGGGGCTGCAAGTTGTCTTGAGCAAGTGGCTCGAGAACTCGGTCAACTTTGCGGGCTACGACGAGATTCGGCAAAAGTGAGTCCCTGCATGGTTCTAGAAGATTGACACAATTTCTAACTTGTCCAGCGTTATCGCCCTGTCCAAGCTATACTCCCTCAATGACTCTCGCTTAACGCAGACCATGGTCAAAGGTGAGCTCATCATCGCCAACACAGATAGGATCATGACAAGATCCAGAGCCAAGCTGAGTAAGTTGGCATCAGCGGGCAAATAACTAACTACTAACATGGTCCGCCAGACCCCGACCGATACACCATCATCCCCGCCCCGCTCAAGATCCTCAAGGTCCTCGTCGAGGAACTCGTCTCGGCGTCCGGCCTGCAGGCGGCCGCGAACGTGGCCGCCGCCGCGGCGACCGAGCTCGCGGACGAGGACGAGGAGGGCGACAACGAAGGGTGGGAGGACGAGCCGGACGACACGCTGGACCTGGCGCTCGGCAGCACCAAGTCGGACCTGATGGGCTGGATCGAGGGCGGCAGCTCGCGGCAGCGCGACGACGAGACCCAGGCGTACCTGATCGACTTCTTCATCCGCGCCGACGCCGACAACATCGCCGAGTTCCAGAACTGGTGCGGCATGCTCACCGACGACGAGAAGCAGAAGCTCAAGGAGGCCGCGCGGTAGGAATGCCCGACCCCCGAGGCTTCGCTGCCGAGGCCGTCTGTGAGGAGTATGCTGCGGTGGTGAAAAAAAGAAAAAAAAGAACAGTACTGGCTACGAGGTGCGATGGCTAAGGCGGTACAGCAGGGTGTTGGGTCGTGGGTCGGATGATGAGGACCGGCGCCGATTGTGATTTTACTGTGCGTTGCAGCTACCACGAGCATAGTCGAAATGGGATTGTAGGAAGCTTATCGGCAAGTAGAGATAGACTCGGGCTTGTGTGGTTTGGCATGCGTGCCCAATCCCGATGTTGAGTGAACGAGGGGTTTGCCGGCGGGGGAAACTGAGATACGGATACGGGTCTGGAAGAGGCGTGCTGATGTGCGTACCTCTTGGAGCATAAGTACATGGTATTCGTGATTCTATCTCCCGTGTTCACGTAACCGAAGAGAGACAAACTTGATCGGGGATTCAGTGTGGCATTCCCTCGTTGCTGTGAACAAACTAACCGTAGGTATTATACAATCCAAATACGATCCTCGCCTCGGCCTTGCATCAACAACCTAGAGCCGAGTTACCCGCCTCCCCTCCCCTGCCATACTTCCGTCACTCACGCTAAATCAGTCTCATCCTCCCTAATCAAACAAAGAAAAAAGAAATCACCACCCAACATATTTAGATGATATCCCCCCCACCAAACCCACCAAACCCACCCCCAAACCCCGATCCACCGCCACCCCGTCCCCCAAACCTCGGCTGTCCCCCGGGGCCATACGGATCCCACCTCGCCCCAGGCGGCACCTGCCCACCAAACGTGCCATCTCCTCCTCGCGCCCCCGGGCCCTGAAAGATGGGGTCATCAAAGGTAGGGTGCATCCCCCCACCCCTCCCGCCCGCACCTCCAAACCCTCCAAACCCCCCACCACCACCACCACCACCACGGACGTTCCCACCTGGCTGCCGCAGCCCTTCGGGCCCGACCCCGCCGCCCGTGAACGACCCCGTGATGGGATCGTGCGGGCCGAGACCGGCCGGGTAGAGATCGTCGTGTCCCAACCCGCCGAACCCCGGACCAGCGGGTTGGCCGCCGCCGAGCGGCCCGCGCGCGGGGCGGTTCACTTCGTACTCGTCTTCGAAGCCGGGCGGGGGGAAATCGGCTGCGGGCGCCGGGCGGGGGGCCGCGAGCGGGTCGGGTGCTGGGTAGGGGTGGGGCACGGCAGGCTCGGGCAGCTGCGCTGGGAGGGAGGGACGGGGTGGTTCGTGCTGTCGTGGGGGTTGTTGCTGGAGTTGCTGCGGTGGTGGCGTGCTGCGGCGGAGGGGCGTGTTGGTGTCGTCGCCTCCTTCTTCTTGGAGGTTGGGGTCGAACTGTTGGATGAGGGTGGTTTTGAGGAGGCGGGAGAGGTCTAGTCGGGGGGGTTGGTTAGTTGGTTCATTGCGGGGTGAAAACGGAGGGTTGAGAGGGTGGGTGCGGTACCTTTCATGCGGTCGTCGGAAATGTAGATGGGTTTGAGCTTTTCGACGAGGTCGCTCCTGTCCTCCTCGCCGTCGGAGGTGAGGGTGATACGCAGCGGTAGGGCGGAGGTATTGACGTAGTCGCGGGCGTTGATGTCGAAGCGGGCGATCTGCTCGTCGTTGGTGGCCAGGCCGCGGACCTCAACCTTGCCGGCTAGACGGTCTACGTGGAGCACGAACCGCGCCGAGGATTTATCGTGGGTGTAAACGAAGCCGTGTGAGCTGAGAGACCTGTTCCATCGCGATAGTAAATGGGGCGCGTGGCGGGCACATTCGTCCTCTGGGAGTTGGTTAGCTACGATGATGGGGACGGAGGTTCCGGTTCGACGCACCAATGTTTCGGTCTTCGTTGAAGCCGACCAAAGTGAAACCCAAGTTGGCCATGCAGGCGTGGACGAAGAGGGCGATACAGTCAAGTGAAGTGCTCAGGTCGGAGGTGGCGTCGCCCTTCTGATGGATCGGGAGGACCTTGGCCATTGACTGCAGCACGGCAGCTGGGCCGAGGGGGTCCTGCAGAATCATGGTGGCTTTTGTGACGCAGAGTTTGATGAAAGATTATGGTCGTTCAATCAAGTTTGATAAATAGGCACCTAAGTTGGTATCTTGCTGTGGAAACTGCGTGATGTGAAGTGGGGGATGCGAAGAGGGTCCAGGAATGTGGGGGATTTAAGGACGGGAACGCGGGGCAAAGAGTCGCAAGTCAGGCCCCAGACAGTGGCGTCACGTTGTGGTCAGCAGCTTTCAGCCCTATAAGTGGGATGGTGATCTAGAGTGGATCCCGCCGAGCCCACGAGTCCACTTACCGGCAGCCTCATTCTCAACCTCACCTCTTCCCACTCACAGCGAAGAGTCCAAAACACTCGACTATTTTATTCTGCCGCAATCACTAAAATGACTCAAAACACTGAATCGTCGTGTATATTAATTAGTAAAATCATCTCAAATAACAACGAAAGTACCTCCGCCCAACCAACCTCTTCACAACGTCGTCTCTTCACGAAGGACCACCTTTCCACTCCCGTGCTTCTCAAGTTGATCCAGATACCAATTCTTATGTTCGTACGGATAATCGTGTGGAAAGGTAACCGGGTACGGCGGCACAATCGTCTCCCTTTCTGCCCCTTCGACGATATCCCTCCGAATGTACAAGTGTGATGACCCTATCGTGTGAGGTGCCCGTGCCTGGTCGAGCTTGAACTCCCGATAATCGTTGAGTAATGTGTCGATATCATTCCTGAGGGCGTCGTCACTACGAACCCAAAACATTAACAAACATGCCACACCCCCATCTTTCTCTTACAAACACCCATCTTACCTTTCAAAATCCGACGCACAACCTCCCCCTATCACTGCCGCCGGCTCACACCGCCGCAGAACCTCCCTCCACACCGCACCATCCAACCCCACCGTATACACCAACGTACGCCCATCAACCAGCTCACACACCTCATCCACATCACCACCTACCACCTCCACGGGCGGAAGCTGCGCCACGCGCATCACCCCGGCCGCCCGCTTCAGCGCCTCGCGATCCTCCGCCGTGTACCCCCCACCCCAAAACCACACGGGCACGTCCACAAGATCCCGGTTCCCCGCGTACCCCGCCATAGGCGGCAGTTCGCTCAGCTTCTTGTCCTTGTCCGTTGCCTTCCCCTGCTGCTCCTTCTCACCCTCCTCTGCCAGCCCCTCCAACCGCTTGAAGTAGTGCTTGACGAGCTCGTGCTCGACGCCGCGACCCGACGAACACAGCGCGAGGGAGGCGGCGACCTCGACGGCGGCGGCGTGGCGCAGCATGGTCTGCAGGGCGTCGCAGGCGGAGAGCGGGCGGGTGTTGAACTCGGCGCGGAGGGCGGGGTCGCGGATGGTGCTTCCGTATGTGGTGTGTTGTTGCTTCTGCTGCTGCTGTTGCTGTTCTTGCGGCTCCTGCTGGTTCTGGTTGTCGTGATGATGGAAGGGCCCGCCGTTGGGTTGGGTGTTGCGGAAGCTGCCGAGGTCGAGGCAGACGAGCTTGGTGATGCCCCATTCCCAGCGGGGGAGAAGGTAGTGCTGGTATCGCCAGAATTGGGCGCAGAGGCAGAGGTTTTGGCTGGTTGGTAGGGTTGGATGTTAGCTGAAGTGTTTCCGGGGGGTGGGGGCCTGGGAGAAAGTGACGTGCCATATCAGAGGCTGCTCAACTTCTTTGCGGCTCAGCAACTTGAGGAACTCCTCGCAGATATCCCTAGCGGATGCAGAGCTGGTGGTGCCATTATTGTCCCGCTCGTGGATAACGTCACCCATCGCGTTCACGTGGTGTAGCTCACTTTTGTTCCGCTTTGTGTTTCAGCTGCTATGGAACCGGGTTGGGAATGCCGGTCGACAGGTTCATATACCACGGGTTCGTGCAATGGCCGTGATGATACCACATAATCCTCGTCATTGAAGACGCATGTTTTGTTACCTGGCCCTAAAGGTTACCAAGCCAGCTCGTAAGCCTTCCAGTTCGAACACCTTGCGGTTCCAGTTCAGATTGTACTAGACACCCCCTACTGCGGTCGATCTTTCTTCCCCTTTATTCTCCCCTTCCACCCCCTCGATCCCTCCCTCTTCACCGGCTCCTCCACCAAGGCACACCAGCTCCTGACCCCACCTCGCCTCGACCCCGAGCCGCGCAAATTCGATCGGATTGAACCCTTCTCCCAGCTCCCTCTCGGCCACGTCAGCAGCCCTCCAATCAAGCTTGACATGCTTCTTCAACGTGTTCCAGTTATGGGTCGGCCACTTGCCACGTTTGGCGCTACAGTCCTCGCCGTCCAGGATGGCCGCCAGCACGTCCAGCGGTGTCTCGCCCGAAGGCAAGCTGGGCTGGGTCCATGATGCGCCGTGCCGAACCAAAAGACCGATGCATTCGACAAGGTATTTATCCCTTGTTATGATGACACAGCCGCATTCGTGTCTCCGGCGGTCAGAAGCGGCGGTGGCGGCGGCTGTGGGGAAGACGGTCTGGGGGATGACGTGTGCGTTGTAGAAGGTCTTGAGCAGGTAATACAAGGGAGATACGTGACCGGTGACGCCGTTCCCCGTCTCTTCCACCACGGCCGGCCTCGGGATGAGCGCGCTGACGTCGACGGGGGAGTGTTGGAGGATGACGCGAATAGACGCCGGGTCGGCTTGCCGATAAGTGGTGTCGAGCGCCATGGCTAGGGCTTCCAAGATATCGTCTGGTTGTGGAGGGGCTGTCTCCGTGAGCATTATTTCGAGCAGGTCCCACCTTTCCATGTCTAATGCAACCGGGATGGGGTAAACAAAAGGGTGCATGGTAGGAAAACCCCAACCCCGCCGTCTCAGTGACGGGTATTCGCCATGGCGTCTTCTTGCGGTGACGCCGTATAGGGGAGGAGTATGTTGCAAAAGTACCCGCAAAGCCATTGTCACCTTGGGATTATAGCGTGACGTCCAGTGGTTCAAGCGATATAGGCTAACCACCCGCGATATAACATGCTCACTTTCGCTGTACAATACCGTCTCGGGGCAATCACCAAGCCCGACCTTTGGTAATTGGGAAAGGACAGCGCGGATGAGTTCAACGGACCCCTCGCAATCTAACCGCCCACATGCCTCCACGATGAGCTGTCGGGATAAATATCTTAAACCGTTTAACAGCGTAGCTGGTCCGTCTTCAGAGTCGGTATCCCCCGGGCACCTCAGTGCGAAGCCACGCTCGACGAGCACTTTGAGAGGGATAAGAAGGCCGCGGCGAGCATAAATATTGGCCGTATTTGGAGACTGTTTATGAAACTTGCGGATGGCTGCCGTGTCCGGCATGAAATCCAGCAGAAATTCCAGCATTCCCGGTTTATATCGTGCTATCTCGCTGAGGTTAGTAGACAAGAAGCGTGCCAGCCTGCTGTCCGAAAAGTTTGTGTGTTTAACACCAAAACTCTCTACCAGCCTTGATCCGCCACTAGTTAGCCATACCTCGCACCGTAAGAGCTTGAGACGGCCCCGTCACGTACCATTTGCAAAAGTTCCCATTCGGGGTTCCGCGCGTTATGGCCAGGTCCATAAGGTCGGTCAGCCATGCGGCTTGGAACCGCTCCTCGCCCAGCTGCTTGGCCACTAATCCCATGACCCGTTCGAACAAGTCAAAGTGGTCCGTGTTGTACCATGGGACACCGCCGAAGTCGTGGGAAAACAAAGGGGAAAACCAGTCTCGAAAGGTAGTCTCCCCTTCGCGCGTCAGCGAGTTCCTGAACGAAGCCCCGCGCTCTAAAAGGAAGATGATTGTTCCCAGATACACCCGTGAGTCGTTGCAGGCGGGAGAATATGGTGGGGGTATCATCGCGCATCCCAGCGGCGTACCCCCAGTAGCTTTAGGCCATGGTGGTATGAAATCGACATGGTGGTCAAGCGGTGCCCCGGCATCAAGCATAGCTTGCAGGGCTGCTCGATGACCATGGCTTGCCGCCAAATGTAAAGCTGATTTGCCAGGCTCTTCCCCAAACTGGCCCCCCCTATAAAGGGGTAAAGCAGCACCCGGGTTTGCTCCTCGGTCGAGTAGCTGTCTTATCAGGGAGAGTAGATCCTCCTCGCTGTCGGGTTGAACATGAGGAGCCTTTCCCAACGCATAAAAGGCCATGTATTCGTCAAGGTAGGCCCGTAGTGATCCGAGGGTGGTCGTCCATTTCACGGGCCGGGTTGGCTGCCGCATAAAACAGAACTGAAGGGCCAGAGTGCAGGCCTTAGGTGAGGGCCTTTTCTTACGCAGCAAATATTGGACATCGCGATATCGCCCATGGTAGCACAGGAAGTTGAGAGGGAAAAAGTGGCGATCCCGGAAACCGAGGGCGCGACGAGCGCTGACCCCTCGACACAACAGCCAGCGCCCTGTTGTTCGTACGTGCCCCGCGGCAACCGCATAATCGAGCGCACGAAGCCCCCTGGGATCTTTTCGCTGCAGCATGGGAACAGGCTTTCCAGACGCGCTGTCGACGAGCTGGTTGAGCAAGAACTGGCACATGGCGACATTGCCTTGCAAGGCGGCAGTATGAAAAACAGTAATTCCGTTATCTGCGTCCACGGGGGCCAGAACACCCCCATCCATCTGTCCGGCCAGCCACGGGTCGGCGCCGCGGACGAGGAGGTTACGAACAAGATGCTCATGGCCAGAGCAAACAGCGATGTGCAATGCACTGAAAGACGGTGGAGGTTGGCGGGCCTTCCAGTACACGGGCGTAATGCAGTCACAAAGCCCTCGGCATCTCGATTCGAGGTCAGCACCATGGGAAAGCAGGAGATCGACGGCTCGCTCGTCGCCCTGCTTAGTGGCGACATGAAGCGTAGTCCATGAGTACGCATAGCTGGGGTGTTCCAAGTCGGGGGTGCTCAGACAACAGCCGAAGTGCGCCCCATTGACAAGCGCAGCGATATCACGGTGGAGGATGTCAAGGGCTTCCGGCATGTCGCCGTTCATGGTTGCCAGATACCCTCCAAGCATTGTCAGAAGCGAGGATGATAGGGGTAGACAACCCGGATTGCCACGTACACTCTTGAAGCAGAAGGCTGGGATCGTTAGGTGCATATTGCCCTCTTCTGGGCCGCTGATGGCGCACGATGTCTTGTTGGAGTAACTTGGCAATGAGGTGGCCATCTAACCGGGGCGATAGGCGGCGACGACCACGCTGGGCAGCGAAGACATCCTGGCGGGCACAGTCGGGCAAAGTCGACCAGAAGCGGGCATTGGGGTCGACTCCGTTTTCCAGAAGAGCCTTCAAGGTTTCAAACTCGCCATTTTCGGCGGCCCAAATCAGAGCATCCTCGCCTTCCAACCTGATGCGGCCGACATTCTTGTAAAGTAGCGAAAGCGCGCCACAAAACCGGCGGCTGCAAAGGGCGAAAGACACGACAGAACCGAAAGCCCTCTCTCCCAAGAGATGCTCAATAATTTGATAGAGGAGGTCTGTAGGGAGGTCCTCGATCCGTATGTCGTTCATTTTCGAGGGTAGGGTTGAGTGTTGCTGACGGGAAGGAGGGGGGTCAGGGAAGAAGGAAGGTCTCCCTGGCTGTTGGGGTCGTTCCTGAGTGGTTGCGGGGCACGTCTGGAAGGTGGTAAAATACATAAGTTACGCGGTAATGTAATGTACATACGTGTATTATACACCGGCGACCGTCCTCACGGTTCTCGCAACCACCAAGGCAGTCCACCACCACAAGGGCGGAAACCGTGCTCATCTCAAGCCACCCAAACCCTACAAAAATAATCCCAAATAAAGCCATGTCAATACCAAGCAGCTCCGGTATCCCGCTCTCGCACGCGCCCGACGGAACGGGCTACAAGCTTCTCGAGCTGCCACCGGAGCTGCTGGAGCTGCTCGAGAGCCAAGACCGACCACCCACGTACGTTCCAATCAACCCCCCTTCCAAACCACCCCGCCTCCCACCTCCCACCCCAAACAGCCCACCACCTTCACTCCCACCACCACCCACTCACACCCACAACTAACCCCCCGCCTCCCCCCACCCCCATCTCCAGCCTCACCCTGCACCCCTCACCAACCGCCGCCCTCCTCAAGACCCCGTCCAAGACCTACTCCCTCCGCCAAAAGAACACCTCCAACGCCCTCATCCTGCTCGCACCCACCAGCAGCAGCAGCAGCAACACACCCAGCGACGGACGAGCAGCAGCAGCAGCAGCAGAAGCAGCGGGCGGGCTGAGCACCATCGCCACGGTGCACGACACGACGGAGCTCGTGCCCGAGGACGAGGCGGCCGCGGCGCCGGCGGCCAAGGCGAGGGGGAAGTGGCATGAGAAGTTTGGGCGGGGGCGTTAGGTATTTAGAGGGTTTTGTTATTTAGTTGTGTGCACGCACGCAAGGTCGGTTTGAGAGCAGGTGAGGTTGGTTGTGTGGGCAAGGGGGATGGGGATGGGGATAGGGATAGGGTGGGCGTGTGGGTAAGTGGGTGAGTGAGTGAGAGGAGGAGTGAGGTGTCGGGGACACACGGCCGGTTCTGTCGATGGGCTGGTATCGATCGGGTACTACGTGTAGAGACGGTGGAAGGGTGACGAGAAGAGAACGGCGGACGAGGCATATGCTTCACGTGTGAGACCACGTCGATTCAGAGCTGCGCTAGAAGAGTTATGCTGCCCCCTCCCAGTTCACCTACCTACCTAGGCAGGCTTATGAAAGCAAAAACGCCGCTAGGTGCCCCGGCCAGTCCCATCCCCACACCAGGCGGCACCTCCGCCCCGTCCAAAGATGAATTTCATGATATAAAATGCACGCTTCTCTGCCTCGTACCAGACCAGGGCACCCGCGCCAGCCCAAGAACCCCTATGTCGTGTCTGCCCGTGCCTCCTGGCCATAAGAAGACCAAAGAGATAGGTGCCGTCTCCCGGTTAAGTAACTTGCCCGTATATTCATCCTATTCTTGTCCGCCGTCCGGTGCCTGGGTTCGTTAGCGATAAATAGATGGAGAAATGTCCCCCCGGCCCCCCCAAATACATGAGTATGATGTCCTACGCTCGATGCTAAAACTGTGAAAAAGAGAATCCCAAAAATGGACGAAGAAACGAGGGGTAGAGAAAAGCCGAAGATGTTATCGTCATCACCACCCTGGAGGGAAAGGAAACGGTTGATCCATTTTTGGGATGGCGGCATCCTGGATTTCCGGTTTTGCGAAGCCTTGAAGGTTCGGGATTGCGAAACCCGCGTCCCCGGCCGCAAACCTCTCCGGAAATTGCGACCCCTGCGCACCTGTCTCGTTATTGTGAGCGTGGCCTCCGTCGTTCTGATCGGGCTGGGGGGCAGGCTGAGCAGCCTGAGCCTGAGCCTGGACAGGGACACCCGCAACCCAGGGAGATCCAAATTGGATGGCGAACGGGTTGTTGACGTGGGGTTGTGGGAAAGGCTCATACCTCCCAACATTACCCCCAGGCCGGATGACGGGTCGGCGGGGTCCAGCATACCTGTTCCGCATAGCCGCACGATTCTGGCGAAACATCCTGATGCGATCCTTCACATCTGGCTCTGCGGGAGCAGCAGGATGAGCAGGAACTGGGGCAGCAGGGGCATCGGAACCGGCAGGAACAGCGGGGGCAGCAAAAGCAGGCGGAGCAGCCCGAGGGGACGGTAGAATAGGGCCCGGCGAGGGAAAAGGGGGAACTCTAATACAGCGCGCAGGGACGCGGAAGGGCTTAGGGTGGCCTAGCTGGGCTGCCGGCTCCTGCTGCGGTTGTGGCTGTTGCGCCTGTGGTATCTGGTGTGCCTGTAGTGCTTGCACTTGTGCTTGCATTAATGCTTGCATATGTTGGTCAAATTGGGCTTGTTGGTACTGGGCTGCTTCCAGCATGCGTCTCCTTCCGATTTCGCCAACGTCCTCGGGATTGGCGAATGCGAATTGGGGGGGTGCCCAGTTCGCTGCCCCGTTCGCTACCAAGGCCAGTAAGCTAAACTGTGCCAGTCTCGAGCAAGGCCGGTCACGGCATTAGGCTTTTACAAACCGGGATCAACTGGAATAAACGCCGGTACCGGCATGACCATATGTCGGAACCCCGGAGGCCCTGGTGGCCGTGGGTTGCCCGCTGTGCGTCGCGCGTCGTCTTCCTTGACTCTCTCCGAAAAGTTAATATGCAGCAGCTCGTCCCCTACTTCGGGGTTCTCCTCGGCAACCTGCTGCCGGGCAAGCGCTTCAGCAGTATGGACTTCATTTTTGTGGCGGTCCTCGACATTGTCGAACAAGGGACAGTTGCCTTTCTTGCCGCCTCTGCTCGCGTCATCGAAGTGGTTGTAGTCGCACGACTTGGAGCAGACGTAGCACTGCACATTGCGGCACCCACTGCGGGTGCACGTCATTTTGTTGCAGCCGTTTTCCTTGATGAAGGGCGTGCCGCCTATTCATCGGTACCTAGTTAGTATCGTTCGGGAACCTATGGAGGGAAGGACCTACATTTGTTGCACTTGCGAATCAAGGCAGCAGACATTGCCTCCTCGATTACACGCCGAGCCGAGTGTCCGCGTTCCCTGGCAGCTTCCTCGCAAGCCTTGGGGATATGGGTTTCCTGTCGACATAGGCGGCAACTGATCAAGAGGCAGTCCGGGTTCTCGCAACGAAACTCCTTGTTTTCCTCGACAGGAGGATACTCGGCCGCATACGGACAGAACGGACAACTTTCCAAGTTCTCGATGCCAGCCAACCGAAGAACCTCCTCTTGCTCGATCAGCTCCAGAGCGTTAGTCAACTTGTCATCCAAGAAGAGTTCCTTCTGGTCCCTGGAAAAGGTAGCGTCGCATCCGTCCACCGACATGCACCCAAGGCGGTATTTGGAAAGCCCGACCACATGCTCGGCCATTTGCTTGGCACACGAGCGGCAAAACCAATGTGTGGTGTCTCCGTCGCAGTGAATCATGCTGCTGAGAGCAAGCTCCTCGTAGCAACAGCCGCAGTCCGCGACTGTCCCTTCGGCCTTTGCGCGCTGCAGGGTTTCTTCCTCTTCCTGGACCTTCTGCTTCTCTTGTGCCTCTTTGGCTTCGCGCTCCTGGGCCTTCGCTGTACAAGCGGCACGGGCTGCATCGAATGCCGCTATAGCATCGATCTCTCCTTGATGGACCGCACCGTAGCGCAGAACCTTCTCGGCATTGGGGTTTGGGCGCCTGAAATAGGCTCTTTTAAGTTTGATGGGACCGGCGTCTGGACTCCACGAGGCCTTGTCAAGAGCAAGGTATGTCGTGTAAAGTTGGAAATTGTTCGCCTTCAGAGTGTTTTCAATATCTTCAGCGTATCGTCGCTGAAAAGCCGCTTTGAGTAATGCGTTCCTGCCCATATGTTAGACTAGAGGGTAGAGGACCGGGGGTAGGGGGGAAGGTGCTGGAAAATGGACGACGCATGATGTTAAAGCGTTTCTTAAATGACTTACGCCTTCTTGGTGTAAAGCTTGAAGTACTCCTGGCCTTTACTAGCGAGCCGTGGATCCTCTTCAAATCCCCATCGCATCTCCTCCTCGCTGTCTTTCTCAATCTTCTCTGGGCGTTTGCGTTTCAGCACAGTCGGCCGCTTTGGATATGGTTGGTCTTTCTCAAGGTCGTCTAAAAGGCGGGTGATAAGGCCTTGCGAGTCCCATTGGTGTTCCGCCGCTTGGCTCCTCAGGTAATCCGGGCAGATGTCTGGGAAGCAGCTCAATACGTCCTTTTCGCATTTTACCTTCCCATCAATTTCAGGACCTGGCCCCAAACTGGACCGAAGAACGGCAGGCATTGATGGTGATTCTTCCCTGTGTCAAACCGTCAGTACACTTGAGGTGGACTCTGCTCCATATCCATTGGCGGAATCGTATGAACTTAGTATAGGAACCCAAGTGCGCCGAACATGATCGAATGGCCCCCATGCCGACAGGACTCGTCAATCTCCCAATAGAACCTCATAAGCCGCCCAAATAACACAAATATTGAACGATAAATGTGCCGCGAAAGGACTTGACGGCTGGTTCTAGTTGAGGGAAGCGAGTGGGGTCTCGGAAAGCTCCAGGCTCGTGATGATCAATGGTAGAGATTGAGGGTGTGCCCATGCTGGCGCTGGCATGTGCAGCTAAAGCAGCCGCCTGGGCGGCAGCGTATATGGTGACTCGGGGAAAGTATGGAAACACTTACCGTGTTAACTGGAGGTTGTCGTCGGCAGGGTCATCGTCTAGGTTGACGAGATCGAGGTAGTCAAATAAGGGTGGTGCTGGAGGGGAAGGTGGGGGAGAGGATGGCGAGTCAGAACTGATTACGATCACATCTCGGTGGTCCATCGTTAGACCCCCGAAAGTTCGTCTGCGTTGGCGTTGAGTGAGGGGAACCGCTTCGAGGCGAGTTGGAGGAGGTGCAAACGAGTGTTTGGGAAATCTGGGATTTGAGTGGTGTTCCTGAGCAATGACCAAGGCGGCCGACCGAGACAGTCAAGACATTTATGGAGGAAAGTTGGGATTGCGGCAGATTGCTGGTTGCGAGCTGTGGGTTGGTGAATCGAAGTGGGGGAAGCCGCCACGACCGTAACCAAGTGTGAATCCTTAAATTCTCGAGAACAAGGTCGGAACAAGTGAGGCTGACGGCAAACCTCTTAAAACGCTAGCCAGGAAGACCGCCGTGACGGACCCTCCAAAACGGTCACTGAACAGGCCTGTCATCTGAGTCGCTGCCTTGGGCCTTTTGGCACCTTGAGTGAGCCTATTTAGACACGTGCCGTCCCGTTTCGCTTGTTGGAGACTGACTTGGTTCAGGACAATCGGACCATTAGCTGAGTGGCCACAAGCTCGGGTGTTGGTGGAAGGCGCTCTTGGGGTTGTCCTCTGACCGTGCACGGGCCTGTATGAACATGAGGAACGCCCAAAGGGGTAAGTTAATTCCCATGTAATTGCACGCCCCAAAACGGCAAGTGGGATCTTGAGGAGCAATTCGGAACATGAACCCAACCCAACAATCGCGCCGACATGGACTCAACCATTATTCCTGTCGATTTTGTGTCTGATTCGTCATGATAGCAACTTGGATGAAGTCACAATAACATAACTATTGTTTTCTAGGCCTCCGTCGCCTCTCCACGGTGTCTCCATCATATGATCAGTGCACTTGCCTTGGTGGAGCCCATCATCACCGCACCTATGTCATCGAACGCATGCGGGAACCAGCAACCCCGTTTTCTCGTCTTTCTAACTGGTTCTCACTTGATTTCATCTCGACTCTTTGACGGAGGAACAGTCCATCCCGTAAACCCTAGCATTCTAAGCCGACAACCTCGAGCGTCTTCAGAACCCCAAGTCAACTGAAACATCCCAAGCGAGCCAAGGTATTTTCCCCTCTTCTTGCTCCGGGCTCTTCGAAATATTAAGCCGGCCCCTGCGCCCGGATGTCAATGCCTTAGATTTACTTGACTCTCTTGGGCTTCGGTTTCGCGTGCGAAACCGATCTTCCCGGCCCGGCTATCGGGTTGTGCGGAGCCTCCCCATGGTCAACCTCAAGCGATGCCATTTCGTCCTCCCCCCCTTCCTCCTCGTCGACGATAGGAAAGAACCCCGAGGTCAAGTTAGCGGTTCGCTCCTCCTCTTCATACCCCTCCGGTAAGAAGCCCCCACCCATATCCTCATCCTCTCCCGGCGCAGCGCTAGGGTCCACCCCTTCTCCCTCTCCCCTAACCCGCCCACTGCTCTCCCGACCAAAAGCATCCACGTCTTCTCCTACTTGCCCATGGTCCTGTTTGATCCTCTCCACGATCCGCAACCCCATGACGAACCTCCTCCACATCCCCAACGCCGCCTTGCGCCTTTTGTCGTCCTCCTTCCTCTTCTTCTCCTCCTCATCCTTAGCCAACAATTCCATCAACTGGTCATGGTGTTCCTCCGCGATAACCACCCCCTGAATAACCGGCACAGCCATGCGGTGACCAAACTCAAAGTCCACGACCGCTTCAGCGAAGTCAATCCCCATCCTCTTAGCCACGCGCATGGCGCCGCGGAAGGGCACGTGCACAGCCCCCTCGGGACACATGTGCTGGGCAAACAGGTCGATGTTGCCGTACTCGTTCTTGGGGATCACGCCGTCCTCGATGGGCGGCGGGATGATCCAGTCGGTCTGGTCGAAGCCGTACAGGCCCTGCAGCACCTTCTCGCCCGTCGCGGCCTCGGCCTCGGCGATCTCGCGCCGCCGGTTGGTCGTCGCCGCCCGGTAGGGGACCCGCTTGAGCGGCTGCTCGCCCGGCTTCGGCGCCCGGCCCTGCTTGTGCCACGTCTCGGCGCTCTTTACCTGCACGACATCCCCGCGCGCGTACACGGGCTCTTCTTCGGCGGTCTTGCCCTTGTTTTTGAACGTCTTGACCGGCTGGGCGGCCGGGAGGAGAGCTTCCTCGCGCTTGAGGTGCCGCGCGAGGACGAATTCCTTGGATTGTTTGTAGTACTGGAGGGTTTCTTCGCCTTCTTTAACTTCTTTCTTCTCGGGCTTGGCGGGTTTCAGGTCCGTCGCGTTCTCGTCGTCGTCAGCTTCGGTGATGGGGTGCTTCTGATCGCCTCGGACGTAGCCGTCCATGACGGATCTGAACCAGTCGAACTGGTCGTATCGTTTGACTTTACCATGGTGATTGTAGACAGGCACCTTTTCGATGGGAATGCGCACCCCTTTGGTCCTGCCTGGCAGCGTTTGCCGTTTTAGGTAGCGCACCGTGACATCCTTGGCCGTCCCATCTTGCGAGTGCCCGACAACGTAAGCCATGACCTGCTTCGCCTTGTCGGCTTTGCCACCACGAGGCTCAAGTGACTCGACGAGTTCTCGATTTGTGGCGATCACGGCTTTGACGATCGGGTCGACGACGAGATACTTGTTCGTTACCGGTGACAACACTTCAGTCCAGTAATGAGGAAATTCCAGGTCCGCGTCGTAAACCCTCTCCCTTTTCTGTGGCGCTTTCGGGACCTGGATGGCTAGGTCATCGTCGCTGTCGTCCGCCGCCAGTTCCGAATCGGACGGATCTTCTAGCTGCGCCCTGGTTTGTCGTCTTGAACTTCGACTGGGGGCGGTACTCCTTACCGTCTTCGCCACACTAGCCTGTGCAGGATCTGGCCTTTGTTGAGGAACACTCTCCGGTTCCTTTCTTGGAGTATGACCGGAACTGAAGCCTTCCTTCTCAGGGTCCGCTTCCTCCAGTTTGTTCCACCCAAACCCCAACGGCTGGATATTGGCAACCAGGCGAGCTTCCAAGCCTAGCGCCCTGAGTAGTGCCGTAAAGAGTTGAGCCCCAACGTCCCGGCTGCCGGTGCATTCCTGCGCGCACAGCCGGAATTCGTCAAGATCCCGGACACGTTCCCCGAATCTCTCTTGGTCATGTTCATCTTTCCGAAAAGCCTTCGTCAGACGGTCAAGCCTCTCCAACGACATGTATCCCCACTTCCGTAACCCTGGAGCGGTGACGCGAAACCGCTGTTTCCACCAGGCGGCCAGATATTTCATCAGCCTGAACAGAGGGTCCCCATGGCTCATATCCACGGCGCCTTTTTCAAGACGCTGCGAGGCCGGAGCCCAATCCCGGGCTTTTCGCGCCGGCGCCTTCCCTTTGCCTTTCGAGTTCTTGTTCGTCTTGCCACTCTGAGGCGCCTCCTCGGGCACCTCCAACCCGCTGTTGTTCCTCCAACGGTCCACCTCGGCCGATAGTCTCGGCGGGAGATGGGACAGCAGAATGCCTTGAACAGTCGGATCGCACAGCCAGGAGTTTCGGAGAGCATTATGCCACATCAGAAACTGAACATGCGCACAATGCGTAGCAACCCGTATCTTCCGCTCCAGTTTCGACGGGCCTTTCTTCCCCAGCGCATTTGCCAAGGATATCCTGGTGTCCCTGATCAGCGTCAATTCAAGGTCGCCGGACGGCGTCGGAACATTGGTGAAGGCCGTCTGTGGAGTCTCGACGTCCTCAAACTCGATATCCTCGTCGTCTTCATCGTCGTCATCGACTTCGTCAACCGCCGCCTGGGTTTTCCGTCGCTTGGCGGATGAGACATCTTCAAAGTCGCCATCAGACAGGGACGTTAGGGAACTGTCGTCGTCATCGCTATCCTCTATTCCCAAGTTCGATGACGTATTTCTTGTCGAGGACCGCGGGGTTGAGCTCGCATCGAGGTCATCGAAGAGCGTCGACTTGCGCGGCGGCACTCCGAGACCCTTTTGGCCTCTCTTCTGTTTGGCTTTCGTCTCGATTTTAGGGGGAGGTGGTGTGGAGTCGCGTATTCGCTTGCGCGGTACATGAGGGGGCATTTCGGATCCGAATTGCTACGCCGTGGCGAGGCATGTTGAAAGGTGTTGAAAGGTTGGTAGGAGGTGCCGTCCTTACGAGAGCGGAACGGGAATGCTGGAGCTGTCGCATGCTTTCGCCCCATGCCCATGCCAAGCCGCTAAAGGGCGATCGACGCCAAGTGCCCCTTGCCCCGCCGATCCCCGCCAAGCTGTCGGGTGCCTTCGAGATCGTTCCAGTGACCACAGCCCCGCGAGAACGCAGGCAACCAACTCACGTCGTCGTCCACCTCGACTCGCTTGGTCAGCGATCCAACGATTACCTACCTACCCGAGACAACTTACGGCGGCAACTGTTCGATTGCGCAATCCGCTGCCACCTAGCCGCTCTTCATCACTCTTTATTAGAGCGGACAACCGACCACAGCTCCCGCAACCATGGCGTCCCCCAACCCCAACTCCGAGAAAGACGAAACCTCATACCTCAAGATGTCGTCCGCCGACGTCGAAAGCCGCGGCACCGACGCGGCCCTGATCGGGTCGCACTGCCAGTACAGCTACTGCAACCAGCTCGACTTCCTCCCGTTCCAATGCCAGTCCTGCAACAAGACCTTCTGCCTCGACCACCGCACCGAAGACGGCCACGCATGCACGAACCCGGGCGCGTGGGCGGCGCGCAAGCGCGAGGCCGAGCTCGCCAAGCACTCGGCGGGCGAGGGCCGGCGCATGCGCGACCTCGTCGCGCAAAAGCCCTGCGCCGACGAGGGGTGCAAGACGACGATCGGCACGGCGCTGGTGCCGGGCGTGCACTGCGCCGGCTGCAACCGCGACTACTGCCTCAAGCACCGGCTCGGGGAGGACCACGCGTGCAGCAGCAAGACGCCGATCGGGGCGCGGGCGGCGCGCGCCGCGCAGGCGGCCGCCGTCGCGGACGGGGCCAAGAGCGCGCTCGAGCGCTTCCGCCTGTGGGGCCAGGCCAAGAAGCAGCAGGCCAAGGTGACGTTCGCGTCGCCGGGTACGAAGTCGAAGGCCGCGCAGATGGTCGCGGTGAATAACCTCAAGAAGACGGCCAAGGGCGACGCCAAGATCGCGCCCGAGAAGCGCGTCTATCTGTATGTGGAGGCGGAGGCGGCCACGGCCAGGGCCAAGCTCCCCAAGGGCGAGTTCTTTTACTCGCAGGACTGGGTGGTGGGCAGGATGCTGGACGCTGCGGCGCGGAGCTTGCAGGTGCAGAATATCAATAACCAGTCAAACTCGGAGGAGGATAAGTTGCGGGTGTTCCACGTAGAAGGAGGGAGGATGTTGGAGTTTAGCGATAAGCTGGGGACGGTGTTACAAAGCGGCAACACAGTTGTCTTGCTGAGAGGCGTTGGGCCACCGCCGGATTTGATTGAAACTTGATTGGGGTAAGGAAGGAGTTCCATCTTCGCATGGTTTAGCATAGCGTTTGGGATTTATACCGGCGTTTGGGGATAGATACGGGGTTGGGTGGTGGTTGAATGGGGAAGGCAACCTAGGCACCAATATTTGCTTCCAGTAATAACATACGTTCATCGAAAGACTAGTAAACAGCACCACCGAAAGCCGTAACGCCCCCGAGCCGTAGATATGACCATTACAGACAGAGCTGAGAGAAAGTCACCCACCCCAACACCGTACCCGCCGCCGCCATGCCTCACGCCTTCTTCTCCTTGGGCCGCTCGCTCAACTGCCTCTCCCTCCCAATGAGCGGCGCATTCCCCACCGCCTCGTGGCCACCAAACGTCTCGAACCCCTTATGGAACGCCCACTCAACCGCGTTCTCAACCGGCTTATCAAAGATGCTAGGCAGGAACGGCACCACGGCCAGGCCGAGCCCGATGGGCGCCCACGTGCGCACCCGCACATTCTTGACATCCTTCATCGCCCGCCCGCTGTACCGCACCACGCTGTGGATGGTAAACGCCGGCAGGCCCATGCTGGCCAGGCTCTGGAAGATGCCGCGCTGCAGCATCACGGTGCGGTAATCGTCCAGCGGCGCGACGGCGCCGGCGCCCAGGGCAGGGGCGGCAGCGGCCGGCGGGGGCGGGGTGGCGTTCTCGACGCCCAGGATCTTCTGCTGGCGCGTGGTGAGCTCGAGGCGCGGGTTGAGGGCGCGCTGGTTGTGCAGGTAGGCCTTGTACCCTTCGTAGCTGACGTCGCCGAGGATGTAGGCCCACGAGACGCCGTAGGCGCCGCGCACGAGCCACGGGTGCGCGACGGGTCGGAACGACTCGCCGATGTCGGATGTGTAGGCCACGTAGCGGTGCGCCGAGAGCAGGATGGTGCGGAAGCGGGCTGCGTATGCGGCGTAGCGGACGTTGGAGTCGGTCGAGGGGGGCACGCTGTTGGGTTTTTCATATGGGTTGGTTAGGGATGGTTGGGCGCGGGGAGGTTGGTTTGGAGATGGGGAAAGGGGGGGTTGCGGCGTACTAGCCGTCGACGAGCTCGTCGAAAAAGTTCTCTTCGTGGTCATCCTTGTCCATGATCTTCTGGAGCTTCGGAGGTAGCTTCCGCCCGTCGGGAAGCTTGTTGGGATCGAACTCGGCGGGGGATTTCTTCACGTCCCTTGGCGCGCTCTGGGACTGCGGCGACTTGGGATGTTCATTTTGGGAAGTCGACGAGCCCGCAGGCTTGTCTGAGCTGCTACTCCAAGGCCACATTTTGCGATGTTATCAACGAGAATGTGTCGGTGTGAGTGCTTTGCGAAGTCGAGAACGATACCTAACGAACACCCCACCAAGAGCGGTATGCGCGTCGATCGGGAACAATCGGAAGGGGTCCAGAGCCCCGCGTCGAGATTTCGGTAACCAAGAAGAAATAACTACCGACTTTCCAGTATGTGAACAGTGCAGCAGTTTCAAGGCGAGAGTTGTTCTAGTACAAGATATTCTCAACGAGAGCTGAGTGATTTCGAGCTTTCAACCCGCCGTGTTAGTGACGTAGCTTGGCTGTTTGTTCCCCACTGCTTGCAATCGGCCGGGGCTTCTGGGCTTCTGCAACCGCATCCATGTCTTGATGTGGAGACCGGCTCCGAAGCTCAACTTGGTCCGTGCCCAGCCGTTCCGGCTTTCTGGCAAAATTTCGGGTGTTCAGGAACGGAGGTTGACGACCTGCGACCTTTTCACGTTTTGCTCGCCATACATACACCGCGTCCTCCATACCACCCCCAACAGGACTCCCACCACCACATCACCAAGCTCGTTGCCCGACCCAACGCCAAAATGGTTCAAACCTACAAGCTCTTCGGCGCGAACGTCGGCTCGCACTACGTCAGTTCCCCCAATTGAAGCGCCCATTTCCCGTCTCCCGACAAGCTCCGACAGGTCCCTCCCGGGGATCCATTGACGTGCAATGGCTGACATTATGGGTGTTGCAGCTGGCGATGGGTGTCCTGGGCACATTGTTCGTGGGCTCATACGCCGCTCTCGGTGGTAGCAAGCCGAAGCCCGCCACTCCCCCCATCAACGCTTCCAGCTCCGACGAGGCCGACTTCATCAAGTGCGCTCATACACATCCCACCTTCGATAGGGCCGTTTTTTCTGACATGTTGATAGGAAATTCATGGATCAGGCGGAAGCGGACGAGAAGAAGGCGTCGGCAAAATAGTAGCTTGGAAGTGACCGATGATCGGCCGAGGCGCGAGGGCTTTCTAGCCTGTGTACAATGTAAAGCGAGCGTTCAATAAGGGCACGGTTGCTTAGACCAGAACCTCTTGAAGACAAATGCACAACAGATTCAGAAGTATGTGTTGCACAAATGCCGACAGGTCCCCAATGGGAGGGGAATTTGCCGAAGAGGCAGTGCATCCCATGTTGGTGAGGTCACGACTGCTTAGGAGGGAAAGCAACCCGTGTGCCCTGAGTCGCACATGCTTGTCGGATCCCCGCATGGAACCAAAAACTCCTTGGGATGTTTTTCTAAATACCAATCGTTCCAGCCAACAAGCGTTCGCAGGCGCCCAATTCCAGTTCTCCCAAGTTTCGTCGTTGGCTAGATCAGCCGTAAAACTCCGGGATAACGGTCTCGTCTACACGCCATGGACAGGCTCATGCTGTTTTGATGCGTTAACAGTCTGTTTGAGGGGGCCGGATGCGTGAATTAGAACATACTCGCATATTAGTCCCCCTAGCGACTTTGTGGCATCCGAGATTGCGTGGTGTTTGGCGCGCGGAAAGTCGAGTTGAATATAGAGCCAGTGTCATCAGACAATATAAAGAAAGGAAGAAAGCGGTTCAATGATACATTTGTCAACCGAGACCATGGAACCGAAGCTGACCCCCAGTTCTAGGGGGAACAGTATTGCGTGTTGAGAAGGCCGTCAGCCGGAACTGGATGACCGGGAGATGGGCGGCCCAACCAAATTATTGTACAGCGGAAGATGATCCCCATCAAAGATAGGTCGCTCAACCAAAATATCGTAGAGCGGAAGATGGGCTACCACTAGCCCAGGATGCCGTAGAAAGAGAGATGGCCTACCCCTAGTCCAGGTCCTGTAGAGCGGAAGCCGGGCCGCTCAACCAAGATACCGTAGTGTGAGAGGTGGGTCTGTGTTGTTCAGAAGCGGATGCGTGGGTTAATACATTGTTGTAGTAGGATCCCGTGCTGCGGAGGTCAGCATCGCCAGCCCTTGGAGAGGGTATGTTGGCGAAGACAAATGCACGTCGATAGAGGTACTAACAAGGACCCCTCGAACAGATACCCGGTAACCGGGATCGCTCACCCCCGAGTGTGATAAACAACTTCTGGGCTTGGTTTTGTGTAAGGAAGGGCGCTGAGTGAAAAACGAATAAAAAACCTCGAGCTGGAACATGGAAAGCTGAAATAGACGTAAACGGGCTTCCATGTTGGTATAATGTCACGTTCGCAAATCGCCTGACGATATCCGGAGCCACAATGGAGTAGGGGTATCACCTGTCGTTCCGGTATCTGGACGGGTATCTATGCCGCACCTTGAGCAAGCTGACTCGGAGCAATGGTTATCTCTCGACCAGTACCGTACTAATTAGCACTACGTTACTCGAGAAATGGAGGTTGGCAGAGAGGGGGGTTGGGGCCCCGGTTAGCCCAACCGCTGGCTGGCCCCGGGTTGTCAAAGAGAAAGAAAGGGAGGAGTTCAAAAAGAAAAAGAAAAGAAAACGAAAAGGGGGGGAACGGGGGCAATGTCGAGACATTAAACAACACGAGTCATCGACGACAGTTTCCATAATGGGATTTGTCACTCACAGCCTTTTCTGCTTGTCAGGTTACTATAAAGCTATATCCGAAATGTTAGTGGAACGGCGGTGGCAGATGATATCAAAAAGGCCAGGCGGAATGTCGGGGCCACTTTACAATGGAGGTTTCTGGTTTACTGGTCCCCTCGAGAAACAAGTCCCTTGCCTAGCTTGAGGAAGGCGGACGTCGACCAATACAATGCAAAACGCGGAAACGATTCCATGTCCATACTTCTGCGAGATCCGCCCGGGCCTCAATTCTTTGCAGGCTCATTGCGCTACCTACTTATTTTCTGGACTCCCTTAATCTGCTTACCCAAACAGCATTTCTCGCTGCCGTCGGACCCAGTATCGAATCCAGAGCCAAATACTAGGATTGCCACAGTTAGCCCAGACCCCAAGCGCATGAGCTGTCCCTCTCCCGTATGTTTTCCCGAATACCACCTGACCTGCTCCCAGTCCTTGTAAGCCTCGCTGGCAACGCGATACAAAGTCCGGGCCCCATAAGAGTCGCAGCGCCAGCGAGTCGAAGGACAGAGCGGCCATCAACCGAAGTTCAGGGTATCTTATCCGTTCCGTGTCAAGTTCCGTATCAGGATCGGCGTCGAGTTCAGTGTCACTCCCAGATTCTCTGTCAAGTCCTCCCACTGTGTCGTCCATATCCTCTGAAGTCGAGTCTCCAGGTTCGAGTCCGTCGTATTCCTCCCATTCTTTAAAGGCTTGCTCCGGCAACGAGGCTGCCGCTTCCATCCCCTCAGACGAAGCGCGGCGGTTGAGCGAAGAGCAGAGGATTTCGAGGCACGATTTTCGCTCTCTCGGCACATCACGCTGGTATTGTCGAGCCCGCAGCGATTGAAGTTGGGCAAACTTGCATCGAAGGCAACGCGAGAGGCATCGGCTGCAAGGGCATCGTCTAATCAGTTCCTGGAATCGAATGGAGCTGTCGTCCTCCCAATTCTCGTGTTCAAGGGCAATAGTATCCCAATACAGGGTGTCCATATTCAGGTGCAGACGGGTGTGACAAGGTTGCTTCGCGTAAAGAACCGGGGGATCAAGTGTGGGAATTGCTTGGAATGCGTTGGAAAAGGGTATGCTTGAATTTATACCCCCAAGAGGGAGCTCTCTAACCACCGCTCGGGCTGCAGGGTTCCCTTTCGTGACAGACACAGAGTGGCAAACTCATTATCGGAGTCATAACTCATGCCTTGCCTATCCTGCCGCATGTGCCAGATACGCTTTTCGTATTGTTAACGTCATATTTCGCGGAGTGTAACAAAAAGGGGTCTGCAACAGGGTTTCTCCCAAGTTTCATGGCCTCTGACGGAGGTCACTTGGCAAGTGTGTATACTATATCAATCTACGTCACTAGAGTAGAGGCTGGAGGGCAACATCTTCTCTCAAGGTTTAACCGATATCCGCTGCACCGTTCATCTAATTTGCTACTCTTGTCCACCGGCGGTGACTTTCGATACCTCGGATGCCGATGGTGTCAAATTGGTACTATAACAAGGCAAAGAATCCCCACGAAGCACTCTTGGCGAGATTATAAACATCAACTTGTGCAGGGTCACAAAAGACCCGTAACGCTCCTCAGGGTTGACAAGGTCGAAATAGGAGTATCCCAAGAAATTGGCGGCGTTCTGATATTCATGAGGATGGTTCACTCGTCATGAAACCCTTGGAATTTTCTCCTTTGATTTCGGCAAACCTGAGACATATGGTTGAGTACCTCCCTACCTATATTCCATTCATGGAGTTGTTGTCGACATCGTCTTATCGGTACGTTGTGTCCGAGCGTGTGCTTTCCCCATTCTACTTACCATGTCTAAGTTATCATGGATTGACTTGATTCATGAGGTTGTTGTTGATACTTCCATTGCTGTTCCGGCTGGCCGGCTACTGACCTCTGCAGCTTACGCAAAGGATGGTTTTGCTGTCATGTCACAAGCATTTCGATATTATCGCGGATAGAGATCTTCCCTTCAAACCCCCGGTATAAATATTCACTGGCCTTTAAAAGGGGATCCCACGGGCGCCGAACAACCGCGGGCGGGGGGACTGGGGAGACCCTGAGTCGGCCTCCCCCTTGGTGCTCGCCAGCACCCGCAGCTCATTAACCCTCCCAAACCGGGGCCCATACGCCCGAAACTCATCCTCGCTGCCGGTTCCCCACCACTACCTGATGTAGTACCCGTTCCAATTGTTGGGGCGGGGGCGGCGCTGGTCGGGTTGTTGGTAAGCCGTGTTATATAATGAGCCGGGATGAAAAAGATAACTCACCGACGGATTGCCGGCGCGGGGGATGTCGATGGGATCGACGGTGGCTGATGGCGACCCGCGCGCCACCGGGTCATTGTCGGCCGGCCCGGCGTTGGCAGACCCCCCGTCGGACGAGGCAACGACGGTCGAGTCATCGCCGATGGAGTCACCATCGGCCGAGCCGGCGCCCGAGCCAACAGCACCGGGCGGATCAGGACCGCAGACACCACCAGCAGCAGTAGCGGCGGCGGCGGCGGCGGCAGCACGAGCAGGAGAACCGCCGGGGACGGAGCCACCGGCACCCGAGCCGCGAGCACCAACACCACCTGCAGCTGCACCACCAGCACAACCACCATCAACAGCGACGGCAGCGGGAGAAGAAGAAAAGACGGGCTCAACAGCCCCAGCAGAAGAGGCGGAAGGCCCCCCAGCAGCAGCATCCTCGCCCCCACGGACGAGGTCGTCATGGCGGGCGAGGAGGCGGCCCAAATCACCGCCGAGCAGGCGCAGGGCGAAGGCGATGCGGGCGGCGGCCAGGCGGAGGACGTCGAGGTTGGGGTCCCGCAGGACGTCGGTGATGGTTTGATCGATGTAGGCTACCTCCTGGGCGATGTGGTCCATCGCGCCCCGCATGCCGTCCGCATGCCGCGCTGGGTTGGTGGTGTCTGTGTCGTCGTGCTGGTGTTGCTGCTGCTGGTGCTGCTGGCGGGGGTGGGTGTTAGTTATAGGGTCGGGGGGGAGATGGGCCGTTGGGGAGATGCATTGTTGTGGTAGTTTTGATGGGGGATGGGCGGGTTCGGAAGTTTGAGAATACTAGGGCTTGCTTACCTCGTCACGAGCCGGCAGGTTGTTGAGGTCGCTCATAATGTTTTGCTTCAAGGATGGTATTTGTTTGATTCGGACGTTTGAGAGATGGAGAGATGCAGTGGTCCTGGTGTTGGCTCGAACAAGGCGGGCTTGAGTCTGGGACGAGCGTGGTGGATGTTGGTTTGAGGCGGAGAGAAAAGACGACGGGGGAGAAGAAGAAGATCGAGAAAAAGGTTGGATTTTGGAAGCCAGAAGCAAGTGGGAAGTTGTGAACTGGTGGGAAGGTCTGCCTGTGACCCGAACCAAAACAACAAAGGCTGAGCCATATCGGGTGTAGGGTTCGGACCATCAAGGTTACTCTTTGGGACGGCCAGGTGTCGGCAGTCGAGTAGGAGTGTCGTAGGGGGTTTGAATAAACACCACAAGACCAGTACGGGAAGGCGCTTATTGTAACATAGGAGACACAGTGGAGCAAAGCTCACGAGAAGTGTCTTAGTGAAACCATGCAACCTCTGAAAGGAATCGAACGCAGATTCAAATTCCGGGTACTCCAAGGCGGCACCAGTTTAACACGTCTACGTTCCCAGCCATGGTTGACAGCGACTATGGTAGAAGCAGAGGATAAAGCGCGAAATCTGTGACTTAGCTGTTAGTGTGAGGAACCATAAAGTGCACTCGACTACCTTCAGTGGCAAGCGGAGCACAAGAGCATGCCCCATAGTGAACTTCAAGGCTTGTGAAACCCAGTGTTTTTGAGGCATGGTACATACTCTCAAAGGATCAGTGAGCATTGCTATCAGAAATCACTTTGTCATTTATCACGAGATAAAAAGTAAAACCAACACGAATGTATGTTGTTGACGTGTGTTGGCCCAAGTGTTGCTTCACTTGTGCTCAACAGGATGTCATGAAGTTGGTTTCATATTCATCTATGACCACATGCCCCGTAATTAGGAGTTGGCAAAGGTTCAAAACCTATTGTAACCTAGTTGATTGATTGGTTTTAACTAACAATGGCAAGTAAAAGTCCAACGGAGTACAAGATCAGATATGAAGAAATCGGATACCCTCAGGCCATGAAGCTATTCGCATCAATTAGATGTTTCACGTCCAAGGACGAGGTTTGTTGTAAACATAGTTGCCACATCGTACAGTAGCGCAAAGGAACGACCATAAATTTACTAAATATACGTGGTCAACAGTCACCAAGGTCAACTCTGCAATTTGTGAGTGGGATAGACATAATCATGGAGCTCAACAGGTTTCTTAGTCGGAGCTGATGGTAGTATCATCTCCTACTTCATGAAACCCCCTAACTAATGACATGTCAACTGTGACGTTACATGCTACCAAATCGTCGTTCTTGACAGGTATTAAATCGAGAAAAATAAACATAAGTGACCAGCAGGAGGTTGGCAAAGGCCCTCTCTTTCCCTATCAGTTGATATACCAAGGTGCGTTGGATGGTGATCATGGTTTCACCCTGAAGACGCACACAGGTCAAAGGTGGCTGCTTTAAAGGCGGACGGCACGATACGGTGTTTTGCCGATGTCAAGTACGAACCCGGGCCCGAGTCCCGCCATTCCTCGACAGCGTTTGGCCTGGCCAGGACTCTGGTCGACGAGGGTCCGCGCCCGTACTTTACCGACAACATGACCACCATGTACTATGATGATGACATGCGTGTTGAAGAAAGCTTTGAGCTTAATCCATTCTTTTCAAGCTCCTATTCTCGGGGCCGCCGCAGGGTAGATGCCCAGCTACAGAACCGGGTGCTCGCCGGGTGTCTTTGCCCCATCCTGTTAGATTGCAAACGGGGGTAGAGACGTGAACCGAAGAGAGAGGGCTCGTCCCCGTGGGCGGATATGTCCCGGCTTGTGGATACGCGCTTTGCGCGGCTAAGGATCGCTTTCGGTGAGGAGTGTTACGCTGAATTGCGAGGATGCCCAATATGCAAAATGTTCGGCATGCACCAATACCCCCTAAAGTGGCGTGCTTGCCATCTGGTTGTGCGTGATGTTCAAGGGTGTTTGTCTATCTTCCGGTCCACGACAAGCCCCCTCCTCTCTTACCGGTCAGCCCAACTCTCAAATCAGTCCCGCCAACGGCCCTTCATCGCTGGGGGATGTACGGAGCCCAGGAAACAGACGAGAAGAAGCGGTGCGGAAGGGGTACCGCAAATGCACGAGTAAGGAGAGGGTGGTAGTCGCCTCGCCGGTACAAGAGATTTCTCCGCCGTGCGCTCCCATCAATCAATATGGGCTGTCCGCTCAGACCCCGGAACTTGGGTAGGTATCATGGAGGTTGTGAGCACAGACAGACAACCCCCTTTCCAGGCGGGGTGGGTGCATCATGGATACCAGCAAGGCCCTACCACGACTAGGTCAACTCCTCTCCGCCTTCTAACGTTGGATGACACCGCCCTGATGCCCACCTTCCCGGTCTCGTGCCGCGCCGAGCCTTGGGCGAGCAGTGGTGTTTGCATGGCCGTCTAATCCATGGATTCATCCGCATTGGGTCCCAGCATCGCCTGCACCTGTGATTGCGCTTGCGACCCTTTTTCTACGTGATGTTAGGGGTATCTGTGCCCTCGAAAGTTCCGTCCTTGCAGAATGGCTTCCAAGTGTGTGACAGAGTCTGTGTGACATTCAGGGTGTCTGTCATACCCCGACTCTCCATGATGATAAGTGCAAGGGTCTGATCAGCGACGGACCCGTTTCTGTTTCCCACGGGATGGGCGCCGACGAGTGCATGGTGAACGAATCCGTAAGGACCCTCGCGGCCTCGCCGGTTGATGAACATCCCTGGCATCCATCCATGATTTCTACTTCCCTGCAGGCGCAGGCGGAGTGAAGCAAGCAGGTTCCCGACCCGCCAAGCCGGGCAGGCCGATAACCTAGGTAGGTACTAAGGTATTTCCGTAGGAACTGAGGTGCCCGCTGAGGTTCAAAACCCAATGTATATAAATTCAGGAACGAGGAAATTGGTGTTGCGGGGTGGTGTGGTGGACGCAATTCAAGTTCCCCACGTTCCCCATGTTCCCCACGCTTTCACTGCCAACCTGAAGGTTGCAGTGCGGAGGACATTACATTAGCGCACTGTCATGATCCCGAGCCGGGCTCTCTATTGGGCTTGGGCTCTTTGCCGACCAAGCTGGCACATGCAGCCGACCTTCTAGAAGGGCAAAGAAACCTTCTAGCGCCCTTCAAGTGTCTTCCCCGCCGCATAAGTGCCGGGGATCATCAACCGAGTATAGAAGGTCGAACATTCGGGTACCGGATGCTGCAACCTTGAACACGCTCAGGCACTGCAGGTGTTTATCCACTCTACCCCGCGACCGAAACATAAGGTAGCATCGTCCCGAGTTCTCGAAGCCTTCCTTGCAGTAGTATGTGCCGTTAGAGCACTAGCTGGCCCACTAAGGGATGTCGGTCATACCGACGCTTTCTTTTTACACTTGAGGCTGCGAGTCTTCGACCAGTACGTGTAACCCTCGAGGCAGGGGAAGGCGGGGGAGTTACCAGGCTTCTTTGCCTCCCCCCTTTATCCACCAATCAGTGTGTGTGTAGGTAGACATCTTCGAAGGGCAACCGCTCGAACCTTGAAGCATGCTAGTGACCGTGTCAGTGGGTTCATACGCCGAAAATACCGCAGCATGCTCACGACATCCATGAAGCCTCTAAACAAGATTCGAGATACTCCATCACTAATCATCACGGAATCGCGATCCCGGCCTGTCCGAGTCCTTGCCAGATGGAGCATGCGGTCCGGTGCCGTTCAGGTAGGGAACCGTTGTCGAGGCTCGGTAGGTAGGTACCTACCTAGGTACGCGTTGTCTACCTCTCGTCCCACACAAACAAAACCGGAACATTCACAGAAGTTCGGAGTAGATCGAGAGTATTGTGGGGGAAACGAAAGTTGCGTTGGTGATGGTTTGAGTCTTGAACACACAGAAAATGAAGCTGGGCACGGAAGATGCGACAGCCGGACAAGAATGTATAAAAGCTTGTGCTTCGCCGCGAATTCGAGACCTCTCAACACTCACAGCCATCATCCCTTCATCGGTCACCTTCCAATCCAGAGTCTGGACGCATCAGTCTTGTTATGATGACCTCCTTCTTCGCCTCTGCCCTACTTTTCGGGCTCTCCCTTTTGCAGGGAGTAGGCGCGCAAACCTACGATGAGCTCTACAGACCTCGTTATCACTTTACACCGGCCAAAAACTGGATGAATGATCCGAACGGTCTTCTGTATCACAACGGCGTCTATCATCTTTACTACCAGCACAACCCCGGAGGAGACACCTGGGGCGCCATGTCTTGGGGCCATGCTACCAGCGATGATCTGACCCACTGGAAGCACCAACCTATTGCTCTGCTTGCGCGTGGCTACCCAGCTGACATCTCTGAGATGTTTTTCTCTGGTTCTGCTATCGCCGATACCGAGAACACGAGTGGCTTTGGCACAAACGGAACCGTTCCATTTGTGGCAATGTACACCTCCTATGTGAGTCCTGAACTCCTAGGTCAGAATGCCGGCTCCCTCTAATGCCTTCTACTTAGTATCCCGGCTCGCGCAACCTACCCAGCGGCAAGTCGGTAAACGGTGGACAGCAAGCTCAGTCGATTGCGTACAGCCTGGACGAAGGCCTAACCTGGACAACATACGATGCCGCCAACCCCGTTATCCTCAACCCGCCAGCACCCTACGCGGACCAGTGGCGTGAATTCCGAGACCCGTTCGTATTCTGGCACGAGCCGACCAAGAAATGGGTCTCCGTCATCGCACTAGCCCAACTCCACAAGCTGCTCATCTACACCTCACCCAACCTGAAGGAGTGGACCTACACCAGCGAGTTCGGCCCAATGAACGCAGTCGGGGGTGTCTGGGAGTGTCCTGGCATCTTCCCGCTTGCCCTCGACGGAAACGAAGGCGAGACCAAGTGGGTCGCACAGATTGGACTCAATCCTAGCGGACCACCTGGAGTTGTTGGCTCGGGAACGCAATACATGGTCGGCAACTTCAATGGCACGGCATTCGTTGCGGACCCCGACACTCCACCTCCGTCTCCCACCTCCACGTCATCGTTTCAAGACTTCGAAGGAACTGGCGATTTTGCGTCTCGCGGCTGGGTTGCCACAGGGGGGTTGGTCGGGGCTGCACCGGCTCAGGGGACACTTTCCGGACAGCAAACCGTCTCTGGATATACCGGCGATCACCTCGTGAACACTTTCTTGAACGGAGACTCTACCACCGGTACCCTCACCTCGCCGCCTTTCGACATCACGAAGAAGCGGATCAACTTCCTCATCGGCGGCGGGAACGCCCCAGGTGTGCAATGTATCAACCTCAAGGTCGGCGGTCAGGTTGTCCGCACCGCCACGGGCAGTGATAGCGAACAGCTCCTGCCAAAGAGCTGGGACGTTGCATCTCTCATTGGCCAGAGCGCCGTCATCGAAATCGCCGACCTCAGTACAACTGGCTGGGGACATATCTTGGTGGATGACATCTCCTTCTCGGACGTGTCGGATGAGCCGCGAGGAACCAACTGGATGGACTGGGGCCCTGACTACTATGCTGCGGCAGCATTCAATGGGCTTCCATCTGAGGACCGCACCAACATTGCCTGGATGAACAACTGGCAATATGCGGCCAATATCCCTACCTCTCCCTGGCGCAGCATGTTGTCCATCCCTCGGAAACTGTCACTCAAGTCCATCAACGGATGGGCAACACTCATCCAGCAACCTGTTGCGAACTGGGCCGCTCTGCAAACGGGAACGTATTCCAAGGCTCTGGACACCGTGGATGAAGGAAACCAACCCATCCCGCTCTCTGGGAAGTCCCTCGACATCATAATGACATTTTCTGACCGGGACGCGGCGTCCTCGTCTCAGTTCGGCCTCCTTCTCAGATCAACCTCGGACATGGCACAGCAGACACGGATCGGGTACGACTTCGGCACAAAGAGGATGTTTGTTGATCGATCCAAGTCTGGAAATGTCGGCTTTGACGGGACATTTGCCAATACTTACTACGCGCCGCTGGCCCCTGGCAGTGACGGCAAGGTCAATATGCGCGTCCTTCTCGATTCCTCTTCGGTTGAAATCTTTGGCGGCGAAGGCGAGGTCACCTTGTCGGCGCAGATCTTTCCCCAGGACACAGGAATCGACGTCCGGGTTTTCTCAACTGGGGGAAGTACCAAGGGGGTCACGATTGATGCAAAGATACTGGGCTCCTCCGCTTTCGGTCCGCCCACCCCCGGCACGAACAGCACGGGCACCGACCGCGCCAGCTCGACGAGTACCACTACTTTCAGCTCGACAAGCACCACCCTCAGCACGGTAGTAAGGACGACGGAAGGCCCGACCGCCACAAACACAACCACCACCGTTCGCCCTTCGGCCACTGTTCCCGTCGACTTCCGCCCCGTTTTCCACTTCGTGCCAGAGCGGAATTGGATGAATGAACCCAACGGGCTAATCAAAATCGGCTCGACATGGCAGCTATTCTTCCAGCATAATCCCACCGGAAACTTCTGGGGGAACCTCAGCTGGGGCCATGCAACCAGCACTGATTTGGTATCCTGGACTCACAAGCCGGTTGCCATCTCCAGTGCCGATGGCATCCAAGCATTCACCGGGACCGCGTATTTGGACGCAGAGAATCTTTCGGGGCTCGGATCGTCATCAAACCCACCATACCTCGCCTTCTATACCGGCTACTTCCCCGACACGGGGGTGCAGGACCAGCGGCTGGCATACAGTCTCGACCAGGGCGTCACATGGATCAAATACGCGGGCAATCCGATCATCTCGAAGACCCAAGAAGAGCCCCATGACAGCACCAAAGGTCTGGAGACCCGGGATCCGAAAGTCTTCTACCACGCTCCCTCGAGCAAATGGGTCATGATCCTTGCACACGGCGGCCAGAACAAAGTCACTTTCTGGACATCGAGCGACGCCCTGGCATGGACCTGGAGAAGCGACTTCAACGCCAGCCACGTCCCCAACCTGCCCGGCGGAATCAAGGGGTGGGAGGTGCCCGACTTTTTCGAGCTCCCCGTCAAGGGAACAAGCCAAAAGAAATGGGTCATGATCATCACCCCCGCCACGGGCTCCCCCGCCGGCGGCAACGGCGTCTTCGCACTGACGGGCTCGTTCGACGGCGCCGTCTTCACCGCGGACCCCGTCGACCCCGCCGCCTTCTGGCTCGACCACGGCCGCGACTTCGACGGCGCGCTCATGTGGGAGAACGTGCCCGGCCCGGACGGCCGCCGGATCCTCGCGTCCGTCATGAACAGCTACGGCGGCCACCCGCCGACCGACACCTGGAAGGGCATGCTCTCCTTCCCCCGCACGCTGGAGCTCCGGCAGCGCGACGACGGCAAGCTGCAGTTCCTGCAGATGCCGGTGCACGAGCTCGACACGTACCGGTGGCCCGTCGCCAACGTCACGGATCAGACCGTCGCCCCGGGACAGTCCCTGCTTTCCGACGTCCGCGGCCGGACGCTCGACATCCAAATGGCCTTCACCCCGTCCCCCGGCTCCACGCTGTCTCTCGCCGTCCGCAAGGCGGGCTCTCAGCAGACGGTCATCAGATATGTGCAGAGCTCGAAACAGCTCTCGGTTGATCGCAATGCTAGTGGGAATATTTCGTACGACTCCGCAGCGGGCGGTGTCCACACCGCGACTGTGCAGGCTGGTGCGAACGGGGAGGTGCAACTGCGTGTCCTGGTGGATGTGTGCTCTCTGGAGGTCTTTGGGGGGCAAGGGGAGGCGGTCATTTCGAACTTGATCTTCCCTGATGTGTCGGCTGACGGTGTGTCTGTGGAGGTGTCTGGGGGAAGTGTGACTTTGAGGTCGGTAGAGGTGTGGGAGGTCCTTCTTTGAGCTGGGTTGTACTGGCTCGACTGGGCAACATGTTTATGTCGATCGGGTGTCTGTAGAAACACGGTCTCTACCATGTAACTATTTTCCTTCGTTTCTTACCTCGGTAGTCATAGCTTTCGTACCCAAGTATCCAAAGAACGCTCGACAGCTCCCGGGTTGGCTGAACCTGCCCACTCAACCAGGACTTGATGGCCTTCCTTCCCCCTCGTAACATTGTGAACTGAGGTGCGGGGTTACGTTGGCGGCTCCAACGGCTTTTTGTGTAGGCCCGTCTTGATTTCGCTGTTGGATTTTGGAGCGTAGAGTTATTCGCAGTTGGGTTTCACACCAACGCGGCGGGATAATCACGTGGCCCAACTTCAGCAGCTCAGTGGATCAGCCTTTACACAGTATGGGGATCGGAAAGGGAACAGTGGGCCTCCGATCTCGGCAATAACGCAACTGCCACGATCCGCGCTTCAACACGCGAAGCCGCGCACAAGTTGAGTGAGCTGCCGCCGTCTTTTCGAGCTGCCGCCGGATCTTGATTTATCAGCGCCTAACAACACTGAAGAGTAATACCTCACCACCCGAGAGTGGAAAAGATGATGAATACGCAAACCCATGTTCAATGACAACCGCCTCCTCCTTGCTCTGAGCAATTCCTCGTCCTCTGCTTTCATTCTCTTGGTTTCTCGTTGCCGGCCTTGGCGCCGTTCTCCCGGGCGGAGTTGTGTCACGACTGCCGTTAATACCCGGCGCCTATAGAACGGCACCGTCCGGATTTCCGCTTTCTAGATCACCAAAGATCAAAGTGGTGAGAGGTCAAGATGAAAGAAAGCGGAGTGGGTGGTTTAGAAGCTCCCAGAGTCTCTCCCCAGCTCCAATTAGACGCCGTGAAGCCGTCACAACTGGCGGCAGCGGCAGCATCGGCGGCGGCACCTCGGGCTCTTTCGTCGTCGGTGGTCGCTACGGAACCCAAGACCGGCAGTGATACCACTACAAAATGGAACACCAAAAACCTCGCCCAGCGGCTCGGCGCCGACTTTCTCGGCGCGGCCTCCGCCGCCGTGCTCGTGGCCCCAATAATATCCATCATTGACCGGTGAGCCCACGACCGCATGCACCCTCCCACTTACGTACCTCTAACCCCTCCTTCGCAGGTCGATAATGGAAAACGCCTCCGGCCGCCGCCCCCTCGTCGAGTCGCTCAAGGCCTCCTTCCGCACCCTCTTCCGCACCCCGCACCGCATCATCCTCTCCAAGCCCTTCGCCCTGATCTTCGCCCTGTACGGCGGCACCTACCTGACGGCCAACACCCTCGACACGGCCACCTCTGCAACCCACAACCTGCCCGCCACCCACATCACATCAGGCACCGCCAAATTCGCCGCCTCCTCGGCCGCCAACATCGGCATCTGCATCTACAAGGACCAGGTCTTCGTGCGGCTGTTCGGGCCCGTCGGCGTCGCGGCCCGGCCCGTGGCCCTGCCGAGCTACGCGCTCTTCGCCGCGCGCGACTGCCTGACCATCTTCGCCTCCTTCAACGTCCCGCCGCTGCTGGGGCCCGTGCTCGCCCGGAGCCGGATCGTTGGGGACCGTTTTCAGCGCTACGTCTCCGGCCACACCCTGGCGCAGTTTGCGGCCCCGGCTGCGGTGCAGCTGGCGAGCACGCCGCTGCATCTGTGGGGGCTGGACGTGTATAACCGGCCGGGGGTGATGGGTTGGCGGGAGCGGTGGGCGGTGGTGAGGAAGAACTGGGCGGTGAGCACCGCGGCGAGGATATGTAGGATCGTGCCTGCTTTTGGGGTGGGCGGGGTGGTGAATTACAAGGTGCGGAGGGGGTTGATGGAGAAGTTGGTGTGAGGAGAGAAGGCATGATCTGGCGCTGTGTTTGTTTCTGTTTATGTCGGTGTTGGCTTCTCGCGTAGAACGGCGTTCAGGGTTGCTGCGTGATGTCGGCAGTTGCATCGGCGTTGGTACCACGGGATAGTAGATGGTTTGCTCATAGACCGCTTAGAAAGAGGGCTGGGGAAATGGGACGGAAAATGGGTTTCGGGATCAATCCAACTCTTCTCAAGATGCTCAAGTTGTTTCTGTAGACGTGAATGCTGCTTGCTCCTACTTCTATTTGCCGTCGATCTGGAAACTTACTCGCGAGGCTCAAAGAATACCCGCGCTAGCCAGCGCCCTGGTCAGTTGCTCTTGCTGCAGCGTCGCCGGGTCTTTGTACCCCTTTCCCTCGCCGGTATCGATAAAGTTCTCCCAGAACTTCAGCCCCTCGATACCCTCCTCACGACACAGCACACCCCTCTCCTCGGCCATCTCCAGCTCCTCCTCCGCAACACCGATACTCCACCCAAACCGCTCGGCAACATCCCTCGCCGTAACCCCACGGCCAAACATGTGCCAGTCCCACGGCACCTCCCGCTCGGGCGGAAACTCGTGCAGATCCCTCAGCCACCCCAGCAGGGCCTTGATGGTAGTCTCATCGGTCCAATCGCTGCCCTGCACAACCTTGACGCCCGACTTGAACGTCCGCAGACGCACCGGCAGGCCCAGCGTCTCCCACAGCGCGGCGGCCTTCTCAAAGTCGGCCGGACTGACCAGCTCGACGCCGCCCCGGGCGCGGTTGAAGACGGCCCACAGGTCGACGAGCGACATGATGCCGCCGGCGCGCCGGAGCACGCCGCGGCGGTCGTCGGTCAGGAACTCGGCCAGGGTGCGGGCCAGCTCCGAGAGGTAGAGCGAGTCGCTGCCGCCCGCGCCGCTGCTGCTGCCCACGATGTCCTTGGTCGTGATCAGGCCCAGCTGGCTGACCGAGTCGGCCAGCAGCGCGTTCTCGCTCGCGCTCGACGTCCCCGACGCCCCTTTGACTTGCCGCGCGAAGGTGTCGGCGAGCGCGACGATTTCTTTGGCTGAGGCCATGAGTGCTTCGAGGTCTTCGAAGGCCGTGCCGATCACGAGCTCGTTGTTTTTGCGCATCGCTTGGCTGTGGTGTTCGAGGCCGGCTATCCCGGCTATTTTGGGCCGAGCTTGGGATGAGGAGGTGGTCGTCCCGTCGCCGCTGTGGCTGTTGAGGTCTTCACCGGGCCGGGAGGCTTTGGGGATTGGAGGTGCACCTTGGAGGAGCCATTTACGCTGGGTCATGGAGCCTTTGAGTCGTTCGTAGAATATCTTCTCGCCGCCACCGCGGAATGAGATTTTGACGCTTTCCGAGTTTTCAAGGCCGGGTGGGATGGCACTTAAGGCGTTGAGGACTGGGCCGGGGGATTCTGTGTGCGTTCGGGTCTGCGGCGTGAGCTCAGCGGCGACGTCGTGGGATATCAGCGGCCCTCCACACATCTCACAGGATAGTAGTGAAGGATGGTTGAGAAAAGTACATCGCGGGCATTGGAAGGATGCGTCTGGATCCGAGCTCCGAGGCGAGGAGTCACGGACACGGTCCAGCCTGGACGGGGACTCGGTAGCGGGCCTGGGCCGGACCGGGAGTGGAGTCTGCAGGGCCAGAGTGCTGGGCTGCCGGCTGGTAGCATTGGATATCGCCGCTTTAAGAACATGGGTCAAGGTGGGCTTGATGCCACAGGCGAGACATGGGGGAAGCGGCGTGTGGACGCTAGCAGTCGTCGGGTCGAAGTTGGAAGGCACCGGGTTTGAGAAACTGCAGATGGTGCAGACCCATGTTGCGCTGCTCGCTGGCGTTGGTTCCACCGGTGATCCTCGAATCGGGCCATCCTGGTGTTGAGCGGGCGAGGAGGTACTGCTCCGCGAGGGGGCAGCCGCAATACCGGGAGACCGGGCCTGTAAAGAAGAGCGCTTCGTCGCCTTTGGGACCAGCGTGATCTTGGCCGATGACTTGAGAAAGCCACCCTAGAGAATGTAGAGGTTAATCGTTGAACCCAAAGGGGTTGGTTGCCTTGTCAAACTCACGTAGAACTCAAAACGCTCGACGCCCTTGAGATCTAGGGCGACCGAGTGCTTCCTCGGCTCCGCCTTGTCCACGTAGCATATCCGATGCGAGGTCAGATAGACCTGACCATTCTGGTGGTCGGGGAGCTTGTATTTCCTGTAGCGAGGGTTTGTTAGTCCTGATTGAGGGCGAGTTGGATGCCTGGGACTCACCCCTCATACAACCCCACATTGTCTTGCACAAAGAGGAGGTCTTCATCGGGCAGGTACGCAGGCCGCAAAGCGGTTGTCAAGTCGATGTGCTTTAAGAACATCCGTCATAGTCGGGGGCAGGCTGTCCCGATGTGGTTGGAAAGTTGACGGAAAGTGAACGGTACATCGGCCCGTTCCATGTATCGGTAGGCAGGTGTATGTATTAAACATGCATTGGTATGGAATCCTTGAGGTTCAGTTGTTGACGTAAAGCCGGGGTGGCACGGGTGGGACCGGATATATGGCCTTATCGCATATTACAATAACTCCCGCCTAAGCACAAATTGAAATTTACATACTGTGCACATCCCGAGTCTGTGTGGCGCAGAGCCCCCGCACGGACTTCACCCAGCCCACACTTTTGACGTCGCTCCCTTTGGCGCCCTTTGTGCTCCTTGTTCTCGACAACTTCACCGCTCTCTCATCGACGGCATCGACTCGCACATCTTTGAGACATCATCACAACTTCTCTCGAGGCTTGCAGTGAACAAACAGCTTATCCTACTCCAAATCTTCGCCCACTTATGTGAACCGGCGACTCCCTAGCTTTCTCCCGCACACACAGCACAACCCATGAACACGAGCAACATGATGCCGACGTGGCCAGCCGCCCCGCCCCCGGGCACCCAGCCATCGACTGGCTACGCAGCTTCGTATCCCGGTAAGTTGGAGACGCGTTAAACCTGGTGTTTCATTTGGAGTTATTCTATTTCGCAAGTTTCGAAATCCCGAGAGTACCGTTGCTAATTAATCGTCCCAACAGCGCCTGCCTACACCGCAGTTCAGGTCCGACAGTCATTCGGCCAGTCCTATTCCACCCCGCAACCTCCCTACCCCGTCGCGCATACTTACGGCCCTTCTCATTCTTCCTCGCCGAGCGCAGCTAATATTGCAACCAACGTGAACCCTTCGCCGCCTGCCGCCCAGGAGCAGGCCAAGACGAAGATCGACTGGCCGGACTCGGTCCGCCGATATGTCCAGCGAGCCTTCATCCCTGCAAACCTAGATTCCAGCGTGACAAGAGCGGACATGGAGGCGAAATTGAAGGAAACGATAACCCAGGCAAACGAGAAGAACGTCATGTACTCCCTCGACTGGGATACGATGCCGCTTCCCCAACACATGATCCGGGAGGAGCGCGCAAGAGCATCGCTTCCGCTCCATTCCAAGTCGCAGGCGCAAAGCCCGGCCCAGGCCCCCGGCACCAAAAAGAGGAAGTCTTGGGACTTGACCGACGCGGCAACCCTCCATCCAGTGTCTGCAGCCCCGCCTTGGCGGGCCGGGGCCGGTCGCCTTGAGGACCGTGTCTCCTTTTCGCCCGACAGACGCCAGGGCGACGAGCTCCCTAAGAATACCAGTAAGTTCAACCGGGCGGACAAACGCCAGAAGCGCCACGAGGGAGAGTACACGACGTACCGCGAGGACACGCCGCCCCCGGGCGACGGTCCTGTTGTTGGCACTTGCCAAGATCTAGAGAAGCGCTACCTCCGTTTGACTGCGGCCCCCAAACCGTCGCAAGTCCGCCCTCCACACATCCTGCGTCAAACGCTGGAGCTGTTGAAGAAGAGGTGGAAGAAAGACCAAAACTACTCGTACATCTGCGACCAGTTCAAGTCCATGAGGCAGGATCTCACGGTACAGCGTGTCCGCGATGATTTCACGGTTGAGGTCTACGAAATTCATGCCCGGATTGCCTTGGAAAAGGGGGATCTCGGTGAGTATAATCAGTGCCAGAGTCAGCTCAAGGGGCTGTACAGGTTGGGTCTGAAGGGCAAGGCGAACGAGTTCAAGGCATATCGCATCTTGTATTACATTCACACAGCAAACCGCACGGAGCTAAATAACGCTCTGGCAGATCTAACCGCAGCAGAGAAAAAGGACAGGGCTATCAAACACGCCCTCGACGTGCGTTCTGCCCTCGCCTTGGGCAACTACCACCGTTTCTTCCAGCTTTACAACGAGACCCCTAACATGGGCGCCTATCTCATGGACATGTTTGTCGGCAGGGAGCGTCTCGCTGCTCTGTGCAACATATGCAGGGGGTGAGTCTTCTCTGTCATCCCCAACGCACGCTGGCAGCTAACCTTGCACTAGATACAAGATGGACGTCCCTCTGCGCTTCGTGACCGAAGAGCTCTACTTTGAGTCTGACGTCGAGGCAGCGCAGTTCATTCTCGACCACGAGGGCCAGGAGCTGCTCGAGGATCGCAACGGCACCATTGTCTTCCTGACCGGGAAAGCCGGCTCGCGGTTTGAAGGAGCGCGCGCCAAAGCGTTCTCCCGCGTCGATATCAAGGGGCAAATCTAGCTCGGTGTCCCTGCTTTTTTGATCCCCATCACCCTGCCACCGGTGTTTTTGGTCACCACACCGTGGCATCCACCAGCCCCATCTCCGTTTCCTTTCATACACGTAATCTTCTTTTCCTCCGCCCAGTGGGGTGTTCAGCAACAACATCGTTTCGGTTCATTGTGTTGCTGTCCGGGCTGTTGGCTTCTGCCAACAGCGGCCGACACGTCAGAATGACGAGCTCGAGCCCTTACGACGCGGTCATCGATCTCCCTTCGGCCTCAAAGTGATTTGCCTTCACATACCACAACCCGGCTACTGCGTGTTGTTCGAACCCTCAGGACAACAACTCGTTTTAGCTTTCTCTCGCATAGAGGAACGGATCGATATCCGCAACCGACTGCGCTGCTGTTGCGAGCTAACCAGTGGACGAAACTGATCATGGCCACAAGCGAGACTTGGTGGTAGGCTATTTATTTCATGGCCCCAAGTGCCGAGCAATGCTTTCCGCCCATTGCGGCCGTTCATCGAAGCGGTATTCTCCCAAAGGTGTGCAGGAGACCGAGAATTCAAATCTCGAGACACCCCATTTTGGTCGAGCTTTTGGCGCCTAGCACGCCTCTATTTCGCCATTTTTTTGCGCTGGGGAGTTCCCCTGTTACCGATGCCTCCGGATGGGAGGGAGGAATTGGATGGGTCGGTCCGGTATACCGGTCACGATAGGTTTCTGGGAAAAGGTTTAGAGCGACTTCGGTCCGGAGTTTGGAGTTTGATGGTGGATATCATCGGACATATGTGTATTTAGTGTTTAGTGCATGTTCCGCCCACACCGCGGGCTCTCAACGAAAAACCGTAGATTCCGTACTTGATTCGACTTGTGGGAGGCTGAGCTTGTTTTCGTTCCGTTCACTGATGGTCGGGGTCACAAGCTCTCTCTCCAGCGCCCGTATTACCTTACGTCGCCGAGAAGTTGGAATGCTCGTTCTTGTCCCCGCCCGCCAAATTGGGCCCTGGCCGTCCGAACTCTCGCCATAGTCCTATACGAGGCAACTACGCGAGCATGATAACCTTGCGGCACGTGGAAACGTGGAAACGTCGAAACGTGGGACGTGAGGGTTCATCCAGTAAGTTGCATCCCATGCGGATGAGGAGAAAGTCCGCGAGGCTTAATTAACCATTTACCTTTTTCTCTACCCTCTCTTGATCATCGCAACTACACGTTGAGTGTGTAAAAATGCCAACCGCTATCATTTTTACCTTTTCTGGATGCGTTCCCAGGTTCGTAATCGCGAGCTAAGTCACTGCGCCGCCGGCTGGGATTGTTTCAGCGCCCGGTTTCATGTATTTGGGTGGGCTGCCGATCGGGACGGGTTGGATCCGGCGGGATGTGCATGACCGTGTGGCGCGGAGAACCAGAAAAAAACGAAGAAAGCATGAAGTTGAAGATTTGGAATTTGACGTCTTGTTGTTGTTTTTTTGGTTCAGCTCTGTTTGGCGGTGCTCGGTAGTCCTGCGGCTTTTAGGAGGCCTGGCACGCTAGGGCGCGGGGCTGCCATGGAAGCAAGAGGCTTTGACGCCGAAGTGATATGCGACAGGGTTGGGAGGGCCGATCAAGAAGGTGGGCAGAACGACGTCATCGCGGGGCCGCCGCCGAGTTGGAAACGCCGCAGATGGGTTCTTTGGATCTTGGGACATCGAAAAGTCGGGGGTCGGATACAACTGTGCCACGCGGGGAGGATATGGCCAACATACACGAAGTCGCGAAGTTCTGGTGGAAAACATTGAGCGCCAACCAGCCAGCCCCAGCGGCGTTCTCGACCACAGCCCCGCTCTGATATATCAGAAACACCTGGGATCATCCTCGGAACGCCATGGCGGGGTTGCGGATTGCGGGGTCAAACCCTCGTCGGCTTCGGTGGCTTTAGCAATAGGCATTGCTGAAAAGCAAGTAGCCAAAACAATACCTAGGTAGCGTCCTTGGGTGGACAGCCTGTTACCCGAGGAGTTATGGGTGGGTGGCCCCTGATGGTGTGATGGGAAAACCCCCGGCGGTAAGTTTGGCGGAAAGCACCCTCTACAAATCAAATCCCAGCCCAGAGCACACGCGCAACTTCATGGGCCCAACCGCTGGGCCTCCAACGGAGGGGAGGGCTTGCATAAAAGAGAAAAGGATAGACGTACGCTGGGTGACACGAGCTCGGGATAGCGAGCTTGGCATTTCCCAAGTTCCTTTGTCCATGCAGATGCCGTGTTCGAGAACACGATGATCGCCAGGGCCGAGGTGGCCCGCAGCTGCAAGATCCAGGGGTGTCTCAACGGGCAAGAACGGGTGAGCGAAATGCCCACCTTTTCGGATCAAGGGCAGACTGAATCTGGCGGAGGAGAGAAGAAGCACAATGAGGAGGAGGACGCACCGAGCCTCGAGCGAGCCTCCTCCAGTCTGCTGTTGCTTACACAGCCCTCTTCGATTTTTTGTTACAGCCGGAATCCGTACAACTGGGCCTTCCGGAAAGTTCCATGTGTGATTCATGAAGAAAAACATGGTGGGCAATGGAAATGGCACCTTGCTGTACCACCGCACCATAATGACGGGAGTTCCTTCTGTTCAGGGAGGCAAGGTAGGGCGGCAGGGTTGATGCAGGGGCTACCCGCTTATCGATAAGTGCCAGCGCGCAGCTTCCTCACACCAGCACGAGGATTGGTTGCTTCACCTCCGAGAAAGGCAGTTGCGGATATTGAATTTTAATAAATGCCGTGGCCCGCATGCACGACGACCTCTTAAGTACCAGGCAGGGCGAGGCGACGTCGAAGGTGGCGCGGCGATTATGCCAATGACCTGTGGTTGTCATCACAAGATGGTTGGAACATGGGCCTGGTCCATTCCGTGGGCATCGGTTGGTGCCTTTATGAGTCGAGACAACAGGGAGCACGAGGGAGGTCAGCGCTTGCGAGACCAACAGGAAGTCCAGGTCAGCAGCAGATGGGCAGCGAGCACAGGATTCGGTCCAAACCGTACGGCCTACGACATTTTCACCAGTCCGAGAATGAGAATCTGAACTGTCAGTGAGAGACATTTGTCCATGGCCTGCTACTGTCGGGGGATGATAAAAAAGGGGTCCCTTTCCGGGCAGGGGACGTAAAAATTGGGTTATCCCCCTTCGCCCCCGAAACACCGCCGCCTGCGCTGTTGGTTGTGACATCACTCGAAGCACGTGAGCCTGACGGGAAGTTTGTCTTGAGCGAGAAACGAACAGTGGACACCCTCTAGAAACTTGCTTCAAAGGTGCAAGGACACCGCGTCCATGTCCATTGCTGATGCTTCTTTCTGTCTTCTCACAAGGTTCGGAGTCAAGCCAAAGTCCAGCAAGCCAGCGAGCGACATTGACCGAACACTGGGACCCCCCTGTTCGCCCTTTGAATTTAGCCCACAACCCAACCCGGCCGTGCCAATCCTGCCCGTGCCCGGCGCACAAGCCCCTCTCGCGCCCCCCTCCGGCGCAAGTTCCCCATTTTCCTTGGATTCGCGCCTTCACCCCGGTCCTCGACTCCCAGCGTCTTGTTTCCATCATTTTCCGAGTCACTGCTTTCCCAGAGCATCAGCAAGCCCGCGCAAGTCAAACCGGAGGAAGCGCCGACAATAGGGCCATTACCGCCGTTGCAAATCGTCTCGGCGAGTCACAACCGGGCGATTCGATTCGTTACACTGATTCAGAAGCCACCCGGGAGCCGTTCGTGACGCAGAAAGTGTCGGCCGAAGCGACCCGCCAACCACTCACCTCTCGTTTGGTCGTCGTGTGTCTTGCGCTGCCATCTCGAGTCTTGCATTCGGGCTGCCCTAAGGGCGCGCACGCCTAACACCATGAAGGTACGTCATTCCGACGCTGCTCAACCCTTGGTCCGTTGGGACACGGAAGCCAGCGCCAGCGCCAGCGCCAACTGCCTAGTTCATGCCCGTTGTCCGCTGTCTGGGCTTGTCCAACCAGCCCTGACACCTTTCTGCGCAATACTCATCGCTTGCGCGACACAAGCAGCTACGCATTATTGGCCCCACACCCATTTCTGCCATCATCAGCGAGTTGCATTCATCGTCAGAGGGGGCAGATCGCGGCCCAAATATCGATTCACTGGCTAACCTCGATGCGTGCTTTCAAGGCTTTACGGATAGGGAGGCGGTCCATGAAAAGCGAGGAGAAGAACAAACCGCACATCAGCATCCCGCAAAAAGCTGCTGTCGCAATCGTTCCTCCCAAAAAGGTGCGTCACTTCGGTTCTCGCTTGATACCCAACGGCGGTCCTTCCAAGGAGCCAAACCCCGCTCTGTGGGCCGCTAGTTAACCTTGCTCGCGCGCAACGGGAAATTACTGACACTAGCCGTGCTGGATAGGTGATCCGGGCGCTTTACGACTATACCGCGCAGAATCCCCAAGAACTCAGTTTTTCGCGAGGCGACTTCTTCCACGTAATCGGGCGGGAAAACGATCCAGACTGGTACGAGGCCTGCAACCCCGCGCTAGCCGACCCCCCCGGTCTAGTTCCTGTGAGCTTCTTCCAGGCTCTCGGACGCAACGAGCGCGACAGTGGCCAGTCCCAGCCCGATTCTGCGCATTCCGCCAAACATCCCGATCATGATTCTGGCTACGGCGACGGGCCAACAGTGATGACACCACCGGTCTCCGCTAGCCAGCGGAACTCGAAGTCGGGGGGCAAGTCCGGAGCTATGGTCTACGGCGTTGTGATCTACGACTTCCATGCGGAGAGGGGCGATGAGCTGGAGGCGAAGGCGGGCGAAGCCATTATCGTGATCGCCCAGTCAAATCCCGAGTGGTTCGTGGCGAAGCCCATCGGGAGGCTGGGCGGCCCGGGTCTGATTCCCGTTTCGTTCATCGAAATCCGGGACATGGCGTCCAACACGCCGGTCGTCAATCCCCATGAAGCCGTCCGGAGGGCTGGCATCCCCAAGGTCGAGGAGTGGAAGAAGATGGCGGCCGAATACAAGAACTCGAGCATCACACTCGGCAAATTCGAGACTGGCGCCCAACCGCAATCGATGGAGCAGGGAATGGAGCGCATGAGCATCCAGCAACCCAGTGGACGGGTTAGTCAAGGCCCAGGTTCGAATATGGTAAGTGTCAAGCCCGTTCGTTACCTGCTTCTCAGCCATCATATCTGACAAACAAAACAGCAGCAACAAGCCCAGCAACAGCAGCAGCAGCAGCAGCAGCAGCAGCAGCAGCAGCAACAACAGCAGCAGTCACAGCAGGCGGCCTACAACGTGCAACAAACACCAACTCAACAAAGCCAGCCCTCTTCGACACCCAACTCGCAGATGTTTGCGCCCATCTCGGCTCGGATTCCCAGGTACTGCTTTGCGGAGGACAAGTACTGGTTCGTCATCGAATCCGAACTAGAAGATGGCCACACTTGGGAGCTGGCACGATACTACGAAGACTTCTACGATTTCCAAATCGCACTCCTCACCGAATTCCCCGTCGAGGCCGGAACAACCGGCAAGAAGCAGCGGACGCTACCGTACATGCCCGGCCCCGTTAACTACGTGACCGATGCCATCACGGAAGGGCGCCGGCACAACCTCGACGCCTACGTCAAGAGCCTCCTAGCCCAGCCGCCATACATCGCCAAGTGCAACCTAGTAAAGCAGTTCTTCGCCCCAAGGGAAGGCGATTACGAAATCGACCCGAGCGCACTAGAGGAGGAGTACCGTCTGTCGGCCGGCTCGCGGCCCTCGTCCACCGATTCCCCCGCTGACGGCGGCTCCCGTCAATCCTCCCAGCAAAACCTCGGTGGCGGCTACGGCGGTCTTGCCGGTCGCCAACCGGGCCAGCAGCAGCAACAGCAGCAACAACAACAACAACAACCACCCATGGCGCGGCAGGTCTCTTCCCTTTCACAACCCTCACAGACCTCGCTCTCGCCGGGCATGCAGACAGCGGGGACTTCCATGAAGGTCAAGCTCAGCTACAACGGCGACATCATCGCCATCAAGGTACCCTCCGACATCCAGTTCGAAGCCCTCTACGACCGCATCATCGACCGCCTGAAGATCCCCATGGGCGAGGATCCCCAGCTCAGCTACAAGGACGAGGCCACCGGCGACAAGCCCCCATTGATGAGCAACAACGACTTGGACCTGGCGCTGCAGAGGAATGAGAAGCTGTTGCTGTATGTTGAGTGAAGAGTGCTGGGAGGGTCGTAGGGGTGTTTCCTATTGGGAGGAAATGGTTGACTGGGATGAGGCGGGAAGATGTCTTATGGGTTTTTTTATTCATTCTTGATGGGCTGGGGCACTGGGATTTTTTCACTTCTTCTACTCGCTTTCTGTAGGCCTCCCCCGTTTTTTTTTTCCCTGTTGCGCTTTTCCGTCAAAGTATACCCGACTTTGTCTTTGGTGTTTTTTCAGTCGTTGCTGTGCTATCGGGCGACCGATCTGTTTTTTACTCGGCTTGTCTGCGACGGGTTTGGGGGGGCTGGGGCGATGAATGGATGGATGGATGGATGACTGATGGCCGGATGAAGGAACGTATATCGGGCGTGGGGAACAAAAGGGGGCGTGCGCACCTAAGACTTGATGATGCGGGTGGGTGGGTTGTTTCGTTCCTTTGCTCGGAGAGGGGGGACATCATCTATCAATCTGTCTCCGAGCTGAGCTGGGATTTAAGTGGGATGAGGGTGATAGGGGTCGGTCGGTTGGGGCCGGGGGTAGATATTTTGGTTGAATGAGAGGTCATGATCCAACGATGCTTGTGTGCCACAACGTGACCGATAAACTACTTCGGGGCCGTTGACCGGCCGGCCTCTTTTCACACATGGCTTGTCACAGCAAACGCCGGGCATGGTACGTTGAAATCTAATAGGATATACTACGACTACACGCCGCATATACCAGACAGGCCCAAGCGGCCATATTGGAACAATCGTGGGATGAAAACAACTAACAACAGAAACGCAAAACCCGACTACAATTCCCGTTCCGTCCAGTCCAAACCGTAATATACCCTTCCCTCCTAAGCGCCTTAACTGTACCAACATGCGAACGGAAACAAGAAAAATAAACATAAAAGAACCATGAACGGCTTCGCCGACAAAATGAACAGCCTGGCGATTCCGAAAAATTATTTTACCTACCTGACAAGCAGCACATTGGAACAAAACACCAGCACTCGGCGGCCCATGAGAGCACCGGAAAAACAAGCGCCCTCACACAATGACGTGTGTCGACATGTGCTCCACCGCCTCCTTGATGGTCCTCAGCATGCGCTGGTTCAGGCAGAACGGACAGCGCACGGGCCGGTCGGTGACCGACACCGGCCCGCCGCTGGGGATGGGCGTGAGGGTGAGATCTTCGCCGGCGGCGCTGCCGGCCGACCCGGCGGGCTGGGGCGTCGGCGCGATGAAGCGCGGCCCCGGGGCCGGGGTGTTGTTGTTCGCCGCGCCGCCGTTGCCGCCACCGCCACCGCCGCCGGCGCTGGGCGGCGGGCCGACGCTGGCGCGCGCCGCGTTGACGGGGGTGGAGGAGATGGCGTTGACGGCCGCCGCGGCCTGCTGGGCGTACGCCTGCCCCGCGATGGCGCCCAGCGGCGGCAGGCCCCGCTCGGAGCGGTCGCGCGCCTCGCGCTCGGCGGCGGCCTGCGCTTCCGCGTCGGCTTCTTCCTGCTGGAGGGCGCGCAGGGCGTTCTGGAGGACGACTTCCGGGTCTTCGTCCGTGTACATCGGGGTGTCGCCGTTGGCGGGGTGTTGGGGTGTGCTGTCGGGGTGGGCGGGGTGGGTCGGGTGTGGTTGCGGTTGTTGCTGCTGCGGCGTGGACGGGGCCTGTGGGTTGTCGAGACGGCGGACGATCTCGTCGCGCACGCGGGCGCAGATGGCGAGGGATGCTTCCACGCCTACGACGCGCTGGACTGCGTCACGGATGGCGGCGGGCGAGACCTCGGGGGTGATGTTCATGAAGCGGGGAACGGCGTCGATCAAATACGGGATGTCGTCGGCTGCGTTCTGGACGGTGCCATGACGCCGCTGGCGACGGATCAGGAGGCCGTAGCGCTTCTTGAAGCGGTGGATCCAGCCCGGGGAGAACTCGGGCGGAGTCTCGTCCTTGTAGCGTGGGAGCTGGGTAAAGATGTTCTTGGCCTTTTCGGCGAGCTCTTCGTTGGAGGGGTGACGACCGCTGTTGACCATCTGCTGGTGCCAAAGCAGGACTAGCTTCTCGACGTCGGGCCAGTTGCCAAAGCGCAGGCGCGAACCGGACAGCTGGGTGTCGCCATCGAGCCGGGCGTACTTGGGAGAGAGCGAATGCGAGACGGTGGACTGCGAGATGGTCTGGTTGTATTGGCTCTGAAACCAGTCGATGCACGCTTTGTGGCTCGGGCGCACAGGCTGCGAGCTCGCCCAACGTCGCAGGGCGCGTCGCTGGTCGAGAGTTAGCGAGTGCCGCTCCTTAGACGGCGACGAGACGTCCTCGGGGGCAATCTCGGCCGACATGGCGACGCGGCGCAGCAAGTTAGCAGCGCGTTGCGCGAAGTGATGCTCGATACTCTTGGCGACTGATGGGTTTAATGAGGAGTTTGAGATAATCGGATATGTGGGAAGGCTGGATTGGTGATCGTTGTAAGGAGGCGCTGGAACTGGGTTCTCGAGGAAAGCGCTTGAGATGTCGCCCGCTTTGTGCGAGCTTGCCAGCTGATGCCAGCCGAGAACTAAGGAGCAGCTGGCGTTCAACTGATCTCCGCCCCGCCCCAATATCTGCATGCCATTTGATGTCTGAATGGGCTCCTCTTTATAGAATCCGTCTCCAAGAACCCGGCGACATTCTTTGTTATTACGTTGCATTCTTCTTCCATGGCATCTCTCTCATTGTCTCAACATAACCGAATCGTAAATCACCATGCCCTAACAAACTCCATAAGCCCCAACCCAGCCAGAGGTTACGAAAAAAGCAAAGGGAGAGGGAAAAAGAAAATAACAACAGCCAAATTTTGGAGTGTTTTTTTTGTCAATAGTACGGATCAAAGTCCGAAGCGGGGCTTGAAACCGGATCCGGGACGCCGTGATGTGGCCCACTCCGCCGGCGTGTCACAGAAAAGGTAAACAATGGTTCGAGGTTCATCAACTTCATTCAGCACATGATACTTCGTATGTACAATACAACTAATCATACACTCATCCCTCCTCATCCGTCCTGTCCATGACAAGCATCATGACACCAGACATCTACCTCACCTTAATTCGACTTCTTGCTCGTTCCGCCCATCATATTCTGCACCGCACCTCCAATCTTTCCCTCGGTCGTGAATTGCTTGCCAATCATGCCCTCCTTGTCCAGCGGCCCGCCCACCTTCTGGGCTGTCCCACCGAGGGCTCCCTCAGCTGTTAAGGAATTCAGTATTTTACCGGCTGCGTAGACTTGACCAAAGGTTTGGTTAGGCTCACGAGTGAATTGCTTCCCCACGGCACCGTGCTCGTCAAACAGGCCGGGCTTGTCCTGTCCCAGGTGGGCGTTTGCCGGCGTCTGGGTGGCTGAGGCTTTGCCACTTGTTGACTGAGGCCCGGTGTGGGAGTCTTGGGGGGTTGTTTTCGAGGAGTGGTTCATTGTGGGTGTGGTTTGGTCGAGGGGGTTGACTTGATAAAATTCGATGTTTGAGGAGGAATAAATGAATCTAAAGCATGATATCCGCTTGCTATATAATTCAAATGGTGCTGGCTGTGAACCATGGATCATCGATGATGTCATCACCAGAAAGGTCCCTTGACCCCTGAATCCTCCACCAACATCGCCCGCAAAGATGGCGAGGTATTGTTATAATTGAATTGCAGTACCTTTGTCCTAACCAAAGTATGACTTCACTCAGATGTCGTAGCCTAATGATGTGTTTCCATACCAAGATGGATTCTCTACCTAACCTTTACTGTGTCTCTCTCTTTCCCCTGGGCTCTTGTTTTCAGTGCAAGTAAATCCAACCCTTACTTCCATTAAGGGCTTGCACACCCATTTTTGGAAGACCACTACACAGTACACTAACATTACATTTACACTCAAGAACCACGTATATAAAAGCACCCGCGAAAATCATAACCTAGAAAGCAACCCTGAAGCCAACCCCACGGCTCCAATCCAAACGATAATAATAATAATGCACCCCCCATCACCCCAACGACCTCACCACCCCTCACCCCCAACCCCTAACTAATCCAACCCACCCATCCCCCCTCAATATCCATCCCACCTCAATACCCACCCCCAAGCATAACCGTATGCACCACGGCCTCCAAATACAGCCCATTCCTCACCACGCAGCGCACCCCGGGCTTGACCTTGAACATGCCGTGCGGGCCCACCACAAACTCGGTCTCCTCGCCGATGCTCACGCGCACTTTACCCGCCGCGACGCTGCACAGGCGCGTCTTGTGGGCGTCGGCCTCGAGCGGCAGCGCGTGGCCGGCCAGCACCGTGTCGACGCGGAAGGCCACGTCCTCGCACACGGGCACGCCCGTCTGGGACGTGGCGGCGAGGTAGGGTTTGGAGAAGGCGATTGCTGGTTGGGGTGGTTAGCGGGGGGTTGTGCTGCTTATGCGTGGCATAGGGAGGGGGAAGGTTGGGGCGAGGGGGGGCTTACTGTCTGGCTCGGCGGCGGCGGTCTCGCGGATGCGGCCGGGGGCGACCTCCCAGTCTTCCATCTCGAGGAGGTCGTTTGTGTTTTGGAGGTTTCCCTGGGAGATGAGGGCTGCTGGTGTTGATCGTTGTGGTCGGGGAGGATGAGGGCGTGATGGTGGCTGGACGATGGGCTCTTGTTTCCTGGCGGCATTCCCTCTTGTGAGTGGTGCGCCGTCGTCAATGATTCGCGTTTGCTCTGATGGACTCCGACGAGCTGGGACCCCCCCCACGACCGGTGATAGATCCCTAGCTGAGGCCCTGGTCGACCTCGATTTCCGCTTTTGGCCCCTTTTTAGCAGGGTACACAGAAGCTTGTTGCCCCCATACAGGCAGTTGCCACAGCAGGGGTAGCGCGCTTTCGTGTCATCGTGTGTCTCCTGGGAAGCAACCACACACCCCTCAAAAGGGCCTTTCCCCTGGCGGCATCTTCTGCACTCGTCCGATACCTCGTCTCCGGTGACTTGGATTATTAAAGCCGCTATGTCTCGAGAACTCGCTTCGATGAATTCCCTAGCGCGGCGATGAGTGTTGAACTTGACATCTCGCTGTTTCGGTAGTGTCAAGAGGTTTCGAACTGCTTTGGACGGCGGCATCTCCGTCGTCGTACGTAGATGTTGTTGGATATAGGTCCAGAGCTCCGCTGTTTCGCCGCGCCTGGCCCGCGGGATTCTGTTCCTGCGAGTTCTGATCCCCCGTTCCGTTCTCGTCCCGAGGTAAGACGGAAGCTCGGCTTTGGGCACAGGGCTGGCTCTAGCCGGAGGGTCTCTGGAAACGACGATGGGAGGTGCCTGGCTGAGAATCCTGCCTCCTCTCCCAATACCAGTCATCTTATCTTGGTAAAAGCTCTTGATCGTGAACGTTCCGTCGCAGTTATCATTCAAACAAGCCGCAAAGTGGACACGCTAGTGCGCAATGATCGTCAGTAGGGCACACTGGGCAACCACAAGTATAGAAAGCGGCCACTGTACCTGGAAATGAAAACCGAGGTCGGCCCTCTTGCAATGAGCTCTCCGGCAAGTCCGCACCGGGCAAGCCCATGGTCTCCCAGGAAGTGTTGTGTCAAACTGGTACCCAGCCGGGAGTAGCGAGCCGTATAGTGGAGTGAGCTCTCCATCATCACCTGACACAAGTTTGTTAGATCTGCCAGTGGTTTCAAGGGCTTGAGAGTTATAAATGTCCGATCTCACCTGGCCACATGGTATACAACCTGCCTGGTTCCGCCTCGTCGATGCTGGTTGGAGCACCGCCTGGTGTGAGAACCGTCTCTGCGTTAGACGCATCCATGGTGTACTCCAGGTTCTCGTCATCGAGGGCCTGCGTGTCTCCTTCATTCTCGGCATTGCTGTCATCGCCTGGTTCCTCGTCGTCCTCTATTTCATCAAGAGACTCATCGGGAGGCTCGCTTTCAACTTGGTCATCCATGATTCGAAGCGCTCGTTCTTCGCCCCATTGCTTGTGGCTACATCTCGTTTGACCGTAGTGATAAAAGCAGTTTGCACAGGCAAAGACACTGCTAAGCGGGCCGTCATCAGCTTTGGAAGATATCATAATGCAAGAACGGAAAGGGCCGACGCCATTCTTGCATCTGTTGCATGGCTTTGGCGCAGGCTCCCCGGTAACTTGGATTATCAGAGCCGAAACATCCCTAGCATTCGTGTCGTGGAATGGGTGTGTGGATAGCCAACCAGTATTCCAGTCGAGATCGCGGACTTTCGGCAGGATGATAAGCTGCGGTACCCATCCTTGCATTGGGATGTCCTGTCCTTTGTGCTTAACCACATGGTGTTGAAGGTAGCTCCAAAGGGGCTCGGCGTCTTCCCGGTTTAGTCCTTGGCCGTCTGCGGTTAACGATGCTGGGGTGTTTGCGTCTAACCCGGTTTCCATGTCCATCATGCTCACATCGTGAGCATACCCAGCCGAATTCCCGTTGCCGGCGGTTGAAGGATCCACCGGTGGAGGATCGGATGGGTCAGCAGGGCCCCGGGAAACGACGATAGCCGGCTGCGGAGCCGACGCTCGGCCGGAGACGCGGCGTAAAAGGCCGATACGACGTTCCGAAAAGGTTCCATCTTCATTATCGTGCAGGTGTGCACCTCGATGCTTGCGCTGTCTTGCGTTAGCCGCTTGCTAGGTATTTGTGGGCGCGGTGGTAGACCTACAACAAAGTGGCTGCCGAGCTGGATAATCTTAGTGAACACCTTGCGACACGATCGCACAGGACAGATCCATGGATGTCCCGGAATAGATGTCGAAAACTGGTAGCCGTCCGGGATAAGGGCACCATGGGTCAAAACCAAAAAGCCGTTTTCGTCTGCATTGTGTCAGTAAACAGCGTACGTTGGACAAAACCTCGTCGATCCAAACACTAACCTCTCCATTTCGTATAAGGGCGATCGGGGGCGGCCATTGTGATGGGGTTGGAAGTGCCTTGGCTTCCCTGGTTGAGCTCATGGTCGCCCTTGCCACTGACTTGCTCGGCGACTTGGGCATCGCTCGAGATACTCGAACCACTCGACCACGCCTCACTATCCCCTTCGCCATCGACATCTCCATCATGCCCTTTGTTCAAGGTCACATCAAGGCTTGGCCTCGCCTTGTCGACCATAGCATCATGGCCAAGTTCCGCTTTATCGTCCAGCATGTCGGCGTTCGAGGAACCGGACCAGTTTGTAGAGTCATTCGAGGTCGCCCTGTAACTCCGAGGCCCGGTTAATAAGGTAGCGAGCTCAGCAGAGACCGGCTTGTCGAAAAGGCGAGCCAGTTTCTCAGAGACCACCGATTTTTTCCTGTCTACAGAGGCCGAAGGTTTGGCGATGCCTGGTGTACCGAGCAGAGCCTCGGCCTCCTTTTTACGTCTGATAGTTTCTACGCGCTTTTTGTGGACATGGTCCATGGAACCAGAGGCCCATCGTTCTAGATGGTGGATTTTGTTTTAGTACGCTGTCCAAGCGGTTTCATGATTGGCAACAGAACGAGATTGATGGGTAAACATACGCTTCAAGGCGAGGCTAGTAGCCTTCCTCCTCTCCTCATCGTTGGCATATTTTGTCTTACGCGGGCCGTCAGAAGTAGGCTGGGTCATCGGAAGAGTGTTTGAGAAAGTTTGCGCCGGCGTTGCAGGGAGCTGAGGCGGAAGGATATCACTAATAATTTTCGCCGGCTCTGGATCTGGGCGGGAGCCGTGGGAGGCGGCTGGAAAATGGGGCGGTAGGGTTGTGAACCCAGTCCGCTTCATCTTGAAGACTGGCTTGGACCCGGCATTTTGCTGCGTAGTGGCAGCGCCGACTGCCGCTCCGACATTATTAGAGATAGCCCCTAATGCGAGAGGTTTCGCTGAGCTACCCGATGGACCGGCCACGGTTGAGTTGTTAGTCGCGGGTAATGGCACTGGCAATGGCAATGGCGATGGCGAAGGCCGAGAAGCTACCGCTGGGGGTTGCCCGGCAGAATCTGCCATTAGAAAGGCGTCAAAGGGCGTCTCATTCCCGAGAACTTCGGAATGGCTCCTGATAGGAAGTAATCAGCTTGGTTATTGGTCCACAATTTCTTGGCTTCAAGCCGCCAACGCGTGTGTGCCCCCTTTAACGCGCGACAGATGGCTGGATACGCGCAACATACCCTCTGCAATGGCAAATCTCCTGGATATGCTTCAATCTTTCGGCCTTGAATCAGGAAAAAAAGGTTCTGTAAGACGAGCTATCAAGTAGCAAAGGTATTTGGTCTAGCTGGAAGGGAAATCAGCCGATTCGAATTTTCTCAGTGAAGGCTTTAGAATACAGGAAAATGAACCAGGTGGTGCTTCGATTGGTAGATTTTAAGGCTCGTGAGGTAATTGGATGGTCCGTGCACTCAGAACAAGCCCCTGACCATGATCAGTCTCATCTCTTATAATTGAAAATCTATAAAATAAATGAAGTTAAGCTAGCTTATAAGATACATTAGAATACAAATCATATTCTCTGGATGTTTTTGAGTCTGATAATTTACTTCTGTATAACTAACTATCTTGAGCATCCCTGGATGAACCGTTCAAGGTTTGGTTGACTCGTCGGAGTGCCGCCACGTGACCCGTGACAGACTGGTGGCATTGATTGGTTGTCCTCCACAGAAGACTTCGTACGCGTCCGCTCCCAAACGCGGGACGAACCTCCCGACAATGGTTCTTCAGCTCGGCGTTCAGCTTGACTTGCTTCCTACATAAAAACATACGTTCGAGATCCACTCGAGGCTCTAGTGAAGACAACACTCGCTTTCTATCTGCCCCCCTCAGTACCCAAGTTACCCTTCATCCTTTTTTTTAATTTATGGAGTTCGGCTTTTTTGGCCAGAGGGAGCTCAGCTTAGGTCAGTGATAGAGAAGTTGAATGACGTCTGTTCATCGAAAGAAAAGAAACTACCGAGGTACCTAACCAAAAATAATTAAGTGAATTGAAGAAATCGGGGGAAACAAATCAAAAAAGACACTGGCATTAACTAAAATAAAAAGTAAATTGAGTTGATGCAGCTTCTTTGGGTATCCAACGCATAACACCAATTCAAAACTCTTAAAATCCAAAAACGTAACCCCAACTTCGACCCGATGATTCAAGGCTTTGAAGCCTATAAACATACCAACCTAATCCACCCCGAAAATTCAAAGCTTTGAAGCTTATAAATTCCCCAGTCCCGACATGCCGACCTGATCCAGTCCATCGGCAAAACGCGGACCTCCCAAACCCACTGGAAACTGAGAGCCCGGACGGGTTCTGGGCGGCCGCCGAGCTTGACGATGTCAATTGGCGACAGACGAATTCGAACTGTCCGACCAAGTGGAAGAAGTGTTCGCGGCATCGGAGACGGACATCGACGCTTCGCTGAGAGCGCTAGCGGAAGAACAGGACCGACAAACTGCCCGACGGACAGCCAAGGATCAGCCGACCGACGACCATGACGAGACAAGCGCACCCCCTGACCACCTGGTAAAAAGTCCAATACGGCAACTCGGACTGCAACAGCCAGATGACGTGCCAACAATTCCAACGTCAAATAGCTACCAGATTGCGACGACAGATAAGTGGCTCATAAACCGGCTCCGAACCGTCGTCGAGCGCAGCCGTTGTTGGAACAGCCGCGGTGTGGTCAAGATGAACGAGGACGACCAGGCCGTCACCGGTCACCGTCGAGGATGAGGTCACTCTGGACCCTCGCCCGTCGGCCGCCGACAAGGGAAAAGGCCCCGCCGGAACCGTCGACGCCGCGGACTTCGGACGCCTGATGACCGGAAGACAGGGCGAAGTTGGCATCCCTCCGACAATCCTGGATCATGCCGCGAAGCATCCCTCCGACAATCCTGGATCATGCCGCGAAGGCCGGCCTGGCATCATGCGCAAAACGACTGCACGACAGACGACGAACGCCGGTCAGCATTCAAGTCGGCGATCTGGTCTACCTGAACCTCCACCACGGGTACAATTTGCCAGGAAAGCCTCACAGGAAATGGTCCCAGCAACGAACCGGACCATTCACTGTCAAAAAGAAGGTCGGCGAACTGGCAGCCGAGCTCGACCTACCTCCGACCTGGCGTGTCTACCCGGTGGTATCGGTAACGCAGCTGACGCTCGCACCGGACGACGATGCAGTGACCAGACCATTTCCCCAAGTTTCCCGGAGCGCACCGCAATCGACCGCCGCGGGTGGCCGAACGAGCCGCTGTGTCGGTGCCGGCTCTACCCGCGGCGCCAGTCGACCTCCCAAGGCTTCTTGTCCTTCTCCCGCCATCGCGGTTTGACGGGGGGGGAGGGGGAGAGCGGCGCAGCGGCGGGGTTGGCAGCGGGAGCGACAGCGAGGACGGCGGCAGACGGACCCGAAGAGCAGGACTTCTCGGCGGCCAGCAGACGCGCCTGGCAGTCGGACCAGGCGCCGCACCTCTCGGCCATGTGCGTGCGCAGCTCGCCGAGGCTCTCGGGCGTCATGCCGACCACGTCGCCGCCCTCGACGCCGGAGAAGCGGCCGAGGACGGTGAGGGGCACGACCCAGGCGTTTGGGACGTACACCCAGCTGGCGCGCGGCTTGCGCATCGCCTGCCCGGGACGGAGGCGGAGCGGTGGGGACGTGGCGGTGGGCAGCTCGCTGCCGGCGAAGGAGCGGAAGTCGGCGCGTGCCTTGCCGCGGTGCTGCCTCTGCTTCCACGGGGCACGGTAGTGGTTCTCCGGCCCAGAGCCGTAGGCGGAGACCGTCGTGATCAACGCGTGGGTTGATGCCCGTGAAAGCCGCGCGAGGATGATTACGGGATCTGATGGGAGTTAGTAAGTTTTGTCCAGGACAGGACAATGGAAAGATGGTACTTACGGCTCGTTGCCTGCACCGGGATATACCCCTTGGGATATTCCGGGGTCCGGTCGATCAGGGCCCTGCGATCCTCGGCGCGGAATGCGTTCGAGGGTTCTATCGGAAACATTAGGGCTTGCAACTTCATCGGGACATCAACGGCTTGGACTTGACTTACTCAGGAAGGCGATGTCTCCCTCTTGCCAGTTGGGACTACCCGTCGCTGGAGGACACCTGGACTTCTTGGACCAGGTCTTCGAGGCCATGTTGTCGACCAACAACTCACCGCCTCGGAAAGGAAGGGTGCGAGGGGAAGACTGGAAGACAGCGAAGTGAGCGAAGTGAGAGAGAGGAAGAAGGGCGAGTGAGGGCGGCGGAAGCGTGGATGGAAACGTTGATGGGAGTGTCGATGGAAGTGTCGATGGAAGTGTCGGCGGACGCTGAGGTTCTGCGAAGAATCGGAAGGAAATGGAGGGGGGGTCACACCTTTTATAGGTTTCGGATGATGCCACTCCAATTGGATGGTTAGGAATATCCGCCGCTTGGACATAGAGAATAAAATGTCATGGCGCTGTTACCGGATTGCAAGATTCTATTGGCGCCGTGTCTTGACTCATACACCCTAAAGATGTCGAGCCTCGGCTGTGCTCCTAAGCTCTAACGCTTTGACCCCAGGGCTCCCGGAAAGGTTGCGTATACATTGGCGGCGGACACTATGGGGAGAGTATCTGGTTTCAGACTTCTAATCGGATACTATTAGGATCAACTTTACATATTCCGGCTGATCTCCAGTCCGCAAGGATACCTAGATATATGTCCATGCTCGTACACTTCAACTCCTTGCGTCAGCATCACGAGTCCAACGTCCTGTGACCATACCCTCCTAGCCGTCCAAAAACGGGGGATGAGATAGCCTTCCAGTTTGTTGGGTCTCTTGTAAGGGCTACACATCCACAGCCCAGTACGGTTACTTCGCGGTTAATCTCCATCCTCAAGGTAAAGTTACAATATTAGAGTGACCTTGTATGTAGAGTGGGTTCTCATGGAGGAAAGATTCCATGCAATACGAGTGTCATTGGCATTTATCACATGGTTGACCTAATTACATGGTACCTAGGGAGCTAACGTCCAAAAAGCCCAGGCTCACAGCTTCCCAGCGGCCTGGAGGCCCCTCTCGCCGTCGGCCAGTACGCACCAGCCCTGCGATCCTGCACCGCCCTCTCCTGCCACGACAGTCGTGAAGTTCTCCCGAGCGTAGGCCAGGACGTCGTCGTTGAAAGTGCCGGGCTGCAAAAACACGGCCTGGATTCCGAGCCCCTTGGCCTCCTCGAGCGCCTTCTGCGTTACATGAGGAGGGGTGATGATCGACACGGATGTCTCCTGGGCGTCTTGTAGGGCTGAGAGCGACCCAACGGTTGGGATCTCCTTGCCATCCACACCGATTGCCGAAGCCCCGGGGTTGATGGGGGTCACCGACAAGTTGTGGGTGACATACCACTTGAACACTGGGGGCATGCATGTTAACATCGTGCGCGCTGAATATAGGGGCAGGGGCAATGTGCAAGTAGGTGGGAAATCGGAAATGCAATCACGAAACATGTGCTTAATCAACACTGACCCTTGTAGCCGAACTTCTCGGTGTTTGTGCTCGCGCCGACAACGGCAAATTTGGGTGCCTGGAAGAAGGCGCGAAGAGTCGCATCAGTGGAAGCCATGGCTGCTGTAGAATTGGAGTGTCGTTGATTTAATGTGTAGTGCGGAGGCGTGGGAATGGAGCGTGTTGGAAAAGATGAAAGTGCGGGGATAGTGACGGCGACTCTGGGGTTCAAATAGAAACTCGGAGGACTCGCCAAGCGGCGTAGCGAATGCATCTCCTTTGTGTAATTCCTGGGTAGTATACAGACGGAGCACTCGAACGAGGCGTATTCATTGGATCCGAGGCCAATAACGCAATTCTGGGCGCAGAGGCTTGAAGGTCACCCAATCTGAGGTGAGACGACAAGAGAACGAGGTCGACATGTGGCTGTGGTTCTCCTGCGGTTATGGATATCCGCCCAGGTGTCAGCGATCGCCGTTGACCCCACTGGCGAACTTGCAATGCCTCTTTGGCTCTTCAAACCACGAAATCTCTACTCAAGCATTTCGACCTTTTAGAACATGGAGGTTCGAGAGCCGTTGAGATGGCGCCTTGCTTTGGCTCGCCCCCGCCATACGGTTCGACTAGCAAGTGACTCGTCTAAATTTGGCCCAAAAACTAGGAAAGTAACGAGCAAGCCCTCAGGATCCTCATGAGAGACCGACCTAGCCTGGAGGATTCTATTGTCTGACCATTTCGCAGCTTGGATGGGCTGTTATTGGATAGAACTACCCAAATACAAGGCAAGTCTGCTTAGCTTACCTAGGTAGGGATGGAGCATCGGGAAAGGGAGCAACAACCTAAAAGGCTAAAGCAGGACGAATCCATTGCAAGTTCCATGGAATTAGCAGCATTGGCTGTCCGCTGTCCTGCCGATTTCGTGCTTCGCAGTTATCTGAGTCAGATCGATGTCGCCTTGGAGGAATGATGAAGCTTGTTTGGGATTGGGGCTTGAACGAGGCGTTTCTGAGCATCTCCCTATCTTAAAAAAAGATCCTGCTGTAATAATGCCGAATTGGGTCTCATAATTCGGCTGCTGTCGGCCGCCAGGCCAGGACAGTGCCTGCGTAGAGCCCTAACCCTGAATCTGTCCAGAATGTGGCTGGTGAGCTAGTGTTGTGGCTGGTGCTGGGCTTTGTTGAGCGTTTCCGCGGTTGCCCCGCGAGACGTCTCGAGTTGGGGGGGGACAACAAATGGAGTCTGGGTGGGGCACAAACCGCCTTGGGCAGCGAACCACCACTCTCGGCCGCCGTCTCAGGATAACTTCACATCCCGCCATTTCAACCACCGCCCACCTCTTTGCATCAAGTCTTGTTTTTGCGCGCTCAACTTTTGAAATTCTTGCCGCAGTACAGTGTCGTTTTCGAGTTACAATACTCCAACACAATGGTACGTGAACTCCATGGCAGATCGCCAATTTCTTCGGGCGCATCGCATTGCCCTCCTGCGAGGTTTGCACCGGGTTCTGTTCCAAACGGAACCTCCAAACCCCAGAGAAGCACCCAACCAGACGCGGTGACCGCTAACAGTATGGCGCATAGGCTTCGACCAACTACAAGGAGGCGTTCTCGCTGTTCGACATTCGTGGTGTCGGCCGCGTCGCCCTCGACAAGCTCGGCGACCTCCTCCGTGCCTGCGGGCAAAACCCGACTCTGGCCGAGATCCGCGACCTCGAGAAGAGCGTTGGTGATGAATGTGAGCAACACTTTTGGTTATAGCCTCTTGGGCAACCCCCCAGCTGACACACGTGCGCAAACAGTCGACTTTGAAACTTTCCAGCGCATCCTGAACCGGCCGGGCGGCTTCCGCGACCCCGGCGAACCAGAGGAATACTGCCGCGGCTTTCAGGTGTTTGATAAAGACATGACGGGGTTCATTGGTGTCGGCCAGCTCAAGTACATCCTCACGAACCTCGGCGAGAAGATGTCGGAAGAGGAGGTAGACGAGCTACTCAAGGCCGTCGACACCAGCTCGGGGCAGGTCAATTACACAGGTAGGAGGTATTTCCCTGGCGATGTTGGACGCTTGCTGACGTGATGTATCAGAGCTCGTACGCACCATTCTCTCCAACTAGAGGTCATGAGAAGACGGGGGGTTACGAAGCAGTCACGGACCGGTTTGGCAACGAGCCGATCTACGAGATGGCGGTCACGGAGGGAATTGCATTGATTGCGTGATGGGCGGCTGGCGTTGGAGTTGTGCGATCTGGATTGTATTAAATTTGGGCGCCTGGATTGGTATTGATGATGCACCATTCAGGACTTGGGATAGGGCACACAGGTTAGGACCTACCTAGATAGCAATAGGAAGTCATTCCACCAAATGGATGCAGCTTTGTCTGAAAATCAATGTCCCAACCTCAGTTCCTTGCACAGCGGGGCGAGGGGCACTCTGATGCAGGGCGGGGGAAGGGCCCTGGCCCAGTGATATCAAGGCTTGGCATCAATTGCGGACCTGGGTGCTGCACCCAAGACCGTGATCGTTTCCGTGTCAGATTCAACCGCGACTGAATCCAAGGCAAACTGGAACCAAAGCCTTTCGTGATTGTCTACCTCAAATGCAACGAATAATCCAAGCCATCGCCAATTAACCCGGGATTTCTCGTACAAAAAAGACTGGGCTTCATTCCCACCTTGATGTTTCATCCTGACGAGGTTGCGAGGTGTCGGACTGAGAAACTGCTGTGCCCGCCTGAGGTCCCCGTCCGTTTGTCCCAACGCCCGGCTGCTTGCTGTCCCACCTCGGGCTTCCCCGCAATTGGGCTTACACTTGGACCCCGCGGTCCTCTCAGTTTACATTCGCACCCAACAAGGCCCTCCCATCATTCACCCTGGCGTCCGCTGCTCCCCCGATTCGGCAGGCCGTCTTCCTGTTGCTCCTGTCCCTCCTCCTCTTCTCCACGACCACCGTCATCCTGGCCGCCCCACGCATCGCCCCCCGCCTTTTTGCCCTCTTCACACAGCTCAAGTACAGCAAGGCCCACCAACAAGCACCCTTAGGAGGAGCCGTTACTGCTGTCACGACTGGTCGTCCTGCTCTGGGCACCTTGACCCTCTCTTCTCCGCTCTCCTACTTCACCCACGCCTCGAACGTCAACATGGCCAAGTACGCAAACCCCCCGCAGCCGCCGCCGCTGTTCACCGGCACCAAGGACAGCATCGTAGCCGATTCCAAGGGCCTATGTGACACCACTCGCTCGCTGCTAGACTCCCTCGTTGCCAACATCAAGCCGACCGAGAACGCTGCCGCTGCCACTTTCGAGTCGGTGCTTCGCCCGCAAACTGAGGACGAAAACGAGAGCTCCCTCAGCGCCCGTATCCTCGGCTTTTACCAATATGTGTCCGGGGACAGCGCCCTCCGTGACGCCAGCACCGAGGCTGAGAAGATCATGGACGAGTTCTCCATCGAGTGCAGCATGCGCGAGGATGTCTTCCGTCTCGTCGACGCCGTCTACAACAACTCGGGCCTTGCCGCGAGCATCGCAGAGGACAAGGAGCGGCTGATCGACGCTGCTCTGGCCAAGAGCGCTGGCCTAGATGATGTCGAGAGTGCGAGGCTACTCGAGAAGGAGAGGAAGAGCTACATTAGAAACGGCCTGGGTCTGCCCGAGGGCCCCAAGAGGGACCGGTTCAAGGAGATCAAGAAGAGGCTGAGCCAGATCCAGATCGCGTTCCAGAAGAACCTGAACGAGGAGAACAACGGTCTCTGGCTGGCCAAGGAAGATCTTGACGGTGTCCCGCAGGATGTCTTGGACACCCTGGAGAAGGGAACTGGTGACAACGAGGGGAAAATCCGCCTCTCCTTCAAGTACCCCGACCTCTTCCCTACTTTGAAGTTCGCCAAGAACCCCGATATTCGCCGGAAGGTCTTCATTGAAAACGAGAACAAAGTATGTTTGCAACCGTGGGCAATCCTGAGTAGCCGTGCCAACGCTGACACTCGTGCAGTGCAACGAGAACGCCCCCCTTTTCAAGGAGGCTATCCTCCTCCGTGACGAGGCGGCGCGCCTTCTTGGCTACCCCGACCATGCCTCGTTCCGTATCGAGGATAAGATGGCCAAGACACCAAAGACAGTGCTGGACTTCTTGGGGGACCTCAAGAGTCGTCTCGCTGCCGGCGGTGTCAAGGAGATCGAGCATCTCCTCGCGCTCAAGAAGAAGGACCACGAAGCCCGTAATCTGCCGTTTGATGGAAATTACTATCTCTGGGACCACCGCTTCTACGACCGCATGATGGTTGAGCAGGAGTACAGCATCGACGAGAATGCCATTGCGGAGTACTTCCCGCTCACCTCGACCGTCGCCGGCATGCTCCGCATCTTCGAAGAGCTATTCGGCCTCGTCTTCGTCGAGCTCACTCCCGAAGACCGCAAGCGCATCTCCTCGACCGGAAAGGCCGAGGATATCGCCTGGCATGACGATGTGATCATTTTCAGTGTCTGGGACGATGCGGGCGAAGGCGAAGGCTTTGTCGGCTACCTGTACCTTGACCTGCACCCTCGCCCCGGCAAGTACGGCCACGCTGCCAACTTCAGCCTCCAGCCGGGCTTCCTGAAAGCCGACGGCACCAGGCGGTACCCCGCCACAGCCCTCGTCTGCAACTTTAGCAAGCCCACCGACAAGAAGCCCTCCCTCCTCAAGCATGAGGAAGTAGTGACTCTTTTCCACGAGCTCGGCCACGGCATTCACGACCTCGCCGGCCGTACCCGATATGCTCGGTATCACGGCACGTCGACTGTCCGCGACTTTGTCGAGGCGCCCAGCCAGATGCTCGAGAACTGGTGCTGGACTCCCAGCCAGCTCAAGAGCTTGAGCAAGCACTACGAGTCGGGCCAGCCGATCCCGGATGACCTGATCGAGAAGCTGATCGCCACCAAACATGTGAACGATGGCCTCTTCAACCTCCGCCAGTTGCATTTTGGCCTGTTTGACATGACCGTCCACACCCCCAAGACGCACGAGGAACTGGAGAAGTTGGACGTCAGCAAACTGTACAACGACCTGCGCGTGCAAATTTCCCAGATCAAGGGCCCTGAAGCACAGGGCGAACCTAGGTGAGCCACCCACCCCCTTAACTAATGAGTGAGACTATACTGACGACGGCTCGCGCGTAGCACATGGGGCAACGGCCAGGCCACGTTTGGCCACCTGATCGGTGGCTACGACGCCGGTTACTACGGCTATCTGTCCTCGCAGGTGTACTCGACCGACATGTTCTACTCGGTCTTCAAGGCCAACCCGATGGACCCCACACAGGGCCGCCGGTACAGGCACACGGTCCTCGAGAAGGGCGGGTCGCAGGAAGAGATGCTCACCCTCGAGCAGTTCCTGGGGAGGAAGCCAAGCTCTGAAGCCTTCTACAAGGAGCTGGGACTCGACGGTTAAACGTGCCCGGTAGCGAAGGGTTGTATGTACGCACGTTGCGCTGCAACCAAATACTTTGTGCCATAGCCACAATGTGGCCAAGCTCAGGACTTAACATTTAATCCCCTGTGATCGGGAGACTTTGAAGATAGTCCAACAATTGAGATTACACAGTACCCACACACGCCGCAGTACCTGTTGCCTACGTGAACGGCAAAGTGAGCAACAACGGCCGAGGTTTTAGCCGTGTATTTGCAACCTCGTTCAACACTGAATTGGAACGCGTAGTCAGGTGATACCGTGTTTCCACATCCGCCCCTTTCCCAAGTCTCAAGGTTAGAACAACTTTTGTCTTCGAGTTCAATAATTGCCCCCCACCCCCCGTGAATAAGTCCAATCTATAGGCACTGAGTAACCACCACCTGCATCTTTCGCACCCTGTTTTACCTGGAAATGAGTTTCGGTCTCCCACTCAACCCCACCTACCGACCAAGCCGGGAAGTTTCTTGGGGCAGCCATGCGCATAACCACCTCCAACGAACAGCCGGCCCGGTTAGCTCAGCTGGTTAGAGCGTCGTACTAATATTGTGGGGGTTCAAACCCTGCTATATCATGTCATGCGAAGGTCAACAGTTCAATCCTGTTACTGGGCAAATGAGTTTGGGGGAGTGAGATTGGTTTTTGATGATTTTTTGTTGGTGGGGTGTTGAGGGTGGATGTATGGTGGGGGTTTGGAGTATCATGGTGGGGGTTGTTTGGTGTTTTGCCCCTGAGCAGGGAGTGAGGAGGGTTGAGCCCTGGGTGTACCCAGTTCCTGTCCCTCCCTACCTAGGTAATTTGCGGATTGCAAACGGGCCGTTTGTTGTGGGTTGTGCGGATCCCATGGTTCACGGAGGAGTCGCCGTAAGGACATCAGAATCGTGATTGTGTGATTCTCAACTCTGTTTTGTAGCGCAGATACAAATGCCAACTTCCCAAAATGCGGCTCGCTATGATACGGAGACTCCAGAATCCAAACACAGTAAACCAACTACTCCTGGCAATGCTCTCCAACACATGAATCGTCAAGGTCTCTCGTAAAAGACTGCGCAGCTGCCGGGTTGCCATTGCCTGCAAGCACCTCGGGCGCGCAGTGCGTATCATGGTGCTCCACAAACTCCCCAAACCCCGAGCGAACGTAAAGAACTAAACCGAAGCGCAACCAACCCTAAGAGACGGGCGCGCAGCTGTATGGGTCGGAAACCGATCCGATTTCGTACCGATGCATCTGGGTCAGGGTCAGCAATCGTTCGCAGGGTAGGTAGGTCAGGAAGGTGATCATGCTTACAATATCCCATACAGCAGAGTAAGTCCCGACGCCTAGCACAGTAATGCCTACGATAAACGACAAAGCGTTGGCGGCTGCCATAGGCAAATTCTTGCGCTCGAACCATTTCCCTTCCCTAATGAACATGAACCACATGATGGCGGGAAAGTAGAAGGTGAAGCCCGAGACGAACAGCGATGAGCAGATGGCCAGCAGGTCCGGGAAGAAGGGGACGGCACCAGCAATGACCCACGACAGTAGGGTGATGGCGGCGTCCAGACCAATCCACGTGGCCCAGCCCATGGGGGTGTTGACGTAGCGGATGATGGAGTTCTTGTACACGCGCCCGTGGATGTAGCGCGCCACCACGGTCGTGTTGATGCTGCCCGAGATGAAGATGACGGGGATGGCGATGCCGAACGCCACCTTGGACACCACAGGGCCGGCCGACAGCAGGGCGGGGGATTTGACGTCCGGGCCGACAAAGACGTAGACCAGAGCGCCCGTGATCGTGTAGAGGAAGATCTCGAAGATGCCGAGCGACATGATCGCCTTGTCGTAGTCCTTTGGCGTGTGCATCTCGTCCATGAAGCTGAACTGGCACAGGGCAAAGCTGTAGGCAAACACGATGTTGCTGATGGCGATAAAGGTTTCGGCCAGCGACAGGTTCTCCTTGGGCCATGCAGACCACGCCACGGACGCGACACCGCCGGGCAGCTCGCTAGCACGCACACCGGTGGCGACAATGGTGATGAAGATGGCGGCGATGATGGACGCGAAGTCGATGTAGCCGAGGATGGCCATCTCGGAAAAGCTGGGCGGGATGGCGACGAGGAACAGGAGGATCGCCGAAACGACGGTGAAGATGACGGTGCATGCGCCGTTGTCCGTAAGGTTTCCGAACATGATGGCGCCAGTCAAGACGTGCGAGCCGATGGTAAAAACCAGCTGCATGATGAACATGACGCTGACAATCTCGTAGCCAATGTTGCCAAACATCATGCGGCCGGCGTCGGTGTAGTGCGAGATGTGCGGGTACTTGAGCTTCATCTGACCGATCACGTAGCTGGCATACAAGGCAACGAGACCGATTCCGACCGTGAGGATGACGCCGGCTACCATGCCGAGGGTCGCAAAGGCGCCCGGAAGACTGAGACTCCCAAGCGCAACCGCCGTCACGATTAGCACGATGGTGAGACGCTTCCAGCCGAGCTGGTGGAAATGCGCCTCACCTTCGGCCGCCTTCTGCTTCTCGTAGTCGTTCATCTCGACCGTGGGCCGCACCTCGCCCACTTCATCGTCGGATTGTGACTGGAGGGCGCCCGAATCCGGGGTGTCGAAAGGGGTCGCCTTCTTGTCCAGGGACTTGGCGTCCGGGGCGGGGTTGATGGCCGCCATGGTTGAGGACCGTTAAGGTGTTGCGAGATGATCTCTTGTCACCTTCGTCGTCTGCGAGCTGGTGGGTGTTGAAACCAGAACAGGCAGGTCACGGTGGCTGTAGCCAAGCAAACGTTGCTGCACCGACACCAGAGGTCCTTCCGGGCCTGACCTTTATAAAGTAGGGGAGCGGGTGAGAGGGAAGGGGTGTTCCCGCGTCCTCAAAAGGTCAGTTACCTGGGCCTTGGGAGCAAAAGGAGTTGGAGGGGTGGCAGTGAGACGAGGAGCACAGCGAGACCACGACGTTTAAGCGGATCTGCAGGGCCATCAACCAAGGTCAGAGTGTTGAGTCGACACTGGCCGACAAATCCCTGCCCTAAAAGCCGAGTTCGGTTGATATCGCGTCCGGAAACCCCGGCACAAGAGTGTTCCTATCGCCCCTCGGACAGGGCTCCCGACTTCAGCCCGCTTGTCCAAGACATCCTCGGAGACCCCGTAGTTCATCCCACCAGTCGGAGCATTACGGTGGTACCTGTTTCCCCAGATCCCCAGGTTCCTAGATCCCGTCAAAGCCATCACGGGGCCACGTCTCGATCGCGCGGAAGGCTCCAGGGTCCTACATCGCCTGCGGTTCGCCCGCTCCTTCTAGAAGCCTGCCCGTCCCCGTGTTCCTTGCACTCTATTCGTGTATCTGTGGGTGATGGCAAGGGTGGCGGGTATTGCGGCGATTACCAACAGGTTCCTGTCATGGGATGAAACTGGCCTATCCCTCGTCGGTATCCGTATCTGGGAATTCCCGGGGTTTCGTTCGATAATCTCCGCTCATGATTCAGGCGGATACACATCAATGTGGACTTGAAGGTCGGCTCGGTCGGTTGATGTCCAACCACAGGAGGGGCGATGGTAACCTGAGTGGCTGGAACCTTCCGTTGGCCGAAGGTACGTCAAGGCACGTCCCCTGCCGCGCAAACGCAACGCTAAAAAAAGCTTGATGCCCGGTAGTCGCGCGTTCCATCGAAGGGACGTATACCTCATATCCCCTCTTCGGACTTTGAGATGTGCGACGAAAACCCGCCGAGAAGCAACGAGTCTTCCGGCTTAACACACACAACCAAAGGAGAGACGCTTGACAATAGCGAAACCGACACGTTATAGGTCGGGCCTTCCATGCCTTGCATACCCCATCCGGATCAGTGAACGCCGTCCAGACTCCAACCCGCCACTGAATGCTCCACAGTTATGTGGGCAAGAGGTGGATGCTCGAAAAGAAAATGCTTGGCCACTCGGCCAGGAACGGATCCTCGACTTCCTCGGAGCGGATCAAAGGAAAGGTTAAAATTAAAAATGCCCTGCTTGTTTGACCGCTTGTTGACAGTTGTGCTATTGTGTACCGAGTTACGCACTTTCTGGAAATCCAAGGGTTGTGATCGATGAGGGAATAACTAATAGCCTCAAGTGTTAAAGGTGAGGGAAGAGGTAAAGAGGTTTGAAGTCAACACCATGATGATCACTTCGCAACGTTTGTCATGTCAAATCGCGCTCTGCCAATCATGGACAGTCCTGGCACGACAGGGAACATCGAAACTGGATCTCGAGTCCCTCGACCACTTGCCGAGTTTCGAACGAGGCCGGCGATTGCCGCGCGGAGCGGGTCCGAAAGCGCAGCTTGCTCAACGTCGGTGACGAATACGGGAAGTGGTCTCGAGTAAAGTTGCTTGCTTCGTCCCTGCGTCCTTGTTGGTTCATGAAGTTGGTGGTTCCGTGACGTCGTCGGCTGGTTCGGCGCAAGGTTTGTGTTGGTCTGCTTTGCGAGGACCCTGGGCGAGCTTCGCTCCTTGGGAGGTCAGACAGCCCTAACCCCGAGACCTGAAAGATGTTCGAGACTGTGGCTTGCAGCAGGTGTGGCATTTTGGATGTGGCACCAACGGCAGCCCCACCCACGAAGCCCACAACAGCAAGTAAACAAACCGAGCACCATCGTCCAATCATGGCTGCCCATTGGTATTTTGGCAATCCGGCTTCCTCCCCGCCATCGTTTCGAGTTCAACGAGCGCGACCACCAGTCCCGAAACAACCAATAAGCGCATTCTTTAGCTGAGGCGCGACGACACTCATTTAGATACGCGCTCCCATCAGATGAACGAGTCACGCAACGCGAGTCCCCCTCCTTGAAGCCGCGTCCGTGTCAACATTCAACACTCAACTCCCACCTCACTTCCGTCGCAAACCAAACCATTCCTTGGAGACGCGACGCGCTCCCGAGATCGCTTCCAACGATCACCGTGAAGATGGACGCCGAGGAACAATACTTTGCCTTTGAGAACCGACTCAACTCGTTCCAAGGCCCCCAGCCCGTGTCCAAAGGGAAGGCCTCAGCCGCCGCCTCGCGTGCGCCGAAGGCACTCCTCTGGCCACACAAGACACTGTCACCCTTGGCTGTGAGTTCCCAACCCCATATCCCACCAGCAAAAGTTTGACTGACGCGTTCGATTCAGCTCGCGAAAGCCGGATTCTTCTTTCAGCCGCACCCGAAGAGCCCAGACAATGTAGTGTGCTTTCTGTGCGAAAAGTCCCTTGACGGGTGGGAGGAGAACGACAACCCGCTAGAAGAGCATCTGAAGCATTCGCCGACATGTGGCTGGGCTATCACAGCGGCAATCGAAGCCGGCTACGGCAATTACGGGAAGGTGCACCCCCTCGACCCAGCCATGATCGAGGCACGGAAAGCGACATTTGCAGGGCGGTGGCCGTACGAGTCGAAAAGGGGGTTCAAATGCAAGACAAAAAAGGTAGGCGCGCTCCGGTCATGTCGAGGAGCACGAGACTAACCCTGGCTACATAGCTTGTCGAGGGTGGCTGGAAGTTCACACCATCCGTCGAAGCGGATGACATGACCACCTGTGCCTATTGCAATCTCGCACTTGAGGGGTGGGAGTCTGACGATAATCCATTGTAAGTGTCGCATTGAAACGCAGGTAGTTAACTACAAAGCTAACCAGACGGCAGTGATGAGCATTACCGACGCGAACCCGGTTGTCTCTTCTTTGCCCTCATCAACCAGTACCCAGCCCCGAAGAAAGGAAGGGGCAAGGCAGCCAGAGCCTCCAAGGCCTCTCGGCTTTCGGTGCAGTCCGTTGCCACCGTTGCTACAACAGCATCGGACCTTGGCTCCCTCGGGGACATCACGGCCGATCACGACGACAGCGTCATGACCACGGCGTCCACGGCGACACAGGGCGAGAAGAAGACGGCCAAGGGTCGCAAGACTGCCACCGGCAAGGGCAGGAAAACCAAAGCAAAGAAGAATGATGATGCCGTTGAGATCTTGGAAGATGAGCCACAAGAACCTCCGCAGCTGCCTGCTGTCAAAGGACGCAAACGCGCGAGTGACGCCATGGAAGACCATGCCGCGACCAATGCCGAGGCACCGGCTCCAAAGAAACGCGCCGGCCGTGGTAGAGCGAGCGTCGCTGTCGACAACTCATCGATCCCTGATTCTGAGATGGTTGATGCTGCCCCCACAAAACAACCCGCCGGCAAGAAAAAGGCTCGGGCGTCCACCTCGAAAACCTCCCGGAAGGCTTCCCAGGCGTCCATCAGATCAGAGGCATCTACAGCATCCCTACGCGCCCACATGCCTGACGACGACGAGCTTGACCGCCAGCTCGAGGCCGACCTAGAACGTTACGAGAGCAATGAGGAAGACATGGCCATCATACAACCTCCCCCCCCAGCGAAGGGACGTCCCAAGAAGGCCACCACTACACGGAAGAACAGCGCCCAGAGGAATGCCGGTAGCGAGTCCTACGCCATGTTTGACCCAACACCCATGGTGCCAGATGAGGCAGAGATTGAGGCCGATCTCGAGGCACTCCAGGCAGAAATGGAAGTGGAACAATCCGCGGATACAAAACCTTTGGTAGTGCCCAAGAAGGGCCGCAAAACTGGGGCGCGCAAAGTGTCCAAACAAACGAAGAAGGCCAAGGAGCCCTCGCCTCCGCCTAGTCCAGCGGAAGAAACATCACGCCATGAGCCAATACAGTCTCCGGCTCAGGAGACCCAGCAACCAATAGAGGAGTTGGAGCCGGAAGCGGAGCTCGCAGAGGATCCCGACGCTAGCACGGGGACCGTCGTGACGAAACCCACCAGTCGCCCGACCACTGAGAAACGGGGAAGAGGGCGGCCGAAGAAGTCAACAGCTTCAGTGGCCTCTGTCGAAGGTCAAGAACAGCGCCGGTCCATTGGGGCCGTGGCCCAGCCCCAGGCGCAGGTAGAGACAACTCGTCCCCGAGAGCCCATCCCCGCAACGAAGAATACGCCCGTGAAAATCCTCAGAAAGGCAGTGCCTCCCCCGTCCCATCGCCTGGCCTCAACTCCAGATCCAATGACGACCACCCCACCAAGAGCGTCAAAGACTACCCCCGCCCCGCCCGCATCCGCGAGCCGCATGCAGCCACCCCCGTCAACCCCCAGGACCCGTCCCACCCCGTCCGCGCGAGCAAATCAAGCCACCCCGCAGACCTTCGACGCCGAGAACCCACCGTCCGCCCTCCAACCCGCCGCGAGCGTAATGCCCAGGCGCCCCGTGCTCGCCCCGCTCTCCGTCGCCCAAACCCCCCAGCGCAGCTCCCCTTCCAAGCGCAACATCGTCGCCGGCCTACAGAGCAACCACCCCTGGCAGCCCGCCGATCTCGACCTAGTCTTCTCTTCCTCCCCTGCCAAGGGCAGCGACAGCAGTCCAAGCCACGGCGGCGGCGACAAAGAGAACAGCGCCGTGTCGAGGCTGCTGCGCAAGGGCGCCGAGCTGACGAGCCCCGAGAAGCGCATGACGGTCGAGGAGTGGATCTACCACAATGCCGGGCTGGCCGAGCAGAAGCTGAAGTACGAGTGTGAGGCGATGGTGGCGGCTTTTGAGGGGGAGGGTGGGAGGGCGCTGAGCGTCCTGGAGGGGCTTGTTGTTGATGCTGCTTGAGTCTTTGCATAATTTGGAGGGGTGTTCTTTTGGGTGCGATAGCGAGCGAGCATGTGGTAGGAAAGAAGTGGTTGGGTTGGTTGGTTGGGTATTTCAACACGGGACTTCTGTGGAGACTAGGAATAGCGCATCGACCGGGTTGGCTTGGTTTGGCGTTGGAGTGGCGGTTTGATTTCAATGAGTTAATTAATCGAGTCCTTGTTCTTGATCGAGTTTCTTCCCTTGACTTGCCGGAGACTGGTTGTCATGGTGCGGTGCCGCCTGTCAAAGTTCCTGGAACCGCAGAACTAGAGAACAGCAACTCAAACACACACTAAGCAAGCATACAGCAGTTTTGCGTGGTCGTAATTGCAATATGTATTCGTAACAAGATCTTAGGTGTGAAGGGAAACCTAGGACAGAGTAATCTTAGGAGGCGAACCACAGCCATCAACCCGCCTCAAACCCGCAACGCCAACTCCGATGCGCCTCCACTTCCCAAGGAGTTCCACAGACAAACCCTAGAGAAACTACACCTCCCCCACTCCAAGGACAGGTCATCAACGCCGGGCCCCGTCCCTTTCAAGCAGCGGCTGAACCTCTAAGTCAACATCAACCCCACGCCCGGATCGGACCCCAACTTCCACCCCCCCATATACCCGTCGTCCCTTCTACTTCGAAACGTGATACATGGCGTATAGTACACCAGGGATCCTGAACAAGCAGGCGACGATCCGCGTTAGCCCACTAACTAGGGGAAGAGAGCGCCACGAGGGCAGAGCAAGAGAAGGAAGGGGGCAGCCCGTTCTTCTGAGGGGTGTGCAGGTGCGTTGTACGTACCAGCCGAGAAGGGTCAGCAGGATGCTCAAGCCGAAGTGCTTGTTGTTGGCACCCCGCCGGAGGTACACGGCCAGCGGGGGCACGAAGAAGGAGGTGACGTAGAGGACGGCCTTGCGCGACTTGTGGCCCATGGTCGGTGGGTTGGCGTCTGCGCTGGCGGTTGCTTGCTTGACGAGATGGGCTGTGACTTCGTCGTTGGGGATGGCCGGTGTCACTGTGAGGGGTGGGGCGGTGGTGGTGTTGGCTGTGTTGTTGGTGTTGTTGTTGTTGTTGTTGAGTGCCGCGGCCCACGGGTTGTTGGTGGTGGTGTTGGGGGTGGCGTCTGCGGGCTCGCTTGGGATGCTGGTGGTGGTGGCGGTGGTTGACCTGGTGAGAGAAGGGACAGGACTTTCCGTCGAGGCTTCGGTGGGCACTTCCGGGCCTGTTGTGGTCGAGGGACTCATGGGATGTTGTTGGAATCTGGAAGGTTTAGGTTGAGACCAAATTATGTTCCTTTGATAATTACTTGATGGCCAGGTTGGCTGAAATAACATGGAAGTTTGAAGTTGATGGTCAACCGAACGAAGCAGAAACAGTTAATAATACTGCCCATGATGAAGGTACCTTCCTTCCTAGGCTGTCCAAATCTCGCATCATGGCAGGTGCAGTTCACTCCAGGTTGTTTTCCGGTAAGTGGTTAGTGTGTACCACCCATACCCCCTTCTGGTTACAGATTCCAATGGCTGTTTGTTCAGCCAGGTGTTCTTTGATCAACCAGTAGGAGATCATTCACTTGTGAACTAGGAGCAAAGCCCTCTGAAAGGGATGATTGTGACTAGAAGTGGGTGTTAGTGGTAACTTAGATACACCACAGACCCATCGATCTCCTTTACATGATATTGTTACGATTTAGGTATCAGCTCCTTGCATTCGAGCAAATGTGGCCGAGAGCCGTGATTCACACATCCATGGAAGTCTACATGATTACCTAGGTGTTGCACAACTTTGTTGGCCAAGCCAGCTCCAAGAGCTACTGCGTAGTGGCAGACACGTTCACTGGCTATCTTCTGCTCTGGATACCTATTCTGAATAATGCCGTGATACTTTGCGCCCCGACAACCTCCCAATGAACCATACTAGATATGGACACTCGCCATTTCACACTGGACTACTTCATACATCGAGCAGACTTGCTTCCACGTTATCGGTCTCCCCAGGTCACAAGCCACATCTTAACTGCTATTAATAACACATTTCAAGGGTCATAGTTAACCGGCAGTAGTCTCCACCGCAAGTCAGTGACACCTTCAACACAGCTGGCAATGGAGTGTACAAACCACAGTATACAGGCAACAGTGTGTATAAGTATCCTCCGCAGCGTAACCCATACCACCCACCATGGCAGAGCTCTTACAGCAAGGTAGTTCCAGCCACCCAGAACCTTGATTTTCAGCATATTTCCACACATAGACATTACCACACAAAGATGAGCGACCCCCTGAGGCCCTGGGAACGCCGTAATGGCGCCCGCGTCAGTCTTACCAGCGACTCCCTCCAACGTGCGGTCGGCACGGGCCTAACCTCTTACACCTCGAGTTCAACCTCATATCCCTCCCTCTACAGCACCAGCTCCACCCTGGGGAGCAGCAACAGCACCACGACCTCCACCCTCGGCTCGCCCTTCACCACGACCGGCAGCTACGGCGGCACCACCCGCTTCGGCTCCTCCTCCCTATACCCCCACAGCACCTCCTCCACCTCCCCCTCCACCTTCTCCTACCACCCCCCCCGCGCCCCTCCTCCTCCAGCTGGTACCCAACCGCCTCCACAACAACAACCTCCACCGACCGCACCACCACCACCGGCTCAAGCACAACCTACCGCCCCAGCTACCTCACCTCTACCTCCACCACCACCACAGGAGCCTCAGACACAACCTACCGACCTCGCTACCCCCCCTATCAGCACCACCACCACCGGCACGGGCACAGACACAAGCTACCGCCCCACCTACCTCACCTCCCTCACCGCAAGCCCCACGAGCTACTACTCCCCGCGGCGCGGCCGGTCGCCGCCTCGGCCGCGGCCGTCGACGCCGGTTGCGCGGGTGACGGATACGTCGAGCTTGTGGGGGGGCTCGACGCTGGGGGGTGGGACTGGATCTGGCTCTGGGGCAGGGACAGGGACGAGGACGTTTTGGGATTCGGTGCCGGATCGGCGGAGGTCGAGGTCGAGGAGTCGGTCGGGTTCGAGGGGGTGGGAGGATGCGGGGTTTTGAGATTGGGTTTTGGTATTTGAGAGAGAAGGGGGGGAGGGGGTGGGTGGTTTATTTACTTAGGTGTCGGGGAGGGGGTGGAATTGGGGTGAAGTCTAGTCCCAGGCGAGGTGTTGGGTGGTATGGGTATCGAGGGGGTTAGGATTGGGGAGTTGCGGTGCTTTCATGGATGAGAAAGGACGGGCTTAGGTTCTATTATTGGGATGTGGCTGGTTTGCTATGCCAGGATTTAGCCGTGCGTTTGCTAGCTATTGGTTTTCTCTTGAATGTGTCCTTGAGTGGTGTCTTGTGTCAGGGTCCAAGTACGCGTCTAGCCATCCGAGTTGGAAGCTGCGTACCTACCTATAGGTACCTAGCCACTTTGTATTCGTGAGTGCTACATGAAGCAATAATGGCAGAGCTTTCTTTCCGTGCTGGTGTCCCGGGTCCAATTCTCTGTGCTGCCTATAAAGTCCATGTGACTACGACCCCGTGCTTCCAACCCCCCTAACCGACGACCCCGAGGCCTGCCCCTGGACGCTGGACGCACCCCGCGCCACAACAATCTGCTCTTTGCTCGCCACAATGATTCCCTCGCCATTCTTTGGATTTTTGCGAGTGATCGAGAACTCTTTGAGGGCGTATTTGGACTCGCCCTGAAGAGCCATCTCCGCCAGGGCCTTCCCAAGCAGAGGCACAAATTTCATAGCCCAACCCGCCGTGAAGACGACAACACTCTTCTCGGGCCCACCGTGGAGGTACTCCTTGGGGACGTAGTCGAGGACGAACATGTTGTCTAGTTGATTGTGCATGTGTAAGCACTCGATCTGTGGTACCTAACACCAGGTCGTGGATAGTAAAGAATAGTACTCACCGAAGACGTTAGTCTGGAGGCAACTGAGTGTAAAAGCTGGGACGGTGGAATCTACGCCCACGACGTGCTCCTTAATGAAATCCTGGGCGTCTCGAATGTCCTCTGCATTGACTTCGCTGGTGAGTCTGTCGCTGGGGTCATTGATACGGCGAGTAGCTGCGTCCACCGCAATACGGGTAACATTCGGGGGGCCCCAAGGCAAGGTAGGGAAGCCATAGAAGAGCTGCGATCTTTGATTCTTGTCGGGAGCAAACTGAAACCACATGCCTGTGACATGTCATCCATGAGCAAGTGCCACGGGACTAACGGATGGAGGAATGAAGAAAAAAGGTGCTCACTGGGAAAGATTGTTCCTTTGGGCCCGGCATTGGTACTGAAGTAGCTCGCAACCATCTCCCAGATGTCGAGATCGAGTTGGATGCCAAAGCTCGGCTTCAGAACGTGGTTGACGTAGGCGCCGGACGCAATCACAATCTTCCTCGCCCTGAATGTCACTTTCTCCTCCTCGTGGCGGACTGTATGTACTTCCCAGATGCTACTGGCCTGCTCTGAAGGGCGAATTTTCTCGACCTTGGTATGCTGCTTAGTTTCAGCGCCGTAGTCCTTGGCTAGGCTCATAAGGGTGCGCAAGAGGAGCTGGACGTTGATCACGCCATTGTCAGGGGCGTAAAGACCGATCCAGTCCGGGGGCAATTTCTTGAAGGGGTAACGCTCTTCGATATCTTTGGCGTTTACTAGAAAACCACACGCCGTCAGCCCCCTCCGTATGTGAGCCTTGCATGCTGAATCAAGCGTCTTGTTTGTTTCTTACATTCCTTGTATGCCATGCCGAGCCTCTTAAGGTTGGGTACCGGGCCCGTCAGGGTCCCTAGAAACTCAAGCGCAGGTCAGTTGCGTGGCTCGCTTGCTGTCGAACCCCTTTGAGTGAGGCAGTAGGAAGACCGACCTTCCGGGGTGTCGCCACCGAAGTTTTTATCTCCGAAGTTGAGCAATCCGCTCATCCAACGGAGAGAGGTGCCCGAATCTTTTTCAAGGTCGTCCCAAAGGCCCAACGCCTCTTTGGCAAGGTCAGCCATGAAGTCTTCTGTGTACCTACAAGAAGGACTGTGGTGAGTTGGAAGACCCAGAGTTGGTGGCAAGGAGAACATACATGGTTCGGAACATTCTAGCCAAGTCATTAGAGCTTCCGGCCTGGTTGAAAAAGCTGTTTTGCTCGAGCACAATGACACTGGCGTTGGTCTTGGCCACCTCGTAGGCGGCTGAAAGGCCGATCGGGCCTCCCCCGACGACGACCACATCGTAAACTTTGGAAGTCATGATGAACTCTAGGATTGTTGCCGTCGGCTATGGGGAAAGAATTTCTCAACGACTACCTCAAGAGTCAAGCGTGAGAACCCGCGGGGTGTCTAGGGAAAGAAAGAGATGGCATTCAAAACCTTGCACCAATATCCCCAGCACGCCAACCTTGGTTCGTCCGATTTAGTTTCCCGCATGAAGAACAACAATCTGGGAGTGCATGGGATAGTCGGACCACACACAGGCCACCTTCCTACTCCAAACGGCTGCATTACGCGTACCACCCAATAGTGATGCAAACCGAGACCATGTTGTGGGGAAACCAGTGCAACGCCGACTGAGCGGCCAGCTGAAAATATGCGTGTCTCAGGGTCTCCTCCATCCCCCTCGAAGGGGTCGGTGATCGAACCAATGTCGGGAGGGTTTGGGTATCAAAATTAATTGCTCCAAGTCACGGCCGTCAGGCAGAGCTGCGGATGGGGACTGTTTAGGAATGACCTGTTCAGGTCGCGTACGTTGTTTGTTTTTTCTTCGCGTAGAAAGTTAGAATTGGCGGCTCACGCGGGACTCGATAATAATACCTAGGTACCTACCTAAGGTATCTATCAAGAATATCCGCGGCTCTCGCGGCTCGTCGTAATTACCTAATCTGAGACTCCAAGTTCCTGTCCCTGAGAGAAAAAGGAAACTGATAATTATGGAGATACGCGCAAGAGGTGAGGAGGCAGCGTGTGTCACCATAAATATATATATAATACAGCCGGGATTCTGTGAGTTAGGTGGGAGTTCAACGCCGTTGAACCCTCCTCAGCTGAGAACCACTCCCACCCCCTTTTTAACCAACTCAGCTGAGAACCGTCTTTCTTTTTACTCGCACATCATGGCCTCAGAGACGGCCGAAAACATCAAAGCCCTCTGGGCCCAGCGGCTAGTCCGTGAGAAGCTCGCCGCAGAAATCAACGCCATACAGGCGCAGCCGTACCTCGCAGAGGCAACCAGCACATTAGTGTCTTCGCACACCAGATCTGGAGTCGCAGGACCCTGGACCCCTGACAACCTGCCGTCCGACCCTGCTTTTGGCGGTGGATTCCTAGGAGAGCCGGGCACGCCGTACTTGGGAGCGCCGGGGAAAGGGCGTGGAGGGTCGGGCGAGCCGGATGAGCCCAGTGAGCCGCCACAGCGCAAGGTGTGCATCGTGGGTGCCGGTGTCGCCGGCCTCTACATTGCCATGATCCTGGACAGCTTGAAGATTCCCAACCTCACGTACGACATCCTCGAGGCTAACTCCCGAGTCGGAGGCCGCGTCTACACCCATCGCTTTAGCGAAGACGCCCATGATTACTACGACATCGGCGCCATGCGGTATCCCAATATCCCTACCATGAAGCGCACCTTTGACCTGTTTGAGCGGACAAAAGTGCCCCTGATCCCATACTGCCTGAGTGATAAGAGCAACCCCAGCATGTTCAATGATCACCTCTTCTCCGACGTCACAGATCCCTACCACGTCAGCGTGAGCAGCGGGGGTAAGGTTCCTGACGCTGTCGTCAAGGATTACAAAGGCCCACTCAACGCTGCGTTTGGTCCTTACAAGAAAGCGTTGGCCGAAGACTTTCGCGAAGGGCACAAGAAACTCATGGAGGTGGACGATTTCAGCACTCGCGAGTTCTTGAAAAGGGGGGGCCCCGAAGGCAAGCTGACCAAGTACGATTTCTTTTCCATTCAGTGGATGGAGACGCAGAACACGTCGACGAATCTCTTTGACCAGGCCTTCTCCGAGAGCGTAATGGATTCATTTGACTTCGACTACCCCCAGGGTGACGTTGAAGTCCAGTGGTCGTGCATCAACGGGGGCACCGGCCTCCTGATCGATGCCATGCAGAAGAACATCAAGGGCACGGTGGAGACCAGCAAACGGGTCGAGGCCATCTCCATCAACCGCCACTCCGCCGATATCGACAACATGTCGGTCAAGTGCGCCGGCGAGACAGACCCCCGCAGCGGTTACAGCACCGTCTTCAACACCACAAGTCTCACCTGTCTCGACCGCATGGACCTGCGCAGCCTCGAGCTTCACCCCGTTCAGAAGGACGCCATCCGCAGCCTGCACTACGACAGCTCGGTCAAGGTGGCCATCAAATTCTCCTACCCCTGGTGGATCGTCGACTGCGGCATCACCAAAGGCGGCGTCGCCTCGACCGACCGCCCCCTCCGCACCTGCGTCTACCCCTCTTACAACCTCGACGACGACCCCACCAAACCCTCGGTCCTTCTCGCCTCCTACACCTGGTCCCAGGACGCCACCCGCATGGCCTCCCTCACCAACCACGCCTCGCCCAAGCCCAATGAAGACGAGTTGGTCGACCTGATCCTCCACGACCTCGCCCGGCTGCACTCTGGAGGGACGGAGCCGCCCAAGATTACCTACGACAAGCTCAAGAAGCTTTACGTCACACACCACGCATTCTCGTGGTCAGCCGACCCCTACACCGGGGGCGCCTTCGCCCTCTTCGCGCCGGGCCAGTACAGCAAGTTCTATCCGTACCTCACCCGCCCCGCGGCCGACAGCAAGTTCCACATCGTGGGCGAGGCGTCAAGCGCGCACCACGCTTGGATCGTGGGTGCGCTGGATAGCGCGCACGCGGCCGTGTATCGGTTTCTGAGGAATTTTGGCTTGTGGGATACGATCGAGAAGTTGGTGGATATATGGGGGGTACCGGAGGAGGTGGAGGATGGGGAGGACGGGACGACGCATTTGCAGCTTATGCTTGGGAGGCTGAGGGAGGGACAACACCAGAAGGTGTAGGGGCTTCAACACCCTCCTCACCACCGCCCCAACTCAACCTGACAGGGGGCGAGGCCACAACCGCAGCAGAGGACCCAAACACTGTGGTTTGATTAGCTAGCCATGTAGATTCAAGTGGACCAAGGGAGAAAGAACAAAGTGTTGCCCATTTTCAAGCTCACAGCTATGTTGCCGACACGTTGAGGCGACAACCCCCTGAGGTATGATGATCTTACATCCCACTAGAAAAACCCGAGACCGTTTCACGATTCCCACAAACATCACTCAACTACCGTGAACAAAAGAGTACCTATATATAATATGTACGAAGTGCCCTATCAACCCCTACCTACCCTACAGCCTCCTATACCTACCCACCCAGGTCATTACCAAACCGTAACCTCCGCCTCCCCCGAACTCTGATACCCCTCCGTCGCCACAATCTGATAGCGATGCTGCGCGCCCACCTTCAGCCCCGCCGCCTTCCACGCCTCAAAATGCACCCCCACATCCACGCTCCCAGCAACCCGCTGGCCCTGCCGCACCGCAAAGACGCGGTTCAGCGTCTCCCGCGGGGTGGGGAGGCCGTCGGTCGGCAGCGGGTACTGCAGCTGCCGCGTCAGCTTGTACTCGCTGCCGTCGGCCTCGTAGCTGCCGAAGCTGGGCCCCGCCACGGTCGGGTCGTATGTGCCGAGCGTCTCGATGATGTAGTACTCGACGAGTGGGTTCTTCATCCACCCGTAGATGGCCAGGTACCCGTTGCCGGTTGTGGAGAAGTCGGATTCGTAGTTGATGGTGCGGGGCGTGCCCGGGCTCCTGAATGGTTGAGTGTGGTTGTGTGAGTTGGTTGTTGTTTTGGCATTATTGTTGTAAGATGGGGGGGGGGGGGGGGGGGGGGGGGAGTGTTCAAATGGAAGTGGATAATACATACCAGCCCTTGCCACCGACAAAGTTGCTGCAGTTTTGCCAGCTGACAGCGTAGCTGCCGTCATCCTTGTTCTCGTAGTTGACGGTTCCGCCGCCGTCGGTCCAGAAGCTGTAGAAGAAACCGCCGTGTTCGCCTTCGGAGCTCGGGGTGCCGGCACGGGATGTGAGCAACTCACTCACACTCCCACCACGGCCGTCGGTTGAAGTGAAGGGGAGGGCGAGGGCGCCGGCGGCAGCCAGGAGGAGAGACTTGGAGGAGACCATGTTTGGCGGTGTTTATGAGGGTTACTCGAAGCTGGGTGCCGGATACGAGTCGCAGTTGAGTTGAGGGAGGGCAGCATGGTGGTGATATTCTATATTCTATTCGCTCACCTCGCCGTCTTGACCGGTCTTGTATTCCGGGTATGCCGCACCGAGCCGGCGTCACCCAGTACTTAGCCTGAATCCCTTGCCCAGCGCGTGCTCGAGGAGAACCAGTGAAATAGCCCCCACACGGAACACGGCTGGCTCCGAAATTCCCGCTTCGAGAATCCGGGGCCCCGCGTTGGGGGACGCACAACGAACGGGAGCTTGAGCCAAGAACTCCGGGGATGCCCAGAGGGTTTCATTGCCTCTGATTCTCCTCCCAGAAGGGACTAGCCCCTTGCCACAACGACTTGAGACTTGAGAACTGAGGGCGGTAACTTTTACTACGGAGTATGTTTGGCCGAGTTGTAAAATCACGGAACCTGGAAAGGAGGTATGGCCGTATACAATGAGGTCGATCAACGATTAATATGGTGTCAAAATCAGTGCTGTCAGAGCCCCGACCACCCTGCTGATCAGCCCGATCCTGACCCGCCGCCCTGGTATTCGGAAAGAAACGATACGACTCTCGGGCCCTGTACTTGCAAGCCCCAAAGTTGGAAGCGTATCCTGCGTATTCCATACCTCCGAATACCTCCAAGCAGTGCAACGTTGACTCACTTGACTGCCGAGCCGCCGCATTTTAGCCTGTAATGCTGCTGTCACCCCCCCAGCAGGACTTTAATGTTGGTAGGGAACCACCTGAAACATACCTCCCTCCTAAGGGAGGGTAGGTAAGGAGGTAGTTAACGATGCCAGGACAAAAATGGACGCGGAGAAAATGCTGTTGCATCCCGAGTCGGCGGACGGGAATCACGGCATTGTAGGAACGTGTCACTTTTTGCTTTATTACTGCGGTGACTCGACCGTGGCCCCAAAACAAGTTGACTTTGACGTTTGTGAGGCTAGGTTTTACCCCTGATCGTGTAGTGTAGTTGTGAGTAGCAAGTTGAAACCTAAAGTATCAGTAATACCGCTAAGTTTATTTCGGGGAAAGTATGTCCACTTAGGCCCGGTTTTACTGTTGTAGGGAGTCGAAATAAGGCCGAGTCAAGGTACCAAGGTAGCAGAACAGTGGGGGTGGCATGGTAGTAACCAAGTGTAGGAGATAATGGCCCCCCTATTTTTGGCTTCACGACCACGCCCCGAGATCAGCCCCAACACCACCCAGCATCCTCTCCAACCACCTATCCACATCCTTCTTCACACTCGGCTCCAGCATACACTGATTCGCCTGCGCAACCGACTGTCGATTCAGGCTTACACAGCGTATCCCCCACCCCGAAACACCCCTCCTCATCACTCAAGCCGTCCCAGGACGGCGGGAAGTAGATGGTGGTGATGATATAGAATATCTCTGCGGCGCGGTCGTTTAGCCACTCTTCTGCGGTTGCGGACTGTAACCCCTTCCGGAACAATCTAACGGCCTTCTTGGTATTCTCTAATTACCGTAGCGGTGGTAGATTGTCTTAGATCCTTGGTTACATCAACCTCCTGCGGCTGGTTCATCTATGGGCGAGGAGATTTGTAACCTCGAAGCTGTTGGAGGCCAAATTCAAACGATGAAGGGTCCGGGGGGGAGAGAATGGCGGAAAGGAAAGGGCCGTATCATTGTCTCCTGAGGTACCTAGGCGGGGGTTTGTAAACCACGGTAGTATTTGAATTGTTGCCTCGGTCGTGACATTACTCGTTACTGCTAGTACCTTCTATTTAGTCGAACGATCGCAGTCGGGCGACAAGGCGTGAATAAACACCGATCGCTGTCTAATCCTCTCCCCGGGCGCCATGACCATGCCATGCATATAATGTACAAAAAAGGCACGCTTTCCTAGCCAGCCAGTCATGTTCGTTCAAACCCTCCCACTTCTGTTCTACATGATATCACGGCTTCTTCTCCTTCCCTTCGCCGACATTTCCGCCGTCACCTTCATCCACCGCAACCTTATTCTCTTCCGCTTGCTTTCCCTCGCGGTATTTGTCTATCTTTTCTTTCATGTACCGCCACGACCTCTGTATCCCACTGGTGAGCGGGCCCTTGAGGGACTGGGCGGTGGCCGGCCAGCTGATGGTCTGCTTGATGACGGTGCGGATGTAGTTTCGGAGCTCGACGGGATCGTCTTGGGCGATACGTCGCTCAAAACCGCCGCCCTCGCGCCTCTTGAACGCGACCGAGTCCTCCTCCTTACTCTCGTTCATCATCTTGCGGAAGTCCTCTGCTGGGATGGCTAGCTTCTTTTGGTACTGGAAATAGAGGCGCGAGCGGAAGGCTTTGGGCAAGCGCCGCACCATGTTGCCGCGCTTGACTGGGTCCATATCTTGGGCGAGCTTTAGGTTCTTCGTCTCGTCCCAGACCCAGTCCTTGGTGCCGACGCCGGGGTCGTTGAAGTCGACGTTGGGTAGCGTGTCGATGAGCGGGAGGTAGAGCCGCCGGAAATTGGCCATATTGTTGCCCACAATGTTCTTGACCTTACGTGGGTTTTCGGTGGGCAGGGCCATGCGCGGGTCGCCAAGGTAGCTGATGCCGGTAATGGTTCCGTACAGCTGTTCTTCCGTGAAGTCTGGCGGGAGCAGCAATAACGCTGTTCGCAAGGCCGATAGGAGATTCATTTGGTTGGCTAACCGGATCTTCGGATCGTCTCGGAGGATCTTGACGGGCTTATGCAACCTCCCAGCCAAGTAAAGCGTGTCCCACTGCGTCAAATCGTTCTCGAGGGTGCCCAGTTGTACGACGCCGTATTTGATGAGGATTCCGTTTACGACAACGTAAGGGTTGAAGTAGACACCCGCTCCCATCTTGTCCTGAACGTACGATACGGCACCGGACCCGAGGCTCGCAAGCGGAGAGTAGTGGTCGCGGTGCTGTTTCATGTTGAGAGAGTGCCAGTGCTGGGTATGCGAGACACCGAAGATGAAATCGATCATTTTCGGTGTGCCGTCCTGGGCCCTTTGCACGGCGAGTGGTGCTTTCGGATGTATCGCGCGGAGTTCTTCCTCGGTTGGGGTCTTCCCGCTCGCTTTCGACTGGGGAAACACGCCGGAGCCGTAGGCAAACGCATAACGAATCGGTGCACGGAATTGCCAGGGTATAGCTTTCAAGACCTCCTTGAACTCTGCATCGAATGGAATGTGCTGGTTGACCCCGAAGTTGGCGTGTGGCAGATCCTTGAACGACTCGACCTTCACGTTCGGGTCATATTCCCAATCCTGCACATCGCTGACTACCGACGACCCGGCGGTAGAGGAGGTTTTTGCCTCGCTTGCCAATGCCTCGGCCGACTTGGTGTCTTTCCCCGCCGTATCCGCCGCCGATTCGGCCGCCGCATCGTGCTGGGCGCTCTCTCGGGCTTCCTTCTCGTCCGCGCCCGCACCACCGCCGTTTCGTGCTGTCCCGTATCTGCGGGTAGGAATCGGCGAGCACCCGAATTGGCATACCGGGGAGGAGGTTGAGATATGGATGGCGAGACCTGGACGCAGTGGCCTAGAGCGTGGCACGAAGCGACCCTGTTGGAGTTGAGTTGTGGTGAGCTATGACGTCCTGGGCGCAATTGCCCGGGCACGGCTTTTTAGGGGAGGCTTACTCGCACCGCGGCGGGGATACGACCGCGAACCATCACAATCTTGCTACGTCGTCGGAAGGACAAAGTTGAAAATCTTAGAATTGGTGTATCAGAGCGCAGCGGGCAGCGACGCTGCAAGATGTCACCTCCAACTAAATGCCATCAGGGAACAAATCGGGTGCTGGGAAGAGCAGCGTTTGCCGGACTCTGCCGCTAAACGGCCCGGGAATCAATGGATGGAGAAGACGGTGGGGATCACAGACCGCATGCCGCCCGCGTCATGAGCCAGGGGACTCTTTGGCGGACCCCACAGAATTGGTTAAGTTGTCTTGGCAGTGCTTGACAAAGCCGGGCTCAGCCGGACAGCGGGCTGAATGGGACGATCGCCAAGGCCACGCACGACCCCAGTTGCAGGTTGACAGGAATGATGAACGCCAACAAAGAATGGTCAAACAAGGTCGAGGTCAGACTTCGATCGTCTTTTCTCAGCTAATAATCTAAACCCCGGAGTTGTATCCTACTCTACTCGGACACACGACTTGCACTTTTCTGTGCATGCGAGCCGACCAGCGGAAGAGCTATCTATGGCGTGTTGGTTGAGGACCCGGAAACGGTAAAACCTCAGATCAAAGGATAAAGAGAAGAAAGACATTCATTGAACTCGAAGTGGACGTTGACGAGGTTTCTGTGGTCGAGAATCCACCGTCAAGCGCCTTCCTAGTCTTCGAGAACAGGAAAACTGATCAGTTGATCCCGCAACCGACTGTTTGGGTCGACAACCATTTAGCCAATAAGAACAGCGAGTTGAAACTTGTTCTGCTAAACAGTTGCATCGCCGGCGTCGCAATGCCGCGAACGCCAAGTCAACCCAAAACGCGTCCGTCGCCATCGACGATGAGATCCTTCACACCACAAGGTGATCCTCCCGGGTCCGCGCGGCGTCCTTCTATCAGCGGGGGTTCACAGTTCCGAGCGACCATCAGTGGTGGCATTCCGAGGCCGAACACTTCGCTCCGGGAATCGAGGGTAGGGGAACGAGGAACGCGTCGTGACAACAATTGCGGTACTGACAATCCACAGATACCTAATTTTCGGAATAGCACGACAGCCCAACCGTCCTACAACATCCTCACCGGCGAATCTAACAACACCACGCCCCGCGGCACTGCCATGGCGCGCCCGAGTTCTCGACAAGGCGGCCCCCCTTCGGGGCCGTCCCCTCCGCGAGGGCGCGCGGCCACCATCGCGAGTAATGTCAGCCGCGAAAGTAGCAAGGAGAACCGCCCACCCGCCGACGCCGAGGAATACGAGACCCAGCGAAAACGCATCGAGGAACTCAAGGCCGAGGTTGGCACATTGCAATACCAAATCAGCAGTTACGAGCAAGAGAAGGAACTCTCGCGATTGCAAACGGAAAACGAGATGCGCGATACCAAGCGACGGGCCGAGGACGACTTCAAGGCGAAACAGGCCGCCGAGGCGGAGAAGGGAAAGGCGCAGCGACAAGTTGAGGCGGTCCAAAACGAACTGGAAGAGTTGAGGGCGGAAAAGGAGCAGCAAAAACGCGAGCTCGAGGGGAAGGCAAGAGATGCTCTCGAGGAGGCTAGGTTGCTTCAAGAGCAATTGGAGGAACTTAGTGCAGCCAAAGACGAGGCTGCGCGCATGGCTGAGCGAGAGGCGATCGACCTGAGGGCGAAGCTGGCCTCGTCAGAACGCACCACACACGAGTTGGAAGAAGAGAGCAGGGCAAGGGAAGAGGTTCTGGAAAAAGCCCAATCACAATTGATCGAGCGAGACGAGACAATTGGGAGATTAGAAGCCGACGTGCTTCGGCTGAAGGCGCAAACCGGCGATGCCGAGACCATCGCCGTCATCCGAAGGGAGTTATCCGACCAGGTCACACACATCCGCAACCTGGAGGCGAAGAACAGGGAGCAGGTGACGGAGCTGAAGCATCTCCGCCAGATCCACAAGGCTGTGGAGGTGGTCGAAGAAGAGAAACGCTCTCTACAGCGGAAACTAGAAACAGCCGAGTCGCTTCGGAACGAACTCGACGAAGAACGGAGGCAGAGGCAGAGGCTAGAGGATGAGAGGCGGTCCTGGGCAGGGTACCTGCTGAGCGAGGGGGGTGCAGATGGTCAGAACGAGTTCGACTCCCCTGAAGCTGTAGCCAGGGCGTTGGTATCAGAACGTTTGCACTCTGCCTCTCTCGTCGAGCAGCTGGGAGAGTTGCAACCCGAGATTGCCGACCGCGACAACATCATCAAGTCCCTGGAGGGCGAGAAGGGCAGGCTTCTCGATCAGATCGAAAAGCTGAGGACAACGGGGGGTTCCGCTGGTGGTAGCGACAAAGCTCGTGCGCGCATTGACCGACAACGCGCTCTCGCGGTCAAGGAAGTCGAATATCTCCGGGCACAACTTAAGACGTTCGACATGGAGGACATGACACTGCAACCAGAGAGTGTAGATCACCAAAAGCTAAAGCGAATCCAAGAGCTCGAGGACCTCGTCGACAAATACAAAGCCGAGGTCACCACTCTCCACGCGGACATCAGCTCCATCGAGTCCGCCTCCGCCAGCCCAGTCCAGCCCGTTCTTGGGAGCAAACGCCCACGCGAGGCTGACGAAGCCGAGAACGAGCAGCTTGGGCAGCTCGCGCGCAAGAACCGGAAACTGCAATCCGAGCTGTCCGACGTCCAAAGCGCCCACCGCCTCCTCCAAAAGGAGCACGAGGTCACCGCCTCCCAGCTCACCTCAGCCCAAGCCCAACTCCAGACCCGCATCCTCTCCCTGCGCTCGAACCCAACCTCAGACCACGAAGCCGCGCAAGCGGCCACACTGGCAGCACTCAAGCTCGAGAACGCCGAGCTGGTATCGCACATCGAGCGGCAACCGACGCTGTTCGCGACGGTGCCGGCGTCGCAGCTGGCGGCGGCGCAGCGCGCGGTGGCCGAGGCGCGGGCCGAGACGGCGTCGGCGCACAAGTCGGCGCGGCGGCTCAAGGAGGTGTGGGCGGCCAAGTCGGCCGAGTTCAAGGAGGCCGTCTTCAGCACCCTGGGCTGGACCGTCACCTTCATCCCCGGCGGCAAGATGCGCGTCGAGAGCGTCTACCACCCGTCCCAGACCGACGAGCACGAGAATAGTATTGTCTTTGATGGTGAGAAGGGGACCATGAAGGTTGGTGGGGGCCCGCGCAGTGCGTTTGCGCAGCGCATTGGTGATAATATCAAGTTTTGGGTGCGCGAGCGTGGCTGTGTTCCGTGTTTCCTGGCGGCGTTGACGCTGGAGTTTTGGGAGGAGCAGACGAGGGCTGGGGGGAGGGTGGAGGGTTCATAGATCTGGGACATCCGAGGTTAATCTAAACTAAGAGAGGGGACGTACTGCTTGCTTGGGGACAGGGGAGAAATATACCACTGTGATTTGCTTTTATTTTGTTGCTCCCATCTTGAGGTTCAACTGGTATTAAACGCCGCCGCTTCGATTCAAGTGAACGGCTCTTGCTCGAGCCACAGAAGTAGGAATATCATCATAATATGCCCAACCGCTGGCGTTTGAACCACCTCGTGTCCAAACCATGAAATCAACAAAGGAAGATATGTAGGTATGTACAACTATGTGCAGTCTCAATTCTCCAACGCTTCTCAGGGCCACTCCGGAACCCCGGCCAACAAAACAACAAATGAAATCGCTTCTCAAAACACGCCCCCCACGGTATCAGCTGAAACTCGATCTATCCACCGCTTGCCGCAAACTCAAAACAAGCTTTCAAGACACAAAACCCCATCATTACTTCAACGCTCCACCCGCCACCCCTCCTCCTCCCCTTATTTCGACTCATACTTTCCCCCCACCAGCCTCCTCACGACGGGCACCTCGGCCCACGCCCTCTCCTGCCCCGCGGCCGGGTCCGGCGACGCCGGCGGCGAGCTCGCATCGGCAAACGGATCCTCGTCCTCGACCTCGACCTCGGCGGCCTTGCCCTTGCCCTTGCCCTCGGGCAGCAACCTGGCAAGCGAGATGCCGCTGCCGGCGTCGGCGTCCGCGTCCGCGTCCACATGCGCCGGCGGCGCCCACTCCCACCTCACCTCGACCTTGCCCGGCACGGGCTCGGCGTTCTGCTCGCCGATGACGCGGCAGATGATCTTGGCCCAGTCGTCCGTCAGGGTGACGTCGCCGAGGCGCCAGTACACGATGTGCTTGTCCTTGAGGTGCGTGCCCGACGGCTTGGTCTGCACGCCGCTCGCGCGGGCGCCCTCGTACGTGGCGACGAAGACGACGTTGGACAGCGTCAGGGGCCGGGGGAAGGCGCAGGACGGGTTGAGCCGGTACTGGAGCAGGAGGCCGAGCTTGTCGGCTTGCGGCTTCCAGACCGGGTGGATCGCGATGGGGCATTGGGATACCAGGGCCGTGTCTGACTCGGCATGCACGCGGTAGGTGAAGGCGGAGGTGGTGGTGTTGAGGTGGGACAGGTCGATTGAGAACTCGTCGGGAGCGGCGGTGTTGGTTACGAAGACGCGGTTGGGACCGATGGATTCGAGGAGAGGGAACTTATTGAGGCGGATCGTTTCATGATCTGCGACTGTGAGCTGGGGATAAGGGTAAGGTGGAGCGGGGATTTTACCTGCGAAAGGGGAATCGGGGTCGGGCACGTAGGCGAGCGCAATCTCGCCGGTGACCTTCACCGAGTTGGGTTCCCCGTCCTGGAAGCTAGCAGACACGGTTTCGATGATGGAGGAATGCAAACCGGGTCCGTATGCAGGCCCATGCATCTCCGGGTGCTTCAACCGGGTGACGCCAGTGTACGATGATGTACCGCCGAACGAGGTGCCGGATCGGATAGACTGGGTGTCCGAAGCATGGCTCGTCTCGGAAGAAAATGTCATGGATGGCGGGAGCTTTGGCACCGTCGCACTTGTTGGCAATGAAGGCGAGAGCGGGAAGGGGTTCTCGGAGGAGATCTCCTGAGTCGGCAGAGACGGCATGTAAACAGTATTCCGAACATCTCTCCTGCCTCGGACTGTCCCCGCCTTCCGTGACGGCATTCCCATATTCAGGGCATTCGCAACGCTGGACAACGCCGCTTGTTTCGCGTCCTGGTCCTCCTCGGGGATGGGCTCGTTCTGGATGTTCAGCTTGAACATATGGTCGCCTTCCTCGGCTACCGCGTCCCTTTGCGCCTGGGAGATAGGGTCATTCATCTCCGGCGGTATCGTGAAACCGTCGGCGTCCTTGCCCGATTCCTCCTTGCTCTGCTGTGGTTGAGATGGAGGAGGGGTGGCATCAAAGATATCTTCAGCGGTTCCGTTGAGGAGGCTGGGTTGTGAGTGCTGTCTATCCTTGGATGTCTCTCCGCCGGAAACCCCGTTTGTGCCTTCATGGGACTTCTTCGCTGGTTCGTTCTCGGCGTTGGACTTCCGCCCTTGCTCCGGCGTTGGGCTCTCGGCCAGAGACGGTAGCCTGTGTTGCGAATCGGCCAAATTGTGGGATGAGGCTCGGGGAGATAGCGTTTGGCTATGGCTGCTCCCGATACCGCGCGAAAAGGCACCGAGGCTCTTCGGAGGGGACCCGAGTTGGCCGAAGCCGCCGTGAATGCTCTGTCGCCGGCGGCCGAGCATGGTGCCAATTCGACTCCGCAACTTTGATTCTAAATCTTCTTGTTAGTAATCCGGTACGGGCGTCGAGTGAGGGGTCTACTGCATACCGGGAGGATTGTCTCTCTGACCCGAGTGCTCGCTGACGTCGTCGGCGGTGATGCTTGGGGGCGCGGCAGTTGGGGTCACAGGCGTTGGTTGCCGTGTCGTTGACTTCCTTTCAATCTTTGGCTTCCCAGCAGTGGTTTTCTGCACAAAGTTCTGGATCTCCGCCGCCGTGTTGACCTCGAGCATGATGTTGAGCACCTCCTCCGCAGCTGCTTGAGTCCGGGTCGCTTGGTCGATCTCGTGGGTCTCGAACTGCGTCAAGACGTCCCGCAAATGGTTGATCCGCTGCTCGTCCAGGGCTTGGAGGGTCTCGTAGATGAAGGGCGCCTGTGACTCCCATGTCTGGGTCGCTGTCTCGAGTCTCGCCGCGGCCTGGTCAACCTTTTGCGCATTGGCCCTGCCTCCCTTTCGGCTCAGCTTTTCCGACTTCTCGGTGGCATCGTCAAGTTCCCTGGCCATTGTATTCAGATTCGAACTGATGGTTTGCATGTGCTGCATCTCCTTCTTGTTCTGGAAGTTCCGGAGCGAGTACTCGACGTCTTTGTCGATGCGCTGGGCGAACAGCTGGTGGGAGGCAGCAATGCCGTCGGTGGAACTGAGGATCTTGTCCCATGGTGCTTGGAAGATGCTATCAAAAGAATTGATTAGTTTGGAATCCGGTAGAATGGTTGGGAATGGCCGGACGAACCCAAGCTCCGTTGCAGCGCTCGGCACCTTGAAGACCAACAGTTTACGGAGGCCAGCAACATATTGTTCTTCGACTCTCCTGCGCTCCTACGAATGGTCTCAGCCTCACACCCCTCAAACCCGCAGCATATTCTATAATCGTACCTGAAGCCAATCCGCGATCTCTTGGTTGGCTCGTGTGATCCGCTTGACCCGGTCCGACAGCGCTTGCACGGCCTGGCTGGGTTGCAGGTTCGCCTAGAACATGCCGAAAGATCAGCGGTCAGATGATTGTGCACAACGGAGAAAGAGCAGGCGGCATTGGGGAAGTCGTACAAGCATTGCCGGGTACTCGGACCGGGAGAGGTCGTCGGCGGAGGCCATCTTGGGGGGATGAGTCGGAAACGCGACCTGACGACAGCGAAGGGGGCACCTAATCAACGCATAACACTGGAATCGCAAGCAATATCGCTAGCAATTCGTTATGATGGCAAGGCGGGCAAACGACAAAACGATCGCAAGGCCGCGGCTAGAAGCGTCCGAAGTTGAAGCGGCATGCAAGGAGGAACGGCCGAGTCGGCGGGCGCATTGATGTCAGGGTGGATGAAGATGGAGCTCGCATTTTTGTGGAGTCATCAGCCTGGTCAGCGCCGAGCTGTCCGTAATCAGCCAATCACTCATGCTCTTGAAGTTTAATGCAGCTCCACACTGCCGCTCCCAAGACCCGCTCAGAAATCCATCGTCGGCTGAAGGGTTCGAGGCTTCCGGCTCAAGCTCGTCAGAGCTCCCCTCGGCGCAGCCCCAAGAACAAGCATTGCTTCGAAACCCCTGAAGACCCTGCAGAATGTTGCCTGTCGCCAGTGGACCCTGGCATCAATATTGAATTCAACCTGGAAAGAAAATCTCACAGTTCAGTTCACCACCTCTTCGCCACATTGCTAGATTTATCAGCGGGCACGGGCATCCCAATGTTCTGAATGACAAACAAAATTCCAGGAACCATCGTCAACAATTTTTTATTTTTTTTCGCCCAACCCGGTATCCCCGGCAACGGTGCAATTTGTAACCCCTGAGTCGAGCCTGGCATTTCGATCACGTTCTTGGGTGCAAGTCGAAATGGCCGACTCTACCGACTGGCGAGCTTCGCTCACGGCTTCAGAGCGATATGATAATATTCAGAGTTTGTGAGAAGCAGGACCTCGAGTCAGAACTGTATGAGGCCTGGCCTAACGCATCTCCATAGAACCAAAGTGGTAACAGCGCTCGGTCTAAGCCAGAGCGCCTTTGAGATTGAAAATGAGGCATACAAGACTGCGGCCAACCGGGTATGTCAAGGTCTCGTTTGAAGACAGGAAAAATTTAAAAAAAAAAAAAAAAAAAACCAATTCCTGACCGTCATCAGGAAGAGTATGATGCAGCTTGCAACCCGCCAACCCCCAGTGTTGACCCCCCTGAATCCGCCTTGGCGGCATCAGCAACACCTCCCCCTGAGACCAACGACCGAGACTCATCCCCGGGAATCACCATAGGCGACTACCAAAACTGCCATTACGTCGCCAGCGGTGTAACGGCCGAAGTCTACCGTGCCCAGGCCCGCGCTCTGAAAGTGATCGTGGAAACCCACAACATCGAGCCACACAGCCCAGATCGCGAAGCCAAGATCCTCGCCTCCCTCCGCGCCTCCAACGCCCCCAACATCATCCCCCTCCTCGAAACCTTCCGCGACCCCCAAACCCAAAACTTCGTCCTGGTATTCCCCTACGCCCCCCTCACCCTCGGCCATCTCCTCACCACCCACCAACCCCCTTCCTCCCCTCTACCAACCCCCCTAATCCGCACCATCTTCACCGCCCTCTTCCGCGCCCTCCACCACCTACACACGCACGAATCCATAATCCACCGCGACATCAAACCCTCCGCCATCCTCCTCGCCACCCCATCCCCGACCACGCCCTCCCAGATCCACCTCTCCGACTTCGGCACCGCCTGGCACCCAACCCTCTCCCCCACCGCGGCCGGGGGCGAACCCCCCACGCAAAAAGTCCTCGAAGTCGGCACGGGCCCGTACCGCGCGCCCGAAACCTTATTCGGCGACCGCGGCTACGGCCCGGCAATCGACCTGTGGGCGGCCGGCGCCGCGCTGGCCGAGTGCTTCCTGCGGCGGCCGCTGTTCGACTCGCCGCCGGCGCACGAGGACGGCAGCCAGCTGGGGCTGGTGCTGAGCGTGTTCCGGACGCTGGGCACGCCGACGCCCGCGACGTGGCCCGAGGCGGTCGGGTTCCGCACGCCGCCGTTCGAGATGTATCGCGTGTTTGAGGGCCGCGTGGCGGTGGAGGGGTGGGAGGGCGTGGTGCCCGGTGGTGCGGAGGGGGGGTGGTTGGGGTTGGTGGAGGGGATGCTGCGGTTTGAGAGTGGGGAGAGGGTGACTGCTGGGGAGGTGAGTGCTCTTTTCTTGCTTCGGTGTGTGGTTGCTAGGGTGGTGTGCTGACCTTTTGAGACAGGCGCTAGGGTTTCCTTGTATGGAAGGGGAGGCTGAGACCTGAGGCTCAGGGTCAAGGTACATACGGGGATGCTTTGGGTTGGGGAATCAGTTATGCTATGGAAGCACAAATGGAACAAATCGAGGGTGATGCGCACTCGGTACGTTGCAGATCTCAATCTTCGAGGGGCTTTATTGAGGTCTATCATGATCAACGAATCGTAACCGTCAACCCGAATCCAATTTTATGACGGCATCGTGGTATCCTTCCGAACACCTGTGTGAGCACGCATATCGGCCCGGCCCATCACGTGCCATGCCATGTATTTGGAACCCTAGGCCCTCGGTCCGAAGTCTTGCGTCCATAACATTGCCCCAGTAAGAAGTCATTGTGTCCCCGTGCTCTTACTCGAGCTCAATGGTCCCGGGTGGCTTCGAGGTGACATCATACACGACGCGGCACACGCTGTTGACCATATTAGCGATACTAGGCGCAACGGCGAGATGAGTTGTGAATACATACCCGTGAACTTCGTTGACGATCCTGTTCATGACCCGCTGGAGGAAGTCCCAAGGGAAGTTGAAAGCTTCGGCCGTCATGTAGTCAATCGTTGTTACGGCGCGGAGGACGATGATCTGCAAGAATTAGTAACAAGCTACAGGAAAACGGGTGCAGAACCCGGGTTGCCTAGCATACATAACCATAAACTCGCTTATCACCCATCACGCCCACGGCGCGACTGGGGTCGACGGCGGCATAGGCTATCGAACAAGTCAGTTTGCGTTCCCAAATTATTACAGTTTTGTGGAAGCAAACCTTGGGAGATTTGGTCGTAGAGCCCCGCCTTGCGGATCTCGGAGATGAAGATCTGGAAGGGAATGTTAGAATAACCATAATCAAAACGACAGCCTCGAGAACGAGTTTCTTACATGGTCGGCCTGACGGGCAATCTCAACCTTCTCCGGAGTCACCTCACCCAAGATCCTGACGGCAATTCCAGCTGGGAAGTGGTCAGTGTTGGTACAAGATGATTGGAAGCAAAGGAGCGGTCTGTCCTACGGCCAGGGAAAGGATGCTATTGGAAGCCGGTTAGCAAAGGCAGCAACGGGGAAAACAGGGGCCCGCGGACGTACTCTCATCACAAGTTCCTCCCGGATCCCCAGAGCACGCCCAAGCGCTGCAGGTTCGTTAGTCTCTTGTCTCACAGGGGGAGGGCGGATCCCGAAGCGATGTTTGATTTTCGAGGCGCCACATACCGCGGACCTCATCCTATTTGACAGTTAGTCTCGACGAAGTCACGTCATGGGTGGAGCACTAAGGGGAACAAACCTTATACAAGGATCTCAGGGGCTCGATAAGCTTGAGACCCTGTCCGTTGGCCATCCGCGCGGGGAGGCCACCACTTGAAACTGGAGTCAGTCTTTCTTTTGCGGCCTGATTGGGACGACGGCGGGCGAGTAGACATACACATTGTGGTGGGTCTAAGAACAACCGTCAGCATCTCCGGGCGTTCGGATCCAATAAAGCAAGCTAACCTTGATGGTGGCCGAAGGGCCCTTGAACGAGAGCGACTCGATCACGTCGGGATAGAGGGTACCTCTGCCAGAGTTCAGTAAACAGTAAACATGCGGTGTGCGTTGCCTGCCACTTGGCGACTCACTGCATGAAGAACTCGATCTTCCCAGCCTTGGCTGGGTCATTAGCGGCGGCTTCTTCAATCTGCCACTCGTCAGCTGCCCTTGTCGATCAGAGCGGGAGGTTCTCCTTGGGGGTGGGGGATACCTTGACTGCCTCCTCCTCAAAAATGTCGATAAACTTGCCACCTTTTCAGCGGTTAATTTCGAAACGATCCATTCCCACTGGTTGGGAGGTGGGATTCGGGAAGGAGCATGCATGTGAAACATACCAATGAACTTCCGCTTTTTCTAGAAGGGTGTCAGTGGTGTTTCGGATGAAACGTAATTTGCGGGGGGGGGCGTATACTTCGGGGTCATCAATACCCTTCAGGCCATCAAGGAACCGCTCCGAGGCCTCGACGACGGTGAGGTTGATGCCAAGCGCTTCGGACAAGTCCTTTTTGACTTGTTCGCACTCATTCAGGCGCATAACACCATCTGATTCGATGCCGTTAGCCCGGGTCGGTGCTAAATTCAAGGCTTGCAGAGAATTACGTACTATTGACAAGCACGGCCCAAAACCTGGAACCAATCGCCTCTTTCTGCACACCGTCAGTTTCAGCTCCCCGGGGACCATGGGGACCACCATCTCGGCTCCGGAACTTACCATGAGTTTCGCGGCGACCGTTGAATCAACGCCACCGCTAATAGCGGCCAACACCTGCCCTTTTTCACCGACAGTGTGGCGAATTTGGGCAATCGCCTCTTCCAGAAACTTCTGCATGGTCCACTCTTGTTTGCAGCCGCAGATGCCGACGGCAAAGTTCTTGAGGAGTATGGTTCCATTCTGGGTGTGTGTAACCTCAGGGTGGAACTGCAGGCCGTAAATTGGCTTGCTCTGGTGGCCGATGGCGGCATACTCTGAGTTGTCCGACGTGGCAACCGTGTGGAAACCGTCGGGTAGCTTGGCCAACTTGTCGCCGTGGCTCATCCACACCCGCATGGACTCCTCGATGCCCTCAAAAAGGCGGTCAACGTGGTTATCGATGGACTGCGCCTTGAGCATGGCATGGCCATATTCGCGGTGGGTGCCAGCAATGACATTGTCCGGGTTGAGGCGGTAGGCCAGCTCCTGCATGCCATCTGTGGCCCCCAAACGTTAGCTGCGGGCTCCTGATTGGAACCGGCTACGGGGCGGCAAACACATACAGCAGATGCCGAGGATAGGCACGTCTAAAAATTCAAACGGGTCAGCCACAAGTAAAAAAGCCAGTATCAGAGGTCGCACTGACTCAGGTCAAATACCGCAGGGTCGACATGAGGGCTGCCCTCCTCGTAGACAGAGTAGGGTCCGCCCGAGAGAATGATGCCCTTAGGGACAAACTTGAGCTCCGAGAGTTTCTGGGTGCACGGCAGCATCTCCGAGAAGACATTGAGCTCACGGAGGCGGCGAGTGATCCTTCACACCGCGGTCAGTACGGTTTCATATGTCCATGAGATTGCCTCGCTTTTCATGGCCCGGGCCGTTTGAGCGAGAATGACGACGTCCGACGACGACGTCTTTGTTCTTCAGAAGCCGGCGTAACATACAGGTGGGTATACTGTGAGCTGTTTGATAAAAATCGAGTCAGTTACTGTAAATCTTTTTTACATTTTTTGACTCATTCAAGGCCCCTCATCGCTCACCCAAAGTCGAGCACCAAAATGGTGTCGAAGGCGCTGTGGGCCATGGCCTCTCCCGGTCCGGCGGCCATTGTGAATGATCGTTTCTTTTTTTCCGTTTAGTTGACTCGAAGCAACCAAGAGCGCCGTAAACTGCGGTTCTGATTTGGGCCCAAGGGAAGGTGTGAGTGGTAAAAAATTCGTGACCTATCAATTTTGGCCGCCTCATCGCGGCCGACGCTCGGAGTGGGTTTTTTATCACTTGGGTGCCTGAAAATCGAGGTTAAGGCCGCTTTTTCCCGCCTAGCTGCCTATTGCCCCGCTAAAGACTGCAGCTTCTGTTTCTGTCCGATGCTGCCCATTCTCCAAATTTCTGCCCTGTGTAAAGAACACCTGCCGCGTACATCACTTTCCCATCTCGCGATGCGGAACCACGTCCTTCGGAAGCGACACCTTGGCCGTGCCATGTCAGCAACCCGGCTGCCGTTCAGCCTCCGGCTTGGCGACGGGCCGACCGCCGGTGCGCCGACATTGGATATTCGAAAAGGAGCGGACTGCGGGAATGACCGGCCAGCCGACCAACCAAACTGGCCTAGTGCTGTCCATCACCAAGCCGGCCAAAACCAGACGCGCAGGGATGTTGGGTAGATCTGCGGAGGCACCTCCACGCGAGCCATGTTGGCGGGTCCTACATACCCTCGCCTCGTCCGTCACAGTTTCTTCATCAGCCATGTCGTCAACGGCGGCAATCAGGGCGTCTCGCCTTGGGTCTCGCCAGGAAATTGACGCGGAGCACGTGTGGGAGAGGGAACAACGGGGTGGCTGTGGGATAGGTACTTGTACAGGTACGAAGGAGCATCGGGTCTTGCTCCTCACCAACCACAACTAGACGGAGCTGCGGCCGCAAATTTCGGCCCATTTCCGCAAATGCTTTCGGCTTCTCCCAGTTGTTGTTGGTGGCGCCCTTCCCGGTCCTCGGTTGGCTTAACGAGTTGAGGCGTGTGGGTCGTGCCCCGCCTAGCCCAGCAGGCTTCTGACAGGCCTTTCGAGGTTGCCGGGATCTGCCTCGATTGGCCGCTGCACCAGGGGATCGTGGGCAACATGGGTTGAGGGAGCTGCGCATCTGCCGGGTCGGTTACGCCGGGGGGTCGCCAGCTGAATATGCGCGATGGCCTTGGTGACGAGACGACGGCTTCTGATGCGCCTGACCTTTTTGTGATATTTCTCCCCAAGCTCTCCACCCGGGACCCCAACGACAACCCTGCTTGGCAACAGTGGAACGACCAGAGGATGACAGAACCAAGATGAAGAACAGGCAGAAGTCGAGAAGCGGCTGTCGGACTTGCAAGGTCAGGCGGGTATGTTTGTTGTCCCCGGCCATGCCTTACACTGGCTGCCCCTGCCAGCACCAGCACGGAGACTGAGGGGAGCCCTGGGTAGGAGACCAGATCCACTGACCAGTTCAACAGCTAAGGTGTGATGAGACCAAGCCCGGGTGCCAAAACTGTGCCCAAAAAGGGTACGACTGTCCAGGCTACCAGCAGCGGCTCCAGTGGTCCACCAAGCACGAGAGACCGACAACAACAAACACCAGCGGCCCCGCAAACTTTACCCAGCTCGTCACCGCTGCCTCCGAGTCGATCGCCTCGACGCCCACGACCGCCTCCGAAAGCCCCAGCCATGATGGAACTAAGGCTTCGCTCATGGTTCCGGTCCCCACTGGTAGACTCGGGCTCCCTGGGACTTCTCTTCCCATGTCAGCATCGGCGTCGCTATCGGCGTCCGCATCACCCTCGTCGACAACTTCATCCCCACCGTCGTCAACGCCGTCTCCCCCGACCCAGTACGAGGACCTAGTAGCCAGCGCCGAGAGCTATGCCAGCTTGATTCCCGTGCTCTCCCCTCGGGCAGGCCCCATGGTGCCTGGGGGGGGCGCAGGGTCTCCGGACGAGCCTGACCTGGCACGCGAATTGGCCATGTACCAACCGGTGGTCGACATGCCGACTTTTCTGATCGAGCACTGGTTTAAATCGGTCTGCCCCTCGTGGTCGGCCCTCGACTCTCCGACTAACCCGTATCGGCTGCTGACAGAAGGCCTCTGGCAAAGCTCGGATACCGTCTTCTACGCCCTGCAAGCGATATCCGCAGCCTCTCTTGTTGAGCGGCTCCCGCACGTCATGAAAGACACGGCCAGGTTTGCGCCGCGCAACGCCTTTCAGGCAATCGGAAAAGAACTCGACGCGTTCCATAACGGCGGCCGGCCGGGATTCCCCACAGCGCTCCTCCTCTCCCTCTTTTGCATGAGCTCGTCCATGTGTTGGTTGGAGGCCCGGCAGCTCGGACAACAATCGGTGAGAGAGGCGCGGAAGGTGCTGAGGCGGTTAAATACACGGATGTTGGACAGCAGCTCCCAAGGCCAACTCGACTTCTTCAATGGGTGTCTCGTCTACGAGGAGATGCTTCGCAGCGTTGTCAGCGACGAGGAGATCGATTTCAAGCACATGCTCAGCTGGCCAGAGCCGACGACCCAAGGGCCCCTCCTACCCACAGTCCCACACCAATGGAGCGGCGTCTCTTCCGACATTCTAAGGTTATTTGGCAAGGCAATAGCCCTTTGCCGGAGATCCCGTGTCCGGTGGAGGCTCAACGGTGGAACGAGCTACCGGATCCTCGAAGGCGCAATGAGGGACATCAAGGAAGCGACGAAAGTGGAGGAGTCGTTGCTGTCGATTATTATCCCGGGGCTCCCCGGATGCCCTCAGCCTTCACAGACAACCAGCTCTACCGAGGCCTTGCATTATCTGAGTGAGGCGTACCGCTTATGCGCGCTCCTGCAGCTCTACGAGACATTCCCGGATCTAAGCCTCAAGCGAAACCCGAACCTTAAGGACGCCGATGTTTCCTTGATTTGGCAATCATGGGCGTCTCCTCAGGTCTTACACGTCATCACCAAGGTGCTCGGCAAGGTCGCACCGGCAAGTCTGAGCTGCATTCAGCCCCTTCTCTGTCTCTGTGCGGGCAGCGGTCTGAGATACGAAACGGGCAGCAAAGTCCCGCTACGGAGCGGGAACGATAAGTACTTACTAAACACGGATGTCAACACACCAACCGCACCGGCCCCTGGTGCCACGGAACCCGACTTTCAACTGCCTGACGCTGGGATCTCTAAGAACGCGATCAAAATCTCCGAAGCGCGCTATCTCATCATGAGCAGGTTAGATCAACTCGAGATCTGCCTGCCCCCCAAACCGATCGGCGTGGCAAAACAACTTATGCGCGCTGTTTGGAGCGCGTATGATGAAGAGATTGGACTCCCTCGCCGGACCCACTGGCTCGATGTGATGAGTTCCACGGGGCTACACAGTCTGTTTGGTTGACGACTATCACAACTCGAGGCCCTGGGGTCACGGATACGGGCCGCCCCCGGGGACTTCCGGATGTGTCCCGCCGACAATCACCGCTGCTCAAACAGGGATCTGCACGCGAGCACCTGTCGAGCGAGGATACGCTTGATCGTCGGACCTAGGCCCACAATGTCGGGACATTTACGCCGCCGAATGGCGACTCCGTTGATCCGGGCCGACCGCCGTGGGGGTTGCAACGGTTTGCGGTTAGGATTGACGAGGAGCCCATACTTCACTCATTTAAAAACGCATGACCGATGGAAGTTACAGTTGCACGCCAACACCAAATCGATAAAAACATGGGAGAGAACATGGAGTCGCCAGGACTGCGGGGTTGGATAAAAGCGGGAGCCTCGCTCACGGGAATCACACGAGCGGATACCCAGGATGACACCTACGCCCTGGGTGATCTCATGCTCCTGGAAGATGGAGCATACCAAAGGTTTCCCTGAGAGAGAGGGAGTTTTTGAGGTGGATTAGTTGAACACTGGGTCGTTCGTGGTTGGTGGGAGGGGGTTATCGGTACCTGGAATGGCCATATCTACTCTGTTCCTTATACACGCAGGCTCAGAAGATGCAACGATCTCCTCATATCAATAGAACATACGGTGCCTGGCGCCGACATTCCATGCCCACTGGCCAGCTGCAACTATCTTGGGTCCGCTAGGGCAAAGGTCGTTAGTCTCACTAAAGGCTCGAGTAACACGGAGAAGCTTGGAAGTTGAGTGGCCATGCCTCGGCAAGGATCAGGTTTTCAACGGTTTGCAACCTCATGCAGTGCTACCGTGGATGAATTAAAGCTGCCCGGCATCCAGCTAGATGCATCTATGGCGTAAGGGCCGCGTCAAGCGGCGTAGACAGGGGGGATAGAAGCACAATGACGTACGTATCTTCGTTTCCGACGCCCCCGTGTCCCCTTTGATGTGTGTCTCACCACCCAAAGCTTGTTTCCCCGGATTTCGGCCCCGGCTTGTCAGTTGTCGTTCATGCTTGCCGGTGTCGTGCGCGTGCGTTCGTTGCTGATGGTGGTTCAGCTGGCCTCTGGCAAGCCACACGGCTGGGGAAGCCAATCACAGCGCTCCGGGGGCATGTCCGGCCGGAAACTGCTGTCGGCGTGGCCGAGACCTCTCTCGATCCTGGTAATTCGTGCCGATGCCGGTGCCAAGCTGTCTATGCACGAGAGGTGAGTTGTACAGTACATAAGATATCATGGGAGTGGCCGTCACATCTGTGGGCAACCCGGGCATGACCCCGGCCATCCATGCGGAGTGAGGAGGGTGAACAGGCTTTTTGGTGGCGTGTCTAATGGTCAGAGATTTGAATACATGATTTAATCGTACGATTCCAAACAATCAAATTTAGAATGCTTTGCTTTTGGTGTTGAGAAACTTGGTTGTCGCGGCGAGGGCGCGCAAAAAAGGGGGCCAAGGGGGGGAAAGGGATGCTGCTGTGCAGGAACCACCTACACCCGAATGTTGGATATGTGTGCTAAGATGATGGTATCGATGTTTACGGAGTGTTGTCAGCTTTCCCGCCAATAAACCAGTGTAAACCTGCAGACTGCTCCCGGTCATGCCTGTTGGAGTGTTGGGGTGTTGTCGCGACGTCTTGGCAGATAAGATGGTCAACATACAGGTACGCTGACCTGTTGGCAGCGGCGGGAGGTAAGCAACAGGAACCGCGCTTTTACTTCAAAAGGAAAAGGCTGTCTGACGGAGTCATTGTTGGTGAATTCTAGTAAGGATGCCAAGTGCGAATCCTTTCGTCCCTGGGGTATGGTTATAAGGCGGACGTGTTCTCGGGGGCTTTCTCCAACATGACAGGGGAGCATTATGGGTGGCATTCCATTTTAGGAGCGACCTAGATATAAATGTTAGCTGCCCGAGGATTGGCAATGGGTGTTCTAGGTTCAAGTTGCGTTGACGGGTTGTCAGTGGTGGATGGGGGACCCCCTCTGAGGCAGTCGCGGACTGGCCTGGTTCTTGCTGCAGCGAACACAAACACAATGGCAGGTGCGATTTCCTAGTTTGGTTGGAATTGACGAGAATAAACCGCTGCCTCCAGGAAGTTATCATCAATACCTACAATTAGCACACCGCGATAATAATCCCATTTGTTCTCTCCCCATCTGCTGCCGCCACCAGCCCCGAGACGCTGTTTACCATAATGGCTTTTACGATCCTCTTCGGCGACAACTAAGCCAGAAACCCCATGCCCCCCATTATTGACGCATTGCATAGGTAGGTACTGATTAAGCCTCACGGTATGGAGCTAAACTCTGGAGATGACCTCATCTCGCTCAAAGAGTCCATCCGGGGACATTACTCGCCGTCAATAGAGAGCCGCTGCTCGACCATTAACGCAGACCAGTACGCAAGATGCAACGGCTTGACAATCGATAGCCTTCTACTTGACTGGAAACGGCTGGTCGAGGTTGATCAAGCTATTATCTCTACTATCGCGGACGTCCAAGCGGGACATCTGATCGAAGCCCCTCAGCTTCAGGAATGCATCTTTCGTGTCATTATTCCGACCACGGAGCAATGGCGGATGCCGGCCGCGTCCCTGAAAATACTCCAGCAGGTTTGCCGAAGATGCAAGGACGATGAGCTGGCAGACTGGGTTTCGCAGCAGTGCTTTAACGGGACGTTTGCATGGAGCAGCCTAAAACTGGAAACCCCAGCACTTCGCAGTGACCACGGTACCGATTGCCGCCGCCTCACAAGGCGAGTCAACACCTTTTTGAAGGAGTCGTTGCCAGACCACCGTCTACCACTTCACCCAGTTGACATTACACACGGTGAAGGTGTCGAGTTCCCCGGGATCCTGCTTCAAAGGGATGCGGAGGAGATGAAGGCCATCGAACATGAGACGCTGGAGGTAACCAAAAATACACTTGTGTACCTGATGCAGAGCCTGAAATCAGGATTGACGGATAAAGACCACTGGGACTTTGTTGGGACAGGTTCTCCATACCAAGGGGTAAGACGAATCGGGATTAACCAGGATGCTCACAGCTAACGAAGCGCATAGGTAGGAGCCCTGGAGCACTTGACGCCCCCTTTGAGCCCCCTGGCGGTGGCATATCCGGAGTGCTTCGTCCCTGAAGATGAGACCTGCGAATTGCCACAGCCTTGTGACCCCATATCGACCCCTAGTCAAGACATTGCGGCGGCCGAAAAAATAATATTCGAGGACGAGGTCGAGTTCTGGGCTAACACCTTGGAAAATAACGATTCACCCGGAAGGTACGACGATATTGATATCTCGGAAATGATCAGGGCAGGAGAGTTCCGGCTGCCCATCCCACCATCATCCCCACAACCGGTCCCGCGAGACCTCAAAATAGACGTGCCCTTGCTTGCACGCAGCGATGATGTTGGAAATGCCTTAGAGTCTGGGGAAGTTCTCGAAGTCGACGACTTGGCAGGGGCAAAGGAGCTGATAGCGAGCAGCGACACGCTCTCCGGGTCAGATGGCCCGACGGGTCAACTCGTGTCGGCGTTTCAGAAAAGTGCAGCCACCGTGATGAGACATGCGGAACAGGAAAAGCTTCAGCCGCTCGATGCTACTACTAGAGTTCCCATTCCAGTCTTGGACTTCACCATCCCGGTTCCCGAATGGGAACAGCGCCTCTGGGAGGCTAAGGCAATGTTTCGGTTGCTCCGTGAAGAGAGCACTGCCGACTGGCAGTGTCCCAAGTGGCCGCACAACAGAGCTGCCGAGCAGAAAATGGTGTGGGTGCCAATCGCCCATATCAAGGAGAAGAGCTTGGTGTCAGAACATATCGAAGTTGACACCGAGGTGCTCGAGGTCTTTCTGAGAAGGAGCGGAGACTGTGATGTTTTGACCAGCGCGGATTGTGTCTACAAGGAACCGGGCCCAATGGTTCTCCGGATGGGAGAAGAGGAGGATGACGACGATGAAGAGTGTTTGATGCCACTCCACCTGTCCACGCAAACATCGCCAACCAATTTCCGAGGCCCCGCCTCGGGAGCGACAACGCCAACTCCCAAAGTATTATCGACACCAGCGTTGCAACACAACTCATCCGTCACTGTAGGTACGACCATGCCGCCACCGGCAGACTTAACGTCGCTCCTGGGAGGGAGAAAGCGTCTCATCGATGAGACCCTCCATAGGCGGCAGCCCAGCGCGAAGAGAGATCGGGTATCGGCAGCCTCCTCGGATATATCCGCGACTGGCATCATCGATGGAGCCCTGATCCCGTCGACAAATGTTTTACGGGGCTTCATGAGCGAATACACTGATTTCGCGCCGCTCGTGGACAATTTCCTCGAGATGAACTTCCCAAAGAAGCTGAAGCTCACCCACAGCTCTTTTTTCAGTCCGCCCGATACAACACCATCTTCATCTCGCTCAAAAGAGCAAGAGGCAGCAAGGCTAATGCCTCCCCCTCCCAAGCCCATCCCCGCCCTCGCTCCACCCATCCGCCCTCCACCAGTCGCTCCCCGCATCGTCATATCCACCACCGTCTCGAGACCCCTAACCCAACACCTCCAAACCCTCCTCCCCACCATCGAACTAATCCCACGCGACTACGCCAAACACCGCCCACCCAACCAGAACCCAGGCTTGCGTCCCCCCGATCTCGAGGAAGCAGACATCATCGTCTCGCCAGCCACGGGCATCCTGCTCACGACGATGGTGCAGCTGCGCCAGCGGGCGTTGCCGGGCAGCGGCAGCAACAACAGCAACAGCAGCAGCAACAGCAGCAGCAACAGCGTGGCCGCGACGGGTTTCTGCCGCGTGGTGGGCAACGTCGCGGCGCGCCACGCGCGCGTCGTCGTGCTCGTGTCGGAGGGCAACAGGCACAGCGAGACGGCCGGCCCGCTGTCGCCGTCGGACGCGCGGGCGCTGGCTGAGTTTCAGGGGTTTGCGGCCGGCCTGAAGGCGGCGGAGGTGCGGGTGGTGTACGTGGGTGGTGGGGTGGAGACGCTGGCGAGGTGGGTTGCGGCGATGGTTTGTGAGTATGTGGGGGAGGCGGCGGGCGTGGCGGATATGTTGCTGCCGGTTGAGACGTTGTGGGAGGTGTTTCTGCGGCGGGCGGGAATGAATGTGTTTGCCGCGCAGGTGGTGCTTGGGAGTTTGAAGGTGCCGGACGGACGGCCGGCTGTTGGGGGCGGGGATGGGCAGATGTTTGGGCTGCCGCTCTTTGTGTCCATGTCGAGGGAGCGGAGGGTCGAGCTGTTTGGGGAGGTGCTTGGTGGGAGGGGAGTCCTCGATCGCGTGAGTGATGCGCTTGACGATCCTTGGGGCCAGAGAGCAGTTGATGGAGGCAGTTTGGACTCCCGGGCGGTACCGAGTTGGGGAGGGTTTTAGGGTGCCAACCCTGGTTGCTCATTTAGTGGTATAACCGCACGACGACACTTGCATGTTGGAAATGATTGCTTCTCTGGAGATAAACGTCGCTCTGGAAACCTTAGCGGTTAGCTGTTAGCATTGAGCACCAGACTGAATGTTCGATTGTCCTCAACTTACTGGTCGTTCAAAGTACCAAAAAGAGTGCAAGCAATTAAATATGTTCCGCTGATGGACAGCGCAGCGACTGCCGTCATGTTTCATCGTCACCGCCCTCGGCGTTTCCTCCCTCAGCCGGAGACGAGATGCTTGGTCCAAGACTCCATACTTTGACGCTAGTCTCCTCAACCACCACCCGGGGTTTCGAGCTGTTGCGTCGTGGCCCTCTCGTCTCCGAACCGGACTCATCGGAAGTATCAGAGCTGTCGTCATCGACAAATTTCCACGCTCCAGAGCAGGTCGCCACAACCGACCCGCTCATGTGCATCGCCGTAGCGCCAACCGCCGACTCATGAGCTTTCCAGTCCCAGGACGGCTGAACAGCACCCTCCTGGTTCCCGACACCCTCCCAAACAACCACACCCCCATTCTTCGTCCCCGCCCACACCTCAAACCCTCCCGCGCTCTCCGTCCCCGGAAACACATCACAGCTCAGCCGCTGATTGGTCATCCCACCCCTCCCCTCGAGCGTCCCCAGCAGCCGATGCGTGCCCCGCAGGTCATACACCAGCAGCCCCGTGGCGCCCCTCTCATTCACCACCAAATACCGCCCGCACGGCGACCAAACCGTCTGCATCACCCCGCGACCCCCAATCCCAGCCTCCTTCGCCGCGCCCGCCGCGCTCCACGTCGCCACGCACTCCCCGCTGCGCACAAGATCGTACAGCCCCAAATTCCGCGTCCACGTCCCCGCCGCCAACAAACCCCACCCCCCACCATCACCACCACCCCCAACGGCAGCAGCAGCCATCGGCTGCGCCGCCAGCGCCGAGACGGTGCCCCTCATGCCGACGCCGCCGCCCTTGGCGAGGTGGCGCGTGGAGGGGATGGTGGCGATGGAGAGCAGCGGGTCCGGCGTGAGGGCGTCGGGCCGCGAGACGTCGAAGAGGGCGATGCGGTTGGCGGTGCCCGCGACGAAGTGCGTGCCCGGCGCGGGCCAGATCAGCGAGGCGATGGGGAGGTAGGCCTCCGTCTCGTGCTTGATTAGGCGGAAGGAGGCGAGGGGCGGGGGTTGTTGTTGGGTCCGGGTGGGGGTGGGGTGGGGTGGTGTGGTGGTGTGGTCGTCTGCGTTGTCTTGGTTTTGGTCGTCGGATTGAGGGTTGGGCGGTGGTGGTGATGGTGACGATGGTGATGGGAGGAAGGCGTGGTGGAGGTGGATTGGGTGGTCGGTGCTGGCTGTGAGGAGGGTCTGGGTGGAGGGGTGTTCCAGGGCGAAGTAAGGGCACGGGGCAATGGCGCTGGTCGGTTCGGGGAGGGTGCGGGTGCTGTGGGCGATGAGTTCTACGGGAGACTCGCGCGGTTGGAGGAGGGTCTCGGGGAGGACAAAGGTGCTTATTCGGTTGGAGAAGGATGACGTAAAGAGGGTTGTGCCATCAGCGGACCTAGAAACCGTTGTCAGAAGAGGTGGGAGGTAAGATAGGTTGTGTGAGACGTACCATTGCACACTTTTGAAGAAGGAATCGCGAATGTCGTCTGAATCTTTGGTTGGTATCGACCCATTGGGTTTGTTTGTTAAAGCCTTGAGGTTGACTGAGGGCGGATCCATATTGGGCGGTCAATTATTCGGGCATTCGCCCACCTTTGCGAGCGGCTCCTTGAAGTGTAGTTGTTTTTGTGTGAAGGGATGTTTTTCGTGTGATGGATGTATTTCGTATGTACTTTATTTAGTCTTTGGCCCACTCGAGCCACTGCACTTCCCGATCGACACTTCCCTGTCCGGCCCCACACAGCGGCAGACAAAAGCGGACCGGTGCCTACGGCCCCACTTGCCACAGGAGCTCACCTGCAGCAGCTGCAGCTCTCGCGCCGCTCCTCGCCCGTTCGACCCGACAACGCGCGGACCGCCGACCTCGAGAACCGCCTTCATCGCCTCTTGGGTTTCTCTCCCGACAACGCTTTCAATTTCGATTCTAGGCGTGATTCCATCCGATCTCCCCTGACCAACCTCCATTCTTGCAATCGAACAGAGCTCGAAACCCACCGCAAGTTGCCAAGATGGAAGCCTTGATTGGCGAGGACCGTTGCGAGGAGCTTCGCGATCTAAGCGTTGTTAACCTCATCGTTTCGATGTACGGCCGCTTCAGGAGACTCCGTGGTCTGCTTACTGACTGTTTTATAGCGTTATCGTCATCGGCATGCTCATCAGCTACCTCCCCCAACACTTCCGTATCATCAAGCGCCGCACCTCCGAGGGCATTTCTCCCTACTTTGTCCTGCTCGGCACTACTTCCGGGACTTCGGCTTTTGCGAATATTCTGCTTCTTCCCAAGTCTCGCCAGGATGTGGCCTGCTGCAGCGAACTTGAGACATTCCACTGCGTTGCCGGTCTGCTCGGTATTGCCCAACTGGGTGTGCAGTGGATCTGCTTCGCGTTCATGTGGGTACCTTGATGGCTGGGGAGCAAAACCGCAACTAACAATCACCTGCGTAGTTTCGTCCTATTTCTCGTCTTCTTCCGATACCATTCCGCCGACGACGTCGAAAGCGAAGAGGGGGATGAAGCGCATCCAAGGTGGCAGACTGCATTGTTGGTGGCGTCCTTGACCCTGCTCCACGGCCTCGCTGTCATCGTCATCACCGGCGTACTATCCACCGTGGCCAAGGAACATCTACCAACATGGGCCAATGTCCTCGGCGTCATGGCGGCCCTCCTCGCAGCCGTTCAGTACATCCCCCAGATTTGGACCACATACCACCTCAAGCATGTGGGCAGCCTCAGCATTCCGATGATGTGCATCCAAACACCTGGCGGTTTTGTTTTCGCGGCGAGCTTGTTCGCCCGACTTGGCTGGGCCGGCTGGAGTTCGTGGGGTATCTTTGTCATGACCGCCACGATGCAAGGCGCGCTTCTATATTTGGCCATTTACTACGAGATTCGTGCTAACGCCAACGGCGCTGATGTCTCGAAGTCGCCGTCACCGCTCTTGGGCCGATCGCATTCGCATTCTAACGGTTTCGATGATGAGACCCCGGGCCGATACGCGAATGAATCATCCAACGGGCGATCCGACTTGCAAACAGCCCGTGACCGTCAGGACGCGGATGCTGCGGCCGACACCACTCCGCTGCTTCGTGCTAGCAGGACAGGCGACTCTCATCGGAACTACGACACCAGCCGGGACTAGGTGGACCGGAAGGACATACCGCTTTGAGGGACAGGGCCGATAATAGGACAGTTGGTCTTGCGTTTGGTCTCCGGCCTACCTGATAAGCCCTCGGCCGCAATTCATTGAACATGGGGGGTCGACTCTCGTGCTCAACCTCATTTGTTGGGCCATTGTTTTGATGGGTGTTGAGATAGCATAGGGGATTGCGCGGTGGGATTTGCAGAGCGAAGTTAGTCACTCTAGTGGGATATCTTGAAACGGGGAGACCTTAGCATCGTAAGTGTCGCAGAGCCCATATGCACCTTTTGTGAGTTCATGCTTGGCTGACTCGCGGGACAAGGCTTTACAAAAGCGAGGTCAGACCTGTCCCAACTTCAGGGAGAGTTTTCAACTCCCCGAGACACGGCTTTTGTTGGCGCGGCTTGATCCATCAGATGTTGAATCGTGCAACTGAGTCTAAAGCGCCAACCCGTCGCGAATTCTTGTTTCAGAGACGTCTTCTTTGAGTTGTTCGGTTCTAACATGCTCCTTGGTTACACCATCGGGATTTGCGCCACAGCCTGCCTGGTCCTTGTAGACCTCGAGGACCTCCAGGGAACACCCTTATTATGCATCGGATATTTTCTGGGGAAACCTGCCCGAGCAGGGCGTCAAGTCGTGAGGAATCGTGTGTCAAGGCGCCTTGGCGGCGGCAGCGACGGCGCACGGGCGCAACTCAACACCATGCACGACGAAATACTGCAACTTCGCTCGGTTTCCCGGCAAGCCTTCGCCCTCGGAATCTTTGGTCGGTTCCCGCAGGTTCTCAAAAGCGCGACTGGATATGGCGTTCCTGCCGGTTCCCCGCTTCTCTCTCCAGAAGCTCGATTCTTAGGCAAAAGTGCTCCGGTCAATCTGGCTCATTCCCATTGAACGGCAACAAACTTCAAACACCGCTGGATATTTTGCAGCCGCTGATGACAGCGGGAATGTCGGGCTTTTTTTCTGTCCTCAATATTCCGGTTGGTGGTTCTCGTTTGGAGGGGCTTCGGTTCCGGAAGGGATGCAACCCAGGGCAATGATCTCCGGGCTGGAACACGACATGCCTTCTCCGTTTTATGCAACCGTTTACCCGCCACACACGATATGGTTCTTGGGCGCTTGTTGCCCTCGCCCAGCCACACGTCTGACAACATTGTCTGTTTTTGGGGGGCGCATCTCAAACCGCATCGCCCGGCTCCTCACAAGCACCAGTCGATCACGTCCATCGTGCAGCGAGTTGATGTGTCGGGCGGTATGCGCCAATGTCCTACGCTGCAGGAGTGTCAATGTGAACTTCTTATAATGGCATCTGTCGTGGGCCCCGTTGTTTTCGGGGGTCTCTTCGACCCTGTCACTGCTTCCTGAATTATCGCGTGCCCCTTACCCCTAATGTTTGTTGTTTAGTTCACCACAAGATCGCGAGTGGAGACTCGGACCGTTCAGTAGACCCGTTAACATCGACACCAGCAGGCTTGGTGCGACGATGTTGTCGACGGAATTGCAAGACGACGAGGGGGTGAGGGTGCTCGGGCGACAAAACAACAAGGCACCATGTCCAAACGGGAATGGGACAACCTTTGGCACATTTCAAGAGTTTACTGCTTTGTGCGATACGAACCTCAATGGGGATTTCCTCGACAGAATCGACGCCTTCGACTTCACAACATGCGTTGATCTTTGCTCGTCGTTCCACCCAAAATGCGAGGGCGCCTCATTCGACGGATCACGATGTACTCTGAGGAACAATTTGCGGGCCGATAACCAACGCTTCTCAAGAAGAAGCGAATCGGCCATCGCCAGTTTCCCAGGCGCGAGCTCGAACTGCGTGACACTGGGCGGAGCGCAGGATGCCCTCGGGACTCGTTTCACCACCATGTGCGGGTTCATCATAAACGGCAACGACATGGGACAAAACTTTGCGCCCACTTTCCAGGACTGCCTGGGCCAGTGTGCGGCCACGACGGGTTGCGCGGCGATATCCTTCGACCCAAGCCAAGACCTCGGGTTCAAGAACTGCTACCTCAAAACAGCCGTGGGCAACCCGAGGGCCATCGCTGCGGACCGGCGCACCGATTCCGCCTTGGTAGCTGCTGCCGAAGACGATTCTGATTCCTCGTCGGCTGCTGCTCCCCCTACAAGCTCACCAGAGCCATCATCGGAACCATCGCCGGACCCATCTCCAAGCAACCCGGGCGTATCCACCATCCCGCTCTCATCCGCGGTGCCAGCCGGCGGCGGCGGCGTCGTCTTCTTCACCCCACCGCCCGGCGCCAGCACAACACTCATCCCATCAACACTACCAGCCACATCACTCCCGGCACCAGCAACAACCAACCCCGTCACCGACGCCCTCTCCTCATCCCTCGCCACCACACCCCCTTTCCCCTTCCCCTTCCCCAGCTCCAGCAGCAGCACACCCCCCCTCTCCTCTTCGGAAGCAGCCCCCGACTCAGCAGCAGGCCAGGGCGCCGCCGCCGAGGTGACGAGCATGGCGTGGGTGGCGGCGCCCGTCGTCGGGGGCGTGGCCGCCGTGGCCCTGGTCGCCGTCTCGTTTGTCTTGCTGAGGCGCAGGCGCCGCGGCGGCGCTGCGAGCGGCGGTGGTGAGGGTGAGAACGAGAAGCAGGGCGGGTCCTTCGGTGGTGGTGGTGGGTTGCCGGGCTGGTTGGCTGCCTGGCTGCCGGCGTCGTGGGCGTCGTCGTCGTCGCCTGGGGGTGGGGAGCGTGGGAGGGGGAGGGGGAGGCGGATGACGGGGATGGGGAATTTCTCTGAGGTGGAGTCGGGGAGGAGGGGGAGTGTGGAGGTGAGAGGAGTGGTGAGGGATAGTGTGGTTGGGTTTGTGACGGGTAGGCCGATGGGGATGGAGAGGTTGGAGGATATTGAGGAGGGTGACGCGGGTGGTGCGAGTGGGAGTGGGAGTGGGGAGGGGAAGGGGGTGAAGAAGGATGGTGTGTCGGCGGCGGCTGAGGGTAAGGCGGGGAGGTCGACGGAGTTGAGGGCTAGTTTTAATGGGTTGGGGCAGAACAAGTGGTCGCAGTAGGGAAGTACACAGTAGTTGGGTGTTGAGCGGGAGCTCATGGGCTAGGGTTAGGGTATGTGTTGTTGGATATTCCACTTGGAGTTGAGGGAGAGCGTTGGGATACCACCACGGCGATGTTTAGTTGACTTCCAGGTTGTTTTGGGCTATCCGTCTCTTGTCTTCGATTTCTGTAACTTTGTAGTCACCTCTTCCAACACTTTCCTCTCGTTCTTTCATCCCGAGTATTCCGGTCCTCTCTGCAGTCACCGTCCTTGAGCACATGCATCCCCTAAAGCCCCACCCCGGTTCGGATTACAGGTCCGCTGAGCAGTCAGCGTCCAGGGGCGTGCTTGCGGGGTCCCTCCGATTGGCGGGCGCAAGACGTTCATGGAATTGGGAGCGCTGCTTGGATGTGTCATGCCGGCGACGGAATGACTGGGAATGACACCAGTCCAATTCTGTGAACATTCGCTCTTGGACGGTGGTGATCGGTTCAGGAGGGCAGTCCTACTTTTCTTCCTTTTCTTATCTTCTCTCCTCCCTTTCGCCTTCCGTGGTCTCTCTTCTTCTTTTGGGGGGGATAAACGGGGATCCACATCAGCTATCACGAAACCGCGGGGGTCCGCCACCACTTAACGCGCTCGATAACTCCCGGCCACGCTGCTTCATCCTCTGCGATTCTTGTGCGTTAACATCGGAGGGCACATCTCGAACCAGTAGAAGAGCAACACGAGATCCAATGGCTATCACACGATCTCCCCCGAGCCACGATGAGGAAGGCGACCACCAGTCCCATCAACAGGCGCAACCCACTCCGGTACAACCCCCGGCGGTTCTGCACCAGCACTCCCTCTCCAACGCATCGACTGTGACCGTCGACATCGAGTCCTGGACCGTGGCCGCCCTCGAGTCGCTCCGCATCGCCCCCATTGCCCGCGGCACCGGTAACACCCTCTCCATCCCGCTCGATGACGCCCACCAACATGCCGAATCGGGCGAAGTTCGAGATGCCGCGGGGATGAAGCTGCGCAACGTCGCATTCGACGGCAACGACGATGCCTACGGCGCAGCCATTACCCCGCCGCGCCGCCCGCCGTCGCGACGCGACAGCATGCACAGGCGTGACGCCCTACTGAAGGGCAAGGAGGGCAGCCGGCAGCGCAGGCGGTGGGAGAACGGTATTATCCCCTCCCCCAACCATTCCCACCCTAACCAACCCCAATACAAGTACCTGGTATTACACGCAGCGCAACCCCGCTAACCACCCCCACCCCCCCTCCCTCCCCATAGACCACCTCCTCCACGTCCCCAACGTCGTCCCGCCGCTGCCGTCCGACTGGCAGATCCGCCCGACCCACCGCGTGCTGCCGACGGTGCCGTACCAGCTGGCGCAGTTCTGGGACAAGGGCCTGCGCGAGCACGTCGAGGCCCAGAAGCACAAACAGCAACAGAAAAAGCACTCGCGCCGCCGCAACGCCGCGGGCGGCGCCCGCCTGGGCCCGGACGACGAGGAGACCCCCGTCGGCCACGTCCCGCGCGACCTGCGCAACACGGCCAAGCGCACCCCGGCTGTCAAGTCGTGGCTGCGCGTGCTGGAGGAGCCCGTGCGCGCGTTCGTGGTCGAGCGGGGGCTCGCAGCTGCTGCTGTTGCTGCTGCTGAGGGCGGAGAGAGCAGCAGTGACGAGACGGACTCGGACGACGAGGAGATTGTTTTCGTGGGGCGCAACGGCCGCATGCGCGACGGCAAGCCGTGGAAGCCGGCCAAGCGGCATGTGGCCGGCGGCCAGGAAGGGGGCGAGCGCGGGCTGGTGTTGGAGATGGAGATGGAGGAGGAGGCGGGCGGTGGCGCGTTGAAGTGCGTTTTCTTTCTTTATTCCGCCTACCGATGCATTTGGCTTTGGATCTTACTGACCCCGCTCTCTTAGGCGCTGGCTTACCCACTCCATCTCGGACTACTACGGGCTCGACTCCAAGTCGGCCATGGTAGGCACCCCTGCGCGCCGCGTCGTCTACGTCGGCGTCAAGCAGAAGCAGACGCAGACGCAGACTGCGACGCGGCATAACCCTCCCACCCGGCGGTCGATGCTGCCGCCGCCGCTATGGGAGATGTTTTAAGGGGTCGCTGCCGATGGTTGGTACATATATACTGCACTGTACATGTGTATGCATGCGGGAAAGGTTGAGAAGGTGCATCGCATATCTAGATTGCGGCATGGTAGACGCATCCTTCATCACATATACACAGTAGAAAGGCGGCGCCGACTTGCTCGTGTGCGAGAGTTCCTGTTAATACCCCCCTCCCCCAATATGCTTCTCATTTTAGCACCCCCAGCCGTCTTCAGCTACACAGGCTGTGTCAGTTCACAACGGCTAAACCGCCGACGCCGATCAACGCGCCCCTTGCGGCAAGGCATTGGAACTTGTATATGCCCTCACAACTTCAGCCATAGCTGGGGGTTTCGGGGACTCACAACTTTAATTCATACAGCCGTATACCCGAACAGTTGACAGGATCCATTTTTTCGGCTCACAACACGATCATAGTTTCGAACACGGCTGCGCCCAACATACGGACATCGCAAGAGCATTTTCAACCCACTTAGTATCACAGAGGATAATCATTTCAGACAATGAAGGGAATTGAGTTCCTCGTGACAGCGTATTGTATTCATTTAGCTAACAAGACGTGCATTCGCATTCCAAAAAAAATGAGGAACTAATGTTCCAATAATCCCTCGCTCATATCATCTCACATCCATTCCCATCCGATACTCCCAACTCCCCACTCCCTCCCCTATCAAAGTGGCACACACCTCTTAAGCCGACACACCAAGAGCCGAGTTAAAAGCATCGGCAGCCGCCTGGCCGGTAGCGGCCTGGGCAGCCTGCGACGCCTGCTCACAGGCCTGGACGGTGTCCTCGGACGCCTGGCAGGAGCTCTGCAGGCGGGAGCAGGTGAAGTCGGCGATGATGCGGATGGCCTGGGCGGAGCCGTGGTTGAAGTCGGCGTTGTTGACGTTCTGGAAGCTGGCATCCTCGCGGCCGTCGAGGCCGACGGCGAACTGGATGGCCGGGCTGCCGCAGGCGCCGAAGTCGAGGGCGTTGGCCTGGCGGCGGGACAGGACCGAGCGCCGGAGCCGCTTCAGGCTGTTGGCCGCGCGGCACTCCGTCTCTTGCGCCTCGCACTGCTGCGTGCCGCCCTCGATCTGGCCCGCGTTGGCCGCGTTGGCGCACGCGTTCTTCTGGACCGAGCATGAGCGCTGGAGGGCGGCGCCGGCGGTGGTGAAGCTCGCGCCGTTGACAGCGAAGGGACGGTCCGAGCCCGCGGAGCTCTCGACCGCGGGTGCGACGCCGCCGAGCGAGCCGGTGAAGGTCTGGACGTTCACGGTGCCGGTGGCGTTGCCGCCAGCTCCAGTGTCAACTCCAGTGTCAACTCCAGCATCGGCTCCAGCATCGGCGCCGGTCTCATCGGCAGCGTCATCCTCAGGCGGGGCTACAATGACGGTGCATGCTGCATTACTGTTAGTATCCAGTGGATACTGCCCCGCAAAAGGAAGGTTTAGCTTACCATCATCGGCACCCTCATCCGCACCCTCATCGGCACCGGCATCCTCTCCGGCTCCAGCCCCGGCATCCGCACCCGCGCCGGCATCAACGTCGGCAACGGCGGCCATGATCTCGTCCTCACTGACCGCCGGGGTGAGGAGGTCCAGGGTGAAAATGCAGCCATCGGCATCTTCCAAATCGTTGCAGGTGTTGCCTGCGCCGGTCGGGTCACCGAGCTGAATAGTGTTAGCATCTGAAGCTCCTGCTTCCCTGAATCTCAAGCGGCTTACCTCGCCAGGGGGGAATGTGGCGCTCTGGAGCGCAATCAGGGGGTCGGCACCGATGGATGCCAGCTGCCTAGCAACCTCGAGCTCGATCGCCGCGTTGTCGGCGGCCTCCTCCGAGGCGGGGTCCTGGTGCTGTTGGATGGCAGCAATCTCGGGGTTGACGGCCGTCTCGTTGCAGGACACACTGGCCAAGCCAACCGATCCCGTGTTGCGCTCGAGAGCGCGGAACAGGATGGCCTGGGTCTGGCCTTCGAGATCACCAGCCGCCTTGGCGTTGGTGAAGGCCTGGTCGGCAATGATCTGCTGCAGGCAGTCGAGGTTGGCGACGTTGGGGGCGCCCTCGGCAGCGGCCGCGTTGCCCAGAAGGGCGAAGACGGTATCCTGGATCTCGAGCGGGTTGTCGAGCTGCAGGGCGTCGTTGGTGGCGCGGAGGGTAGCCTCATGCGAGTGCTCCTGGGGAACCTCACGCTTCGAGACCTTGCGCGAGTAGAGGTTGACCTCACGGGCGGAGGCAAAGCCCGCGAGGGCAACCAAAGCAGTTCCGTACTTCATGGTGTCGTAAACTTCGTAGCGATCGACGCGATGTAAAGTGGTGAAAAATAAGGCCCGGCCTGAAGAATAGAAGGATTATACCAAAAGAGTGTGGAAGAAACCAAAAAGTTCACAGAACTATAAAGAATGGAATGAAGATGGAAGAAGCGTGGGGAGAGGAAACAGAATATTGCCTTCGCGGGATGGCAAGAGACTTATATACGACATGAATACACCCCACGCCCCGAGACCGTTGACAGACCCTCGACACGCCGTCTCTTGTTGGGCATGGGCCATGGGATCCTCACTTTCTCGCTTCGAAGCCGCGTACCAGCGATCCGAAAGCGCGGGAGGGATCACAGCAAGCCTGTCCTTGTCGATTCTCCACGACTGAGCCGCTCCCCTGGAAAACCATCGCCGGCTAGAATCAGCTCCGGGGCGAGATGGCCACCCAGGGCGGGCCCAACATACTCAATCGAGCCAGGGTGGGCGGCAGGGGTTGCTCTGGGTGGTGTAACGGGTTTGTCTGTTTGGCATGTCCCATACCATGCTTGGAAGGATTGACGGCACCTTGCGCCCACTGTTTCGAGAGACGCTCGCTTGGACCTCCTTAGGTAGCGAGACTTGACGTGGACATGCCACCAAGGATGAGATGACAAGAAAACAAGAAATCTAAAGTCGTCGGTCAACCGGTATGTTTACTCACTGGGACGTTTTTGCCCAGTCGAACGCGAGTTTCTCTTCGATTGTGGGATCCTCTCAGCAGCGACTTCCCTCTATGGAAGTGCTGAGGGCTTGCAGCTGCCCGGTGCCTGGCCCGTTCAGCCAAAGCGGGCAGTCGCGATGGGGGACGAGGAAGGCGCCTTGAGCTCCCGAACTATCGCAACGCGCCGATTGGTGGAAGGCCAGGGCCCTTCACTCACTTCTGCAAATGCAAACGCGCACGCAGTGCAATGCGGAGGTTGGTGACGCTCTCTCTCGGGCGGGTATCATCAGATCAGACGAGACATGGCACAAAGTTCGTCTCAGCTTTCCCATGGTGCCCTGGCACGAGGAGCCGCATGCAAGCCACTGACAGGTACCGGAAGCTCCCGCCATCTGGGGTTGCAATTACAGGGATTACAACCCCTGTCGCTTCGTGGAAACGCCTTCTGTCAGTGCTGATGCACAGACGCAAGCGAAGGTCCCCCCACTATCCGGAACGCTGCGGATTTCTGTGTGAAACTGTTAGTTAAGCAGGGCAGCCAAACGCCCAGCCTCGGAGAATTCCTCAGACGCAACAGAAGCAGCCGCTTTGCATCACGACCTCACCAGCTTCCCCTTAGCAGCCGCCCACGTCAGTCCCCGTCTGTCCCAACGCGGACTCCGTCCAGCCTAATTGGGATATGAGTTGCGCCTTTCCAGGTGCGGTGACATCAGACGAAACGAGACTGGAGGGCAGGAAACGGGTTGCTGGGGAAAATTGTGCCGGCGATCTTTTTGCCTCAACCTTATCCATCACGCTAAGCAACTGGTGATCATATGTCTTGTTACGATATTAGACCTCTCGGTCATCGGCGGGTTGGGAAGACATGAGATGGATCCTCTGCCAAAAACGTGGAGGACAGAGGGGGGAACCCTCCATGATTGTGCAAATCAGCTTGAGTTGGCTTAAGAGAAATAAGCCCATGCGCGCTTGGTGGTGGCGAGCAAGTCCCAACCCAAATCCCAGGCCATGGCGGCTATTTCCGCATGTCAAGATGTGAGTTTCCAGGGTGGCCAGAAGAGATGACCTGGCTGCCGTCTTTGCAAAAGACAGAATTCCCGGGCGTGCGGCCCGCCACTTAGGGATGAAACACCATTCAGAGCATGAAGCCGGCTCTACACTGCCCGATGCAGGCAGCATGTTGGGAGGGGGCGGCGTGCATGAACCGCTCAAGGCCCCCCCCCCCCCCCCCCCCCCCAAAAGATGCCATCCCAAGTAGCAGGTATGATCGGCACATAGAGTTCGCTCCATCATCACCCAACCAACGGCATGGACGACGGGCCTTGAACAATGCACTTTGTCATGGCTAAGATCGCTCAAGTGCCTTCACCAGGGCGGGCCATGTTCTCGGCATACTACGCAAGTGCCGGAGAACCAGGCCTCACACGCTTGGATGGCGTGCTCGGCACCAAGAATGAGGCTCCGATCTTGCCCACAGACACTTGATTCCCTCGCAACCGGCCACTCGACACCGTCACGGGCCACCTGTTTGTGCAGACGCCCGGTACTACACGACCTCTATCTTACCTAGACGGTACGGAACACTCCCCGTTCCATGGATCGCCAGCGCAAGATAGGTATGCGCAAAACAAAGGGATGCCTGGCGGATCGTTAAAGTCGCACCGCGAGGAAGGAGCAAGCGAACAATCACCATGATGGGTTTGGCGGGACGTGTCCAGTCTCTTATCTTGTCTTTTGTACAATCGGCTTGACCAAAGAACAAGGTCTAAGGGGAGGAAAGCTAACGGAAAAAGAAAATGCCCAAACTTAAAGCAGCAGTCAGGCTTGCTCCGCGGTTTATGGTCTATAAGGGCGCGCTGGAATCGGAAAACCCTGCGAACGCTCTCTTTTGTTTCGCCCAAGTCCCGTACTGTACTAATACACCACCGCCCTTCTCCATCCCCGTCCCATATCCATTTGTGCTGCTCCCTCGCATGCAGGGCGTGTTGCTTAACCGACAACCAGCTTGCCGTCGTCGGAGAAGTCGTACGCCGGGATCTCGAGGTTGAGCGGGGCGGGTCCTTTCCTGATGCGGCCCGAGATGTCGTAGTGGGAGCCGTGGCAGGGGCAGAACCACCCGCCGAAGTCACCGGCCTCGCCGATGGGCACGCAACCCAAGTGTGTGCAGACGCCTGGCCCCGTCCGTTAGTCATGCTGCCATTCCCCACCACATGCCAACCCACTCCCGGAAAGCACATACCCAACATGACGAGCCACTCGGGCTTCTTCACGCGCTGGTCGTCGGTTTCGGGGTCTCTTAATGAGGCGACGTTGATGCTGTTGGCCTCATCGATCTCGGCGGCGGTCCGGTGGCGGATGAAGACAGGCTTGCCTCTCCACTTGATGACGACCTGCATGCTGTCAGCCACACACCGTAGACCCTCCCACATGGCATGTGTCAATCCAAAAGCACTTACGTTCTTGCCCTCCGGAATAGCAGCGAGGTCGACCTCGACCTTGGCCATGGCCAAGACATCAGCCGAAGCAGACATGTTGACAAGGAACTCTGCACATCACCAATGTCAGCCCCCCCATCCTCCAAAACCAAACGCAGCCAAAACCAATTCGGAACCCCCCTCCCCACCAAACCCCGAACCCCCCACCAAAAAACACCAAAAAAGACAACTCACGCTGAATAGTCGACTTGGCCCCCGCAGCCGAGATGGCGCCGAGGGTGCCGACCATAAAGTACGAAAACAGCGCATTGGTGCTGCCGGAGCCCTTGGACATGTACTTGGAGAAGTCGGGGACCTTGGTCTTGGACTCGCCCTTGAAGGGGCTCTGGTAGGACGACGAGGAGTCGCGGAGGGCCGGGGTCGAGCTCATGGCGCGGACCGCCGTGGCCGTAGTCGTGGTGGTGGTGGCCGTGGCCGGTACCCGGGCGGCGGCGGCGGACCGCGCGAGGGCGCGCGACACAGTTTGGAGGGGCGCCATTGTGTGTTGGTTGGTTTTGTGTGTGTGTGTGTGTCAATTGAATCGGGATCGTTCGGCGCGGTTGGGGCGGGGGGGTTGTCGTCGCTGTGATCCGCGCGGGAGGGGGGAGGGCGGAGCGGGCGGAACGGCGGGTTCGTTGGGTGGTGCTTGTCGACGTCGGCCGAGTCCGTGGACTGAGGTTTTTCAGGAAAGGCGCTGTTTCTGGGCCGAGCGCCGTTTCCACATTTCCCGGGCATGGAGCTGGCCCGAGGGGAGCTGTTACGGCCTGAGGCAAGAACTTCAGACAATTACCCGGTTGCTGATTGGCGGCACACCACTCCGGCTTCTCCCGTGGCGCTTGGCAGCTGGTTGTCACGTCGAGCCATTGTGTCAATTCCAGGATCACCATCGCCACAAACACCCTGAAGTGCCTGATCTTGACAAGTGCAGCACCCAAAAAAAAAAAAAAAAAAAGTCCGGAGAGGCCAATCGCCCCAGAAAAAGTTTATTTTGACTCCCAGGCCAACAGAGTCTAACCAGGTGAGTCAGATAAGGCGAATCCGACACGCAAGATCTCTCAAATCAATGCATGCGCCGGAGTTCCTCGACCAAGTTCCGCATGTCCTCGACCGTTGGACCCAGTCCCTTGCAGACAGTTTCCTGAGTCGCCTCATCCACGTCCAAGAACTTCTCCAGCAGCTCCCCGTCCACGAACCGGAAAGGCCCGTCGCCCTCCCGCTCCGCATTCCTGAAGGCCCTGTATGTCCTGAATTCGATATTCCCAGCCGTCTCGAGGACATCGGCCAGCTTCGCCTGGAACCGCAGCAGTAGGTCCTGAACGTGTGGCGCAACCGTGCCAAACATGTAGATGCCGCCCTCGACCTGTGATAAGAACCAGTCAGCAAAAGAACCGCCTGCGTAACCCAAATCCGTAAGAAGTGACCTACCGTGCCCAAGAACGCCTTCGGCACAATCATGGCGCCCGGCGTGGTCTCGACCTCGACCGCCCGTATCCGATTCACCATCTCGCCCAAGTTGATCTCGCTCGTGACCTCCATGCGCCTCTTGTCCTCGGCCGTGACGCCCTCCACATTCCGCCTCAACACCATTAAATTCCCCTGCGCGTCCGCCTCCAGCCAGCTCCCCTCCTCCACAAACCCGACCGCGGTAGCCCACACGCTGCCAAAGTGGCGGGCGCGCTCGACCAGCCGCGGCCCATCATCGCCACTGCCGCCGCCACCACCACCGGGGACATACTCCACCAGCGCGACCGACTTCATCAGATCCGCCACGGCGATGGTGTTGCCGCGCACGGATATCTCGGCCGGGTAGCTGGAGGGGCGGTACGACGCCAGCCGAGTGAGCTCAGCAGTCGTAGAACTAGTCTCGTCATACCGGCAAACAACAACCGTCTTGGTCAAGCCTGCCACAACCAAGCCCGCAGCATCCGGGCCGGCATCCTCGCCCAGCACAGCCAAACAACGGCACGCACCCTTGAGGTCGTGGGCGAGGACGAGGTAGGGGTTGCGGTCGGCGTCGACGCCCAAGACCAACAAGCGGCCGCGCACGTCGGCGGCGGCGCCCGGGCCCGGCCCGTAGTCCGGGTCCGGCAGGAAGCTGGTGCCGACGAGGAAGCGCTCGGCGGGGCTGCCGTACGAGTCGCGCAGCTCGGCGCGCACGACGCACTCGACGAGCTCGGTGCGGGACGGCACGCCGCCGCCGCCGCCGCCGCCGCCGCCGCCGCCGCCGCCGAGCGGGAACGCCCGGCCGACGCGGTCGAAGATGACCTCGTCGACGAGCTTGAAGGATGATTGGACGATCTCCTCGCCGCTGACGAGCTCGCGCCGGATGCAGCCAAGCCCGAAGACTTTCTCCTTGGGGGAGTAGGCGATGCGGCGCACCATCTCGTTCATGGGCAGCGGTTTGACGTGGGTGCGGCGCTCCCGGTCGATGTGGGAGATTTTGAGCTGGTTGTCGGTGGCGAGGACGATGCAGTCCGGGAAGGCTTCCGTGTCGAAGGGGCAGATGTAGGTCGCTTCCTCGGCTGTCACCGCCGAGTAGACGATCCGCCCTTCGGAACCGTAGATGAGACTGGGGTGTTCTGTGGTCGCGAAGATGCTGTAGAGGTGGGGTGTATCGGGCTGCGGGAGGAGGTGGAATCGCGCCTGGCGCATGCCGAGAATGACGCGTTTTCTCCCGGAGAGCCTGAAGTTTTCCGAGAGGTTGAAGGTGATGACGTTACCATCTTGCATGGCAATGAACAAGGTTTGCCCGGATACGCCTTGTGGTAGCATTTGCACGAGGGCGAGATCACGGGGGATCGAGGCGTCGTCTGGCGAGGTGCGCAGCGACTCTCCGTGCATAGGTTCAAGCGATGGCAGATCGATGATGGAGACGGTTCCGGACGACCAGAAACCGACCACGGCGAGGTCGTTCCGTACCGGTGGTACATGAATACAAGCAATCTGGTCTTGGTTGCCGATCTCCTTTGTGCGCACGACCCGTAGGTTAATGTCGATGCTAAAGAACACAAGCTCGGTGCCGTCTACAGACAGCAGCAGACACTTGTTGTTTGCTGATGCGCTTATGATACTCCTCTGAGCTCCGGGCGTCCACGTATCTATCGTGAGACCGCTTTCGGCGTCGAGGAGTGTGACGGCGGTCGGGGTGACCTGAAGGATTTGGCCCGTTGAGAGATACCTCGCTAATAGCGTTTGCTGGTTGAATGTCATCCCGGCGAACGATTGTAGCTCCTCCACTTCGCCCTGAGCATCGAACTTGAACACCCTCGTCTCTGTTAAGAACGATGCTGCCAAGATATTAGTCTTTGGGGCCTCGTAAGTCTTGAGAGAAAACAATCCCCGGCAGTGTTCTAGGTCGGCCAGAATGCCCACATCCTCCAGGCCAACGCCGCTCCGTACGCTCCGAAGTGACCCGTCTTTGTGTACGCCGCTACAGGTGACGATCCGAGCCTGGCCAGACGAGTACTCGTTCCCTAGCTGACCTTCATCGCCACGGCCCATATCCATGATTGCAAAATCCAAGATGGGGCCAATGTTGGCGAGCGTCTGGATGAGCTGTATCGGGGGGGCGTCCTCATTCTGGAAATCAAGCTTGAACAACTGACTGTCGCCGTAGTGCGAAGCAACGAACAACATGTCGCCTCCGAGAAACACGAGATGGCTTGCGCGCGACGTCTTCCCGATGCAGTTGACCTCCAGGCCCGTCACCACAACACTATCCGGGCTCTCCCTAACCAGGGTGAGCAGGTGCAGGCTCCCATAATCGTCGGCCAAAAAATAGTTGGTCTCGTTGTACTCGGCCCAGGCAACGAAGATGGAGGCTTCCTTGAGAGCTGATTGCACCGTGACCTTTGTGACCTCGTCAATGTAGAGCAGCCTCGTCTCTCCCACCACTATTAGCCCCCCAATGTGTGCCTTGGCCGACTCGACGTTCCGTACGTTGTGCCGCTTGACCTCCTCCTCCACCTTCCGCACGGGTATCAAGATGGATGCGCTAGAATCGGGGACCTCGGTGTCGATCTCCCTGTCCCGTTCGGGGTCGAACTTCGAGGCCTCTGTGTTCCGGTCGTCTACCGTCATCCGGTAGGTCGCCAGCTTCGCGTCGGTCGAGTCGGCCCGGCTCTGGTAGAGGAAGGCAATCTTTGGGTGCCCCGTTTCCGTGTAGAGGAAGGTGCTCGCCTTGATGAAGAGCTCGGATAGCCGGACCTGGTCCATCCACGACAGCACCATCTTGTTCTTTCTCTCCCCCAACCGCAGCATGGTTAACACCCCTTCCCACAAGTGCATGGCCAGGTATCTCCCCGACGGGTCGACCAGACATCGGTCCTGGCTCTGCGAGTCTCGCATGTGGCGCTCGCCCGGGTCTGTGAACGGATCTATCGTGTCGAGCTGTGAGGTTTCCGGGTTCCACGCGAGGGTGAAGTATTCGAACCGGTCGGTTCCGACGAAGAGGAGGTCTGTCTTCGAGTCTTTCGGGCGGAGCTTCTGGAGGATAGAGATGGTGCCGTTGACCACCTTTGAGGATGCCAGCGTGAGCATGCCTTCGGAAAGTCGCCATATCTCTAGTCGATTGGCTTTTCTACCTCGGGTTGTCAGTCGCCAAAGCTCCTCACTCTGAGCGGAGAGCAAGGGAAAGCGCAGGGAAGCGTGTGTTTCTTACGCAAGCACCAAGCTCTCTACTTCATCCGAGAGGATTAAGGTGCGGAGGGCATGCCGCACGCTGCTCGGCCGGTGGACGGGGGCTATGTAGGCCATTGCAACGGATAATGGCGACGGCGGGTTGCGGGAGCGGAAGGGTGGTTTGTTACATTCGTGGAATCCAGGGCTCACGAGAGCTCCCTGGTTGGGTGTGATGCAATGCCGGAGATAAGATACAGCTCCAGGCCGGCTTCAGCGGCACCCCTCGATCGCGTCGCGGGGGCAGCGTGCCAACCAATCACTAATTAGGATGCTTAATTGAGTGGGTCTTAAAGGACGGAGAACGATGATCTGGGCGCCGGTGTTGCTGATGCCGAGAGATGGTTGCAAAGATGGAAGAAAATCGGCAAGTTCAATCGTGCTACGAGGTGTTGAAATACAGGTCTCTGACAAGCAGGGGAAAAATGATTGTGATGCGTGTGCACCTTCCTTCGATTACCTCACCCTCTAGGCTGTAGCCCAGCTGCTCGACCTCTTTCAATGTCTTCGACATCGTCGAGAACCTCAGCTCGAGCGCCTACCGGACCAGGCTAAAGGTCACACGAAACCGCCGCAACTCTACTGTGAAAAAATATGCCCCCAGCCCGACACCGACTCCATTCGCAAAGAAGTGGCCACCCATATCCATCTCTCACCGGCGGTAGGTAATCACCCTCTTCATCGGTGTCAGCCGATAAGGCGACAGGTTTCGGCCTCATTTTTGCCAGTCAAATATCGCCTCATCGCTACAGATGAACATGGTAGCATTCCGGTTGCACCGGAGCCGGAGGTGAGGTGGTGGGCAGGATCAACCGTGGCGTTTTTGTCCATCATGATGAACTCGACAGCCTCTCCGCGCATGAAGGCGTTCTCGGCTACGCTCAGGTTTACCGTGTGCCTCGTGTAGAATGGGAGCGTACGGCAACATGGCCATTGGGAGACAATGTGACGTATGGTAGGGATTATCAGCGTTGGTGTTGACAGGTAGCGGCGGCCACCAAGTCAATCGCCCAAAGCAAATGTCTTCTTCCCCGCAGCCCGAGCAGTGCCCGAGAGTGCAATGAAAAAGTGGTTTGCGTCGTCCAGAGGCAGTGTGATACTGGAGACACGGTGAGATTCAGGCTCGGCAAGCCGAGTGGACTGAGTCTCGAGGGACAAAAATTAATTTAATCAAATAAATCTACTCCGTAGAGCAGTTTCAGAGATTAAACTGAAAAGAACAGATACTACACTTGATCTAAGCCAAAAGGCAAAGAGAGCTAAAGAAGAAAAGAAAAGAGTTCCAGAATTCGGGAGCCGGGCGAAGAATATATAGGCAGTGTGGATGGTCTGTGCACGTCTGCAAGTGCACAAATTGGAGTTGCTTGCACGTGACCCATTTGTGGGTTGCCAGGGCTTTTCTCCTCTGGGTGTCTGGCTCGAAACCCATTGTCCACAGCCCCACATATTTTGAAAGAATAGGGGGTTTGTTTGTTTAGGTGCCACGGTGCTCAGGGGCAAGAACAGAAATCTCATTCTCCCAATCTAGCTCTAGAGTAACTACCTGACTAAAGCGCTGCTCTCCTGTGTTTCCTGCAGGTAAACATGCTCCGCGCGTTGCGTTATTGCCGTTGGATTGCGCCCTTGCGGGTAACTACAGCTTGCAAGTGAAAGCAAGTGAAAGCAGTTAATATTGCCATTGAGAAAACTACGATTGTTTGGCAAGAAAGGTGCCACAAACCCAGGCACACTGAGAAGTCTTTCTGAAAGTACCATGTGGACATTATATCCCATACTTGCCAGCGATCAAGGAGACTAGGATGTTTGACTGCGGCAGCCCACGCACAGTGCTGGGGGTGGCTATCTGAACGCTCACTGTAATCCAGAAATGATTCCTTTGGGTAGTTTCACAGGTCATTTTCCAGTCAAAGATGGTTTGTTGCTTTTGGACTTTATTGGGTCGCACTGAAATCGCCCTAAGATTAACAGCGTTGGGACCTAAACCTTTTACGCTGATGCTGAAAGGTTGCGGCAGGTCATCCCATTCTCTGCATTGAATGCCTAGAGAAACAATAAGATCAGATCTGAATGACAGATTCACATCGCTATTATCACAACCCCTCCTATTCCCGATCAGGACGATAGAAATACATTCGAACTTCTGAAGAATTCCGAGGGGCTCATGTGATCCAACCGCTTCATCTCTTTTCTCTCCTTCAACCCACCATCCTGGTCCCCGACATAGCTTCTTTGGCCGGGCAGTTTTGTTCCGCAGCTCACTTGAAGTTCCTTATTCAACAGTAAGCCTCAACTACACAACCCGCCAAGAAACAAGATGGCCAACCTTCCTCCTCGTCCCGTCTTCACCAACCTTGGTAATACCACGCCCACCTACAGCAACCGTCGAAAGTCAAACCCACCCAGCGGCGCGAACTCGAGAACTCCGCCCGGCTCCCGGCATTATCACCCCTACAACCGCCCCCCAAGTACTCCCGCTCGGGCCTCCCCCATCCCTCCCTGGCGCCGCGATAGAGCCCACCAGAACCACCGGTCATGGCAGCCAGGGCAGCATCACCCTCACCAAGGCGCGGTGAGCCCGTCTGCGGGTAGACCTGGGAATACCCGCCCCCCTCCGACTATCCACACCAACTCCAGCTCACCCAAACAGCAAACTATTCACCAGAGTGGCCCAGTGATGTATGGCACCAGCGTGCTTTCATCTCATCCGTCGAACACATCGAGGGACTCTAGGGGCGGTGCTGGTCATGAGAGCATAACCTGGGCTTCACCAAGCCGAGGCGCTCAGTCCATCCCCCATAGCAGCTCCAACCAAGCTTCCGCTTTTGTGGCTGCCACCGCCATGACCGAGCCTTCCCACCCAGTCGCGCTCAACATCTCCCGTCCAACCACCCCGCTCCAGCCCACCAACACCGTGACAACGCCCGCCATCAACCCCACAACCCCTACGACGAGCCCAACAGCAACCCGTCCTCCAACCCCACGACGCCCCTCCACCCCCTCCGCCACCGCGCCTCCCCCCTCGCCAACAACAACACCCCTCCCCGCCACCGCCACACCAAACAGCTCCAGCACCATAACCGTCACCCTCGGCGACGCAACCCGCACCCTCCACTTCCCCGCCGCGCTCCTCCCCAACTTCACCGCCTGGCCCCAACAACAACAACCCCCTCAGGCAGACCATCACCATAGTGCTGCTGGCGATGTCCCCACCACCACAACCATCGCACCCGCACCCGCACTCGCACCCGCACCCGCACCCGCACCTTCCGCCGCCGCCGTCGCTGCCACTGGCGCACCACACCAGCTACGGGCCGACCACCACCTCCTCATCAACCTCACCCCGCAGATGCGCCTCCTCCCGGGGGTGGTGGTAGGGGCAGGGGAGTGTGAGGCGGGCCTGGACGCGCTGGAGGTTTTGGTGCGGGCGATGGTGCGAGGGCGGGATGTTGTTGATGGGGAGAATCGGGAGGTGGATGTGAATGTGGATGTGGATGTGGATGTGGATGTGCTGTGGCGGTTGGCTGGGTTGAGGGAGGCGTTGGGGCTGGCGCCGGGGTGGGTTGCGTGGTTGAGGGGGTGCATGGGGCGGTTTGTGAGGGGGTTGGAGGGGTTTGGGGTGGTGGCTGGGTGGATGGATGGTTGGGAGGGGGGGTTGAATGGTGGTGATGGTGATGTTGTTGGGAGTGGGGTGGATGGGGAGGCGTTGGAGAGGGTGCTGGGTGTTTGTGAGATGTTTGGGTGGGCGGAGGAGTTGAGTGTGGTGGTGGCGAGGGCGGCGTATGTGTGGGGAGTTGGGGAGGAGAGGGAGACGGGGGACGCTGTTCTGGTGAAGCCGGACGGTGGCAGAGTTGATATGGCGGTTTGTGGGAAAGGGCCTGTTGGTGAGTTGTCCCCTTTTGTGTGTATGTTGGGAAGGGGTTACTGACTTAAACAGACGCCATTTTGGCTGCTCGCAAGAAGGCTCTCGAGCATGTCTTTGCCGCCGCCCAGCAGTCTCTCTACAGATGGACGGTTGGAATCGGCAGTCACCCCTGCGGTAACATTTCCTGCAACACCCGTCGCATTGCGGCCCTGAACACGTTTCTTCTCGGGTCCGGTCTCTACCCTCGCACCAAGTTGAGAAAGCCACTGCATGGTATTATCTCGGCGCTTCAATACATCACCGCAACCGACGCCGAGCTAGCGGCATTTGCCATTGAATACGGCCATGAAGATGAGTACGTCTGCGATAGGCTCCGCTGGGCCGCCCAAATACGCGAGGCGTACAAAGGCACCTGCACCCAATGTGATGAGAAGACACCCACCAGCATGCTGTTTCCTCTGGAGGACCTCCTCTATGATCTCACTTCCGAGTTGCAGGGCCACTTGGCGGCAGTTTCCTCTGGAGGACCTCCTCTATGATCTCACTTCCGAGTTGCAGGGCCACTTGGCGGCAGATGCTCACGCTCGGCGAAGTTGAAAGACACGGGATGACTGCTGAGTTGAATGGTCGAAGATTAGAATTGGGAATAGAAGACAGGACTGGTAATATGGAGTCTGAAGTTATGCTGTATGTTGGACGGGAGCGGGGTTGATCATCACTCTTACGACATAGGCATTTAGAACATGGCCTCCCATCTACATTAAGGATGACAAAACAATGACATCCTCACTTTTGGACTTGAGTCTTTGCCAAGTGGCTGTCAGGTGGGTATGTTGTTGAACGCAGAACACCTGACTAACAGACTCCCCTTTAACCCTTTTTTTCTCTTAGTTTTGCCTTGAAAAGCAGTTGACACTTCTCTCGGGCCAGACAAGAAAACACCTGGTACTTAGGTAGTAACGAGAGAAGAACGAAACTTCCTTACAACCCCCCCCCCCAACCTGGACGCGGCCCTCCTTACTCACGCCCCAAAACAGCCCGCACAATCGCCTCGCCCACGCCCTTCGCGCTCGCCGGGTTCTGCCCCGTAATCAGCTTCCCATCCACAACCACCTTCTCCCCCCACTTCTCAGCGGCTTTCTCAAACCGACCCCCCTTCCCCACCACCTCAACCAACCGATCCTCCAACGCAAACGGCATCGCCGCATCCAACCCCACGGCCTCCTCCTCGGCATTCGTAAACCCCGTCACGGCCTTCCCCTCCAAAAGCCCCTCCACCCCCACCAGCGCCGCCGGCCCATGGCACACAGCCGCGACCACCTTCCCCTTGGCCGCAAACTCCTGCACCAGCGCCTGCGACGTCGGATCCACAGCCAGGTCGAACATGGGCCCGTGGCCGCCGGGGAAGAAGAGCGCGGCAAACTCGTCGGCGCGCCCGAGGAAGGACACCAGCGGCTCGGTCGCCTCCCACAGCGCGTTGCGCTCCGTCAGGAAGCCCTGCGACACGGCGTCGTCGGAGGCCGCCTCCACCGACGAGGGGTCCAGCGGCGCCGGCCCGCCGGCGGGCGAGGCCAGGGTGATGCTGAAGCCTTGGGCGGTGAGGATGTCGTAGGGGTGGGCTAGTTCGGACTGGGGTGGGGTGTTAGACGCCTTGGGAGGTCACAGTGGGTGGGGATTGGATGAGGGGTAAAGGAGGGGAGGGGGGAATGAGTGGGGTGGTGGCATACGAGATACCAGCCTGTGGGCTTGCCGGTGTCGCCCAGCTTGTCGTGGGAGGTGAGGACGACGAGGACCTTGGGGGAGTCGGACATCTTGGTTGTATGAAGTGTGGATGGATGGTTCGTGTGGGTAATATGCGTTGATATGCTAAATTTTGGGTGTTTATGTTGTGTGTGTGTCGAGATGGTAAGCTGCAGTGACTGAGTGGAGGTTTGTGTGTTGATGTTTTCCAGACGAACTCTTCAAACCCCAATGATGCCAGCCGTCTTGCTCTTTATACCCACCGACGTCAACCCAAGGTGCCAAGTCATCAATACCCACCCCACCTTCAACCCCCTTTCTCGTCACCTCCTCCGCATACATCACCATGAAGGGCAGCGTAGCAACTGCAACCTGAGGACTTTGGACATATCGAATAAGATTCGCCAACCCGATCCCACCGCAGCTGTGTTCGAGCACATCATCAAACTTGAAACCCTCGCCGCTCATCGGGTCTTCTACAATCCATGGGTCGCCTCTCCTGGTTGTGACATGTTGCACTCGAGGCTTGTCCGAGACTGCGTGACGTCATGCAGGGGACTGTCGATGATCGCCATCCCCAACCCGGATTCCGGACCCGACCCCTCGATGGAGCCAGTCAAGCGGGCCGGATCGTCGGATGTGGGCCTTGATTCGGCATGAAAGCCGTTAAGAGCACAAACGGTCTCGGGAGTGACTCCTGGTCGGAAGCCGATCCGAACCAAAGCTTCGGAATCGTCGCATAGTGGTCGTATGTAAAGCCGCTCGGTAAGACGTATTCTACATTCCTGGCACTGACTGCACCGCACTACAGTATCGGAGGACTTCCACGGGTCCTCGGGGCTGACCTGACCGCTTCTTGCTGTTTGACTGTGTAGCAAGATCCCTCAAGAGCCACGTTGGATGACTGGCATCCGTACCGCCTGCTTTGGATACGGCCGTAGCCAAATTTATGTCATCCTCGATGGGTTGACGAGCGTGCCCGTTTGAGGTGAGTTTGTAAGAGGCCGCGTAAGATAAGGGGGTGTTTCTCGTCCAAAGCTTGCCCGTTTCACGAGGTGTCGTGGCGGCAGCATCGGTCCAGGCACCAACAGTGCTAACCATGTCGTCGGCTGGCCCAACCGATGTATCGGCGCCGGATATTGCGAGGCGAGGCATATCCACGACATGTGCTTGTGTCGTGCAAGTGAAAGCCAACCGCACCAGCACCCTCACCGCCGTCGGTTCTAGCGTTGCCACCGTCGTACCCTATTCCACGACACAGGTGGTTGACAAACTGCTTGGGACCTGGGACCTAACCAGTTAGCCTTCTAGCAACGTGGCTGCTGCTACCGTGACACCGGACAAACCACCGTCTTCTCGGTTGAAGTGGTACGGTGCCTCATTTTCGGATGTCCGTCTGCCGTGCTGTGGTCCAGAGGTTATGCTGGTTTCCAGGTCACCAAACTGGCCAAAGCGAGCCAGGGCTGCGGTCAACATCATCCTCATTATTTCATGCGTGCATGGATACGAATATCCGCTGCCAACCCCACAAACAAACAAACAATATATACACGTCTCCAAGTAGTCCTCAATGTGTATCCAAACCGCACACCCACCCACGAGCTCAAACCCAAAATGCATGCTCGCTTCCCAAATAAAAATGCAGGTTTTTCCAACGCCGCCAACACGCCCAATTTGCTGAACGCCGCCGCTAAGCAAGCCCATCCCTCCCTCCCCCCACCCCTCACATCCACATCAAATTCCGACTCTGCCTCCTATTCTGCTGCCACAACGGCCGTCCCTGCCCCGACCCCTCACTCCCCACCGTCCCCCCCTCATCAGCACCACCCCCACCACCACCAACAACATCCTGATACCCCCCCTGTTGCTGCTGGTACTGCGACTGCTGCTGCTGCTGCTGCTGCTGCAACCGACTCAACCGCCGCCCCTCCTCATCCTCCTCATCCTCCTCCCCGATCCTCCCCAACGCCGCATGGAACCCCTGCGAGAAGTCATCCATCTCCCGCACCCCACCCACACCACCACCACCACCACCACCACCCTGCCCCCCCGCCGCCGCCCCCGTCAGCGGCACCTGATCACTCTCCAAGTGGCGCTCGGCGCCGCGATTCAGCAACAGCGGGCTCATGCCCATCATCAGCCCGGACCCGCCCGCGTACGCCGCCGGGCCGTAGCCATACCCCTGCTGCTGCTGCTGGCCCATCCCCCCCATCCCCGCTCCATTTGCTGCCGGTACATTGTTCGCCAGATTCTGCTGCCCATCCCCCCCGCTCAGACCGCCGGATGAGGAGGGCGGGTAGGACGAAGACGCGGCGGAGGCGGCGCCTGCCGAGGAAAGGCCGGCGCCGCCGGCGACACCGCTGATGGCCGAGTGGCTGTAGGCGAGCGGGGTGTCGAGGTCGTGGTGCTCGACGGGCGAGACCTCGCTCTGGAAGGGCATGGGCGGGGCGGTGGCTAGTGGCGGGAGCATGCTCCGGTTGGCGGTTCCCGGGGGCGCGCTGGCGGCTGCGCCTGCGGCGGCGGCGGCTGCTGCGGCGGCGGAGGTGGTGGCGGCTGGGTTAGTGGACATTTGGGGTTGTTGCGGGTGGTATTGTTGTTGGTATTGTTGGTGTTGTTGTTGTTGCTGGTCGAGCACGCTCCCCGCGGGCCCGGTCTCGAAGGCGTCGGTGTCGTCGTTTGCGAGGGCTGCGAAGCCCGTGCCGCCGCCGGGTTGTGGCGGGCTGATGACTTTGCCGCGGAAGCCGCCCGGTCCGGGGCCCTGGCGGACGTTGGCGTTGCGCCGCCGCAGGAAGAAAAAGACTAGCGCTACCAGCGCGATGACCACGGCTAGGCCGCCGATGGTGCCGCCCACGATGGCGCCCGTGCGAGGGCCGGTGTCGGTTGCCGGCGGGGCGGCTGCGTCGCTGTTCTCGGTTGCGGTGGGGGAGGCCGTCGAGTCGGAAGCGGACGCGGGGGAGGCTGACGAGCGCGCGGATGCGGTGCTAGCCCGGCTGGACGGGGTGCCTAGCGTGGTGGGTTCGCTGAGGATGCTGATGCCTTCGGTGTACGAAACGCTAACGGTGGGCCGGTTGAGGATTGCTGTGATTCCGCTGGCGCTGTTTTGGACCGTGGCGGCCATGTCGCTTGCGGTTCCGCAGCCGTACTGGGAGAAGCCGCCCTCGAATTCGTTCATGTAGCAAACGGCGGCACCTGTGCAGCTAAAGACGTAGGGGTTGACCTCGGTCTGCGCGCCGCTGTTCCCGTCCACGCACCCCGTGAAGACACCGGCCGTGCATGACGGCGCGCCGTTCGGACAGCAGCCCACCACGTTGTGTTCCGTATCGACCACGCAGTGAGATCCTGACCCGCATGTCGCGGGCAGTTCTAAATCCCCGTTGACATAGCCGCAAATAGTGTTAAAGCTGTCGTCTAATTGCCGGCGACGATAGGCGAAAAGGTCGGCTCCTGGTGGCGGGGTAGGTTGTATCGGCCATGAGACGACATTGAGAACATGGTGAGGAAGGGTTATCGTAGGTTCGGGCGTCTGCCTGGGTAGTTTGTGGAAAGCATGGGCGTCTGTTAGTTGGACGAGACTCGACAACAAGAGAAGCGCAGTCGGCTGTGGCAGCGAATCGAACATGTCGAGTCTCATGGTTCCCGTCTTTCGCGGTTAGCGTAAGATGGGTAGTGGGGGTTTCTTCGGATCAGCTCCAGGGCGACCGGGAGGTAAGGTACTCCGCTTGCGCCGGAAGCACTGTGTTTTCCGCGATGATGCAGACTAAAAATGCCGAACCAGAATCAGGAAGAAAAAATCAGAATAAAAAACCGGGAGGCGTCTCCAGTAGTCAAATACCAGGCGAGGGAGACGGCAAGAGACGAGGAGGGTGCAGAGCGCGAGGGATGGAGCGAGAGGCACAGTGGCGCCGGGTCATCATGTATGCTGGGTTCTGCAGGTTTGACAAGGGTGTCCCTCTTCGGGTGCCCTTGGCCCCAGCCCCGGAGTCCCTTGCAGTCCTGGCGGAGCAAGGATGTGGCATGTCGTGCTCGCTTTCCCGTTGACGGGGACCTGAATCCAACAACGGAGCTTGCTGCGACGAAGCGCAATGTAAGTGGCTGTTACCTCTCTCTCGGTTCATCTCGACTCAAGTCTTCCGAAAGAAACCCACGTTGAGGCCCCGCAAGCCATTCCTGCCGCAGATACGCATCGCAGTACGGTAACTCACATTAGCGCGCTGCCGCCGCTGCCGGGTCGCTTTAGACGGGCCTAGCTTCACATCGGATTGATTCCCGCCGACTGGCTTGCCTGTCGTCCGGTAACTGCACTCGGTGGCTTTTGATATGCGTGCGGTGATGGATTTACATCCGGAACCCGGATGTCTGGGTCATGAGTCGTATTGAAACGCGCGGAAAGCCTTGGGCCCGGAATGTGCCACCGGGTGTTGCCCCCAACCTTTCCCGCGCGGGGCAAACCCAACGACACTGCCGCCAACAAGCGCCGGCAAACTTCCTGCAAGCGCGCCAGTTTGGGGGAGTACGAAGTAAGCCGGACGGACTGCCTCGGGAGTGGTATCGAGTGCAATTTCCGTTTGTGTAATTCGGTGTTCCAATTGGCCTCGCCACTCACTCCCACTCACTCCCTTGAGCGTATTCCTTCTTTTCATTTTCATCCACAGCGTCTCATCTTGGTATTGGAGATTCGTGGGCGCTTATCAGACGACAAACTCGTGCTTGCGCAGTCCCAAGTCCTGCCGTGAAAAGAGAGCAGGCTGTGCTGTTCTTTTGGTGTGGAAGTGTCGTCTTTTTTTAGACGGTTTTCATGAAAATGCGTTGGTGGCGGTGCCCCGCCATGGTCCGCAGCCGCCAATCGTTCCAATCCCGGAGTGGGCCCGCTGTCCTGCATGTCGATCAAGGAAGACGAGATTCCATCGAGATGGAATGGATGGCATCTGGGGATCTGAAGACGACAGACAACAGCTCTTGAAGATTTCCAGCTTCCAAACACGCCAAAACTTGAGCGACTTTTCTTCCCGTCACAAGTTTCCTTCAGGAGCTGGTCACATTCCTACAGCGATCCACTCTTTTCTCCTGCTCATCAAACCAGGCCGTCAGAACCTCAGCTGTGCCGCAATTGTGGCCCGCCACCGCGTGTTCCTCCCCGCGATGTTACCGTCGCCCTGCAGCAGCAGACGCGCGCTGGTGGGGTTCCAGATTTTGGCCCGATACGAGAAGATCCTGTTTAACGTGGGATTCCAATGTGTTGAATCGCTGGAGGAGAAATCAGGAGTTTCTCGCCAATTCGCGCTTGCCGTGTGGTGTAGTTGCTACCTATCATGATTCTTGAGATCTTATGTCGACACGAGACAGATCTGACTTAACCCCTGCCTACTTATTCAGCCCATCTGTTCATTTGAAGTACCTATTTGTGTGCTGTTGTCTGTGGGGGTCATCGGGGTAGGTGCTGGGGCTCAGGCGCAGCGACTCGATACTTATTATTGGGTTGTTTTTTAGCTCGAAGAAACAACCAAGTTACTTGTAGAATGACCCCTTTCTCTTTTCCACCGCCGGCCGTAGAGAGCGGTCATGGAGGTCATCGACCCGGGTGGCCAGATCTCGTTACTGCGAAGAATATGAAGGCCATATGGCAAGCCGTCGTGGGCAACACCATGCTGTAAGAGCGGGTGTTCGAGTCTGTATCAATCCCTCGCTCATCGGATGCCCATAAACAGGGCAATGTTAGCCACGGTCTTTTAAAGAATCGAAGTCCAGACGAGAGTGCAGAAGGTACCTACCTACATGGCCCGTAAAATTTGGAAGGCCCTCAGCCCGTTTTCAATTAACTTCATCTGATGTAATGATAAAGATAGCAGCCGAGTGTGTAACACGAAGCACAGCCACCGAGGGAGGTTTATCTGAGAATTACCTACATACCTGTCAAAATTACAGTACGATTTATCCCAAGTGCGCCGTTCTTTGAACACCTGGAAGAACCGATCACAAGTAGCTTTCTGCCATTGCTATGAAGTTTACCTTTGGGCCTGCATCATATAGCGAAACCTAATCATGAGATGAACACACCCTGCGATAGAGTGCTTGTTTGGCTGTCGCGGGTTAGAGACTGAGTCTGTGGGTTTCGTGTGTCCGCGAGTAGCTGAATGATATCCATTGTCTGATGATGGTTTGATAAAATGTATTCCTCAACAAAGATCAAACTTGTTACATCCTGTTACGTTACGGACTAGTGACTGGGAGGTAAAAGTTGCGAGCTAAAGCCAAACAGTACCGAGGCTAGGTCTGGTATTGACGGTCTTGAGACCCAAAATGCGCATTTTCCAACTTCGACTCACTACACTGGAAGGATAACTCAACGACTAACCATTCCGCCGCACACTCAGTTACCTACGACGCCGCATTAATAGCATCGACATGATCAGTCACCAGGCACGTGGCCAGCTCCGACCCGTAGTAGACCGTGTTGCCGTCGTCGTGCGTCTGGCCCGAGCTCAACTGGTCACCCCATTGCCAGAAGAGGTCGCCCGATATGCCGTCGGCGGCGAGCGCGAGGGAAGCCTGCTGCCAGGGCTTCTGGATGTCGCAGCTAGCCTTGGCGCCATCTGGTAATTCGTTAACCTTTCGCCCGTGGGGAGAGAGAGGGGGTGAGTGGGGGTGAGTGAGATGTGTGGGCTCCTTACATTCTTCCAAGAGGCAGGGCTTGCCGGCGGCCTTGCAGGCGGCGGCGTGGCTCGTGATCCAGCCCTCGCCAAATGTGTACGGGACACCCCCTAATATGCAGTTAGTTGATGGTTGGGTATCAATGGGTGAATGGTTGAAACGCACAGCTGTCGGGATACATGTGGAACGTTGCAAAGTCCAGATCCTTGATGTCCAAGTTCTTGACGAAATCCGTCCCCTCAGTGTACTGGTACGGGTAAGTAGTGTCACCCGGGATCCCAAAGCCCTCGTCACCCAACGTGATCATGTGGCTCGAATCCAGGCTCCGGATGTAGGCCGAAATGTCCGTCGCCCACTTGTAGATGATATCAGTGCTGCAGCCCTTGCAGCGGGGTTCGTTTGCCAGCTCCCACGCAAACACGGCGTCCGACGCTGAATAGCGGCTGACGACGGCCTCGATGTACTTCTTGTACTGGGCTTGGGCATCGGCATTGGTATACCAGTTTTCCTTGGTGCCGCCGAAGGCTTTGACGTAGGCGTTGATGCCGCCGTAATCGTCCCAGTAGTTGACAAAGTTGATGATCAGCTTGACACCGCGCTGCTCGGCCGACTGAACCACGTAATCTAGGCGCTCCAGGCCGTCCGCCCCTGTGTTGATCTGCGAGCCGGATGAGGAGAGGAGCTGGAACCAAACGGTGCCCGCTCCGGGCTTGGTGTTGACATCGTTAAAGCCCCAAACGCGCAGGATCTTGAGACCGGAGGACGCGATGTGGTCGAGGGTGGTATCAACATCCTTGTCGTTCGTCAGGAAGCCGATCCAGTATGAGTTGGTGCCCGCGAAGTAGCCCGTCTTGCCATCGATTGAGAAGCGCGTCCCGTCCACGGTAGATGAGGCTGCCGCCCGTGCTGAGGGGAGAGCTTGCGCCGCGGACAGTAGGCCGAGGCCGAGGGTGAAGATAGCTTTCATAGCTGTAGTAATTGTGATGCTTGATCTAGTTTCCCAGGGGGCCTGTCAACGGAGAAGGCAAGAACAGCCTCTGAGCACCGTGCTCAGAGCATCCCATTAAGTACTCGCCAAAGCAGCCATTATGTCCTGCACTATGATGGTGTCGAATACTTCATAATGGCAGTTTCTGGTGATGATTTACTCTGAGGGGCATGGACATATGGAAAATCCCCCCCTGATAGATTAGCCCGGCTTCGACCGCGGAAGGGAACGACCCGCTTCTCCAACGAGGGGAAACCCCAAACATGGTTCCTATTTCGGAAGAGGGAAAATGCGTAGGCACGCGTAGGTAGGTACCTAGTTACCTAATAAGGCTTTGGAAGAAAGAAGGAAAACCGACAACGAAAAAACAACAACAACACAGGAACAATTGGATACACAATCCTCGTACAGCAGCACGCTGTGACCGACCCAGAACTTGACGCAGAGGAATTGTTCTGGTGTTTGAACTTGGCCAACCTCGGCTGGCCACACCTGAAAGTGGCACATGGAGATCAACGGATGCCGGTGTCCAACAAAGGGAAGAGGGGTTGTTTCAAATGGTAAACATTGGGATTGGCCAATCCGAGAACGGCCATGCGAACTGCCCGTTGCGCACGCTGCCAATTGCTCAGCTGACCAGATTTATGTGGCGACGGCGCAATGCAAAGCGAGCCCTGAGGGCGGCGGGGTGATTCGCAGTCGCCGTCTTGATGGTCCATGGATGGATTGGACGAAGTTGAAACGGTTAGTTTGTGGTGGGCAGTTTTAGCGTGGTGCCCCCTGAGAAACCCCCAACCCGCCCACTCACAGGAGGTCGGCCAGACACGGGTGGCCCTGCAGGAAACAGCCAAGACAGGGAAGGCGCAGCCCACCACGCCCACGCAGGCAGGCTCGCAAGGTCCAGGCCCTGTGCCAGGATTCTCCAACAAAACATGGATCATCCAACTGACGACGACATCACATTCCAGATAAGGCAAGTTCCATCCCCTCTTTCACCGGAGCTTCCTCCTCCTCCTCCCTTTCTTTTCCTTCTCGCTCGGTGGTGACAGGATCCGAGGAGCCGGGCCGAGTCTCATTTACGGAATTATTTTTACTTTCCCTTCAAGTTAATTACACAGTACCTGCCCCCCAACTACCGAGGTACATAAACCACTTGCAGCTGTTCGCGATGCCGATCCGCGTCAAGTCGAAACCTGCACAGGGTTCAGAACCGTTGCGAACCCCTTCGCCCACGGGTTTCCATCGCCAAGATCGTCGGATTGCGGAACTCCCCGACATCCACGATGATGACTGCTTCCGGGTGCTGGTCAAGAAACTATCCGTCTATATCGCTAGTATCATTCAGTTGCCCTTGACTTTTGAGCAACTCAGGACCACTGGCGCCGGCGACAGTCTGCCCGCCTTGGTTGACCACCTGGGTCGCAATTGCACTCATCCCGCCATTGTGAACGCTTTGCTGCAAGTGACTTGACTCTGTTTCACTGCCTTGCTCTAGACGGTATGCTGATGCCTTTGCAGTGCCCTAAAATGGCATTACGGCGCCATCACAGAAGACAAAGGGCTGCACGAGGCTCGGGCTAACGCCTGCGAGATCGTGGCCTGGCGCTTCTTGACCCATCTGTCCGAGAGGGAGGCTGTTGACTATTGCCTCTACGAGATTCCTGACACCAAGGACGTAGATACGAGTCCCACCGATGAGGAGGCCGCCGTTGACGAGCGCAGCTCTCTCCTAGGCCGGGCCCTGCGTGACACTGCAAATTCGGCCCGCCAGGCTTTCAGCCCGACAGGGGCCAACAAACGCAACATGCTCCTGCATTCCATCTCGCGCCTTACCATGAGCATGACGGCTGACCTTGACGATGACGAGGAGGAGGATGATCCTACCGCGCACTTCACCAACCTCAATGCCCTCGAGATCGCCGCCATTGCTGACGCCAAGCGCTTTCTCAGCCAGGGCATCGTCCAAAAGATCATTACGGGAATATGGAACGGCGATATCATCTTCTGGGATTCCCTCTCCGTCCACTCGGTCAAGAAGCCGCGCTTCTACAAGCCCACCACCGCCGACCCCTTTTCGCGCCTCCGCGTTCCCAAGTACCTCAAATCCTTCGAGGTCCTCTTCTTCGCCAGCTTCCTGTTCCTCTACTATGCCGTGCTGATGGAGCGGGACCCTACGCGCATTACTACATTGGAGGTCTTTTTGTGTCTCTGGCTTGCTGCCTTTGCCTACGACGAGCTGAGCGAGTGGATAGATGCTGGGTCGATCTTTTATGCTGCAGATGTTTGGGTAAGCACATGCCATTCGTTGGGTTGGTTGGGTAGGCGTCAAGACTAACACGAACCCAGAACATTTTTGACATGGCCATGATAGCAATTGGCTTCACCTACTTCGTTTTGAGTATGCCACCCTACCGCTCGCCTGGCTCCCTCACTGACCTTCGTAGGGATTGTTGGGTTGGAAACCGGCAACGCTCGCCTCGTTGACCTCGCTTTTGACGTTCTGGCTCTCGAGGCGCTCTTCATGGTCCCTCGCGTCTTTTCCATCCTTAGCCTGAGCCCGTACTGGGGGGTAAGTTACTTTCTCGCGGTTTACCAAGTCGAAGCTAACTCGCCTAGACCCTCATCCCTTGCCTGAAGGAGATGGGTAAAGACTTCCTCAAGTTTATGGTGCTTGTTGTCGTCATCTACCTCGGGTTTCTCACCACCTTCTCTCTGGTCGGCCGCGATTCCTACTCCCTCAACAAAATGGCTGGCTTCTTAACACGCATCTTTTTCGGATCGAGCGGTGTCGGCTTCGACATCATGCACAACATCGACCCCATCTTCGGCCCACCCCTGATGATGCTCTTCGTCACGCTCAGCTCCATCCTCCTAACGGGCTCCCTGACGGGTATGCTCTCTAACTCGTTCTCGCGCGTCATCACCCACGCCCGCGAGGAGTACCTCTACGTCTACAGCGTTTACGTCCTGGAAGCATCAACTTCCAATCGCCTAACCCACTTCTACCCGCCCTTCAACCTCCTCGCCCTCGTCATCTTCCGGCCGCTGCGCCTGTTCCTCCCGTCGGACAACAAGTTCCGCAAGGCCCGCATCCTGCTTCTCAAAGCAACCCACCTCCCCATCGTCGCCGTCATCGAATTCTACGAGTGGCTGCACGGCACCGCCGGCAAGGGGACGCAGTACACCGGCTTCCGCGGCCCGCGCCACGCCACCATCGCCAGCCCGAACCCCTCCCGTCGGCCGCACCACCAACACAACAAGCACCAGCACCACGCACAACCCCCCGCCTCTCTACGCGGCGACCTCTCCTCCGCATCCACGCTCACCCTCCCCCGCCCGCCACCGCCCCACGCTACCGCCTCCACCCTCTCCACCACGACGGCGGCCGCCGAGCCGTCGGCATCCTCTTCCTCCTCCGCGCAGCAGTACGAGCCGGCGCCCGAGGCCGAGGCGCGCATCGCCGACCTCGCCGCCAAGATCGACCGCCTGACCGACCTGGTCGTCGCCATGCAGGCGCAGCAGACCCGCGGCCTGGCCGACGTCAGTCCCGGGCCTTGATGCTTTTCGCTTACCGCTTACCGTTGCCGGCAGGGAGGTACCTACCTAGGTAGGCGGATGGGGGGGGGGGGGGGGGGGGGTTGTGGTCATTTAGTTGGGTTTTGGCCATATCTATCTGTGTCTGCGTTTATCCCAACCGTTCGTCTGTGGTCTTTGTCGTTTTGTTTTGGTTAGAGAGGGGAGAGGCATTCATGAGCAATCATTTTGCGTGGTGTTGTGGGCATTGCGATGTGTTTAATCACTTGGCTTATTTCTTTTGGGATACATGTCAGCGCTGGGTGGTTTGCAATGTTTTCTATGAAGGGAGATTGAGCTTATGGTAAACATGGGATGCGAATAATATTTGTTGATTCGGCAGTCTGCAGTATTGTAATGCATTGGTGTGATTTGACTCCAGGTTGAACAACGTAATAGGTGTTAGTTCAATGTGATGCGTCGAAGGGAGCAGTCAGAATGGGCCATATCCCCGTGGCAGCCAGCCCTTTTCTTTACCTTCTCCAGTCATGAGAAAATGGGAAACGCAAGACATCTGTGACGAGCGTACTCTCGCGGCTAGTACGGTGCTTCAAAATCAGTCCCATGGTTCCTCAGATACACACTAGAATTACACCTGCCTAGGGCTGCGCTTCTGCCACTAAGCAACGCTAAAAGATCTAAGACAGATCATACAAAAAGCTAATGGATACATCATTCATAACCTCGTGTAGTGTGCCATATCACCACATATCCCGCCGTTCCTCCTCGTGTATGTATATATGTCCCCCAGTTCTCACCCTCCGCGTTTGTTGCATCTGGCATTACATTAGTACAAAATCCTTGTTATTTTGTTAGTATACATGAAACAAATATGGTATCCAAAAAAGAAAACATCTTTTTCCTGCTTCCCATTAGCCAAAACAGGGAGCCCGACTCCCGTGCTAGTACCCCTCCCGCGGCCCGTGGTGTCCTCCCCCAAACATATTATCATTACCCCCCGTGCCATGTCCTCCCCCAACGGCGTACCACTCCACTTGGTCCGTAAATCCGTGTACCTCGTTGGGGCTGGGGGAGGGTTGGAAGGGCCCTCCCTGTCCCGGGCCCGCAGTATGGAAAACATGGTGATGTGGAGCCCCCGTGACGGGGTGTATGCCGACGGGGGACGGTTGCGCGGCCATATCGTCCGGCATGGTCTTGTTGCAGCTCGGGCAGTACATATTGGCGCACCTCCCCGCCGGGTGTGCTTCAACTAGCGTCTGGCTCGAGTCCCGATTTTCGTCGCGATTCCAGAGGAGACTGGCGAGCGAGGATCTTGGAGTTGTAGACATGGTCAACCGGTTTGCTTGAATGGTGGCCGCTGACTGTGGGCGCGGGTCGACATCGTGCTGCATCGCGTCGGGTGACATGGTCTCGGATTGCTCCGACCCTAGATATGCGGCGGCTTGGACGTCGAGTTGGTTCGGGTGGATGGAGCCGTAGTGGCCAGGGGTCATCGCCGGATGCTGGAAAACATCACCTGGGCTGGTGTAGGGAACAGGATAAGCGGTGGTAACTGTAACCGCCGGGGTTTCCCAGCTCGTATGATAGGGTTGACCTGGGTTGATACCCTGGGTGGTTGATGGCGCTAAGGGAACTGACTGGCTCGGGAGGACCGTGGGAGGCGGTCTAAAAGCATTGCTGACGACTCTTGACTGCGATTGAGGTGTCCGTGCTCGTTGTATTGGCAATGGTATTTGGGTCGGCGCTGGGGCCTTGGGCAGGATTTCGGGCCGCTTGATTCGTTTGGGTGGCGGGTTGGGACGTCTCCTAGCAGAAGTGCCCCTGAGGCCAGCGGGAGCTGGCGCGCCGGGACTTTCGGCCCCAGGCAGGGTACCGCTCGTGGCGGCGGCAGCATTACCAGGCACAACTGTGGTTGTTGGAGCGGGGGAAGGAGGGAGGTGGGGAGTGGAAGCCCAACTGTCGCTCGTGGCCGGTTGGCTGATGGCTGAGCTCGTAAAAAGCGAGACCGTTCCAGCTATCCTCTGTTCCCAATCCTGCACCACGGTTTCGATCCAGTTATAGATCGATCCCGTGCTCCGTTCAATGCCTTGACGGATCTTGAGCTCAACATTCATCACTTCGGTGGCTCCTCCGAGGACGTGATGGTACTGAATACCAAGGAGATCGCTCAGCACAGCCAGAAATTTCTTGGACTCTGCAACAAAGTCATATATCTCCATTACCGGGACGAACACTGCTCTGCGTTAGACGTCTTCTGCTGACAAGAGTGACACGACAATGCCTACCTGGATCGGGGATGGTTCGATCAGCTGGAAAAAGGAGTTTCCACAATGAGACCCAGTTGTCGATCTTGGCTTTGAGGCTCCTGGCTTCCAAGGACGAGATGATTTTCTGGGTAATCCCATCCTCGGGGTCCGCGCCGCCACTGTCAAACGAGACGTGGCAAACGTCCACCTGGCGTAGATGCGAATCTAGATCGGTTTTCGAAACGAACCCCTGACCGCATCGAGGGCAATGAAAAAGGCCCGCGTTTCTCTGAACGGGAGGGTGGTGGGCGCGGATATGTTTTCTACGGCGGGGTTAGCGGAGAAGTCCAGTCTCGAAATTTGGTAGGCTCACTTCAGTTGGGACATGTCGGCAAAGGAATGTGTGGCGCAGACGTAATAGTCTCGCACGTTGAATCGTAGGGGGTTGCGTTTCCGATAGGGACAGCTGAAGTTGGTGGTGTTCCCTTTAGTGCTGTATGCCTGCGAGGCCGGGGAGGCATCTCTCTCTTCGTTTCCTTGGTTGTCTCGGCCACCAAACCCGCTTCCGTCATCGCTGCCCCCGTCCGCCTTTCTCTTCCCTTTCCCATGATGCCCGCCGTGTTGCTGATCGCCACTTCCCGGGCCTGGGGTGCCACCGTAGTGAGGCGACGGAGTGCCGTGACCGGACGTCGACTGAACAAAGCCAAGGTTGCCCTCGTGGGATGCGGTCCAGAGTTCTTGAAGATAGCGGTAGGTGCAGTCCCAAACCAAGAGTGGGGCAGCGCAGTCATCCATATCCTTGCCGAACGTGTTCCTCAGGACCCACGATGAGATCTCGTCAACCAGCTTCGCCTCCTCATCCTCACCATCCGGACCTTCACTTTCACTGTAGGTCCCGGAGGCGCCATGGTTAGCCATGCTTGGCGGGGCAAGTTGAATCCTGTTTCAAGCGTGAGCAGACCTGTCACCAAAAGAGACGGTTACATCTTGCAGCAAGCAGTACGCACCTGCTGGTTTGCTTCCTTGGCTTCCGGTGAGGGGCAATGGGCGCACCGTCGTCGGTATCATCGACCTCGATGCGGATCTCCCGAGAGAGGCGGGACTCGGCACGGCTGCACTCGGACTGAGTGTTGACGTAAGTGGTGGAGGAAAGGAGCGAGTCGATGGAGCCGATGCCACGGTTGTGCTTCCGGAAGGAGGCATCATCCCCATCCTTCGCGGCCACCTTGCCGTGAGTGTCTATGAGAACGAGGTGAGGGCGGCTGGCCTTGGCGGACTCTGGCGTCATGGACTTGGAGGCTGCTGGGAAGCTGGCCATGGTCGGACTGCTCGGCGGGGTGGTGCCGGAGAGCGACAGGGCATCGGCGGCGGCGGGGTGTCGCCTGGGGTCGGCCTCGGAGTCGTGGTGCCGGGCGGTCACCGTGTCGAGGTCGGCGGCTGCAGTCTTCCGCGCGAAGGCTGCATCGTTCCGAGGGCGATAGGGAATACAGACGACCGGATCGTTGCCCAGCTTCTGTGCGACGCGCCGGGACACAGGGGACCTGCCCCTGGCACCGGGTTCCATCCTATAGCTCGGCCCTTAGAACTCGAATCCGACGAGTAGGGGCGGCGGCGGCGGCGGCAGCGGTAGCAGCGGCAGCAGCAGCAGCAGCAGCAGCAGCAGCAGTCAAAGCCAGCAGAGAACGCGCTCCACCTGAGGCCGAGGCCCCGCGACGTCTCGAACCCGGGCCCCCCTCGATGATGCCCCGGCAAAGGCCGTGGACGGGGCTCCGAGGACAGCAGCGGTTGGGGCAGCGCGGACCTGGACCGCTCAAGCGCTGGGTGCGCTGGCTGCTGCGACGTGGGACCTTGTCGCGGCTTGTTAATTTGTTCATGCGAAAAAGCGATAGAAATGAGCGACTGTAACGAGCGTGTGTGCGAGTGTGCGCGCGGGTGTGCGCGTGTATGGGATCTGTAATGAACGAAGGGCCACTCGCATGACAAAGGAGAGGGAAACCGAGAAATTGGCCTTGCTCCCCCGCGACTGACCGATGCTGGGCACCTCTCAGCGTTCTTCAGTTGGATGTTGCCAGAGTGAGCGAGCCTCGTGGTTGCCCCCCCTGAGCAACCGCGACGTGTTTTAATTTCGATCGTCCCAATCGAGAAGTCGCAGCTGTGGCGCCAGAGCCAATTAAAGGAAGCGTCAACCGCGGGGCTGCCATTGGCTCAGGCAGGCGTACCTGAGCCTCGCCGCCTTGGCCCTGGCTCGAAACCCGATACAGCGATGGTCTTCCCGCCGTGCACAGGCCAGAGGGTCGCACCAGCCATCGCATCTCAGATTGGAGATTCCGGGGGACACATGATTCACCAAGGCGGCCTCTGATTTCGAACTTTATCTGATGTTTCAGGCGGGTTCGGATCGGCCGTCAGGACCCACATTTGACTTCACTGCAAACTTCGTTTATTGACTCCTATGTACATAGAAACATTTCGGCTCTGTAACTACGTACTTGGGTGCCTCCATTGATGTTTGCTGTTGTCTGGCGAGGGGACCACATTCGTCCGTCTGCCTCAAAAAAGCCATCAAGGTTCTTTCATTGTCCCTTGCGGTCCGAGTGCCGAGCGTAAATGTCAAGTGTCTCAAATGCATTCCTTCTACCAGCCATCCACCCCAACATTCCCGTGTTTCCGCGACAAGAAGACGCAGGGGACATGACATGACAGACATAACTACCCGACATCCAACTTGCTATCTGCATCTGCAGCTGCAGCCCCAAGTTACAACCAGCCATGAAACAAGCCGAGGCCGTGCCACCGCAGCCGAGCCTCGAACCCACATTTGGCAGACGCAACCCCCCCAGGTTTTTTCCTTCTAGAAGGTGGGACCAAAAATCAGGCCCGAACCCGCACCAAAACTGCAAAAGTTCTGTGACAAGGGTGAGATTCGAACTCACGCCCCATTACTGAGACCAGGAAATCTATTGAGATTCGCTAATTCAGGTGTTCCTGAACCTGGCGCCTTAGACCGCTCGGCCACCTTGCCGTCGACTGTGGGAATGCTGCATGCGGAGGTCCCAACGTCAACGGCACAACCGTGACCGACAACGTACACCACACCAACGCACATGTGGCATGAGCAATATGATGATTCGAAACTCAGAATATCCCTAGTTGAAATGAGATTTAATAATCTGTGAGACTCGCCTGTCACAATCCCGAATCAATCCTCGTCCAGGCGGACTTTGAGGCGACGATAGTATTACGAAACTCTCCTTGGGCCTGGTTAAAGTGAACACTGAAAACACCATTGCAAAGCTCAAACCACCTTCCGCAGCACGTATTCGTCGAGTCCAACCTTGCTCTGCCCACCATTCGTCATGCGAGCACACCTCCCGGCCGTACTGCTGCCACAATGCCATAACTACCTAGGTACAGGCACTGCGAACACCGGCTCGCTCCATACCACGTGCCCGCCGTCTACCTTGACCGGCCGCCCCAACACGTTCCCCCCAAACCGCCCCCCGTCTCACCGTGCTCAGTCCCGACCGCGTCACTCAAGAAGAGACCGTCTGGTGCAAAAAAAGGGATGGTGCGGTGGGACGCCCGGGTGTTTGGTGAGGAAAGGGGCGTTGGGGGCGGGGGGTTCACGGGAGAGGATGACGTAGCCCGGACACCATTGCTAAAAAGCTGGGTGAGAACCGCACAGTAGTATTGGGCTCACTGGAAGATGTCGTTGGCGGGAAGAAGCTGTTGGTCACCCACCGGGGCTGGTGAAGCCCCTAGGAAGACCCCGTCGTAGACCTCATTAGAACTGGACACGTCAGTCGGGAAAACTTGGGCAGGCCGGGACTCTGGGCTGCCTTTCCTGGCAATGTGGAGCGTGGCGCAAGGGTAACGTTAGCAATGGTAAGGTTGATAGTGTGAATACACGTTGCCTGGGGGCGTTGTACTAGGTAGGTACCTAGCTGGGCAGCTTCCGTAATTTTCACATGTGCTATAGGAGGGATAGGCGTAATCATTAATACCCAGGTAGGTGGTTTCCCTCATGCTCCCGTCTCATTTCGTGCTCTTCACCGGTGGCTAGTTGTATGCCTTGAGACAAAGCCGTCATTCCAGTTGTATGCTCATATCACGAATAGATCTATCCTGTTCCTCAAACCATTGATGACAAGAAAATATTTATTGCTATTCCCTTCACTGTCGTAGCTCGAGGAGCTTACCCTCGGCTCGCGCGGCTGCTATCAAGGCGGGGGTGTATAGCAGACTACTACCCCAAGTACCTTGGCCAACGTGCCGTAGAGCACTAGCATGTAGTTTCCGCCAATCTAACCGTTCCTCTGGTTCGCCCGCCTTGGCTTTTACTCCGTTACCTGCGGGACCTTTCGGTTGGACAAAGGCGGATGTCCCCTTTCTTCATCCCCAATTAGATGGTAGAAGCTGGCCTCATACTCGGGCCGCCTGGACGGATTCGCCATTCGTCATACTTTATGAATCGATTCGTTAGCAGTACACCCTCTTGAAGAAGCCAGGATCTCGGGGAAGAGGAGGGTAGCGCAGTTCCCTACCTGAGGAAGAGGCCGTGGAACACGGATGTGGTAGATGTCTTGCTTCACCTATTGAATGAGACAGTTGTTAGGACTGACGGCAACACGGGAGGAATTTGGGGTGGGGTTCTCATACCCGGACATCGAATCCCCCCTCTGGGAAATAGGCACGGAGCAAATTCATCAGTCGTCGTACTCCGATACACCAAATCGGGACTTTATATAGGGTCGTGGTGCATTCCTCCTCGCTTGGATTCGTGCCTTTCTCCTCGTTTGGATTCGTGCCTTTCTCCTCGTTTGGAGTCGTGCATTTCTCCTCGCCTGGATTCGTGCATTTCTCCTCGCTTGTAGTCGTGCCTTTCTCCTCGCTTGTAGTCGTGCCTTTCTCCTCGCTTGTAGTCGTGTGTACACCCCCATTCGGCTTGTCGGAGGGTTGGAGGGGTTCCGAGTCCATTGGGAGGTGTGAGGCTGAGGGTTCCATATTGGATTCAAGGCGCGGTGTAGTTGAGTACCCGGGTATCTGAGTTGACTGTGGTACAACGATGGTCTTTTGCTTTGTTGTCGGGGGAGTAAAACACAGTTGAGTTTGGGACTTTGCGTCGAACTTGGTTTGCAATATATAGACGCCGCCGCGGCCCGAGTGAATCATCCTGGTCGCCACAACGGTGACCCGTACACCTGCCGTACCACAGGTACTATGAGTATATTCGGCGAGGGTATGACAAAAGCGGGTGAACCTCCAATCGGAGCCATTCCTCGGTGAAAGCTAAGGCTGGTAGCCTGAAAGGGCACACTCCACGCCCCAGTAACAGGTAAGTATTTAGGTAAACGATAAAGTATCATGTACAGGTGTGTCATTTGCGAATGCCAGGAGGATGGAGCATGGCGAGTATGAATAGGTAGTCAGTCTCGGGGCAGGAGGCAGGCACACCGGGCAGTCAGACAGATGGAATCATCAAACTCAAAATCCAAGGTAGGTACATGTAGGTTGCTACCCCTCGGACTTGGGATGCCAAACCGCTCCCGTGTCAGGCCTCACTAAGGTAACCTCACAATTCACTGGCTTGCGGATATGCGGCCACCCTCCCTGCATAGGTGCTGTGGTGCTGTCACCCTGTGACTGGATCGACATTTGGCTAGCACTTTGCAGCGGCACGTAACCGACGGCCGTCGTATGTCGGATATTCCCCAGGGGGGGCATACCCTGTCGATGTATTCTTTTTGAGGGCCAGGCTGTAATGCTGTTTACCATTGACTAACGCTAACACAAAGCGACTAGAGCTAAATGAACGGACATCATGATGTGCACCTTTGTAGTTACCTACGGTAAGCAGGTGTTAATACGCTAGGTTGGACCACTCATCTAGCAACCCTTTTTCAACATTTGACTACTAGTAGGTGTCTCGACATACGCAAACAATCCGTATTCTCAACGGCGCCGGTCTCACCGTTGGATACCTTAGTAGGCGGTCTCGAAAGGGTCTGCAATGTCGGGGACGACAATAGTAAATGTAATCTGTCCGCCAAAAATGGAGACGCGGATGATGCGTTTTAGGTAACTGCCAACCAAGGCCGGACCTCACCATCTTCGCTGGTAGAGCTGTCTGGCTGAGCGTTTGTCGAGTTGTTCATCCTAGGTACCTAAAAGATGGTAGCCCCCCCCCACCCCCTTCTCCCATTTTCACACCATTAGAGATACCGTGCCATACACTTGGCTAACGTTGCTTGACAGCGCACCAGAAACCCAACCGCAACAACGGGCCAGACTCAAAGGTCATCCAGAAATGGGTTCGACATAATGTCCACCCCATGCAGCTCGGACTTGTGGAGATGCAGCGCAGGCAAGGTCTCGAACCCGTCTGCGCACTGCTGGCAACGGAGGTCCGACTAGGAAGGAGAAATTAACCGCCAGCCAATAGAGGATAAAGAACTAGAAAAGGAAGGAAAGCACTCTAACTTACCTCCCTTACAAACGGCCGCTCTAGCGGAAGTTCGCGACTGTCGGTAATCACCACAAAAAACTTGCTCTCCGCCCGCGGATCTTGCATACCAGCAGCCTGGAGCAAGACCTGCTCGTCCTCGGCGGCAAACCCCAGCATCTCCCGCCGCAGCGCGGCAAAGCCGGGAGGGGCCTGCTCTGGGAGTTCCACGGCGAGGTCGACGTGCCGCTGCCCAAAGACCATGACGAAGGTGTAGGCGACGTAGCCGTAGGCGGAGGGGTCCTGGCCGCGGCGGTGCGGGACGAAGAGGCGCACTGAGTCTAGGGACGTCGGATCCGGGTTAGAGGCGGCGAGCCGGGCACGGAAAAAGGCGGATTGGGGGTCGACTTGCTGGGTGGCGGCGGACATGCCGCCCAGGCCCCGGAAGAGGTGGGGAGGGAGATGCTCCGTTTCCTGGATGCCGTGGGCGGCGAGGAAGCGGTCGAGGACGACGATGGGCACTTTGAAGCCGCGCAGGAGGGTGGTAAGGCCCATTTCGGGGAGGCGGGCTGGGCTGAACTTTCGGTGTTTGGAGGTAGGCAAGGTACCTACCTAGGTAGCGTTGATGGAGTTGGTGATGGCTAAAAAGATGGGTTGGGCTCTCAACATCCCTCCCTGGGGTGCCAAGGGTTTGGGGGCCGGGACTGGAAGCGGGAAATCAACGAGGCAAAGCCAGTGCGTTGTACGGCCATTTAGTTGCATTCACCACCCCCATCCACAGCCTCCGAGTCGCGTTGCGTCGAAGTGGCGCTGTGTAGACAGGTACATAGAGTCCAAACGCCTAGACGCGTTGGCACGCGAAGATGGGAGGAGAGAATGGAAAGTACTAGGTAGGGACCTATTTGAATCTACGTCGACAGAGCTACAAAATGCGCGCGTACCGCGCATATACTTGGACTAAAGAGGTACCTAGATTAGGTACCGCCTACCTAGTCAGAGACGGGATCATCAAACTCAAAATCCAAGGTACCTCAGGTAAGGTAGGTAGATTTCCACCCCTGGGAATCAGGATGATGCTAAAGAGCTCCCGTATCAGGCCTCAGTAACCTCACAGTTCTCACTGACTTGCGGCTGTGCGGCCATCCTCTTTGCATAGGTGCTGTGGTGCTGTCACCCTGTGACTGGATTGACATAGTTGGCCCAGCACTTTGTAGCGGCACGCAGCCGACGGCCGTCGCATGCCGAGCCATTCCCACCCCCATCTATTGGTGGCCCTGAACATCAACACTCGGGTAGATACCTACGGGTGGGTAGAGTACCTTGACTTGGGTAAAATAGTGGATTGTTTGACCAGACTCTGACATCACAGATTTAGGTAGGTGGGTAAGTTCTGTTTGTTGATGAGCAAACGCTCGCGGCTCCCCTGGGGAATCCCTGGAGGCCACCGCCTTGGTTCTTTCATCTTCCATCTTCCATCTTCCATCTTCCATCTCTAAAATGTATCTGGGCAGTCTGGCCTTAATTAAGACGAACAAAAGTCACAAGACACACTGTCAACCTGGGCTACTCCCAAATGGCGCCTTCGGACCACGACAGACGTACCGATGGCCCCTTACAAGACATTGAAGACCTGTTAGCTGATGCTCGGTCTGGTGATGAGAATTCCCAGGGCGCCGATGACCCTGGCCAGCAGTTGAATGCCATTCGAGGCCAAGGCGGCACCGCTACGAATCCACTTCAGGATGTCAACAATGCACTTGGGCAGTCGGCCCGGCCCCCGCCTGGGAGCCAAGTTGGGACCGAAGCTTCGCAGATGACGATACGGGACCGAGGCGATGCGCAATACGACGAGGCATGCTCGACCGGGCTTCACAAACCTGATGTTAAAACACCGAGTCTACCGCCCCACTGCCCTCTTTCTGACCGTTTGATGAGTCTCCGCGTCACATCCCGTCCACCTAAAGGCCCCTATTTCTACCCGAAAGGTTCGGTCGAGGCGCTGATGACGGCCAAGGAGATTGAGTCCATCATCCGCCAAGGCAGGCAACGGCTTGAGGGAGCCGGCAAGCGGCTCACAGACGAGGAAATACGGAATTATGCAGGGCGCGCGTGCCATGAACAGCTAGACGGCGGCGCCGATTCAAGTTACCGCGTGACTTTTGCCATCCTGGTCCTGCTCGATCGCGGCTGGGACATAGTCTTCTTCATCGATGGGGGTATATGCGACAAACACCTCCCTCTCAAGGCAGTCCCTGTCAATGGGCGTGGTTCGGGTTTGCTTTCTGAGATAAGGCTGGAGAACGACCCCAACACAAGGCTGAGCTGCCTTGACCACTGGTTGGCAGTCAATCACGATGACTTCGAGCGAAAGCAATGGGATATGCTGGCCCCCTTCTTTTCGCGCGGCGAGCGCAGAAACGCCTGGCTCTACGAGCTACCAGAGAAGGTTGTGCTTCCATGGACCGAGGAAAACAACGCGGCGCGCCAGGGAGGATATGGGCTCGTGTCCAAGGTCAAGATCCACCCTAACCATCACACCTTCAACCTCACCAAAGCAAACGGCGGCTGGTTCGCCGTGAAGCAGTTCAAAGGCAGCGAGTCTAGTAACGGCACATCGGACACCTCCGGGAGTTTTGATAGGAGAGAGTTTGAGAACGAAATCGAGATTCTGAGACGCTTCAGCGGTGACGTCCACCCGCATCTGATCTCACTCCAAGCGGCGTTCCGCCACGGCGACGAGTACTCCGTCATTATGCCCTGGGCCGACTGCGATCTTGCTGAGTTCTGGGAGGAGACAAAACCCGGGTCACCTCTCGACAGGAACAATCTCCTGTGGATGCTTGAACAATGTCGGGGACTCGCAGGCGGCCTTCAGAGCATCCACTTATACAAGAGGACGGAATCCGCCACCGCCACGAACGATCCTTGGCCCGAGAAAATCTTCGGCCGCCATGGGGACATCAAACCCCCTAATATCCTGCTCTTTCGAGACCAGAGTAATCCGGAGGACAAAGGGAAGCTGGTCATTACGGACTTTGGCCTCTCGCGCTTCCACAGCGACGGAAGCAAATCGTGCTCATCGAACACGCACATTCGGGCTACCTTGACCTATCGTCCCCCGGAATGCGCCCTAGACGGTGCTGTCATCTCGAGATCGTTCGACATTTGGTCGTTCGGTTGCGTCCTGCTCGAGTTTGCCGCTTGGTACCTCGGCGGTTGGACTCTGGTCACCAAGTTTGCCAGCCACCGCACGGTTGACGAGACGCACGACTGTGTCGACCAATTTTTCGAGATCGTAACACCGGAAAAAGGGAAACGCCAGGCTCGCATCCACCGCCGTGTCGATCAGGTAATTACCACCAGTCTGACCACTCCATGCCAAATCCAACGAGACGGATACTAACTGCAGACATGCAGTTTGTCAACGATACATTGCACAGCCACTCCTCTTGCTCCGAGCCGATACATCAGCTTCTGGACTTTGTTATGCAGGACATGCTGTTAGCCGAGCCGCGAGGTGGTCATAGCCGAGCTGAGTGTGGCCAAGTACGCGCAAAGCTTACCCACCTGTACAACATGGTCGCCCACGAGTCGTACCAAGTAGTCGCCTCTCCTCGCCCCAGGACCATAGCCCCCATGCCAGAGGCCGCCGAGGTACCCCCGACCAGAAGCAGGAGAGGATCTGATGTCGACGGTCCCAGCGGCAGATAATCGCCGAGATGGACACCAAATTGTTGGGGGTGATCGAATAAGGGAATATCATTTTGTCACTTTATCGTCGGGGATGGGAGGATTCAGAAAACCAGCATTAGACGGGCGCATGGAACGACGTGTAATGTGCGTTGTAATAGATACATCGACCAGCTCCCACGCTCCCACGCTCCCACGCTCCCACGCTCCCACGCTCCCACGCTCCCACGCTCCCACGCTCCCACGCTCCCATGCATCCTGCTGGCTCTGTCATCGACATGGACTACCCCATTTGCCATGAACCTCCATCCCTTCACAAGCAAGACAATCAGCTCTTAGAGCGGCGCCGGTCCGATGATCTCTGATAGTGTCGTTGCTTCCTGTTGATGACCTCGATTTCAGCCTATGCGAACCATGATCAGTCGGAGGCGGTAAACGAGTAACGAGACGAATCGCGGCTCACTTGGGAAAGCTCTCGAGGAAGAGTCGCTATGAACTGCCCCATCTTCACCTACACAGTATCCCATCAGATCAGCAAGGCTTCAACTCTTCTAAAAGATACAAACACACATTAACCGTAACCTCCTCGTCCGGGAATAGTTCCTTGAGTGCATCCCTGAGAGAGCAAAGAACCGCACGTAAGGCTTCATCTCTTCGGGTACGAAAAGTTCGCACAAACAAACACGGCATACCGTGGTGCAACAGCGGTGAATGATATGATGCGCATTGCCGTCTTCCGTTGTCCTAACTGGGCTTCACAGTAGCTGTAGTACGAATGTTCCCAAGAGCCTACGTGGAGGGGTGCGGAAGTCCGTCGTTTGTGCATCTCTCCAAAAGACGACGCACTTCGCTACGGTTGCACATGTGAAGCCTTCGGATGATAGATACCTGGGTGAGAGTTCAAGAGTTTCAGTGCTGGTCAGCATTCGTATATCTACCATTCAGCAATACGTTGTTCTGTTTGGATTTGGACGCAGTACGGAGTGGTGTGATTGTGAAGATGGACTGGTATGTCGAAGCGGGCCGGGTGTTTTCCACCTACCCCTAATCATCCCTTGGCTGCCCTTCCGCCAGTAATCAAGCTCTCAGCATCACTGGCAAGCCTCAAAGCATTGGCGCTGATCCTCCCAACTTAGGCCTCTCGAGGACCCCGCCTTCTTTGATAAAGATCTGGACAACCTCTACTGCTACGAGCAACGAAGGAGCAAAGCAGTCTACCGCTTCGAGGGTGACGTGGTATTGATGATCCTACAGCGCCTTTGTGGTAAATCCTAACCCAATCGCAGGACATAACGGAATGTTGGCTAGATACAGACGAGGATGTGTCAAGATGGCTCAAACAGGTACTAGATGGTGAGGAGCAAGAATCGGAAGAGCACGGCTAAATCGAAGAGCGTTTTGACTAGGTCACTGAGCAGCGGTCTAAGGGAAGACCTGGGATAGCAGTCATGTACGCCCCTGTCCCATCTCCTTCGATACCCGACTCCGGTTCTGGTCGTAGGTCAACCGAGGTGACTGACAGCTAGAACACAGTCTCGCCGCCCGCGCCGAGCAACCCGACATCCAGCACAACCCAGCGATTCTTGAGTACCTCCCTTTCTCGCGGGAGAGCTTTAAACAGATCGTTACATGCCTGCCACTGCACGGGGACACAGCGCGGGTCGTCAACCGCTACAACATGGCTTTCTTCACGAGCATCGACCTGCTCGACAGCCCGGCAAACGCGCTCTGTCTGTACCTCCGCCTCTCCCCTCCCACTCGCACACCCCGTCCATCCTATCCCCTTACTGCCTCGTGCACACCCACCCACCCACCCAGCTAACCCAACCCAACCCAACCAACACAGTCCACATCCTACGCACGACAGCCACCCACCCCGGCGACCTCGCCCTCTCCTCCGTCTCCCACCCAACCACCCAGAAGCAGAAGGGACCCGACACCAGCAACCTCAACAACACCAACCCCAGCAACACCAACCCCAGCAACACCAACCTCAACAACACCAACCTCAACAACACCAAGACCAAGACCAAGACCAAGACCAAGACCAGAATCAAGACCAAGAACAAAAGCAAGACCCCCAAGACCCCAACACCACCACCCCGCAAGAAACCCCCTTCTTCACAGCCGCCCTCCTCCTCGGCTGCACCCCCTCCGACACCTCCACCCTCACCGCCCGCCTCGCATGCGCCTCAGGCTCGCCCGCCGCCCACGCCGCCTACCACCCGCTCCTCCTCGCGGGCCTGGTGACGGAGCTGGAGCGCACGCGGCACGCCAACCTGGTGCGCGACCGCGTCTTTCACTTGTTGAGGAGGGTGCGCGCGCTCGGGACGCTGGGGACGGGTGTGGGGATGGGGATGGGGATGGGGATGGGGATGGGGATGGGGATGGGGGATACGTACTCGGTGGATTTGTGGATCGAGGTGTGGCAGTTGAGGACGGCGCTGTTGGCGTGGGAGGAGGAGGTGGGTAAGATGGAGGGGTTGTTGGTGATGGCGGGGGATGGGGGGATGGGGAGGTTTGGGGGAGAGGTGGGGGACGGGGGCGCGGATTCGCAAACGGCTTGGTGAGATCAGGGCGGAGTATGAGGTTTATGGGAGGGAGTGTTCGATGGTGATTGAGGGGATGGCGCTGTCGGCGCAGTTGGTGAGTGGTGGTTTGGGTGTTGGTGAACAGGAGTTGAGGCTAACTGACAGACTTCACTTTACAGTCGTGGAGCCAGATCGGGTACCAGGATGCGCAGGCCAACCTCAAGATCGCGAGTGATGCGCGGGAGGACTCGAAACAGATGCGGTCGATTGCGTTTCTCACCATGGTGTTTCTCCCTGCCACGTTCCTTGCGGTAAGTCACCACAACTGCGGTCAAGTACACACTACCTTACTTTCCATGCGCCTGGAAGCTGACCTCCCCTGGAACAGACCGTTTTCTCCACGACCTTCTTCAACTGGAAACCGGGAGAGGGAGAATGGTTCGTGTCACCATATATAGGGGTTTATATTGGGCTGGTCGCTGTCATCACGGCAGCTGTCCTCTCATGCTGGATCTGGTTTACTAGACGGAATAGTGTCTCATATTCCGGCGAGGATGAGAAGCCGGTATTGGGGAACTGCCCAACGGGAATGGTGTGACACCAAGATGCCGCAGGGCAATTGCTCGGTGGTGGAACACTCCACGTTCCACCTTTCAATGTGAGGATATCTCCGTCTGTACGGATACTCGAGCCGACAGCGAACAAGAGGTACATAGTTTCTTTTTTTTTTTGTCTGTACAGAATACATCCACCTCATTTTTCCTTGCGGAATCTCATCACACCGCCGAGTTACCCGGTTCTCCCGACCGCGGATCGCATCGCTCGACGATTCTGACTGCGATCGTCGCTGCAAGTATCGATGTACTGGAGGTACTGTTTCCGCCTTGACGTGACGTATGCACTGTGTACCCAAGCTAGTCTGCAAAAGGGCATAACAACAGGGGCTGAAATCAAGGTCCTTTTCACATGCTGCCAATACCAACGAATACCACACTGAATCTCTCGGCTCGGCAGGGCAAGAAAAGGGACCCTCAATTAAACGTATGTACAAGTAACAAGGGCTGGAGATGGCGGAGGATTCTTGGGTTGATGAGCTGACGGTTCAACCTGGAAGTTAGAAGTACTTGGTACAGATTATTTGAGTGTTATCCTGCGACAACGAGAAATTAGGACCACGAAACAAAAGGAAGCTTGAATGGCGTCAGCATGTCAGCACGCGCATTTCCGGCGCTGCATTCTGCAGTGGACTGCCGATCCCGAGACATGCTAAAAAAGTCTTCAAGGCGACGTTGTTTTTTTATCCATCACCGCCCAATCCAGAAATAGTTCGGTATCTTTTGCTTTCCCTCTGTGCCTCGTCCCACAGATTTGAGTTTTATTTTTTTCGAACGCCCGCGCAACGCAAAACAAGAATAAACAAGAAAGCGACTTCCCCAGACTCCAGACGGTCCATGGAAAGTTGCCCAAGCGTCCCGGGGCAGCCTGCCGATTCCGTCCTAGCGCCGGGGGTTGAAAAGGCAAAAAAGACGATCGAACGCGAACCGCAAGGACTCGGCGCAGCGGTCCCCGCGTCAGGCCTCAGCGCCAGCCTCGGCTCTCCACCAAAACCACCCCACCGTGAATTCCCCATCCCTCCACAAACAACTGCTCACAGCCAGCCGGCACGGGATCAGACAGGTCTGGGGCACCTGGGGAAGAACGGACCGGATGCGGGCGGGAAGCTTGGAATGTGACGCTTTCGAGGGGTTTCGGTTTCGGGACCTGTTTTGGATTGAACCAAGCAAGGTCACAGGAAACAGGGCTGGAATCCGGGGAAGGTGTGGCATGTGCGCCGTGCCAAGGTGTGCGACTTCCATGCTTGCGGCAATACCGACATGTCGAGTCTAGGTAACCAAGATTTGGATGCGTTGCTGCGCGATGCGTGCGTCGGGTGCGTCGCATGTGCAAGGCAGTGCTGTGGCTCCGAGTGTTTTTGTGGCTGCACTGCTGCTGCGCAGTGGCGAATTCGGCGAACAACATCAGCCCAGGGGGATTTTGGGGCGAATTCAGGTGGGTGCTGAAACAGCTTCGTGAAGCGATACGTGAGGGGCAATTTGTCTGCAGTATGTACATCGTACACGGCGTTTCAATAGCGCTAAACCGTCTCACCGTTAAGCCACTTTCAACGGTTTAGAAGGACCATGATGTTTGACAATTTGAACCTCGGTGAAACCAACCAACTGCTGGCCCCGCCAAGCAAAAGTCAACACGTTCATCAGTTGATGCAAACTAGACTCATGGATGCTTTTGACCTCATCTATGCCGTAGTATTAGTCTGATCGTGCCCGAGACCCATCCCATGGATCACCCTCGGCCCAGATCCTGATCTTACATCCAGGCCCCCTCTTGTATTTAAGGTATATTACCCGCAAAAACTAGATGCCTCCTGCGCATCTCAAGAACGGAAACACGAGGGGGCATACACACCCCGGCACAAAATGAAAAGACATCAAATCGTTACATCCCCCCACTCTCTTTACCCCCCCTCCGTTTACCCCCTCTCTTAACCCCCCCCTCCCATTAACCCCCTCTCTTAACTTCCCACCAAGTTCAATCCACCCGCGTCAACGGCGCGAGAACAACGGGCTTCTGCTCCTGCTCCCCATCCTGCTGGACTTTCTTGTACAGCCAGGCGGCAAACCGGACGGCGGGCTCGTCGACCATGCGGGTGACAAAGTCGGCGCTCCACAGCGTCAGGGGCAGGAGGAAGAGGAGGTTGGGCAGCAAGAAGGAGAGCTCGAGCCCCATCGGGCCGATGCGGGGCAGCGGGAAGAGGTTGGCCCAGTGGGCCATGGGGTTGTCGGGCCTGCCGTAGGGGGTGCGGTCCCAGCCGACGGCGTAGTAGACGCGGTCGCCGATGGTGCCGAGGATCGGCCCGTGGACGAGGTAGAGGGCGAAGGAGATGCGGCCGAGGAACTGGCAGAAGCGCGACTCGAAGAAGCGCCGCAGCCACGGCATCCGCGGGATGCACGCCACGATCATGTTGCCCGCCAGGAAGAGGTAGAACCACTTGTAATCGAAGACGGCCTGCGGCTTGAGGAAGGACAGGTAGTACCACCCCTTGCTCGCCCGTAGGTCCGCGATCTCTGCCGTGTGCGACGGCACGCCGCCGAGGAGCATGCCGATGAGGAAGAGGTGGTAGTAGATGAAGGTTTTGTACGGCTCCAGCCGGCGGAGCCACCGAGGGAAGTAGCCGTCCTTCTTCGCGAGCAGGTCCAGGTCGCACTGCAGCATGCCGGCCATGAACAGCGCGCAGTAGTAGCCGTCGACGATGTAGAGGAAGTAAACCACGAGGCCGAATAGGCAGAGGAGGCGAGCCTTGTGCGTCGCCCGCGCCAGCGCCATGCAAGCCATATAGGTCACCACGGACCCACGCATCTCTAACGCGATGGACCAGAGGTGAGAGTTGGCGTTCATCCACGGCCAACCCTCTTTGAAGAGGAAGCTGAAGTTCTTGAACTCGACATACCAGTTCCAGAGTTCCTCGCCGACCGTGCCCTTGGCCTCCGTTTGCGCGGTCCAGATGCCGAACACGTGCCAGGACATGACGTAGACGAACGTGGTCACGATAACGGGGATGTAGAGCCGAAACCATCGGCGGAAGAAGGCGGAGGCGAGGCTGTCAAAGAGCTTGAGGTGCTCACCGGCGTGGATGAGGGATAGCGGTTTCATCGACAAGACGTAGCCCGAGATAACGAAAAAGATGCCCACCGCCATGTGGCCGCCCGTGAAGAAATTCCGAACGATGGGAAAACACGCAAAGAAGAACTTGTCCCCCTCCCCAAACGCCCGCTCGAATAGATAAGAGCCTTGTATCCCGTGTGACCATAGTTCATGGTGGTGGATGTACACCATGAATGCCGCGAACCCTCTGAGACCGTCGAGGTAGGCCGTTGGCCGTAGTTGTTGGGGACCATCCGAGGTATTGGTGCCCCTGGGCCAGAAAAGTTGCCGCAGCCCACGAAATGTGATGGATTTCATGGTGAATGCGGGAACTCGGTCGATGGCCTCATGCCATACAAAACTATCCGAATCCTCAGGTTTGCCGGCGGTCTGTCGAATGCCTTCACGCTCCTCGATGCTTCGCGGTTTGGCCTTCAAACGTCGGGCGGAAGTCTGCGCGGGCCGTGGCAACGCCGGTGGTGGGGTGCCGGGTCCCGTTTTCTTGTTGAGAAAAGGGCAACGATTGGCGCCAGCCTTGCAAAACAAAATTGGGAGAGCGAATGAAGTTGCAACAGCGCCGGTGGAATGACCCTCTCGAGCCTCCCAAACACCTTGAAACAGGCCGAACCGCGCGTTCCGGAGATTTATGTACAAGGTATGTCCAGATGCAAGTGCAGAGGATGAACAAGGGAGTTACTGCGGCTGTGTCTCCGAACAGGAGCCCGCCATGAGTCGCGAGAGACACGAACGCGTGGCTTGCCTCCCGTCCAAGCCTTGGGTCTTGGCTACAATCTCATTCCGCGAATGATTCCGCTTCCAACAGAATGGGAAAATGACGGAATGTCTCGTGGTTCCATGTCTCGAGCTTGGGCGCTGGATACTGTCGTTTTCGAAACAGGAGAAGGAGATGGAGGCTTGTCCAGGGAGAGTAACGTTATTTTACATGCAATGTCGTGTCCGGAGGTATCCGTACCTTCATGTTCACAGTGCGGCGACACACTCCATACGAAGTACCGACGATCATTTCAGTCAGCGGGCCTGATTCTTGACAATCCGATCGCGATGTTGAGCGAAGCGCTGTGGGGCAAGCCCCTTTTTTCGCTTGGAATCCCGATTCCGACCCTCTCACTCGTTCATTTGCCTCTTTCCCCAACAAGGAACCGGTCTGTACGATTGGCCGGGAACGGCAGCTGCGAAATTTCCACCTGGTTGAGCTGGTCTCGCATCAGCATTGCCACATGAAGGCACGTACCGCGAGCGTCCATGGCCAGCAGGCCCTTGCTGAGGAAGTTTTTTTCCCGCGGGGTTGATTGGGTGGGCGGCTGGGATCCTCGCCGCACTCAGCGATTCCCGGTGGAAAACGCAGCTGGCAGGCCAATCCTGGAAACAAGATAAGGGCCGCTGGCCTGGTTGATTAGGGGCCCGGCGCCGGGGGCAGGTTCATCAGTGATGTTCGCTCCTCACCCCCTTTCCGTCCTGACACTGCTGGCATAATTTTCTTCTCCTCCTGCCGTTCGTTTCTTGCCCGTTGTCTGTAGCATATTGCCTTCATCAATTGATGCCACTCGCTTTTTCCTTCTGGGCAGCACATCACTCACGAGGTTGACGGTTTTTGCACCTCTTTGCCCGGCATGATTGCCAAGCTCGGCTCGCCGCTAGGTACTCCGTCCCTGGCGGCCACGACGGCCCAATTCAGGAACCGGCTGCCCACACAGTTCCGACGGGCCCTCCCCATCTACATCGCTGCCGTCTGCCTGATTCTCTTCATCTTAATCTCAACCTCTTCCAGACGAGCGGACGGGTGCCCCTCGGTCGTGGGGCCGTGTCGGGGTCAAGTGTGGCCAAGGTGCGGAGCGAGTTTCCGAGGAAGATCTGGCAGACTTGGAAGGTGAACCCGCTCAAATTCGAGGATCGCGACCTCAACACCGCGCGGTCATGGGTTGCGAAGAACCCCGACTACCGATACGAGGTCTTGACCGACGACAATGACCTGCGTTACGTCGAATACCACTTCGGCCCCGACGGCTTCAACCGGCCTGATATCGTCAACTTCTACCGCGACGTAAAGGCCGCCATCGTCAAGGCTGACCTTTTGCGATACATGATCATGTACGCCGAGGGCGGCGTGTATGCCGACATTGACGTGGAAGCGCTCAAGCCGCTGTCCAAGTTCATCCCGGAAAGATATGCCGAAAAGGACATCGATATGGTGATCGGCGTCGAGATCGACGAGCCAGACTGGAAAGACCACCCGATTCTCGGTCCCAAGTCCCGCTCCTTCTGCCAGTGGACCTTCGTGTGCAAGCCGCAGCTGCCTGTGATGATGAGGCTGATCGAGAAGATCATGTCATGGCTCAACGGCGTCGCAAAGGAGCAAGGCGTTTCGCTCTCGGAAGTCGATCTGGATTTCGACCAGATCATCAGCGGCACCGGGCCGTCGGCCTTTACCGAGGCTATCTTGATCGAGATGGATCTGCAAAAGGAGGACCCCAGGACGAAGATCGACTGGGATTTGTTCCACGATCTCGATGAGTCGAAGGTCGTAAGCAGGGTGCTCATCCTCACAGTCGAGGCATTTGCCGCTGGCCAGGGCCACTCGCACTCCGGAAACCACGAGGCCAGGGCGGCTCTCGTCAAGCACCACTACCACGCGTCCAACTGGCCCAGCAGGCACCCCCGCTACAGCCACCCTGCGTATGGCGAGGTGGAGAGGTGCAACTGGGAGCCCGAGTGCGTACACAAGTGGGACAAGAACGTCGAGGCCTTCTCGAAGCTCTCGGATGAGGAGAAGAAGAAGATCGTCGAGCAGAAGCAGCGAGAAAAGGAAGAGGCTGAGGAGAAGAAAAAGGCCGAAGAAGAAAAGAAGAAGAAGCAGAAGGAGGCGTCGGAGAAAAAGAAGAAGGAGGAAGAAGAGGCGTCACGGAAAAAGAAGGAGGAAGAGGAGGCGGCAGCGCGCAAAAAAAAGGAAACCGAGGAAGCGGCCAAGGAGAAGGAAAAGGAGAAGGAGGTGTCTGACAAAGGCGAAGAGGCAGCGGAGCCGAAACAGCAGGAGAAGAAGTCCGGGTGGTTCTCATGATGTGCGTTTTTGTTGTTTTTTTAGCATCTTTGGGAGCCGGAGGGTGTTTTGCGTTGGGGGTTCTCGGGGGTTCTGTTAATGAGAGACGTTCATGCCGGGCCGCGGGCCCGGAGACACGCCAGGGAGCCGGGCAAGGCTACGACGAATCGCGCCCGGCACGACACCGTTCCCTCGGTAGGGAAGAGGTCGACGGTGATCGGCGGGGGGCCGCGAACGAAGGATGGGTTTCGGGGTGGGATGCATTACTTACCTCTTCCATGTACATATGCTTGCTTAGGCACTTGCTTCCCTCGGTTGGCGTTGCTGGGCCGAGTTTGCTGGGGCACGCGTTGAACCGCTGTCGCCCTCAAGCTCGAGTGGGCATTAGATCACTTTAGTTAATACAAAATACCCAATATGATAAAGGCCGGTTCGACGAGTGTAAGGGTGACCTGGCGAGGTGCGGTGTCCCGGGGAGATGAGACGAGCTGAGATGGCCGAGTCGAAAGCCACCGCGAGTGGTTCGGATGATGGTGGGTTGAGTTGCGGGGATAATCGAGGTCGCGAACAAAGCGGCCCTGACGCGCGACGAAGCATCGGCAAACACCAATGACATCAAACGAAAGAACAATGGTTTAGGCCGGGAGGATACATCTCGACAGACCGGCGGCCGAAGACGAAGACGACAAAAATGGCAATGGTAGAAGGTAAACACAACGGACACGGAGCCCCCCCCCCCCCCCCCAAAACCAGTCCCGCACAACCCCGTTTCTCCCAGATTACTCGGACCACGCTTCGAGCGGCACCGAGGAGACGGGGAGTCGCTTCCTGTTTGCGCGCAATTCATCTCAGAAAATTTTCTGTCATTGCAGGCTGTACCTGCCGTTCGAGTAGTGGATTTTGGTCAACCCCGCGCCGCTGCGCTTTTGGCCCCCAATGCCACTATTTTGCAGCAGTGCAACACCAGCATGCTCAGCCTCAGTTCATGTCGTGCGGGCATTTATGACATGCAGCAAGCTGTGGTTGACAACTTCACTTAAGGTAGTTAGGTCCCACTTTGTTTTGATGTCACTCAGGTACCTACCTACCTATCCACGGTGTGCTCGTTGACTCTGTGATACCAAAAAAACCCTGGCGGGGTTGTTCGGAACCCGGGAACGATCGTTCTCTAGAGTGTAGGACTCCAGGTATGGACATACCCGTTCCCAATACCGGATATGTAGGTACTATACAGGAGCCGCGCATGAGACCGGAGAACCCCAAGTCGAAGCACAAGGTCGTCGTTACGCTCCGCCCTTGAGTGTTTAAGCCAACCCACCAGCAGCGGCGCACGGAATGCCCCAGTGGCATAAGCATAAGACCGACCTATCCCCTGGGTAATCCCTTGTGGTTTGAGATCGGTGTTGGGGGCTCCGTCGGTTGGGTATACCACGACTGACGCGGGACTGAATCAGCCAAGATTACCTCCATGGCGGGTTGTCCCAGCGCGGTGTTCCATGAAGAACTTGGCGTCATGGCAAAGGGATGGATACGGCACCACTGGCATTCGGTCCGTGGGGGCCGCTCGAAAAGGGTGAACCCCAAACGCCAATTGCGGACTGTCCCGTCCAACCTCAGTTGCCGCATCCGGCCCCAGCCAATTACTGCCACACCCGTCTGTGTGATCGCCACCCTTGAAGGGCTCAGCATCGCTTCACGCATTGTGCCGGTTTCTCTTGACGATGCCGTCGCCTAGGGCTTCTTCTCCAGAATTCATCTTGCCAGTCATGATAAATTCCAGCGCCGAACCAGCTTCCGTCTTCCGACTGTGTTGCCAACCTCATCTTCAAACTGCCTTCACAGTCTTTACTCCGACCGACCGGTTCGATCGCTATCTTTTCAAGACGGCTTGCCGTTTACATAGTATTATTTAATTCACCACGACCGCCTGGACGCCTTCGTTTCTTCAGCACTCATCATGATGCAAACTAACCTAATCGTGCTCGTCGCCTTTGCGGCTGTCGGCCAAGCTCGTTTCGGCCAGGAAGGCTCTGTTCAGAGCATTATCCAGGGCCTTAGTAACTTTGGCCCCCCAGGCGCGGCTGGTACCCTCGCTGGCCAAACTACGGGTGTCCTTCTTGCCGGTGCGAGCGCTTGCGCACAGGTAAATAACCCCATCAACAAGGCTTTGTGCGAATCGCGATGGTTAATAAAATTTTGGTAGCTTGAGCTCGCTGATGAGATTGTTGCCACGCTTGGCAACGATCCCGAGGTCATTGCTGGTGCGGCGGCCCTTGTCGCCGCGGAGAAGAACTTCAACCCCTTCGCCCAGGACGTCCCAGCGATTTGTAACGACGCGAACCTCCCGGCCACCCCGGAGCTCCGGGGTATTGTTCCCGCCGTCGACCCCCGCCGTCGACGGGGCTGATGTCCAGAACGCGAATTCTGCGCAGTCGCTGACAGCCCCTTTTGACGACGGCGGCCTTAGCGTTGCCGACCTCTCGAGGGCCCAGGGGTTCGAGAACTTCAACGACCAGGCTTGAAGGATACCCACTAACGTGCGCGGCGCTTCGACTCGGGAGGAAGGACGTTATGGTGATAGGTCTCATACAAAGCCATGATGAGCATCAACATCGACGTGGGTTTCAAATATGACTGGATGTTGTCAAATACAAGGATATTCTCACCGTGTATACATGTACTCTATCATTGTCTAATACCAACCAGCGCCCACCCCCAACTCTAATTTACTTCCTGTCTCCCCTGCAACGCCTCAAACTCCTTGCTAAACGGCTGGTCGATGTACCCAACCGGCGACTTGGGGGTATAAAAGGTGCTGCGGTCGTATGGGTTCAGCTCGATACCCTCCTTGATCCTGAATGGCAGGTCTGGCGTGGAGATGTAGTACCGCCCAAAAGTAGCGATCACGTCCCTGTCCTTGAACTGGCCATCCACCAGGTCCCTCGCATTCGTCGGCGTGAGGGAGCCAGCAATCAGCAGCGGCCCATTCCACAGCTTCACCGCAAAGTCCAGGCTCTCCCCATCCACGGTGACCGACTCGGTGGCGCTGCTCTCAACCCGTCTCTGCACCAGATGCAAATACGCCAGTCCAAACCCGTTGATTTTCCGAATGACGTCCTCGAACTGCGGCACGGGGTCCTTCATCCGCATCCCCTGAAACGTGGCCCACGGGCTCAGCCGGATCGCCGTCTTCTGCGCCCCAACCGCGTCCACCACAGCCTGCACCACCTCGACGGCAAGCCGGGACCGGTTCTCGATGCTCCCACCGTACTCGTCCGTCCGCTGGTTGCACACGTCCTGGATAAACTGATCGATGAGGTACCCGTTCGAACCATGAATCTCGACGCCATCAAACCCGGCCTCGATCGCGCACCGCGCCGCGGCCGCATACTCAGCCACCCGCGCCTTGATCTCCTCCACCGTCATAGCCACCGGCACGGGCGAGCCCTCGGGCTCGGGCATCGGCACCGCGCTCGAGCTGTGCACCGCAAACCCCTCCCTCGCCGCCACCGCCGCGTCCGCCGCCCGCCCCAGCGACCACAGCTGACAAAAGATATACCCCCCGCGGGCGTGCACCGCATCGGTAACCCGCCGCCAGCCGGCCACCTGCTCCGCGTTGTACACGCCGGGCACGTTGGCGAACCCGCCCGCGGCGGGCGAGATGAAGGTCCCCTCCGACACCAGCAGGGTGCCCGGCTGGGAGGCGGCGCGCTGCGCGTAGTAGGTCGCGGCCAGCGGCTGCGGCACGTACTCGTCCGAGGCGCGGAAGCGCGTCAGCGGCGCCATGGCCATGCGGTGCGTCAGGCGGATGTCGGGGGTGAGTTGCAGCGGCTGGAAGAGCCGCGAGGTGGCTTCGGGGAGGGAGCCCATCTTGTTGGTGTGGTGGTGGTGGTGGTGGTGGTGGTGGTGGTGGTGGTGGGAAGGGGTTGATGGAATGTTGAAAGGGGTGGTTGAATGGGTTTGGTTGAGATGGTTGTTGAAGTCCAAGTTGTCTTCGCCCTTGGTTTGACTGTTGATGCGATTTAGGGATGACCTCTCTTATATTCGGAACAGCTGGCCTAAAACCGGGAATGAAAAGGCCGATACTCATGGATCCATAACTGCACAATCCCGAGGATTTCAAATCCACCATCATAAATCGTCCGCCTTCCGTTTGGATGCCGCAATGCCCCACATCGAACGGCGAAAATTTGCCCGATGCCTCCTTGCAATTATCAATCCGGATATCAATCCGGACACGCTAACCAAGGCAAGCACACCACACCACCATCTCGCGCGTAGGAAGCTGTGAATTCGGGATGCGAGGCTTCTTCACCGCGTGAGTCATATGCCGAACAACGAGTTGGGGTTTGCTCACCGCTGAGGGGATGTTTGAGTGACGAGGAGCCCGCAGGTTGACCCATCTCACGATGGTCCGTGTCAGCAACACCATCCTGTTGCCAAGAGACTTGGCACTTCTCTCTCTTTGAATTGTGGGCAAGGTAAGTGGCACACTCAAGCCAAGCTGCAATTAGTCGTTGGAACCAACAGGTTTAATTTCGATCAATGAGTTACGTTGAGCATCTCACTTACCTACGAAGTACGTACCGGGCTAAACACTCGTCAAGGGTGTACCGTGTCCTCGGGACCAAGAGGAATGGAAGTTATGGAACAGAATCACATATTCCAGTGCCGGCCAAATGGGCCATTGGGTGATCCTGAACGGGTATATAAGACATAAGAAAAGGGGAGAAGAAGGAGTTGTGCGTTGGAGGGTTACGGTGAGTTAAGGGTCACCGGGACCATGCCTGCCCAAGTTTGGCCGGCACGCCCACCACAAAGGTACCTAATATGAACGGGAATGGTAGTTGTGTCGATATTCAACCACAGTATACGTCGTTGGAGATTTAACATGCCGAATCCCAAGTTGGGTTTCGGGTTAGAAAGGGCGTAATTAGCAGCGCCCCAGAGGCTCTTACTCGGAAACGGCAACCAAAGGCGGGTGAACCTTACCAAATTGTCCCGGACCGGCTTCGGGCACCCAAAGTGTCGGTCCTACAACCGATCGCTGGCTGATATAACCGGACTAGGACATGTGCAGCGGCATCTTGTTCCGGCCCGAGGGAACAGCCGAGACATCAACACGACGCTGCGACTGCAAGCCACAAGGGCTCCCCGCCAGACAAATCCGATCCCGGAGCCTGAGACTGGCTGCCCATTTACCACCGCCCCTGCCATTCACATGCGCTATATTGCGGCGGCGGGCTTCGTGGATACCTATCTACATGTATCCAACAGACGTGGGAGACAGCTAAAGTGAGGGAATTCGCCCTCTACGACGTCAAAAGCATACTCCTCCTACCCTCTCAATGATGGGTAATTTATCCATGAAATAAACTTATGCCGCCTGACGCGAGGGGCCTATCTGCCTGACCACATCGAACACCGGGGATTCCTGTCATTCTGAGGTGGACACATAGTAGTATTCTTGCGATGTCCAACACGTACCAGGTTAGTCTTGGGTTTGCTTTATTTTACAGTCATCCGTTTTGACACTTAGCGTAGGACGCAGTTGAACTACTTCGTTCTCGTTCCAGGCCATGGCTCAGGAAGCAGAATCCTGGGCGCTCGCGAAGGAGTCGACCGAACAATATGGGCATGCGAGAGTGGCTCTTAGAGCTGGGTCATGAGGTTGGATAATGTACCCGGTTAACAATCATGTTCTAACTAGCTCGACAGACCAGCAGCTTCAACATCATACACATAACCGGCACGAAGGGCAAAGGTAGCACAGCTGCCTTTACGGACTCGCTCATACGCGCGCATTTCCATCGTCTTTCACGTCCTGTCAAGGTTGGCCTGTACACGTCGCCACACCTGATCACTGAGCGGGAAAGGATCAGAATCAACTTTGAGCCCCTCTCAGAACAGGTTTTCGCAGGCTACTTCTTCGACGTGTGGAACACATTGCACAAGAAGGCTGCCAATGATGAGTTCATGCCCGGATATTTACAGCTCTTAGCTTTGACTTCTATGCATGCGTTCAAAAAAGAGGCCGTCGACGTGGTAATCTACGAGGTCCACGCCGGCGGACGGAAAGACGCAACAAACATTTTCGAGCGGCCCGTAGCATGTGGGTTCACGACAATAGGGCTAGACCATGCTGACCTCCTCGGGGATACCATTCGAAGCATAACGTGGCACAAGAGCGGCATTATGAAGCCCGGACAGCGGGCGTATTCTGTCATCCAACAAGAAACCGTGGCGAGGGAAGTCCTCGAGGAGGAGGCTGCCAAACTGGACTGCCCGCTCCAGTTTGTGGATACATTCGCATACCTACCTGAGCATCCCAGATTGCGTCTGCCCGCCCAGAAACAGAATGCGTCGCTGGGTATTCGCCTAGCCAACGCCTATCTTGACACATACAACGAGAAGTTGAGTGCAGATGATATCAGGATCGGCACAAGTCAGTGTGACTGGCCTGGACGGTTCCAAAGAATACAAAGAGGCACTCATCACTGGGCTCTGGATGTGGCGCACAACTCTCTCAGCCTTCCCGTCGCATTGGAATGGTTTAAATCCGAAGTCCGGTCATGCCACACCCGCCCGGAGCCACGGACAGCACTCATTTTCGGTCACGAATCTGCCCGTGACACTTTCGCGCTCATCGTTACCATCGCCCGATTTTGCGAGCAGCACGACTTTCGGTTTGATCTAGTCATTCTCTCGCCGTATAAGCGTTATGGTATGTCGACCCGGCATTGATCCTTCTTGTCTGCTCTGACGGATAATTAGGTCTCGAGGTGTACGACCCTGTGGCTGAGGGACATGCGGGAACTTGGCAGACCATGCAGCCGTTGACAGAAATACGGTGTGCTTCTTCTCTCGCGGAGGCGACAGGGATGGTCACAGAGCGATGGGGCCGGGACGCACTCTGGACTCTCATAACAGGGTCGACATACCTTGTCGGTGAAGCCCTGGAATGGTTGTCGCAGATCCGAATGGAGTCATTGGACATATGACTGGACAGAACCGGGTATGATAATGCTATCTACCTATCTACCTAGGTAATATAGAACCACCGCCCCCCCCCCCCCCCCCCCACCCCCGCAAGAGAGTTCGTATAAGACAATGGGGTTTCTTGCGACTGAAGGTGCAGTGATGTCGCCGCTCGTGGGGCGGTGCTGCAGGGTTGCATGTGCTGTTCCCTCCCTCATTGTGTCTAGTCTCAACCAACTTCTAATTATTCCGGGGTTGCGAAGATTCCTCAACACATCATCTTGTTGAACCATCCAAAAAAAAGGCAATCCAACTACCCGCCAAGGGGATTTGTTATTGTCTTGATGGCTGAACGGCCTGAACTCTTCCAAACCACACGTCGTCGCTCACCGTGACATGTAGGTAGGTAGGTACCTACCTAGGTACATAGGTAGGCTAGTAACATAGCACCCCAAGACTGGAAATCTGTCTGTTAATGACAAGGTTGGGCAACAGCGAAGGAAAACTAATAGACAATGCTACCCAGCGAGCCTAGGTACCTAATATAGATAGGAGATTAGGTATGTAAGAATATAGCAGGCCCTCTATAATTATAACACACGACAACATTTGCATGCAACCGTTAGGACTTGGGTAGTCTATTATATCAAGTAATTTTCCGTCCCGTCATGGTCCCAAATTGACCAACGTAAACCGTGTCGCTGTCTTTGCGCCCTCCTAACCGGTCCCGGACAGCAGTGGGCCATGACGCCATGTCGGTCGGTGGCGAGCCTCCAAGGAAAGCTCCCGCCACACTAATTTTGTGTCATCCGTTCGCTACTGGGCGAATGGTGATTTTGAAAAGGTCCCTCCTCAACTTCAGCACAAGGGTGATTTTGTTTTGTTAACCACTGTGGCACGGTGGGGCAAAGGTGGGTTGCAAATATGGGGAAGACCTACTTGGACGGTATATCGGCCTGGGTAGTTTGACTCGAGGTACTGATTCAACGCGGCAGATGTTACCCTGCTGGTAGAGACCACAACAGTGTCATCGCTTATCCATTCAACACCTGGAATAGGAGAAGGATAGCGACTACCCGAGAAGGGTTGTGCCGTCGAGGTTGTGAATGTTGACGTGTTCATGGGGCCGGCCTGTCTTTTGTCAGAGAGGTCCAATACCAAGTAGTCTGGGTCAAACAAGCTATGGACGCAAGAAGGCGGAGGGAGGTCCGGATCTTGTGGACACAGGTCCAACCGCCCCATCCCTCGTGACCTCCGACTCTCATCTTTTGGGTTGGCTCAGGGGCTTGTGTTGGTGACATACCACTGACCGCGATACCGGTCGAATTGAAGGGCTTAGTGATGTGCACAGCTTTTGTGACAAGGACGGGGAGCGTCCGAGGTAAATATGCCCACGCTAACTTTAGGTACCGAGGTACCTTATGGAGGTACCGGAGTATTTACTGTGTCTTTGCCAGCTGATAATGCCTCGTTGACAGGAAACGCCTTGGTTGGGAGAGTGTGCGGAGCCGACTGCGCCACTTAGGGAAGATTGCGAGGTACCTATAGGTAATCAACCGCAAGTTCAACACGAGTGGCCTTGAAGCCAGAGGGGTAACTTGCCGGGTTGCCCCGACCTATCCCTCGCAACCACGCTCACCCATGCACACCGGTATTCTCTTCTGGGCGCCAAGTGAGGGGTTGAGGCTCGCTGCCAGTCAGCAAACCGCAGCAGAGCTCTGTAAAACCGTGGCCAGTGAACGTTCCGCGAACTGAAGTCACACAGCAGCCAGGAACCCAAAACAAAGGAAAAATACGAGCTAACAGCAGAGCCTCGCCCCATGCTCGCTCACTCTTTTTTTTTCTGAACCCCCCCACCGAATTCGACGTGTCTCTCCTCTCAAACTTGCGAGACGCAATCAAAGGCACGGTTTCCCTCTTGATTGCGCATGAGATACCCCATTCTGCCCGGTGACATAATTACGATACATGTATCGTCGGGTTTTCCCAATTATGATCTTGAAAAGTCCGAGTCGTTTCTCGGGAGATTCTCAGCTCTACTGGTATCGAACATGGCCGCAACGATGATGGCGCCCGGCCTCCCTCGGTCGCAAACCACTACTCCGCTAGCAATAAGTGGTTTCGTGATGGATGATGTCAAACGGGTTGAAAAGCTTGACGACCGGGGAGAAGCCTATTACCGCATCCGTCTTGGTCAAGGACGCAGAGACATCAGGGTCGGAGAAACAACAGACAACGTCATCACCGCCGTCGGGGATCAATTGGATGAAGCCCAGGTCATCTTCGACCCACAACCCGAGGAGGACTGCTTCATCCCCCGCGAGTCCTTCGAGGCGATCATCACCCCTGAAGTGATCGCGCAAGTCGTCAACCAACTCCCGTGTTACGAAAACATCAGCCCCAAAGAGCGCATCCAGGTAGCCGGCGACATTTACTACGGGAAGGATTCAAGCCCCGGAGCCCCCAAACCCTGCCGGAAGTTACTGGCTACGCTGATCGGGGTCCAGGCCGGAAAGGGGCTTGATACCGTGGATGAGATCAAGAGACACATGGACGAAGGGATGAATGACGACTGTCTCCCCCTCCTTTCCGGCCCCGACGGTCAGCTCATCTGCCGGTTCCATCAACATGCCCACCCGTTTATAAACCACAGACGGCCCCGTCAGAAACAGTGGCGGAAGCATTTTGTGCGCTGGTCCCAAACTCTCATGGTGCCTTACATTGTGTGGGGGGAAGGTCCGGAGCGCTTGCATCGACATTATGTTATGCGCGGCGGCGGCCCCCTTCCCATGGTGGTGGTGTCGGACTCGTCAGAACCACATGCGCACCACAGCGGCGGGTTTGGTGACGTCCTCAAAGTCAAAATACATCCCGGCGACCGGAACTTCCAAGGCTCCGGGGTATGTTTCCACGAAGACGACTTCGTTGTTCCGAACTATGCTAATCGAGTCTCGGCAGACCCAAGACAGCTTCTTTGCGTTGAAGAAGCTCAAAGAAAACGGCGAGTCCGCGCGGACAGAGTTCGACTTGGAAGTGCGTTCTCTGATTTTCGCCGAGAACCGCGCGAATCACGTCCCGGGGCCGGGCGATACGGAAACGAGGAGCAACGCCATCCAACTTCTAGCTTCGTTTGAAATCCACGACTCGAAGTCGAATCACCCCACGTACTACCTCTTGTTCCCCTGGGCCGACGGGAACCTGGATGAGTTCTGGAAACAGCAGGACGGAAAGTTTTCTCCACGGGATCCGGCGCAAACGGACTGGATGGTTGAGGAGTTCTACCGTCTAATCAAGGCCCTCCAGTGCCTGCACAACGACCGCCAATCCATCCTGTCCAAAAGGACCGACTCCAATCGGTATGGGCGGCATGGCGACATCAAACCGGGCAACTTCCTCTTCTTCGACGACATCAATGGCCCCGGGTTCAAGCTTGTGCTGGCCGACTTTGGCCTGGGCCGGTTGCACAGCAGGAATAGCAGGTCTAAGGCGTCCCCGAACGTGCCGAAAACGGCCACGTATGCAGCCCCCGAGTATGACCTAGAAGGAGGTGTGCTCTCGCCCCGGTCCGACATTTTCAGCCTTGGTTGCGTGCTGTTAGAGCACATGGTGTGGCTCTTCCAGGGCCACGGCGGCGTGGAAGCCTTCGCAACCGAACGTCTGTCGAGGGATCACTACGGGTTTGAGTCGGATATCTTCTGGAAGATATCAGAGTCCGACCCAAAGTCCGCAGAGATCAAGGACAATGTCGGGAAGCAGCTTGCGACGCTCAAGAATCACGATGACTGTGTGGAAGTGATCGGCGAAATACTGGAAATGATCGAGAAAATGATGCTCCAACCTAAGCAGAAGGATAGATCCACCGCCCAAGAACTCGTCCATGAAATGGAAAGAATCCGGAGCAGGTGGCAGCGCCGAGACGCGTTTTACGGGACACGGGCGTGGAAAGACAGTCGGTCGCCCAACCCCCACCTGCATCAAATAATATCTGCTGGATTTTATATACATAGCCAGAGTACTAACCGTGTGCTTCCCCCAACAACAGGTATCACACCGCCCATCAACTCTACGATAACAACTCTCCAAGACGACGCCATCCTCGTTGCGGAATCACCAAACATGTCGGACGCCACCTCGGCAAGCCCAGATTCTTCCGAATATGATCCTGGTACGGGGCCCGAACCGGTAGTTGGCCTTTTCGCGAAGGGCAAACCCCTAAGCCCTCTCTCACCCATCTATATCGATGCAGGACAGGCTTCAGGTCTCGCAGCAGATCGATTCGTGAGCCACCCGTCGAGACCTGGAGATGAGTCGGAGGGACAAACACATCCGTTTATCCCATCGCCTCCCCACGAGGGTGATATGGGGCTGGACGATATTTATGACAACGCGCTAGAGGCCGCTTCTGTCCCTGCACGTGAAGTGGTGGCACAGCAGCTCCTCGATCACGATGCCAGTGCTCCCGCGCAAGGTGGGGAACTCGAGAAGAGCGTTGTGCACAGAGCTATGCCCAACGACAGTATTGCAGAGTTTAGGGTTGGGGACTCCGACCCTGCTTCGTTCACTAACCCAAGCTCTGCTTCCAGAGCGATGCCTAGCAATAGTATCGCGGACTCTGACCATGCTTCATTCACCAACGGAAGCTATGCTGAATCCATCTTCTCCAACCCTTCGCCAGCGGAATCGGTGATTTCCAGACTCTCATTGGAGGAAGTTGGGTCTGCGAAGGCCGAGATGGTCACATTCTTTCTGGCTGATGCGGAACTTCGGCCTTTATTCGTTGCCGCCATCAAGGACCCTGCTATTGGCGGTGATAGGCTCGAGAGGAACTTTCGAAGATTGCTAACGGAATATTCCACTGAGGTTCTTGCAATCGCCAATGTCAAGATATATCGGGAAACTGCCAAGCTTCTGAGATACAACGCGTCATTCATATCCGAAAGAGTTCGTCGGCATTTTGAGCCACAAGCTCCAAGATCCTCTCCTGCGTCGATGATGGAGATGGAAGGTCAGGACGAGGCTATAGGAAAGCGTCAGGTGCTCGATAAATACATCAAGTCACAGCTTCGTGGGCATGGTTCTGGGTCCGATGACGCTGGCCCTGAAGTCGCAGTGGAGACTCAACCCGAACTCGAGCAGGGAGAACCCGATCGACTTTCCGAGGCCTCTTCGGGACGAGACAGTGACGAAGCAAGCATTATGACAGCTCTAAACGAGGTCAAGGAGTTCTTGAGTTCTGGAGACCCCATTAGCCACTTGAGAACAGGACTCAGGAATTTTGTTACACCTAAACTCAAAGAACCAGAAGAACAATCCGCGGCGAAGTTGGACGCAATGCATTCAATCGAGCCCGAAACTTCACCCGAAACTTCACCCGAAACTCCACCCAAAGCTTCACAGATTGCGTTGGAGCCTAACTCATCTGCACAAGGAGTTCCGGTTGAAGGGTTTGCGACGTCACTTCCCGATTTTGTCGACTACCTATTCGGCTTTCTCCCACTTCCTTCCTGGGAACCTCCCGTTCCTCCTGGAAAGGGCCGTGTCCGATGGAAATGTGTACGTGCATTGCTCTCTACCTACCTAGGTAGGTAATTTGACGTTCTTGTTCACTGACAAATAACATATAGAAATGTGGTACCAGCCTCTATGATGACTTTACCGAATTGGAACCAGGCTCGTTACAGGATTTAGAAACTGAACTTCGAACTGCAAACAATGGCGATTCTCAGCCCAGCCACGAATATACCTGGAGTGCTACGGGTATATTGTCCGCCTTGGGCAACCCGATAAGGATAATGACCCATTCGTTGCGCCGAGGGAGAGCTAATGACGCTATTGAGCTTCCCTCCCACAATGGACCACACCGGGCTATCACACACCAAGCCAGCACACACCAAGCCAGCACTGGCACACAACAAGCTGGTAACTTGGGGACATCCAAGGACTACATGCGACATCTTCTCTGCTGTATGCATAGTGGCGAGACGGGGACCAAACTTCACCAAGAATGCATATCCCGTGAATACAAAGACAGAGAACTAGGCAAACTTCTGAATGAGGTGTACCGGAGCCAGAGAAGCATCTTGTCCCGGTTCACTTTGCGACATGTCTCAAAGCTACATTTGACAAGAGTAGGTTTTCCCCCGCCTGCGCCAGACGTTGCACGGCTAATAATCACTACTCTAGTTCGAGGTCGACTTCAGCTCCCTTGTCCAGATCCATCTACACGACAAGACCTGTCATCTTCCGGACTGTGTCTGCTTACCTACCCCCGACCTTATCACATGTAGGGAATATTGCTGCGGACCCGCGCCAGAGACCAAGCCTACAAAGGTGCCCGTCCTCGGAGACAACTATCTGATGCATTTCTTCAAGAGCCCAGAATGCGTTCTCGACGAGCAGAAAATGATCTTCAACCAGCTGCCCAAACGCCTGCGTGGACCCCTCGCGGCGGGGCACGACGAATTTATGCTTGGGTGGGGGTTATACTTCGAGGAGGGATGGCACTGGAGGTCAATCTACTTTATTTTTGTTGTGGTGGTCATATTGAGTCTAGGTCTCGGCATCGGGTGGTTCATTTGGAGGGGAGATATCCAGAGTGGATTCGCGATAACCAGTACTTTGTTTACCCTGGGAAGTCTGGTCGTCGGCTATCTGACCCTGAGAAGCCGTTAAGATATTCATCTACGCTACTAGCTTCGCCTCTAGTTGTGTGTATCAATGGCTCAATGGCTCAACAGGATCTATTTGTTTGCTGGACTTGACGCTAATATTGTACAGTTTTGTGATAATGCTCCCGTGCGGCGAGAGTCCCCCCCTCCGGCCTGGTTAATGCTTTTGCGCATCCAAGAGATGGAATTCATTGTGGCGGCCCGTACTCCGTGTTGGGATTGTCGTTCCGTTTTTGGGGAGACACCCGTCGCCGTTCTCTGTAACGCACTCCTGTTCCCTGCCACCAGGTTTATTGGCGGGGGGGGGGGGGGGGGGGGGGGGGGGGCGCAAATTGATAATTGGTTTACGGTGTGTTTCGAGGAGTCTAATTGTGTTCCGCCTTTGACCATCTCTGAGTTCAACTCCTTATATACTCAGTAAAGCGCTTAACCCAAGCAGACAACATGCACATATCTAACCGAGAGTTTCCATAACGATCTCGAAGACCAATACAAGTTACGAAGACATGAGAAGAGCTTGACAGGAAGATTGAGAATGCACTGTATAATAGTGACAATCCCCTGTGAATCGCGTCCCCTTCACCATGTCCTTGCCGAATCACTCTTCGTGGAAATACTTACTAAGGCTATACGATGGTCACTAGGAAGTAATACAAGAGGATATCACGCATTTCAACACCGGTCAAATAAGCCATTGGTAATCCTCTACATTAGACAGGAGGAGAAAAACGCGCGAAAAGGCAGCAAGTTTCTCATAGCCCAGTCGTAATACATCCCAAACACCAATACCTCCGTGAAATTTCTCCCGCGGGACATATCCCAGGCTATGCAACTTGTAGCAGCGTAAACCGTTCCCGAGGGCCAATCCTTAACCGGGTTGTCTACTGTGACAGTGACCGAAAGGGAAAAACACCAACCTGAAACGCCAAATTGTGATGGAAGGGCGTTGTCATAACTCATTAGACTCCAGGGTTTGTGTGAGCCTGGTAGTCGAGCTGAAAATGGTGCTGTGTGAAAAGGTGTGAGAGGGAAAGGGGATGCGGCGTGGCTTGAGGCTTTTTGAAAGCCGCGAGTATTACGCCTAGCCTCGAATATTGGAATCGTAACGTCTCGGGACTTTCATTAGAGCCAATGGTGATATGTTGGGAGAGAACATTCTATGACGGGTGACCGGTACTAACGCGCTAGAATAAGGTGCAGTTGTGAATTCGAAAAGCCGGCGTTGAAATAAGAGTGAGCAAAATTGACGTACCGAGATGAATAAGGGGCAATGTCGCGCATCTCGTGATAAATGACAGTGGGCTGTTGAGATGGAGTTCAGGCTTGGAGAGGAGCGCTGTGGCATGCCTTAATCCCTTTCTCAAGGTTGTTGATAACACCGGTGACCGCGTCGGCAAGTTCAATGAACCGCTGGGAGAGGTCTGTTTGGTTTTTCTCGTCCGAAGGGGGATCATCTTCCTTCTCGACCTGGTCATTTTTCTCGGCCGGGACGTTCTTCGTTTCGCTGGGGTTGGCAAGCTCCTCCTCGGCAGCGGCGGCGGCCATGGCGTCCTTCTTCATGGCGCGTCGGCCCTTGCGCTCTTTGGTCACTTTCTTGGGCATCCTCTTGGCCATCTGAGCCTGACTCACGGCAAGATGGCGCTCGCGGTCGGCCAACGTTCCGCCCGTGACCTTGTACTCGAGTTTCACCTCGGCGATATACTTGCGGATGAGCTTGTTCTTGAAGACGGTATGTTCGAGGCCGTCGAGGCAGCCGTTCTCGCAGTAGCAGAGAGTTCGGGATGCCTCCATGAGCGGGCAGCTACATTTGGTGTCGTCGCGCTTGGGCCTGGCGAGGGACTTGAGTAACTTGTGGTCGGCGTCCTCGAAAAGGGGGTCGGTGATGGGAGAGACGCCCTTCACTTCCGTCCAGCGCTTTCCGGGTATGTACTCCTCCCTGACGAATGCACGGGTGAGGGGCAGTTGTGTGAAGCACAACAAGTCCCACTCCCCGATGGCGAGGGCCACCCAATCAACCCGCGTGTCCCAAGGCGGCATCCCGGCGCGGTTCGTGATGAGGTGGGTGACCAGCGTGGCTGGCGAAACCCACTCCATCATCGGACTAATGAGAGAAACGGGGTCAGTACGTCTTCTGCAAGCCCTAGGCCTGGTTGAGGGCTTCGAAATCACGAGAGCAAAGCACTTACCAATCGTCTGCATCGTGGTTCACCACGTTACAAAAGAAGCAACCAGCCATGTCGCCCTCCTCGCTGGTGGGGACGGGACAAACCGCAAGGGTGTGGCCGAATGCGCCACAGACCTGAGGGAAACTCGTCAGTCGCTGGCTCTCTGCCGGAAGTGATGGTAGGGAACGTTGAGGAAGAGGAAGCCCACTTACCGGATTCCCGCAGACGGGTCCGGGGCGGGCGCCAGCCTTTGCGCTGTGCGCCGCATGTTCGGAAGCCCGGGCGAACATCTCTTTGAAAAGGGCGCGATTTGCCGTGCTGTTGGCCGAATCATCGCTACCTTCCAGCAGCGCCCGCATTTGGGACCTGCGGGTATGTGTTAGTCCATGTTTCTTCGTTGGGGGGATCTCCCCGAGCCGTCTGGTAAGAGGAGCCTGGGGGTCAGGATTGGGAAGGTGCGCTGGTAGATGAGTGAAACACCTCAGGGAAGGAAGGGCGAGTGAAATGGTGGCAAAAGTCGAGGAAGCTGAAACGCATACCACATCTCGCGGGTGACCGCCGCAGGACTCTTTGCCCCGTCTTCCGACTTGACCGTAGTGGCGCTTTCGCCGACCGCTGAAGAAGAAGCTGCCTGTTTGGCCGACTTCTTCTTGTTCTTTTTGCTGGCGGGGTTGGCGGGGTTGCCGGCGGTAGTGGTCGTGTTGACGACCTCGCGGTCGTCGCCGGACTTGCCGGCCTCGTTAAGTTTTGTCGCCGAAGTGAACGCCTCAGCGGCGCGCGTGATCTTGTCGTTCTCCATCCTGTGGTGAAAAAGGAAACCTGGTCAGCGATCGATTTGCAAGAATAGAAAATAGTAGAGTAGAGCCTAAGTTGGGCGCTGACCTCACTGCTGGAAATGACTAACTTTATAGGTTTGCCCAAGACGACCAGGTTTTCGTTGTCGGTCAGAGAAAACTTTGAAGGGAGAGTCAGGCTTTCCGGCGGGCGTTGTGGCTCGGAAGGTAGAGAACTGCCGCTGCCGCTGTCGCTGTCCAAGACGATCCTCATGACGGGGAAGCCGGCTGGGACTGGTAAGACCCGGGGAGAATTTGCTGTGAACCCCGTGGGTTGTGGTTAGTTCCGCTTTTGCTACTCCGCCGAGCACCCAGACGGGATCGGGGCGTTGAGTATGGCCGGGGGTCACAAGAGTGTAAGTGCTTACCATCAAAGGCATCAAGGGGAACATAATGGCACTCCATCTTGCCGAGATTTGAACTGGATGAAGCCCAGAACAGCTCATACACGTATGGCGATGAAGTAAAAGTCCCATTTTAAGTTGTTTGCGACGTGGGAAAAAGGACTAGGAATGAGAAGGGCGGAGGGCACACCTAGGAATGGAATGGAATATAGGATCTCTTCAGAGAACACAACCAACCGAGCTAGCGTGTAGTCGTTTCATCCCAAGCATAAGTCACTGTGAGACCTTGCTTGGAAAGCCTTCGCGAAAATAACATGGGGCTTGGGCAGTCAGTTGAGTCCCTTTAACTGCTACTTGGCCGAGAGTTGAATCTTGAACCAAGGTGCTTTAGTCCTCACAGATTGGCACACTTACTGAGTTGGTTAGTATTACGGGTGCTATTGTATCACTGTTGTAATGTTTGGGGCAGAATTCGGGTTTAGGTGCTTTGTGTTGGTCTCGGGGAGTGAGGAGCGCTAGGGGGCCTCTGATTCATCTCTTACTTCCTCTTCCCACTGAAAGGAATGCACACAAAAAGGCTTGGTCGGATTTACAAGCTGGTTGTTCTGTTTACTTCGTGTAGCACATGCCCCTTTTGCTACTGGAGCCAAGTAAATACAGTTTTGTAGTATAGGCTGTGAACACCTCCTAAAATCAGACTTTGAAGTGCTTTCAATCTGACCAAAGCACGGTGAAGGGGCTGTGAATATTGCCCTCATCTGGGATTGTTGACCAAGGAAGAAATGCTGCGAACAAGAGGATTTTGAGTCATCGTGGGATATGCAATGCGGTACAAACAAAAAGGTACCTAAACAGGTGGTACTGGAATGAGTGGTATCCCAAGGATGAGTACCCCAGCATCCACTGCTGCCGGGAAGAAATCCCAGGACATCGTTTACGCAAATAAACATTACTATCTATCATAGCCCTCTAACCAAACAGCATGCCATAACAACCCCCATCCAAGAACACCAACACCATCACAAATGCTTCCACCCATTCTCCACCACAATCTGCATCTCATCCACCACACAAAACCCCCCCTTCTCCACCCTCCCCTCCCCAGACCGCGCCCACTTCGCAATCCGGCCCCTCACATCCCGCTCCTCAAACCACGACGAAGTAAACCACCGCGCAAACCGGCTCCGCCACAGCCCAAAATACACCTCCGTCAGCGACAACCAACTCCCCCCACCACCACTACCCCCACCCCCACCATCACCACCATTGACGAAAGTGTGGACGGCGTCGTAGGCGGGCCGGTTGTAGCCGACGCGCACGGCCGGGTTGACAAAGACGCCGCGGGTGCGCGAGCCCGGGTTGTCGGCGTGGATCAGGCAGCACTCGGAGGCCTCGAGGTGGGCGGCGGCGAGCGAGTCCGGGATGCCGCGGAACTTGAGGCCGCGGATGCCGGTGAAGGTGGAGGCGGGCATGGCGACTGCGGATGGGGGTGGGGGTTAGTTGTTTGTTTGCGTTCTTAAGGGCGCGGTGTTTGCGATCTAAGGGTGGGAGGGTGGGGGGTGTAATGGGGTGGTGGGGTGAGCGGGATGCTTACCAATGCCGTTCCAGCAGCTGGAGACGGGGACGGGTTGGGCGTTGACCATGGCTTTGCGGGACTTGGATGAGCGGAAGTAGGGCCATGTTTGTGAAGCGTGCTCGTGGCCGCGGGAGTCGCGGAGAGCGAAGGTGTCGTAGAATGGGGGGGGTTTGCTGAAGTCGAGGGAGCAGGCGGCGGCGTAGTGGCCGTTGTTGGTTTTGAGGAGGTTGAGAACGTCGGAGACCTGGGGAATATTAGCGGAAGAGGATCCATGGAGGACTGAGGAAGGGAAACCCACCGAAAAGACAACGTCGCCCAGGAACAGGACATGGTCAAATGTCGTCCCGTTCATGGCGAGCTCCAGCAACGGCTGCAGCGAGAGATTCCGTAACCTGGACAGGTAGGGGATCCGTCTAGGCATCCTCGTACCATCAGGAATGGTAATCCACCCATCGTCCTCCTGTGGCCCGTTGATCAGGTCTTTGTGCGTCTCTTCCTCCAAGATGATCTTCCTGGGGACGCCTCTCCTGTCCAACTCCTGGTCGAGTTCGCGCAGGGCGCCCTTGGAGTTATCCCAGCTGCCGCTCTCGTAGACACTGACAAAAACGTTGTCGGGCCCAAATGTATTGACCAGCTCGACCACGCCCTTGTTCCACTCGGACCGGAGCATCTTCTCGTTGTTCCAATGCAAACTGGCGATGTAGACGCGCGTCGGCTCAATCAGGACGCCCTTGGCCCTGGCCTCTCGCTCGGTGCGTGCGATGCGGTAATGGCTGATGTGGGCCTCGATTATCGTCCAAACGAGGAACACGAGAAGGAGCTTCTGGACAACTGAGCGCATCTTTAGGGACATGCTGCGAGGGGGTCGGAAAGTCGCCATTGTGAGCTTGAATCGGCCGATTCGCGGTGTCACAAGGATGGCGGCGGATTTCGAAGCGAAGATGGCGAACAGCCATTGCGGGAGCAGCAGGTGGCCTATTTACGTGTCGTGCTCAGGGCCTGGCGATTCGAGCTGCAATGACATGACGTTGAAGTTTCGGCGGGGCGACGCGCCAAGATGCAGCTCCCCGGGGATATCGGCATGAGGCTGCGCTCAGCTGCAGGGGGCCTTGTGCCGACCCACATTCGCACCGTTGAAGTGAGTTATCGATTACAGATTGCGATTACCGATATGGAACCACCAGCACGTCAACTTGGGCCGACTCAGAGGGAACGTTGGAGCTCAAGACTACCTTATCGATAAGTATTTGCATGGCTTCCTCACAAACGAACAAGAACCATCAAATCTCAATCCCCTCCAACACCTCCACACTCACACCGGCCAACCCACCAAGCAACCTCCTCCACAACTCCTTCCCCTCCTCCCCCTCATCCCCCTCACTCCCCTGCCCCCCAACTCCAACTCCAACCCCATACCCACCATTCCCACCACTCCCACTCCCACTCCCACTCCCCCCAGCACCCCCACCAGAACCACCCCCAACAACACCCCCCGTCCTTCTCCTCCCCGCCAACGTCTCCCGACTCCCCAAAACAACCACCCCCGCCCGCGCCCTCGTCAGCGCCACATTCATCCGCCGCTCGTCCTTCAGGAACCCGATCTCCCCGCTCTCGTTGCACCGCACCGTCACCAGCACCACCACGTCGGCCTCGCGCCCCTGGAAGCCGTCGATGCTGGATACCTCCACGAGGGATGTGCCTGTGGCGGTGCCGGTGTTGGAGAGCAGGCGGCGGAGGAGGTCGGCTTGTTTGGCGTAGGGGGTGAGGACGGCGATGGATTGCGGGGTGGGGGTTGTGAATGGTGGGGAGGGGGGTTGGGATTGGGGGTGGGATTGGGAGTGGGATGTCGGTGACTGGGGCGTGGTGGTGCTGGTTGATGCGGGGGGGTTGGTAGTGGTGGTTTTGGAGGAGGAGGTGCCAGTGGTGTTGGTGGCAGACTTGGAGGTGGTGGGCCGCGCTTTCAGCAGCAGGCGGCACACGCGCGCGCACAGCTCGGCCTGCCCCGCGTTGGTCTTGGACTTGCCGCCGAGCTCCTCGCGCGCTATGCAATCGATGAAAACGCTACGCGCTAGGTCGTTGCCGTTGCCGTTGCCGTTGTCATCAGGGTGTGGGTGGGATGTTGGGTGCGCGTCCGGGCTCTGTGCTGGCCATGGAAACGCGGACTGAAAGAGCGGACGTGCGCTGGATGGGATGCCCGTTCGCAGGCGGTGCGAGTAGAACTCAGCCGAGGGGAAGGCGCTGATTGACGGGTGCATGCGGTACTGCGTGTCGAGCATCAGGAGGGCGAGGGCCGGCGGGGAGGCGAGTGGGGAGGGGTTGGCGGCTGCTGCCATGGTAGCGGTTGACTGTTGCGTGTAGAGCCGCTCGAAGAGGGACTTGTCAAATTCCATGGCCAGGGAGTGCTGCTGCACGGTCGGTCGGAGTTGGACGTGGTCGCCAACTAGGATGGCTTTCTGGCAGCCCTTGACCAGCGGGACCAGTGAGGCTGGCTCTGTCTGCTGGGACGCCTCGTCGACGATGACCATGTCGAACGCCTGCTCGCGGAGGAGGCCAAGACCTGCGCCGACGCAGGTGGTGAAGATGATGCTGCATTCCTTGACCCTTTTCTTTGCTTGGTTTAGGGCCGCGCGGTTGGCGTGGATCTCCTGGCCCACCATAGCGTCGCACGTGTACTTCCTCAGGTCTTCGGCGACCTTTCTGATCTCGGTCGAGACACGCAGCGGGACGAGATGCGGGTTGCTGGCTAGAACCGTCGAGCTCACTTGGCCGATATATCGTCGCAGGACGTTGTCCACGGCGTTGTGTGTTGGGGCTGTCACTAAGATCCTGGGTTTGTCGAAGCAAATCTGGAGAGCGCGGATGATTTGGACAATCGTCTCCGTTTTCCCTGTCCCTGGCGGGCCCCATAGACAAGTAACAGGTGAGTTTAGAGCGGCCTGAACCGCGTCGTTCTGGCTCGCATTCAGATTTTCCTTCTGGGGGTACTCGGGTAGGACTCGTTTGGCATTGATGTCCAGGTCGAGGCCTCGAGACCCGGGGACGTCACCCAAGAGGATCTGATTCGCTACTTCGCAGCAATCTTCGAAATGTACGGCGAAGCGGCGCACCGCGTCGAACATGGTCTTGGTTGTAGTGAACGGCCCGCAATACTCCAACTTCCACGGGCATCGCTCATAAAAGGAAGGAAGCGGATGGAAGCATTGGAAGCGAGCGAGACCCTGCTCGGAGTGTATGACCAGAGCATCGATCGAGTATGGTTTGGCGAGGATCACGTTGGCCGGTGCGGTTGCCGCAGTCAGGCGTACATGTGCTGAGTTTTCAGGCGTGCCACCGGTTGAGTCGATCCTGAAGATGATCTCGACGACTTGATATCCGTCACGGTCCTCGGGTAAGAGCTTCAACTGTAGCAAGTCCCCTCTCGCCTTTGCTTGTTCTGATGCCTCCCCAACGTGATCAAGGGCAATCGCGATGGTATTGTGGACGAAATGGCGAACCAGAGCGGGTCGGCCTGGGAGAAGACGAGCGCTCTCCCGTTCGAAGCACTCGAGGAGGATGTCCTCGGCAATATCCGGTTGGCGCACAGTTAGTGCGGCTAGCTCAACAAGGTTGGCGAAGCTGTCCAACGTCAAGCTGCGGACTCGTGATAAAAATGACCGCAACGGAGCGAGAACCAGCTCCTGTGCCTCGTTTGCTGAGAGGATGTAGCCGCGGAGGACCTCTACCGACCAGACCCCCATCTCTAAATTCTCGACGTTTCCGTCTCCAGGCTCGACTGGCTCCATGCGGCCGAAGCTGATGGCGAGAAACGGGGCTGCCTTGAGAAACGTAATCATCGTAGGTAGCAGGATTGTCGGCCGGATATTATCAAGACCACCGTTTCTCAATGCGGCGAGCAGGTAGTCGAAGCTTCGCAGCAGAAGGGACTGAGAACGTTCAAGGAGCCAGGTGAAAACTTCCCCGAATTGCGCGGGTGTTTCCAGTCTCTTGAAGGCTGCCATATCCTGCTGCCGGGCGATATCAACGATATAAGCTGGTTCCGAATCCCAATCGACGCCTTTCAGGCTGGGAATCGTGTACTCCTCGATTTCCTTGTCGAACAACGGAAGCCTCGTTTCCGTATCGATGTGTTCGAGCCAAAGGTCAAGGGTCCGCATCGAGTTGACGTCTCTGTTGCTGATGACATATATTTCCTAGACCTCGTGAGCAGGGGGTGACTCCTACATTTCCTAGTAAACTCACCGCATCAGAAAGGCCGTTCCGGTTTACCCTCCCAACATGTCTCTGAAGACCACTACTGAACTTGTTAAGCGCAATACTGACCCGGTAGTCGAAGTTCATTCCACTGTCGATAGTCTCCTGCCGCTGTCTCCGCCGGTCACCAACGTTCTCGGTGTTCCGATACGAGCTGTCGTCTGACCGACCCCTGACAATGTAAATCCAGGTATTCGCCCGCTGCCCTTCAAAGAGCTGGAACGCCCCCTCGTCGCAGTACAGCTGGTACGTCATCTTGGTGGGAAGGGACATCCGGCTCTGCATCTCAGTTCCCTGCGTGTGGGGGAACGCGAACAGCCGCACCGTGTCGTCGACTAGCGAGTCTTGGGCCGGCTCGATAATCCGCGGGACGTAGATGGCAAGCGTGAGCCGCTCGTCGACGCGCAGGACGAGCAGCTTGCGGTGGAAGAGACCCATTGTCTTGCTCGCAGTGTCCAGAAAGGTGGCTAGTCGATCTCGTGAGGAATCGAAAACCCGTTTCCATTGTACGCCGTGGTGATTAAGCTGGAATCGGGCCGCAGCTGCTTCGGGGAGCAGGTTAGACGAACGGACAGCATTCCGGACCAGTGCGGAGATATCTTGTGAGGCGGGAAGTTGTTGTAAGATCCACGCCCTCTCCTCGCTGGTCAGGACATTCAGATCAAAAAGGTGAAGGAGGTCCTCCAGCCGAGCCCCGTTCTTGCGGCACCACCGCAAGGCCATGCGAAGAAGTTCATATTCCGAGACGGCAATGTCCTCGCGGCTCAAGAGGAGCTCGACAGCGTCAAAATCGTACCCGTCTAGTGCTCTTCCGCGGTCTGATGCCTGGGCTTGTTGGATGAGTTGCTTGGCAGCATCATGGACATCATCAAGAATGAAAGGCAGGGCATCCTCGGGTGGACGCGGGGCTTTCTCCAGCTTCTGAGGTACCCTGATGCGGTTGCCATCCACGCATTGGGAGAAGAGCCTGTTGAGTTCCTGGCACTGCTCGGCCATAGGCCCACACGCCCGAGCCCAGTCGAGGTAGAGGTTCTTGACACGGCCCAAGGATGCGTTGGTGTAACGGGCGAAGTACTCGAGACGGTCGTCGTCCGTAATGGGTTCGAACCTCATGCGCTCTTTGCCACCGGGGTACTGTGCCGGCTGTGACATGGTGGCCGGAACGATGCCGCTGTCCCAACACACAAAGACTGTCACAAAATCAGCCATGCTGAGTAGGTGTGCGCATGGAAGTAGGAAATACTTACAAGTATCACCGTCCAGGTCACCCCCCGACATCAGATCCGCGGCTGGCCTACGGCCTTGGGTGGAAAATACGATGCAATCAACCAAGTGAGCAAGCTCCCGTTTCTCCACGACTTTGAATTTCTGCATATCCCCCGGATGGAGGCACGGGTTTCTCGTGACCAGGACGTCGCACCCCTTCAAGGCGGCCGGCTGTCCGTCCCCGTCCATGGTGATCTTGACGGCGCACTCGCCCTCTTTCAAGACACCCCAGGCATCACAAACACCGAAGAGGAGCCTTGACTTGGGGAGCAGAATTCGGCATTTCTGCTCGCGCCTCTTGTTGAGCATCTTGTCATACTCATTCTTGACGAGGGCCTGGATCTTTGGCCGAACAGACTCCAGCGAGTCCATCAACACGCGTTCGGCAAGCTCGGGCATGTTGAGGTAGGAGAGGAAGCGAAACGCGGACCTGGAATCTTGGGACGCGTCGGAAAGGAAACGGAAATGCTCCTCCTGCTTTTGCTTGATAACGGCACGGTCTACGCCCAGGGCATCAAGGAGAACGATGACCTCGTCGTTGAGGTAGCCATAAGTGTACGGCTGGAGCGAGATGTCAGCAGGGACGACGGGGTCGAGGCACTGGAGACGGGTCGAGGTTTCGTACCTTTGAGTACTCAACAACCGAGAACGAGTGGTCGTCGCCGCCGGAAAACTTCTTCATGGACTTCCTCATCCTCAGTAGGAACTTCTTGTCCTTCGCCATGGCTGGATCGACGGTGACCACCCCCTTGTAGCCGCGGTACCTGATTTGCAGAACGGAGGGGGTGTAACGGCGGTCTCTGAAAACGATGCCAACTCTCCTCGCCAGCTCTTGGGCGAGTTGGGGAGCAATCAAGCCGCAGCCGTCGGTGAAGATGTAATCGGCGGTCTCGATGTCTGGAATATCATCGACTCGGTCTGGCGAGATGGTCATGGCTGCCTTGGCCGTGGAGAATAGAAGACCGATCCGCTTGGCCTTCTTCGCAACCGTCTTCATCTTTGAAAAGTCGCCCAGCGACTCAACCCTGCGGGAGATGACATCCCTGGGGGCGGCGTAGAGAAAACAGGTGCGGGACTGGAGCTGGCTGTTGCTGTGGCCATAGAAGTTGTAATGTACCCCCTGCAAAGTAATGCCGGTTTTGAGGACCCTGGTAGCGTAGTCGGCACACTCTCTGGGAGTTAGGGGCTGCAGAGCGGTGGCAGTGCTTGTCGCGTCCTGGGCAGGCTGTGGATGTTGTGATCGGGGTGGGGAGCGAAGCTCGGCAATGGAAACCACAAGAAACTTGTTGAGCGGCTCTCCACGGATGGCTCGGTTGTCTTCAGCCCTCTCGAATGATAGCACGATCTCGTTTCTTCCTCCTGTGGTGATTAGGCTAATCGTCTTGATGAGCCTCCTCTGATCAAGTTCCCGAGCAGGTTGGAGATTTTGAATTTGATATTTCCACTCGCGATTGTCCAGGCTGATGGGGCTTTGCAATGTGAGCCGAAGACTTGCGAGATTGGCCTTCTTTGGAGGGGCATGAGTCGTCTTGGGAGGCATGGTGTAGGCAGAGGTGGCCCAGGGGCAGTCGGCTTGTTTGTTGGAACTTGGAAAGTGCAGGATTCTGAGTCGACACCAGCAAGTCAGTTTAGGCTTTTCAAAGCAGATGTGGTGACATGTCTAAGAAGGTCAAGGGAAGACAGGGGTTGCGGAGACAGACATACCAACATTACCCAAGTTACACAACAGCCTTAATGCAGTGCATGTTGCACAACTTCCCCGCCCGTTGTAGGCCTCACTTACTCGAATAGGTAACCGCTCGGTGGCTGCCGACGGTGAGGACACTGCATACCTAGGTTGTGAACCCCGAAACCTTAATTCCACTCATCAGCACCGATCAAAATCACGGCAATGGTCTCGATAGAAGGACTTACTCAAGAAACACCAACAACCACTCTTCACCCGCGATGGCCTGCCCACCTATCCGAACAACAACCCACCCCAGCCCCAACAACACCAACACCCTCCTCATGACCACCATGAACCCCCCCTGGAGCCCACCCCCCAACATCTACATTGTCGGCGCGCAGTGCACAGGCAAGACGACGCTAGTCAACAACCTGCGCGCCCATTTCCAAGGCGACCTCAGCATGACCAACCCTTCCTCCTCCTCGTCGCCACCACCACCACCACCCGCCAGCACCCCACCCGCCACCATGCCACCCGCCACCATGCCACCACCCGCCATCACGCCACCGCCGACCATCATCACCGAGGTCGCGCGCGGCGTGCTGGCGACGCACCGCTTCAGCGCGCGGGACGTGCGCATCCCGGCGCGCAGCCTCGCCCTGCAGCGGCTGATCCTGCAGGCGCAGGCGGTGGCCGAGGCGCGGGCCGTTGGGCTGCGGATGACCGCGGAAGAGGCTTGCCTCGTGATGACGGGCGGGACGGGCGGGACGGGCGGGGTGGGTGAGAGTGGTGAGGGGGGTGAGAGTGGTGAGAGTGGTGAGAGTGGTGAGGGGGGTGAGAGTGGTAAGAGTGGTGAGAGTGGTGAGAGTGGTGAGAGTGGTGAGAGTGGTGAGACGGGCTGGACAGCACCAGGGGCGGTGCCGACGGGGACTGGCGGCGGCGGCGGGCCCGGGTGGTTCGTGTCGGACCGGTCGGGGGCGGACCCGATCGCGTACGCGCTGCGGTACGCGGGGCCCGAGGCTGGGCGGGAGCTGGCGGGGACGGCAGCGTGGGCGGAGCTGCGGGCGCGGATGCGGGCGTCGCTGGTGGTGGTGTGCGAGGCCGGGCTGGCGGCGGCAGGCTGGTTGCGTGACGATGGGGTGCGGTTGATGCCAGAGGACGTGGAGGAGTGGGTTGGGTTCCATGGCGTGTTTTGTCGGTTTCTGGAGGCGGAGGGCGTGCCGTATGAGGTGCTGGACGCGAGGGTGGGCGGGCATGAGGAGAGGGTGCGGTTTGTGCTGGAGAGGTGGAGGGAGCGCGGAGTCTGCGGAGAGAGAGAGAGAGTCAGAGGGGAGTGAGTGTGGGCATGGTCAGTGAGTAGCACGTACGTCGTGAAGATTGTAAACGTCGGTATCCGATCCGAGGGTTGGCGCTCTGACTGAGATCTCGGCCATGTTGGGAATTGCTTGCGTCTGCCTGGCCTCAGAACAAGACATCTCGTTGAGCAAGAAGATGGAGTAACTCTAGACTTGGCCGAAATGTCCCTGTCAGGATAACGCACCGACACACACGTCCGCGCCGTCCCTGCCTGCTTCCCGTCATGACAGGCTCGGGCACGAATAATTCGTCACCGTCATGGACGGGCCGCCACAAGTCCGAACTCCGGCCCCATGTGAGAACCCTGAGGACCGTGAGCTTGTCGTTCAAGCAGATCAGATTGGCTGCCTCCATTTGCGTGAGGCCTACTGTGTAGTTGCCCGTTCCGAAATGGCCCGGGTTGGTCGTTGACAACCTCGAGGCCCCGCAAAGTATTGCTTCGCGGGAGATGAGATGGAGCCAAGAGGGGCGTGTCACCGGTCTTGTCCAGTCAAACGGTGAATGGGCAGTTGGAGATCTCGATCAGGCACTCTTCGCTTGCCGCGAAGTCCCGACCCCTCCCAGCCTGGCGCCCGCCTCGCCGACTCAACGATTTCCTTGCATCCCGCGGGCGGTGACATGTCTCTGTGTCATGTATGTGACGAGGTGAGCATCCGGGCTATGTAGGCCTGGGCGCTGCCAGATCAGCTCTCTTCAATCAAACCATTCCGGTTTCCGTGGCGACTTGCAGGGAGGGAGTGAGGCTGTCTGGTTCTGGCCACCCAGCCCACCCCCGACACCATGCATGCCACCGCCCTTTGGGGGAACCTTGAAGGTGATGGACTACGTGATTTGTCGTTGCGGCAGCCGTATCTGGAATATTGATGTCCTGACTCCTGCCTACGTGGTAACGTTACTCTCCCATTCCTGCCATCTTCCGTCTACTCCTGCTCCACTCTGCATCTGGTCGGAGTTAGTTACCAGGTAGATAGGCACTCTGTTTATATGGCAATACACCGGCATCATGCATGCATGCGCGGGCCCGCGCGTGGTCCTCCCAGGTCAGGAAGGGAAATGAGTCCCGGACTGGCTTCCCGTCGTTTACAGGTGGCGATGACGCTCTGGCAGTAACAACAACAACAACAACAACAACAACAACAACAACAACAACAACAACAACAACAACAACAACAACAACAACAACAACAACAACCCGGGGTGATTATGGGGTGCTGTAGATTGCCGCCATAATGATCACACATTCGGAATTCCGAGAAGGGCATGCGGTAGGATTCCGCGGTTTCCACTTTCCACAATTTGAATTTCTCATCTCTAACAGAGAAGTGATAGGACCGGCAAGCGGCGCATGCCCCAGGCCGGTCACTGCCATCAGAATGTCCGAATTTGGCCAGGCGTTGTTTGAACAGAGATTGGGGGGTCAAACGGATTGACTCCTAGGTACTGAGCGGCTGATTGGTTGACGGGTGGGAGGGCGGCTTTTGGCCACCGGCTTCGTACAGAATGAGGCGGCACACTCCGCGCAGTCACACCATGCGCTGGGAATTTGCTTCGTTTCGGGTCCTTGGCTCCAGCACACAGTCTGCCTGCCTCCCTGTCTGTCTATCTTCCCGGCGGTGAAGCCCAACATGCCCGGTCGAGACCACCCACTCCAACACCGGAAGCAGACAGAGGCGGGGCCGACGAACAAACCCCAAGGGCAGTGATTGGGATACCGGCAACGGCGTGCCTCTTGTGATACTGATCAGCTTTTAGACGTGGTCGGCCGGGAGGGGGGAAACGGAACGGGGAAACGGTTGTCGTCTTCCTCACCTGGAAACCTGGAGGCTGGATGTCGTAATTAGCCCTGGGGGGTCGAGATGGCAGAGTGGCACCAGCTTGCGCGTCGGTAGGAGGGACGTCACAGTGTTGCATGTAGCATGTTGTTCACCAGAGCTGACTGCTTTGGACTTTGCAAACGGAACAAAAAGATCAAGAATTCCACAGTGTGCGTGTTGACTACCTAAGGTACCAATGGTTAAGGAATGACGGACAAGAACCTCAACAAGCCTCCAGGCCTCCTAATCCTTCGACGAGTCGGCCTGATCCTCAGTCTCTCCCTCGTCGGCAGCGTGGTCCTGCGTGGTCTGGGACGCCTCGCTGTTGTCCGTTAGGTCTGCTGCTCCCTCCCCCCCGGCCTTCTTGAGCATCGCTTCGATTCTTTCCGCATGCCTGGCCTGAACCTGCTCCCAGCCTTTTTCAAACCCGGGGTAGACGAACGGCGCGGCCTCCTTGCCGCCAAATGTCCAAGGGGCGACAACTCGCATAGGGGCGTGACGAGTAAATTTTCTGTCGTAGCTCAGACCATCAACACCGCTGACGACAAGCATGGGATCGCTGACCAGCTGAACGGGCGGCATCTCCTCACTACCGGGTCGGTAGTAGGGGATCTCGACTGGGTAGGTCAACTTCATCCACTCTTCGTCGACGGGAAAGCCGAAGATGCTGTCGCTGCCAATTGGGGAGAATCTGAGGGTGTGGCTCCCGGGGTAGACTCCATGGACATAATACTGTGCGATCAGGGCTGCCTCGATGAGTTGCCTGATCTGGTGATGCGGAGGGCCGCCGGGAGTGTCCTCAATATCGCCAAAACGCCACCTCAAGTCTCCATCATGAGCATCGTCAGGAATCTTGTCGTCTCCATCCTGGAGAATGAGGCGAAGATGTTTCTTATAATGGGGGACCAAGTCTGCCGCCTTGATCGAATCCTCCTCACCGAGCCCTTTGCGGACGAGGTGTTCGGTCATGCGGCTCCAGGCATAGAACTGGATTCGATACAGGTGATCATCGGGGCCCTTGGGGTCATGGAGCAGGACTAAACGGGGGCGTTAATACAATCTGGCCACAGGGTGGAAAGGTGTGGGTGGAAAGGTGTCAGGTGTCTCACCATTCAGATCCCGGCGAAACGCCCGGAAATGCTCCCAGACCGGGGAACTGAGCGCAACGAGCGACTGCCCCTGGGCGCCACCCGCAAAGGAAAACAGGTTATCGTCAAGATAATGCCAGATCCAAGCCCGAACCATGGCCTCATGATGAGCCAGGAAGTCCGATTCCCACAATTGTCTCGCGGCGGGGGACCAGCTGCTTAGCTTCTCCCTCGTCTCAGGGGTCAGATCTTCCCACCGCGCCAGGCCCAGCTTTCGTACAGTCCCCGCCTGCACTATCACCATGGTGGCCAACGTCTCCCAGCCGCCTCTATCTAGTAGTCCATCCACGCAGGGCCCGTTCGTGTAGCGGTCTAGTGCGCGGAGGTGGGCGGCCCGGGAATCCGTCTGGCAGCACGTGGCGGTGCAGTTTCTGTAAGTGGTCGGCTGCTGGCCGGTGAGGCTAGTCTGCATATCGCTTGGAGCTGCCGCTTGAGCCGACATATCTGGTGTAGATGAGCTCTCTGGTAGAGGTGCGTTGGGCTTTGCGCGCTTGCTTCGGGGCATTGTCACAGGCTGTGCTGGGTGTTTGACGGCGGAAACTTGTTGCAAGGACAGGAGTGAGCACCTATAAGAGAATGAAGAAATGAGAAGCGGGTATCGGTCCGTGATGGAGGGGACCGCAACCAAAGATGCTTAAAGATGGATCGAGCGGGAGAGAGGGGAGAAAGCGACGCAGGACCGCTTTCTCTCGACGCGAGCAAGGCCCCTCGGAAGCTTCAAAGAACAGCTGACACAAGGAGTTCTCTGATTTCCCAATCATGAAGGAGAGGCTAGGCCACCGCCGTTTCCGGCGTTCTGAAAGCGATGAGTATGCCTGGCAGCCCCTCCCTCCGTTTTGGGCGGAATGATAATAATGACCCATGCAAGTAACCTCCCCTATGAAACGGGACACCATAACGCGGCTGCGCCCTGCCGACCTGCCGCTCAACGCCCAGCCACGGGGTCCTTTCCGAAGACCGGGTTTCCTTGGTGAGGAGCGGACTCCGGCTTGTTTGCTTAGGTAGGTATGTATGCGCGTGCCATGCCAGGCACCGTGCAAACATCCTAACCTGCGCTGCAGCGCTTGCACCCGCTGCTGACGTGTCGTTGTGGTGGAGCTATTCCCATCCTCTAATTTCATGACATGAGATATCTAGGTACTTTACACGAGCTGTCGGATGAGCTAGCTCCTGTGACTCATGCAAGCGACGAGCAACAACAGCAGCACCTTTTCTTTTCGCAACCTCGCCGCTCCTTTCTCAGAAATTGGTACCTTTCTCTTCAACTTCAAACGCAAAGAGAACGATTTCTGGGTTGACCGCACGAGAGAACCTGTGTCCTTGGGCAGCGTCTTCCATATCCTTTCCCAAACGACTTCCAAACCCTACATCCTAGCCGTTGCCGAGGACAAGCCCGAACAACACCAGCCTCGTGCAGAACCATAGCTCGTTACCGCCTTTGTATCGGTATAGACTCTGGCGTCTCGTGAGTCCATCCCATTCCCCGCAACCTTGCGTGCAACCGGTACGGGCTGTTTAGATCATGTTACCCTTCATGCGTCGGTGCCATTGCTGATCCGTTACATGAACAGTACAAGCGGGGTCTCATACTGCTTGCTGGGGCCTGGCCAGGACTCAACCCTACCACCGTGTTCGGTAGCGCTACACGACGAGGGACAGGAGATGCAGCCCTCCACCTTGAGTGCGATTAAACGCGATGACGGCCCTGGCAGTTGGGGTACCGGCATCGCCGCTAGGACGCCGACCCTGAGGCTGTTCAAGCTCGCGCTTCTTCACACGGACGACCTCGTCCTGGAGAACGAGCTCCCGGATTCCATTGCCTTTGTCAACCAGTCCATTTCCGAGATTCGCCACGCGTCGTGGACAGGGACCGAGGCTGTCACCACATACCTGAAACGTTTGTGGGCAGACGCGGATCGCCGTATCAAAGACGAACTGCAAGAAAAAAACGTCGCCGTCGCCGAGGAAGATATGTGCTTTCTGTTCACCAACCCGGCTGTGTGGAGTGACGAGACAGTCAGCCGGATGAAGAAAGCCATCGAGGCGTCCAACGTGGTTCGCGCAGACGCTCGATGTGGATTCATGGATGAGCCTAAGGCGGCAGCACTGGCCGTCATCCCCCAGCTACAGAGCCATCGTCCACTGCAGGTTTGTGCAACACCAGCTTCCCTTCCGTTTCCTAAGCTAACGGGTTTCCTACAACAGAAAGGTCAGACAGTTGTCATTGCTGATCTCGGTGGAGGCACCGCGGTAAGCCTGTCTTCGTCCCATTCTTCCTCCTTCTCTTCAGATTCCTAACCATAGATAGGATTTCATTTCCTACTACATCGATACTGTCACGCCGCTCTGTGTTGGAGAATGCGTCGCTGGGGAAGGCCGACTCCTCGGGGACATGTTCATGCGCCGCGCCCTATACTCCTTGGTCACCAGGGAAGTCGAACGCACCGTGAGGAGCGAGGTGAAGGGGAGTGATTTGGGCAAGGTTGAAGCCCAGGCCGAGGAGCTGTGGCTGTGGTCGCGCTCCAGGCCTGCCACAACTTTGTGCACCGAGACCCGCACCCTCAATTTCCAACTCCATGACGGAACCAATCTGCCGGTCGTTGTTCAAGGGTTAGCTTGCCCTTCTGCCTTTGGACGCTGTGGTGGCATTCTACTGACTATCACAATTGTATTCTAGCGGCGATATTGTCAACGAGTTTCGAACGATTACCGACCGCGTCATAGAACTCGCCAAAAGCCAAATGCGCGCAGTCCGTGAAGAAACTGATCGGTGGCCGGATGTAGGTCCCACCTTCCCCACCATTCATTCCCGCTTCACCGTTGTTAATTCTTCGACCCGGGGCACAGGTACTGGTTGTCGTTGGCGGCTTTGGACGCAACAAGTTTCTCGAAGCCGAGATGAGGCGTGATCCCCTCCTCGCCCCACGCGTCGAGATTACAGGCGAACAGGGGTAAGTCCAGCGTTGTTAGCTACTCCATGCACGGGCGGTATGGGCAGAAGAAGAGAAGTAGTGCAGAATGCGGAACTTACACTACCATGAATGAACAGACAACTCGCGGTGAAGAACGGTGCCGCGATCGCCTGCGTCGCGAGGTTTGGCGGCGACGACGCCGGCACGGGATCGGCAGTATCCCCTCTCGCCCCCGAGGCCCCGATGAAGATTGTATCCCTCATCCCTTCCCAGAGTTACGGCTACTGGGATGGCGTGAGGCCGAAGGGACAAATTAGCTGGTTCATCAGGAAGGTGCGTTTCCAATTCTCCATTCCGTGGCCCCGGTGACTCCTTCGATCGGCTGGCCTCGCGCCGCTCCTTGTTTGGACCGATAGCTGACTGCGCCATGCATTTATCCTACATAGGGTCGTAAGATGTCCGCCGCGCCGTTGGTGATCCCCCTAATCCCTGAGGCCTTCCGTGAGAGGGAAGAGGCCGGTTGCCCTTCCATCCCCATCTACCGCGTCTGTAAACCAACAGAACAGTCCTCGGCCATACCCAACACAAACGGGGTGGTCACTCAACAGTGCCAAATCCTATGCAAGCGGCGTGAGCTTTTGGATTTGAACCCGCCCCCGCGGGTGGAGTTGAGGGTGGAAAAGGTTGGGAGGGTCATGGACTTCCAGGTGTTGATCGAAGGATATCCGGACGGCGACCGGTATTTCCGTGTGCAGGGCTGGTAGGCGCATGCTGGACTTGCTGCGGTGATGGTGATGTACAGAGATGTCTACGATTATGATTTAGATTGGTAGCGAATAATTGCATGACACACGGAGTTTCCCATGATGTGTTGCAACCGGAACCCAGGTTTTGGTCCCTCGGGCCCGTGAGCTGGGGACCCAGTTAGCTAGGGTGGGGCACCAAGCCTCTTCCATCCCGCGTTCAGATGCTTGGGCTTTTCGATGAATGGGCGGAGGCCCAAGGTACCTGACCTACGAGGGAACAAATCTCGACTCTTTCCTGTTTGCTTCGCACACTCGGCACACTTCGCCCCAAAAAAACAATACCAGGCCTTTTGCCACTACATTGCAAGACCCTTGGGCCTCTTTGCCCCTCCACCCCACCAAGCAGAATCGCGCATCCTTCCGTCACCACAGAGCAACAACCATGTCGCCAAGCGCACAACCAACTGAGAAGGGCGAGGGGTTGGTAGATGTTGGCATTGTGCCCAACCCGAACCCAACGATCACCGGGCCATGGACAGTGGAAAAGGTGCTGGAGACAATCCCTACGGGCAAGCCTGTCGAGGGGACGAGCTCGCCGGTCGAGTACTTCCACCTCCTTGAGCGCCTCAAGACCACCAAGCGGGAGGGGTGGCGGAGATTCGCGATCGACCGGTAGGTACCTGTGCTGTGCTCCCGCTACTCTACCTCGCCCCTGCTGACGAGCGCCGCGTGGAAGGGGCGAGTCCATCTCCGACCACATGTACCGAATGTCCATGATTAGCATGCTGGCGCCTCCTGCCCTTGCTGCCAAGCTCGATATGGCCAAATGTATGAAGATGTGCCTGATCCACGACATGGCCGAGTCGATCGTCGGCGACATCACGCCCGTCGACAACGTTACGAAGCCCGAGAAGAGCCGGCGCGAGGCGACGACCATGGATTACATCACGCAGGGCCTGCTCGGCAAAGTGCACGGCGGGAACGTCGGGTCGGAGATCCGGGCTATCTGGCAAGAGTACGAGGACTCGAAGACGCTTGACAGCCTCTATGTCCACGACATCGACAAGATGGAGCTTCTTCTGCAGATGATCGAGTACGAGAAGCGCGGCAAGGGGAGGCTGGATCTCGGCGAGTTTACATACGTCAAGACAAAGATTGTGCTGGACGAGGTGAATGCCTGGGCGGAGGAGATCATGAAAGAGCGGGAGGAGTTTTGGGCGGGACAGGCTCATGTCCATGGCGAAAGAGGCGTTGAGGGCGGCGTCGCTCCCGCGAACAGAGCGAAGCAGGATGCGTACTACAACAAGGAGTAGGGGGCCGCATTTCGTTAATTCCGGCATGGGTTGGGTTCGCGGGGGGGAAAGGCATCCGTAGAGGGATGTTCACCTAGACTTTGGCATCTGCATTGCATTTGAGACTACACGGGGCACCGCGAGGTTTTTAGAAGGCTTTCAGGCGATTGAGATGTTTGCAATACCCAGAGGGCGCGACGGACAAAGGAGTTCTGTAGAAACTGGTGAATTGCCAAATCGTTGGGAAAATGCCGAGCGCCCGCGCCAAGGGTGTGTCGCTGATGCCGCAGGAAAATGAATGTCGAGATCTGGTTGGTCTCCCGTCATGTCAACAACATCCATCCCGTTGCTACCTTCGCTACGGCAACCAGGCGAGAGTACACACCCAGTATGTATTTGACAGCGGGGGTGAACCGCATCTCGGCCACGATCGTTCAAAGAGCCCAGACCCATTTGCGAAAAGCGGTTAGCAGATCCATTTGACAGATCTGACCCCAAGACTTGGCAGGACTCCACACCGCAAGCTGGTGAGCATCCACTTCGCGAGCGAGCCGAGCCACTGACCGCGACTTGATCCCTTCTTGTCTGCATGAACCCCAGGGGAGGAACATTGCGACAGATTCGCGTGCCCAGAGTTCGAGAATATACCGCGAGTTTTCCGGACGAAGCCGTCGAGCCCAGAACCAGGTCGCGTATTCGACAGAACGGACGCGCTCAATCGAACCCCAACTTTGCAGAGGAACTCGCGAATCCTACCAAGGCGGAAAATAAAGTGCGAGGTTGACTGCTTGTCGGGCACGGTCAACGGGACGCGGTGGGCGGCTGGTGACTGGAAGGTGAAAGCTGCACCAGCACCGATCGAAGCTGACGCTGGCTCCCCGCTCTGGTTGGTTGCCCCGAACAGCTCTGTTGCTCAACACCTTGTCCAACACCACCCCGCCCCCGGCGATCACGCGCCTCTCCCGAATCGAGCACGATCCCCAGGTGCGAAACCGCGACAGGAGGAACGGGGAAGCTACGAGAGCACCGACCGAGTACGATCCCGAATTTTCCATAGCGGCAACTCGAGGAACGCACGGGAGCTCGGTTCGTGTTTGCCACGCAGTCCAGCTCTGACGTGCACACAGCCCTGCCGGCTACACTTGGGCTACGCGCATTGGGCGCTGGAGTTGAATTAGGCGTGCAATAGGAACGTACATCTCATCGGGCTCAGTTCGGTCGCCATGTCGTTCCCGCCGCAGTTCCAATCCCCCGGGGGATTCCACCTCGACACCTCGACGAGGCCCGGCCAGCCGCTGCACGCGAATATCTTCCGCCCGCCTCCGTCGCCTACAGCATCGAGCTACAACCTCGCGAAATCGACCGGGAGTCTGCTCTCCGATATTTCCATGTCGACCGCTGCACATACGGGGACAGCAAAGCGGAAACGAGCGAGGACAAGGGAGTCGACGCCGCTGGACTGGCATATGAACATGGAGGGTGCCTTCGACGGCCGCGAGGAAGAGAGAAGCCGGGAGTCTAGGTACACGCTGGCAGGAGAAATTAGCACCACCCCGGCGGTGCCCGCGGTCGGTGCCATGGACGGTCTATTAGAGGACAGCGTTTACTCCGACGTTGACTACAGGAGAGCATTAGGCCCGAAGGCAATACCCGGAGCCGAATCGCCGTCGACGCAAATACCCCTCGACCGTCCTACGGACGCGCCGAGCTCGGCGACTTGGAGCTTATTTAGCTTCCAGACAATAGGTGACATGGTTGGCAAGGTTTGGGAGTTCTGCACGAAAGGGGCTTTCAGGGGTTTCCAGGCGGGAGGCGGCCAGGGATACAACGTGAACGGGTCAACAGTAACGGAGACAACAGGACAACCGTGGGGGCCAGAACCGGATACACCCATACGACCTCCCGAGGACACTCCCATGACACAAGACGCGCCGTCGTACTTCCCCCAGCCAACACCCCAGCCAGCACCCCAGCCAGCACCCCAGCCAGCACAAACCCCCTCCTCACCCGTCTACCATGAACTCGACACATTCGACTCCACACCTCAGCCCGCCGCTAAACGGCGGCAGGTCAGCGCGAACAATGACGAGCTCAGGAACTGGGTGGTGGTCGACGAGCCCAACAACCAACCGCCGAAACGATTCGCTGCCGAAGTCAAGGCAGCTGCTGCCAGAACCAGCGGTTTGGCACGGCCCCGGCCAAGCTACTGTTCTCAAACATCTGCCAGCGCCCAACGCCGCACCGCTGCACCGTCGCAAAGGTTTACAGGCGGCACGCCGACTCTGCCGCGGATAGCGACTCGCCCTTCACTCCGCATCTCCCACGGCGGCTCGCCCAACCTAGCGTCCCGCGAACCAGCGAGCTTCGCCTCGCCGCGTTCCTCCCCCCTCGGCGGCTCAACCCCAAGCCGTATCCCCGTCCCCATCCCGACTCAGTCTCCCGCTCAGCAGAGCCACAACCACAACCCCTTTGCCATCCCCAACGCAGCATTCTCCGCCTCGACGCCCAGAACCGCTGCCTCCCGTCCCGCCAGCCGACCCGCCAGCCGCCACACGACCCGCCAAAGCCTCGGCAGCACCTTCACCACCACCACTACCCACCACAACCTCCGCCCCGCCTCCCCCTCCAAACTCAGCGGCACAAGCCACCGCCGCAGCCGCTCCTCCATCTCCGCAGCCGCCTCCGCTTCCCCCCGCCCCGCGACACCGGCCGCGAAACCAGCGAGCCGCCGCCAGAGCATCCTCCCCCGCCAACAACAACAACACCACCCTCCGCAGTCACAGCAGTCTCATCAGCAGTCTCAACAGCAGCAGCAGCAGCAGCAGCACCAGCAGCAGCAGACGACGACCAGCCCGCGGCTGGACGCCGAGGCGCGGCACCTGGCGCAGCGCAAGCTGGCGGCGGAGCGGGACGCCGACGCCAAGGTCGACGCCTTCAACGCCCGGCTGCTGAGCATGATCCGCCAGGGGCGGGAGGCGCTGGGGACGAGGGTCGAGGTGGAGATGGATGAGGACGGGGATGAGGGGATGGGGATGGGGGTGGGGTTGGATGATGTGGGGATGGGTTATGTGGGTGGAGGTGGGGTTGGTGGTGGTGGTGGGGGGGCGTGGGAGGATGATGATTGAGGGTTTGTTTGGCGGTTGTTGTGTTGTGGGGTTTGTGATCACTCGGGCGTGGGTGGTTGGGTTGGGAGGATTGTCTTCTGAGTAGATGTTTGTGTGTGGATATTTGATTCGGGGGAGCGTCGTTGATAGCATTTTCGGCTACTTCCTGGGATTGTTGGGTTTTTCTTCTCGGTGCATTTTCGTGTTTTGAGTGCGTAAGGCATGCATCATGGAGGATGGAGTTCTGGGAACGGGTCAAGGGGCGCTTCTTATATAGTACACATCTAGTACGGCTGTGAGATAGTCTTTTGTAATGACTCGTCGTTCAATCATAGGTATAAACAGAATGCTAACCATGGCACACATGCTGTGACCTTTTGCAATGTGCCATTCCGCCGACCCGTTGTTCTATGCTCTGCTACAGATCCAGCCTTTGGCGTATGCTCATATTATGTCTAGATAATTCCTGCCCCGTTGCGCTGGGTCCCCGATATTCCATGTCATCCTGATATATCGTACGTGACCGGTTCGTCGTCGACACGTCCAAGATGCCGAGTGGTGTTGTTGAACAAGTGGGGGTCAGAGGGGTCAAAAGGTGTGGGTCCCGCCCCTCCACTCAGCCCAGCAGAGAGCTTCTGAATGACCTCCCATCTTCAATCTCATCTTTTAGCGGATCGGGCAGGGCAACCATGATCCGTTATTATCTCCCCTCTTTCCCGCCTCGCTATGCACGGCTTCGATCCCCGTATGCATAATCGTCCAAACCGTCGACGCCAATTCTCTTCCGCCCCGACAAACCGACAATGTCGCCAAACTGGTACCTCAACCCCAACTCGGCGATTCGCTTGTCGCGCTCCTCGCTCTCCAACTTGCTCAGGCCCTCCATACTGCCCAACATCCACGAGTCACAAACGTAGTACATGGCCCCCGCAATGGTGCTGGGATCAACAGGCATGTGCGGCCAACTGACAAAAAAGGTACCGACGACAACGAGCCACATGAGGCTGAGGATGCCGACTGCCATCCAGTTGCAAACACGCGATGCAATCCACGTCTGCGTCACCCGGAACGGTACGTTGCTGAGCACGATTGGCATGAACTCCGCAAGGATGGCCGTGAAAGCGACTAGGATGAGAAAGCCATGCCGCTGCCGAACGGCGTCCACGATGCCAGAGAAGGCGTTCAGCGGCGGAGACGTCGTAATGGTGCGCTGCGCAAGCTGGGGGGACTGTGAGAGCATCTGATACGGGCTGAGCACCGCCAGACCTTGATGGAGTGGGTCAGCTTTTGGGACTCTTCGGTCTGCTGTGCAACCGGGAGAACAAGACCTACTGGTGAAGAAGCAACTCCAGAAGAAGCTAACGCCGACGCCAGCCAGTGTGAACAGGGCGCGCACTCCGAAATTCTGCGTGCCCATGAACCTCTCAAACGCCGTATCGCCCCCTGTGTTGTTGTAGTACAAGATCAACACCATGATGCCGGTGATGGTCAACAAACACACGGCTCTCGCTGTGTACGACAACATCAAAAATGGGAGATGACGCTCGGTTTTGCGACGAGTTTTGATAACTTCGCTTTCCTGGGGAGATTTTGAGCCGAAGCTTGACTCCGAGTCGACCTTCCACAACGCCGCGTCCGCATCTTGGACCATGACGCCGTAGTCAGGGATGCCGTAGCGGTTGAAGAAGGACCCCAGCTCGAACCTCTTGCCCTCCAACGCCGCCACAAGTTGCCGGTGGTCAATCTTCTCCCCGCGGCCGGTCGGAAGCGATGAGAAAACTGCCCTTAGCTCCGGGTTCGTCGACAAGGAGGCAACAGCCGCGATGGACCACGGATTTGCCGCCACCCCAGTCTTCCACCGGCGAAGGACGAACAAAATGAGCAAGGATAATACGACCATAAACCCTAACAACGCAATTGTCGCTCTTGCTGGGGCGAGGAACACCCCCAACGTCATTGCACAGCCCCTGAAGTCCAGCTTTGAGCAACTGCCGTGCAACTTCAGCGACACCGCCTCCGCCGACAGAGGCACAAGCAGTATAGCGGCCACCAGCAGCAACGTCGTAAGGAACACCAGGACCTGGCCGCCCGCTAACGATCGGATGCTCGATACGATGCCGTGCATCCCGCCCGTCCTCAGACACATCGAGTCCCTGGCAGACGCCCCTCGATGATGCGTGAGAGCGTGCCATGGCTGCAGTTGCTTCGCGGCCAAGTCGATCATGCGAATGGGGATCGTCAGTATCACGGTAAGGAGGGTCGGCAGGAAGAAGCCGACAAAATACCCCGCTTGGGAGATGTAGTAGACCTTGACGGTAGTCTGCGGATCCGGGGACTGAGTCGCGGGCACCGGATACTCCGTGATAGTCGCAGTCGCGACGCCGTCGGCGTTCGTCAGGACTTTCGTCCGGACAGGGACCAAAACGTTCGTCGTCACCGTTGCCGTCGGTTCCCCGTCCGAATCGGTCAGCGTGAGGACGACCGGCGTGGATATCGCTGGCGGCGTGCTCGTGACGGTAGCCGTGGGCGCCCCGTCCGAGTCGGTCAGCGTTACCACCTCGGCCGTCACGTACGATGGCTCGAGTCCAACCATGTCTCCATGGAGCGTTGTCGTCCGAGTGTACTCGCTGACCACACCTTTCAGCGTCGTCTCGATGGTCACCGCCTTCGTCGCATCGGGCAGCGTGGTCTGTCTGGTAATGGTCGTCACCGCATCCGGCAGCGTCGTCTGTTCCACGATGGTGGTCACTACTTCGGTCGGACTTGTGGATACGACCGTTACCGGGCCGTCGTGACCGTGCTGCTCGGGCAGTGGGAAAAAGGCTGGCTCGGTGGAGAGTGTTATTGTCTCGGTATGGTGCCCGGGCTGGCCAAACTGAGGCTTGTCGCCGATTCGAACCCCAGTGCTGGAAGCCCGCGTGCTACTGGAGTTTGCCTCCGAACTCGAGCCGTCGCCGGGCCGTGTTGTCATAGTCGCGGTCGGCGTGGGAATATCAGGTGTGGAGATGTCGGAAGCAGTCGAAGCGTTCTGGAACTGACGCTTCCCGTTCAGCATTCTTGCCGTGCTCGAGAGCTCTGGCGGCGCCGCGATGCTGGCCAGGCCGCTCGTGTGAGTTCCCGATCCCGATCCCGGGACTACATCGCGATCAACCTCTGCGGGTAGAAGTCGGCACGCCGTCTCCAGGGCAGCAATGAACCCCAGCATGGTGGCTATCGCCGCCACGAGGAATGGCCACCTGAGCGGCAACGGCTTGTAGTCCGGGACATCAGTCCGACGCGGCGACTTCGTCTCGCGTGACGGTATTTCCCCAGCTTTCTCGCAGAGCTCGAGTGTTGACAGCTGCTCCGATTCGGTCCAGCTTTCGGCGTGTTTGAGGGGACGGTGCTCTGGGCTTGACTCTGGGCTCGGAGCCCGATCTTGCTGCTGGAGTGAGGAATACATGATGTGACTGGACGGGAAAGCGCAGTTTCCCGGGCGGGATCATGAGAAAGGTTTCATGTCTTGAGCATCACAGATCACCCCCAGCGTGAACGTTCTGCAACCCAGGAAATGGAGCGAGGTGTGTTCCTGAGGTATATACAATGTCATAATGCCGTCCTCTCGAGGTTACTTTCAACCTTTTGCATGACTGTCAGCTCTCGGCTCTCACAGGGCTGCCGATCTTTGGTAAGGAGGCCATGTCTTTCACAAGCCCATTGGCCTGCGCTGCTGCCGAATTGGCCGCTTCGGCTTCCACTGATCGGCATCCTTTTCTGACACAGCCCACCGATCGAGCCACTCGAGCGGGACAATCAAGCTTCCCTCTGCCAGCTCGAGGTGCCATTCGTAGGGCGGCCCAATCGGCGGTCCGCTCGACGGTCGATCGCCAGATGGACGGCCCAGTCCAGGACCAATAATGGCTACCACATCCCAGACACACGGATACGGGAAACGGTGTGAGACCGTTTCTATTTTTATGTACACTGACCAAGGCTGGCCTTTGAGCCTCTTGATATTGCCAAGTGGTCGCCATGACCCGGAGACGCGTCTGTAGCCGTTCCTGCTAGGGAAATGAACAGCCAGACGAGCAGCTTCGGGCATGATTCGAAGCATGTGTCCGTTTCGGGACGTTCTCATCCAATTTGGGATCGCCAAAAGAGAGTTGTAAGTCGAGGGCAAGTGTTGATAGTTTTCTCCTTTGACTCAACTTCCTAGGTATCCTCAGCACTCTTTGACCAGGGAATTTCACTCGATCGCCCGTGGCTCCCGGTATGGCATACATTTAGAGGTCAAGACACCAGGGGTACATTGTCGTTTGCAGTCGCTATGATGCCGTGATGTTCTCCCCTCTGTCGCGGTCCGGGGTCTCCAGAATCCCAGCCCTTGTGAGGTAATGTAATAACAGTCTTGCCCAAACACACAACGCAACCATAGGAACTCTCAGATAAATAACGTCAATCAACCCAAACGACCTGATCAATCCGGGTCAGTACCAGAGCTAAAGCAACGGCTCCATTCCCAACTGCCTCGGTCACTTCATTACTTGCCTTCCAAGCTTTTGGAGGGGCTCCTTATTTGGCACCCCAACGGGCCCGATGCTGGATGGCTTCATGTTTGAACCAGATATGGGATCGCAGGATAAGGCGACACTTTGATCATATGCGTGCCAGAACAACTCAAGTGCACTAGCCTGTCTGTCAAGGATCTGGGGCGCAGCGGATTCGCTCGGCCCATAGCTGGTGCCTGGTTTGGTTACAAGCGCCAGCCAGCCCCTGCACGCCGGCGACGGCCAATGAGCGCACATTGAAAAATGGCGATGGCGGGCATCTGGGACCTGTGGGCGTTTTGGGAGAACCATCTCTTCTCCCATTCCTCACTGCACCGCTCACCAAACCTTGACGCACACACGCCTTTGGCACTTGGCAGGTAGCCCGGAGGCCGAAGGTAGCTGAGCTGAGATGAACACTTTTCAACCACAATGCACCCTTCCCCTCGAAGGCCCTGTCTTCATACAGCAGCCCAATGTCCGATCAACCCTGGACATCATATGGAGTTCGCTCGCCATCATCTTGTTGTGCACATGGTCCATCCTCCACCTGAACGTCCCGCCGCAAGTACGCCCACTCCCGCCTCCCGAGACCTTCTGGCAGAGCTGCAAACGGGTATTCTTTGAAGCATGGTATCCATTTTGCAGAAAGCTGAAATGGTTGATTCTCACAATATTCGTTCCCGAAAACATATTCGGCGTGGCCCTGTCCGAGTTCTGGAGCGCGTGCCGATGCACAAGACAGATTCAGGAGTTTCAACGCGGCGAGAAACTCGAAGACGAGGTCGAATGGACCCTGACACACTCCTTCTACGCCAACATGGGCGGCTTCGTCATCAAATTCGCACCCGAGCCGGCGCACCCATCCGACAGGATGGGCGGGCAGGGTGCTGATACTGAACACTTCCTCTGGGCCTTTATCCAACGTGGTCTCGCTGGGTATAAGCACCTGGGCGCATTCGATTGGAATTCCCACAAGACGCACTACCACCTAGCCAGACGGTGGATCGACGAACACCAGGTCCAAGGCCACCGCCGCCACCCCGCGCGTGCCCTGATCGGCGATACCTGGACGCTGTCTGCATCACAACTACTCACAGCCCGGCAAACCGGCATCATCAAGAACTTCCCCGCCATCACCATGGCCGCCATCGACGACAAGAACAAGGGCGACCTCGTGGTGAAGCTGCTCGCGCTCGGCCAGGTCATCTGGCTGATCATCCAGATGTGCGTGCGCGCGCACAGGCAGCAGCCGGTCTCGCCCGTCGAGGTGACGGCGCTGGCCTACGCCGGCTGCTCCCTGTTCACCTACCTGCTCCTGCTCAAGAAGCCGCAGGACGTGCGCACGCCGACGGTGGTCGTGGCGGAGCGGAGCCCGACGTACGACGAGTTCGAGCAGATCATGGAGACGGCCCCCAAGCTGCACCCCTTCATGAACGAGGAGCACCAGTTCACCAGCTACGCGCTGCCGACCTCGTCCGTCTCGGCCTACAGGGGGTACCGGGACCTCATGACGGCCGGTCTGTTTGGCGGGTTGACTGTGTTTGGATCGCTGCACCTCATCGCTTGGAACGCGCACTTTCCGACCGAGAACGAACAGCTGCTCTGGCGCATTTTTTCTCTGCTGGTTGCGACCCTCCCGATCTTGATACTTGCGTCCCACGCACTGTTCGGCTGTCTTTCTGCTCGGTTCCCTGGTCTGGTGGTGGCGGACGGGACGGGCTATTTCTTTGTGGGGGTGACGGGCATCCTACTCTGGCTGGTGATGGGTATCTCGATGGTCTTTTTCCCTTTGCTGAGGCTAGGTCTGTTGATCGAGGCTTTCCGGTCGACGTACTATCTTCCTCCATCCGCGTATTTGTCAACGTGGGCCAGCGAAATTCCTCATGTCGGGTAATAGGAGGAGGCATTGTAATGATTAACGCAACGTCAGGGTTGGATACAGGAGTTCGCATTCCCAACCTACTAGATACCACACCATGTCCCGATACCATGAACAATAGTTCTTTCAATTCCCTTGTCCTGATTCAAACGTTATATATCAAGTTCCTCAGTCTCAGTTCATTCCAATTCTAGGTAGACAGCATGAATCTAACGCGCCCAATACCACGCAAAGGCCTCCCCAGTATACACCCAACATCTCCACGCCCTGCCGCGGCCATACCCATCTTCCACTCCCCCCCCAAGCTCTCACTTCGCAGTCTGGTAGCACACACCCACCCCCCTCCCCTTCACGGATAAGCAGCCATCAACAAATTCCCCTCCACCGCGTTCGCAAACCCCTCCCCACCGGGCCCCCCAAGCAGCGTCGAATGCACCCACGGCTTGGCCCCGACCTCGCGACGAATCGTCGCCGCAAAGCACCCGCCCCACCCCCCGCGCGGGAACACCCCATTCACATCGTCCCGCGTCGCCCCGTGCACCAGATACGGCCGCGCGCCCAGGTTGTCGTACACGGTCGCCAGCTGCACCAGCTGGCCGAGGAAGGTGATGGAGCCGCGCGTGCCGAGGTCCTGGTGGCGGATGATGGCCTCGCAGACGGCTTCGGCTTGGGCTTGGGCGGCTTGGGCGGCTTGGGGGGCGGGTGGGGAACCTAGGGGGGTGGGGGAGGTGGTGGTGGATGTGGTGGGTGTGGGTGGGGTGAGGAGGTGGAGGGCGGTGATGGCGCCGTGGAACTCGAAGGAGAGGTGGGTGGTGGTTAGGAAGGCGGCGGCGGTGCCGATGTCGTGGAGGAGGGCGGTGAGGGCCAGGGTGGAGGGGGAGAGGTGCGCGGCGTGGGTCGGGAATTGTTGGTGCAGGATTGCCGTTGCTGTGGGGTGGTTAGCAGCTACCTAGGCATGTGCGAGGTAGGTATGATGAGGGGGATAAAGAGAGGAGGGCTTACCCCAGTAGAAGACGCGCATGGAGTGGTTGTAGGTTTGGGGTGGGAGGTGCTCTTTCGCGAATTGCTGGGCCTTGGCTACGATGGGGTCCTCGGATGGGAAGTGGATGTCCTTGACGAGGATGGGGCCCGGTTCGTAGAGATATGGTTTGCCTTGGAAAATGGCTTCCGGGTCCAAGGGGACGGCGGTCCAGCCGTGCTCGGCGATGGGGTCATTGGTGGTGGAGGACATGGTCACGCTTGAGGACTCGGTGCACAGCTCAAGGAGTTGTAAGACTGTTAGGCAGTCGAGATGATGAACTTGGATGGCTCTTGTCTCTCGACCCTGATGTTTCATTTGGTTTATATAGGTATGTACTGAACCCTTTGAGTCACTAATCTTCAAAGGCATTTCTAAGCATGCTTGTGTACGATAGGTTTGTCTCATGACACATTAGTTCGTCATAGTGGTGCTTACTAACACCACTACCTACCCAACGCCGCAATGCTGTAGGGGGATTCATCACTTCTACCATGTTGTGCGACGCGTCTCTCTATGGCTATTACTAAGCGCTGAAGATCTCGACAAACAATCATACTAGATTTCCGAGGAGTTACCAATGCCGTACGGGGGAGTGATGCTGGCGATGCTGGTGATACTCGAGTCATGAGACTTTGGAAAGTCAAAGCAAAAGCAGAACTGAGACGCTCAACTAGACGTTGGCTCTTCTAGTTGATTGAACGTCGAAAAACGATACACCTTAAACGATGTCACATTCTCGCCATTGTGGAGGTTATGGTTGAATTTCCATCAGTTGCGGCAAGCCTACCGGTCTAGGTCGGCTATCGGGGCGGAGATGACTCGGCATCCCGTCCGGCTGGTGTGATCGGCTCAGGGCCCGGCTCGGGGGGGCCCTGAACAAGGCATTGACGAATCGGATTTCTTTCGCTCGTTTTTGTGAGCTCGCTCCGCTGTTGCTTAATCCTGACAGTGGCAAGAGCTTGTGTCTCGGGTGCGTTCTGATCTATAAGAAGGGATGCATCCACTACACTTACACTCGTGATAACCCTTGTATTAATAACGCACTAACAATGAGTCGGACGGTCACCTTAACTCATTGTGCAAGTCCCGGGCCGTGATCAGATCGGACCGGCACAGTTGAGCCATTTTCAAAACCTGTGCCTCTTCATGTCTCGATGGGGACCACCAAAGGATTCGTAAGGCTACGGTACTTATTTATTGCGGCCAGATTTAGGGGATAGAGCCGTGGCCTCCTGAATCCTGAGCGTTGAAGACCCGGCATTACACGAACCCCTTAAGTATTCACGAGGATTGTGCCTTAACCGTCGTCCATGTGCCGGCAATATCCAACATTCCCGCAGTGTCGGTGTACCCAGTAGAACTTCTCTCGTTGGTTGTGCGGGGTTCAACGCACAGGTTACCACTCAATTACATCTCATTTCGCGAAGATGAAACAGGACTACTCCTAAAAGGGCCCGTGGTTGTGGGCGGGTGTCTCACTGAGAACCGTTTCCCACACCGAAGTCGGTTTCGGTTCCCAAAATTGGCTTTGGTGAACCCTTGCCAGTGGCAAGCTTAATCCGTCCACACGGGAACTTTCATGTCCTCCCCAACGGTCCAAGTCCCTGCTTTACTGTGTAGAAAGGCATGGAGTTTCCACAGTAGGCTTCGGCCAATACCGGCTCTAACGGCCAGAGAGGAGCTAACTATTGGGGATACAAGATGCCAAAACAGGCAGTTCCCTCCCCAGCGTTGCATGTGAAATAAGCTTCCCGTCCCCACTCGGCCCGGCACGGCGAACTCCTCGACCGGAACAGGCCAGTCGTTGCCCCTATTACATGGCGTGTCCTACCCCAAGTTGTATTTCCACATCGTACGAGGCACAGCCTCCGACATGTGATTCGGCATCTTTGAAGGAACCCTCGGGATCCAGTTAGGTCGAGGAGATCCCCTCGCCTGAAGAAATGACCGTGGACACTTACCCCTGAATGTGGGTTAACCCCCACCGCGGCTGGTCCACCCTGAGCCATCACGAACCATCATTACGCGCTACTGCTTCTGACGGTGGATTTTGCCGACCGTTGTGGGTTAACCGGATAACCCGAATCGGGAGGTGCAAAGAGGCCGGGAGAGCTCCCGGTGTTCTTGCCGCAGTGTGGCAGCGAGACTGGAGTTCCCTTGGCCGCATAGCCGCATGAGGCCCCTGAGGAGAATCTAGGAGAGTTACTGCTGTGCCTCTAGCTTCCCGTTTATGCTCCTCTTTGGGGGCCATACAGCCCAAACAGCAAACTCTGCCGCAATAGTACTTGTCAAGCCCGTTCCGAAATCGGTTGGAGCAGTCAACAGCCGCAAATTGAGGGGCTGACGGCGAGCCCCGAGGCAAAGGTATGGGCCGAGAATGCAACGTTCTCAGCCGTTTAGGAGCCTCGGGGAGGGAACCAAAGCGGAATCGGGTGTGATAAGTCGCGTACCATAAATAAGGAGGCTCTAGCATAGCTGGTGTATATTCCCCCTAACTTCCTCACCCCCCCTCGGGAGTTCTCCAAGTCCTCTGTAGTCTCTCAGCCAATATGCACAACCGCCTTCTGTTGTCGGCCCTGGTGTGTGCGGCCGGCGTGTCTGCCCGGGACGTCCCCTCCAACGTCAAGAACTTCTACGACTCGGTCAAGGCCAAGGGTGACTGCTCCAACAAGCTAGCCACAGGCTTCTACAGCAAGGACGATGGCCCGAGCAGTATGTTTGAACGCCTCTCTAAACCCTTAACCCCCCTTTGCCTTGCCAACTCAAAGTCCTGACATCACACGCCGCCAGCGTTCTCGTACTGCGGCGACCACCAGGACGACTACGACGTGATCTACCTCAAGGGCGCGGGCAGCGCGCTCGCCGACATGGACGTGGACTGCGACGGGGAGCAGAACGGGCGCGGGGACGACGGGCGGTGCGAGAGCAGCGGCGACACGCAGGCCATCACCTCGTTCGAGTGGATCATCAAGGAGTACAGCAAGGGCATCAACGACCTCAACGCCAACGTGCACCCCTACGTCGTCTTCGGCAACGACGGCACCAAGCCCGGCTGGAAGACCTTCGACCCCCAGGCCCACGGCATCCGCCCGCTCTCCGTCATGGCCGTCGTCTGCAACAACAAGCTGGTACGCAACCCCTTCCCCCCCCTTCCCTTTTTGCTCCCCCTCCCCAACCACTCCCTTTTCCCATCCCAGCACCTCTAACCCAAAAACCACAGATCTACGGAATCTGGGGCGACACCAACGGCGACGACGGCGCCAAGCCCATGGTCGGCGAAGCCTCCATCTCGCTCGCGACCGCCTGCTTCGGCACCTCGATGAACGGCAACAACGGCCACGACGAGACCGACGTGTTATACCTTGCCTTCCCCGGCAGCGACGCCGTCCCGGGGGCCGACGGCGCCAACTGGGGCGCAGACAGCTGGCAGGCGTTCGAGGCCTCGATCGAGGGCCTGGGCAACAAGCTCATCCAGCGCATCGGCAACACCACGACAAACCCCAACCCCGACCCGAACCCCGACCCGGAACCGACCCCGACCCCAGAACCAGAACCGGAGTGCGCCTGGCCGGGCCACTGCGCGGGCGCGTCCTGCAGCAGCGACGACGACTGCTCGGACCCGTGGGCGTGCGTGTCCGGCACGTGTGCGCTCGACCCAGAGACCGGAGGCGGCGGAGACGGCGGCGGTGGTGGTGGCGAGCCGGATTATGCGTGCGAGTGGGCCGGGCACTGCGAGGGCGTGTCCTGCGCGAGCCACGACGACTGCTCGGACCCGCTGCACTGCGACGCGGACGAGAAGGTCTGCACCACGGACGGCTGCAGCTGGGCGGGCCACTGCCTGGGCGCGCAGTGCGCTGATCATGGGGACTGCGCGGATCCGTACGAGTGTAACGCGAGTGCTGGGTACTGCTGGTATGCCTCTGAATAAGGAGGGGCATGTTGGGGCTCGTTGGTGTTGATGACCGGTCACTGTGCGAGAGTAATGGTGTCGGAGAGAGAATAGGTAATGTGAAATGTAGTGCAATGTTTCATCAGATACAACTCATCGACATCTTCTAAACATCCTATCAGTAACAACATAACGCAATCGACTTGTGAGCCTCCCCCCCACCCAAACCACCCAAGCGCTGAGACACAGCAATGGGGCCGAGTCTCCGTGTCCGTTTTTAAAGTGGAATCCAAAATGCAAACGACATGCCTCTGAACTCCGTTGCAACTCTGGCATACATTGTATGTTGCCAGTCGCCCTTCATCCCTCCCCCTTAGAATACCGTGCATGACGCATCCAAGTACAGTCGTATACTACCGGCGCGAGCGTACCCAGACCCTAACTTATTGACCACGTCCAAGACCAAAGCTCTCGCTCGCCCAAAGCCCATCCACGAGGCCTTCGACTTGTACCCATAGTTGCTCCTCCTACCCCACCCTCAGGCACAGAAGCAGTTGCCCTCGCAGCTGTTCATGAAATTGTTGTGGAATCCCGTCACGTCGCAGTACGCCTTCGCGTTGTTCGCCGCGATGCAGAGGTCGGTCATCATAGCCGACTTGCACTGCGGCGTGCCATAGTTGGCGGCGGTGGTGGCCTTGGGGCTGCCCTTGCCCGCCGAGTCGTTGGTAGACTCGACCGGTGCGGCGAGGGTGGGGGTGAGGAGGAGGGCGGCGGTTGCTGTGAGGAGGGCGAGGACCTGAAGTAGTAAAGTGTCAGTGTCAGTTTGAGACATGGTAACTTGTATAGCGTATGACGTGCCTTCATCTTGACGGTTGAGTGGATTGTTCAGGGATCAATGGCGATCAGCGCAGGTGAGCGACGGTCGATCCTTGGCGGAGGGATTGAGGCTCGGCTGGCTGGTGCGGGAGTGCAGGACAGGTTTCTGGTCTGGCCAACGACAAGTGTTGCGATGTCAATTGACTGGGTCCTTATAGCAAGACGTCGGCTTCCAGGTAGCAACAGCCAAGGCGTTAGGATGGCGGTCTGGTTCGCGCCAAGTGTGATTTGTTATTCTTTCTCCGACGTCCCTTGGCCTTTCGGTCCCAGGGATCCAGTCGAAGGGGGGGAGGGGGGCGAGGCAGAGCTAACGAGCGTGTGGGATGAAGCAACCCAAGTCGGCGGAAAAGTCGAACCGGAAAACGGCAGCTCTGGGACCACTCTCGAGTGCTCACGGAAAGTACGGTGCTCAACCGGGAAAAGAGGGCGTCGTCAAAGTGGGATTTATGGCGGCGCGACCAAGTAAAGTAATGTGTTCTGTCGGCGAAGCGAGCCCAGGTCCCGGGGCGTGGCTCGTCCGGCCGCCGCAATGGAATGCAACGCAGATATGAGTCCGGTGGGAATGGGTGCGAGGGGTGGGTAACCTGGGCGCCGGGAATTGAGGGATGTGGGAGGGGCCGAGGAACTGGGGTCTTACAGAGGGAACCCTGGCTCAAAGGGGCCGATCTGCACTGATGTCCGCAAGGAACAAGCACGACTGGAAACTTCGGAAGGTCCGGATGGCCGGTTGGGGAGTTACCAGTCCAGCGCGCTTGCTTGTTGTTGTTCTTGGTGTTGAGGGGGAGTCGAAATGGAAAGAGCGGCTGCCTGAAAAGACAAACTCAGGTGCCAAACAGCAGTCGAGACCGTTCAATTTGGGGCAATCAAAATGCCAATCTTGTCTCACCACCGTACGTACCTTCTCCCCCTCCCTCTCTCCAAACCGCCTCCAATTGTGGTTTTGGAAGCCCGCAGACGACGCCTGCCCCCGCCACAAGTCCGTGGCCTGAGCTTTGGTGGGTGGCTGCTCCTTGTCTTGTTCCGTTCCCGATTCATCAGTGATAATTCCATCTCCGGTTCCTTGGCTCACAGCACGGCCAAATGAACGTTAAAATGGCACTAATGGCACTAATGGCTATAAGGCCAGGATTTGAGCCGGTTTGGCCAATGGAACCCTGTGCTCCGCAGCGTTGAAAATGGGGCCAGCGTCCATGTCAGGGAGGGATCGTCAGGTGGGCAATGCGAGATGGCCTGTGCAAGAATTTTGAGGCCGGGGGCACTTGGTCTTTCCGGTTAGGCTGCTCCCAGCTGTTCTCTGCCCCCGGCGTCTGGGTCGCACCCACCGAATGAGATGCCGTCCCAGAGTCTGGAGAGGAAGGCAGGTCCGAGTCTTGTCCTGGCAGGCCACCCAATCGCTGTTTCAGATAGAAAGTGCCTCTCCATTTATCCAAATTTCCACCCACAGACGAGCCCACCCCCGGACGTGCATTTGAGCACAGCACGCCGGCAGCGAGTTACCGGAGAATGGATCATTTGCTTCCATGGATTCTATTTTGCCCGCCATCGTGCACGGCCTTGTCCGCTGAGTTAGTCGACGTTCGAAAGGAAGTCCGCAGATCGTGGGGTTCGAGATTATCGCTCGAAGTGGATCGAGAGAAAGCCACTGCGCATCTTTGAGGTTGTTGTTTCTATTAATATCGCAAGGTAAACCACCCGCGGGAAATCCCGTGGGATATCGCGCTGTGCGACAGAACACGGTCTCAAGTGCCAAGTCCCTCGCATCCCGGCACCTTCTCTCCACCGTGCTCCCTTGCGGCAGTTATTGACTCAATCGGAGCTGAATGCATGCAGGTTTGAGACAACATCCGCATCACCGGCACCATGGTTGGGCATACATGATCCGAGACAAGAGTCATGAGAAAAGCCAAACAACAAACATCAGGATTGTTGCTTGATTGGGCTCACCTGACCCAGTCGGTGTTTGTCATGTGCGAAGTACCTACCTGGTAGTCATGGGTCTAACAGAACCGAGGAACTGCAAGGAGAACACATGCGGTACCTTGTAGTCAGGAGTTGTGTCGTTACCACACCTTAGACCCTCGGATATAATCCGAGACCATTGGGTCCAAAAATGAGTCCCACGGATTGGAGACGAGTTTACATTCAGGTTGAGTTCAGTGAGCTTGGTGACTATCACGCCGTTGGACTCGGCCACGTGCCCACCGGCAAGTCCATGTATCATGAATGTCTTGCACTCTTCATCCCCAAGTCGCACGCCTCGTTGGCATCTTTCACAACCCTGCTAAGACAACAGCCTCGTGCTTGGTTTCCCAAGCCAACTTGCTCCAGGCAGTGTCTCTTCCCGTGCCGGATCCACCAACCACCCAAGGTGAACTGGGGTTTCAGACAACATTTTGGCTCAGGATAGTCGACCCGATGAGCTTCTCAAACTGCTGCAAGTGAGCAATCCGCCTCTTTATTTCCGAATGCTCCTGGTCCGAGGAGCGAAGGCCGCCCTTGAGAGCGAGTTGCATCTTCCACATTTGGCGCGACTCGATCGTCTGTTAACAAGGTGTCAGGATTGTTTTCGAACATTTACCAGACCGGGGGTAATCTTGCCTCTTCAACCGACGTTTTCATCATATATCGAACAACGGAAACGTTCTTGCTCTGCCCCATGCGAACAACACGACCAATGGCTTGGTCCTCTACATATGGGTTCCACTGGGGCTCGAGGATGTGTACGCGAGTGGCTACGGATAAGTTGTTCAGGCTGTGGACCGACATATGAGCTTCACGTCAAGTCTTGTTCAACCAATGAAGGCTCTTACCCAACTGCCCCCGTTCCTATAGTCATCAACAACACCTTAACTGATGGGTCGTCATGGAAGTCTCGAAGAATCTTTCGTCGGCGTGGTGGGTCTACGTCACCGTCGACACGACCAAAGACGATGCCTTCCTCAGTGAAGAGCTTCTCCACGAAGTCTAGGCTTCGTCTCCAAAAGGAGAAGATTATACTTGAGACGAAAGTCAGCATTGCCGTTTTGAGCACGTGAGAATGTGTGAGTTTCTCTGCAAGCGTGCGTGTGCCCTCTTACCTCTTCTCTTCGGAGTAATGCTCCTTCACGTCAGCCAGCAAAGCAATCAGCTTGGAAGGGCATTGCACCCGACCGTCAACTGGCCTGTCATCGCAGGTAGTACTAGCAGCGGCCTGCTCACCCGGGCCACCCATCTCCACACCCTCCATCGGATCGTCATCGAGTCTAGAGAAACCCGAGGTCTCCTCTGTGTCAGCATCTCGCTGGCTACATGCCAGACATTTGAGCACACGCCGCGAACCCTCTCCCTGTCCCTGAGACTCATGCCCGACATCAGGCGCCATAACATCGGTCTTGCACTGGGAACAAATGGCCTCGCCACTCTGAAGCAGTAAGCTAATAACTTCATCAGGCCGAAAAACGCCTTCGACGTCGTCATTCGTGTTACCCACGACGGTAGTTATCAATCCCGTGTTGCAGAAGATGCGTAGTCTCAGCACCGCTGTCAGAATGGACTCGCTGCTCTTTTTTGTTGGCCGAGTGTTAACAGCCTCCTGGATTGACCTCTTGCAGGAACTGGCTAGATTGTCATAAGCTTTCCGCTCGGTGGTGGAAAACTCGGGGCGATGTTCAATAAAGGCCACGCCCAGGGAGGACAAAATGGCCGAGGTGCTCCGTCTGAGACATATCGAGCCCAGCAGGCGCTTGAGGTTTCCGTAATTTGGTCTTGCGTTACTTCCTGCTGTCCGGCGCCCTGTGATGTATTTTTGGAACGTTGCAGCATCCTCAAGCTGGGGAACGCGAAGGAACCGGATGAGCGAGGCGAGGTCGTCTAGCGAATTCTGGACTGGTGTTCCCGTCATGCACCAGCGATGTGCCGCCGAGAGCGCAGCCACAGCACTGAATTGCTTCGTGGACCTGTTCCGTACGACATGGGCTATGAGTTAAAGCGTTAGTCTCATGGTTCGGTAGGTACTTCGAATATACCCATAACGGGTATCAAATGGGTCAGACCTTCGTCAAGGACCAGTCTGTACCAGTGAAAGCAGCGAAGAACCCCGCCACCACGCGTAAAGTCTGCAGCTACAGTCCCATAAGTTGAGATGATGACATGATAAGGGATGGCTCCTGATGATGGAAGTCGCCGATCAGGTCCATGGTACCGATAGCATTCTAGCGTCCCAGGTATGACGTGCCTTGTACGCACTGCATTAGAAATCGAAACATCAAGTGAAAGCGACTGGACAACAGAGGAAAGTGATTCGTACTTGCTAATCTCATCGATCCATCCATCGAGCAGCACTGTATTGGTTGGTACCGAGTTTCAGCGCCTAATAGCCACGACAATCCATCGATGGAATACTAACAAACTGACGGTACAACTACCAGCGTGGCTTTGACAGGAGTCAAGTTTGTCTTGACGTCACCCTTCGGCAGGTCTCCGGTCGCAAATTCGTTTGCACGGGGAAGGGTCGCTACAATGCTGGCGATCATGGTCAACGTTTTCCCCAGTCCCATGCCGTCTGCGACAATGCCCCCAAGCGTATCTTTGGGATTCGCGCTTTTGAAGCCGGTGATACTGTGTTTATACCTATAAACGGGATTAGCGATGGATCGGGGTACTGAGGGTAAATGGTCGGAGGGGCTCAATCTACACTGTCGTTCCGGAAACATAGTTGTCCAAGCACCACAGGCCCTCAAGGTTTGAGTCCAAAGTTGTCTCCCGGGAAATGATGAAGCCGACGGCTTCCTTCTGGTGTCGATTTTCGGATCCAAATTAATATATACCTCTGAAGGTGGGTCAGATCCTAGATACTTACTTCAACAACGTGGTCTTGATTCTGCCGTCAATGTCGGCCTCTCTGAGGTATGCTGGTTGAGGCAGGTTGTCCATAACAGTCCGCAAGTCTACCTCGTTCTCTGGCTCCTGGTCGGCGTTATCCCGCCGGTCTGTATCTTTATTAAAGAATTCGGGTGCGATAGGAGCTAACACGGCCCCATTAGGAAGCCAGGATCCGACCATAGTGAGGTATTGGGGATTCTGATATTCCATACCTGGGAGCTTCGGATCGGGGTGTTGCAAAAACAGATGGTATTTGGAGAGGCCTTTCGCAAGTGATTCCGCGATAGAGGGTGGGCCGGAGAGAACAATAGCCATGGTACATGACTGGTATGGCAAGCTCATCCCTCGGGATAGCTCGGCGGCCGCTAGTTTCTGCTGAAACTCCTGCTTCGGCACCATGCCTTTGAAGAGCGGTCGTGGGGCAAGAGATTTTAGAGCAAGATGGTTTTTTTTGTTCAAGATGCCGATTGGGAGGCCAGCGGCGACGATATCGCATCTCTCTTCTTGAATAACGAGGTCAAAGCAAGCAAAGAGGGTACCATCCTGTCCTTGGATCTCGGTGAGGGTGGTACAAGCGTGCAGAGTGCGATTGAGGCGGACCTGGATGTTCTTCAACTGTTTCGCAACGCGGCAATATCACTGATTATTAGCGGCCCGGGCTAAACCGGCAGGGGTTAACGCCTGACTTACCATGCCAAAACATACTTCCCCGTCTTCTTGAATCGATGTAAAATCTGGATTCGAAAGATCGGAGTTTTGAAGGGTTATCTGTGGACGGGCTAGGCGCGTTGGCAACACTTCGCTCGCTCGCTGGTGGCGATGGTTTGTGCCGGCAACCCCCAGAGCGCCCTCATCGTCCACGTCCGGGGGCCGCGCTCGGGGTGGTGGAGACCGTCCACCAGAGCTCCGCGAAGAGGCCCGAGACCATGATGAGCCCTGTTGCGTGGATGGGGGTTGTAGCCTGCTCCTTTTCGGGCCGAATGAATCTATGCCTTCGCTCAAAACGCTATCGTCATCTTCAGATTCGTAGCGCCGCTTGGGTGTCGAGGCCGCCGACATCATAGAACGCCAGGCATGGAGATTAGGTGAGTAGGGTCCACGAGCAGCGTGGAGAGGAAGTACCTAGCCACGTACGGAGTCTTATGTTTTTTTTCTTCTTTTTCTTTTTTCGGGATGCAGGAGAGCTTACAATAAGTCGCCAAAGCCTCGCTCAGGCGCAGCTGCGTTGCCTTGCAACAACCCGTGACCGGCCAGGTTGCAGAGTCCAGGGGTGTGAGCGGGCCTGATTATAGGTTCACGCCCCGGATCTCTACGTACGCAAATGGATGGACGTTGGAGGCAAACGAGCAAAGTATGTCAGTGTCCTCGGGCATCTCTGTAAATGCAATTACTATATAAATAAATACTTTGTACTGTGGTATTTTGGAAGCGTCTACGTTTCTAGGCGCCTTCCACCAAGCAGACCCATTCCCTACAATTTGGAAAACGGTGAGCCAATTCTTTTGGGGGTTCAGGCAAACCTCCAAGGGAGAAATCGCACATGATTCCGTACGCAGTCGCTGAGGATTGCAGCTGCACGGCCTATCGAAAGGACTCGCTCACAGCCTGTTAAACTGTTTGCATGAGCTCCCTCTCAGTTTTATCTGCCAAACTAGAACCACTCGAATCCGGAAGGCGGTGAGCCAATTTTTGGGCCACGACAATTACACTTCCTGGAAGAGGACTCCCGACGCCCGCCGTTCAGACGACTGTCGGGCCCTTTCAAAACTCTTGAGGCCCGCCTTTCTGTGGCTTCCTATAGGCTGGAAAGGCAACCGCTGCTGCCTCCGCGTACGAGATCCTGAGGCCCGCCTTTCTGCGGCTTTTTCATAGGTCAGTATGGAAGACCCGCTGGATCCGCGCTTCTATTGGTTAATCGCCCGACCCTCTTTGCACCACCCTCGTTGGGAATTCAAAACCGGTCCCTCAGCAGTTGCACCTGACAAAGCACGTGGCATCGCCATTATGGATCTCTCGGAAACAAGCAGAACTGAGAACTTCGAAGTCGCCCACTGTGGAAGGTGGGGCTGGGCCGCCGCGTGGAAGTTCCACAACCACACGTGCGAGGCAACCGCTCGCTGCCTTTGGGGTGCAGGCGAGACAACCAGTTTCCTCTTCCTCCTGAACATCACTTTACGGCCCTGACAGAGGCATCACAAGTCCCACATCCTGTGAGTCCCTGACTCGGCAAATAGGGCGCACTCCCGGCTCACTTGGCAACGGAGTGAGCTAGCTCATTGTGCGCCATGGAGCACAGCCTCGACAAATGGGCAAGGACTGTGTTCCGACTGCGCGGATTGCCCGACGCAGTCACCGCTTTGGAGAGCGCAACAAGCCTGATCCAAGAGCGTTTGGGCGGTGTCGCGTTTGCCAGTATTCGCGTCCTCTCGCTCGCCACTTCTCTTAATTTCTGGGAGAGCCCACCATCCAAGGTCGCGACTGTCATGTTCTCAGCGACGCCCCATTTTGTACTGAACGACCCCGACGCGAAGGAATGGCCAGTTGCCTCCAAGGATGGCCTGGCAGATCAAGATCTCATTCTTGACGTTCATTTTATGGGCATGACGCCGCTGAGTGATGCGAAAGAATCAAGCTATCTGGCCGAGTAAGACGACCTGAATCTGAATTGGGCATTGGCTCTTCGGTTCCAACCGGAAGTTGGCTAACGGCCGGCAGTTGCATCGCTGTCTCTGGCCTTGCCAGCCACCCTTTCGGCTCGTGGCAACCAAAGGGGGGAGACAAAAGTTTCATGTGGATTCGAGATAGCCTGCCCAAACACCTCCCCGGAACACGGGCAATTCTATACGGCTACGATACCAAACTCCTCAATAGCGACTCCTTTCAAAGCATTCCCGATCTCGCCCGCGAGCTCATCAACCAACTTCAAGCATATGGTTGGGGCACACAGATAAGGCGGCCCCTCGTCTTTCTCGCCCACAGCCTGGGAGGGCTTGTTCTCAAAGAAGCCTTGGTTCAGCTTGACAGAAGCCAAGATGAGGCGTACAAGTCTCTCCTCTCTGTGGTGCGCGGAAGTGTTTGTTTTGGGGTCCCTAACCTGGGCATGGAACAAGCCCATTTTCGCACCGTTGTTCAGAACAACCCCAACGAGGCACTTGTAGATGACATCGCTCGAAACTCAAACTACCTTCGGCGACTTAATGAAGAGTTCTCTGGGAGTTCATTCAATCACCACTTGAGATGCTTCTGGGCGTTCGAGACCTCGGAATCTCCAACTGTCGTGGTAAACACCCAGTGCATTAAAATCTTAATTAGATAAGTAGTCACGCTGACATGTAGCAGCGAACAGCGGATGGCCGAGTCGGCCGCAATGGCCCCCCCGCCATCTTGGTGAGTCGGGAGTCCGCGACTTGTAGACTGATCGAGAAGGATCCCTCAGCCACATTCCCAATCAATGCTACTCACTCGGATATGGTGAAGTTCACAAAAGACTCGCATTACTATCATGTTGTTGTTTCAAAATTGCGGAGAATCCTTACCTCCACCCCTCAGGTCGACCAAAGCACAACTGAGTCGTGTACAGCAGATCCTCAGCCCTCGGAAGCCTCCAAGCCCAACCATCCGTTGACCTACCTACACTTAGGCGCTGGGGAACCAATTATTGGGAATGAGGTTGGCCCAATTCGTTCCAAGTTTAACCCAAAAGGTATATATATCCTTTTTCGTTCTTTTCTTTCTCCCCATCTAATGTCACCTTTGTGGTAGATATGTTCTGGGCTTACGTTGTTAGCCGAGCTGGATAGTTTTCAACGTCTCGCGGGCCTCACCGAAGCTACACTGAGGGACATTACCACTACGACGTTCACCCAAGTGCAAAGTATTGTGCGACAAATCCAAACGGAACAAGAGAGACAAGGGAGCCTAATGTATATGAAAAGGCTTCAGCCTTTTTTGGTATCGATGCAGCAGTTTAGCAAGGCCGTCAAGGATACCAACGCGTTTCTGGACCTGCCGCTCGCGATGGCGTATGTCTGGGTGAGTATCACGGAAAACACCGGGCACCCACCCATGACTTTTCAGAGATTAACAGAGAATTAAGGGTTCAATAAAATATGCTCTCCGGGTAGGTCGAGTTCCATCGACTCAGTTAACAAGTTACTCGCTTTGTGGTACTGAACGGCAGTCTTCCTAAGTTGGTATCCGCGACCCCAGAGGCATTACATGCCCTTCTCGACGCCTACCAGATCATTGGCGAACACATTCCTTTGGTCCAATATTCTCAAGCATTGAAGTCGCTCCCTCACTTGCAGGACGTCCTAGCCATGATATACAAAGATGTGATCTGGTTCAACCGAGAGACAATTCGGCGTCTCACTATCCGCCGTACGTGTTACGGAGGTAGCGGCTTCCTGAATAAAAGCTAACCGTCCCTCGTTTACAGAGTGGCGGGAACTTTTTGGGGCCTCGTGGAGAGACTTCATGCCCGTTATTGACCATATCAGGCATAACCTTGAGCAGTGTAAACGGTTAATTGAGAGCCGAATCCCGCCGCCGCAGTTTGAAGAGATCCAAAATCATCGACTTCGAGAGATACGGAACCTTGAGGTCGAAAGATCGGCTCGAGAGGCCAAGGACCGGATCATGGTTGCGCAATGGCTCTCAGGATTCAACGGTGAAGCCATACAAGATCAGTATCGGGGCCGACGGTCAATCTGCGAAGACCCAGGCAGATGGCTTGTCGATGACCAGCGATTTCAGAAATGGTACAGCTCTGAATGCTGTCCGAACCCACTGCTTTGGCTCAGCGGCATTCCGGGTGCTGGTAAGGCATTATCCGCACAACCTCGGGCACAAGTCTCGCCCCTGACCGAGGTCTAGGGAAAACGATCCTAGCGTCCATCGTCATCGACGAACTCCGGCGCTTACCAGATGCAGTTGTCGTTTTCTTCTACTGCAAACATGATGAAGAAACACGCAACACATTTCTCAGCGTCGCAAGATCCATCTTATCACAGCTTTTGTCGCAAAACCCTCGTCTACTCTCCTACCTACATCAACATGCTTCGTTAAGCAGCGATCTGTCGCTAACTTCGATGTCGCTTGCTAAGGATATGATGCGGACGGCCTTGCTAAGCTGCGAAAGGACGTACATAGTCATTGATGGACTCGATGAGTGTCCTGGAGGGGACAGGGTGGAGATCAGCAGCTTCTTCCGCAATCTCGTGGAGTCCATCCCTCAGGCTGATATGGACCCGATCAGGTGTCTTTTCGTCAGCCAACATGACGGAGTATCTTCAGAGAGCTTCCGGGACATTCCCACGATCAAGATCGATGATCAAAATCGAGACGACCTGAGAAACTTTTCCCAAGTTTGGCACCGGAAACTCGAGACAAAATTCGGTGATTTGCGGGATAGAAACTGCCACATCTCCAATATCCTTACTGCGAGAGCTAATGGTAGGTACGAGACCCCCCCGAGCTTGGGCTGTCCTGATCGTGGTAGGCATGTTCATATTTGCCGAACTGTTTGCCAAATACCTCGAGGATCAATTCTCTCGCGACCATCTCCTCAATGAGTTGAACCCGGATAGGTTTCCCGTCAAGTTAGATCATGTGTGAGTATCTCTAATGACCGAGTTCGTTTAGAATGCGGTCCTAACAACGTTACAACAGCTATGAGCGCATCCTGCGCCGCGTGCTTGACTCCCGGGGGGAACACATTATTAGCCCCCTGAAACAGATCCTTGGATGGATTGTCTGTGCTCGTCGCTCGCTACGATGGGCCGAAATACAAGCGGCTGTCTCCATTGACTTGGAGAGCGAGGGCATTAATCACGACAGGCAAATATCGGAATCGCCAAAAGGGCTTTTCGCTTCCCTCGTAGAGATACATGCCGATGGCACAGTGGATCTGGTACATGGGACTGCACGCGAGTGTGTACCCCTATCCCAAGAAACACACACCCGAACTAATGACGCTACAGATACCTTGTGCGGACGAAATTCATCGACCCTCGTGAGGTCGACTACTCCCTTGCCATGCTCAGCATGTCATATCTCTCTCTTCCTCAAGTCGATAAGGAGAGGAACAAGGATGACATTGAAGTAGACCTCATCAATGGTCTTCATCCTTTCTATGACTACGCTTCGACATGCTGGGCCATGCACCTCCAGAGCGGAATATCGGATTTAGAACCAGGAGACAAGCTTGCGCAATTGCAGGAAACCCTCGAGACCTTCATTGAAGCACACTGGTCGTTGACCCACAAGCAACTATCGGACTTGAAACGGATCCAGAAAGCCCTCGCGCCCATCCAAAGGTCGGAGCTATTCGACAAGATCACGGAGGCAGTCGGCTGGGCTAGAAAACAGACAGGCAAACACGGTCAAGGCCCGACCCAAGACGAAGCCCTCGACCTCTGGCAAATTACCTCCAAGATCCGATCCGTGCTGGAGAACATGCACGCGCAAGGCCACAACACGCCCGTCATGCAGAAGTTCTACGGCAAGCACTGGTTTAAATGTCCGCGCGTGAACTGCTACTCGTACCATCACGGCTTCGCCACCCTCGCCGAACGGGAAGCTCATGTCAACAGACACGACCGACCCTTTCTCTGCTTTGTCTCAAACTGCACCATGCAGTTCTTCGGCTTCGTGGCCAAGGGCGACCTGAACAAACATCTCTTCGAGTACCACGGAATCGACATGTTGGACGGGGACGACGATGACGACGCCCAGTTCCCAGACCCTCCAAAACATAAACCACCCAGTACCGCGAAAACCCCCGCCACCTTCGAGTGTTCCGAATGCGGCAAGAAGTTCACTCGCAACCACAACCTCAAGTCACACCTGCGGGCGCACACAGGGCTAAAGCCCTTCAAATGCAGCATGTGTCCTGAGAGTTTCACCCGCAAGGATCTCCGTGACCGGCACGAGCGCGGACATGGCGACCGGAAATTCACCTGCGTCGGCCTACTCCAGTACGGAGGCACCTGGGGATGCCGGGCGACGTTTGCTCGGGCCGACAAGCTAGCTGACCATCTGCGGAGCAGGATGGGACAAAAGTGCCTAAAGCCGCTGGTGCTGGAGAAGCTCAAGGCGGGTGTGGACGATTTGAGCAATATCTTTGGTGACCAAGTGGGCGAGAATGCCGATGACTTGCTGGCTGCTGGCAAGACTTTGCCGTCATTCAAGGAGTTTCTGGAGCTCTGTAGGATTGATGAGTCAGATATTGGCTTGGATAGCAGTCGCAGCTCGCCTGGAGGACCGACGGGGCAGTCATGATTGGGGCGGGAGACAGATTGAGAACAGTGGATGGTTTGTCTAGTTTCGCTCACGGTTGAATCGCAATCATATGATCGGATGCCTAATACCACCCACATCCACGTAGGTCCATTACCAAATGCTGATCTGCTATCAATTGGTTAGGTATTAATGAGCGGGAGCACATAAGAATTTGTAATTACGACATTCAACGAGGTCCGAGTCAGGAGAACGAGAACCAAAAACACAACTCCATTTCCCACCAGCCGACAAAAGGAGCAAAAAGACAGGCCTCTGACGCCCAGAAGTAGTATGTACAATAGTATTATACCTTACCGACAAAGCCCAAACTACAACACCCCAAGGCAGGTTGATCTAGTTATTCTGACCGTGACCCATCACACCACCACAGACAGCATGGGCTGAGCTGAGAAAACACTCCCCACCTACCCAAACCTGCGTCCCTCCCCTCCATGATCCCGTTCACGCTTTGCTTGCTTGCTCGCTCGCTACTACATCGTCATCATGACCCCCCCTTCCCCCACCCCCTTCTTTTCCCGCCTCACCGAAACAAACTCCCACCAAGCAGGCCCTCGCCACCCAAAATCCCATCCACACTCCTCTTCAACGCCTTCACCACCCTCCTCAGCTCCAACACCTCCTCAGCCTCAGCCCCCGCAGCAGTCCTCGCACCCGCCGCAGCCGCCGCAGCCGGCGCAATCTGCGCCAGACACTCATCCGCCCTGACCAGAAGCTCACTCACCCACGCACCAATAACCCCATCCCCACCCCCACCATTAGCGTTCGCACCCAGCGCGCCCGCAGCACGCCTCTCGACCTCGCGCACCCACGCCTCGACGGAGACGGCGATCCACTGGGCGACGACCTTGCGGCGGCGGCCGGTGAAGGGGGCCTCCTGGGCGTCGAAGAGGTTCTCGAGCACCTGGACGACGAGGGCGTGGGGCACGCCGAGGTTGAGGAACAGCAGCACGGGCCAGCAGGGGTCGGCGCCGATGGAGGCGTCCTGGCCGTGCGCCAGGGCGAACTTGCAGACCTCGGGCAGCAGGGCGTCGACGGGGAAGACCAGGCTGTCGAGCGACGTGCGGTGAGCGATGAGCTGGATCTGCTGCGAGACGGATTCGTAGGGCAGGGGTGGTTCGCCTGTGAGGGGCGGCGCGCCTTCGGGGAGGGGTCGTCCGGCTTGGAGGAGCCGCCAGTACTCCTGGCGCTCTTCGGTTTGGTAGGCGGTTTGCTCGATCAGGCGGAGCCAGGTGTCCATGATGACGCGGGGGTTGTGGTAGTCGGCGGCGTGGTAGATGAGCAGGCAGAGGTCGAAGTAGGCTGCTTGGTCGGCGTATTCGTTGTATAGCTGGAAAACGGTTAGTCTGCGCTGCAAAGTGTTGGATGTTGCGTGGATGATACTCACCTCGGTTACGCTCTTGATGGGCCCGTCGAGCGCCTCCCGGATGTCGGGGAGCTTGTCCTGTGAGACCCGCGAATCTGCCTGCAAGCGCTCAAGCAGATCATCTTGGATATGGGCGATCTCAAGGAGCTCAGTGACCTCATGGTTGAGTAGTTGCTGCTGCTGCCGGCTGACGCCAATGGTGTTAACACTGGCATTGCCCTTGGCACGACTGAGTAACGTGATGCGGTCTTTGACGCCAATGTCCAGATCCGATTTCGCGAGAGTCGCTTGTACCTGGGCGGCCTCGAAGAAGCGGCTGCGATGCGTGTAGAAGCGGCATAGGAGCTCAGCATGCTGGTAATCTGTCTCCGCCAGCCGCTGCAGGTATGTAATGACATGCGGGGAGTCAATAGATAAGAGCCGGTCGGTCCAGTTCTTCTCAATGTACCACTCATAGAGGTCGAAGTGGAAGACTTCATCGCTCGAGTCGTTGACAACCGTGTACGCCTCCATCCGCTTCGTGGCCGCGAGCGTGGGCCGCCCATCGACCACTTCAGGCTCGCCTGCAAAAGCAACCTCGAGCTTGTCGAGCACTTCGTGGATCAAAGCGTAGCAGAGCTTCCGCTCGTCAAACATCTTTTTACGGGAGTCGTTAGGGGGCTTGCCATCGTTAACCCACGTCAGTGCCGTGTTCCCACGGTCTTTTTGCTGGGCCACGGCTAGACACAGCTGGACGGCGCCGGCGTAATAGTTGAGTTGCATGTACTGCTCGACAGCACTCCGAAGGTTAGGCAGAGTGATGCTGCCTGCGACCTGCTCAAACAGCCTCAAGCTCTCGGCTAGGAGGGTTCGAAGCACATTGGGATTGTGGACTTGCTCGCTGGCGCGTTGTAGTTGCTCCTGGGCCTTGAAGGTGACCACGTCATCGGGCGAGCAGAAGCTGCCGCATCGTCTCCTAAGCGCGTCGGCAACAGTCTCGACGTTGGCGCCGCTGGCAATGTTGCGATTGACAATAGCCTTGACTAGCACCTTGGCGAGTTCTTTGCCGGGGGTTTGGGAAAACAGGTGCTCGTACGTCAAGTCCCGAAGTTGCTGTTGAGACGTAGGGTCGAGGCGGGCATAGATGTCCGAAACCCGCTCGTCAAACAACATTAGGACGAAGGAGATACCCTCCGAAACGCTCTCCATTAGTTTTCGCAGACCGTGCAAAGCCTGATGCTCCTTTTGGTTGGCGATCTCTTCCTGCCTGTTGAAGAGCCGATCGGACGGGCCAGAAAGCCCCTGGATTGTGCTCTTGTTCGCCTCGAGGAAATTTCGCAGCCGCTCAATGTTCTCCTGTATCATGACGAGTTTCGTTGCTGGAACGGTCGAGGAGACAATCAGAGAGCCCTTCGCCTCCACCTTTGTCGTAATAACTTTGAACTTCCACAGGGTCCGTACGAGCCGGGTAACGTACAGAGCCAAGGCATCGTGGCGGGAGGAGAGCCTGACAAAATCGGAGACTAATTGCTTCCCATCCGACTCGGCGAGTCTTGGTTGACCACCGTACTCGACGAACGCCATACGGGCAATATTTTCAGTCTTTGAATCAGCTGCCCTGCCTGTGGCGGTTCGCAGGTCGCTTCCCTGTCCGCATGCGACAGCCAGGGCCGCCGATATCGTTTCAACGCGGCCGTATTGAATGAGGAACTTGCGCACCTCTCTCTCGAGCCCCTCCTCGCCAGCGGAAGTCCTAATCGCGTTGGCGAAGATGTCGACCAGCCTCCTCCGGCGAACGACGTGTACCCCAGTGTTAGTGAGCACGGCGAACTCGCCTGGGGTGCTGTCGAACTGAACGGCAAGTTCGTTGCCGAAACCGAGGGGTTGCTTGGAGGCGGAAAAAGGAGCTGTTGTCGAACCAATCTCGAGGATGCGGCTCCCGGGCTCCAGATCCACCCAGGTTCCCTGCTCATAATACTTAAGTGCTGAGGCGGGAGTGGTGGCTTTGATCTTCCCCGTATCGGGAGCGGAGACGAAAAGAACATCCGAGTTGGGTTGTTTCCGAACAACATCGAAGAAGTAGCCGGGCGCGAACCGGATACCCAGGCCGCTGGGGTCGAGAGCTCGCGAAGTTTTGTCTAACTGCCCCTCGGTCGACTGGCTTGCCATCGTCCGAGTACGAACGCCCGGCTCCTTTGGCGGGAACTTGACGAACTGAAGCTGCATGCTTTGCGGAGCGAGACTAGTTGACCCTCCCATGGTGTACGACGCGGAGCTAGTGGCGCTGAGAAAGAGACGGCAGCCGGTATCGGTGAGGGCCATGAGATGCAGTTTCGAGGCCTCGGTGGCGGGGATTGGACTGATGGAGACGATGTTCGTCCGGTTAGTGAAGAGGGGGGAGCTGTCTGCCATGTGCGCAAAGTCACGCAGGCAGCTCGTCTTATCTTTCTCGATGACCCTCGTGAGCTTCTCAGGCGTTTCCATGTGGTAGGTGCGAATGGTGGAGCGGTTAGAGAGCGAATAGAGGAGGTTCCGTGTATCGTCGACGACTAGGGCGGTGAGGGATTCTTGTTGCCGCTGGCTGAACGGCAGAACGGCCGTCGACCACCCTTGGTATGTGTGGTTGATCTTGCCACATCTGCTAGAAAACCACCTCTCCTCCTGTTGGTAAAATAGCTCATGGATATCCGTGTCGGAGTCGCCGCCGAGGAAAATGCGGCCCGAGGCCGTGCCCACGATGTGGCTGACGTCGCTGCTCCCTCGATGGACCGACATTTTTGTCTGGTACAGCGTGACGGTATTGGACCCTGAAGGGGAGGGTACAGCCGACACGCCGAGCAGAATGATCTCGGTGGCCGTCGCGACGACTAGTATGTGGGTGATGCTCTCGACAAAGACGCCTGGTTTTGGGGGTACCAGAGCAACGGCAGTGATGGTGTGAGCGGCATCCTCATAGCCGATAAGCTCCGGGTCTGGATGTGTGTAGTCCCACAGGAAAAGGGAGTCGTCGATCGAAGCCCAAGCGTAGTTAATGTTCGCAAACAAGCCAATCTTTGTGGAAACCGCGCCCTGGTTCAGGCGCGAGAACACCTGATCCGGGATTGGATATGTCGACACCTTGTGGAACGGAGCCCAGGGGGACTCGGTGTACTGGATGTCATAGTCGGAGGACGCGCCGGCTTTTCCACGAGAAACGGTTAGACTTCATTCAACGCGCAGCTGACGAAGTAAATCAGGAGGCAGGGGACAGGAAGAAACTTACGCCTGCAATAAGAATCAATGTCGGGGTAGCTCTCGTCGAGTTGAAGGGTTTGGTTGACGACCTGGGCGGCCTTTGCGACAGGGGGAAGGTCCTCGCGCAGGTGCGGCGGTGGCAGCATTCCGGTAGCAATTTCTTGCTGCCCAGAACCCATGGTACTCGCGATCGGCCCTGGTGTAGTCCCCAGTGTTGTGCCATTTGTGCCCGCCCCTGCGGGCTCGTTGAAGTTGAGCCTCCTGCGGGCGGTATTCGGCCCCGGCGCAGGAGTGTTGATGAATGCGCCAGGGATCTGGCGCACAGGTGTGACGGGGTTCATGGTGGCAAAGTTGGCCGTGTTTGTTGAGCTAGCGGCGCGATCAACGAAGCTCTCTGTCGGGTCGGGCGGTGTTGTCGCAGCCGCGAGAGGTTGAGAAGGGGAGCTCCCCGCCTATATTTTGATCTAGAGCTGACCTGCAGCAGCTCAATTGTTAAGGCAATTGAACCATCAAAGCAACATTAAACAAAAGCTTCGGAAGCTCGCGATCGGGGACTGCAACGCTGTCGGAAGGGAGGTCGTCGGAAACGTGGGATGCTTTGTACAGCGATGGCCAAGGAAACTGGGCTCAAAAGAGGTTGGCCGTAAACAATTTTTGGAGCACTGGGATCATTGGCGAGAGGCTGGCTCTGACGCGCGAACGCGCTGGGGTCGAATTGGCGATGCGCTAAGCTGCATTCAGCATCACTGGCGCTCATTCTGCCACCGCCTTTGAGCTCAACACTCGTCGCCCTTGAACTGTGGAGACAGAGGCACTTCGGGCGGTCAGTTTTGGGGACGATTGCACAGGCACATCCGATTACTTTCCATGACCGTCTGATCTCCTCAAATTGAAGTTTATTACTGTATTACTGTGTACACAGTATAATTATTTACGACTTGGAATTTCCGAAGCTAGATGGAAAGCCGTTCTAGCGATTTGACTGCCTGATGCATTCACCGGAACCTGGAAACTCTGGGGCACCGAAGCTTGTGTGAAACCTCATTATCATATCAACCAACCCGACCTCACTGCTTCTTGGCCTGCCTTTCAGCCTTCCGCAGCGCCCGAGTGCGGATATCAACGTGCATCTTCCGGTTGAACCAGATGGTCACGCCGCTGGTTGCACCCACTGTGCTCTCGATCAGCCACTTGAAGGCAGCATGGCTCCACCACGGCGTGTAAGTGTTGGGGAACATTTCGTTCCCGGTCATGCCAATCTTGCCCAGCGCCGAGCGGACAAACTGCTTGGGGTTCGGGATCAGAAGGCTGGTGCGTCGGATCTTGCTCATGGCAGTCGTAACCAGGTAGCTGACAACAAGCTGAACGTCGACGCCCTGCGGCTTAAGCTCCGAGGCCAGCGAGCTGCTCCAATGCTGCAGGAACGCCTTGCTGCCGCTGTAGGTTGCGAGGTACGGGGTTGGCATGACACCGGCGAACGAGCCCATGGTAAGAATAAGGCCCCTCTTGCGCTTCGCCAGGATAGGCGCAACAACCTGAGTGGTCTTGAGGGTGCCCAGGCAGTTGATGGTGATAATGTCCTGGAGCTCTTCGCGGGCGGTCTCGAGGAATGAAACCGGGATGCTGTGCGACCGTCCAACGTTGTTGATCAGGATGCCAACATCCAAGCCCTTGAGCAGCTCGGCCAGGCGTTCGTAGTCGGCATCGTTATCCTGGGAGTAGTCCATCGAAAGTGTCTTGGTTTCCAGTCCAGACCATTTCAATGTCAATTCGCGCGCAAGAGTGTCGAGTTTGGATTGGGTGCGAGAAACGAGGACGAGGTTGAAGCCCTTAGCAGCCAACTGCGAAGCGAACTCCTTGCCGAGGCCATCAGATGCGCCCGTGACGACAGCCCAGGTTCCCTTCTTGCCATATTTGCGGAGCTGTAAATCAGATCATTGTTAGCGATTCTGAGGCGTTCCGTCAGGGTCATAGTAAAGCATACGTTGGTGCCGCTGAGGATGAAGCAGTTCAGGAGCAACTGGACAAACGACAACACTGGTTGAGCGATGTAGAGAGCACCGAGGCCGGCCAAGGCCCACTGGCCGACCTGGGGGACCGAGTTCCAGAGGTCTAGAGCCCTGTCCAAGGTCTCTTGGACGTCAAAATTGGCCGCCATGATGTCGTAATGGTTGTAAGTAACCAAGTCCGGCAATTCGTCGTGGGGGTAAAGACTGGCTTTTAAAACGGACGAGACCGTGTCGTGGTTGATCGGGTGGACGCGCTCCAAAAATGTTGAGACCCTTGCATCGGGAAGAATTTAAGGGGCCCGCATGTTGTGGACCGCGCTGCTGGAGCTTTGACCCAATTGACCGAGGCTCCGGGAAGGAAGCACGGTCGAGTTAGCGCTAGCAAGCTTGGCACTTTGGGGCTTGGTGCTTGTTGACAAGTGCCGGAAACGAGATTCTCGAACTTCGAATCGCGAAGCTGCAAGCTCGCTATCTCTCGTCCATCGCCGCGTCTACCTCAGCGTCCACCTCACACAACTTCGAACAATGGACAAAATCCAGGAATTTCTCCCTTCAGGGGAGAAGGGATACCTTCCCTACTATCTATTCGTGGTAAGTTAGGATACCGACCGAGACTCCAATGCGCGTTTGCCTGACTTCCTCTTCCCATCGTGTAGATTTCCGTCGTGGCCATGGGCAATGCGCTGCAAAACTACGCAACCCTACACTACACACGCCGCATTTACAACGGGCGCTTCGTCACCAACCACTCCCTGCCGCCCGCCACCGGCCGTTACAACCCGGAGGACAGCACCAGCATTGTCAAGCCGGCTTCGTCGACGGGCAAGGATTCGGAGAAGGCCAAGGACCAGGTTTCGCCGCTCGCTGCGCGCGTCTTTGGCACCTACACCTTTGTGGCGGGCATCATCCGCTTCTACGCGTGCTACCAGCTCGAGAACCCGGGCATGTACCAGCTGGCCATGTGGACCCACATCATCGCCTCAATCCACTTCACGACCGAGATGCTCGTGTTCAAGACGATCCGGTTCAGCGGGCCGCAGGTGTTCCCGTTCCTCGCGGGGTACGGTGGTGCCATCTGGATGTTGATGCAGTACAACCACTACGTGCAATAGGTGGTTTTCTCGAGGGCAAGGGCGCCAGGGACGATATCTACGTTCCTGCCTGGCCATATCTAGCTAATCCTTATGTCTAAGGCCACTTAATGTTAATGATACTTGTTACAAACAACAGTGAGAATCCCCGCATTAGTTAAGCAACTTGCGGTACAGCTCCCCGCCACAACCCCTCAGTCGCGCAGCAGCTTGCTCAGGGGTGATGTCCCGCTGAGGCTCGGCCATCAGCTCGTACCCGACGAGGAACTTGCGGACAGTGGCGGAACGGAGGAGAGGTGGATAGAAATGCATGTGGAACCAGCTGTTTTCGGCTTCCTCTTCGGTGCAGTCAAGTGGTGCTTGGTGAATGCCGGAGCCTGTGCGTTGTCAGTATAGCATTCCGGTTCCATCCAAAGAAGCGGATACTCACTGTACGGGAAGTTCGTCTCGAATAAGTTGTCATAGCGCCTGGTAACCTCCTGCACGGCCTCGGCAAACTGCAGCCGCTCCTCGTCGGAGAGATCAACCAGCGCACGAACGTGGCGCTTCGCGATGATGATCACCTCGAACGGCCAGACGGCCCACCACGGGCACACGACAAGGAAGCCTGCGTTCTGCCAGACCACGCGCTCCTCCTTCTCGATCTCGAGCTTGGTGTAGTCCTCGAGCAGATGCCGCCCGTTCTCGGACTTGTACTTGGTCATTTGCGCGAGCTCCTTGCCAGGCTCCTCCGGCAGCGTGCTGGTGGTCCAGACCTGGCAGTGTGGGTGTGGGTTGGAGCAGCCCATGGCGGCACCCTTGTTCTCAAAAATTTGCATGTAGCGCAGCTGGTTCTGGGGCGGTTCGACCTCGCCGTCCGGGTTGGCCGGGATGGTGGCGAGGATCTTGTCCGCCTGAGCCTTGAGCGGGCTAGTGGCCGACAGGTGGCTAGCGTAGATGCGAGTCCAGGTCTGGATGACGGGAAGGATCTCGCTGGTCGCCATGTCGGCAAGCGTAATGTCATGCTTGGGGGAAAATGTGAGGACATAACACCGGCCGGTGACGGGTTGGGCCCTCAACAGGAGGGAGGCGACATCATCTTTCCTGATCTCCGGGTTGTATTCCTGCTGTTGCTCCTTCACTGCGCTGTAGTCGTTGACAAAGGTGAAGGTATTCTTATACTGCGGGTTGCTGTCTCCTTGTGCACGCTGATTGCCAGGGCACAGGTAACACTGTGGCCGGTATTAGTGATGCCCCTAAACCGAGTGAGTGGGCGAATTAGACCTCATACCTTGGGGTCGTACTCGGGAAGCACATTTTTTGCTGGTGCCTCTTGCTGGCCCCTACGAATGTTTTAGCATCTAGAGACATGGTAACATGGAGCACTCGTGGAGTTGATCTCACTGCCAAGGTCGCTTTGTGCGATGAGGCGACACCAAAAGCCAAGACCCTGTCAATGGGTTGTATCGTCGGTGCGAAATATCGTCAAGAACTTGTTCGGGCATCTTGACCTGAGAAAACACCAAAATCTAAAAGCAGAAGGTTACCCAAAGAAGATGCGACAGGAAATGCCGCAGGAAAGAGTGAAAATAATTGGTTACAATGAGGGTGGTTTCTTAACCCACGTGCAAGTCCAGGTTGCACTTGTACTTGTACTTGGGAGATGGTGAATGGGAGGGGGCGGGGTTGGCGGGCTCGTTCGGCATTGCCCCGGCGGAATTGAACGTGTTGGTGGAGGAAGAAGTGAAGACAGAAGAAACATGTCGGCCATGATCTATCTACGGTAAATCCCCGCCCCTAGTCTCACAGGGCAGCCCGGGCTAGTACTCTATACACTGCAAGTTGTAATGAGTAATGAGCACATGTCGGGTCTCTTTTCTCTCCCGTGATGTCACTGATGACTAGGGGTGTGCAGCCCGCTTCGCGGGCTGGTTGATTCGGGTCGGTTTTTTAGCACGTGATTGCATTCATGTCACGAGTATGCCGACCTCGGGGCGCGGGACGCCCCGAGCTGGTTACGGTAGACGGACCAATTAAAGAAGAAAGGGGGTGATCAGTGAGCTCAGTCGCCAAGCACTTGCCAAGTGTACTGAGCACACTGAGCACTTGGACCGCGCCACCAATCAGGACACGAGGAAGGTACTCAGGGAGCTCAGTCCGCTCAGTAGGCTCAGTGTCCGGAGAGCACACTGAGCACACTGAGCACACTGAGCACACTGAGCACCCAAGAATTAGATAGGTATATAGTCACTCGTTCTGGAGAGCTCTGGGAGTTCTCCAGTTAGCAATCACAACTACAGTTCGCTACAAGCTCGAGAGCCTACTGTTGAGACAAGTCTTTGTTGTGCACCCTTTGGCTGCACCGAACCTAAGCACCCTTGAGAGAATACCTTCGACCGATACTGAACCCTAACAGGACGGGTCCAGAGACAGGTTCGTCACACGTTGCTAACTCCCTTTGATCTGTTACAGTTCAGGCTCGAAGGTAAAACGACATGGCAACTCAACCGACGCCGGGCCAGATCACGGCCGCGCTTCAGAGAGTCACCGAACGACTCGACGAAACTGAAGAAGAGCTTGCGAAGACCAAGGCCAGCAACGCGGCATTGGCAGCCCGACTTGCGGCGACCGAGGTCCACACCAAGGACCCGGCCAAGACGAAGGTCAAATTGGAGCAACCCGAGAAGTACGGGGGCGACCAGGAAGCCTTGCCAGGTTGGATCACGGAGATGCGGAACTATCTCGACCACAACTCGCACCAGTTCGCCACTGAGGAATCCAAGACCAGATACGCCGCCACCCGACTCAAGGACAAGGCCCTCAAGTGGTTCACGGGAACACTGAGTGATTTCCTCGGCGGAGCAATCCACAAACCCTTCACCAAAAAGGTCTTCGAGAACTACTCCGAGTTCGAGAGTGAGATTCAGAAGGTGTTCGGTGACAAGGACGAGAAGTTACACGCCCAGGAACGGCTAGGACGGCTGAAGCAGACTAGGTCAGCCACCGCCTACGCCACGATTTTCCGACAAGACTCCATGAAGGCAGAAATAGACGACGAGGGGCTGATGCACCTGTTCTACGGAGGACTGAAGGAGGAGGTCAAGGACGAGCTCTACAAGGAGAGCCGACCTGACACGCTCGACGAGTACATCGCCATGGCTGTCAAAATTGACGACCGACAGTTCGCCCGCAAACAACAGAAGAAGGGCAGCGAGATTCAGCGATCCGCAGGCTACCACAAGCCCAACGACAAAAAGAAACGCCAGCACCAGAGCACGTCATACGGCACGCACTCGGGACCCATGGACGTCAGCGCTGCCCAGGCACAATGGGCAGGAAAGAGAGATGGTGCCAAGGACAAATCAGGCATCACTTGTTACAATTGCGGCAAGAAGGGGCACTTCAAACGAGACTGCCGCAGCAAGAAAGAGTGGAGACCGGTTCCAGGGAAGGAAGCTGCCACCATCGACCAAAACACGGTCGGAAGAAGAACCCGGTTTCTGGAGGTCGCAGCCGCCAGCTACACGCAGGACGACCTCGAAATCGACATTGACCGAGTCATCGAGCAGGACGATGAACTCACCGACTCGGATCAAGAAGACTTGATGAGCAGCAACCACCAGGAGGGAAATGACACCGCCCATCACGCTTTCATCGAAACGGATGACGAGGGAGAACTGGCTCCCCCGCGGCACATCCGACAAGTCGCTGAGGACTGGGGCATCACCCTGGTTCAGCAAGAGGACGGGCAATGGCGAACCCACGAGGGTGAAGGAGGAGTCAGCCCGAACCTCATTTTTCTGCAACAGAAGGTCCTAAGCCAACGGCAAAGGATCGAGGAGTTGTCAAGAGAGAAAGAAGAACTCGAGCAACTTCTCCAGAGAAGGAACGACCAGTACGGACGACTTTGCGCGGAACTCGATTTCGCCAGGGAACGAGTCCAAGAGATCACCGAGGCCAACAACAGGGCCGGGGATCACGTCGAAAAGACATTAAGAGAGGCACAGGCCTTGCAGGACGACATCCGCCAGGCACTTCCGCACCACACACCGTGGGATGGACCCACCGAAGAGGCGGAAGGATACGAAAACGGAGTACGATACCCCGAGCAACTTTTCGACTACGCACAGGAACAGAATGCGGCGAAAGGAAGAAAACAGCAGAGCTGGGAAGAATACTGGACGCGACATCAGCACATCGTGCGCGCCGGACGACAAACCTCCGACCTTGAATGGTGGGGTTTTCGGGGCGAGAACAACACGGAGGGATTCCAGTTGTTATCAGAAGACCACGAGCGGGTGGACCCACGAAAAGAAAGTCACATCTACCTGCCCTGGTTCCAGTGCATCACGCACGAATGTCGGTACCACTTCCAGGACAGATTTCGCAACAGTTTCTGGCCCACAAGAGAAGAAAAGGGAATGCAACCCCTGCCCATCAGATGGGTATACGACAGCGGCGACGCTCCCGCAGGCATGTTGTGGGACACCCAACGCACTCACGAGGGCAGGCTGAGGGTTAAACCCAAGGCAGCCTGGCCCCGACGCTGTATGGCGGGCGTAGGAGTCAACGAATGCCGAAGCGCAGACTGCCTACCACACGCCGACGAGAAAATCTGGGGATACATGGAACAGCAATCCCAGAGGAAGCCACACCAGAGGACGAGAGCGTCCCGAAGGAACGAGAGGCGCCCAGTTGAGGCATGGGCGGCCCAATGGCTCCAAGAACACCAGACGATTGACGCCGCAAGCCAAGGTGCGGACAGGGACGCCTTGAAACACCACGAGAGCTTGGGAAACGGCTCAGGGCCCTCCGAGGGGCCCGGAAACCGCTAACTCCACAGCAACGGAGACAGGCTGCGCAGTACAGGAAGAACTGGCGCAAGCAGAAGCCTTACAACGACCTCCCAGCAGACGAACACGAAGTAGCTGCTGTACGAAGCACCAAGCCAGACAACAGGCTCTGGATCACAGCGCGATGGGGGAAGATCGAAGCCCTCGCGTTAGTGGACGGAGGAGCGCAGATGGATCTCATCTCGCCCGCATTTGTGAATCAACTCAGAATCCCATGGAGGATCAAGAAGCAACCACACGTCGTCAAGGGACCATTCGACACACAATGGGTACGACGAGAGACAGAACCACTCGACATTGA